AGCAAGTTCAAAAGAAGGTGGTGTTTCGCTTTCTATCAGCTGATGTGTATTTGTTTGTAAGTATTGGGAAGATGATTTGGTGACAGTACATTGAAAGTAACATGCTGAATCTTCGTATTCTACAGCTGATGATACACAAAGAGGAGAAGGGTTAATCAATGCTTGACTATTGCTCATGATGTTATCTGGCGTTGTTGCTGTTGTGGTTGCATGTGATAATAAAGAAGCACTACAGAAACTCGTTTGTCTAGGTAAAGGTTTGATGGAAACGGAATTGTTTGTAGTGGCCATGCGCTGCAGCATACTTGCATCTTCTTCTGAAATATGGGATAGCTGCTCTCTAAACAGGCTGTATGGTTTATAATAAACGTATGAACTTGATGTGTCTGTAGGCTGAAGTGTATGTTTTACAAGAGGTGAACGCTCATCTAAATCTTGTTGATAAACTGCAGCAGCAATACCCAAAAGGCATGGATCAGCTGGCTGAACTGTAGTAGACAGTGACAAGAGAAACAGAAAAACAGAGCCAATCAAGATAGTAACCATCAAGGTATCAAAGTCATGATCGTCGTCAAGAGACCAACCTATCCCTACAGCCATAATAGCAGATATCATTTTTCCATATTGCCTTTCATGTACTGCATAAAAATGAGTATATATATATATATATATATACAATAAAGTTCGAATGATGCTCACCATACATAATTTTATAATCACCCAATATCTTGATAATGGCACTGTCAACCAACACCTCCAAAGGTTGATAGAATAAACCATCTAGAATAGAAGAAAAGATAGCGACGGGTAATGTTATTGTTATCCAGGTAGGTGGTACAGAGAGTACTAAAAGGATAGCAGCTGTACCTACAGTAGTCAAAAGGGCAGTAAACACACCATGAAGTGTTGGTCGATGGTCCACAAGATCAGCCCAAAATGCAGAGGCTGGTACCTTTAATAACATCACACAAGCAGTGAGCATAGATATTGTCAGAAAACCAAATCTCAATCTGTGGAAATAATACAAGCATAAATAAGGATGAATGCTTGTTGTAGCTGCGTGTGCTGCTGTTAACAATTTAGTCCAGAACAACATTGTCTAAAGAAAAGAAAAAAGAAAAGTGGAAAATAGGAACAGAAAGAAAGAAAGAAGAAGAAAAAAAGATATAAACTTCACATAAATAATAAACAATAAACAAAATAAAGCAGCCTTCTCACATCAACCAAAAGGGGGGGGGAGGACACCTTGGCATGAATCACAAACCCTTCAACTCCGCACTGTATACCTTCTCAACTTGTTGCAATAATGTCTATTTCAATGCATTTATTCTTGTTTAAAAGAATTATTCATCACCAAGAAGAGCAAAGGGATTGACTACATGAAAAAAATAGGGAGAAATGATGAGTAAGCCCTTGAAATGAGATCAATTAGAACCTACATGTCTTCTTTTCTTTCTCCTTCTCCTTCTTTCTGTCCTTTTCTTTACGGAAAGACATAACAACATCGCTTTGATTAGGTGTTCTGGTGACACCTGGGATAAATGCCATCTTTACTGGAGGAACCTTAGCGAATGGGCTACCAGCTAAAGCCAAAAGCATAGTGCGGTCATAGTGGGCACGGTTACCTAGGTTGATTCATTAAAATCCACACTTGCTTTTTTGTATATGTATAAACAACCATATCCAAGACACTTGTTTAGTTTTTTTTTTCAAAAAAAAGTCTTTTCAAAACGTGACTTTTGTCTGATAAACAGTTTTTGGAAACTAGAAGTTGCTAGATTGTAAAGGAGATCTTTACCTTGTTCAACAGCCATGATCAATAGTTTGGGACAAGAAGTTGAAAAAATCAAGACGAAAATTTTTATATTAGTTTTAGCCAATCAGATCATGTTTATCTGATATTCAATTCTCTCATTGTGAACAAAGAAGGAAAGGCATTTTTATTGAATCTAAAAAATAGCATTTGCAGCTTGGCTTCCAACTATAAATAAATAAGGTGTAAATGACAAATAGATGGTTATATTCAACTTACGTGTTGCACCAAAACCCCATGTAGCAGCTGTAGCAATGTTACCACCAAATTTCTTTGCCATATTAGCCACTTTCTTGTCTCCACCATTATGGTCTTCTTCCGGATTGTTCCCGACATTATTGATAATAACAGTTGAGGGTTGACCATAGTTCTGCTGTACTGGTACTTGGGTGGGTGGAGGCGCATACATAGCCTGAGGAGGAGGAGGATAGCTATAAGGTGCATTATTGTTATGATTATTATTGCTGCTAACGATGCTGTTGGTGTATGATGATTGGGTATTAGGTATAGAGAATGAAGGTTTAGATGATGTAGGTGGGACCCAAGGACGTTTTGCTTTAACAGGAGGTCTATAGTTAAACTGTGAGGAGCTTTGTTTTGATAAATCAAGGCAAGCTTACGCTATTTTCTTAACATGGTTTTGAGGAAAGATACCCGACTTTCCGTTCACTGTACCCTTCCACCAATCATCATTCACTAATCAAAGTGGTATTTTAGTTCTAAAATACTTATGACAAACAACATACCATATTCAGTGACTTCTATAACATCACCTTGCTTAAATGATAAGTCAGTAGTAGGATCTTCTCCATCATAATCATAGAGAGCCTCAGCAGTAGCCAATGGTAGAGGATCATTGCTTGGCTTTTGAGTATAAGCGGGTGGAGGTGGTGTTGTTCTTTCAGGTTCTGAATGTAGAATACCTTTAGGTGAGGGTATGTGTGGTTGAGGCTGTTGTGCCGTTTGCCACTCGGGTGTACGTCTAACTGGCAGTTTTGGAAACTCACGAGGCTGAGGAACAGGTGGTGTAGTACTATGTGCCGAAATTGCTGATTTGCGAGTGGGCAAAGGCGGCTTGTCAGTCATAATCTGTTGCTGTTGCTGTTGTTGCTGTTGCTGTTGTTGTTGCTGCTGCTGCTGAATACGAGAAGGTAATAGACCAACCACTTCATTATATGTTTTCTGAGCCAGAAAATTATTGTCTTTAAGAAACGACAAGTCTTTCAAAACAGACTCTAGCACATAATTAGCGACGTAGCAATTAGAATCATCCATGATAAAAAGAGTATAATAAAAGAAGAAAAAAAGGAGAAATATATATTTAGTGACAATTTACGAAAATGAAATGAAATGCGGGAATTTAAACATGAATTAGTTGTCCGGTAATTCAATGTGACACAAAACATTAAATGCTCCAAGAGTATTAAAAAAAAAATGCTCCAAGAGTCATGCATCTGTCAGAATACCGCCAAAAAAAGTTGTTCGCTCTATGCCTAGCATATCCAGCCGAAATGAGGAACTTTATTATAGAAAGACGGCTATGTTCTACAGTAGTCATACTGCTAAAAAGCAAGAAATGGCTACTAGCTCCACCAAGGAAGAAAAAGAAGATCCGCTTTTCAGGTTAACTAGTCAAACACGCGGTGTATATCAAGCTAGCGAATGTCAACTACTATACCGTTCACCTTTGACAGGTACAAGTTTGATCTGAAACTTTATAACCGACACTTAATATTGAAAGAAACAGATATTGATTTTTAAGACGACGAAGAGTATCTCGATCTGCCTGCTGAGCTAGTTATAAGATCTACAGATATTGATGTTGATACTTCGCAGCATAAGATCGGAAGAAATCAGATAGAGCAAAGGAGTAGACTGAAGAAGGGGAAGAGGTGTTACAAGCTGAGGATTTATTATCAAAAACCCCTATTACCACAGTAAGTACCTCTATACCAGACCATCAAGCTTCCTTATACTTTCATTTTAGCCATGCTGATCACTTACGAAGGTTTTGCTCGTCCAAAAAAGGGCATGGCTAAAAAGAACCGGTGAAATACAAAAGGCCAGATTTCTGGATTCGCTCGTAGACAGAGAAGACAGAGAAGACAGATAGTGGAGAAAAGAGACAATATATATAAATTAGTGCAATGATTGTAGAAGTTCAGCTGACCTCATAACCTAATAGGTTGGTATAAATTAGATCAATTCGTCGGAAACAGAGGCACAGGTGTAGGAACAAGAATTAAAGGCCATCGTAGATGATATGGTGAAAAATGGCTCGAAGAGATGCATGGAAAAAGAAGCAATGTCTGTATCATTAACGAATAAAAGACTTTACGGACATGCATCTATTGCTTCGAGCATTTAGAGCGCCCTTGTTTTGTTGAAGAAAAGAATAGAAAGATGATCAAAAGATCAACAAAGGGTAGCTTGATATGTAACAATCCTAAATGTGTCTCTATAAAGCATGGTTGATCTACCAAATCTTAGGATGCCCCCTCATCTCTTGTAATAGGTTTATCTGGATTGACCTTGTGCCATCTCGGACTGCCTATCCTCCGCTTCTCCTAAAATCAAATCAGTCAATACGACACTGACAGATTCAAGACTCAAGCATCTGTTCTTCTGAAAGAAGAGAAGAATAGCCTATTGCGATGAAATTAAGGACTAGTTATTAGGATCTCATCCAATCTCTAATTTTGTGGCTCATTTATTGTTGCATTTAGCATTATTCTCAATGTGATACGAACATCTAAAGCCATGTTTTATATTTACCTTGGCTTAAATGATTACACCGAGCAAAAAAAAAAAAAAAAAAAAAAAAAGCCTGGCGCTTGAAAGCACTATTGGATGCTCCTCATGCCTTATAGCCCCAAACTTTTAGCTTTATGACATAAAATAAACAAACATTAGCATGAAACTTAATTCCATGGTATTGTGTATCCGTTGACTGCACATCTATCCCAAGGCTTTTGTATTTTACAACCAGCTATGAATTTCTAACAATAGAAATGATACTCATCTCACCCCACGATAATTCTTGCTGCTATTTGCTTTAAATAGTTTCACATAAAAATAATTATAGCTGAACTTAATATAGAAATTGATGCAGTCGGGTGCAATGAAAATTTAGATTCTTTTGAGTTAAAGGCCCAAAGAACATTCATTAGAACCAAAGAAACAATACACCAATATTAAGTCAATCAGTCTTTAATTTCTAGTGTATGATTTGATTCTAAGCTCTGTTTGTCGTCATCAACAAAGCATTGAAAAACCTATTAAATGGCACTATACTTGTAATGATAGCTTCTTGATATGCATTACAAATCTAGATTTACTTATACATTTACACTCAGAAATACTTGTTGATTTTGAATGGGTTTTCAACAAAAGAAAAATATATGCATTCCATCCTTAAGTAAGCTCTTTCTGTTGCATGATAGATTAGCATCATAAGACCTGTAGAATAAAAGCTTAAGTTGCTTATCTTAAAAAGAGGAAGGACTAATATTTGGTGTGGGCACTTTTTTGCATTTATTAAAGCTTGGCGCCGACTTTTCATGCTTCCGACTAAGTATGCACATTCCTTGTTGAAAAACAGCTTTCACCTTTAGTTGATATGTGTGAGTAATTCATCTCTCTTCTATTCACATTACCTAATATAAGTAACAATATTGTTTATTATTTTATTTGCTTGGTTTCTAGAGTCTTTTTTTTTTTTCAAATAAAGTCTAGGAAAAGTTGCGAAAATCACAGAGCATGATAAGGCATGATGAACCAAAATTTATTTTCATGATGGTCAATGAAGCCAAAGATTTTATAAGGATCTATGCTAGTTTAATTCATTTAAAAATAAGCATACATGACCATTTTGGCTAGTAAAATAGGATCATCTTTACTGTCTTCATCCTCCTTTATGGGGTTATCTGATTAGTGGTTGTTATTTTTGATGGGTTTTATCATATTCTTACTTTCTTAACCCAATCAATTTCGAATAGAGCCTGTGTATTCAGGAAAAAAGTATCATTTTGATACTCGGGCTATTTTTTTTATGCACAATTGTGCTCGGGCGAAATTGAATTGAAATAACGATTCTTGGTGACGTTTCATACGCTGATATTTGAGGGCTGCATTATTTCTCCTTTCTCTTTTTTTCTTTATTATTTTTTTTTTGTAAAAAAAGAGATAACCTTTGCTTGTTCTAATAATATCAATAAAAAAGAGGAACTATTACTTGAGGCTTTTCTTTGTTCAAGACTAGTTCACTAAAAAAAAATACCAGCAAACCATACTCCTTTAAAAAAAAACAAAAAAAACTTTTTTCTTCAAAAAAAAAAAAAAAATGTCTTCACCTACTGCTGAAAACAATGGTTCGTCAACTACCACACCTGTCGAACAACAACAACAACAACAACAACAATTGGGTGGTGCAGGTATGACTGTTCCTTCCGCTTCTGCTTCTTTATATGTTGGAGAACTCGACCCTTCAGTTACCGAAGCCATGTTGTTTGAAATGTTTAACATGATTGGACCAGTAGCCAGTATTCGTGTTTGTAGAGATGCAGTCACTAGAAGATCTTTAGGTTATGCCTATGTCAATTTCCATAACCTTGTTGATGGTAAAAAAATATAATTTATCAATATCATGATCATTTATACCTATTATGATTGAAACCAGCTGAACGCGCTCTTGAATCTCTAAACTACAGTCTAATCAAAGGACGTGCTTGTCGCATCATGTGGTCTCAGCGTGATCCTGCTTTGCGTAGAACTGGTAATGGGAATATCTTCATCAAAAATTTAGATCCTACTATTGACAATAAGGCCCTTCATGATACCTTTTCCGCTTTTGGCAACATTTTATCTTGCAAAATTGCACAAGACGATGAAGGAAAATCAAAAGGATATGGTTTCGTTCATTATGAGACAGAAGAAGCTGCTGATACAGCTATCAAGCACGTCAATGGTATGCTGTTGAACGATAGAAAGGTGTAAGTACAAGAATGAGTTTATCCTGGTCATGTTGATTTTCTTTGTTAGTTTTGTCGGTCATCATATTCCTCGTAAAGAACGTCAATCAAAAATCGAAGAAATTCGTGCACAGTTTACAAATGTATACGTCAAGAATTTATCAGACGATGTTGATGATACGCAATTGGATGCTATGTTTAGTAAATTTGGACCCATCACTTCAGCCATTGTTTCACGCGACGAAGAAGGAAAATCGCGTGGATTTGGGTTTGTCAATTTCGAAAACCACGATGATGCCTATCAAGCTGTTGAAGCCCTCAACGAAACAGAATACCATGGTCAGCAACTCTATGTATCTCGTGCACAAAAGAAGAACGAACGCGAAGAAGAACTTCGACGCCAGTACGAACAAGCCAAGCTGGAAAAACTGAGCAAGTTTCAAGGTGTCAATCTCTATGTCAAGAACCTAGATGATGATATCAACGATGATCGACTTCGACAAGAATTCTCTGTCTATGGCGTCATCACATCTGCTAAAGTCATGCGTGATGAAAAGACAGATGTCAGCCGAGGATTTGGGTTTGTTTGCTTTTCTTCGCCTGAAGAAGCCACAAGAGCCGTGACTGAGATGAACGGCCGCATGTTAGGCTCTAAGCCTATCTATGTTGCGCTTGCTCAACGTAAAGAAGTACGTCGTTCTCAACTCGAGATCCAAATGGCTCAAAGAAACCAAATGCGTACTATGGGTATGCCCGGTGGAGTTGCAGGTGGTTATATGCCACCAGGTGCTCCTATGTTTTATGCCCCTCCTCCACATCCTGGTAACAATGGTGGGTTCTTGCCTCAAGCAGGTCAACGACCCATGTTCCCCCAAGGCCAGATGATGCCTCGTCCTCGCTGGGCTCCACAACAAGGATTTCCTCCTCAAGGTATGCCTCAGCCTGGTTATCCTCCAATGCAAAGGCCTCCTCGTGGACCTCGTCCTCCCCGTGCCAAGGATCGCAAGCCCGAAAATATCCAACCACAGGGCGATAATGAAGGAGTAGATGCTGGGTCTAATGAGGGACAGAACTCTTTATCTGCTAATGACCTTGCTGCTGCTGCTCCTGAAATTCAAAAACAAATGCTAGGTGAAAGACTGTATCCTCTCATGTAAGTATAACATCAGTATCTTATGTATGATCATGACACACAATGTAGTACTGCACAAGAGCCTGAATATGCAGGTAAAATTACCGGTATGCTTCTAGAAATGGATAATGCAGAACTCTTGCATTTGCTTGAAGACAGGGAATCGTTAAGCAACAAAGTTCAAGAAGCAATGGATGTACTTGAGCAACATTTAGCTACCAACACTGAATAAGACCTTTGTCTTTTTTTTAAAAAAAAGAAAATGCATAATAAACCTTTTGCCTTTTTTTTTTGTTTAATTATGAAAAATTACAAAATGGAAGAGGGGGGGGGATAATACAGTTTAATCAGAAGCAGAGATCATGTTTTCAGGTCTGACCCATTGCTTGAATTGTTCTTCAGTCAAATAACCAAGAGAAAGAGCGGCTTCAGCCAAAGTAGTGCCTTCCTTGTGAGCTTTCTTGGCACACTTGGCAGCCTTATCATAACCAATATGAGGGTTAAGAGCAGTGACCAACATCAAAGATTCATTCATAATGCTGTTGATCTTCTTTTCATTGGCTTGGATACCGACAACACAGTTCTTGGTGAAAGAAACAGAAGCATCTGAAAGAAGACGAACAGATTGAAGCAAGTTCTTGATCATGACAGGCTTGAAGACATTGAGCTAGAAAGAGAGAGAGAGAAAAATTGAGTACAGACTAAATAAAATAGCAATACTTACTTCGAATTGACCATTGGAACCAGCAACAGAGATAGCAGTTTGGTTACCCATCACTTGAGCACACACCATGGTCATGGCTTCACATTGAGTAGGGTTGACCTTACCAGGCATGATAGAAGATCCAGGTTCGTTTTCAGGCAAAGAAAGTTCACCAAGACCACAACGAGGACCTGAACCAAGGTAACGGATATCGTTGGCAATCTTCATAAGAGAACAAGCAACAGTGTTCAAGGCACCATGAGCTTCAACAATGGCATCGTGAGCAGCGAGGGCTTCAAACTTGTTAGGAGCAGTCTTGAAGGGCAAACCAGTGATTTTGGCAATAGCATCAGCGACCTTGACATCGAAACCCTTCTTGGTGTTGAGACCTGTACCGACAGCGGTACCACCTTGAGCAAGGTTGTAGAGACGTTCCAAAGTACCTTCGACACGAGCAATACCGTAGGTCAATTGTTGAGTGTAGCCAGAGAATTCTTGACCGAGTGTCAAGGGAGTGGCGTCTTGCAAGTGAGTACGGCCAATCTTGATGATGTGGTTGAATTCTTCAGACTTGGCTTGAAGAGCATCGCGCAAGGTAGTCAAGGCAGGAATAAGACGGTGACTGATTTCAACTACAGCAGCAACGTGCATAGCAGTGGGGAAACTAAGCGGGATTTTTAGGTTCATATGCATCATAGACCTATCACTTACGTATCGTTGGAAGATTGACTCATGTTGACATGGTCGTTAGGGTGAACGGGGGTCTTGGAGCCAAGTTCACCGCCGAGAAGTTCAATAGCACGGTTAGAAATTACCTATCAAGACATCAGCATCTATCTACACACACTCTCTCTCTATCCCCAATTACCTCATTGACATTCATGCTATAGAACATATTAGTCTTTGTTGGCTAATACATGATTTACTTACTTGGTTTGAGTACCAGAACCAGTTTGCCAGACAACAAGAGGGAAATGATCAATCAAAGTACCATCGATAACCTAAAACCTAGGTTAAATAAATAAAAACAAACAATCACTTACTTCATCAGCAGCCTTTTGAATTGCTTCACCAACCTTGGGATCCAAACCATAAGTAGCGTTGACGATAGCAGCACTCTTCTTCAAAACACCAAAGGCACGGATTAAAGGTTCAGGCATACGTTCACGTTCACCACCAATGTCAAAGTTTTGAAGAGATCTATCAATCCAATCAATATCTTGAGTTAACGTTGATTTATTCTTACCTTTGAGTTTGAGCACCCCAATATCTGTCAGCAGGAACTTGAAGGTCGCCAAAGGTATCACGTTCAGCACGGAATTTTTGCTATATTTAAAATAAATAAAATGTCAGGAACACAAAAGCTGCCTTTATTGTTATTTACCAAAGCAATAGAAGCGCTGCTGAAAAGGCGGTTAGAACGGTTAAGACCAGAAGCTTGGCTCAAAAACTTGGAGGTAGAAGCACGCAACATGGTGAGATAAAGATTAAAAAGAAAAAAAGAAAGGGAAAAGGTTTAGTTGATGGCTATTTAATTCGTGGTAGGGAAATGGACCGGGGTGGGGGGTTTTTTTTTTTCATGCTTGAGATCAACTCGAGTTGATGCTCCGATCCAACACATTCAAGTGTATACCCCACATTTGTTTAACGCTGTTAAACATATACCTATTTGCATATTGATATTGACATATAAAAATAAATACTGGGAGCAAAACATTAAAAAAGAAGAGATACATATCTTTTTATATTGGCGTTTTTCATGTCAAGAAGCGTTCCTATTTGTTCCGCTTTTTTACCTGTGATTTTCAAACAGAGCAATCTATGCATCAATATCTTAAAAGAGCTTTCTTGACATTTGTGTGACGAATGATACCCTTTCTTTTACTGTTATTTTATGAGTGATGGGCATCATAAACTATGTTTATTTATAAAGGAAAGAAAATATAGAAGAGAGTACTTAGTTAAAGAAGGTTCTGCTGGGTGAATGGCCGAATAAGGCAACACGAATTTGAGGCAACATTTCTTCCTTGGTAATATCCAAACGAGCACCAAGTGTATTATCAACCGTGATTTTTCCATTAAGGCCAGTCAAAACAATACCACCAGCACTAATGAAGAATAAACATATATACATCACATACAGACATTACTTACTTAGAGGAAGGAAGGTATTCTTCATCAATCGTAAAAGAAGGTCGAGTTTTCATGGTTTCTTCGTATTTATCGGCAGCACTTTCAGCAGCACTGTTTACTTGATCAACATCTTGTTCACGACAACGGATGACAACTTGGTCTTCCATAAGGGAATAAATACCCTGAAGAATAAGACCTTCAAGCAATGTTGCATATCGGTCTTGATCTTCAGAGACTTCATGAATACGCTTGTCTGTCTCTTCGAAGAGATCATCAAGCACTTGTTGACGCTCTTGAAGGATACGAAGACGTGTTTTGTTGATATGGTTGGATTGAGCACTTTTTTTTTATATAAAAAAAAATTAAGGAGAGATAGAAAAAATCAGGCAAAGTGTTTCAGGTAAAAGGACATTTTTACTTACATTCTCTTTTGAACTTCGGCTTGCTTGATTTTGCGTTCAAAGACAGACTCAATATTCAAGGATTCTTGACGAACAATTTTAGCCTAATATTAAAGGTTAAATAGAGAAAAGAGATATGACTCTACCTTTTCAATATTGAATTCTTCGTCGGCCTAAATAAAGACAGTTAAGACAATATTTGATAAAAAGCATAATGTACCTTGACTTTGATTTCTCTGGCCTTTTCAACGGCTTCTTGTTTGATGAAGGCAACCTATAGTACGCGTCTATGTTTAAGGAGTGTTTCAAAGAATTGATAAGCTTACCATCTTCTTCATTTCGTTAAAGACTTCATCGTCATTAAGGGGTCTGGCTGTAGTGGACATATTGACTTGACTAGACAAGTTAACTTGTAGTTTTTAAATACAGAGATACTTACAAGATATACTGAAAGAGAAAGAAAAAAAAAGCGAAAAAAAGGATGAAACTTGCAGAATACGCACACAGCAGAGAATTGGAGTTTGAATGGATGATGATGACGGTGGGGTTTAAAATCCTTTTCGACCCGCCCTTTCGACTAGACCATCAAATCAACCTTTAACTTTGAGATTTTACGTCAATGCACCGCATTCCACTTCTACATACATGATATTATCAGCTAAAAAGGATGTATTCATTTATGGTGAGAAATGTAAAGAAGTGTTCTCTAGGTATTTTGCAACACTTATTACTGTCAAAAAGACAATACCAGCCCAAACTCATTTGGTTTGTAGCAGACACTGATTCGGCAATGAAAGGCCTTCTATACAAATCAAAATAAATCCTATTGATCAACAACAATTCTCTTGCATACTTATTAGAGAAGCAATATTGACGCGATTCAATAACTTCGGATGTTTTTGTCCGATAGCAGTCCAAAAAAAGAGGTGCCTGAAATCTGATAATCCTTTCGCTCTCTCTCTCTGTCTCTCTGTCTATCAGCTGATTTCTGCCCCCCTCCTTTTTTTTTAAATAATAATAATAATAACATTGGAACCCCTACGTTCTTACTCTTCTTCTTACTCTTCATCATCATCATGACCAAAGACCTTTCACCCCCAGCTACACCACCTACTTACAGTCCAATACCTCATCGTCTTCATCTACATACAGATATTGAACATGAACATGAACAAGAACTTGTTCAACTAAAAAGCTCCTTTTTGCTCCTAACAGCCCAACAAAAACAATACTTTTTAAACGATATCATAGCCAACTGTTGTGATAATTCCCAACTTACATTTCTAAACAGCATTATTGCCCCACGCCTAAAAGTAGACTTCTTAAAGCAATTACCACCAGAAATAGCACTTCATATCTTATCTTATATTCATTCACCATCTACACTCACCCGTGCTACTTGTGTATCCAAGCATTGGTATCATCTTATTCGTGACCATGATACACTATGGAGATCACTATGCAAATTCTATCATTATAGGACTGAGAACATCAGTTGCTATAGAGACTACTTTAAACGCCGGTACAGTATTGCATGTGCCTGGAAACAAGGTGGCAAGATCACGACCATTGACGGTGGATTTTCTCAGGGCCTTGTTACCTCTTTACAGTTTGATGAACAATTCACTGTGGTGGGTTGTGATAATCATCGTATTGAAGTGTTTGATACAAAGTCAGGCAAAAAGATCAGGACATTAGAAGGACACGAAGGTGGTGTATGGGCATTGCAGTTTAAAGGAGGTGATGAACATGATCCTGAACGAGTCTTGCTTTCTGGTGGATGTGATAGGTACAGTGTGAGTACATTCCCTTAAACTAACCGTATGATGTAGAGATGTTCGTGTATGGGATCTAGATCAAGGTAAATTACGCTATGTCTTGCGTGGTCATTCCTCTACTGTCAGATGCCTCAAAATAAGAGACAAGCGGATTGCCATCACTGGTTCACGTGATACAACGCTCCGAGTCTGGGATATAAAACGGGGTGTATTGCTGCATGTCTTACAAGGTCATCAAGCCTCTGTTCGGTGTGTGGATGTTCATGGTGATATCGCTGTCTCTGGTTCGTATGATTCCACTGCCCGTATATGGGATATCAAGACAGGCAAATGCAAGCGTGTCTTACTAGGCCATATTTCTCAAATCTACACGATTGTGACGAATGGTACGATCATTGCCACTGGTTCTATGGATGCTCATATCCGTATCTGGTCTGTTGAGACAGGCGAGTGCCTTGCTACTCTTCATGGTCACACATCGCTGGTAGGCCAATTACAACTATCAGGTACAACATTAGTGAGTGGGGGTGCAGATGGTTGTTTGCGTGTATGGGATATGGAGACATTTGAATGCACTCAGCAATTCTCAGCACACGATAACTCTATCACTTGTCTTCAGTTTGACGAAAATCATATCTTGAGTGCTGCTAATGATGGCAAAGTCAAATTATGGGATATTAAACGCGGCAGATTACTAAGACACTTTACTCAACCCTCAAAAATTGTCTGGAAGATCCAGTTCAATAGTACAAAAGCCATCGTATTAATGCAAAGACAACGACCTGATGGCTCAGAAGAAGGGAGAACAGTGATGGAAATACATGATTTTGATTCGTCTACTTTATGATATCCCCCTCTTTATGAATAAAACAGAATAGGAGAGATAAACAGGTTACAGGAGTCGATCTCTTCCTTTCCTTTTTTGGAAAACGCTGAAAATCGAAATCGACTAATTGATATTTATGCACAAATCAAAAAAGAGTGCAGTTCGAAAAATCCTGCTAGTATAAATACGTGCGCACGCACCCTAATTCTTTTTCTTTTTCTTTTTTTTTCTCCCCCGAAAAAAATCATGGAATCTAGCCAAGCCATTATTTCACTCAACAGGCTTAACCAAACACCTTCTCGCCAATCCATGCCTAACGCAGGCCCAGCTGAGTTCACTCGAAGAAAAAACTGGTCTCAGAACATACTTGAAGAACTACGTGATGTCATTCATGTCTTGTCTTCTGATCTCAACATTCTCTACTGTTCTCCTGCTTCGCGTGAATTCTTAGGCTATCAACCGAATGAGTTAATGGGTCGCAGTTTTACTGAATTTGTTCATGTAGACGACGTGGATGTATTTGCTCGAGAATTTCGTACTTCTCAAAACAATGGATCCGTCATGAGAGTCACTTATCGTTTTCTTCGAAAAGACGGTAAGCACACAACATTAGAAACAAGGGGCCATTTCTTTAAGCAAGGATTTTTTGGTTCTGCTCGAAGTGTGCCTGCTGAAACGACTCGAATGATGGATACTTTTCTTGACTATAAGATGGAAAATGAAATGTTGAAGCGTAAAGTCGCTATTGCTAAAGCCAAGGCCAATCAAACCAAAAACAAGAAACAACATATTCCTTCTCCTCAAAGTAGTACAGTGTCCAGTGTTCCTAGTGACGATTTCCTTCAACAGCAACAAGAGAATGACGATGATGATTTTGAAGACGAATTTGAAGACTTGTTTTCTAGTACATCGAATGCTTATGGCTCTAATGTGTATACACAGGGTGTATTGAATTCTTATGATCTCTCTGAATCTGTCTCTCTCTTGACGGGTCTTCATTTTGATTTGGGTGAACGTTCGCGTGGTATTTCGATGGGTGTAGAAGGTGAATTGTTCAATGCTTTTCCTTCTGCTATTGGTGACCCTGCTTCCAGTATGGATGATAAATTCAAGACGGGCAAAAAAAGACGTAATGATGATGATATCGAACGTATCTGCACAGATTGTGGCAGAACAGATGCCCCTGAGTGGCGAAAAGGTCCCAAGGGGCCCAAGACGTAAGCCAACAAAAAAATATATTTTTTTATTTATTTTTTTATACAGACTATGTAATGCATGTGGATTGCGCTGGGCCAAAAACAACAAGACTCAAGCAGATGATATGCAGTCTTAAAGAAGGGGGGGGGAGGCTCTTTATTTATTGCCTGTAATCATTCTAATAAAATAAAAATGAACATCCTTTATTATAAACTTATACACTTACTTTCCAGTACCCACAGTAACACCCAAGAGACCAACACCAAGACCAGCAAAGACAACAGAGACAATCAACTTGTCTCTTTTGCCACGGATCCAAAGGGGGAGTTGAGAAGGGGCTTGAAAATATCTTTGATTGGCAAGTACGTTATTAGGACGGTTCACAAGCATGTTTAAAAGAAACAAGAGAAAAGAAGGAGGAAAAGGGAGGGGGGTTGTTTATTTATTATTTAGTTTGTGTAAGTGAGAATCACCTGAGAAAATAAACCATATACAAAAAGAAGAGTAACACAATAGTATGTAACTTTAGTCATTAGAGCATATTTACATATAAAAAAAGTGGGTATAATTGACAGCATTTTAAAGGTCTGTAATGCGTTTGATACGATTGCATTCAGACAAATGTTGTCCTCTATATTTAATGAGATGTTCACCATTGTCTTTAAATGTGACAGTCTTGTTTACAGGACATCCCTATATAAACATGAGTAATTTATTTATATTTTTCTATTTATTTACCTTTGCACTATTGGAGCATTTATAATAAATGCTTTTGAAGCCTGTCTTTTTATGGACCGTATTGCCGTTGTTCTTCCATAAATAGTCATCGTTATAAGGGAATTCTCTGGTTTCGATAATAGTAGTAATAGCCTGCATTTCCCTTCGGCGACGCTTTTGAGTACTTGAATTTGAGTCTTCATTTTCAACAGGAGCTGAGCCAGCAGCCAATGTGTCTCGATGTAGAGAAAAAGGTCTTTTAGGGGCAGGATGATCAGAACAACTAATGAACATAGATGAGTACCAGTGCATGCATAAGCAGGCAAAAACTTACTGTAACTGATGATGGATAGGCTTCAAGGAAGTTTGAATCTCAGGCAACTTGAGGTCTGAGCGAGGTGATGGGCTGAGAAGCATTTCAATGCTACTGCTGTTTTTTCTTTTGGTATGCAATGTGGTTGGGGGCTGATAATGTTCCAATCTGGGTAAAGCAGTGGGCTTAGTGGGTGGTGATGGCTTTTGAATGGGTGCCAGTGAGGTTTCTTTTTTTGATTGTTGCTTGTGCAAGACATAATCAATTTCTTTTCTGCGTAATTTAGCTTCTTCAGCACGTCTGCGGTCCTCTTCTACTTTACTAGAGAGGATTAACTCGAGCAATTCAGGTTGATCGCCGTAGGTCTGAACCACTTTTTCAAGATTAAGAAAAGCATGGCTGTCCATGGTGGTTAATGGTGGTGATTGCTGTTGTTGTTGAGGGCACCATGGGTTAGACAGTAATGTTGTGCTAGACTTGGAAATCATATTTGGACTCTTTGATGAAGTAGGTGGTGAAGGTGGATAATAATCAATATCTCTTTTTTGTTGATGATGTGAAGATAAAAGTAAAGAACGACTTGTAAGCATTTAAAGAGAAAAAAGAAAAGATAAAGGGAGAAAAAGAATAAAAAAGAGAAGAAGGGGGAGAGAGAAAAGAGAATATTTATATGTAAAAAGGGAGCAACGGGTCCTTTCATATGAGCGAGATAGACAAGGAATATTTTTTTCTTCCCGTCAATTACCTAAAACTTTTCTGTTTAAAGACAACGAATGGAACCTATCACATGGATTCTCATTGTATTCTATCTTCCCGCAAGGTAACATCATTCCTTCCCATTTGGCTTATATAAACCATCATTTGTATTCCCGACATTAGAAAGAAAAAAAGAGTAAACAACAGACTAAAAAAAATAGTGGGATGCATACTGACGTTTATTGAGTTTTTTTGTCACTTTTCCTTGGGATATGACATGATGTATTTTGGTAAAAAAAAAAACAAAAACAAAAAAACAATGGAGTTAGATCAACAGTCTGTATAAATTCTCACGGCGTCTTTTTTCTTACTTTGATTTTCCAGTATACAAGACTGTATAGAGAAAGACCTCCTTTTTTTTTTTACAACTGAAAAATGGTGATGTTTAAAATCCAAAATAAGCTTAGGGAATCTCATTTGTTCATTTCTTCCCGTTTTCATTACCCCGCTTTTTATTAATTTTTCAGTCTTTTTCCCATTTCCCACTTATTTGGCTGAGAATCAAATAAATGTCTTGCTGTGTAAAACATATGTATCTTAGAATTAGGGACCGAAGGGTCCTTAACTTTTCTGAGGTATTGGTCTATTTTTTTACTCCACACTATTTTTTTTTAAAAAAAATCTCCTCTTTATTCTTGATAGCCTTTTTTTTATATCTTTTTTCTTTTTCTTCTATGTATTTCTTTTTTTTCTCCTTGTGTAAATTTACACATACACATAGAGTTGCCCGAAAGTCTCCGTAGGGACTTGAGGGACTTGATTATGAAATTCATTCTATAGGCTGGGATAATACTTACAACTGTATCCCGATTTCACATCATACAGAAACCAAGTTTCACACTTTCCAATTCACTCTTGTTGCCGTGAGTAAAACAAAAACCCTCCTGTCCCTACTTTTTCCCAATGACCAAAAATAAAAATAATGACTATAAACAGAAAGGATTGTTTGTCTGTCTAGACATCCTATAAGTTACAAGATTTCTATATTGCTTTTATATAAGGCAAGTCAATCACAGCGAGAAATTTTTAGGGACCAAAGGGTTTTCTTTTGCTTCTGTTTAGAAATGCATGGCAATTTCGAGAACACAGACTTCAACATGAATTTTAAGCAAAAAAAAAAAGAAAAAAAACATGTCTTTTTTTTTTCATTTCACACAGTATGTCAAGTGAGAAAAACAAGGCATTAAGTAATTCTCACATGTCATCAGAATATTCTTTTTGATTCATGAATGCTAAAGGAAATGTTTAATGAGTTACACGCCCAAGTTGTGGAGATGGAAGCTTATTTTATGTTGTACGAATATCATATTCGATCGAAAGTATGTGTGTGTGAGAACCATAAACTCAATGTACATATTCATCATTGGTAACTTTAATATGAATGCCAATGAAGTTTCTTTTTGTTTTGTTTACATAGATAATTTTACTTGGTACTAGAGATCATTGGTCACTCTGTCTCTTTTGATCATATCCTCATCAAAGAAATCTATTGGATTCTTTTTTTACGGCCATTGCGTCTCAACAGAGATAGAAAAAAAACAAGCCCCTTATTTTAGCTATCATGACAAAACCTCCATTTCTAGAAAAAAAATAAGTTTATCTATCCAAAGGTTGTATTACCCACAAATAGTCTCTTTGTATTTTGTTTAAGAAAAAAATTACTGTATTGGATGAAGAAGAGCTCAGGCAAGGAAACCCCGGGTTTCAAGCACTACTTGAAGCAAAGGCGGTCTCCGCTAAAGATACCAATTTTGAAAGTAGAAGTTTCTATTACAAACACAAGCTTACTGCTCTCCAAAAAGATAATGCGTTAGTAGTTGAATCAGAAAGAAGATCGTTGAACCAAAGCTTTATCAATAAAAGAACTAAATATAAAATTTGAGGAAGCATGTCGTTGTCTACAAGAAAGCAAAAATGTGGTGAGAGGTTTACATTAAAATTCAAGGATAAGGCTATGGGATACAAAGAGGATTACAGATCGTATCTGCTCATAGGAGCGTACATGGCTAGATCCAAGGGCAAAGAAGAAAAAAAAACAACAGTGATCTATAAGACAAGGAAAAGGCAGTACGCTAATAAACCTTTGATCAATTAATAATGATGTTTGGCGATCGGGGCATGGGTGTTGGCTCAAGAGCCAAAAAACACCTGCGATATGTTGGTATTTGTAAGCAAGACATTCATGCTTATTATACATCTTGGGCTGGTGTCTTCTGTTTCGAGAAATACTAATATCCCAAGCAATTAATCAAAACCAAGTACTCTATTAGTCTCAATAAATAAGTATCCATTGTATCCAAGTAAACATGGATCTATTCTGCCTCCAAAAGAGTGATTCTAATTCATTGTCTTGTTTAGATTAATTCTTCTAGTTTTAATTGAATACAGCGATGATTTGTAGTGCATTACAATGTTTCTTTGCTCGAGCCTAACAAACACTATAAGATTTATTAGCAAAGCTCTTGATTGAAATGCCTAGTTTTGTTAAAGCAATGAACTATTAATAAAACATAGAGAAAAGTGCTTGGATTCTTTTTCTTTTACAATCAAGTATAATTCAAAGCAGAAAAAAAAGCACAACGTAAAACTTTTGGAGGCTCCTAACAATTCTTGTCTATTTCCTCGAGATATGCAGCTCTTCATTAGTGGGATCTCCGTTTTAAAGATAGCTCAAATACCTTATATTTGACATACGAGCAACAAAGTACATTCCCTTCAGAGCAAAAAGGAAGCATAAATCTTCAAATCTATTTGTCCCAGTAACATCAACCTAATAAGCACATCCTACTGTAAAATAATGGATCCTCTGGAAATCTAAGCCACTGTCTTACAAGCATGAAAGTAAACTTGTACTTTTTTTTTTCTTTTTCTCTTTATCACGTTTACTATGGGGAAGCAAAGACAAAAGAAAAAGACATCGAGAAGAAGAATGAACCCTATTCAAAGAAAAGGAATAGAGGCTGGTGTTAGCCAAGCTAGTTCAACAATACCTACACCAGAACAAGTAATACCTGTTGTTGATCGAGTAAGTTGATTGAGTTACAAAGCACAAAGGCAACTCACTACAAAAAAAAAAGCTTTCTTGTGATAACCCAACAGAAAGAGCCTGGGCAGCAGCTTGTATTTCAAACCTTGTTATTTCAAACGCACAAACAAGAAAGATCTTGCTTACCAAAGGTATTGTTCCAACATTGATTCAGAGGCTTGGTGATAACCAACAAGAGGTTCGGGATGAATCACTCGGTGCTTTAAGGTAAACGAAAGAGACACAAGAAGTGAACTTAATGGGCTTGATAGAAACCTCGTGTCTGTGGATAATACAATAGCGAAAGAATATTATTCTCGAAATATCATGGAACCTTTGTCCATGTTACTTCCACAAGTAAAATATATCCATTGAATGAAGCATACATTGACATCATTAGATTGCGAATACGATCAACTCCATAGTGCAAAAGGAACCTATTCAAGATGAAGCAGATCAAAACAGAAGAACAACAATTTGGGATGTAGCAGAGAATTTCATTTACATTATTTGGTGCATTAGGTAAACAACAGAATGGTACAAAACCAAGACTGATTGTGCTGTATGTAGTGAAGCATCTGATAAGTATATCAAAGCTATTAACAGAATGAACCTTGTATCTTTTTTGACATCATTTTTATTAAACAATGGCCATTGTCCATCTCGAGTGGTGATTGCAGCAGGTAATTCAATGATTGTATTATTTCACTCATTAAAAAAAAAAAAAAAAACTAGGTCAATGTTTGACTACTCTGACTGATGATAACAAGGATTTGTATATTGAATTCGAAAACCATCCCGAATATACGCAATCTTTATTAAGCATTGTCAAGAATGAGAATGAAAATATCCTTGTTCAAGTATTAGCTTGTGGTAAGAGAGATGACTTGTAAAAGAATGCCATTGACAGGTTTTTAGCTATTCTGACCAATGTGCGTGATGTAGTGCGATTGTCTACTTCATGGGATGATGAGGGCGATACTGCTAGTGAACTCAACAAAATTTTGGTTCCTGTGCTTATGAAAGCATTAGACTATGATATTCAGGAAGCTGCAGCACATACTATTACAGCTGTTCAGAGTGGAGTAAAGTATATGCTGTTGTTTTGACACTCTATTGACACTTCTTGTTAGCGTATGCATCTCCACAAAGAAACGTCTGATATTACACCTAAGCCAAAGCAACCATTAACCAATGAAGAAATCTTTGTACAAGGCGTAGAAGACAAACTGTCTATTATTCAATTAGCACTTGAATTATTAGCAGACATATGTGTTCAGGATGATGAATCAGAAGGTAAAAGAAAAAAAAAAGAAGAATGAATAGATAAAATGATGTTATATTAACATATTAGAAAAAGAGGACGGTTATCAAGATGAGGCTATGATGGATGATGATGATGGTGAACCAAAAGAACAAGAAGATGAAGAAGATGAAGAAGATGAAGAAGAAAACACTGGGCTGTTTGCTGATAAACCTGTTGTGGACGAAGCATTTATTCAAGCAAATCCTGTCTTACATGCTTATATATACCAAATATTTCCACACTTAATCCGACTCTCGACTACAACTCCAATTTCATACCAACAGACTTCATTAGCCCCTACTGTCTCACAAAACATTGTGTTGACTCACCAACGTACATTAGAGTGTTTAAATAACTTTTTGCTTGCCATGAATGACATTCCTGGTAAATACTGGTTCAAGACACACAGGACAGATGCTGTGCAACTATGGAGATGGCTGTTTACTATTGCAGATCAAGTGGCTAATAGTAATCCAGAAGAATGGGCAAGAAATGCTATTTTGGAAGCAGTGATAGGCTGTTTATGGGCTCTAGGAAGAGGACTTGAGCAAGATATTGTAAATAATCTATTGAAACAATTTTTTATTCTAATCTTGTATTAGCCATTGGAACCTACAGATGTGGGGGCTTTATGTGGAACATACGAAATGATCCCACTAGAGACAATGCGTGTCAAGATAGTAGGCTGCTTGGGTCCTATTGCAATGCGCAAAAATGATATAGAAACAAACAAGGTAAATAACAAAATAGGATTGATAAAATGATTGATATTTCAAATAGGTTATTGGTGTGTTTGTCATGAAATTGTTATCAGAAAAGAAATACAGTAGTCCAGCAGTGATAGTTGAAGCACTAAATCTAGTGTATGATGTCTATAGTGATTGTGCATTTGACTATGATTATCCAGTCTTTATTCAAGGTGACTTCTTGAACGCGTTGAGACAGGCTGTTTCTTCTGTTCGATCTATGGTAAAGTGTTAGGTTGTATCTGCTTGTTATTCACTTCTGATTGTTTTTTTAGGTCAAAGCAATTGATCGTAGAAGAGACTTTGATTTAAGAATGAGAGCAGATGAAGCACTTGAGAATCTAAATGCATTTATCAAGTATAAAAAGAGCGAACAAAATAGACGAAAATAATAAAAAGTTTCATACTATGAATTATCAATTTAACTACTCATTCCATAAAGCATTTCATTTACACATGGCTTTTGATGATACAGCTGTAGTCTGTTTGGTTCCTTTTTTTTTTAAAAGAGGCTTTGGTCTCGAAACAAGAATAAATCAATGACTCGGCGATACAAATGTTGTGTAATATAACATTGGTGCCACAAGCTGGACTGCTCAATTGATTTGAAATACAAACACCTTTTTATTCGAATCATTATAAAATCACAATATTTTTTTTAGGGCACATAAGTAAACCAGTTAAATTGTTTCCGAGGTATACTAGACCTGTGCTTCTTATTTTAAGATTTACTTTTCTCTTTTGTTTATCCTTTTTTTTTTTTTGTAGCAGTTCTTTGACAAAAGAGTTATTTAAGGGTGGAAGGGTTTAAGGGTTTTCTCGATCTGTGCTCTTCTAAGTGTCAGATAACGTAATGACTTGTATGTATAAACAAGTCTCGTGGGAATAGGCTTGATCTTGAAACCTTTCAAATTAATACTTTTGTGAAACTGGAAGAAAGAGAGGGTCGCGCGCGCACTGTAATTTTTTTTATAAATTGAGTTTCGGTGTCTTGATATTCCAAATAAAAAACAAAAAAGGTTTATATTTTCTTCTAATTTACAATTTTTTTCTTTTTTTCTTACTTTTCCTTCTCCATTCTTTATTTTTAATTCAAAAGCCAAAAAAAAAAAGAAAAGAAATAATAAAGATATAAGATGGGATTCCGTTTACCTTTTCGTTATAGTGATCCCAATTTCCAAGTCTTCTTGGTTGGTTTCATTTGTTTTTGCTGTCCTGGTATGTTCAATGCCTTGAATGGTATGGGTGGTGCTGGTCAAGCTGATCCCAAGACAACAAATGATGCCAATACTGCTCTTGCGGTCACTTTCACTCTCTGTTCTTTAATTGGTGCTCCTGTGTAAGCAAAACTGGTTGACATGTCATACAGTGTATTAACATATACATTGATAAAATAGATTCAACATTTTCGGTCATCGTATTCTTATCCCTGCTGCTCTCACCTACGTTCTTTACGTTGGTTCTTACCTTACACCTAATGCACCATTCACCATTGCTACCGGTGCCATTCTTGGTATTGGTGCCGGTTTCTTGTGGACTGCCCAAGCTGGTATCATGATGTCTTATCCCGATGAAAAAGATAAGGGTAAAGCCTTCTCTATCTTCTGGATGGTTTTCAACTTGGGTGCTACTGTCGGTGCTGCTATTCCTCTTGGTAACAACTGGAGCAATACTGGTGCCAACACTGTCAAGATCGGTACTTACATTGGTTTCATGTGTATCATGGCTTTCGGTGCCTTCTTGTCACTTGTTCTCTTGCCTCCTTCGAAGGTCATTCGTGCCAATGGTTCTCCTGTCTCTCTTCACAAGTTCTCCAACTGGAAGCGTGAAATTTACGAAATCCTGCGTATGTTTGGTGACTGGAAGATGCTTTGTTTGATTCCTCTTTTCTTTGGATCCAACTGGTTCTACACATACCAATTTAACGTCTACAATGGTGGTGGTTTCTTCACTCTCCGTGCTCGTTCTTTAAACAACTTGTTGTACTGGCTTTGTCAAATTTTCGGTGCTGGTATCTTTGGTTGGCTTCTCGATTGGAGCACCCTCGGTAACCGTAAGACTCGTGCTTTTATCGGTAACACCATTGTTCTTGTCGCTCTTGTTGCTGCTTGGGTCGGCTGTATCTTTGTTCAACAAAAGTTCACTTATGAAAGCGTAAAGGAAGCTGATTTCGTTGAAGTTGATATCTTCTCTAATGGCTATGCTGGTTACATTATTCTCTACGCTATCTTTGGTTTTGTTGATGCCATCTACCAAGGTTTCATTTACTGGTTGCTTGGTACAATGACCAACGATACCGAACGTGCTGCTCGTTATGGTGGTTTCTACAAGACAGTTCAAAATGCTGCTGCTGCCATTGCTGCTCAAGTCGATGCTATCCACGCTCCTTTCATGACTCAACTTTATATTAACCTTGCCATTGAAGGTGTTGGTTTGCTTTTGGCTTATGTTGTCTGTTTCCGTGTCTCCGATGTCACTGTGGAATGCATTGATAACTTGATGGACGGCCATGCCAATGAAGTTATGGTTGGTGGTCAAATCGAATCCATTGAAAACAGTAGCCACATGAAGCTTGAACATGACCAAGAAAAGGCTGATTATGAACTCTCCACTACTTCTTCTACTCATTAAAAACTATAATTCCCTATTCTCATCTTGCAAAACGTATAATTCTAATATAACTTAATACCATTTACAATATATATATATAAAGTACTCTCTATTTTTGTCAGTTTTGATCTCTCAGTGTTGCACAATGTAAGATAAAAGAACTGAGTTAATAGTAATTGAATCCCGTCTGATTTAAGGCTCAATTTTTAGGTTTTCCGAGGTATTTATTGTACGTCGATAATAATGATAATGAAAAGAGTTCAAATTAGATTGATGCAAGAAGAAACGGAGTACTATAATCATGCTAAAAAGCTTCGCAAAATAAAGATAAAATAGAAATGTTTTTTCTTTTTAGTATGTTGTTAGACACAAGGCACGTTTTTTTTTCTTCTTCGTGTTCATCTTTTTATCAGGCCAAATATATCGGGTAATTGCCATTTGTATTTTGTTACACTTTAATATCACTTTTTATTACTAAAATCAACAAGTACGGAATGATAAGATATGTTGTAAATAGATCAAGAAAGAAACCAAGTTTTTTTTTATGTACGCAAAGGCCAGGTTAGGAATAGCGGCCAAAGAATTCAATGGAACATGCTTGTTTGCAAACTTAGCATTGAGGTGTAGCTATCAGTAATATTTGATCTTTCTCGTTCTAATAGTGCACTTGTTTGGGAAACGTGACTTTCTAAATTTATGAAGAGTCTATTTTCATTCATTCAATTTTTTTTAAATGAATTTCCTTAGGTTAGGCAAGACTCTCTCTTTTTTTTTTCTGGAGAAAGAAAAAGACGGATAACATGCTGCATGTTGCTCAAATTCATTTTGGGAAACTGCAGGTACAGAAGCAGTAATGGTAATTGCATCTCGGAATGACACTTGGAATTGGAGTATGAACTTTTAAATAAGCGCCGACAATTGGGTACATGCAGACCTTCTTTTTTACAATGACCATTCAAGATGACATGATTTTTTTGCTTGTGAAAGGCGGATCCTCAATTAACTGCATTAGCTCCAAAATTTTCAACAAAGATTTGATTATACAGTAAACAAAAGAGTTGGGCGGAAAGTATATAACTTTCCCCATCCGTGCGCATTTCACTATGGAGCCATTATTGCATTCTACAGTCTTGATTATTCATCTTTCTTCTATTTATCATGTACTTTAGATATAAAAAGTTTTGCTGCATGAATTCAATATAATTAATAAGTTTCTTTTTATGATCATGCAATAACGCTCGGATCGCCTTTTATAGTACTTTTATGCACAAAAAATAAAATAAAAACACTATGATCAAATTACGTGCTACGTCAAAATAAGAACATAGATGTTTCTTTTTTATCAACAATTCATCCTAAGATTGGCTTTGATCTTATCTCGCCCAACATGTGCACCTCTCTATCCGATGTTATATTCATTTTAAATCGCATTTGACGTTTATGTTACTAGATCAGAACTGAGCCCCTTTTGTTTAAAACCGCGTTACCTTTTTTCAAGTGCTAAATATTTTCTTCAAAAGCTTGGATTGACATAGTCCTTTTTTATGGTGGAGTATATAGAAATACCAGAAAGACGACCAGGGTGCTTGAGGCAATGATGACTAACTTTTCTTATAGAAACTGTCAGTTTTGAGTATTTAGCAATTGCTACTTCAGTATTATTTCGCTCTTTGAATTGCTTTTGATTGTCTATAGGATACCAATTTATCCTTCCAAAGGCCATGGACAGGGCTCAAGCAGATGTCGTTCCCCTCTTCAACACATTGTGCCTACTTTTTGTTCTTTGGGTGGTTGTACATGTCATATGTTGAAGCTTAGATGTGTAGTTTGCACTCCACTTGTGTAAATGAAAGGTCCGTTCCTGATGATGATATTGGTCAGACTTTTTATGTTTATCTTCACTGGCAAATGCCTTAGAGTCGCAAAGATTAGCTTGAATTCTTTTTGTGTTTGCATCATGATCATAATAACTTGCTGAATTCATTAATTTTTTTTACGCAAGATTCAAATTCTTCGACTGTTTCTTAAAAACGGATAGTGTACAGTGCTTATCCAAGTTGTTCACCATATGCTATCTGCAAAAAAGCTTTTCATTACTACGAAACTGTTTGTCCAGCTGGTTTGTCATGGCGGTACGTTTGTCTGTAGCAAACGTTGTTTTAGCAGAAATGCCATTGATTATTTCATTTAACTTTTCAAGAAACCAGCAGTAGACCCCTCCTTTCTCTTCTAAGACCCAAACAAAGCAAAGAGGAAATGTCTTGAGCTTGGTTCTTCCAACATGGCTCACTCCATATGCGGAAATCAAAGGTATCTTCAAATTGTTTGTACCGTAAGCTGCATCAATTACAATAACTTTAAGAAATTTAATAGCTCTTTAAATCATGATGCCTTTGGTTAAAAAAATGTTATTCAAGTAGTTTTCATTGAAGCCTACTGCAATCTCAAACTTTCTACTTTCTATTAGGGCAACCAAGGTAGTTCCTTTTGAATGAGGAACCTTATACCAGGTCAAATTATTGTCTTTGATACTAAGGTACTTTGGATTGTTCAAATCATGAACAGTAGCTTTATTGTAGTTGCGATGAAAGCCAATTAAGCTTTGGATAGCTTTGGAGGCTGTTTTTTTGCTGAAAACCATTTGCTATTTTCTACTCATCTTTAGCACTCAGGTTGTTCTTACGACCTATAATTGTGCTGAGTAAATCAACTTCATCCAACCCATGATTATACATGTGCTCTTGTTAATTTTGATACGAAAGAAGCATGAAACAGTTCCTTTTTTTGAAGGTAAATCTAATTTAAAGGGACAGTTGGTCTTACAAGATGAGGCAATTCTCTTAAGAGAAGGATCAACGTTACGAGTGTCTCTATAAACTCTGCCCTTCCTACGTTGGCGTCTGATTTCAAGATAGTGAGAACAAAATTATTTCGAGTTGCGTACTCGGAAGAGTATTAAAGTTGTTCTATTGATATTTAAACGAATTGAAGGAGTATACAACCTTAACCAATTTGTCTTTTTTTGAGTAAGGGTTCATGTTGATGTAAATAAACAAAATTTATAATTCGTAAATGTTTGTTCTTTGTTGACTTGGCTTATTTCATTTTTCCATTACTTGGGACCATTTATTTTGTACAAAAAGGTAATTACTTTAAAAGGTGATGTCGAAAGCGAATACACCTTGAGAGCACCCAATTAGTAGTTAATAATAATAATAATAATAAAGAAGCTTCTAATAGCGGGAATTTGAACTGCTTGTCAACTTGGAAATGGTGAATACACCTAGGATAACCACACCTAAAAAGGTAATTGCAGCAGGAAGTAACATGTCTTGAGGAATAGGTAAGTTGTATTCTGCTAAAATATCTCTTTTTTTACTGGCAGATAATCTTTTTTTCTTATGTTTTACGGTTTGTTCTTCTTCTTCACTTTCTTCTTGCTCTGTATCATCACTACTGTCATCGTTCACTAGACTAGGGGTTTGTTGTTTGGGAACCGGAGAGACGGGTGAAGAAACGGGTTCCAGCAACTGTCCTAATGTGGTAGGTTGACTAGGTGGCATATTTGCCATGGCCTGCATTGAATTTGCCAATTCTTCCTTCTTGTGCTGCTGTTCTGCTGCTTCGGCCAATGCATCATGTACAAATAGACGAACACGATCCAGCCCAGACCTACGGGCAATCTGCACAGCATCTGCCAAATCAGAATCACATGTCATCAAGACTTGGTCGTTCTCATCATCCAAATACGCTACTGTCAACCAATCGTCGTTTGATCCGTGGACTGCGACATAAGATTGTGAGATCGACAAGTGCTCCGTCATAATCTTTTGTTGAATCATCTCTAACAAGCCTTGGAAATCATTTATGTCATGACGAAAACGATGCGTTTTGTTGCCATAGTTGAATTTGAATGAAAAAGTGTTGTTGATATGGGAAGATACAGTCGAATGAACATCGTCATTATTATGAGAGACTGAATCAGCAGGCGTGAGTTCAGCAGCATAACCTAAGCCAGTGAAGGTAGGTGCATGGCCTGGCATAGGAGATGTGCGGCTCTGTTCATACTGGGGAGAAAGAGGCAGTTGAAACATATGGGAGTTGGCTGCTTGTGAAAGGGAATCAGAAATGGCTGATTCGGTCTCGGCTTGATCAGCAGCCGTAATGCTGCTCCAAAATTTATTGTCGCCTTGATTTCCTTCAATGCTATTGATCTATAGTTTTGTAAGTCCGTTGTTCATTCATTGTGTTTCTTACTTGTTCTAACGTAGCATAAGTAAGGCGAAGGACATCAATCAAGCCCACAATATTTCTATCTTCATCCAAAACTGGCAAATTTAGGTAATGACCATCTGCTGATAATTACTAAAAAAAGTCGCACGATTGTTTTTGATCTTACCATGCATTTTTTTTAAAGCGTCTAAAATACTTGTGGAAGGTAAAGCAGTATCAGGATGAGGTGTCATCACACGGACCACTGAGCAACTATCAGGTGCTAAGCCAGCAGCAATGACACGTAGAACAATATCTTTAGACTATTGAAGAGAAATCAATACCTACAATAGGGTTCAACCCATTTAATTACTTACCGTGAAAATACCAGCTAGACCTCCATGGTCCATCACAAGAACAGCTGTTGTATGATGTTCTTTCATTAGCTTAGCAACTTCACGAATTTGTGCTTTAACAGCCACCTGAACAGGGCCTTGGTGATCCAGCACCGTCGTTAAATCAGGACAAGACATTTTATCACGCAATGCTTCCATGTATTGCACGAATTGAACGGGACTATTTGCCCATTCACGCTCTACACCTTCCAATGCATCATATAATTTACGTGAAGATCCATAGGCTTTTTCCATCTTGTTTAATGCTTCGTAAATACATTTTGTGATATCCAGTAGGCCAAAAATGTTTCCTTCTTCGTTACATACAGGCTAAACAAGTGTAAGTAATACTATCGCATGATTGCAATATTTACCAAATGACGGAACCCACGAGACACCATAAGATTCAAAGCATCTTGAGCAGAAGTGTCTGCAGTGACACACATTGGGTTCTTGGTCATAATATCAGCTACAATGGTTGCTCTATGTTGTATGTTGTCAGTCGTTGGATTTTAAATAAGATTGCATTTTACCTTGCATCTAAATTATCGGCTACAACACGATATGCCAAGTCTTTTGCCTAACATGTATTTAGTTTCAAGGGGATAAAGCAACAGACTTACTGTAAAAATACCACTCAAGTGGTCTTCATCATCCACAACCAATACACAATCACTTCTTTTAGCAGCCATTAATTGAGCAGCTTCAATGACCAAGATAGTCTCTTTGACAGTGAGTGCCTGAGCTGGTCGGAGAGCAGAAACGGTGCCTGCAATCTTTTTTGTCTGCCTTATACGAGTTGAGCCACCTCTCTTTTTAGATAATTCTTGCTCGATTTTTTTACGAATAGCCTAATATCACATGAGAATTTAACATTTAGGTAAAATAATTTTACTTCATCTTTTTTAGACTGCCGTTGTCTACTTGTAACAGATAACATATCAGATTCAGGAGATTGTCCAACTGAGGCAAGTAAATTTGAACTTGTAGAATTAAGTGGTCTACCAGGTTTATTCTTATTAGAAGATACAGTAGACATGGTATTAAAAACAAAACAAAGAAGAAAAAGAAAGAATAAAAAAAAGGGGGGAAATATATCTATTTTTCTTGTTTGTGATACACTTTTTTTTTATCTTCCCCCCCTTCATTTTAACAATAGCATGTTAAATATCCGAAAGTACAGTCGATTGGCCCATCTTATTCCTTTTTCTCCCGACATAAAAAGACACTTTACCTTATAATCAGGCTATAAAGAAGCGTAAGAAAAAGAAAAGATAAAGAAAGGAAGAAGGAGGGATGATGGTATCAGGTGTACTTGTTTACAAAAACAGCAGTGTGACTCGCATCATGCCTTTTTTCACACATCTTTTTTTTTCTGCTATTGTTATTGTGTGTGAATCTCTCTTTTCTTTTTCTTTTTTTTTCTCTTCGTAGCAAATTTCATACTTGAACATCATTTAGCTTATTATAACAAGCTATGGGGCATACTTGTTCCAAAATAAAAGTAGTCCATTCTCCTTCTGCAGGTTTAGTAGACTACGGTTACCTTAGTCCTCAAGGTATTGATCATAATGTAGATTATGATATGGGAATTGTACGCAGCTTGATTCGTAAAGGATATCTGGCACCTTTTTATGAAGGTAGATTGAATTATATCAGAATGACGACTTATGCAAATTAATAGGATTGACAGAACCTTTAAAACAACAAGGTTTGATGTACGATACCGAATGTCCCATTTGCTTTTTGGCAAGTAGCATCCTGATTGAGTGTTTGTTTGTTGACTGTTATTGAATAGTATTATCCATCAAAAATGAATAGGACAAGGTGTTGTGATAAATCAATCTGCACAGAGTGCTTTTTACAACTCAGGCGATCTTCATTTTCTCCGCTTGTACCTGCTGTCTGCCCTTTTTGTGTACAACCTAATCTTGGTGTACTTTATATTCCTCCTGTGTGGAGTAGATATCATTTAGGTTTCAAAAAAAGAAGATCTGATTTAATAACAGAAAACGATACCAAAAATATCAAAAGAAGAACATGGAGGCTGGAACCCAATGATCCTGATGTTGTATTAGTTGGTATGCATTTTTATCGTATTTTACTTATTTTGGCTTATTTGTTGTTTGTTATAGACACAGTAAGACCTAAATGGCAAGACGGCATACTACAAGAAAGATACTCTTCGAATTTTGGAAGTACGCGAAGAAGAAGACTTCAACTTGCTCATAATGAACACATAAGACGCCCAAGTAATTCTACCATGTTTGATACCTTTGCTCATATGGACCTTGAAGATGTTTTTGTGATGGAAGCTATTCGAATCTCCTTGGTGAATCAAGATAATCAAACTAACCATCATTAACTCTTATTTATTGACTTGTACTATATATTTTTATTGCCTAATAAACATTACTGAACTCTTTTTGAGTTTGAACTTTAATTGACATGTCAGGGCTGCAATATGCATAAATGCGATTCAATTTCCGCAACTAGATATATTCTTTTCCATCAAGCTAATGTTTATTCATCCTTTTTTTTTGTGTCTTATTTTTGAAAGGAAAAAAAAATTGAGTTTTTTTGATTTTCTGAAACTTGTTGTGTGCTTTTCACTATTTGTATCTTTTCTTTAATCAAAACATTTGCTTGTATCTCAATTCAATGAATTTCATAAAACATATCATTGTTTTTTCTAGCAAACTTAGTAAAAAAATAATTTTAACTGTCACTTTGACATGAAAGCAATGTAGAAAAGGCAGGTACTTATGATTCATATAAAAATAAATCTTATTTTCTAGTTACTTTATGACTTTACATTTCAAACATTTGTATAACTACAGTACTTCTAGCTCGCAAAGAGCGCGAAAAAAAGAAAAATGGAGCAAGGCACGAGTTTAGTGTTGAGAAAGATAGGCCATCTTTATTATCATGGAAAGTAGAAAGCATGACAAATGGAGACATGGTATTGTTTCTTCAAACTTATCTTTGGTTGCATCCTTGCGACAGCCACAGAGACATTCCCTCAGTACACGTCATTGGTTTATATTATGTCCCAGCGTTTCTTTTCGGGAAACCTCTGCCATGCTATCATCAGTTTCATCCATAGCTTCTTTTCTAAAAAAAAAAGAGTTTTATTGATATAGTTATAATACAAGTAATGACAAAAATGGAAAAAGTTACTCTTTAAACCAAACCAGAAAGAGAGAGGATTTGTGGCGCCGCGTATATCCTTCGAGAAACTTTATCATTGCATTTTATTATTTGCTTCATTTTATTTCATGCAAGAGCGTATTTCATAAAGTGCCTGTACACTACAGATAGCGAGTAACTAACATGATGTTACTCGCATCATCAAACAAATACCATTGACACACAATCGTAACGGAAGAAAGTCGGATTTCCTCCGGATTAAAAAGCGATTTAACTTTATTTGTATTTCTTTGAAATGTTACATGTATCACATTAAGGTTGAAACAATCAACTATCTCGATTTTTTTTAAAGAAAGAGAAATTACGGAAAATTTAGAAATAAGTGTGTGTGTGTATAATATGGTATAAATGGTAAAAAAAAAAAATGATAAAGAGGACATATACACTATAGAAAAATAACCGCAGCTATTAATAATATAGGTGGAGATTTGTCTATAAGGGAATCATACATAGAATAAGGGAAGTTTGACTATAAAATATTACATCGACGACGTCTTTTAAATAATCTTCTAGGCTTGACTGCAACTTGTGCTGCAAGTCGAATAACATCTTTTACATTCGTATTCATTTTGGCACTACATTCACCATATTTAGCACCTATTTCTTTTGCTAATTTAAGACCCTAAATAGATGAGATGAGTATACAAGTACGCTTTGCGTCTGTATGTAGGTATGTATGTATGTGTACCTGCTGATGACTGACAGTCATTCTTGAGTCCGAACGTAAATCGATTTTAAGCCCCACCAAAACTAATGACACATTGTTTCCACAGTAATGTTTTATTTCAGGCAACCACTGAAAAAAAGACACATGAGCAAAAAAAAAAAATAATAATAACAGAATATGTATATGCGTGATGTTTACCTTGTCCCTGACATTTTGAAACGAATTCATATTATCAACAGCATAACAAATCATGACTACATCTGTTTCGAAATAAGATAATGGTCGCAATCGATCATAGTCTTCTTGTCCTGCTGTATCCCATAAAGCAAGTTCAACTGATTTATTATTGTCTAACTCTACTCGAGAAATATAATTTTCAAAGACGGTAGGCAAATATCTCTAGCATTCTGTAAACATCCAATGTATACATGTTTGTGATATTTACCTCTGGAAATTTACCATTTTGATATACAATCAATAAACTCGTTTTTCCACAGGTACCATCACCCACAATCACAATTTTTTTACGTAATGTTGTACGTCCCATGTTTATTAAGAGAAAGATGAAAAAGAAAAAAGAAAAAAAAAGGGGGGAAAGAAAAAGTATCACCACCAATTTGACACTTTTTCCTGAAAGACGGAATTTTATTTGTTTATTTATTATTTTTGTAAAGTCCGCGCATCAAGGTATTGTTTGAACTTCTTGGGATGACATAGGTAAAGATCAACCAATCATCTCTAGTACTCCTTTATGATAATCGTCAAGTAAGAAAGGACAAAATACGTCACTTTCCTTCTGATCTGCACCTGACAAAGCAATTGACTTTGAATAATGAACCACATTGTTTCGATAGTTTGAGTAACACGCATGACCATTTGCTTGACGCATCATTTGGGCCCTTGAAGAAGAATAAACAACCTTCCAAATTAACATAGGTATGTGGCACTAAAAGCTTAAATTTAAGTGGATTCTGGACTCAAATATCCAAGAAAACAAAAGCAAACCATTGTCAGTGCATTTGAATTAAGTATCAATAAGAAATTCTCCTTTTCAGTGGAATAAATTTTAAAGTATTATTTGACTCAACCCATGATTTACTTATTAATTTTTTTTTTTTTTTTTTTTTTTTTTTTTTTTTTTTTTTTTGTATGATATGTTTATTTTATTATATTTAAGATATTATATATATATGTTGCATCTACACATCGCTGAGGGGTGTAGCGTGGGTAAAATTGAAGTCTAAAGGAACAAAGAGAGAGGGAAGAGTTCTATGACTTAAAAGTCATCTAGGAGCAGAGGATGAGTTTTTAGAGAGATCGATATATGACTAATAGCATCTGATATGATCCACTCAGAGTTGAAAAGGTGATTGTGAATGGTAAAGCGCCAGTAAGAAGACCAGGTTTGCCATTGACAGGTAGACAGGACGGTAAAAAGACGGTTGTTAAGCTTTATAAAGGAAGGACAGGAATGTAAACAGAGCAGGTGGTATACTATATCAGTTGAGAAATATAATCGCGGGTAAAAGTAGCTAAGGACTTCAACCCATATGGCCCATTTCCAAAGACAGTAAAGGAGAAAGTGCTCAAAAGAATCAAAATCAGAACATAAAGTGCAATTGCTGTCTTCACTTCGATTGATTCTGTGCATCTGCTGTCCCGTGGGTAATTTCCTGTTGATCACTCGGAACCATAAATTTCTTAAAGGCAAAGGCATGATAGAAGACCAGAGAAGACTCATCAGTCTAGGTGACAAGTGCAATCGAGCATTGGTAGCACTGGAATAGTTATGCATACTATAGGCCTTGGAAGTATATTGGCTCCAGAGGGGGAAGTCGCGCAATTGGGACACTAATGATTGAGCATTTTCTTCAATGTTAGCCTGTTTTACTTCGTTGTAAATATATGGAAGCAAAAAGGATTGTAGACGTGCAGAATGCCGAATCAAAACATCCTTGTATAATGACAGGCATAGGAGCGGGTAAGCAGTATATTCTGTGCAGACCTTCAGCCGAAGTCGTCTAATATTCTCGTTAAATTTGAAGAGAATCGAAGCAGGAAAATCGGTATGACGATAAAGCCAGTGACCAGAAGGCAAATCTGTAAACATCCTAATTAAAGGGAAGTGCAGCAGAGTTTTGATTGAAAATCAATGCCAAAGTGGTCAAAGGCCTGGAACATAACCGGCAAGATGGAAGTTTGATGACAAATGTCATGTTTCCTTAAGCTTGGAGAGAAAAAGGCCAACGTTGGAAAGGAAGAGCTGGTCGACATAAACAACAAACGGTGATTTAGGGCTCACTTCAGTAGTGTATTACCTTCGTCGCAGCTAAAAAGAGGAAAAAGCCATTTTCTTTGCAGGATCAAGTGTTGATGGGAAGGATTTCGTAGACCAACGCCACCCTGTAGTCGAGGTAGACACAGTTGATCAAACGAAACCTTGAGGAACTTTTTTTGCCAGACAAACTTGTAAATGAAACGTTGAGTTTGTTTCAGGAAGGCTTGTGTAGGGCCTAACAACCAAAGGCTGTACCATAGCTTAGATAAATCAGTGTATTTGATATCATTGCGCTTCCTTGAAGGGATAATTGGTATTGTGAAAATAATTGTATATATGCTCTTATTTTCTCCAGTAACATGTTCTGAAAAAAATATCTCTGTGCCTTAGTATAAGGCATATGAAAACTAAGGTACCACAGAGTATTTGTTGAAAACTTAGTGTAGTATGCCTCGACTTAATGTTGCCTTAACAAGGAAGACCGCAAAGTTACAGCATCACCACTCAAGGAGAAGGCTTCTGTCTTATACTGATTAAATATCGCATTAGAGACTTTTGCATAGTTATTCAGATGAACCTGTAGTCAAGCGAAGTCGTTTCAATCTTGGACAAATGCATAAATGTCGTCGGCATAGGCTAGGCATTTGATTTGTTGACTACTCGAAGCGTTAACAGAGATATATCCTTGGTATGACGGATCTTGAAGAATAGATAACAAGAGTAGTTCTAAAGCCAGAGTAAACAGTAGTGGAGAAAAAGGATCTCCTTGTCGAAGGCCTCATATCTGATTTACAGGATCAGTAGAGAATCCGTTCACATTGATGTGGACTGCATTGGCGAAGAAACAGCTCATGAATACTATCAGCCAGTGGAGCAGGAAAATGAAAAGCATGCAAAACCTTGATCAGATACTCGGCAAGTACACGATCGTAAGCCTTTTCTTGATCAAGTAGCAGACCAATACCAGAATGTTTCTGATATATTTGTTTCGCCATTTCCTTGCCAACGAACGCCAGATTTGATGATCTCAACTTGAGCAATTTCTTTTTATAGCTTGTGTATTCGACCATCTAAAGGCGGAATGAACTACAGTTTGACAGCTAAAGGCGGCTTGGTTCGTAGAATACGGTTCTAAGTGCCGTAGCGTCTGTTCTCTCTAACTGTTGTAACTGACTAGATATGACTTGATTACTTTCTTAGTTACCATCTTCACCTGCTCCCAGCGTTTTTGAGGTGAATCTTCATCTGTCTACTGATTTGTCAACTTATTGATGCGTTTCTCCAAGCGGATGCGAAGCTTCTTATGGATAGCAAAAGTTGGGTTTGCTCACCACATACCAGGCCCAGATTTTGACATACTTAAAACAAAATCAGATTGTAATAGATAGCAGTCTGACCAGATGGCTGGTAATGTAGTTATATTGGTGTGCGTCAATCTTTGTCGCATATATGCCCCAGCGAAAACATAATCAATGGTAGAGTAAATGAAGACATCTCTCGATTGTTTCTGAAGCGTAGGGTTATTTTCAAGATTGTTGATTGTCATAGCGTTTGTGAATGATTGTTCCAATAGAGCCCACTATGGCTGGCATGTAGCTCGAGGTAGTTTTGCAATTCTTAGATGAGAGTAGTTGAAGTCGCCTGAAATAATCAGTTGCTCAAGAGCGATAACACTTCTAAAATCATTCAGTATGTTGTGTAAACTACAGAAGAACGATCGGCGCTCTAAATGGCTCGAAGCAGGTGCATATAAGTTGAGAATATAGAAAGGAGCGTAGAATTAGTGAGGATGCTCTATTTTGTAGAGTTGAAAGCGGTCAGATGAAAAGGAATGTGAAGTGCCTATAGCTGAAATATTGAAGTTCGCAGATAAGCAAACAATTCTTACATAGGGGGTCCAAAAGGATTGACTCGGTTGAAAAAGAATGTCTAGAGCATCAATACGAGATTGCGTGTCTGTATTTGTTTCTTGAAAGCATATGATATCTAATTTTTGAAGTCGTAAATGCCGTATATAGTGTTTTTGTGTTTGTCGATTATTCGATTTCATTAAACTATGTGTATTTAGTGATCCATAGTGCAGTTTCATTTCTTTGGTCATGATAGTTATAAGAGTATCCTTATTGAAGATCTGCAGCTAATGCTGCAGAAGAGACCGTTTGTTACAGATGCATTAGTTGATTGCGAAGTTTGGAAAGTGTGTTTTGATTAAATTCATTAAAAGATTCTTCTGTGGATCTCTGTTGCAGAGTATGAATTTGCTGAATCAGGGCCATTTTCTGTCCCATCTGTACAGATAGTAATTCTGTAAGAGCCGTCATGGCATTGGCCTTAACGGCATCCACTTCCATTTTCATTACTTTTATGCTCCTCGACCTCACTATCACTATCGTGACCTTCACTGGAAATATAATCCATTCCTTCTTCGCCACTTTCTTCATCTTGAGACATCTCGTCGGCACTATCATCGTCTTTCATAATTGATGATTTGACATTCTTTGTAGCTCTAGTCAAAATAGTACGTACATCACTGGGAGCATGTTTTGACTTAAGTGCTTCGGCGGAAGAAGCCTTCTGAACTTCTTTGGATGCAGGCTGTGGCATTTCCTCAACAGACTGCTTCTTGTCAGCTGAAGTCTTACGCTTTTTTGAGGGACTAATCGGTGCTTTTCGAGGACACTCGAAAGACCGATGCCCAAGAAGATGACAATTGTAGCAAATTATCTTTGCTTTGGATTTCGCACACTCGAACTTGGTGTGTCCGATTTGGTGACAGTATCTGCACCAAGTGGGCATGTTGTTCCATGTGACATGAAATATTTCATCTTTATCTTCACACCATGGAATGTTAGCTGGGTTGACCCTCGACTGAGTGTCTTGGGACGCCCACCACTGTGTAACCTGCTCCCATAAAGAATCCTGTATTAGGCTCGGTTGAAATACCGACGTCAATAACTTGGCCGAAAGGAGATAAACTGACCTTTAGACCTTCCAGAACTTCGGATCTGGGTAACATTGATAGGTGAGACAGTTTGATATGGGTCACCATCCAACTGTCATCGGTGGCTTGGCACAGAATGATTCGCAGCTTAGATTCTTTGAATTCAACATCTTTTGTGTCAAGATCATTGACATCATGTAGAAATTCAACATAAATCTCGAGATATCGAGTTGGACCATCGTTGAGAAAAGAACTAGCATGAAATTTAGGGTGTCGGGCTTTGATCTCTTGCAGACACTGAAGTTTGGTGTATTGAGCTTTGACCTTGGTAATGCCAAGAAGAAAAGCATTCTTAGATTTAGATCCGTAAATTCTCGACTGTACTTCACTTAATGAAAAAGAGTCGTTGGGGTGAGGTTTAATGATGTCCTTGTGCATCAAGGACACTCGAGTCTTCGCAGCTACTACTTGAGCATACGATCGTTGTTTGCTAATGTTTTTAGGCTTGGCAGCTATTTCCAACTCCGCTACTCGAGAAAAGTGTTAAGAATCAGAAAGAGCCATGAGATTTACTTATTAGAGAACATGGGTTAAAGAATTCTTGGTCAGAGTATAAGTTACACGATAAAATATTGTCATACAATACTTTATATATTTTTTTTTCTCTGCTTTCTTTCTTTCTTTCCCCCCTCAAAGTGAAATGTTTTCTGATATTTCAAACAAAACATTTGATAGCTCTTCCCCGGATCTTTGGTCCTCATTGCCTGAAGGTCTTACACTAGAAAAAATACTACATAACCAGACACCTCCGCCCTTTAGTCTACAGGAGTTTTCAGACTATTTAAAATCAATTTACTGTATAGAAAATTTGTTATTTTATCAAGCAGTCAATCAATATCAGTCAAACTGCGATTTATATTTTAAAAACACAAACTTTGATTTCTCTGACCTTTCAGCACACCTTCTTGTACCTCAACAACAAGTACATTTTAGATTCATTAGACAACAGTTCCAACATATCCTTCAAAACTTTGTACAAATTGATGCCCCACATGAAATCAACATACCCTATGAAGTACGCCATCAACTACTTGACCTCCATCAGACGCAAAAACTCTATCATCCTGCTTTACTCCATCCTGCTTCCAATGCTGTTGTTGAACTGCTAAGGATCAATGCATTTATTCCTTTTGCCACTGATATCAGTCGGATAAAACCATTTAACTCTAAAAGAAAGAAAAGTGCGCCTTCACTCAAAATATTACCAGACACAGCAGAAGTATCCTTATTATCTCCAGGCTTCTTGAAAAAGATCACTACTCCTTTCAGAATGAGATCCTTTGATTCCCCTTCATTCACAAACAAATAAAAATAAAAACAAAAAATAAAATTTATTTACATTACATAGGCACTTGTTGTTCTACAGCTGTGTCCATGATGGATTTACCATCCCAATGCCGATCTACGTCTGCACCATACCATACTAACAATTCCTCATCCGCCTGAATTTCTTTTCTTGTCCAGCAAATGACTTGATTCACGACAACACCTTCTACAAAAGCCACTGTGGCATGCTTCCAATCTGTTTCATTCATAAAATGAAATGGACAGAATCGAGGACTGGATTCATCTGTGACTGGTTCTCCTTGATCATCTGTGGCATCAAGGACTGTTTTACGATACATGATGGAGTATTCAGATGAACGACCCACACGGTCCTTGAGAGAATCAAATTCGTCTTCTGTCATGGGCACACCGAAATAGAACCCGATAGGTACATTGAATGGGATTTTACGCTTAGCAAACAGACCATTGCCTGCACCTGGAATACAAGAAGGAGCAATATAGACAACGTCACGCCAATTGGTAGGGATATCAGACAGATCAAGTTGATCTAATGTATATTGAGGGACTTCTTCTTTTGGTCGGCTGTTGAGATCGACGTTACGAAGGGCTTTGGTTTCAATGGCTTGTTTTGTAAAACTGGGTGTTTGATCTTTTACTGCATTTTCTTTATCGTCCAGAGCTGCATGATCTGTTTCTTCTGTTTTGTTTGTTTGTTGCTCCACGGGTTGATCTTTCTTTTGGTTTTCCTTTTGGTCGACTTCTTTTGGATTGTTTTCTATGGATGTGATAGCGTCTGGTTTTGGCACACCAAAACAATACGGCCAGTCATGTTCAGCTAGTTTTTTACACCATTTCTGATATTCAGCAACTGCATGATTCACATCACCCGGCTCATAAGCCAATCTAAAATGCATGGATCGACTTCCTTCTGGCTTAAATGGAACAAAATATCGATCATTATTATAAGTCAAGATGGCGGAAGCAGAATTACCAGGCGTCTATTATTATTATTATTATTATTATTTTTTAGAATTATTAAAAAAAAAGGAACGCGTTTTTAATGGACGCGATTTTTTTTTTTTTTGTAACTTACGCGTCCACGAAAGACTTTAGGTAAAGAAAGTTCAGCACTGATCTTTTTATCGAGAGCTAAAGCAGCTTGAATTAGTTCTCGACGAGGAAGTGATTTTTCTGGATGTTGACGAAGAGCTAAAAAGAGCATATAGGATTGATTGTGCCAACGTGGTTGAGTGCTTGATCGAGAACGTTTAAAACCAACTCTATCATCGAGCTCATTGGATAATAGGCGACGTTTCACACGTCTAGTAGATTCAAATTGTGAATCAGTGGCTTCTTCTGATGAGTTGGCATCCACTTGTGTGAGTGTCATGAGTATATATATATATATAAAAAAAAGAAATAGAAAAGGCGCTTTCTTTTAATTTATAGGATGGATCAACACGTGACATGAGTGCTCTTTTCTTTCTTATCCCTTTTTTTTTCTTGACTATGTCAACAGCAACGTATTATTGTCACGATTGTGAAGCAAGAAGACTCGTAGACTGGACGAATATGGCTTCTTGTACAGAATGTGGCAGTACTTTACTAGACCAAGTAAATACAAATATAAATGTTTGTCATGTGTTGTTTATCATTGTATAGATACCTTTTGTAGACGAAGAAGAAGAGGATGTTTTCAGTGAAACGGAAAGCTTCTTTTTCTGTAAATGATTCAAATGGTATAATTATCCTATTTATGTATTAGATCAAACAAATATAGAAGAAGATGAAGAAGAAGAAGATGAAGAAGAAAGGTGTCTATTTGAATATTTGTCCTCTATTTATCAACAAACGCATATGGAGCACGAAGAAAGTACATCCTTCAGACAATTGATAGCGCAAGTAATTTTATATCAAAGTTGCTTTATTAAGTCTTGTAGTTCAATAGAAGACAGAAGAGAGTTCTTGAATCATTTGATGGATATGATGACTAACTCTGAGTAAGCAAAGAGTATCATATTTCCTATTTATTTGTCATAGAGACATCATTCGTAGTTTAAACAAAGTTCGTCTGGAAATTTCTGATCCAGGTACGAATCTCGATGATGTTCTTTATTTCATCATAGAAACGTAGGTGTGAATGAAGAGTGCAGTATTTGTCAAGAGATCTTTGGGAATTTATTGGATGTTACTGTCTTACCTTGTAAGCATAGATATCATACTGAATGCATTACACGTTGGTTACATTTGAACACTTCTTGCCCAATATGGTAAAAAAAAAAAAGAGTCTGTGTGTGTACACTGAACCTGTTTTTTTATTTATTTATCTATAAGCCGATATACTTTACAGCGCCAAGAAAGTTCATTAGAACAGTTAAACAGAGGTAACAAGTCATAGTGTCACACAACAGAACCAACTATATATATATATATATATATATATATATCGATAGATATTGATAATTTGTTTGCTCAAGACATTCCTACTTCTTTAGAAGATTCAATGGTCACTCCTTATTCAAGTATGAACTGGAGACAACAAACTCAAGAATCCCAAAGGACGGAAGACGAATAAACTTAAGCCGTTTTTTTCCTGTTGCATAAAAAGCCTAATCTGTTAAGCCCTGTAAAAATGCCTTGAAGATCGATCATTATAAATGATCAAGTAAGACATCTATGCTTATATAAAAAGGAACTCTTTTTTTTTAATATTCTTTTTCTTTCTTTGTCCAATGAAAGCCTTATCGTTGTTCTCTGTATTGTCTCTGACTGTTGCTAGTGTGTCTGCATTTGATAGAATTATAGCTTATGCTGATAGTTTTACTGATAATGGCAATGATTATCGTCACAGTCAATTCCCTCCCTCTCCTCCTAATTATCAAGGTCGGTTCAGTAATGGCCCCACTTGGCTTGAATATGTAGCTCAAAACTTGTCGGACTATACGGTCATAAACAATGGCTATGGTGGGGCTACAACAAACAACGGAGATGTCTATTCTCTCTTTAATGGTTTCACTGTACCGGGTCTTTTGCAACAGATTGAGACAATCGAAGTCAACGGTACAAGTGATGATCTGTACTTGATCTATATTGGCTACAATGACTTGAATTCCATTCTTAACCCTGACCAATACCAAGTTGTTAACAAGAATTATACGAAAGAAAAAGTAGCTGACAATGTGATCACTGGTGTCAAGAATTTGATCGAGAAATACAATGCTCAACAATTCTTGATCTTAAATGTGCCTCCTTTTGAATATTGGCCTGTCATTCCAGAGGATAACAAAGAATATGCTAAGCAGTTCATTCAAGACTATAATACACTGGTCAAACAAGCGCTGGAAGATGAAATTCAAGATGCTGAACTCACTATTTTAGATGACCACCGCTGGTTTCTTGGTCAATTGGAGAACCCTGAAAGACTTGGCCTCAGTATCACAAATGGTCCTTGTTCTTATGGTCTTGGAAATACTACTATTTGTGATGATCCTGAAACCCATTTCTTTTGGGATTCTTATCATCCCGAAGCAAAAGTGCATGAAGCTTTGGGTGCTTGGGCCACTGACCAAATGAAAGCATTGTACAATATATAAATTTATTATCTACCAATAAAGAACATTTGTAGGCTTATGTGGGGTATTTAAGGAAGGAGAGAAAGCATGTTGCATCATAGATGTAGGTGAAGAAACAAGAATAGGTTCTTGTTGTTGTTGTTGTTGTTGTTGTTGGTGTTGTTGTTGTTGTTGTCTATTGTTCATAAAACCAAATAATATACTTTGAGAAGGTGAATGAGGTATATCTGCAGACGTAGCAGAATTCGTTGAGGATTGTCTTTGGTGTTCTTGTGGTGTAGAAGTAAACATAAAAGAAGCAGCCTGTTGTTGTAATGTACTTGATGTATCTGAGGATAATAAATAAGATTCGACTTGTTGCTTTTCTTGTCGTTGGTTAGTTAGATTACCAAAATAAGCATCCCATTCGTGTGTATCTAAAGAAGTTGGCATGCCCCAAAATGCTGTTTCCAAAAGATCAAATTCTTGAGGTTGAGAATGTGGAATGATACCCGGTGCTTCAAATGGATCAAGTGTAGTCTTCATGTCAAAATAACCTTTTTCTTCTTTTGATGTGTTGTCCTGAACAGATTGCCTTACAGACGAGATATTGTGCATGTATATTTGTTGATGAGGAGGCCAGGAATAAGTCATGTCTTTGTCATCTGCTTGTTTAGGTAGTACAGTAGTGCTGAGGATAGGTGAGTTGGGTACAGCAATAGAAGGTGGAGGACTTGATTTGCTGATCTGTCTTGGTACATATTTGTCTCGTTCGAGTTTAATGTCACGCAATCCGGCCAATTCACCCAAAATATTACTGCATCTAGCTGCATTTAACCAAGTGTTCTCTAGTTCATCCAAGGCACGCATCACACGGTTCACATTCAGTTTAGCATCAAACGATCTTCCCGCGTCATCTGACGAAGCAAGTTTGATAAAGATGATACCAGCCGTAAACACATAGAACACTGAAAAGTTATACATGTACCTCAAGTGGTTTTCACTCAGCATAATATTGACAATGTCTAGTATAGAGGTGGCTGCTGATTCGCATATCTTGTAGGATGGTAGTGAGATAGGCAACTGCTTTTGTGTGGGTCCAGGGATAAATGAACGGTGCAGTAATATCATGGTGGTGTAGTACATCAAGTGAAGCTGACAAATAGGAGCAGGTGGATCAGGCCCTTTTTCGCCATTTTGTGTGTTGGGTGGCTGGTACTGTAAGGCTTCAGGCAGATGAGCGTGCCATTCGGTCAATTGCCGGTTGAGTGTGGTCAGGATATGATCAATGTGCTGAGGATCTGTTGTATGGTATTTAGCCTTAACATAATAAATATTCTTCAACACATGGCCTAGGATATCACACACTTTGATGGTTTCAATAAACACTTGCAAAAGACCTGCAGAAGGTCTAGATGAATCTTCTTTGGATCTGATTGGCTCGTCATCGTCAACAGACGGAAAAGGAACATCACAGTCGCGTTCTTCAAAGTTGGACGAACGACCATAGATAGCACTTGTGATACGGTCCACAACATAACAACACCAAAAGACACGTTTGCGGCGTTCCCGTTCTTCAGGCAGGATACTCCAATGGTCACAGTTGCGGTTCAAGCCTAAATCTTGAGCCATACGAAAAGCCATGCCACTATAAAGCCAGCCTCGAGCAGGTTTCATGGCACCCATCTGATGACTTGCCATGAGCAACAAGGCTTGAATGGTAGAGATACGAGGTGTATCATAGTATTCATCTAACAGACAACGCGCACGTTCAAAAAAGATATCGCCAGCTGTGTCAGGTGCATGAGGGTCAGATCGCACACGTTTATCGGGAGATACGCGAGAAGCAAGCGCATAAATGGCATTCAGCAACAAGGGCGATACAGGACTTGAAGGCGACTTGACGCATCCCAATTTGCGCTTATAGAACAATGGCAAGATAGGATAGAAATGAGTAAAATACAAGACAATCAAGTGTTCTGATAAATCCTTAGGTGGCAATTCAAGAGGATCAATGACATGGCGTTTTTCTGATCGGCTGTCATCCTCATCATAGGATTTGTGTTTATGACGATAACCAGAGAAATGGAAAGTGCCATTTTGATAAGTACGGCTATTGGACAAGAGATAGAAACCAGAAGATTTACCAAGGTAACGAACAAGGCCATTTTCATCCATGGTTAATGAGCCAACCAGTCCTTCTTGATGAGGAGAAGGTGATCCAATCGTACTTGTGTTGTCTAATTCAGAATGGCTGAGTGTGGGGCTATACAGGACAGAGATAGGTGAATCAATAGGGTCCTTCTTGGTCTGTCTACGTTTTTGTCTACGTTGAGGGCGAGTATTGATTTGTTCCCCTGTAGGTGTTTCTAAGGGTGCTTGAAGTTCCTGAAGGAGCTCTATTGTTCTTGGGTCATTTTCATTTGCTATGTCATGCAGAAACCCTTCTAGTTTATGCAGTCTATTTTCAATGGCTTCAATATAACCCTTAGGGGGACCTCTCTAACAAAATAAAATAAATATCAAATGAAATAGTCAATATGACTCACTTTTTTTGTTGTATCTTTATAAGAGCAAGCCAAGTGAAATGCTTTGCAGTTACCGCAGATGGGAGATTCACCATTACACTTTATCTTTTTCTTTCTACAGAGGTCACTAAAATAAATAAGCCCAGTGCATAAAAAAAAAAAAGATGTGTTATTACCATGCACGGCTTACTCTTTGCCTTTTATTTGCTGCTTCGTCACTACTTGTAGACATTTTTAAACTGAATAAGGAATAAAGAAAAAGAAAGAGAAAGAGAAAAAAGTATTTATACTCATACGCACGTCCAACAACAACAACAATAACAAAAAAAAAATAATTTCTACAAAAGAGGGATTTATTTTTTCTTTTAGGCCTGGGTTCATGACGTAGATGCACCACTTGGCACATGGCTGTTTAAGCTCATTTCCTTAATAGCTTAATAAAACCCTATTTGTCAATTCTTTGAAAAAAAAAAAAAAATAGAGCGCCTTCTTTTTGAACTGCCAAGACGACACATCTTGTGTTCACAACGTAAAACTATTTCTGGAGATGGCTGAGATAACGATTCTCTCTTTATATAAAGTATGCATAACCAATAAAATATCTCTATTGCTATCTATTTTAAGAATAATAAACACCATTGTGCTTGTTTAGAATGAATCCCTTGAGTTGTACATGGAGTGTATAATCCATTATTCAGCAATGAGAAAAAAAAAACTAAAAACTAAATAAAGACCATGTTATTCGCGCGCAATATAGTGTGTTGATGTGGTATGATTAGGTTTCTTTTGACGTGGTTGATAATGCCGTGGCATGATAACCACTTTGTTGAATCAGACTTATTAAACGACGAAGGCGTTTTAAATTTAACTATGTGTAGATAAGTAACCATTGTATATATAGCTGACTTACCCATGATGGTAGATAAATTTCAGGTTTTGTGTCTCTTGGCACAGGGACTTCAAATGGGTTCGAAGTATTCTCAATCGACACAGAATCCAATAACAACACGTCACTCTTATCTCCACTGACAACATGAGAAGCAACAGCCTTCAGGATCTCTGGTTTAATGGGGTTCTCATAATCTGCTGTATAGTATTGTGAAATCAACTTTTGAATTTGAGTGGGTGATAAGATCCAACAGACATCATAAATATTCTCAATGTCTTCCAAAGTGGCCTTTTTGAACTGAAGTAATTTGGTTGTCTGCATCAAGTGTTCTAGTTGCAATGCTCCTTCTGGAATATCATGACTCTTGCACCATTCTTCAATACGTGTAATGTTGTATTGGATTTGCATGGCACGCTTCCATGAACAAAAGTTTTTACGCATCAAGAGATCATTAAATGAAGTGACACCAATCAGCTTAAGAAGCTCTGTTAAGGCTTGTGTAGCCACAGATTGTTCAATATAGTAACACTTCATTGTACGCCAAACCTTGTTTAAAAAGTTCAAGAGGTCATCCATAGAGTAACTAGGTTGGGAAGAACCAATCAAGAGTTTGTTAAAGAATCGACCATTGTCACTCGTAATAAAACCAGGCAACGATTGACCCTCCACAAGGGCAGGAATCACCATCTTGCTCAAGTGTTTCTTGATTTCCTTCATCCAAGCATGGTAAATATTGTCTTCCAAACACTGCATTTCAAATTTGATTGTCTCCATTAGTTTGCTAAAGTCATGGCGACCCACAGTTTTGCGCTTATCTTGATAGAGCTCTTGATCGAATTCTACATGGGCAATACAGATCAAAGAAAGCAATTCATGTACATTGGTGAGCCAAAAAGTACAGGGTACAACAGCATCTTCATCCGTAAAACTAAGGAATTGCTTTTGAATTGTATCCATCACATTAAACAACAGTCGCTCTGATTCTTGAATATAACCTAAATGCCACATTTCATTCACGCAGACACTGATGGTATGAGCAGGGAACAGAATTTCCTTTTGAGAAGGAGGGTTTTGTAGAGTAGGCAAAGGCATCTTGACAGACTTGATAAGCCCATGAAGGATTTCTTCTTGTAATGACTCTTCATTACGCAAAAGAGTATGAATCTCATCTTCGGGACTTTCGTCAATCGCACCTGCAAGGCCTCCAGCTGTCTTGGCCCCCATAAGAGCACCAAAATGGTCAATGGAGGTGGGTCTAGGATTACTGCTAAGGTTTTCGGCATGACGGATAGTATCGAGAGAATTCTTGATGCGTTGATTGTCCATATCACCTGAGCTATTACGACGAGGTCGACGAGCAGCAGATGAAGCAAGTGGTGTAGGCGTGTCTGTGGTGGCGGTACTGGTTGCTTCAGAGCTATTAGTAGAGGTAGGATAAATACCATGAGGTGATCGACTACGATGACGCTCATGATCAAATACACGATTGGGTGAAGGTGAAAGGTTACGCATCCCAGGTGCGGGTGAGAGTGCACGTAAACCATGATTGGATCCTTGGCGACGAGGTGTATTCAGTGCTTGTGAAAGCTGTGCTTTCAATGCAGCTAATTGACTACGAAGCTCTGCTACTTCTGATTCATCGGTAGCATTCTTGTTGCGTTCGTCTGCTTCTTCTAAACTCTTGCGCAAAGATGCTGTCTCTTGTCTTTCTGTTTCGAGTTGTGTCTTGAGCAAAGTAAGTTCTTTTTCTTGAGTCTTGACTTTCTCAAGTGTAGTACGGTGTTCTGTTGACAATGTGTTGAATTCGGCCTGTAAAGTATCGTGCTGTTCCTGAGGTACAGTAGGTTCTTGTAATTGCTCATCTAAATGTTTAGCACGGCGCTCCATCTTTTCATACTTGTCCATCCAGTTCTTGATCTGTGCCTCTAGTTGAATAGAGCGATCTTGTGCCATCTTTTTTTCTTCTCGAATGGCAGTCAATGTCTGAGTGAGCTCAACCACTTTGTTTTCAAGGGCATAAGATACTTCTTTAAAGTGATTGACAGAGCGTGCTTCTGTGCGCAAGCCAAATAATTGCTTACGCGCCATATTTCGACGAATGCAAGATTGAATATGGATAATAAATTCACGTTGTGCCTTGTAGCTTTTGCGTGCAAACCAACCACGCACCAATTTCTGAATCACGATAGCAGCACTGTTTTCACGGAAAGCAACATGGTTGCGTCTCGCCAAACGCGATCGACAGGCTAATGAAGCCATGAGCCCAAACACGTATCATGCATCGTCCACTTACCTGTCTGTAACTTGAGAAGAAAGGCTTGCTTTTGAAGGAATTCTTTACGTGCCTTGTATCGACGCCAATGCTTCTGAATCACAATCGCAGCGTTTTCTTCACGAAGTGCTTGCATTTTAACCACAGCTGCTTTACGACGAGCAACACATTGGATCTGAACCGTTAGTTCCTTGGTGCGAACATATCTTGTACGATAAATAAAGCGCTTCATGTTCTTTTGGAGCATGATGGCACATTCATTGAAACGATCTGAACGGAGTTTTTCCAGATAGGCTAATTGTCCTGCACGGAAAAAGATCTTGGTTTCACCCACTTGGAACTTGTCTTCGTCTTTGATGGAGGCTTCTAAAATAACAGAACAGAGTTGCCTGACGTCAGGCTTGACTTTAGGATCCCAATATTTAGATGAAACAAGGGCAAAGTAACGATCTGCAAACTCTTCAAATGTCCACCGAGAAGGATAACCTGCACAACTGATACGGATGGTTTCTAGCACACCACAGGCTCGCAATTGAGAAAGAACCATACTAGGATCAAATTCCCAAGCAATCTTGGCTTCGTTGGGCTTAATACAACGGATATAATGGACATTGGTACCGCCAATCGTGTCCATCAAATTGATCAATGATAGTTTGAAAATAGAACCCAATGTGGGTTTCTTTGCTACCATACTCATGCGTTTGTTGTTTTCGGCCTAGACAAGATCAGATGCTATACATGCACCCTATCCACTTACCGTAGGTGCAGGGTTATTAGCAGCAGCTCTGTCTAATACTTCAACCAAGAAGTCAAATTCGGATCCTTGTAAAAGAGAAAGATGTTCATCAGGCACAGTATCCTTGTTTTTGTCAATGAAACTTTCTGCTTCATATTGGACATCCAAAGCATAATGAGCAATGGTGAATGCACTGTTAGAGAAACGAGGCTTTTTAAAATAATTCTTGAAATTGGGATTATCAAAATTAGTGTATAGTTTCTGAACAAAGCCTTGATCTGATCCAGAGGGTAAACGCGATTCCTACAATCATGGTTCAATACTGCCCTTCTTTAGGCCTTGTTTACTCACTTCATCCAAAAGAGACAGAATACCAAGCTTAGCTTCAATCAGTTCAATACATTTTTGGTTATCACTGAATTCGATAAATGTCCAATTGATCTTTTCACGAACATATTCTTCTTGTTCCAGTTTAAATACATGTTGATTAAACTATCAAAAGTAAGTTGTTTTGTCATCATGACTGCTTTACTTACTTGCTGTTGAAGCTTTTCGTTAGCATAGTTGATACAAAACTGCTCAAACGAGTTCTTTTTAAAATGTTCAAAACCATAAATATCCAACACACCAATAAAGTTGGCTACTTTGTTAGCATCTGAGCACGACAGACTTTCGTTGGTGACGGCCACCAACCATTCAAATAGGTTGGCATAGACATATTTGGCTACTGAATCCTTAACAACATGTGCCTGAGCAGGACTGAGATTGGTAACGATCTTTTCGGACCGTGTCACAATTTGTTTACGAACGATCCATTTTCTAAAATCAGCCGTTTTGATACCCAAAAGACGTGTGGCTATTAATAAGGCTGGGTCTTCTTCTGAAAGCATAGCATCACCACGGCCAGTAATCTTGATATTACCCAAATGAAGTAAGGCAGCCAGTAATCGAAAGATCTTCCATTGAACCTGAACAGAGAGACCGACTGTGGATAGAGCACGCTGTGTTGTTTCGAATTCCGCAGCATCGTCTACACCCGGAATCACACCCGTTCCGCTTTGATTTAAATAATGAAATTGATTGTATTCACCTAGTTCAAACTCTTTCTTTTCAGACACAGGGATACCTGCACAAAGCTATACTCAAAGTTAAACAACGCATCAAGCATTTGTCCTTACTTGATAGAAAATATGATAGTTTCTTTCTGTCTCTGGTTGATAGATTAAACGAGATCGCTCCAGTAAATAAGTTCTGATTTTTGCTCCCACAATATTGGCTGCATCGTCAAACTGGATTTCAATGTATTTACCAAATCTTGACGAGTTATCGTTTCTGGTTGTTTTTGCATTACCGAATGCTTCCATGATAGGATTGGTGGCTATTGTAGATAGTTAGCCCACAGTCATTTCTTGCTTGGTATTTACCCAGAATTTGTTCTTCTACTTCTGTCATGCCCCCGCCTGATTTCGACTTTTTGTCCATGGATTCTTGATCGTCTGCAGTAGCAAAATAACGCATGATATATTTAGCACTCACTGTTTTACCAGCACCACTTTCACCAGAGACAACAATCGTTTGGTTTGTTTGTTCACGAATCATACAACGATAGGCATCTTCAGCAATAGCAAACAAGTGAGGCTCAAGTTCACCTCTTCTTCTGCCTGAATATTGTTGAACAATGTCTGGTTCATACAGAGCAACACGGTCAAAAGGATTGACAGCAATCAGCACAATACCAGAGTAAGTATAGATCAATCGTTGCATATAACGTGTACGAATTGTGTTGAGTACTACAAAGAATGTGAGTGGATCCATCCTGATAGTATGTGCGTTACCTGCAGGCTCATTCAAATAACTCAGGTTGGTCAAATCATCTGTATATTCCATCTTGGGTGGGTTACGAAGGGGAGGAAGTGTAGATCCACCATTTTTTGTTATTTCTGCCAACGTAGATTCAAACACATATTCCTAGTATTTATGAATATAGATAGATATACAAAAGTCATACTTACTCTTTCGTCATTATCGCTTGAGAATGCAATACGAACATTGTCCCCTGAGACAGTATTGGAGACACAAGTAGTAGACACCCAAGCTTCTCGGTCATCTTCAAACCAAGCCTTTGTGCCCTGAGTATATACTTCAACTGCTTGAAGAGCGTTGGTTGACATATTCGCGTTTACAAAAAAAAGCTTTTTTTCTTTTTCTAAACTATTGAGACAGTCCTTCTATCGCTGACTGATAAAAGACAAGTAAGAAAAGAGAAAGTAACAAAAACAACTGGAAAAGAAAAAAAAACAATATAAATCAAAAGTCGGACCTTATGACCTAGTTTGTCAACGAAAAAAACACAAAAAAGTCAGGCACCGAAAAAAAAAAGTATCACCATGCATACCAAAAATGCTATTTCTTTTCCTTCTTTGCTTACTATAAAACTTGAAAGGCATCTCTCTATGTCAGTTTGTATGTCTTTATGAACAAAATGAATGTTCACATCAGTTGTTCTCTTTCTACTCCGACTATATCACGGTATCTTGCGCTAAAGAGTGGGCATTTCGCACTTTCAAACTCAAGTTTCATGCTTTAAAAAAAAAAAGAAACAGATGACTCTGTTTCATGGCTGTTTTGAAATTTCAAAATCCAGTTCATCTTTCTAGCGAGTGTAATAAATAAGGGAGCATGTCACTTGAAGAAACAAAAAAAAATAAGCTTTTTGGTAGTGCACAGGGATTTGATTGGTAAATAACCCTGTAAATCGTACCAATAAAGAGTTTATTGTGACACATAACATTTGAATTCTGAATTATATGATTGCTTTTTAATGCAACACAAAAAGTCTTTTTGATTTTATATTTTAATGCAAACAGAATAAAGAAAGTTTAGACTAAGAAGGCAAGGCCTTTTGTCTCTTTCCAGCGGGATGATCAGAACAAAATCAATGCTTTCTTTTTGATTGTCAGAAAGAGGGTAGAATAACTCCAGAGTTTGAAAAAGTACATCTAAAGATGGCATTGGTCTGTTAAATAATTATCCATATATATATATATATAACTTTGAATCTTGACAGAGGAAGAATGCTTATCTTTATTAGAGCCAAAGATAAAGAACCTTTGAATGCAAGAGATGAACACCAACTTAGCTTGATTATTTACCTGACAACACGAGTTCTTTCAGTTTTGTTCAAATAACTTTGACTTTCAAAAAAGCCCTTCAACAAAAGAATACTCGAGCGATTTGTTAATGCCTATCAATTCAACGGCGTTAGTAAAATGTATTTGAGATGTAAAACACACTTCATAAGAAAGGATAGTTATGACTCCAATTCAATTGAAATACACATCTACTTATTTAATTATTGTTTTATTGCCTAATTTCTTCTCTTAAGCAGGCATTCTCAGATGATGGTGGAACCATTGTATACTCTACAACGAACACAGCAATTTACAGTGCTTCCAAAGTAATATCGTAAGCGCATCTTAACTGAGGAGCATAAAACGACTGTTATCAGCTTCATTGATGCTAATCCCTCTGCTATTGCTGTTGTTGTTGTTGAAGTGGCTGAGCATCTACTGAAGCGATTTCATGGGCTTGAAATATCACGCAGTACTTTTAATAGCTTTTATGAGACGTGAGTGCAACCTTTCGCTGAAAAAAAAAGCAGATTTTCGTTCTATCGAGAGAAACAGTCCAGCAAAGATTGAAGAGCGACACAATTGGGTTTGTCAATGGGAAAATGTAGCCATGAACTCTCTAACGAATTGCGTGTTTCTTGACGAGCCTGCTTTTGATATAAATATGAAGCGCTCAAGAGCCTGGTCCAATAAAGGTACTCGTGCTATTGTTACTAGACCTGCTATGAGAGCAAATATAGTGTCTATATTGGGTGCTATTTCTACCTCAGGTTTGATAACCGTCGGTGTAAAAAAAAGAAAAAAAAAACCTAGGCCCGCAAAGCAGAGAAGATTTGATGGATATATAAGCTCAGGAACTGCTACTGGCCACTATGTCAGTTTCTTAAAACGACGCTCAATGAAATGGAAAACCATTTACATATGAAAGGCCATTATATTGCTATGGATAATGCACCCATTCACACACATGAAAACATAAAGAAGTATATTGAGTATCGAGGATATAAATGTGTGTATCTTCCTACTTATTCTTTGCCACCGTCCATAATTGTTCAACTGAGCTAAGCTCCGGAGATTAAGTAGGAAGATACACACATTTATATCCTCGATACTCAATATACTTCTTTATGTTTTCATGTGTGTGAATGGGTGCATTATCCATAGCAATATAATGGCCTTTCATATGTAAATGGTTTTCCATTTCATTGAGCGTCGTTTTAAGAAACTGACATAGTGGCCAGTAGCAGTTCCTGAGCTTATATATCCATCAAATCTTCTCTGCTTTGCGGGCCTAGGTTTTTTTTTTTCTTTTTTTTACACCGACGGTTATCAAACCTGAGGTAGAAATAGCACCCAATATAGACACTATATTTGCTCTCATAGCAGGTCTAGTAACAATAGCACGAGTACCTTTATTGGACCAGGCTCTTGAGCGCTTCATATTTATATCAAAAGCAGGCTCGTCAAGAAACACGCAATTCGTTAGAGAGTTCATGGCTACATTTTCCCATTGACAAACCCAATTGTGTCGCTCTTCAATCTTTGCTGGACTGTTTCTCTCGATAGAACGAAAATCTGCTTTTTTTTTCAGCGAAAGGTTGCACTCACGTCTCATAAAAGCTATTAAAAGTACTGCGTGATATTTCAAGCCCATGAAATCGCTTCAGTAGATGCTCAGCCACTTCAACAACAACAACAGCAATAGCAGAGGGATTAGCATCAATGAAGCTGATAACAGTCGTTTTATGCTCCTCAGTTAAGATGCGCTTACGATATTACTTTGGAAGCACTGTAAATTGCTGTGATACAATAAATAAGAACATCTGAGTTTGACAAAAAAAAAACAAGAAAATGGGCCAATTGTCAATGTACTTTCCCTGAAGCTTAACTATAAATTGATTATGTGAATTACCAATCTGTTCCTCTCCTTTTTCTTTTCTTGACATTTGTCTTTTCTTACATTATCAATTATGGCTGCCAATCTTCCTGATTTCATGACTGACCCCAATGCTGTCCTTAATGACAAGAATCATGAATGGCGTTACAACCGCGTCCCTGACTATAAAAAGGTCAATACTACTTATGAAGAAGGTAAAAGACTACGCTTGTTTCTCGATGGGCTTATTTAAAGTATTTTTATAGAAAAAACCCGCATTCATCCTGAAGGCTCTCTTGAATGGCTTGTTTCTAACTTGGTCAAGGTAAGGATACGTGATAGTATTGTGTGGTCTTTAACACAGTATAGAACTGGGAAAAGGAGATGTCCTACAAGCTTCGTGCTGATCAAATCCGTACTATCAACAAAGATAAGTACCGTTTCAATGTCAATGGCAAGAAATGGCAAAACATCGATGAAATGCTCCAGGTAAGTTATTTCGAAAAAAAAGTACCTAAAAAACAAGCCTGACGCCTTCGGTGGCATTCTTTTTCTTCCAGGTTGGTACTTACAACGCTTTGATTGGTGACACAGAATTGTACAAAGCAAGTGAATTAGATTTTAGTGAATCTCACAAACTTTTCAAGAGAGCACTTCGCACTTTCTCTTGGGAAGTTATTGAAGTCTACAGTGGTCCCCCAACTGTTGCTTTCAAGTGGAGGTAAGTCTTCTTATTATAGAAAACATGTAGTGAATTTTTTTTCTGTAGACATTGGGGTTTACATACTGGCGATTTATCTGTCAAGACTGGCCATGGTACTAAACTCGAGGCTTATGCTACCAATGAAGTGATTGAAGTTTTTGGCGTAACAGTTGCAAAGGTCAATGAAAAGTTTGAGATCGAAGAACTTCAAACATTTTACGATCCTACTGACATGTTAAGACAAATGGCTAAGAACAGAAAGGAAGGTTCTGTTAATCCTAATGAACTCGCCGCTGTTCCTTCTGGAAAGTGTCCTTTTGCTCCTCAATAAACCTACATCTAGAGAGAAATAATAAAGATAGAGCTACCTTGTTTGGGTAGTTTCTCATGATATTGTACCATATAGAATACATGTAAGATAATACAAAAAAGAATTGTGTATGTACTACGCTTCTTGCTTGCTATTAATAGCGTCCATATAATTGAAGCATATTAATGCATTAACATAAATGGTAATTATGTACAGTGTTCAGGTTAACAAATAGCGGTTTTGAAATGTCAATGGCGGATTTAATTCGCAATGGCCATTTGGCATCATAAATACTGTATGACAAAAGTCAGGGCTACAATTAAGGACATTCCAAGAGTCAGAAACATAAATTGAAATACAGGGAATCGGTATTCGTTTCTTTTTACACTTGCTGGACAAAAAAGGGATTAAGAGAAAGAAGCTTTTTGAGAGGTATAACACGGTTAATAGATAGAGCAAGTGTTTTGATACTAGAAATAATGAAACAGAATTTACAACACTTTGACGCTGTTAACCAAACGTTTTCTTTCTTGCAAATAAACAGTTTAGTAGTACACTGCTTATCTATGTAACAAAGACAACTAGGCAAAAAATTGCTTCAACAATAGAAAAAGACAGTATTTCATGCAAACCTCTACCTTTTTCTTAGGTATATAAAGGTGGTATAGAGCATGCTCATGCACGCACAAATGCTCGAAATACCTGCAAACTATGTTTACCAATGTCCGTAGTACCTTTGGAGTTGATTTGGGCGAAAAATAGCAACTTGGAAAATTTGGCCTGAATCACCTTTCGACCAAAGGGTGTTCCCTGAAAATTGCCCATTTGACAATTCTCAATCTTCTTTTTGATGCTATAACGCGAAAAATAGAACTATCGACAAGCATAAATACTCAAAATGTGCGTCAAAAGCTCTAGTTTTTGGCAAATGCGTTTGCTAAACAGCTACACTACAAAAATGGAATGATAGGAGCGAAAAACCTTGTCAACATTTTAGCAGCAAATTTGTTGTATTCTTTGTATCAACAGGCTCAGAAAGCAAAGTTCTACAGCTTTTGTCACTACACCAAAGCCAGACAACCGCGTCTTTATGCAGCACTCAACAAAAGCCCGATTTTGGATGCGGCGGGATGAAGAATTGGAGTTGCCTTCCATTTCGATCTCCACATACTGCCATCTGGTACATCTTTTGTCCCTTTACCCCACATTTACAGTATAGAATGCCTATGTTTCTACTTTTTTATGCTCTCTAGCACTCAAAATAACATGAGATGCTTTAGAGAAGTTGATTGCTCCCAAGCTATATATGACATCTAGAGTAAAAATGCTCAAAACACAGCTTAAACAGGTCATTTTTTGATAGGCTATTACTCGACAACCAGACTATCAAAACATCCCGTTTTTTTCATTTAAGTCATGTTCTTTGGAGTTCAGAAATTGAATGGTACAATTGGTTTGACTATTTTGTGAAATTTATGTTTTTGACCCATAGGGGATCCACGGAGGTCCGTGAAGATGAAAAAACAAGAATTTTTGAAATAATCCAGTCGAAATGAGGAAAGACCACTTTTAGATACTTTTGAAGAAAAGAAAACAAGTTTACTAAGATGAAAATATTGACTCAATTTGATCATTCGCGTTTAAACTTCATTATACACTGTATTCAGTACAAAAGATGCCCTTTTTAGTAGATATGGATTGTTAAATGGGTACTTTGTCTAGTACCTTTTTAATTTTGCGATGAAGACAAACAAATTGTAATATAACACTTGATACTTTTGGACTCAATAGAGTAGCTTTGGATATAACAAAAGATGAATTTCATGCAAGGACAGGCTTCATTACTTCAAATCCCAATGTTCTTTTTACCTTGCATGTTGAAGATCATTCTTCTTCTCTATACCAACACTTACAAACGACATGCAAACCATAGACGAGTAGAGAGAAAGACTGGATGTCAGATACACGGAAGCAAAATGTAGTATTATAATGTACTAAAGACAGTATCACTGTAGTTTGGCAATATGGATTATACTCTGATCAACTCTTGCTGAAAACGAAAAGCAAAAATAACATAATAGACTTGGTTATATTCTATGTTGGCATTCATTTAAAGGCGTTTGTGTTGATTACTAAAAATGAATAAACAATACGCAACCACAAAATCTAATCATAGACATGTCTTGAATGTGATGCAACATAGTCTACTATTGCACACAGTAAAACATTGGCATGTATCTATTGTAGCATCAAAAATACTTCAGTATCTAGTTTCTTCACCAATTTAAGGTACGCTTATTACCATCGAGTTAAGAACTAGCCACTTGAACATTGTCATCTTGTATTGAGAATCGTTGAAAGCATGATTTTTTAAGCCCCGGTTAGAGTCAAGAAAAGTGATTTCTTTTCTTTTCCTTTTATCTCTTGCTTTATAAATGAAGTCCTTTCAGTGGTTTCTACTTGGTACTTTACCAAGTGCACTACTAGCACAGACATTTAACTATGCAACGCGATTTCCAAGCAACAAATTATACAACTTGGAACCAACATCTATAGGTTTAAACTTCATGGATGGCACTATTGCTGCTTTTGGTGACTTTAATGGAGATAAGTTGTAAGTCAACCACTGTTTCAACACATGAACCTGATGCGTCTTTCAACTAGCACAGATATATTTGTTCTTAGCTCAGACCAAACGTCCGTCTCAGCCTATTTGTGGGATCACCGTATGTATCTTTTTCGTTTTTATGCAACATGACTTAATCTATAGAGGGTTTTATGTTCAAACCATTATCACAACAAATACAGCCTGGATTTATCATTACAAATGTTGTTCCTGGTGACTTTAACTATGATGGAAAACTAGACTTATTGTTAATGGGAGAACAGAATCCTGACAAGAATCCAACTCATGAAATCAAACTACAAGTCTATCTAGGCAATGGCAATGATACATTTGGTAAGGAAGACTGCTGTCTTATTATTTTATTCATCATGAGATACAGAAGCAGAGACGATTAAACTAGATTCAGCACAAAACGCCTTACCCATTGTATTGGATATAAATGGCGACATGAAGACAGATCTATTAGGCTATGCAAAAGATACAAATCAACTCAGTATGTGGATCAATCAGGCACCATCAACGAGTGCTTTGTTTAACGTGTTAGTATTTATTGCTTAATAGACTTGTTATTCTTATAGTCGTATAGAACCTCAGCTGCTACTTTGTTTGACAAGACATCCACAGATAAATGTACTTGGGCCAATCCTCACTCCAATGCATTTATTGATTTAGACGGTGATTGTCTTGCTGACCTTGTGTTTGTATGTCAACAATCAAACAGTCAGTCAATTCAAATATGGACCAACAAGCGAGAAGCAGGATTTAGTTTAGCCCATGAGGCTACTTTACCTTCAGGAGCAGGGCCTCTTTCTTTTGCTGATATAGACGGGGATGGTTCAGTAGATATTTTGTTCCCTGTATGCCAAAAAGATGTCTGCAGTATCCATGTCGTCTATAATCAACAAATGGGACTATGTAGCAAATCACAGCAAGAAGATACAAAGTGCCGTAAAGCACAGAATTTGTGTGTAGCAGATCCAGATTTCAAGTTTGATTTTACTGCTGTCAATACAGCAAACTATGTTGTGTTTGACATTGATACCCTGTTGAAGCATGATGAACATGTCATGACTCATGATTCTAGCTTTAGAGGTCAATTACCTATTCCTGTCCACGCTGGAGACTACAATCTGGATGGTTATCCTGATTTATTAGTGACTACAAATAAGCGTGTGCTCTTATTGCAGTCTGTCCTGTGCGATTCTGGTCTGTGTTCAGATGAAGCAGTTGTGGCTGCTAAAAGAACATTTTCACTTGTTAGTACAGGAGTGGAAGCATTAGACAGCATGACATCAGCTACTCAAGCTGCCTTTTTTGATATTGATGAAGATGTAAATATAACTGCCTAGAATCATTATTCATGTCCTCTTTGTAGGGATCCTTGGACATGCTTGTATTGCAAAACACAGACAACAACAAAGATGCCGGCAGAACACCTCATTTTGTCATTAACAACTTCTTTAACGATGCTTTCTTTATTAAAAGTCTAGGTAAGTAGAGTATGCCAAGTGATGATTAACACTGTATAGTGTCTAATGGTGTGGATGATCTCGAAGCTTATGGTGTAAGCTATCCTGGTGCATCCCTTAAATTCACTGTACTTGACACATCTGGTATAAAACGATCTCACCAAATCTCTCAACTCTCTCAATCAGGCTATTTATCTCTTCAAACGCCTTACTGTCTATTTGGTTTAGGAAGAACCAACAATTATGTAGAAGAAATGTTTGCTGGTGTATCTCGCCACCAGGCTAAAAACTATTTCTTTTATGAAGGTGTCATTCCTAACTCTCAATTGGTCTTTTTGCCCTATCAACCCCACGATATCCAAGACAGTTCTTCTTGGAAAGTAGAGTTGTATATCAAACCTGCTGATTATGTGCCGTGGGTTTTGGGTGTCTTGGTGGCTGCTTCTATTGTGATGGCCATTGTTGTCGTGGTGCTTCGTACAATGGAAAAACGAGAGGATGAAATGGAAAGAAGAAAAGCGCTTCATATTATTAACTTTGATGCCCTGTAATATACATGTTTATTTAATTTCTTTGGTTATTCATGTCTTCCTTGGTTTGAGAAGCAGCAAAATTCCATTTACGCTAAAGAAATAAAGTATGAGTATTGAATAAGTATGTGTATCTATGTCTTCTTACGTCGGTAGCATAAGCGAGTACAGTAAGACCAACAGGGACAACAAGACCCCAAACTAAGGTTCTTCTGGTGTTTCTCTTGTTCCAAGCAAAGTAAAGATGTGTGTTTTCACGAAGAGAGGCCCAGCGTTCAATTGCAGGATCAACCTTGAGTCCTTCAGCCATATTTATTTATTGTAAGAAGGTGTATTGAAGAAAAGAAGAAAAAAACACCAGCAGTATCCGGGGGGTGACGTCGTAGATAATGTCAGTTTAGTGCACCCCATAAAAGTGCTCTCTCTCGTGACTGTTATTCCCATACTTGATGAGAAGTGCTTTAAGATGAAAATGAACTTTTGCTACAATGCTTGGTCAGTATAGCAATGCAGCACGTTTGGAATTGAGATTGATTCCAATGCTATAGAAACAATGAATTTTAATGAGCTATTTGCGGCTGAGAGAACATGAAAAGATCCTATCTATGCACTATAGTCTAATAAATACCTACAAAAGTAGACTGATCCCTAATTATTGACTTTTATCATCTTCAGTTGAATGAGGAAGATGTCTTGAGATTACCGAGAGTATAACAATGATTACATTTGTATTACACAATACAAGTGACGGTCAATTTTTTTTAGAAACCCTCTGAATAGGCCTGATCTTGACATTGCTATACTTCATAGGGATTATTTGAACTATGGCACGGATAATACTTAGTTGTTGTTCTCTGTACCCTTGACTCTAGCATCATCTAAAGCGCGAAGATTTGTAATTGAAATCAGATCTCGTGAGGGCATAAACACACAAACAAGCTTTTATGACCCGAATGAGTCTCAATGTAAGGTATACTAAACTGCTGTGGATCGCTCCTCAGCCTAGTACTGTCAGTATTATACTCGAATATGAAATAGGATTGATTTGCGTATCACTTTTCTTTGTAACACAAGAACTTTTTCTTTAGATTCGTTTGTTCTCTTTATATAATTTCTTTATACACTCACACACACAGATCTATATATATATGCAGGCAAGAACAATAGACGCCAAATTGATTGTATAGAGAACAATAAAGTCTATTACTGAGAGTAAGCAGGGTGGCTTTGTGATCCTAATGTATCACAAAGAAAAAAAGAAATGCGGATATTTAATGATACAAACAATAATTTTTTTTCTCTTTCCTTTTTTCTCTCTTTTTCATATTAAAAACCATGCCAAACACGTATACCCAACTGTCGTCTAAAAAGTCTTACAACATATCAGAAGCCAAATTAAAGCGAATTCTGGAATACAATGAGCGCTTACAAGAGCAGTTGGAACTTCCTCGTATCCCCGTTTCCGAAGCTTCTAAAAGGTAAAAATAAAATAAAATAAATTTTACAGGCTATTAAGTAATTTTCTTAGCTTGGTAGATTATTGTAATAATACAAGAGACCCTCTTATTCCCTCGATATGGGGACCCATCAGTAAAGATGAAGATCCTTTTGCGCCGGTCGCAGGAGGCAGTGGTACTGGTGGTTGTTGTGTTGTGATGTAAAAAGAAAAATACGTATTAATTTATTTTGAATTGTAAATATATTCCTAGCATCTTTATTATTTTTCCCACTGACGTCTTTTTGTTTAATTTTGTTTAGTGAGTTTCTGTTCATAACCATCAAATTCCTTACGCTATTGCCATTTATAGCCTTATAATTCAAATCAGATAAGAATAATTTCAGCATAAACAAATAATTCTTTGTTTACATGATAACGCTAATTCAGGTACATGTAGCAACAACTTTTTCCTAAAATGCAGATCATAGAATGCCTTTCTTTCTTTTTTTGTATAAGAATAAAAGTAGACTTGAAATTGGTCTTTTCTTTGTTATTTCATAAGCCAATTCTGTTTTTTTTTATGCGGAAAGAATGTTATGTCTACCATAGATATCACTCTTGGAGTAACAAAATTAAGACAAAAGAACAGTGATATCCGTTGCAATGCTTATTGGACAGCAAGAAGCGTGTTTTATCTCCGACGGTTTTCAACCTGCTGCCAAATTTGGACGCTATGGACTGATGGATAATCTAATCTTTTTTTTTTTTTTTTTTTAGCATACTTAATATCTCTTCCATCACATTTCCCCCTTATTCTCTCTCTCTTTTTCTTTCTCTAAAACACCCCTCACTCTTTTTGTTATGCTCTTATCATTATCTAGACTAAATTTACGCAAATCAACATGTACCAACATGTTGCCTTCTCTACTCTATCGTCGTACTTATGCATCCGATGCCACAGACACACAAAACCTGATTGAAAAGATTGTACAGAAATACGCATTGGATTTACCTGAAGGATACAAGGTCAAGAGTGGTGACTATGTCATGATTCGTCCTCATCATGTCTTGACACACGATAATACAGGTGCTGTGATTCCCAAATTCAAATCGATTGGTGCTACCAAGATCCATGATCCCAAACAGCCCGTCTATGCATTAGATCACGACGTCCAAAACAAGACAGAAAAAAACCTCCAAAAGTATGCTAATATTGAAGCATGGGCTAAACAACAAGGTGTGGATTTCTATCCTGCAGGCCGTGGTATTGGTCACCAAGTCATGATTGAAGAAGGCTACGCATTTCCTAACACCTTGACTGTCGCTTCAGACTCGCATTCTAACATGTATGGTGGTATTGGTGCTTTAGGTACACCCATTGTACGTACAGATGCAGCTGCCATTTGGGCTACAGGACGTACATGGTGGCAAATTCCTCCAGTGGTCAAGGTTCAATTGGAAGGTAAATTGCCTGCTGGCGTGACGGGTAAAGATGTGATTATCACATTGTGTGGGTTGTTCAATAAGGATCAGGTGTTAAACACAGCCATTGAGTTTCATGGTGAAGAAGCACTTAAGGGGCTTTCTGTCGAAGATCGTTTAGCTATTGCAAACATGACGACTGAATGGGGCGCTTTGGCTGGTGTGTTTCCTGTAGATGATGCTACGATTGAATACTTGCGTAAGCGTCAAAGACGTATTGACTTGACTCATTTTGAAAACAAGAACTTGCCTCCTGTTCAACAAGGTGATGAATTTGTTCATCCTCGTATCAACAACGATACCATTCAAACCTTGATTGATAACCCCATCAAGCCTTCTCCTCATGCTACTTATGCCAAGACTTTAAGTTTGGATCTCTCTACCCTTTCTCCTCATGTTTCTGGCCCCAATTCTGTCAAGGTAGCCACTTCTTTAGCCGACTTGGAATCTCAACAGATCAAGATCAACAAGGCTTATTTGGTTTCCTGTGTCAACTCAAGAGCAAGTGACCTTAAGCAAGCCGCCAATGTACTCAAGGGCAAGAAGATCAAGGAAGGTGTGGAATTTTATGTAGCTGCTGCCAGTTCTGAAGTTCAAAAAGAAGCTGAAGAATCAGGCGATTGGGATGCTCTTGTTCAAGCAGGTGCCAAGGTCTTGCCTGCTGGTTGTGGTCCCTGTGTTGGCTTAGGTACTGGTTTATTAAAAGATGGTGAAGTTGGTATTTCTGCTACCAACCGTAACTTTAAGGGACGTATGGGTTCGCCCAGTGCTTTAGCTTATTTGGCTTCTCCTGCTGTAGTTGCTGCTTCTGCTCTTTCCGGCTATATCTCCGGTCCTACTCCTTCTGTGAATACTACACCTTCTTTTGATATCAAGACATCAACACCTACTCAAGCCTCCGAGACAACATCATCTCCTGCTGAAGTACTTCCCAACTTCCCTTCCCTTATTAAAGGTGAAATTCTCTTCTGTCCTGCTGACAACTTGAACACAGATGGTATCTATCCCGGTAAATACACTTACAACGACGACATGACAACAGAAGACATGAAGAAGGTTGTCATGGAAAACTATGATCCCAACTTTGTCAATATCGTTCAAGACGGTGATGTACTTGTAGGTGGTTTTAACTTTGGTACTGGTTCTTCTCGTGAACAAGCCGCTACAGCCATCAAGTCTCGTAATATTCAAATCATGGTTGCTGGCTCTTATTCTGATATCTTCAAGCGTAACTCTGTAAATAATGCACTTTTGTTGATTGAATCCCCTGAATTGGTCCAAGATCTTAAGACTGAAATTGGTAGTGCTGACTTGACTAAGCGTACAGGATGGAAAGTCGATATCCATGTAGCAGAAGGCAAGGTCGTTGTTCGTAAAGAAGACGGACAAGAAAAACTGTATAAAGTAGGCGCTCTTGGAAAGAGTGTTCAAGAAATTTGGTTAGCCAACGGCCTTGAAGGCTGGGTTAAGGAAAGATTGTAAAAAAAAAAAGAAAAAGAATGTATTTAAAAATAAATGTTATAATGTTTTGCCCATTTCTAGTTTTTTCTTGTATGCTCTTTCAGCGCGATAAACCACACGATCTACAAGACCGGCAACGGTATAAACACCACCTACGATGGCTAAAATGCCAGTCAATAAACTGCTGAGGGATGGACGTGTTTCTCGATAAATAATTTGCATAGGAGAAATGTCAACCATAAAAAATACACCAGGCAAACCATTCCCGATATTTTCTTTTTGATTTTGAGTGACAGAGTATTGATTTGTGAGTGTTGGAATACCCCTTAAAGGCACTAGTTGTGTAGATACAATCTTGAGAAAGTATTGATAGACATTGTTACCTAATAAGCCATGAGTTTACTGAAAAGAGAATGAAGAGAAGCATTAGGGTGTACCTGGATTAGCAGAGACAGCAGTACTTGCTAGAGCATTTGTCACTGCCAAGATCTCTTCTGTCTCGTCAAACGTATCAGGTCCAAACTTGAGTTTATGGATTACATGTGTCAAATCAAACTTGTGTCCATCTGGCGTACCAGCCGAGAATTCTTTTAAATCATGGACATGCATCGAATGCGTCTGGAAAGCATCTCCAGGTGCAAAATGAAAGTTACCGCTGACTTTGTTGACCAATAAATGACCATGAATATTGCAGCCTTCATTGGCTTCAGACTCAATACGATTTAACCATCCTTCCCGAATACATTGATCGATATTATCACCATTCACAAGTCCCCAGCCCATTTTAATATAGGCTTCACGTACATCTTGACATGTTTGACAGCAACCATCTTCGCGCAAAGGACGAGCACCATAACAACTTCCACACTCAGGCACAGGTTCTGAAAGTGCTTTGGAAGCACTCGTTGTAGGGTCACCTAAAGCTTAAAGAGACAACGTATTAGATGTATGTGTGTGTGATATAATTGATGGTGTCATTTACCAACAGCTGTTCCTGATTCTACAGGTGTACCATCCATACTGAGTCTCACTTTAGTCACATCTTGAGAATACCCTAATGAATGCTCGCCTGTATCATCCATTATATCAACACTGATCACTATAAAAATGCATAAGTTGAGCGATGTCTTAATAAACACGTACTATGACAAGGCATATGAGGAAAAGTAATATTGAAATTGATGGGCATCTTTTCTTTTCTTCCTTGGTCTACAACCAGACTTGGCTTCCATACAGGTGTATAATAGGCAACAAGTTCCGAGAAAACAAGCGAAAGAATGATGATGGTACTAATGAGGGTGACTAGTTCCAAGATGAGTTGTGAATGATCATCATGCTTTGATATTACCTGAAGCACCCGTTGTTGTCTTTACACGAAAATCATCTAACGTCTTTGCATAGCCATCGAACTGTCTGAGATTGCCAAACAGAGAACTCTTTTTTGCCATTATTGCAGAAAAAAAGAAATAAAATGTACAGCCAATTCGAATTCACAAAATAAACAGCACAATCACGTGAGCAAGGCCAAGTATGAATGAGAAGTGCTTAAAGATGACGAGGAATCCTTTACACAGTGCTTTCATGGATATAAACAAAGACCTGTGCTTACTATCACTTTAGACTATTTCTTCTCAACAACATACAACACTTTATGTCAAATTCAACACTGAAAATAGGCTATGTGGTCTCAAAAAACAGGTCAATATTTGGATACACAACTTATGGTTTATTTAGCCTTCTTTTCATCATGATAGTAGTCAACATCCAATTTTCTAAGAATGGGGTCTACAAAATAATGCGCAGCATGAGCAAGAGCTTCTTTAGCAGCAGGGGGGATGGTAGCAAATACAGCAAAGGACAAGTATTGATGAGAAGGATAAGAAATCAAGCCGATATCTTCTTCTAAAGCCTTCTTGACAAGCTCAGCATGCTTTTCAACACTCAAGTAGAAATATTTGCTTGTCTTGCTAAATGTAGTTGTCATGGCAGTATCGACATAACCGGGTGCAATGGTATTAATAGCAATACCATCGTCCTTACCCAAAGCACGAAGATCCTTACAATATGTCATAACAGCTGCTTTAGAGGCAGAGTAACTAAAGATATAAGGGGGACCAAAGAAACCACAGATGGAAGAGACAACAGCAATTTGCCCACCTTGACCACGGGCCTTCATACTCTTATAGACGGCATTGATACCTGCAATAGCGCCCATGACATTAATTTGCAATACTTTCTCAGCTTGATCCAAAAGATCCAGACCAGGAACAAGAGCAATGCCGGCATTAGCAATAAATAAGTCAATCTTGTATTCGTTTGTTTTTTCCTCGAGGAATTCAGTAACAGCTTGAGTGTTGGAGACATCCATTTGAACGATCTTTATACTAGGAGAACCAAGTTCTTTACATGCTTCAGCAACCTTTTCTAAACGTTCTATACAAAAAGAAATGAGTACAAAGCAAAAATGTGTTTTTTCACATACCCATATTACGAGCAATTAAGACAAGAGAAACTTTATCTTTGGCATAGGCATGAGCAAGGCCTTCACCGATACCAGAGCTAAAAACAAGTCAGTGTTACTCTAGAAAAAAATGAGAAGCAGACTTACTTGGCACCTGTGATAGCAACAACCTTAGGAATAATCTTATTCTTTTTTCCGACTGCACTGGTCACTAAACTTTTGGCAATATTCCATACAGACAAGAGCAAGCAAAAATTGTTTGCAATAACAACAAAAATATTGAGAAACAAATCTCTAATAGCTACAGACAACTGAACCATCCTGCTTTGTGATCGAGTAAAGCGAAGAAAAGAAAAAGGGAGAAGAGAGGAAATATCATGTCAGATATATTTCGAATCTTTGTGCAGCGTTACACGGCTATCATACAAAAGTTTCTTTTTTTAATGCATTTGTAGAGAATAAAATAAAAAAAAAAGGATGCTATCAGTTTGAGGGCTCTTTAATAAGTGTAAATATATTTATATACTAGAAAAATGGTCTACAATAAGAGAAAGCAATAACGAAGCATATATATCTTGTGTAGAATTCATTTTCTAATACAGTTTGTCGTACAAAGCTATCAAGATTGTGCTTTGAGTGACAAGGGCCTTCATTATATATAGTCTTCGTATCACTTTTCTTTTTTTCTGCCAAAAATAATGATATGCGCTATTAAGCGCAATCTATATCTACACTCAACAGATAACGATTCAAATTAACAATTAATTAATATACAGGATAAAAGAAATCCCTTAAAAAAATGAAACTGATTAAAAAAAAGTTGTGAGATTTTACAAGTGTGTAAGATTATCGCAAGCTCAAAGAACTATACGATTATTTTGAAATCATATGAAAAAGATAAGAGAGCCAACATGGTATGACAATACAGATTCGAAAAGACTAGGCCGCCTCAAATTACACAGGATTAATTGAATTCCATACTACTACATATAGACATATATACAATGCTTCTAATAAGTGATGCCGTCATTCAGACCGTCTTCGTTAACTGTTTCAAGAAGAAACTGGCATCATAAAGTGTTGTTGAAGATATGATGCAGAACATTGCACAAGAATCGATTTTCTTACATGTTTATCAATTACTGCATTGAATCACAGCATAATCAGACCAAAAACTGTATTTCTTGGGAAAGCGAGAACAGGAAGTTCAACAAGCCTGTTTTTGTTTCAGTAGAAGACTTGGAGTACTTCTTGAGGTCAGAGTAAAATGTGTGATAATTTTTTTGTATTGAAAACTAGTGTTTGCAAAGCCAAGTGACTAGCCACGTGGAGTATCTTACGTTTATTGCTTTTTAGAGCCAGTATCCTTTATATCCTGTCTTGTTCAACACTACAGTTGGCAAGACCGATACCACAAGTAAAGGAAACTATTCCAAAATGTCTTCAATTACTTCTCAGTTGACATAATTATTGATACTCAAGAGATGCAGTCTTCTACAAAGGATTGTAACAAAATTCGGAGCACCACCGAGGGTGACAAGATTAATGTGCTATAGAATCCTTTAGATAAAAGAAAGTCGGTTATATGATAGAAAGCAGAGGAACCAAAAGCACATATAAGCCCCCGCTTCCCCTTTCCAGCGAGTCGCATCGCCTACAATTGGCCTGGGAGGTGCTTTTGAAAGTAGGAGAGAAATCTGGAAAGCAATCATTGTACTTGGATCGAAGCCAGTCGTACCAACGCTTTACTGATTTTTGTTGCGTCTCTTGAGGTTGTTGAAGATGAATGTTGAAATCACTTAAAATGAAAGAAGGGATATCGTCCATTTCATCGCCCAAAAAAGGGATAGTGTCCCACAATTGATCCAAAAATTGGTAGCGTGGAGTGTTTGATGCGGGAAAGTATGAGTTGAAAATCGAGCAAATAGGTAGTCCTTGCTGATTCCTGATCCATACTTGTATACATTCACCATCCATAAAAACAGATGATGAGTGGGTCGTATATTGGGGATTGAGACAGACAATGCCGCAATACTTGGTCACCGCGGAAGAGTATTGAGGGGAGAAATAATTGTTGAAGCGTTTCTGATGCATATCAGATAGAGAATGAGCGGTAGTAGAAGTGACATCCTGAAGACAAATAATATCAATAGCATTTTTTTTTTTTTGAATTTTAGATAATGTAACAGTTCTTTTTGAGCTGTCGGGTTAGACTCTTTGAAAATGCTTCTAGCATTTAAAGAGCCAATTCTGCAGTGTTTTACTCTCATTGGGCCATGCGGCCATTCTGAGTTGATGTATTACCTGCATCGGTGACTGAGTCCCTATCAACATCCATGACTGAAGCAACGTTGGCGGGTGCGTATCTCGAACCTGCAGGGCCGTCAGGGTTGTGCATTCGATCAGCTAATTGTTTGCCTAGTTCATTGTCATGAAGTACAGTACCCTTCATAGGTGCCTTCAAAACCTCTCTAAAATCTTTATCTTTAACACTTGAATCCTTATCCTTCACTGCTCTAGTTGATTGTTTACCAGCTCGTTTCTTTTGTTGCTTATCTTGAGAGCGGGTCAATTTGATATACTGATCAATGGCCTCGTTTCCGCTTTCATCCAAATCAATCTCTGTTGGTCTCCTCTTTTCCGAACAGAATTGTGCTGTGTGTCCATGCCTCAAACTGTGAAAGTATTTTCGCTGAGCTAATTTGGAACAGGCATCCCGTTTATGCCCAGCCTGTCGGCAGTAAAAACAGATAGGTTTTTCTCCACGAAAATGAGCTGGTGCATGAATGTCCCATTTCTCTAAATAAATCTGGCGCTGTAGAGGTTTATTTTCGATCAAATTGCCTGCTACATCCTTCCTAGGTGTGGTGGTGTCCACAACAAAGCTGATTTTACCATCAAAATGTCTTTTGATCGTATGCTTCCGTATTTGGTTGATCTGTCCATAATGACTAAGTGACTGTTGAAGGCCACTTAGTGGCTCCACTTCAGGGGAATCTGGAGTAGGTCAAGAGACCCATGGACAAAATCATTACTCGAAAGTGTTATGGTAGGTGTCGCCTTGAAGATACGATCGTCTATAATTATGCCTTCAGTAATGGCTTTTTGTTTATCGCCACTCGAGATAAATCTAGTTTATATGAGCAACTCTCCAGGTGTGTTACGTGCATAGCTGCTAATGTTCTTCAAACCTTCAATTTGGCCTAGTTGAGCAATAGTATCATGAGCATCCACAAAATGAGGAAACAAATTGACAGGAAAAGAGAAAAGGGCCGAACCATCAGTCAAAACCTGCTGTACAATTGCAGAGGCTTTACGATTGAAAACATTCGAGGCAAATTCATCATTTTCGAATATTGTTGTAGCCGAATATTTGACTGGCTGGACAGGGGGCGTTTTTCTTATTGACTTCAACAAACGTAAGCGGGTTGGCCTCGATCAATAATTTGGCTCCAAAGTAGTACCGAGGAGGTCATATTTAACGATAACGAAGAGTTAAAAGGCTCTAAGTAGATAGCTTTTATTGATTTTGTCTAAATGGCACACTCAAACTCTATATAAGTATTGGATGTGCGAAAGAGCCCTTTCTCATGAATGTAATGGATTTACAAAAAAAAGTGTATTTTAGACTCCAATAACATTTATGCCGAAATTACAAGTATGCCATTTGCCTACTGAAAAAAATATTTTTTTAGAGAAATGTAAAAACCACTATTTTAAATAGAAACCACTACTTTAGGATATTTTCTGTAGTGATAAAAAATAAAAAAAAAAGGAGTTTTCTAATTTTTCTGCTTGAAATCTAAAAAAAAGCTTGTTTTTCAATTTTTCAGTTTTAAATAAATAAACGAGTCTACCAGATAATGATCTTACTGCTTTATTCTAGAAGATAGATTACTGGCTGGTAGACTCGTTTTTTATTTTTAAACAGAAAAATTAAAAAGACAAGCTTTTTTTTTAAACTTTAAGCAGAGAAATAAGAAATTCCTTTCTTTTTTATTTTTCGTCATTGCAGAAAATATTTTTGATTTATTTTAAAGTAATGGTTTTTATTATTTTTCGAAAAATATTTTTTTGAGTACGAAAATGGCATACTTGTAATTTCGGCATACCTGTTAGTATTTCTATTATTTTTGAAATGCTTTTTTTTTGTAAGCCTATCATAATGATCATAAAGGCCTGAGGCACACAATTCTTCCCATAGTTTTTTCATTACTCTAGCTGTTGTATACACGGCTATCTACATGACTATGATTTAGAGTGACTTTGCACCGTAATGGGCTGCAGGAGTATTTAGGAGTGAAGTTGACACTGAACCGTGAATCTGTACTCTAAATTATGCAGTCTCTTTATTTACCGTCAGACTGATTATCACTACAAAGTAAACAGTAGGGGATCTATGCGCCCCTCATCCGTAAGGACACCAACGATTACATTCAATGGAATTCATGAAAAGATATTCATTTCCTTCAAGGGATGCTATATTCTATATAGATAGAGAGAAACAACAGAGTGTAATAAAGAACAACTTTCTTTTGGCCGTTTTCGGTTCTGATTGACTTTATTTTGTCTTTTTAATTGTAGTGTTTATCACACTAGCTACTTTTTTTGTAGAGATATTACTACAGCGTGAGCGATAGAAAAAGTTTTTCATCAAAAGTGGAAGAATTATGCATTTGGAGATGGAAAATCTTGACCAAATCTTTATTCGAATACGGAAGGTTTATTTCACTAATGGAGAAATGTAATCGCTTATACTGTTGTTTATGGTTACTATGATCCCTATGGCGGTTGCTATGGCGTCTATGGCGTCTATGGTTATTGTGTTCATTCTGTAAGGTTAAATCTGGTCAAAAAATTGATAATCAAAAGGATTTAAGAACGAGTTCAAATTACTGGAGTTGTCATTTGGGAAGTGAAGACGTCGTCGAAGGCTGACAGTTGCTCTATAAATTAAATTTTCATCTGACGCTTACTTGATTAGAGTCTGCTAAAATTTATCCAAGAGAAGGATGTAGTTGACTTGTGAGCCCGAAGCCAAATAGAGTATAGTAATCATAGCATCATAGCAACCATAGCAAACATTGCAACCATAGCAACCATTGCAACCATACACCACAATGTAGGCACTTATATTTCTAAAAAAAAAAGTAGCTAGAGTAATGAAAAAACTATGGGAAGAATTGTGTGCCTCAGGCCTTTATGATCATTATGATAGGCTTACAAAAAAAAAGCATTTCAAAAATAATAGAAATACTAACAGGTATGCCGAAATTACAAGTATGCCATTTTCGTACTCAAAAAAATATTTTTCGAAAAATAATAAAAACCATTACTTTAAAATAAATCAAAAATATTTTCTGCAATGACGAAAAATAAAAAAGAAAGGAATTTCTTATTTCTCTGCTTAAAGTTTAAAAAAAAAGCTTGTCTTTTTAATTTTTCTGTTTAAAAATAAAAAACGAGTCTACCAGCCAGTAATCTATCTTCTAGAATAAAGCAGTAAGATCATTATCTGGTAGACTCGTTTATTTATTTAAAACTGAAAAATTGAAAAACAAGCTTTTTTTTAGATTTCAAGCAGAAAAATTAGAAAACTCCTTTTTTTTTTATTTTTTATCACTACAGAAAATATCCTAAAGTAGTGGTTTCTATTTAAAATAGTGGTTTTTACATTTCTCTAAAAAAATATTTTTTTCAGTAGGCAAATGGCATACTTGTAATTTCGGCATAACTGCTAATATTTATGAAAATGCTTTTTTTTTTTCTTTTTCTTTTTGTAAGCCTATTACACTGATTGCGAAGACCTAAGGTGTATGAGTCTTTCCATAATTTTTTCTGTCGCTCTAACTATCTCTTTTGTAGAGTTATCGCAATCTTTAGAAAGAAGTTTTGAACACTAAAACTTAGGCTTAGATCAGAAAGACATAATAAAAAAGGTATGTTCAAACATTTAGACTTATGCAGCCAGAGGGTGCTACTGCTCTCCGAGCTGTTAGCCCTCCCTTTTCTTTGAAATTGGGCTTACAAGTCAACTACTCCCTTCTCGAATAAATTTTGGCAAACTCTAACCAAACAAGCGGAAGCTAAAAACCCTATTTGTAAAGCAACTGTCAACCGTCGACAACGTCTTTACTTTTCAAATGACAACTCCAGTAATTCGAGCTTTTTTTTGAATGTCCTTGATCATTATTTCTTTGAGCAGGTTCCCTGTTGCAGCAGAGCGATTACGACAGCTATAGCAAGCATAAAAATGACCATAGTAACCTTAACAGCAACCATAGAAAGCCATAACAACCATACATCATGGCGTAGACGATTGCATTTTCTTCTGTATCTGAGTAAAGGTTTGGTTAGAAATTTTCTTTAAAAGTGTAAGAATTCTTCAATAATGGAAGAAAATTCCTGGTGTTGTAGAGATATACGAATTCATATGCATATATCAACAAATGATGATTATGGCAAAAAAACAGATCACATATATGGCAATTGCAATAGATCTATATCCACTGATATTCACTCATTCTACCAAAAGCGCTACATCATTCTTACAGTCAAAAATTACTGATATAGTATCTATGTTAATATTAATGGCCCTCATAAAGTGATAATTAGAGCTGGCATATACATTAGCATTGACATTGTCAAATATGTAATAGTTTATTATTCAAGTTCAGGTCAGATCATGTACTATTGGCTGAGCTGAAAACTTCTTCTAAAGGCATTTCTCTTGATTGTTCCTGATCTGACATATCAATCCGTAGTCGGGAAGCTAATCCAAAACAATATCTTGGCCGAGAAGAAAAAGTATGAATACCTCGACATTTTACAGCAATTGAAAACCATCATATTTCTTTTGAAATAAAACCCTATACAAATTCTAAAGGACTTTTTTCTGTGTTCTCTTTTCATTTCACAACAAGAACAAGCCGTTTTTCGTTATTCTTTGTATCACACTATACTCATTATATGGTATCTGCTTTCTATCATAACAAAGTGTATATTCTATAGACTCTTATTGAAGGAATGTCAACTTGTTCATGAAAGTCGGTTTTTGTATTTATCTGTTTATCTATGAACAATGAGCTCGTTTGACTGGTTATATACTAAACTAATAGTACAAATAGGCATATCTTTATACTCTATGCAATAGCCTAGCTTTCAAACTCGTCATTATACTTTCAGACAAGAAAGAGATACGTTAGCAGATTAAGCAGAACTGTAAATGATACACAAACAATGCACTTCAAATTATTTTATCTTACGTTGTTTCTGTCTGCTCTATTTTTTCTTTTTATTTTGTTGCAATTTACTGACAAATCAAGTGCTCCCTATTACCCCTATTCGGGTATTTGGAACTGAGAGATAGTAAGGAACTCAGTTTAATACAACATTTATGCATCATTGTCTGACTACAATTTCTTATAAAAGTCCGCTATTGATGAACAGCAAGTCACAAACCTATGGATGTGTTTTTGTTCTCTTTCTTTTTCTCTCTCACGCACTATTATACATGGCAACTCCCATTACTAATGTACATAATACCCTTCATCGAAAGCGAGAAATATCGCCACCCAGTCCCAACTATAACTCGAAACGGTCTCGCATAGATACCCTTTTTCATAGCCCTACGCGGGACTTTGAGGACGAATTATTGGGTGCTCAGTCACCTATACTCGAAGACAGAAACATACTGCCTGAACCTGGAAGAGGTTATGAAAATTCGCCTTCGCGACACTCTAGCATGAATCATGATTTATTAGGCGAAGCAATACTTGAACAAGATAATCAAGAAGACAGTCCAAGTGAAGACGATTTCTTACTTAGTGGTCAAGATAAACCTTTTCGCCGCTCTCTTTATAGTGAACTTGTGTCTAGCAGTAATTTTGATGATGAAATACCTTCAAGGCGAAAAAGCATCATGTCTTCCAACTTGTTTGATGTAGAAGAAGATGAAGACGACGAAGAAACAACTATGGAAGATAAAACAACATTGCCTCTCAGTCGATCGTATGTTCGCCCCACAGTGCCACCGCCTATTTATGAAGATGAAGTTGATGCATTTTTCTCAAGTCACAATCCAGCAGATGAACCTGAATATGTGTTATCTTCCGCATTAAAAATGAGCATACTACAACAACAACATCAACAAGGTCCGCCTTTTATTACCGATTTCCCCCATTTTTTGACACAAGAGTATTTCGAGCAATGTGGGCCTCAGGACAGACAGATTCGCCGTCGTAATTCACAGAATGGACCGTATTTTGAAGAAAAGTTCCATATGATTAAGAATATGGGCTCGGGTGAATATGCTGAAGTGTGGAAAGTGAGATGTTTAAATACCAACGAAGAGTATGCTATCAAGAAATCAAAAGTACCATTTATTGGCTGGGATGATCGTTGGCTGCAAATCATCGAAGTAGATCACCTAAGACGAGTTAAGCAGAGTAAACATTGTGTACATATGATTGATGCATGGGAAGAAAAAGGGTTTCTGTATATCCAACTTGAATTATGTTCCAATGGGAGGTAATTTGAATACAACAAGTCTTGATCTCTTGCTAATTCCTTGTTAGTTTGGATAGATACATTCAATTGAAGCATGAAAATATAGATGAACAGACTGTTTGGAAAATATTTTATGAGATAGTGCTTGGCTTACAAGATATTCATGCTGCAAATATTGTCCATCTAGATCTGAAACCCTCCAATATTCTGATTGATGATAGAGGGTGTATTAAGATCAGCGACTTTGGTATTTCAATACAAACACCTGCGGATATGCGTTGGGTGAAAGGAGAAGGCGATAGACGATATATGGCACCAGATTTACTGCGAGAAGATTTTGATAAGCCAGCTGACATTTTCAGGTACAGAAAAAAAAATTAGTTCATGACATCTGACACAGGGCAACATAGTTTAGGTCTTATTCTGCTCGAATTGGCTACAGGCATTGTGTTACCAGGCACTGGCGAATCATGGGAAATGTTACGTGTAGGTGATTTCTCAAAACAGAAATCAGCCATGTTAAGACTGACGCCTTTTATGCGGGAAATGATTGAGTGGCTTTTAACAACCGAATCTAGAGACAGACCTACAGTACAAGACATTATTCGACACCCATCATTTCAAGCGATACAGATACATACAGGTGCATTACATGATTATGTGGAAGAATTGTCAAAATCAAATCGAATAAGAGATACAAATGAAGAATAAATGACATGCAGGCGCCACTTTAATAAACAAAATAAAAAAACTGACTGTGTGTAATCTATTTAAAGCAACTTGTTTTGCCTAACTTCCGTTTCTTTATTTCATTTTTCATGAACACTACATTTCAACAAGCCAATACTTTGGACATTTTAAAGTCAAAAGCTGATATTTATCTAAACCAACTTGATAAGGAATTGTCCAAAATAGACTATATCAATAAACTAGAGAAGCAAACTGGACTTCGTAAAAGTTATTTAGCAGTGGGTGTCACTGCAGTTGTGTTGACCATGGTACTTTTAGACCTTGGTGCTAAACTGGTCACAAATGCTATTGCTTGGATCTATCCAGGTATAAATGAAATTCTTTTTCTAGATACTTATTCTGTGTAGCCTATGCTAGTTTCAAAGCTATTGAATCACCCAGTACAGAAGACGATACTCAATGGTTGACTTATTGGACAGTCGTTGGATTTGCTCAGATGATTGAATACTTTTCAGACATTTTATTATATTGGTTTCCATTTTATTATACATTCAAAGTGGTGTTCATTCTTTGGCTTATTCTACCTCAATTCAAGGTAAGTATATGCTATTTGAACTTGCAAAGCTTACTCTTATTAGGGTGCGCATATTGCTTATGTTTGTGTTCTGCGTCCCTTCCTTTTAGGCGCACAACCTGAGATCGAACAACGCAAAAATAAGCTTTCGGATACTTTTAATAAAATTGGCCAAGACTTGATGAAATAAACTTTTTGTTTTAGAACATTATTTGCAGAAAACAAACAGCACTTTCTTAATTTCTATAGTGGCATTACGTTGAAGGTTTTTTATTATTATTATAAAACAAATATACAAGTGAATAATACATTCAAATTCTAGAAAAAGTAAAAAAAAAAAAAAAAGGGGGGATTTAAAGTTGCTTTAACAAAGTAGCTAATTCTTCAGCAACCTTGTCACCAACTTCAACAGTGTTCTTGTCACCATGAAGATCACGGGTATGGAAACCTGAATCCAAGACTTTACGAACAGCTTCTTCAACAGCACGAGCTTCAGCCTCAAATCCAAGAGAGTATCTAAGTAACATGGCAGCACTAAGAATAGTAGCAATAGGGTTGGCAATGCCTTGACCGGCAATATCAGGAGCAGAACCATGAATAGGTTCATACACGCCAAGACATTTGCCCTTACCATCAGGCAAACCACTGAGAGAGGCAGAAGGTAACAAACCAAGAGAGCCTACAATCACAGAGGCTTCATCGGACAAAATATCACCAAACATGTTTTCTGTCAAGACAACACCATTAAGACTAGTAGGACGTTGGACCATAGCCATGGCACAAGAATCGACCAATTGATGATCATATTGAAGTTCAGGGAATTCCTTATCCATGGTTTCAGTCACTGTCTTACGCCAAAGACGAGATGTGGCCAAAACATTGGCTTTATCAACAGAGTGAATCTTACCAGGTGGGGATTGTTTCTTGGCCAAGAGAGCAGCTAAGCGAGTGATACGCTCCACTTCTGGCTTTGAATAAGGCATGGTATCATAAGCTAAAACAAATAGGGTTAATTCATAAATCGACGCACTTGTACTTCTTGCTTACCTTGACCATCTTCACCAGCTTCTTTACGTTCACCAAAATAAATACCACCTACCAACTCACGTACAAACACAAAATCAGTACCTTGAACAACGTGATCCTTCAAGGGAGAAAGACTTGTCAATGATTCAGAAGCAAATGAAACAGGACGCAAATTAGCATACAAATCAAGTTCTTTTCTAAGCTTCAAAAGACCTTGTTCGGGACGAGGACCATTACCGATTTGAGCACCAGGAAGGCCACCGACGGCACCCAAAAGAATAGCATCGGCTTCTTTACAGGCTTGAAGGGCTTTATCAGGAAGAGGTTCACCTGTCTTTTCAATAGCATCTAAACCAATCAATTCGTATTTAAAGTCAAATTCGACACCGAGAGCTTGAGAACGATGTTTAGCGATAATTTGAAGCGTCTTGACAGCTTCTGCGACAATTTCAGGTCCAACACCATCACCAGGGAGACAAACAATGGAAATCTTTTGAGCAGACATATTTTTATGTATATACGAAAGAAAGAAGAAAAGAAAACACGAAAAAAGAATACAGAAATGTATAGAAAGTGATGAATCATGTCGATTTTAGCCAATCATATCAAGTAAGATTTAATTGGAGGATCCTCAGAATGACAAAGTGATCCATGCAAAAATCTGTGTCACAAACCCATTACATGAGAAGATTATAATTTTTTTTTAGACCAATAGAAATGTTTTTGAGAATTATATTTTATTTTTGAAAAAATTGAGATAATTTGTAGACATTTTACATATAAAAAGGACAAGGACAAGAACATGGCATTAGTTATTTTAAACCCTTTTCTTTCTGAATACATCTCTCCCAATAAGATTCAGCGTGTTTTACTCACTGCAAACAATCTTTTGTAGTCACCGTGTTGCATGCTTCAGCGATACGAGGTGTCAATTCATCACCTTTCTTCAAAGGGTTTCTTCTAATCCCACTTTTAATCTTAGACTAGCACTCTTCGATGGGATTTAAAAACAGAGAGTAAGGTGGCATGAATAATGGTTTGTATCCCCGTTTTTCAATAGCATCAACAACAAATTTGGAGTGGTGTACCCTACAATTATCCATGACAATGAAAAATCCTTTCATCTCATTTTTGTCAAGTACATCCATTACAGATTCTATATATTTGACTATATGATAAGCCGTAGTACCTTTCTTTAAAGGCTTTTGTTTTTTAGGCTCTTCAGTGTTGCGCTTTCTTTTTTAGCCAATACCTCGGAATGAAACTCTTTCTCTATCAACTCAGCATCCTCTATTTTCAAAGGTATAACTTTGGTAAAGCTTATAATTCCTCTAGCACATATACACCCAATCATGCTCAAATTAACGCCTTTTTGTGTGTGCACTTTTACATTCGCTGGAGCACCAACTTTCGACCATGCACGCCCTCTCATCAGTTGAGAGTGAAAGCCAGCTTCATCAATAAACACACAGTTTTTCTGGAAATCAACACCGGCCTCTATCCAATTGTTGATGATTTCGTAGCGGAGATTGAGCGTTCTAGATGCATTCCTTTCAATTGTGTATTTACTAGCTTGCTTTAATGTCAAGCAGCACTTTTCACTAATATGCACATACAAAGAAGAAATAGCAACGGATAGTCCAAACTGCTTCATCAACTCTTCTCTTGCCTGTTCCAAAACGGTCGAAGGGTTTGCGTCAAACAACTGGATCAAAAAGGCGGTATGGACAGGAAATAGCTTTTTTGGTTTCGCTTTTCCTTTTTGTGTAGATGTACTACCTGTAAGAATGGTTCCGTTACTGTCATTAAACTGTTTTAGAAGTCTATAAGCATTGCTGGTAGGTATGCCACAAGCTTCAGCTGCTTTTGGTATAGTTTCCCCTGTTTCCTGTAGTATGTTTATAAAGCGTGCGATTTGCTCAGGCCCATACTTTTTATATCTTTTAGTTTTAGTGATCATCATCTCTTCCAGCTCTAAAACCATTTCCTCCATTTTCTCATCAGCTGTGCTTTGAGGAGTATCTTCTACGAGGTACTCATTTCCCCTGAGCATCTCAATGTCGCCGAACTCAATAGCAACCTCATCAACTTCCATTCCCTCAGTCATAAAGTTGTTGTAGTTTTCGTCTGGAATATAATTAATGAAGTCCATTTTGATTAAAAGTTGTCTAATCTAAAAGAAAGGAAATCGTCTAAAAACTTATTTTCGGTATTTCTAAACTAAAAAAAGGATTCTTTTTTTTTTTTTTTTTTATCAAGACAGAGGTGTTTAAATTGCACGTGACTGTGTAGTTTTACATCATTGAATTTTTTTTTCTTTCTTAATTTTTAAAAGTGTGCGGTTACCCGGCCGAAAAAGTCCAGACATCTATGGTGCAATTGCACTGTTTTGGAGGAGTGGAAGCGATAAACCAAGGTAGAAGCCTTGGCCGCGCTGCTATATATTCTAGTTGCCCCATTTTGACGAGGAATTTGCCCATTTTGACAAGGAAATTGCCAAGTAATCAACCTGACAGCAATAATCTGACTACTAACATCTTTCTACAAGCTTTAGGTTTAGACAGAAGAACTTGATGACTCTTATAGGCTGTAATTATTTTTTGTCAAATAAAAAAACTTGTGAATAATCATGAAATTGTCTTAACCGTTTTTTCCCTCTATGTTGTACTGTTTGAATGAATTATTGAGGTTATGTATTTTTGAGCTTTAAGGATTGAGGGCCATCGTAACTAAACTGATCTCTCAAGGCTGTTGAGGGGTTTAACAAAGCAAGGCAGCATGTTAAAAACGCCTTCAAATAGACAACAATATTTGCCTTGGCTAAATGAGAAATTGGCAAGTTTCAAATACTGTGATCCTTTCAATACATCATGTTTAAACGTTAACAGCTTCCCAAAACTAATTTTATTATTCAAGATGATCCATCTCTGCATTTATAACTTCTTAACGAAATTATAGTTTATTTTATACCTCTAAAAAAAACCCTTGACCTCATCTTTTGTTTTATACACTTTGAGCGAACTGGGTATTAAACCATTGAAGGACCCTGACATCTCCCCTTCTAGCTACTAGCTTTACAGAAACCTTTCACGTTTAATGCGTAACAGAAGTTTTTTTAACTTCCTTTGCAACGTGTGGTTGAGCATTATCGTGGAGTAATGAAATATCCCAAAACAGATCGAACATTTATCAATTTTTTATGCATTTCGTGTGTATCCTTGCCATTCATGATTTCATTTTGTTCCAAGATGTTATAATAAATGATCTTCCTGAAAGTCCACCAAACACTTAATTAAGCCTTTTTATAATGGAGATCAGTCTTATGGAAGATTGCTCGTTTCGCACTAACATCAAGTCACTTGTTAATACACTCTTTGGCTCTTCCAACCACCAAAACGGCTCTCTAACAAAACTTTGAGTGTGATTTACCAGTTTGTTTAGCAACAGAAATTCCCTAGACAATCCTTACAGCCAGTGGATTGTAAGAACTTGATCCCATCTTCCAACATCAAATACTGCAAAAAAGGTGATTAATATACTTGTTTGAACCAAAAAACTTTTTCTCCTTTATTCGACCTTTTATGTTGCAACAACTGTCATACTTCCAAAATTCAGAGGCCTTTTCCTTGCCACCTTTATTAGATAAAGTTCAAAGAAAAAATAGTATTACTGACACTAACTTCTCTATCTGGCAAAATATCTTTCAGACAATGGACTTCTTTCTTCCTGCATTCTTCATTACCAAGTCCCTTCTACTAGTCGCAACTCTATTCTGTTTACCTCTCTACCGCTCATTACAGATCGATTCTTCTCACTGGTTTCACCGTCATCCAATCTTTTCAAGTTATCTCTCTTTGAATGTAGACTCCAGGCAAAGGAAATCATGCCTAAAAGTCGAGGGAGAATATACTTAGTACAAACAACTCTATCAAAAATTGTTCCATGGTGTCATTTATACTAGTACTATACTTAAGGATTCTCCCATCAATGATATATTTTTCATTAAACACTTCATTCTGGATCTCATTGGTAACTCTGATAAATGTGTTTTTTTTTTTTTTTTTTTTTTTTTTTTTTTTTTTTTTTTTTTTTTTTTTTACCTAGGACCTATCGAGATGAATTCCAAGAAATATCCAAAGAGGTACTTAATCTCCTGGTTCATATCCTACAGCTGTTCTGGAAAAGTCCGATGCATCTACCTGCACACACCTGTCTTTATTGAGTTTTATACAAATGCATCCTCCATAACGAAATCCTACTAATCCTTGTATCTGTTCGACTTGTATCCATTTATAAGATAATTTTTTCCATGTCCTAGTTGAGTGTTGAGTTAAGTAGCGTCTTTGACAAATAATCTTGAAGCAAATGTATCCATAGTTTCACTTCTCTTCGGAACTGATATACGATGCGACAAAACTATTTGATATAATATCCAACATTTTTCACACTCTCTACAATAGTTCAAAATTCATATATTTTTATTAGTCTGAGATAACTTTTAGCTGAATTCTGCTTCTTTTGGGTCATTGATATGACAGAGAAATACAGAATACAGTAATACATGATATGATTAATTGTATTGGAGAAAATAAATAGAGATAAATATAAAATCATTCTGGGATATTCGGAAGGAAAGGAAACTAAATAAGAGAAATCTCAAGATGTAGGTACTGCAAAAAAGGTGTTGGATCAGTTTTTCCAAAATAGGTAGGATTCCAGACATATTGATTTGGATTGAGGTCTTTAGGTAAGTAGATAAGACAGAATGGTATTGGGAGAATGGTAGCCGTTAATGGCAGGAGTATGATTGGGCTTTTGTTTAAGACTAAGACAGTAAACGTGATGTGTTTGTGTGAGCAAGGATTATGATGAGCAATTTTTGGCATATATTGACAATCAAGGCAAAGTCCGTTCTGTAAAGCCTACAACGATTGCAAATTGGGTAACAAAAACTATGAAAGATGCAGGCATAGATACGACAAAATACAAGGCGCATTCGATTAGGACTGCATCAAGTACAAAGGCAGTTGAAAATGGTCGGAGCATTGAAGAAGTTAAACAACACGCAAATTGGAGCAGACATACAAAAACCTTTGAAGACTACTACTACAAATTGACAATGCCACAATCTCTTGGAAGTCGAATAACAAACTCAATTTTTTTTACCGGAAAACCTTACCACATTTGGGGCCAAAGCAAAGGCGAAAAATGTGGTAAATGCCCTGCCCTGGTATCGAAGACTCTTAACTGATGATATTCCCACCCTGAAAAAAAAATTGACTTAAAGCGTTTTGAAAGATATAAGGGAAAAGGGAGTTATTTGAGCACTTCTGAAATTCAAGTGATTCGCACATTCAGGAAAATTGTGTCGCATTTACAGCGCCTCCAATGCCAATTGACGTTTTGACATAAGTATATATCGACGTTTAATCATAGGCACGTCTTACTTCAGTTAAAGTAAAGCGAAACTCCTGCTTGCATTCGCCATCAGTGAGTAGATCAAGATTGATTCGCTTGCGGTTAATTCCCTTGATTCTCAGCGTATTAGATTGATTCTCGCTAAGGATAATAACGGAAGCACCAAGGGAAAAGGTCATTTCACTTTCTTTTTGCAGTGAAAGTACAACGTGTAGTATGGAAATTTCCCCAACATGTTTGTAAATTTAAAATAAATTCTTTTATTAGCTATACAAAATATAAATGAGGTTATTGGGGGTATTACTAAAACGTGTGTTATAATATATATAATAACAAAATAACTACTTATATCTTTGCTGTTTGATGGGCGACCTTTTTTATTCAAGTCTGATATGGCGGGCATGTTGAAGCATATATCTAAGAGATTCACTAGCATCAACAGATATTATTTGGTTCTGTTGACGGACTAACAAGTCCTCCAACAAGCGTTGTTCCTTCAATTCATTCTATTTAATATCTAAGAGTAAGCAAGAAAAAATATGAGAAAAATCTTTTCTACTTACGTGTAAGCAAACCAGAAGCTCAAATACTCGGATCATACTAGTTCTTTGCGCCCATGCTGTAGGGATACTAGCACTTCTTAACTCAACAATCTGGAAGCGATCCGAATGAGGGTCCAAGGTAGTCTTCATGAGAGTCAACTTGCTTTTAATGCATTGAATACCATAGACAGCTAAATTAAGAACGGAAGAGTGTTTGCAATCTTGTTTTCGACGCAACATTGTGCTCAAGCTAGAAGACATGGATTCCACTAATTTGTATGTATCGCCAATACTGTGTTCAAAGTCTTCCACTTGAAAACTCGAAGATGATTCCATAAATATTTTCTCTTGCTGGATGTCTGTTCTACCTATGCCATCTGAAAAGAAGTTATTTTTAGAGTTTAACCAGATACCAGGATCCCTTTGGTTTTCTTGGTTTGACTTGGCATGATCCTCGCACCTGTGGTTCATCAGGAGAACAAATAAATATTGTCAAAACTTTAATGTGTTTAACAAGTTTTACTTACCAAGAAAATACAACCTGATCACTAGCTCCAAGATACTTAAATAATGGTACAATACGTTCAACCCAGAATGAGCGTTCATGGTCTTTACGAAAGTCATCTTGAAAGCAAATACCCCAAAAATCAGTTAAGCAGAGACCAAACATTTTATACAATTCCAAATTCTTTTCATTCGCGTCGCGTGCTTCTTTCTCACTTTTCCACAACTCAAAAGCAAAGTTTGCCCTGTTGTTGTCATTGTCCTCTACATCAAGAATTTCAATCATTTTGGCGTGTAAAGTGGGTTCTCCACGAAGACTTTTGAGGTTAAACTGGTCGTTTCGATGTTGTTGATATATATTGAGCAAAGGAGCAGGTATGTTTGATAGGGGGACACATGATAATGCCAGATTGCATGATGGTCCTAATTTGCTTATTATGTCTAATGTCAGTTTGGGCTTTTCTGGAGTGTATTGCGAGGAGGAAGGTTGATCCAGTACTGATCTTTTACGGGAGTCAAGCATCTGAATTGAGTCATTAATGTTGGTATGGATAATTCATATGTATTTTTAAAATCAAGCCTACCTCACGCCAGACACGTTCATCGTTATCATCACTGCTCTCATTTACTTCTTCTTCATCTTCTTCTTCTTCATCTTCTTCTTCTTCGTCTCCTCCTTCTCCTTCTCGTATGTCTCTACAGCTGTCTTCTAATTTCATGCTAAATTGTGAGTAGAGCAAAATATGTGAAAAGATCATTGTTTACCATCTAGAACTGAAAGAGTTCTTTTTGTCACTTTGCTGACTGAACTATCTGCTATTCTGATTGCACTATGCATTCCTTTTTGAGCAAGGTTGAGTATTTTGCGTTCAATCTCCAAATCGGCCAATTGAGTTTTCTTGAGTTCATAACTATTTTTGCATTCTTGTTTATAATCCAAAGTTGAAGCATAATCTTTACATTTCTTTGCGAAAAGTTTTATTGAACTCATTTCAGATGACTTTGAAAGCTTAGAGAACGCTTCGAGGATAAGTGCATAGATATCCTCAAAATTCTTTGTTTGGATGATCTGGGTGTCTAAAGCACTAACAACTTTACTTGCACAAGTCCATTGAGCAGCAGGTAAATTGAGTACCCCACAAGGGAAGTCTTTCTGGTTTTTTGGCACTGAGTATGTTTTAAACTTTGCTGGCGGTACAGGTTTTCTTGTTTTTTTAGTAGGTGCCATATTAGAAAAAGCGAAAGATATTGATAATAAATATGAGAGGGTGTATATAGTAATCCAAATTATGTTGACGTTACCAAAAGTTTAGAGAAATATAACTCCCAGTTTCTTTTTCTCTATTTGACTCTTCGTGGTGACCAACTTAGTAAACACTTGGTGGATGTTCCAAGACGCTACGGCGATTGCAGCTTAGCCATCCCCCTTGGTGATTTCTTCAATCAAGGGCATGCAATCAATATGCCGTTTCTTGGGCCCTGAACCCTAGTGGAAGAAGTGTTATCTAAGCAACTCGGGGTTCCGTTATACGGTTGCTCGTTTTGTTATGGTAGGCGACTGATGCATTTCGTTATTGGGTATGTCGGTAAACACTTGGTGGATGTTCCAAGACGCTACGGCGATTGCAGCTTAGCCATCCCCCTTGGTGATTTCTTCAATCAAGGGCATGCAATCAATATGCCGTTTCTTGGGCCCTGAACCCTAGTGGAAGAAGTGTTATCTAAGCAACTCGGGGTTCCGTTATACGGTTGCTCGTTTTGTTATGGTAGGCGACTGATACATTTCGTTATCTGACGGTCACTAAGGTTTCTTTAACTCAAAAGGTTGCTACGTTTTATTCAAGATAAGTACTAAGAATTTTTAGCAAGACTTTTCTCTAATTGCTAACGAGTATTACTTTTGTTAGTACATCGCCTGAAGTTGTTTATTTGTTCCAGATATGGAAGAATATTATTCTAAATGTATTGACCTCAAGCTTAAGGTAAATATATAATATAAAGTGATATAAAAACTAAAAGAGGTAACTAATACAAAATGTGATATTGTAGATTCCTTACCGAATGCTACAGAAGAAGGCTTCGGTTCTCAGCTGGTGAGAGCGGTCCTTGAAGTAAATGCCTTTGTTTCTACTCTTACTGTCTGTGACAGGTTTCTTGTCGTCAGGGTTGGCACCAGAGCGATAGCCGTAATAACTTTGGTGGCCTTTAAACAATCCGGTTGCTTACAATCCTGATCTAAAGGAGACAATAACTAACCTGAGGAATAAAATGGTGCTGTCTTTTTGGAAGAAGCGTGTGGAGCAGTGTATTAAATGCCAGGGTGAACTTCGTGACATAAATACCACTGCAAATTTCGTTGAAGAATAACAACTAGAAAGCCATCGTATAGCATATGAATACAGTAAAACTAGCCTCCAATACATTTTTTTCAAGTTCCATATGCAAAAGACTACATAAAAGAACATCTTTACCATTTTCATAAAATAGAAGCTTTTTACTACACTACAAACAAACCATCGAAAAGATAAAAACTACCTGAATTAACTTGGAAATACAGTGAAGCTGGGAAATATTGGTGAAAAACTGAAAAATGATTGGTCATTTTTAAATTTTTTATTGACTTGATTGAAAAGCTCTCCGGGATTTTTTCAATGAATATATAATATTTCTGGCTCATACTTATACCATTCGATAGAGCTACCTATCCGGTTTGTTCCTATTGAAAAAAAAAACAGTGTTTCATTCTTGCTTTTGTCTAGTTGTAAGAACATGAAAAAAAAATATATATTTATAAAAAATAAAAAAGCACATTTAAACCCAGCTAAAAGTCATTTCTACGTCTTCATGATCTTTCGTACTATTCTTCAATAAGGGTATAATAGCCATTTCCTGATAAACGAAGCACTTCTTGGTTGATCCAAAATTCAAGTGCATCCACTGCTTTTTTCTTTTCTATGCCAATTCTATCAGCAATTTGTTCTCTTGTGAATGCATCGCCTTTAAAAGAAAATTAGATCTTTTGCTCTTTCTCTTCTTACTTACTTTTAGCCTCAAACAACCTGATGATCAAAGCTGCTTCTGGACTAACATCTACTGTTAGTGTTCTTGAAGCAAAAGTCAAATCTAAAGTAACAGAACCTTTGTGAGGTAAAAACTTTAGTTTTCTTGATGCCTTGACTTTTTGATACTCCGTATTGTAAGACTCTATGGATCTATAGAAAAAAAAAGCGTGAAAACGTTGTTACAAAAAAGACAGAGAGATACACTTACTCTTTATGTTCTGGCCATACAGGAATATCTGATTCTTGTTGATCATTCTCTTTATCCTCTTCGTCGCCACCAGGCCAATATTTACGAGACATGATAATCGCATGAAATGAGGATGCAACACCAGGCTTTTCATGAACAGACTTGTCTAATCGACGACTATCATCCATGTCTCTTAGCATAATATCACATCGAAGAAATGCCTCTGGAGGAAAGTTTTGTTTCAGCATCTCTAGTTTACGCACTTCTTCATCTGTGTCGTAACCTTTGCTTGTCAATAAGATTTGGCCTAGTTTATCGCTGTATTCCCTGATAAAATCTTTTAAAGACTTGCACATACTGATCAGCATAGCAACAGGATCTTTAGACTTTCTCTGTAATCTTCTCAACATAGCTTAACCAGAAAAATAAAATAAAATAAAACATCAGTCAAGTTTATCCACTTGCTTCGTACTTACCTGTCTTGTCTTCTTTAATGACAACTGTATCTATAGGCTCTTGCTCGTCATTTAATTCGGACTGTTTAAAACTGAAAATGTCTTCATCCCTTCGAGCTAGAATTTCATGTTCTTCAGCATCTCTAATCAGCTCTACAACACCTTGTACAATGTCATTTCGATATGTCCTAGAACACAAGTTGTGAGATGAAGGGATGGTCATTGAGATAGTAGTTACTTTGTATAGTCTCCTATCAAATCAATCACAGGCACCATGATGCTACAAGAAGGATCAATGATAGTTAAGCATTGAATGCATGCAATATATTGCTGCAGAATATCTACAGCAGATGCACCTTGATGTAAGAGTCTGTTGAGTAACCTAATAGCACATCAGTAAGATCAACGTCATTTTCTTTTTGAGATACAAACTCTTCCATTAGCCTATCTTTTAGGTCATTCAGTAGTCCTCTTTTTGTAGCTACAATCTGTTCTCGATAAGTAAATTAAAAAAAAACTCCCTCTTTTCTTTTCATCTTACATGAAAGTCCTGTATGACATTATGAGTAGAGGGATATTCCCTTATGATATCAAAAATAGCTGGTACTCTAAACTCATAAATCATTTCATATAGTACATGTTCAGCCTTGATCTTTTCGCGTATAAAACTATACCAGTTTTTGTCTATCAAAAATGAATACTCTAATTCTATGGATTCTTCTTACCTATATTGTCTGTATGAGGTATAATATGAGAAAGCCATGGCAAAACAAGCGTATGAAGCCATTTCAACTGAATGTCTACCATAGATACCTGCCAATCATCCTTCCATTTTGAATGGACCAATCGATCCCTGATCTTTGGTTTCAACAAGTGTATCCAATTGGGTGTTAGTTTTAAATTGTTCAGCGTATCACAAATAAGAGCAAACTCTTTGATATTCTCATCCAATTTTTCTAGTTGATACTCTTGATTTGCTTCATTTTTAATAAACCATTGGTTAACTTTGATATCCTGGATTGAATTGGATCTCTGACTGGCTTCGTTCAAAATATCAACAGGCAAATTAAAGACATCATAGAGCTTTGAAGGTTCTGTGTCCAAAATAAGCTGTACTTGACGTTCCAATTCTTCATCTTGATATTTAGCGATATGACGAGAGAAAAGCGGTGCAAATGAGGTGTTGTCGTTGATATGATGATTAATCCAAAACCAAGTCTCAATCTGCTGAATGGCTTGTGTATAAAATGTATCTTTGATATCATGAAAGGAATACGAAATTTTTTCATGGATCAATGCAAGATTGGCTTGTATCACTCTCCTTTTTAACTCCACAGCAGTTAATGCACTTCCTCTATTTTGCTGTTAAACAAGAACCAGGATACTATCTACTTACTCTGGAAAAGGCATATTTAAAGCAACAAGTGTATCTGTATGACATTTATAGATATCTTTGACCAAAGCAGAGAACAAGGCAACCATTTGTGGTGTATCATGTCTTTTTTTCTAAGGCACAGTTTGATTTCATTGTTCTCTGTAGGCTTAATTTACCTTATAGTCTGTTTCCCAATGTTCAAATAGCACAAAAAGAGATCCTTCTAGATAGTCAAGTGCACTTTCTACATAATAATTATGTACAACATGATGAGGAGCATTGGGATCATGTAAGTTTTTCAGGACAGAATCACGAACTACAAGAATAAAGAGAGATTGGAATTAGCTAGATCTTCACGATCAACCATTTTTTTTCTTTTTACTTCTTAGTAAGCGTGGATGTCGTTCACAGTAATCGACAATCTGTGCCATGCTGGGTATAGGCTAATAGATCAAATCAATGTTGATCATTCACATTGTTTGTCTTCCTTACATCGTTATCTTCACTTATGCCTTGACTTTTAAAATATGTCTTGAGTGCCTTTGTAGACTCAAATGCTCTTTTTTGCTTTGGTATGTGATAATAAGAAGCCATTTGTTTTTTTTTTTATATAAAGATAGAAACGCGCAAATAAATCATGAAACCCCTTTTTATTGTTTTTCTACAATGCTCCCCCAATCATTTTCGTCCCTGGAAGCTATAGCAGATAAATGATGAGCATTGCCCATGGAGTGTGCCTTTTCAGACTCTAAGGCAACTGCAGTTGGTCTCCATTGCTCTATTTGGCTTGCATCTTCAGAATCCGTGCTCTCGTTACTCTCTTCCGCTGTCAAAGTATGATTTCTAAGTGAAGAAAACGCCATATGAGGAGATTGCCCTAGACTGGACCCAATGAGTGTAGACAAAGTAGACTGATCTATTTGCAAAAAAAGATCTGTATGCTGAGGCGACCACCTCGACTGTTGAATCAGTGCTCTTGATCTTGCTTCTGCTTCTCGCCATTTTCTTTCTTTTTCGAATTCAGACCATTTCTTCATAATGATTTGTGATGAATCAAACTCGCCCTCTTTGTCACCATGGCTATCTTTGCCTTCGCCCTCGACTTTTCGAGTTTCTCCCCATGTGAAATCATCAAAATGCCAATAAGCATAGGAAGGCAAAACAAAGTTCCAGATAGGTAAACTAAACAAGTAAATAAACATCCAGCCTACATAAACAAGTTTTCTACTGGTCATGACAATCAGAATTGCTGGCAATCCTAAAATAAGGGCAAGCAAGATCAAGGAAAGAACAGCAGGTTGCCCAAGCATGGCCAAGATAATAAGATAGATAGTAAATGAAATAGCTGCAGGCAACGCGAGTGTGCCTACAAGTTCCATGAACACAACAAACTGCATAGAAAAACAAAACGTCCCACACAAGTCTCGTACAAACACAAGCTCCATAAGATTATGAATAGTCGAATTGATCCAACGTCTTCTTTGTGATAATAAAACCATAAATGAATCAGGCACCACTGTTTTACAGACAGCTTGAGGCACAAAAAGCATTTTCCTTTGAGGGAATGTCTTTAACATCAAGGTCGATAGGTATCTGTCTTCCCCAAGCAAAAGCAAGTTTTTCTTGTGAAGGGTGTCAACCACATTTTCGGAATAATGCTCAATAATATCAGGGTTGGCCAATATAGGAACCCAGTGTCCATTGTTGCCCTTGGGTGCCTTAATACGATACATACAGAAACAACCTGGTAAACAAGTAACATTACCAAAGATGGATTCAAACGCTTTCGATTGATGATGAGAGATATAATACTCAAACACTATTGAACGGTTAATTCATTCAACGTCATGGACTTTCTCTCTCTCTCTTGTTACCTTGAATCATGGAGACCCAACTGTCTGTTTTGTTTCCAATCTTAGTCTCTCCACAAAGTCCCATGACTTCTGGATCTTCCACCATACAGCTTACTAAACGAGACAAGGCATCAGGATACACCTTTGTGTCTGCATCCACCATCAACACAATTTCATATCGATCAGGACTCACACCAGTAATGCGCCAAATATTCGTAAAAAACTCATACTCTAACTCAGTCATTCGTTCATCAAACATGATCTTTTGTAGAAATGACATGAGAATCACTTGAGAGTCTCTCTTGCCCCGGTTTCCGGGTTTAACTTCCTTTTTTTGTTCTTCAGGTGTACCACATTTGACAATGGTAATCATAGGCACGCGTTTTTGTGAACTTATGTCGACTGTCTTATCGTCATATTTATAGAAACCAGTATAGATTTTGGCCATATTGTGTCGTTTTGTGCCATCTGCAATAGCCACATAGGAATTTGCCTCCACTGCTCCTGGCTCAATCAGGAAATCCTGCATCATGGAAATACAGATATCAGGAGTAGACATACTGTTACCATGACCTGTGATCATACCATCTGCAACCACTAGAATCAGTTTATGTGAGTGAGGATAATCTGTAGAAGCAATAGAGTCCAGTGTGGTTCGAAGACCTTCTTCTCCTTCAGAATAACAAGTGACTAAACAAATGGTGTGGGCCAACGTGAATCCAAAGGGTTTAAATTCGGGCTTTGGCTGTTTGATGACATGAGGGGATACATTGTACGGGCAGCCTACTGTTGTTTGATGCGTTCCATGAGACAAGGATCCTGAAGTCTCTGAAGAATGTCTTGATAATGGACCTTGAGAGCTTCTGTTGGTATCGAGTGCTAATGTGGACCGAGGCGATAAAATTACGCTTGAGTTGTACATCTGTCGTGGTGATCCAAACACTCTGGACCTAACATGAAATAATCAGTTAAACTACATAGATGAGCATCTTAAGAAAACCATTTACCCTGTATTGGCTTGTTTCCAAATCACGCTCGTGGGTCTTTCAAACGAGTTAAAATGCATCAATCCAGCTTCAGGCTGTGTAAATCTTGACTTTGTAGGAATGATGCTTTTCTTTTTATTTAATGGACTCTGCTGGTAAGGAGTTCGATGCGTATGTGACGAAAAAGAGCTATGAGGCCGTATTGCTTCTGCAGGAACATGAATACCCGTCGTCCAATCTTCTATCTCAAGATCCCTTTTCATGCGGTCTTTATAAGTCGCTCTGTTTTCAGTGTTGAAGTTGCCGAGCTTAACCGACAAAAACCATCCAAACACAACAGCAAGAAAAAATTTGACAAAGATGACGCCCAAAATAACAATTAAGGATGTATAGAGAACAACATCTGAGGCAATGCATCCTACGCTTTTTGTATCGATTTCTCCTACTTTGATCGTATCCAACAAGCAAGTCGCTTCTGTTTGCCATGTTACTATTGTATTTTCATCTTTTGGATGTGCTGCAATTATATGCGTGATATCTTTCCCGCCAAAATCACTGGTGTTTCTAAGAATGGATTGTATAAGTCCATTGGGAGGCAATGTAAATAACGATTGTGACAAAGATTGTAGTAGGTTGAGATTGAGCACATAACTAATGAAAATTAAATTACCTAGAGGGGTAATTTTGATAGTTGTTACCTATTATACACTGCCAAATGAGAGGTTGTGTTCACATCATGCCAATCATAATACACTCTGCCTGCCTTGTCGTATCTTCCTTCTGAGTTAAGTATACCCTTTGTTTGCATCGAATTTAGTTTTTCTCGGGAAGAGGGCTTCAAGTGACACGCTGTCATATTGCCATTGGATACTAGCATTGGACTTTTGTTATGATCCATTAACTGACAAGGAAAATAACTCAGTAGATCACCTTGACCCACTATTGCTCCTGCTTTTTTAGGTAAAAAGACGGAACTACATTGTTGATTGATGTTTTGAAACAAAAAAGAAGCATCTTTTCCTCCAGCCTGGATGGGTTCGTAAATCACATTCGTCGATAAGTTGGTTAAGCCTGCAATGGCGGGATGATCGTTCCATGAAGCAAGCAAATAAGCCCATCCATGAATAATAACATAGCCTTGGTTAATTGAATCTACTCGAAAACTGAGTGCAGGCCGAGGACACACGGCTTGTGTGAATCCAAAGGTCAAGAAACCAACAAAAGCCATGATACACAAAATGATGCTGACAAGTCCCATTTTTTCACGAAATGCCGTTTGAGCACTTTTATCTCTTTTGCCTATGACATGATCAGAACAAAGAATACGAATATGTCATTGGTACCTATGGCCTCTAAAATAGGAGAAGGGAAACAGCAAGTAACTAAATAACAATAGATTGTCCAACAACTCCATGATGTTTTAAATTGTGAATTATCAATGTTTTCTAGTTGATCATCAGAATCATCTCTTGATATTAAGCCTCTTCTTATCACTGAACGTCGAGTGGGGTGAAATCGATCACCAGAAGGACGATGCGTTGTGTCATGAGGGTCTAAACGCTCTTTTAATTTTCTTTTTGTGTGGTATTGAGGGTGGTTTGCGTCAATGCGACTTCTTTCGGGGCGAACAAGTGAAGTGGAGCGTTTTGGTAATTGACTATTCGTAGTTTCACGATAATCTGAATTGATTGAAAAATTACTGAATGAAATATCCATGTTGAGGTCTCTATATGTAGGTTTATTAAATAAAATCGATTTTAACGTATAAAATAATAATTATACAAGCATATATATATATAACAATAAGAAGAGAGGAAAAATCACAGAAAAAAAAAGATGTTGTCTGTTGAAAAAGGAGTTGAGTCTTACTATTGTTTGTTTTATTTATATGTATGCACAGTCTATCATGGTGTGTGTTTATGGGCATTATTTAATGAGGAGAGCTTCTAGAATTCAAGACTAATCATGAAAAGGGGCATATGCTTTCTTATACAAACAAACAAAAAGACTGGGAGAACTCGCTTTTGGTCCTTAAGGGGCTCAATTTACTGCAATTGCAAAGTACATCATAGTCCATATGATTCAGAATGGCAGAAAAAAAAAAGAATAGGTGTTGATGTACGTAAAGTATAGGCCATCCCATACAGACATTAGGGGTTATAAGAAGTAAAATGCAAGTGATGTATATTCACATCGACAACAACATCCATCTTAGGAGGAAGAGGGGATTATGCAACACCAGATATATGCATAGGCTATAATAGAGTGTGATAATCAATTTACAGAAAACATAAATCTCTATCATTCAATTCTTTTTTATTTTATAGATAAAGATGGTTTCTTTAGTTTAGACTAAAATAATAACAATGAGTGCGCAGTAGAAAATAGTCTATGTTTAACTGAAAGGTACGTAATTTAACATCGCAATGAGCTATATAGCCTATTCTTCTAATAAAATGACAGAATTAAATAGTACATTCCAACAAAGGATTTATTTTGGAAACAATGATTACTTTTTTTTTTTCTGGATATTTACAATGTATGAAAGAAAGAATGATATACAAATTACATAAATTAGCCCCATCTTCTTCTGTCTATGTCATCATCAGACAATGATCCTCTTCTTGAAGAACTCCTACTATGATAATAGTGCAAGAGTGATGGTGGTGGTGGTGGTGATCTTCGACTGTTACTGCTATAACGATTACTACTGCGATAATAAGGTGAAGGCGGACGATGACGGTGATGATGACGGTGATGAAAGTGATGATGTGGATACCGGTAATAACCATTGTTTGTATAGTGATGTGATCGATTGTAATTAGGCCGACTGTTGTATTCACGATAAGGTGAGGTAGGTCGACTGTCCATATTGTTCGTAGTGCGTGCATAATATGAATCGTCTTTCTGCTTATTTGTATCCGTAGGAGGAGGTGGTAAAGAAGAAGGAGAAGTGGATTGATGATCCTCTTCAGATTCTATTCGTGGCTTTTTTGGAGAAGAAGGTAGTTCGTCTGCTATAAAGGAAGACTGCTTGTTCTCTTCAACAATAGGCTTTTCTTTTGATATCGATCTCTGCTTTCGTTTTCGTTGCACTTTAACTAGAATATCCGCACCATGCGTATCAATAAACTTTTCAATCTTGGTACGAATGTTGCTGTTAATAGCCTGTATTTTGCGTGAAGATTGTATTTCTCGGTCCACAATATGGTGTGTCATCTAGATGAATAAGTCTTCTGTGATCTACAATCAGGATTACCTTTCTCGCTAATTCTTTAAACAAATGCTTGTCTCCATTCCATAACTGCTTTTGCTTTGAACTGAGATACTTGGTCACTATTTTGCCTATTTCCTTCTTGAGTTCATTTTCATCTAATGCTTGTTCAGCAGATTCCCGTCTACTGATAGAAGGTGTTGCTTTGTTGGGTGATTGCATATCATTTAAAGAGACAGCAGGGCTTTCACTGCGCATCTTTCTCTTGTTTTCAGTATCTTGAATTGCCTTCTCAACCAAGTCTTCTAGATCAGATTGGTTGACACCTTCAATCGAACTCACACGCTCTTCTGGAAATTGCCACTGTGTCTTACCCGTAAGACGATTATAGTAGTATATAGTACCATCTTCTGCATAAGCATATCTCCAGTTATTGGGCAATTTAGGAGAAGCATTCCCTGAAGATGTATCTGTTGGTTTGGGTGTCGTTTTATGATAAGGTGATGAATACACCGAACGATCATCATCTGCACCTGAATGGGTATCTTCATGATGACTATTGCGATAAGATGGACGTAAAGCAGCAGGACGATGATAGCCATAATAACCATTCTTGAGGCAGGCATCCATCATGGCTCGGGGTGCTGTAGGGATGGTAGAACAAGGAGGATATTCTGTTTTCCATTGGATTTCAGTGGCAGTCACATCAAGCGACAAGTATTCAAAGTAATCATCGTCTGGATCAAAGAATTCTCGGCTGGATTCATAGCGAGGCATCATCTCAGCAGATGCTTGGGAACTGGTTTCATGGTTACCATGATCATGCTTGTGATGGCTTGGTGTAGATTCAGTAGGGATACGCTTAGGAATACGATAGACACTCTTGAGTTGACTCCAATCTTTTAAGAGTTGGGTAGCATGGTGTTGAATGTCCTGGTTTTCATGATGAGTTAGTCTGTCCACAAGTTCCAATAGGTTACAGTCCTCCAATCCATTTCTGTTGGCTAAAGGCAATTGAGACAAGACCTGCAATACTTTCAGTAAAATCACATTATCATTCTTCCATTCGCCTAGCCAAAACTTGAGCATCTTTAAGCCATGAAGACGCACGAATTTCTTAAGGATCTCTTTGCCTTCAGGTGTATTTGCATCTGTCAATTCAAGTCGCTGTAACAATTGAAGCACAAAATGTGATTTGCCAACAGAGTCCAACATACGCTTCACAAATGACTGTACTTCACGAGGGTCTTGTAATGGTTCAGAAGCTCGACGTTGGTGTATTTTACGAAGCATTTTTTTCTGCGTGAGTGTTACTGCTGCTGTATCTGAGTCTTCCTTTTGTGTGTCTTGTTCCTCGTCTTCACTTGCTGTCTGTGTAGAGGGTTTTGCTGTACTCTTAAGAGTACCACCAATGTAGCCCTTACAACTAGGTTCACCACAATAACAAGGTTGAGCCACAGCACCATACCGTTCAAATTTATAATCAAATGTCAATTCTGAGCCTGCTTGAATAGGTCTTTTGGTAAATATACCAATACGCATATTTTTGCCCACGACCCACTTCTGAGTAACACAATTTGGATTACATGAATGGTTTATAAATCGAGCCAAGCACCCTTTTTTTGTAGCATCAATAATCTATCATACATGTCAATTGGATTTTTCCTCCTTCTCCTCCTCCCTCCCTTTTTTTTTATTCATTATATCAACTTACTTCGTCTGTCTTGAGTGTCATAAAGTAATAATGTTGTAATCCAGCTGCTTCGTATTCCTTGGTTCTGCGTATAAATTCATGGTTTGGAATGACTTCACCAATATATTCCATAATAAACGCATTGGCAGGTAAATCAGTCAAAGCTCTCAATCCAAACCCTTTCTTTTCTGTACGAATCACATCTACACGGGCATACTGTTTGAGCTGGAAACGTCGGTTACGACAATACCGATCACAGGGACAATCGTCTACCATGCATTCCATAAACATCATTCGATTGATACAGTAGTTATCATCGCCACAAGCAGCATCTGGGTTATCAATGTCTGGTCTGTATTTACATTCACAAGGCATACTTTCTTCTGCAATTGATTTACCCGTGGCTGATCCACAATAGATGTTTTCTGTGATGTTTGTATATGTTTCCATGGCATCCGCAGTGGCAGAGGGAAGCTGTACTTCATCTTGCTTTTGAGACACAAATGACTCATAATCCTCATCGTCTTCATCGTAAACTTGATCGAGGTTGGGTGAGAGTGTGAGGTTGTCAAGAGCGTTGAGATTAAGCTCACCGGTCGATTCCATGTCTACGTCATATGAAGTATCTAATGTTGAATTAGAGAAAGAAAAAAACATATACACATAATATAGTTTGTTAGAAGCTACCTCTTTCTTGCTTATTATACTGCAGTGTATCGTTTTCGAATCCCAATAATGGTTTTGAAGGTCTATGGAATACGAGTAAGAACCAGAAAACAACTCAAAGTAGTATACATACGCAACATACACTAGCCTAATATCAGCACTTTGCATGCTGGTGGAGAAGAAGATATGTTTGTATATAACCAGTATATATACTTGACTTTTTTCTTTTTTCTTATAGATATGTAGTAAAGAAAATAGATAATATGTACTTCTTTAAACAACAAGAAGAAAAAGAAAGAAAAGGAAAAAAAAACTTGATGGATGGGGGTTCCATTCATTTTTATACGCGCACACTGATTCGCTTCTCTATAGTAAACAAGCCACCAATTTTCATTGGTTCCTTGAATTGCCAGTAAGAAGAAATCACGTCTATTAGGTAAGCATGTCTTCAAAAAAGTCACGTATCAGGAACGCGTTTCTTTTTCATTTTTTTTTTCTGGAGAAAAATGACAGATATTAGGTAACTTGACAAGACATATATATATATATATATATATATATATAACTTATATGTATTGTTTAGCAACTACGAGCTTAAAAGAAAGCTTAATATTCAAGAAAACGAAAACTTGTTAAAAGAGCTTGGCCTACACAACGAAGAAGGAATAGCAGCTGTAAAGATATGAATTATTGAGTGTATTTCCCCACTAATGTTTGTATCAAAGGATATACCAAAATTCGATGCTGGAAAGAAAAAGAGACGTACTCAAAGTTATAAGAAAAAGACAATTATAGTAAGCACAAAAGTACCTTCACGACTCTCGAGACGTCTTCGTGGTGAAATACCTGAAGAAAATGTATGTATACGCTCTCTATGCCATAACACTAACTTGTTAGTTTGAATTAAATGATATTGTAGATGAAAATGACCGAATTAAGCAATTAGAAGTAGCAGAAAGAATCCAGAATGAGACAAAAACAGAGGATGAATTACCAACAGATATCTCTGTCCCTTTAACACTTAGAAGCATTGGAACTACGATATGGTCACTAGGGGAATTGGTGACTGGTGAAGGAAGATCAAAAGCGTGGAGTAGTCGAGGAGTAGAGTGATTCGTGAAAGAGAGCAATGACTGATGAATTATATAGTGTAAATATAAACATCCTTATCCAGTAGGTTATCGTGCTACTAAATCGCATTTCGGAAATGATTATACCATGGGCATTTTACCTCCTGCAAAGGAAGGGGAGGGACCTGTCTTTACTGTTCAGCACAAGACAACTACATGGACAGGACCAACTCCTACAGCACCTTGGACAGAAGCATGTATAAGAAGTAGATCAGCTCAGACTCGTGTCAGTGGACCATTAGTAAGTGGATTGTTTTGTAGACATCTATTTATACTCTTTTAGTTTTTTGGATTCTCTGATCCATTGACAATGAAACTGATTGAAAGTATGGAAGGTTATGATAAAGCGAGCCTACCAGAATAATTTACAATGATTTGAAATATCGCCTTGCAGCTGTAATATTCATTCGTGTAGCAGAAGCTAATAAAGAATTAAAAGACAATAGATAACTCTAAAATAGCTTAATAATGCTGGTATCAGAAACAATGAGCAATATACTTGTGTTGTTTGTCAATGAATCAAACAAAAAAAAAGCTGTAAAATGACTTCCTTTGATCTCTATTTGCTTCGAATAAACGTCTTCTCTATCAAAACATCTAAGTTTCATGTATATACCTTGTACAGAGGTTGAATTGTTTAATAATGCTGCTAATCTTTTCAAACCGATGCCTATTTGGATGATGTTGATCCAAGCCTGTCGTTATGTAAGTCCGTTTTTTTATTATTATTATTATTATTATTATTATTATCAGCTCTCTTTCGCTTGCGGCATATAGTGCTTCATCCCATATAAATATCTAAAATACTTGGATTTGAATAGGCTCTAATCGCACTTTCAGTTCCTGTTTTTGCTTTCCAAATATCTAACAAATTGAATAAGTTCTATTCTCTCTTGGCTGTGTTTACTTTTTCTCTCTTGTTTTCTTGAATTAAGTCCATTTTATGCATCAAACAAAATACAGCGGCATGAGACAAATATAACAAAACAGCTTCTAGGAATGATTGATAATAGTGAATACCTTTATCTAATTCAGTGTTAATGGCATCAAATACATAGATAAGTACATGTACATCTTTAAATATCACATCTCGGTGGATTGCTAAATAATCATTGAATGCCTCATCTTGATTATGGAAGAACACTAGTACAGTATATATATCTGTGTGTATTTATATTTACCCTCTAATATCCTATAGATTTAGTCTCAAGTTGTCTAGGACTCAACATTGGTATGATTACCCCATAAAACTAAGGACAAAACTCGATTGTGGATCTATAAAAAGGACTTTGCCTACGTGTGGGTTCTAAATAACGAGTCTTTTTTGCTACATTATTATCAAAAATAATGGATTTTATGAAAGTCCTTCCCGTTCGACTCCTATTTATAAGCAGCCAGCGCTTTTTCAGTCTGAAAGAGAAGGAAATGGCCTTGTCTTGTGATCTCCTTGATCGAGTTCGGAACGGAGATTGAATAGAAACCTATTAAATCGCATTTAGCATGGTCATTTCTTTTTTCTTTTTCTTTTCTTATCCTTACATTATCTCTGCTAATTACACAATGTCGATTGGTGCCGTAGTCAGACAAGTTGCTTCCAATTCAGCTCAAAACCCTACTTCTCGTTTGCGTTTAAGAAAGGCTGCTTTAACTCTGGTAAGTCATTTGGGCCTGTCTTGATTAGTCATTAGTCATTAACCCCCTGTTCTCTAGACACCTGCTGCTGTTTCTCGTCTCAAGACTTTGACTGAAGGACCAACACCGCAGTATCTTCGAGTTGGAGTTAAACAAAAAGGTTGTTCAGGCAATTCTTATGATTTACAGTTTACTGATCATAAGGGCAAGTTTGATGAGATTGTGAATCAAGATGGTAATTAAAGAAGTGTATGCTTTTTTGTATCTAACTTGTGTTTGAACACATAGGTGTCACTGTGCTTGTCGACTCAAAAGCTTTGATTACAGTGCTAGGAAGTGAAATGGATTTTGTTCAAGACAAATTATCAGAGCATTTTGTATTTAACAATCCAAATGCAAAGGGAACTTGTGGGTGTGGAGAATCATTTGCTATCTAAACAGAAAAAGAAGCTATCAATTAGAGGTTATTATTGCTGCATTATTTAAAGCACGTTACATACAATATATTTTTCATACCAAACCCAAAGAAGAAAAAAAGAAAGAGGAAAAACTGTATATAAAAGCCCCTTTGTTTTTTTTCTTGAACTATGTTTAAATAAAGAATACTTGAAAAGGATCGCCAGTTGCGAGACCCAAGATGAACTGAATTCAAAACCTACCTTTATCATTCACTGTATATTTAGAATGCGCATTGTCCTCCCCCCCCCCTCCCGTCTGCATCTTTGCCCAACTTATAAGATGTGCGCCTTGTTTTCTATTCATGCAACACAATCAAAGTTGACATGCCCTCTATCTCTTTTCACTCTCTTTGCATACACACCCGCCTTGCTCCACATACAAATCTGCTTTACGTTCATTTGATGCAATCAGGGACAGAGACGTATCGTCGATTGGTTGAAGGCTGACTCTGTGAGGTTGAAAACAGTGAGCTCAAAGAGCTAAAGCCAAGGATGGATCAAGCAAAAGTAAAGGTGATTTGCAGAGACATTAAGCGCCTTGAAATACTCAGGAAATAGTATGGTTCTGACTCTCTGCATCTTTTATATGGTTTTTACTAAGCAAACGGTACATATGTCCAAGCAGTGTTCTATTTTTTTCCTACCCTGGTCTTGCCCATATGCGTTGTCTCTATTTCAATAAAAATGATAGTGATTAGGTTCATTTTTTTTTTTACACCCTTCTTTTATTTTTTCGTTTCCATAAGAGAAAATGATCAAATAAGCTCGTCTATTGATGATACTGCGGCATATTTATTCCATGCTTTATATTTCTTATTAAATTGTTTTTGCAAGGACCAAGAGAACCTTGGAAGGGGAATTATAGCTTTTAATAGGGCAGCATTGAATAGAGAGACAAGAAGAGATATGTGAGGGTAGAAACAACATTTATAGCTCAAGCAGATAGATTTTATCTTATTGAGCAGTAGACACACAGACACACATATCAACAAACACTTTAAAGTAGGACGCAGAGGGTAAGCTTTTTTGAGTCAGCTTCATCATTCAACAAAAGCTTAGTTTTTCCAAGCGGTCCCTTCTCTGTATGTCACCGAGAGAACAAAGAGCTAGTGTAGATGTTATCTATACGACTGTTAACAACCGTTTATTTTTTTTTCTAGCTTTCAACAATGAAATGGATTGACTACAGTCATACACCGTTTTAGCGATATACCCTGTAACAGATATTTGTATAGGGACAAAACCGCAATAGCAAGTGGTATTTCCAATAAACACCTAGCCTCTACCAAAATGTCCACAAATGCCTACATTATTGTTACAAACTCTGTAGATTATGCTAAGTTATTATTTTTGTATTTTAAATAGTTTCTTGCTTTAAATTATGTTGCATAATCTCTTCTATACGTTACTAATATAAAAATCAAACCTTGTCCCATAGCCACAAATGTATAACTAAGTATAAACATTAACAAAAAAAGCAAAATATTCCCCAACGGGGAATCGAACCCCGGCCGTGTCGGTGAAAGCGACAAATCCTAGCCACTGGACCATTGAGGATTACTTACGCTGTCGTACCCAAACTTAGATTTAAGCCCAATGTTAAGAAAGCGGCCAGAAGACACCAGCAGGTGCTCGAAGGTTCTGGAAATTATTAGTCAGATGTTTATCTGATTATCATTACCATATCTGGCATTCCCCTTATACGGCTACGACTTCAAATACTAGAAGCTTCCACTTGAGTCACAACTCAGACATTATAGATAGTATAAATATAAGTTGCACTCAATGAAATAAACATCATCTTTCAACACAAATATTAAGTATTAGTTACACTCTATAGTAAGTTAAGCCCTACGACTTATTATACGTATCTCTGGTTATACTTTACAAGTTTTATTGGCTTTGCTACTTATTGGATCTATCTACAAAGACGACAACGCTCCTGCTGGTGTTCATCGTCTTGATTATGCTCTAAATCAACTGCCAACTAAGGCTTCCTCTGGTCCTCCTCCTTTTTGGTCGGCGCTGCTTCAGTTACTGTATGCAATTGATGTACTTGTACATCCTCTTGCAAATATCCGCCCTGATCAAGATCCTGGTGATCGTTGGCTCCCTCCTCTGGTCTCGTCATAGACGAACTATTTTTGTCATGCCTTTCCTCTGCGCTGCCACGGTGGTAAGTGATTATCAAAGTTCCCAACCGTTGGTCATGCCTTTGGAATCATGCAAATCTACAATACTCTTTCTGTCTCTGCTTCTTTTCTCTCTTACTTTTTTCCTGTTGTCTGCTTTCTGTCAGGTTTTTTCACTCTCTCTCCTTTTTCTCTTTTGTAAAAACTGTTCATACAATTTGGCATTATGCTCCATAGAGTAGCCCATATAATTGTTTATTAATAAAAATATAATCTTTAACCTGAGGATTACTTACATTGTCATGTGTGCATATTTGTTTTGGGTCGCTTTTTCGTTCTCTTTCGCGGTTTTTCTGGTGATTCTATTATGTTAACAAATCTTCAAATTGGAATGGTACATGTCTCTGATGTTTTTAAGGTACATACAAAGTTTGGTGTGATTTGGTCCAGGTCTGATTGTACAATGGTGTTCCAAAGGTTTCAGCCAATGGTTCTGTCTTCTGTCAGACCCAATCAGATTCGAGTTAAAACCACTGATCGGTGTGTCAATTGTTGGGTCTGGGTTTCAATTGTTGTACTTTTTTTTTGGTTCCTTATTTGTCCTACTTCTTCCGTATTTTGTTTCATGATATTTTGCTGTGATTTAATTGTGTATTTTATTTTATTTTATTTTGTTTATTGTATTTGACAGTTCATCTCAGTTTGAATCTGTTGAATTTTATAATTTAATTGTATTAATTGTTCTCCTGTTTGACATTTCAAACGTAATTGCTTTTTGGGCAAGTTTGATCTGTTCTAGATTAATGACAAGCAATTGTCTTTGTAGAAATTTATTCTAAAGAAAGTATAAAAGCTTAAAGAACTTTAGAAGGAATAAAAATATCAATCTTAAAAATTGAAATCTTTTTATTATAAATTTTCTTTTACATATATCTTCATTGTCTTTTGAAGGAACTGTGCCTAAGGTTATAATCTCTCTATTTGTGTCTATCTCTCTATAATTACAATAGTCTTTACAGTCTTCTGTTGTTAATTATTGGTTTATCTCTTTTATTTGTTGGTCTCGTCGTTCAAGGTAAACACAAAGGGAAAAGATGGAGTTGTCAATATTGTCAAATTAGTATTTTTTTAACCTCTGTGTTTAATAGTACAGGTTAGGTGACGATAGAATATTTTCTAGCCAATGATATTACTGGGAAAATATTGTAGAAGGCAGTGACGTCTGTGTTTCGATATTATAATTCTTGGATCTTTTTTTATTTCTTTGTTATATGTTACCTATGTTTTGATATTATAGGTCTTTGATAAATAACTTATAATAATCAATGTTTTTTTTTTTTTTAAATGTGTTTATTGATTGAGCCGCGTACACTAAGAGTAATAGTCAAAGTGAAGAGGCGGGTGCAATTAAAATGAAAGTTAATAAAATAAAGCGAAACACACTAGATAAAATAAACTAAACTAAAATAAATTATATAGAACAAAGTTACAGGATTGAATGGCATTGATCCTCTTCAATAGTCTGACGAACATTGAATCGGATGCTTGCTAATATGGTTGTGAGTACGATGGGGGTCTTGTCAAAGATAAATCTCATATGAGCAAGCCAGATTTGTGAAAGAGTAATTATGAGGATTCTGTATGGTTTGATTCCTTTCCGTTGGCAGTACCAGATGTACGAGAAGTCCAGGGACAGAAGAGCCTCTTGGATATCAGATATTGAAGTGGTAGGCCAAAGAAACTCAAAGATGATTTCCTGCCATACCTTCTCTTTAGTTGGACAATGAAAGAGCATATGGTTAATAGAGTCAGTGGTAGTTAAGCACACCGGACAGAAGGGAGAGTCAAACACGTGAGGCATAATAAAATGTAAGAATCGACGATGAGGAATACACCCCAAGATATACCGGTATGTCACATTACGTTGAATGGTGGTAAGAGACAGAGACCAAAAGAATTTCCATTTCACTTCTGTAATATTTCTCAAGGCCAAAGGAGGAGCCATAGCCGAGAGAACTGACTGACGAAATGTCTTAGCCGATGCCTTGATACTACAAATTCTTTGATTATCTTGAAACCGAAACTGGTTGATCAAAGGCGCAAATGAGACCGTCGAGTCTTCAAGTGGAGCAGGACTACATACAGAGCTAAAAAATGGCTGAAGTTTCAAACTCCCAGATGCAAGACCTTTGAAGACTGTGGAGGGAGTACGCTTCCAATAAAGTAGTGAAGGATCACGAGTATCTTTCCAGTGAACAAAGTTGAGTCTAGCATCAACTTGAAAGACATCTGACACCATCATTTTCTTGACACGTAGGGGGACAACGAAGGACGAAGAAGGGGGAACGTAAAGCACAGCTTGCAAAGGTAGGACCATAGCGGTAACAGTATTAAGGCTAGCATTCGCAAATGATCGAGGAAGACAATCAATGGCACGATATAGCATATTAATAGTGCCAGTTCTTTGTTTTTTCAGCCCTTGTGTACGAGAAGAAGGAAACAACAATGGAATCTGATGATATTTGCAGTCATTGATATTTCGAATATGAAGGCTAAGTAAGTACGTGACCGGATGAGCATCAATATTATCTTGATTGTACGCCAACAAAGGATGCAGCCAGCGAAAAAATAAAGCCGAGGCCTGAACCTGAATATCAATTACTCCAAGTCCACCTTTTTCTTTTGGCAACGTCCATACTTTCCAAGGAATAACAGGAAATATATTCTTACGCAAGAATCGAATGGCCAAAGATTTCAATTGTTTGAGATCAGCAAGTGTCAACGGAGTAACCCGCAAGATATACCATATTTTAGACAATATCAGTGAATTCAAGACAGTGGCTCGGCCCACCACAGATAATGAACGTGTAGAGTGGATTTGTATAGCAGTCTTAATCTTTGTTATCATAGAACCCATAAAATTGACTCTTTGAATACGGCTTTGTATCAATGGAAAACCCAAATAAATTAAGGGTTCATCATCTTCGACAGAGTGCAAATGCTTGATACCCATTTGAGAGAGTGGAGCTTCCCAATAAGTCCATGTATTTCTGCCAGACACCGAGAAGGCTTCCACCTTTTCATGGTTGAACTTTGCATTGGAGGCTTCGCAATATCGAGTCATATGCAGTTGTAGCCGAGCAAGATCAGTGGAATTATGTACAAAGACCAGAGCATCGTCAGCGTAACATAGAAGCTTCGTCCGTTCAGTACCCATTATGTAGCCTTGAAATTGACGATCATGGAGAATGGAGAGCAAGAAAGGTTCAAAAGCCAAATTATACAGAATAGGCGAGAGAGGATCACCCTGTTTCAATCCGCGTAATTTAGCAACTTCGGAGGAGAGATGACCATTGATGTTGATTCGGATAAGATTATCGCCCATTAACTTGTAAATGCATTTAATCAGTGGGGAAGGGAAGCCAAACTTTTTCATCACTTTCTTCAGGTAGTGTAAATTCACTCTGTCGTAAGCCTTTTCTTGATCCAAGAGAAGACCAATATCAGCATTCAAGGTACTAAAATCAGGATCATTATCCAGTTGTTCAGCGATCGACCATTTCCTTTGAGCGTCTTCCATTAGCAATTGACAGATCATACCATTTTCAGCGATAAACCGTCCAGGAATAAACCCCAATTGATGACGGCTAATAAGACGAGAAGATACCTCCATGAGTCGACGATTGACGATACGTGTGAACAGTTTGTAATCCGTATTTGCTAAGGACAAAGGACGATAGTTCTTCATATCCGCAGGATCACCTTTCTTGTACAGCAGACACATGACTGATTCATTCCATGACTGAGGAAACTTACTCTTCTGCAAAGCGTCATTATAGACAGTCGATATCAGATCATGATATGGAGGGAATTTTATAACCAAATACAAAATCTCATATGGCAGTCCATCTGGTCCTGGACTACTCTTACGAGGGGTGCGTTTGCTCTCGTTGAGTATGTCATCAACATCGATAGGCTGCATAAGTTTTTCCTGTTGTTCTGAGGAAATCTTCAAGTGACTAGGGATAGATCGAGTCATAGCCCTAAGAGCTACAGTTTCGGTGGGAGAAGGAGTAAATAGCGAGGTATAAAATTTAGTTGCTATACGAGAAATATCATGTTGCTCTTGACAAAGCTCTTCAGTCACTGGATCTCTCAATTCAATGAGGGTTCGCTGATTTTGTCGAGATACTTGTGTCCGCTTCAAAAAGCCTGCAGATTTCTCTCCATGTTCTCTCCAAAACTTGCCAGACTTCAAAATCTCGATCTCTGCTATCGACTGTTGTAAAGACTGGATTAAGGAATTGATATGATCCAAGCCTTGAAATATCAGTCCTCTATGCTTCTGATGCCGCATTGCTTTGTTCCTTTTAGATTGCAATTTATGCAATTGCTTTTTCCTCCAGTTCAGATCTTCCTTCTGATAGGATTTCACAAAAAGCTTTACCTCTCCTTTAATCCAATCCCATTGCTGTTGCGGTTTAGCAAATTGTTTGATTTCTGTAAAACGTTCCATGCATGATTCTAAATGAAATGCTAAAGCTTGCCTGAACTCTTTGTTTCGAGCTAAGAATGGATTCGCTTTCCAAGAACCAGGTCCACGATCAGAGGAGTCTTGATACTTGAATGAGAACCCTAAGAGGTCGTGGTCTGTCCACTCTGGTGACAAAAATTGTTGATTGATACTAGTGATCTGATGATGAGCACTTGAACTACAGAAAATATAATCCAAGATTCCTGAGTTGCTACCACTATGCCAAGTAATCTGCTTTTCATTCCCAAAAATATCAATGTAATAGTCATCCAGTAAATCTGTCCATTCAGGAGGTGCACACAGTAAAGTGCCATCTAAACGGCGATCTTTATATTGATAGTTGAAATCTCCCATAATAAATATTGTGTTATGTGTATTGATAATCGTGTCCCTGACAATTGGAATATCAAGGAGCTCAGTATAGAGTGCTGATCGATCAGAATGAAGCGCTGAACGACCATAGATATTTAAAATTGTTGCTATAGGTGCCATAGTAGAAGAATGTTCCAAATCTCGAGTTGAGTGAATATCAGCCAATATATATCGACCATTGTCAATTCCTTCCGAGACAGGTGTAATTGTAAAGTGATGAGAGAGTGATATGATGCCACAATGTTGAGTCCAAATGCTCGACTTGCAGTTAAAATGGGTGTTAAGTAAATCTATAATAGTAGTATCTGAAGCATGAGTTTCTTGTAACACCAGGATATCATATCCAAGTGTTCTAAGGTATCTAATGAATTGTTGTCTTTTTTTGGTATTTTCTGATTTTTTCAAGCCACGACAATTGAGAGTGGCGATTTTAACTGTATGATGTCTAATATTCATAATTAATGTTGAGGTTGAGGTGATTGTTGGCCCATCAAATCAGGCTGAAGCATGTTTGCCTTTACATTATTTATATCATTCTTTCCATTTTGTTGTAATGCTGCTGAAGCTGCAGCTTGTTGTCGAGCAGCACTTATATCATCAGTTCCATTGAACTTACCCATCTTTTTGACATTATCATGAGTCTCCAATTCTGTAAATCGAGATGGAGAAGAGATCACAGTATCCTCCATTACTATGTCTTTTGAGATAGTCTTTAACGCATCAGAATCATTTACCGGATTAAGGTTGCTTTCATTCATAGTGGTGTCCTCTTCAACACCGTTTCTACATTGAGAGCAACCGTTGCATCTCTTTCATTATTCTTGTAATCTTGAGGAACTGGGGAGCCAGCAGGGGAATTTTCTTGTGTCATTGGTTTCTTAGGAGCAGCCTTGGGTGAGGCAGTAGAATCTTTGATTGTCCCTTTTCTAGGTTTTGGCTGACTTGAGGATCTCTCCACTGCACGGACCTTGCTGGGAGCGGAGTCGATTGATCCATTACGCTGCAGTACGCATAACATGGCCAGTCTCATTGCAATGGTAGCAGCGTACCCATTTCTTGTAGTCGGGACAATCAGCTCGACAATGGTCTGAGCTCTGACAGTTACGACAGAAGTCAGGCATCTTATCCCATTGTAGGAGTACTTTTCTCTGTTCATTATCACGTGGATCCCAAATGATGACGCGAGATAAGGGCTCCAAGTGTCTACGCCCGGAACACTCCGATCCATCTGCGTGGGATTCCATACATTCATTTTCAGGCGTAGCTGACAAAGTTAGATTCAAGGTAGCATACCCTTCACCATGAAAGATGCCATCAGTTCTCGAGATGCCATGATCTAGAACTTCTCCAAAGCACGAAAGACGAGCAGCCATTTCCTCTTTCAACTGGATGGCTGGGAGGAATGGAAGATTTTCAAGAGTTAAGCGGACGATGGTAGCGTCTGCTGGATAGGAAGGAAAACCTTTCACAAAGGTACCATCCTCCAAGGTAATTCCTTCTTCAATAAGTGTCTTGCGACCAACACTGTTATAAAGCCACATAGTCTCCAAGAAGTCATGTCCCAGATAGTTGCGTGTTTGCTTTCGATAACCAAGAAAATCTTCGTAGTAGCCTGTGTTTTCAGCATCTTCATTAAACTTGAGTAGAGCTTTGTTTAACAAAGATCGATCCTTGATTGAGGTAAGATCAATGAAGACTGAATCTTGTTCCATTCCTTTAATGAATGGACGAATTACTGCAATGGGAGCTGGATGGCTGGATCCATTAAGAGCATTTTGAGATGTTCTTCTTCTGTAACAGGACGATTAACCAAAGTAGGGTTAAACGAAACAATAGATTGATTCTTTTTGTTGTTATTGCCCTTCCTCTTTGATTTAACAACATGAGTCCAAAGCAATGGGTTCTCGTTGTGATAGTTAGAGTTTGGATCAGTTTGCTGTTTATGCCGATTTTCTAACATATGTTATTATTAGTAAAAGATTCTTTGAAAGAGTGTAATTGGCATGATTCTGACATGTTGTACAACCTCAAGAAAACTGCGTCATCAAGTTACACATATTTTTTGAATACGATTGGTTCAGACAAGCTCTTTTTTTTTCACTTTTTTTATCGTATACTAATAGAAATAGTATCGAAGAGCTTTCCTCCCTCTCTAACTCCTTGACACATAATTTTCTATTTAATTGTTAAAGCACATGGACAAGCCCTTTCAAAACAAACCTTACGCTGGTCTAATTATCTATCGTATACAGAAGAATATTGAATATTTATTATTAAACGATTCTTTTTCAAATAAAAAGCATTGGTTTTGTCCTAAAGGGCAAATTATTGGAAGCGAAGAGGATATCAAGTAAGCCGAGTAATACTATGTTAGCGAATTTACTTACAAAAATTAGATGTGCACTTCGCGAAACTTTTGAAGTTACAGGCTTACGTCCAACTGATTTACGTATCGAAGAAGGATTTTCTATTGAATTAAAATACCTCTCAGGCACAAAGTAAGCAATATTGGTAACAAAAGCATCTTATATCTAAACATCAATAGGCCTAAAAAAGTCAAGTATTATCTAGCTCAACTTGTAAATAATCATGTCCGTCTATTACCTAATGCTGAAGGCATTCATATGCAATTCTTTAATCAAGCTACCTGTACTGAAAAAGTTATCTTTAAGACTATGCAAGAAGTGTTTAGATACGCACAAACATTCATTGAAAGCCGAGTACAACAAAGAAAGAAACTTGCCCCTGCAGCAACAAATCCTGTCCATCATTCACCTACATCACTATCACCACATTCCACCTTGACAAGTCGATACAATCCCACTCAAGAGAACCGAGCCAAGGTAAAATTGCCATCATCTAACGGCGTAGAATTCAAGTCTCGCCAGTCACCGCAGCAATCGCCACCTCAACAAGCTTCGCCTCTTTACAAGACCCGACTTTGTGAAAGATTCGAGACAGAAGGCAGTTGTCCATATGGCGCTAAATGTAATTTTGCTCACGGTGTGACCGAATTAAGAGGAAAGACAGAATCACCTTCACCTCAGCCTATTGTCAACCAAAAAGATAACCTTGATGGTGCAGGCAACCAACTCTTCAAGACAAAATTATGTGAGAAATTCATGAAGGATAAGTTTTGTCAGTATGGTCCCAAATGTCATTTCGGTAAGTGATTTAAAGACTGATATGATATTGATTTCGTTGTAGCTCATGGTGAAAATGAATTAAAGACAAGACCCAAGAAAGCTGAGGAAGCAGAACAACAACAACAACAACAACAACAACAACAACAACAACAACAACAACAACAACAACAACAACAACAACAGCAGCAGCAGCAGCAGCAGCAACAGCAGCGCAATTATACGCGTAACGATACACATGATCATGCTGAAACTTCACTTGCTGATCAGCGTAGTAATTGGAGATCAACTCATCACAACAGCTCATTTGAGAACAACAGTAGATCAAGGTAAAGAAAGAAAAATGCGAGCACATATACTTATTGAATTTAAAGTGAATTATCATGGAGATCCCCAAATACAAGTGCTCGCCAATCACCCAGTGCATCATCAAAGCCTTTACAGAGAACCAAATCTTCTGATGAAGAAGAAAATGAACATCGTACGAATAGAGAAGCTTCTTGGAGATCACCTCGTATTCCTTCGCCTAATGTGTCTACTGTTCCTGTTGGTTCTCTTTCATTGAAGACAGAACAAACGGATTCTTTGGGACTAGAGGATCTTCGCCGTCCTGTATTTGTTGAACATCAATCTCGCTCTAAAATCAATACCAAGAAATCGAATGGAGCATTGAATAAAGATAAAAAAGCAGCAAAGACAGATACAAATGAAAAGTCGTGGATGAAGATTGTCAAGTTATCTAAAGAAGAACAAGATCAAATGGAAAGGTAAAAAAAAAATACATTTGTCTATATACATATTTATCACTAGTTTTAGTGAGCCTCCGTTGAACAAGAGTACAAATGGTACAAAAACAACTCAGGCAGAGACAATTATTGCAGAATTGAAAAAGTTCTTTGCAAACCATCCTACCACAGAAACTACAAAAGGGAAATTATCAGAAGATGTTAAAGAAGTTACTAAGATTGAAATGAGAAATGACTTATCCAAGAAACAACTGCTGTATGTTTTGTTGGTCAGTTTATTAGAAGAGGAGTCAGATCAATCCATGTTATCTATCCTGCGTCAAAGAGATCATCTCTTTAGAACAGTAAGTTTCTTTTTCTTTATTGTTCTGATTTAACACATATGTAGTTCGTCAAGACTAAGGCTGATCAGCTCTTGTTATTGAAAGCTTGGAATCACTTATTGGAACGTAAATCCGTGATGGTAAATAAGACAGCGGCAGCACTTTCCCATTGGTATGATGTTGAAATGGTAGAAGAAGAAGCATTTCTAGAATGGTACAATACACTTGAAAAGGGTTCCATTTTGGAGGTAAAAAGTGCCAAGTTTATTGAATGGTTAAATGAATCAGATAATGAAGATGAATAAAGTATTTTACATTGCCCTCCTTTTTTTTTTTTTACTTTTTTATTTTTGATCAGCACCATCAGGTTTAGGGGCATTGCCACCCATAGCATCACGGGCACTAGAATAAGTTAGAGAAGAGTGTATTTTTTCACTGAACTTACAGTCGCATCATTTCAGGGTCATTCATCATTTCTTGAAGGTTAGGTGTACCATTACCACTCATCATTTGTTGAGCCCTGCGTTATTATAAGCAAGATATGCTTAACGTATCACACTTACATTCTAGCAATATTGGGGTTATTCATCAAACCATCAAGAGCACCTGATTGCATCATTTGTTGTGCCATATTCATTAAAGCAGGATTACTGAGCAAAGAACCAAGGTCGGGCATACCACCAGCACCACCAAAGTTAGGCAATCCACCACCAGTACTAGGTTCAGCAGAACGCTCAACGGAACCTACCTTGGCCTTAGCAGAAGCCAAAGCAGACTTGAAAGTAGCATTGTTGGGATCAATTTCTAAACCCTTTTCATAAGCTTCAATGGCTTCATTGAACTTGTTTAAACCAAAGTAGGCATGACTATGTCTATTAGATCAAACTAAAAATATATATATATATATATTGTATTTTACCCCATACGGCTATAAGCCTTACTGAACTTGGGGTCAATTTCAATAGCCTTCTTGGCATCATCAACAGCCTTTTGATGGTCGCCTTGTTGGCTATAGGCAGCAGCACTACAATCTATTTAGAACCTAAAGGTGGGTCTATGAATGATCTTACCGGTTGGAATAGTAAACAGCATTGTTACCGTCAAGAGCAATGGCTTCAGTGTAAAGCTTGATAGCTTCAGGATAGTTACGTTCGCTTACTTTACGGTTACCTAAACTTTTCTTTTCTTCAGCAAGCTTCTTGTCTTCCTCAGTAGTATCCTAAAAAAAATCAAATATCAATATGAAATTCCATATCATCCATCATCACATACAGCTAAAAGAAAAAGTTATAAGCCTTTGAACCCCTAAACACGGTGCTTAACTTACCTTCAGCCTTTACAGGAGCAGCAGAAGAAGAAGCAGCAGCAGCAGCACCAGCTGACTAGATATCACAACACGCGTCAAAACAAAATATATATATATGTATATATGATTTCTTACCTTGGATGCACTAGACTTCTTAGTGTTGAGATAGACATCAAAAATAGAAAGCAAGTTAGCAGGCTTAGTAGAGTAGAGCTTCTTTTGTTCTTCGTCAGAAGCGTCTACACCAAAAGCTTCACCAATACACTGTATGGCAACTATTGTTTATCAGATCATGTTACCTCTGTTTGTATTTACCTTCGATACTCTCAGCGTCATCCTTTTTGATAGTACCGTCTTCACAAGATTTTTGCAAGAATTCAAGAATAGAAAAAACAAGAGCCTTTTTGTTTTCTGTAGCCATTTTAGTTGTAAGAGAAAGAGAAAAGAAAAAAGGTAATTTTTAAGGTCCACCATGTGAATAAAGAAGGTCAAGGAAAGATACATGCAATCGTCTGATTGGACAACACAGTAAACGCATTTGATGTCAGCTATCAAATTTAAACAAGCTGGAAACGTCGCTATTCCAGTCAGAATAAAGGTTCTATCAAACTAGTCCATACTCTGTATATACCCTATTAGTAACTGTTTGTTTTTCGTTGATATATTTGTATGCTATTTGTTTATAAAACTCAACCAATACGTACATTATCGGTAAAAAAAAATTATAAGGAGGCTCATTTCATCTCATAGAGTTTTTCTTTTTTTTTATTTGATACCGCAAACTGATTTTATCAAGTCAAAATATCACACTATTAAATAGCTAGATGACGCTACTTGTGCTTGAGACAGGTAAAAATGTTCAACTGAGAAAAGAGCAAATATATTTCCATTTTTGTATCAGATTATTTTGAAAAGTAATGCTTTTGTAAAGTCCGCTTTTTTTTTTTTTTTTTATTAAAAAGAGTGCTGGAACAGCTAGATTTCATTTCTTTCTTTTTTATCTCTCTTATGACTCTTCAAACTGGAAAAGGTTCTATCTTTGTCTCTGGAACGGATGGCGATAAAGGTGTTGCTATTGTTCAACAGTTGCTTCAATTGCCTGAACAGTACAAGCACTTGAGCCCTCAACGTATCTATGCTGGTTTGCCCGATGATACTACACCAAGAGCAAAGTCACTTAAAGGATTGGGTGCTAAAGTAGTTGCTTTTGATATCTTTCATGATCACCAAGCTGCTGTTAAGGCTCTTACTGGCATGTCCAAGCTCTGTTTGTTGATTGATCCCCTAAGTGAAAGAATGCAGCGCTCCAATGCTTATCATTACGGTAAAGCGTAAGTATTCAGCGAAAAAAAAATTTACTTGAAAACCTGTCCCTGATCTAAAAAAATTTTCTTTTTTTTCAGTTTCATTGATGCTGCTAAAGATGCTCATGTTGAACATATTATTTTCTTGACACCATTTACACCATTGGATCCCATTAGCCCACCTGTTTGTCAAGATAGCGAAATGCAATTTGGTTCTTATCGCTCTCAATTTATGTTAATTGAATCTTATTTACATACACAATATGATAACAGCCAAATTACCATTTTAAGATATCCCGGTGTACTTCATCAACACTTGTTAGTGTTTGGCAAATACATTGCACAACACAATGCCTTTCCTTTGCCTGATCAACACCTTGAGATTACAGTAGAATCCTGTAATATGATTGACATTGCTCGTGCAACTGCCTGTGTTGCTCATTCACCCACACTTCGTCATGGGAAGAATGCTTACAAGATTTCATCTGGTTTGCTCACTTTGGAAGAAGTCAGTCAGCGTGTCTTGGGTGGACTCGAGAGAGAGAATGATATCCATCGTATTGACTTGAATGCCTTACAACAGATTATCTGTGAAAGTATTGGCAATGAAGACCATGCTTTGTTCTTGATGGAAATGTGGGGAATTCAACAAAAGTTGAGCGGTAGACGACTGGAAATCACAAGAGATTTGGAGGCACTTACGGGACAAAGCGGAAAAACCCTGAACGAATTTCTCAAAGAAGCTGAAGTACGTGATGCTTTCTTATCTCATAACAATGACACTCTCCCTTCTTCATCCAAGGTTGCTTAAGATCCTTATTCATCTATACATACATTACACTTCATACTTATATACATATTCGTGGCATATAGCTCTATTTTTACTTTGTACATATAAAATAAATATACAAAAAAAAATTTTTTTTTATCATAAAACATTGCTATCTAGTGTTTAACAAATATTGATTGGCCAAAGATAAATCAATCAGAGACCAAATCAAATCAAGTTATTTATTCACACATATATTCTGCGCATGATGACATATTTAGGGATATAAGCCCGATTGATTAGATATCGCTCAATTTGGCAGATACCTTTCCCCTCAGCTATAACTTTGTCATACTTTCCTATTGTTGATTTGGTATCTATCTCACGTTTAGCAGGTATTGATTGGCCAAAAATAAATCAGTCAAAGACAATTTGCTTACCAAATCAAATCGAGTTATTTATTCACACATACATATGAAGCGAAACAAGTTTGATAAGCACGTTGATTACATACTGTGTTCATTTTTCAAGGTTAGAGCCAGTCAAGCTTATATAATCAAGTTCAAGAGTCGATATCGTTGTTGGTTTCCTCTATCAATATTAAAACTTTTGGCCATTGCCAATATTATTGTACGAATCAAAGAACATTTAGCATACTGTTAAGACAAGCAAGCGCAACCCTTATGCTAGACCTGATGAAAAGAAAAACGCTAGGAGTGTTTGGTGTCATCAACACAATGGCCTTCCACTGGGTGAGGTTACAATTGAGATGGATATCCTTCGAGTTTTACAAGAGACTAGCAATTTTCAGAACAAAAAAAAGCAATGATAGCACAAAACCAAAAAAAAAAAAAAAAAAAAAAAAAAAAAAAAAAAAAAAAATTCATGCAGTCGCCAAAAGCATAACTGGCATGAGCATAAGTGCTAATAAGCGTTTGACTTTTGGAAACAAAGATGATGACATTGATGGACGTATGTATGCAATAACAACCAGCAAATATCCCTTATTGTAGTAGAAATCTAACAAATTGTGGCTATTTATTATTTGAACATATACCCAAGGTATTGATGTCCTCCGTTTAAGTGTTCTATATACATATAAAAGACTTAACAATGCATATTACATTATGAGCAGCAACATGCGAGCACTGACCATCAAAATCTATAGCCTTGATTCAATTACAGACCAGTTTGATTCTGAAAACCTCTTTCCCACCTGTTGCAGCGTTGACGTATTTTATCTGCAATCAAGAAAAGTCTGTCATAAATCTTAATTTTAGCAATGATAAAGTTGTATAAATAACAGATTCAGTCTTTCAATTTAATACATATTCTAATTCTTCACTTGACCAAGAGAAAAGTTTTAATTAACTCATGAGTGATATCATAAAGCATTGATCAATAAAAGGTAAAACAACCAGGAATAAATTGCTTACATTCGGTATATGATGAAGCAAGCTCTACAAGTACATTGATTAGACATCTCTGCTACAGCCAATGGCGCCGATACAATTAAGTTTGAAGATAGCACTGTTGAGATCTTTAAAAAACTTAAAATATAGCATTGTTTGTATCACACCCATTAAATAATCTCATGAACAACCCTTAAATAATGTCATCAAGTTAGTTGCAAATGTCCTTTTCTTTAATGATCTTTTCTCCTATCTATGATGATTTTACATGTACTGCACAATAGCAAATATTATTTTCCCTGGTACAGTTTTTATCGTCAGATCTGCGAGCATATATAAAACTCGATCTTTTTGCATTTGAAACCTTGCCATTTATAGTTTATATATATATATATATATATATGTGATAGTACTGAGAATATACAGTTTTTTTTTTGTAAGGATAGCCTTTGTCAATTAATTGAATTAATATATAAAGAGTTTGGTTAGTGTCTGTATGGAGCGATAATTAAACAGAAAGAGGTGGATTGCCATATACAGACCATCTGACTTGTTTGTCTGTTGTCACAGGCTGTGTTATATAAACTTTAGGTTGATTTGTTTTGGAACTATATCCTTATTATTCTCTGTATTAAATAGTTCGTCTATTGTTATAATTTAACCAAGTCCATGTTTGTTATCATGCATATAAACTGCATTAGAATATATATATAAGAATTAAAATGTCGTGTTGTACAGCACTATGAGCAAGGCTGAAACTTTTTTTTTTAATTTTATTTTAGTCTACATTTTATTTTACCTTTTTTTCTTTCACTTTTGTACATATACATATTTATAGCATATACAATATGAGCACGGCACTCAATTATACAAACGCAACACAACTACTCGAGCAAGGGAATACAAAGGTATTTCATTATTATGCAGACAAGCTGATTTGAATTTACCTTAACTTCTTTAAAGGACGCTTATGTCGCCTTTCTATCTATTGTAGAGCTAACAACGCAACAACTTCATGCTGTGAAATTTGTTCATCAAAGTAAGCGAGAACCACATCATTGACGGAAAGCTAATTTTCTTTCAGCTATTGTGTCTAAACCACTTGAATACGAAAACTCCCTTGCACTACTCCGATCAAGTATAGATCAACTAGAGAATATTGCAGTCAAGAAATTGCCTGGCGCAATCAACAATGGCAGCAAAAAATCATCATCATCATCATCACCACCACCACCATTACCACCTAAACCTACATCTATGTATCAAAGACCAACAGTCCCGCCGAAACCTTCAAGGATCATTACTTCACCTATTCCATCGAAAAAATCAATTGATACCCTTTCTTCTGTTACCAAAAGATCAAGAGGAAACTCAGTAAGCTTTGCACAAGACTCCAAACTATTCAAGACAGCTATTATTGAATATGAAGAGACACCCACATCCATTGTAAATCAACTTGATGATGAAGACGATGATGATGAAGATGATGTTGTGATAGAATTTGAAAATACAGGTAAAACAAAGAGAGAAGGAGAAAGAAACGTACATACTAAGCGTTTATATCTGACAGCTAAAGTCTCGACAAAAAGACCCTTGACAGCATTGCCCCCTAACAACATATCTTCACCTCAAGTGAGAGCAAGGAGCCAATCATGGGTTGTTCCAAGTGATTCATTAACAAATAACGACGAAATAGACGTTCTTTCAGAGACAGTAGTGGATCCAGGCAACCTAGTACCAGCACAAACAAACACAGGAGATAGTTTAGCATTGCCTACCACATCTCAAGTCAACAGCTATGTACCCAACATCCCAGCTCCTCCTTTACTTGCCACACACCGTCGGTTACAACAAAGGCTGAATGAACTCGAGGCTGATTTGGAAAAGTTTCGTCCTTTAGATATCTTGGTACGATCTGAACGATTGCACAAGATTTCGAGTACTCGTGAAACACTCGAAAAAGTGCGCTCTTTGTACATGAGTGCTATGACAATTCCCAGTATTCTGCAGTTCCCACCTCACTTAATTGCTTACCAGCTAACATTGACTGAATCTTCATTGTTTCGAGCCATTCCTTTAGAAGCACTCTTGTCTCACTCTGCCCGTACACCTCACAAAAAGATAGTAGCATCCACCGACTTTTTCAATTTTGTCACACGCACAATTGAACATTCCATTTTGTTGCCTCAAGAAGCATCCAAACGAGCAGAAATTATCAACCGTTGGATCAAAATTGCAGCCAAACTACTTGCGTTAAACAACTATCAAACACTAAAGGCAATTGTTTCCGCTTTGGGCACACCACCTGTTCAACGACTCAGACGCACTTGGGAATGCATTCCCAAAAAACGCGTGACAAGACTGGATTTACTCAATAACCTGATGTCAGAAACAGACAATTACTGTCGTTATCGAGAACACATGGGACTTGAAAAACGACGACTTTGGTCTAAACCTGTCGTACCTTTTCTAGGTGTTTTTATCCATGACATTACCTATCTATCATGTGCTTCTAAGGGTCGCGCACAAGATGTGTTAAGTGTGGTCCAGTTATTTCAAAGGGCTCCAGAGTATCCTCAAACACCACCTGCCTCCTATATGGCATCTAAAAAACATTTGTTTCGACCTATGATATCAGAAGCACTTCATTTTGGTTCCTCGAAAAAGAACAACAAGGTCACCACGGCTGTCTTGATGGGAGAAGATCAGAGGGAGGATATAGAGATTGAGTTAGAACAGCAGTTGATTGTACAGTATCTTTTGATGAGGCCTTGGGTGAGTGAGAAGGCCATTGATGCCCTCAGTAATCTGCGAGAACCACCCAAGCCTCGATCCACGCCTTCGCCTACTTCACATCGATTCAGTAGTGATTTAGGCCTACGACCAGTGAATAATATAGCGATACCACCCATCACAGCGACACGTGTTAACAGCAATACAGAAGCAGAAAATCCGGCTACGGTAGAAGAAAGTAAGCGATCTATCGTAGGTGGGTTTTGGCCATTTAAGAAGAACTTGGATGTCAGCCGAGCTTCATTGACAACCGATTATCACCAGTGGAGTGAAGAAGACGACGAAGATGATGACGATGACGAAGAAGAGGAAATAGTAAATCAACTAGATAGCAAGCATGGTGTTTTAGACACAAGGAGAAGACCTGTCACTATAAATACAGGTAAAAGCTTAAAAGGTCATAGTCGATCCATTTCTCTACCCTCCAAATCTATCATTGTATCCGAAATGTAGCAATAAAATAAAGTGGTCTACTGTTCTATTAATTAACACTTTTTCATTGATAAAGAGTGTATATCATAGAGACAATATTAAAAATAAGGCGCTTCATGTTACCCTTTCGAAGCTTCAAGTACCTTCAAAGTCAACTAATTATCCCATATTTCTTGACAGACTCTAGTTGCGCCTATGTAAATTGATTGTGATTGTAAACCTGTTTAGACAGTCGTAAGAATAAGATGTCTTTTTCTTATTGCTTGAAATGAATAATAACTTCTTTAGCAAATTAAAGTCCCCCTTTTTAGTCAAGGCGAGTATGCCATAACTGACAAACTTCTTTGTTCTAAAAAGAATGCAGGATTGCGTAATTTCAGGCACATACTATTCAAAAAGTTTCTAATTTAACTCAAATAAAAGGAATCAATGCAATTGAAACTATTACAAAATAATTAAGACATGAAGAAAAAATACAGTACTTTCCTATCCAACCCACTATCGTAAACAACCAACAAAGCGAACTGGCTCTTATGGTTAAAGGAGACTATCTATCAACCAATACAATTAGAAAGAAAACTCCTTAAATTCAATAACTCAAATAACTTGAATACAGAGCTCAATAATATGACTACGCAAACAAGCAAAAAAGGCACAATTCGTATTGTATTTTTATTATTAATCCTTGCCTCGAATTAACTAGAAGGTGATCGAATCAGGAAATGACTACGGAAACTTTAAAAATGTTAACATGTATTGTGTGTTATAAAATCCTTGTTCAATAAGCCATAAAGAATAGTTTTCATTAGAAGCTACGCCTAAAAACACAAAGAAAAAGGAAAACTATGATAGCTTTAGTCAATCGATTTATAATGAGGCAGCCAACAAGTCTGTATACTTTTAGTGTTCTTTTTCTATCAATGCTCCCATCGAAAATAAATCAAAGTCAACGTATCATTCAATTTTTCTTTGTTTCTATCAATTGAAATGGATACATCACATCTACTTGCAGCATTGTTTGTGCGTTCGTACAGTAGAAACCTACGCTCTGTACACTTTGTGTCAAGATGTTCTACTTCGTAGCTAGGTGCTTTGCAATATGTGGTTAGGACTGCTAAAATTTTGACACGCTTGAAGCTGTTGGGAATGACTAAACATCTGACCTTAAATTGTATTGTATAAAAAAGGCAATCAACCTGTACCTCTTCTTTTTTCTCTACTTTCTCTTTTTTCTTTTATTATGGAATTTCCTGAACTTGGCAAACGATGCACAGCAGAAGCCTGCAATTTGTATGGTAAATATCTTAATCATTTGTGTCATGTAATTAACAAACTATCATAGACTTTTTACCTTATACTTGTGTCAACTGTAAAAAGGTTTTTTGGTAAGCGTCTTATTCATCGCAAAACAACTTGTCGTAACACTCTCTATAGCCAAGACCATTTTAAATTACAAGCGCATCATTGTCCTAGTCTAAATGATCCTAGTTTTGATATTCGGTAATTTGAATGGAATAGAAAAAAAACAGTTTATTTACAATTGTCTAGCGTACCTATTTGTCCTATTTGTGAGAAACCAGTACCATCTAAGCGAGGCGTTGATCCCAACATTAGAGTAAGTGCGTTATATTATATACATGCGTCTCATACTTTAGATAGATGAACGATCATATTCAAAGTAATTGTTCAGATTTAGAACCGAGGCACGACAATACATGCAGAAAAAAGGGTTGCACAACAAAAATGTTGGTTCCAATGCAATGCCCTGAATGTGGTTTATCATATTGCGTGAAGCATAGATTAGCAGTAGACCATCAATGTCAAGGAAAGACGAGCACGAAAAAGAAGCCAGTACCAAATAAATCAGTAGACACTTCGAGAGCAGAGATGGAGCGACAGAGAAGAGAAAGAGTGAATGCAGCAAACCGACGCAAAGAAGAAATTGACCGTTTACAGTCTAGACTAAAGCAGGGGAAAATTACAGAACATGAACAGATCCAATTAGCCAAATTAATGTCTGTCAAAGATGAAAAGAATGGAAAATGCATTGTTTCTTAACAAAGTTTATTGCCATATCACTTTGCCCCATTGTAAAGGTCCTACAGACCATATACCAGAATCCTCATCTAGAATTTTTACAAACACATTTACCCAAGCTTCTTTTTTTGCTGTAGATTTAGGTAGACTTAATAAACCAGTATATGTAAAATAAGAATGACGCACATTGGCCATGTAAACAGTTGGAGGTTGTGATAAAATAGACTAAAGTTGAATTAGTCATATTTTCTCTCTCTATTCTTTTTTGGTATTGAATTACCTGATTGTTGTCTATACTAAGCATATGTGTTGGCTCAGAAAATAACATGTTAATACCTAATCGATCATTGAAATGCAGTATTTTTTCCTTTGTTAAGAAGCTGACAATCACAGCTTTTTTGATACGTTTTTCCAAGTGTTTAAGATGTGGGTTGACTTGAACAAGGCCTTCGAATTTGATAACCAAATCTTCGTTTGGTTTTAATGTCATGGGCTTTTGTTCACTCAACACAGGATCCGTAGTCAATTGGATATTGATATTCTTGTGGCTCTTGAAGAAGGATTTTGGTAGCATCAAAGGCTGCGCTAGAATAGTTTCTAGAATGTTCTTCATATCACTAATACAGGCCTACACTAAATGAGAGGATTTCCTTTCTCTTTGCTTCTTACCGAATGTCGATCTTCCAAATGACTCAACTCTTCCCAGCTTGTAATAGTATGCATAAACTTCTTTAATAAATTATTCATATATGTCGATTTATGATCTGCGTCTTCAATCAATGGTATCAAGGATGGATCTATGCAGAAAAAGAGTTGTTCGTTTCCTAGACATGTTCTGGAAGCACGCTCACACACAAGAGCGCACACTTTATATAATTCGAGAATATCCAATGCTTCCTTGCCTATACCAAATTGCGATTGAGCCACAAAATCATACCGAATAGCTACTTGTCGAAATTGAACAGCAACCATCTGCATTTGCTTTGATTGTTTTCGTGTGTTTTTTATATTGAGTATCCCAAGTGCTTGTTGGATAGTCTGAATAAGTTCCATACGAAGTTGAATGAACCAATATTGACTTGTACGGGGTTGATCATATACTTGAAATGCCTTAAAATCAACAAGTGATTTAAGGTAATACTGCGTAGGATCTTTTTGATCAGATAACGTCCATTCTGCATAAGCCAACCAAGACAACGAATTGAGCCAATAAAAGCAAGCTTCAGATTCTACTTTTTTACTCAGGTTGTTGATAACACAGTACATCAATTCAAACCATCCGCATGATCCTGCTTCCATAGCAACCAAGTACAAATTCCAGCCATTGTCCATGTATTTTTGAGTTGTTTGATCCCAATTCCCAAACTGCTCAAGAAGTCGTACAAGTTCAACCGTCATTTCATGATTGGCTTTGGTAGTTCGTAGTAAAAGACGAACCAAGTTAACCTACACCACTTTGTTTAGTTGTTGAATTAATGCATCTTTTTCCTTACATAAACTGAAGGTCTTCCTATTCTTTTGTTGAGTTCATTCAATGCTTCTGTTGGGAACCAAGTGGATAATTGTTTGCAGTTTTCAGATATGGTAGACAAGTAAGGCAGTAATACAGCTGCTATCTTGTCTTTACAAATACATTAATTTCTGTCTTTATTTTGCATGAATGCTTACCATCTGCATGTGTCAATAAACCATAGGCAGTCTTGAATGTTAAATCACAATCCCAGTCATCTAATAACAGACAGAATTTGGCTTTTATCTTGAGTAGCTCTTGTAACTACAACGTGTTGGTTAAGTGCTATAACTTTGTGTCACCTACCTTGTTGTGTTTTGATAGATTCAGGTTTTTATCTTGAATTAAGCTGATATCTACTTGTGTGATAGCTGTTGTGACCTGATAGGCAGTTGTCTTCAGCTCAACCAAAGGAACATCTACATCCATTGCATCGTCTTTTGTTTTCTTTTGTGACAAAGCGATTTGCAGTATAGAAAACAACAGCCGAGCAGAGGCAATCATGAGAGGATAATGTCGATTCTGAATGGATGCTGCCAGTATGCGTTGAAAGGACATGATGGACTGCATGAATGTCTCTATCATAGGTGAAGTGATGATTTGAACAATTAGTTTTCGATGTGCTTCTATCAGTATTTGAGCACATTGGAATGCTTTATGTTGTATTCTTTGATTTTCTTGAGAAACAATGATGCGGAAAAGTTGCAGGACATGTTCCCTGTCGAGTGTGATATCGTTTTTACCGAGTAAAAGTAAGTTATTGAGGACATTGTAACAAACATCTTCTCTTTGGTCATTCAATGCATAGTCGAGTAAGCGTTCTATCTTTACATCATATTAGAACAAAAAAGGGGGAGAAAAGATAAAATATGATATACCTGCTCTTTTCGATCAATTACTGCTTCATTTAAAAGTAAAGTCAATGTTCTTAGCGTGACAATAACTAATTTACTGTCTGTGTTGGGATTCTCAAGTAAAACAAGGCAAGTCAATTTGGCTTGTCTTGCCATACCAATATCTTGATGCATATGTCTGAATATTTTCACAAGTCCCAATTTGATCTCAAAGGGAGTATGAGGGTCTATTTAAGATGGTAAAGAATAGAACATGCTTAACTATGTTTACTTACTCTCTAGCTTATCTACAATCTTAGAGAAGATGACTGAAGGAAATCGATTTGATCTTGCACATATTTGATCTCCTGCCCAAATAGCAGCTTCTAATTCAACTTGGTCTGTTGCTAGTTCTAAGCGCTGCATAATTCTTGTTCAAATCAGTAAACAAAAGCCCATTCTTTTTTTTTTTTTTTTGTCTTCTCTCCTCTTTACCCAAACTGAACATCTAATTTGTCTGCAATAATCATAGACATACAACCGAGCACACTAATATCATATAAATACGTATAGGATATATGTTTTCCTGCTTACCGAAGTGTAATAGACCGAGCAATTGGGTCATTACTGCCGAGAATAGGTAAGATACGTCTCACAGTCTCTTCTATATTAAACACTTTGGCTAAATGAAGGTCGGATGCTTCTTTAAACACTTTATAAACATAATACTTGACAATATTATTGCTTGAGAATTATCAATAAGATGCAAATGATTGAGTTCAGTCTTACTGTATACGAAAATAGTCTGCTAGTTTCAAGATCGCCGCGTTGATCACAACAGGATAAGGATAATGCTCAAATATATGAATAAAACCAGTCAAGGCTTGTATCTGTGACCCTTGAATACCAAGGGATCCTGATCGGGCTTTGGTGTTGAACTTTGCCTCGAGTTCTAGCAAGGCCTTATGGCCGTCCGACTGGTCGCGCGTTGTATCATCCATAGGAACGCGAGAGAAAAAAATGAAAGAATGCAAGAGAGGGAGAGAATGTGATTGGATTCCCGCTTGCTTTCTATCTCTTTCTTTCTTTTTTTTGATCATGGTCAAGGGTACAAAAGGCAAGATCGCAGTGGGTACATTACTCTACACGCAAGGCGATACCAAAGCAAGTATAAAAGTATGCTAGCAAGAAAAACTCATATAATTGAAAGCATGAAGATATGTGGGATGATACAGAATTAATTGAGCACTGGGACAGAACAGTAGAAGCGTACAGAGTAAAAAGAACAAGACATATTACCCTATGTGCTAATATAGATTAGAATCAACAATCAAAAGAAGCTCCACCTTTCCAACACGCAAAAAAATTTCTTCAAAAGCAAAAAACCATAAAGAAAACTACGGTAAACCTACTTATTGTCTATTTACAACTCTAAACAAAACAATGTAGCCGGCTGTTAAGAAGAATACAACAATGCATTATAATAGTAATTTACAATCTGATAAGAAGAATCTACCCGAGATGAAAGTAGGATAACAAAAAAAGAGGGGTCAAATCTGATTTGTTATCATAGAAGACTGTCGCAGACATAACATCAAATCAAGGTAAACCTTACATTTGTTGTATCATACCCACGCTTTTCTCTTTTTATTTAGATGGTTTCTCCAATTTGGTCATGTCTTGGTACTACGCTGGATATTATACAGGGCTTTATATGGCGAGGAAGAATGATACCAAATAATGCATCAACCGCAGCAACATGGTTTGTAAGCGCCAACCAGATTGGTAAAGAGTGCCGCAGTCACGTCCAATCGTATAAAAACCATCTTGTATCTACCTTTATTTGATTCTTTTTTTTTTTTCAATAAAACACTCTTTATGAGCGGTGCTACTACTACTGTTGAAACTACTCAAACTGCCGCTTCTACTTCTCAACATGTTCCAAAAAGTACTATAGACAATAAAAGCAACGAACCTCCTAGTTCAAACAAGAAACCCAATAAGCGACACAATAAGGGCAAGAAGAAGGCTCCTAACGCATTAAATGCTACGGAAGCAGGTACTCCTAGCAAACTAAATGAAGGCGAAAATCCAAAGAAGCCATCCAGTAACAACAAGGGCAACTCAAAGAAGCCAAAGCCTGTCAACAATAAGCCTGTTGCAGCTCGTATAAGCAAAGACAGAGCACAAGGCCGTTTGACGCAAGAAGAAGACCATGAAGCAGTCCCTTCTACTTCTAGCAATCATCGAAAAAAGAAGCGATCAAATAACCGACAGAAAAAAGAAAAACATGAGTTACCACCTGGCAATCATGATATGTCAACCATCTTGTCTCATGAACTCAAGACTTCAGCCTATGAATGTATGATCTGTATGGATACTATAAAGCCGGTTAATTATATATGGACTTGTGATTGCTGTTGGGCCATGTTCCATCTGAACTGTGTCCAAACTTGGGCATCAAGATCATTGAAAGGTACATATTGGAAACATGAAAATAGGGGATGTAACTTACACATACAATAGACACTTCTTCAAACAAAATGATTACTGCTTGGAGATGTCCTGGCTGTCAAAATAGCCAAACTGTTATACCTAAAGACTATTTATGTTTCTGTGGAAAACAGAGAAATCCTGAATCCTCAAGATACAATACACCTCATAGTTGTGACCAATTATGTAAAAGACATAAATCATGCCCTCATGAATGTGTATTGTAAGTAAACCCAACATTTTCTATATAGACTAGATCACTTATATATTATGGATAGACCATGCCATCCAGGTCCTTGTCCCCCTTGTAATTCAATGGGTCCAGTTTTGACTTGTTATTGTGGTCAAACAACCCGTCAACAGAGATGCTTAGACACAGACTATTCTACCAAAGGATTTTCATGTACAGACACATGCGATGAACTATTGGGCTGTGGTAAACACCGCTGTCAACAAGAATGTCATGCTGGTATTTGTCCTCCTTGCGATATCCAAGAAGTTCAATCATGCTATTGTGGAAGACACGAAAGAACAGCACGTTGTGGTAGTGGTAAACAGATTCAAATGCGAGGACATATTGGTCACTACAGCTGTGCAGAAAAATGTGATGCTATGTTTGCTTGTGGCCAACATCAGTGCGAAAAGTCTTGTCACCCATGTACAGCCAATGCTCAACCTTGTCCTGCTGATCCAACCTTTATCAAGACATGTCCCTGTGGTGCACATACGATAGCTGAATTAGTGGGCGAACGTACCAGCTGTACAGATCCTATTCCTACTTGTGAGTCGACATGTAACAAAGTATCTGCTTGCGGTCATCCATGCTCTGAAAAATGCCATGTTGGCGATTGTCCTCCTTGTCAAGTGAAAGTCCAAGTTGCTTGTCGCTGCCAATCCACCTCTTTTGAAGAAACATGTGCTGATGTATGTGAAGCTAACGGCGGTGAACCTCCTTTATGTGATCGTATTTGTAGATCCATTCGCAACTGTGGTCGTCATCAATGTGGTCAGAAATGTTGTCCTGCTATGAAAGTCAAAGGGAAAAGAAAAGCAGGTACTGAATACGCTCACGATTGTCCTCAAGTTTGTGATCAACTATTATCGTGTGGTATTCATCGATGTCAAGACAAGTGCCATAAAGGAAAATGTCTACCTTGCTTGGAAGCTACGTTTGATGATGTTACATGCCATTGTGGACGCACACGACTAGAGCCTCCTGTACGCTGTGGTACGAAACTGCCTCCTTGTCCACACCCGTGTATTCGCCCTAATCCTTGCGGTCACATCCGGTTCTTGAACCATAACTGTCATCCCGATGACGAACCTTGTCCTCCTTGTCCTACACTTGTGAGCCGTCCTTGTTTATGCGGTAAAACAGAACTTAAGAACGTACCTTGTTATCGTGAATCACCTCGATGTGGTCGTGTGTGTGAAAAACAACTGAGCTGTGGTAAGCACATTTGTCTGAAGACATGCCATGATGGTCCTTGTATTGGTGAAAATGAGTCATGTACGCAAGTGTGTGGTGGTACTCGTAACAAATGTGGTCATGTTTGTAAAGAGAAATGTCATCAAGGTGAATGTCCTCAAACAGAACCTTGTACAGCCAGAATCAAAGCAACTTGCAGTTGTGGACAAAATTCGATTGAAATACCTTGCAATGCTACTGAAGAATCCAACGGTTCTAAGAGAGAATTGGAGTGTAATGACTTCTGTGCAAAGGTGATGCGCAACCGTCGATTGGCAATGGCTCTAGATATCAAGCGTGATGATTTCTCTACGCCTCTTTCACCTGCATTATCTGCTTCTTCAGACAGGGTGTTTTCTTCTGACGACTTGGGCTATTATGATGACAGTTTATGTGAGTTTTATATTGAAAATACCAACTGGTGCCGACAGATGGAAATCATCATGATTGAATTTGTGCAAGATGCAAACAAAAAGTCGTTCCATTTCAAGCCTATGCGTAGTGAACAACGTCGCTTTTTACACCGTTATGCTGTTCATTTTAATCTTGCTACCGAAGCTATTGACAGCGAGCCTAAACGCTCTGTGATCATGCGCAAAACAATCGGTGTTTGCCGCGTACCTCCTATCCTGTTATCTAAAGCAGCTCGCAATCCTTCTTTGAACCGTCCTCCACCTGTTGTTGAACAAGAGCCTGTCAAACTCACACTCAAACAACCCGTGAATGCGTTGTATTTGTCTGATATGGCCTTTGGTTTGACCAAACTTGAATTGGATGCGGATCTAGCTCCCTTAATGAAGATTGACCAAGATACGATTCACTTCACTAGCGAATGGGTCAACGAAAACGATGCAATTGTAGTTCCGTCGATCAATGATGCTATCTCAATGGACGAAAAGGAAAAGATTATCTGGCAACTCAAAAAGACTGTCAAGACAGCCTTTACAAATAAGGAAGACGGTAAGGCAGCTCGCGTTGATTGTTGTTGGGTGAATCAAAAAGGGGACGTGACCTGGAATGAAAAGTATTTGCAAAAGAAAGAGACAGCTGTTGAGCCTTCATTCAACAAAACCCGTACTGTAAATGCATACGATGTGCTAAGTACTGTTGATGATGATGGGTGGATGAAAGTTGGTGGAAACAATCCTTATCGCCCTACAAGAGATGCTTGGCTTGATAGTCCAAAGTCTGGTTCTGTTGTAGAAAGCTCTGGATCAAAAGAAGACAGTGAAAATGAACAAGCAACATCAGATCATGTTTCTAGTACAACAACAATAGCCACTACAATAGACTCAACCTTAACTGACTCAAAAGAAAATAATGAACCAGAAGATTGGGAGAATCTAATTAACGAAGAATAACTAGACAATACCCTATGTATATTTTTTTTTTCTGTAAAATGAATAATAAAGTTTTTGTGTTTCTTGTAATATACTCTTTTTGACGCTCAAAAAAGCCATTTATGTATCATTTGAGCTAAAAAGAAGTGCTCTTTAAAGTAATTGACTTATAAAATATTGAATTTGCGTTTTCTCTTTGAAGAAGAAGAGGAAAGAGTAAAAGAAACAAATCAATAGAGCATTTGGTAGCTACACGCACCACACTTTCTCTATAAAGAAAAAGATATTCCCCAACGGGGAATCGAACCCCGGCCGTGTCGGTGAAAGCGACAAATCCTAGCCACTGGACCATTGAGGACTGATATTTTTTGAGAAATTTATTGATTTTTCTCTCTAAATTAAAAATTTAATAAATGGTGACATAAGCAGCTTTCCGATCCGAATTCATTCGTGTCCGTGCCGCTTCTATACTATGGATGTACGTAGTAAAGGGGTGAAGCACCCTCTGAGTAATGGTTGTTCTTGTTCTGAGTGTTGTAACAGGTGTTGGTGATGATTCTGGTGCGTTCGTGGTGAACATGTGGATCCAAGGACCAACAAGAATACTAGCAAGCAAAACAATAAGCCATCTCTTATTTCAAACAAGTCATGTATTTTCTCAACAGTGTTAATTCCCATAATTTTCTTATACTCTTATGCAAGCAAATCAAGGCCTTTATTATCTTTAATTCCTTTTTTACCCGTTATCTGTCTGTACCTATCTATGTTCTTATCGTTGTATCTTTGTTGTGAACATATAGAATCTATATGCATATGATGATCTGACATTAAATAAGTCTTCCTTTACATACTAAAAATATATCATAATCAATTTACATCAGAAATAGGCATAAAAGAACCTCTTGTACTGAATAAGACAAAGTATCTTTTAATAGATCAAGACTTATAACCGAAATCCATAATTTACATTGTTTAATTAATTTAAAGTAGTCTATGATAATAGAGACTCAGTCATTTGCATGAACTCTACGACTACTTACTCCGACATCTCTTCATGTATAAATATGCTAGAATAATTTATAGTCAAAAAGGATAACAATAAAATTGTATAAAACAGTCTCAAAGTATCTACCTATGTCTCTACATTATCTTATCATATAACTCTCTATTATCAAAACATCACAAGGTAGAAATGTTCTGGACATTCTGATTTTTTTTGTGAATGTTTTAAGTAACTTGCATTAGATTGCTTGTTTTTGATAAATATATGCATTGTTATGAGTAGAAGTTTCTCATACTACCATAATTGAATACTAAGTGTTGGAGACAAACTTGATTGATCAAAATCTATGTATAAGTATTCTGCATTTATTCCAATAAAGAATCGTATAAGACCAGTTCCCTCATACTGATGATAAGAGCTTCATCACATTCATTTGATTAGAATCTTGAATAAAGAAAATGGCAATAAGGGGGTATATCTACTACAAAATAAACTATTCAACCGTCAGATTTGGCATTCATGCTTGTATGCCATTTCTTTGTAGTAAGTAAGCTTTATTCTTTTCTCGAATAGTTATCGGTTCTTTATCAAAACACCGTAAAGACACATCTGCAGCCGTTTTGTTTATTGTTTGTGATCAACAACCCCTGATTTTTCTTTCAGGAAGCAGTGTTTCAATTAAAACTTGGCATCTTAAATAGAAAGAAAGAGTTTGTTATTATGATTGACTCCCTTCTATAGATATGCAGACCCAATTGTCTATAAATAAACATTCGTTTCGTATGCTTTCTTTCGTTTTTGCGCTGGTATTGATGAGATTGTGTTTTATTATATTAGTAGCAATAGTCGTTTTCTCCTCTGCAGCATTGACTCAAAGGGATCAAACTGCAATATGTTCATCTGCTTTAAAGCCTTGTGGAGCTGGAGATAATGGTTGTTGCTCAGGGTTCGAGTGTCTTACTGGGATTTGCATTCCTACATCGCTCAACAATTAATCACGATAAAGATTGTTCAAATTTATAGCGTGCTTAAGATCCCAAGATATTTTTACAAAAAGTAAAATGGTTGGTTCATATGGATATTTAGACTCCATTATTACTTCGTATTACAAGTCAATCGGAGCAAGAGTAATGCTGTTATTATTACCACATTCAAATTCATGACAATGGTTTAATAATAAAAGAAAAAGGGACTACAACTGTGTACTGGGTATAAAGGGATTCTTTGATAAGAAGGGTTTAGAAATGTACGATGGAATTTACTCAAAGATTCTGAGAAAATAAATATATATACTAGTCAATCACTTCGTGATTGATGCTTGAATGACATAATACAATGCGTTCATGTCGCCTTTATTTTTTTTTTGCAACTACTCACGAGGATAATAGACTAAAGTTCCATCTATAAGAGGCAATTCCAAGATTTGAAGATGATCAAAAAGGAAAGATTCGGAAGTAGTTCAGTGGTTGAAGCCAAGCTATTTCTCGGTCAGGATGATTTGCCGATAAACCTGTTTTCCAGAAATTTTTTTATACAAGTGATAAACTAATAGCCGAGATTTTTTTTAGATTGAAAAAAGACGTGATTTCTTATAGCTCTTTTCTTTTTGTTTATTGTACCAATTAGTGCCTTTTTTCTTTTTTTGCTTTGTGATTCATTTTGACAAAACGCTCTCTTGTCAAGGATATACAGGGCCAAGTGTAACCAAGATGGAAATAAGATTACTTGATACTTCCATATATAGCCCTTCTACCATTGGTTATTTTCCCACATCATCGCTCATTCGAGCGGGAGTCGTGAGAAGTAATTTGATGGGGTTATTACTACATTAAGATAAAACAGAACGAACAGAAGTCGGTTGTGACATAAGAAAAAAAAGGGTCAAAAAAAAAAGATTAATTATCCTTTTATGGTGAATTCTCAGAAAAAAAGGTATAATTTTCTACACAGGATGTATCATCTTTTGTATGACGTACGGTTTCCCTGCCTGCTGTCAACACTGGGTTTACTTTGTCCTGTTTGTGCAGAATTTGGAGACATTTATTTAATTAGTATTAGAATGAAACATCTTATCCGCTCTAAACGGAGATGTAAAAAGAAACATATAAAAAACTGTCAAAATGCACTAACGGGCACTTTTTTTTCCTCCGTTTCAACTTTTTCTTTTATAAATGTCAAAAGACAAAACACTTGGCGAAAGCAATTTTTGCGATATTACAGATGACCATGATTCATCTTATGTAGAAAACGATAACCTTGCCGGACCTGAGCCTACTGCAGAGGAATGGAAGGAACTGCCCGAAGTTTCCGACGACATCCCAAAGTCTGCATTCTTAGTCATCCTCATTGAATTCTGTGAGCGCTTCACCTACTACGGTTTGACTGGTCCCTTCCAAAACTATATCCAATACCCAAGTCCTCCTTCTTGTAAATTCATTTGATGCACGTCATTAAAAAGAGATTTATACTAACAAACACATATAGATCCTGCCGCTCAACCTGGTGCCATCAACAAAGGTCAACAAACAGCTACTGCCTTAACAACTTTCTTTCAATTCTGGTGCTACATCACACCTATTTTCGGTGCCATTGTTGCTGATCAATTCTGGGGCAAATACAAGACCATTCTCGTCTTCTCCTTTGTGTATATCATCGGTCTCATCATCCTTACTCTTACCTCTATTCCTCCTGCTATCGCAAGTGGCGCTGCATTCCCCGGTTTCATTGTTTCTCTCATTATCATTGGTCTTGGTACTGGTGGTATCAAGTCCAACGTCTCTCCTCTTGTTGCTGAGCAATACCGTAGTAAATCCGCCTATGTCAAGACATTACCCAACGGTAAACGCGTCATTGTCACTCCTCAAGCAACATACCAAAAGATTTTTAATTACTTCTACTGGGGTATCAACGTTGGTTCTCTTTCTGCCATTGCTACTACTGAATTGGAAAAGAACGTCGGTTTCTGGCCCGCTTACCTTTTGCCCACTCTTATGTTTATTCCCTGTGTATGCGTTGTTCTTCTCGGTCGCAAGTATTACATTCAAAACCCTCCTCGTGGTTCCGTCTTTGTTGAAGCTGGTAAACTTCTCATGTTGCGCTTCAAGGTCAAAGGTGGTTTTGAAGCCTGTAAGCCCTCTAACTTGATTCGCGATCATCCTGAATTAGCCCCAAAAGCTACTTATGATGATGTCTTTGTCGATGAATTAAAGCGTACTCTTAAAGCCTGTGTTGTCTTTTGTTGGTTCCCTATTTACTGGCTCTGTTACTCACAAATGACAAACAACCTTGTTTCTATGGCTGGTACCATGTTGACGGGTAACGTCCCTAATGATATCATGCAAAACATCGACCCTATTGCTTTGATTATCATTATCCCTCTCATGGACAGATTCATCTACCCTGGTCTCCGTCGCATCGGTATCCCAATGAAGCCTATTGCCAGAATTTCATGTGGTTTCTTGTTTGCTGCTGCTGCTATGGGTTATACAGCAGGTATTCAAGCTATGGTCTACCGTACAGCTCCTTATTACGATAATCCTAACGGCAAACAAAACTGGATTTCTGCTGCCTATTTGATTCCTTCTTATGTCTTGATTGCTATCTCTGAAATTTTTGCCTCTATCACTGGTATGGAATACGCTTACAAGAAGGCTCCTCAATCCATGAAGTCCATTGTTATGGCTCTCTTCTTGCTCACCAACTGTTTTGCTTCTATCTTGGCATTCGCTTTGGTTTCTGTAGCTGTTGATCCTAAATTGACATGGATGTACACTGGTATTAGTGCAGCTATGGGTGCATGCTCTGTTCTTTTCTATATCTGCCACCATAAGAACGACGATAATGATGCCGAAGAAGACGCTATTGGTCGTGACGCCGACTTCAGACAAAACAACACCGTTTCTGATGAAGAAGCAGTCGTTACATACGAAGCCGAAAAGAACCTTTAGATTTTTTTTTCTGTAATTTATAGTCTTTGTCTTTCCTTGTAAATAGTAGTATGTTCTGTATCAGGACACTATCTTTTTAAAAAGTCATCTCTTGGTTTTTTTTTCTTCAAGTATATATCCCTTTGCCATATAAAAAAATGAATAAATATATAAAAATGACAATGCTTATCAAGACAAATTTTATAATTTTAAATTGTATTCGTTTTAGTATTGCTCTATATGTCTCTCTTTGTAAAAGTGAGCGATTCCGTTTCTCTCCCTTCAACAGAATTAAACTGTAAGACAAGATGGCTTTCTATAAAACGCTTTTATTTCAGTATATAGCATGGTAGAATTAGTAAAGAGAGGGAAGAAAGAAAAAAATAAATAAAAAGGGTATTATGTACACAAATGGAACAAATCCTTAATTAAAGGTTCTTCCAATCGTCTAATTTTCTAACAACCATTTCGTAGGTAAGAATTGTCAGTGCTGAAGAAGGTACAGTTCTAACCAAATTTGTGGAAAGACCTTTGTAAAATCCACGAATGCCTTCTTCTTTGGATATGATTTCAAGTGCATGTACAATGCCTTGGTATTTGTAAGGTTTTCTTGTTTGATTTTGTAAGCGAGTTCGAATCACTTCATGAGGATACGTTGCAAGACTAGCTGCCATCTTTGAAAGCGCTGAAGCTAACAAGATAGAAGTAGATCCAGAGGTCGACACATCTCGTTCAACGTCTAATACATAAGTCTTCTTTCGATATCAATGGCATGTACACTTACGAAGCAATACTTTTAGTCTTTCATACAACGGGAATTGTACAGCGACATGGCTGACACCTATGAGTGATGGGCCAAGTCCTTTATAAAACCCTCTGAACCCTTCCTCTCTTGCGATCGTAAAGAATGCATGAAGCGTATTGTTGTATCTATATGCCGTTCTTTCATTTTGTGTCTAGTGTCATCATGAATATCGATTCTCCCTTCCGAGAAAGATGTGATTTTTTTATAAACCTACCATCAATCTTGTCTTGATTACCCATAAAGGATTCGTCAACATAGTAGAAGCAGCACCCGCTGACATGGCTGAGCTAATGTGTAGCAACCATTCTTTATCATGACCTTTTTAAACCCATTGGTCATTCTTCTCTATTTTTTCGAGTTCTATTATCTTCTTACCTAATTTACCAGACCAATGGTTCTTACAATAATCATATGCAGTAAAATAAATGGCCCAAGTAGGCAAATAACCAAGAATGGTTGGACCCAAACCTCTATACAGTCCACGAATGCCTTCTTCTTGCCAAATGCGAGTCAAAGTGCCTACAGTTCCTTTATAGAGCTTTTCTCCGGGTAAAGCAATACTTTGGTTCTGTAGTCTCGTCTTTGCTACGTCCAGAGGGCAAGTTACAATAGACGAGACGATACCAGCGCCTGCGCCCGCAATAGAATGTTTTAGATTTTCATGAGTCTGACTATAATCAAATGGTAAGCTTGGTTTCTCAGTTTCAAGTTTGTCTATCTTACGCGAATTCTTTCCACCAATTGACAATAGTTTTGTCCATGGATATAATGTTTATGTAATACACTGGTGTCTTGTTGTTGAGTAATAATAAAAAAAAACTCGCACTTTATATATATTGTATGCCAATGTCTGCCTAGCGAGTCAAAAAAGACCAGTGTGTGTATGTATTTATTACGATATCGAAATTGAAGACAATTTTCTCACAGCACAAAAAAGAAAAAAAAAGAGAAAAGAACAGGCTAATTTTTTTTTTTTTTTCATTTGGAGTTGTAATAAAATAAAGCTCAGTAGCTTATCCAACCAATTGAATTGCCAAGTCACGGCGTAATCTATAATTCACGCTTGATGTATTTCATCGTTTCGATATCTACAACAATCTTATCTCCTTCATTTACAAATTCAGGTACTTGAAGTTTAGAACCATTGGTTAATACAGCCGTTTTGTAAACCGTGCCCTTGGCTGCTTGTCCAGCACGATCCACGACAGAGCCAACAGTGTATGTGTAATTGGTAGGTAATTTAAAGATACAGGGTTGTCTACCATGTTCTGGTGTTGTCAAGAAATTGACAGTAAGGGGCATAGAGTCTATTCTAAACTTAGTCATGCACCTATCAATGCATCTTACCTTCCAACATGCCAACTGCACGGTCACCACCTTCACATTTGGAGGAAGCCATTTCAATCTCTTCAAAAGTTTCCAAGTTTAGTAAATGAACTTTATCGCCTTCTGAATACAAGTATTGATAAGGTTCTTCAGTTAAATTCAAGACTTTTTTTTCAAGGGCATTAATACATGGATTATGTTATACTTTAGACATTTACTTTCCACACTATCACCTGATTTGAAACGTTCATTGATCTTTTGTCCTGATAAAATATCCTGCAAATCAATCTATGCCATATCTAGAGAGTTAGTAACATAGTAACAAGAAAAACCATTACCTTCACAACGGCACCACCTCGGCCAGTGGAAACATGGTCTCTTGTCAATACTCGCCAAGCTTTATCTTTGAACTGCACGATCTGACCTTTCTTGACAGATCCAACACTGAGTTTGTAAAAGCGTTTACTAGACATAGGGAGCATACGTGCCCATGATGGACTCAAACGTGCTGAAGCAATACTCTTGGTCAAAATACTAGACATGGTTGATGAAAAAGAAAAAAAGAAAAAAAAAAGAATTGCATTATTTAACCAGGATTTAAGCCACTGTGTTGTCCATCCCATTCGGCTATCCAATTTTTTTCTTTTATAAAAGTTCTTTCTTTCTCCCCCTTTTTTCCTTTTTTCTTTTCTTTTTCTTTATCACTATGACCGAGTTGAACAAAGGTGTTGAAAGCTTGAAACTCGAAGGCGAGCCAGTCAAGGTAGCTGCTTCTGCTGATACCTCTGCTACACAAAATGTCACACCTTGGGAAGTTGAAGGTGCTATTGTGGATGGTGTTCAACAAGCTATCGACTACAACAAACTTATCGAACAGTTTGGTACCAGACCTATTGATGATGCTTTGTTAGAACGCTTTGAGAAATTAACTGGACGTAAGCCTCACATCTTTTTAAGAAGAGGTGTCTTTTTCTCTCATAGGTAAAACACCATGTTAAAAGTACACGTCAAATTAAACTTCTTGACAGAGAACTTCATATCATTCTCGACCGTTATGAACAAAAGAAGCCTTTCTTTTTGTATACTGGTCGTGGTCCCTCAAGTTCTTCTATGCATTTAGGTCACATGATTCCCTTTGTTTTTTGTCAATGGCTTCAAGATGTGCTTGATGTGCCTATTGTTATCCAATTGACAGATGATGAAAAGTTCTTGTTTAAACCCAACTTGACCGTAGAAATGTGTCATCAATTTGCTTTTGATAATGCCAAAGATATCATTGCTTGTGGATTCAAGCCCGAAAAGACTTTTATCTTTTCTGACTTTGATTTTGTTGGGTAAGATGTACGAGTTTAACAAAGTAGATAGGCTCATTCTTTTTTTTTCTTTTGTTTAGTGCTGAATTCTATCACAATGTTGTTCGTATTGCTCGTTGCATTACATTATCCCAATCTAAAGCAACCTTTGGTTTCAATGATAGGTACATGGCTTAACGCATATACATATATGATCATGACTTACATCCTTGATATAGTGACAATGTTGGTAAAGCTCATTTTGTCTCTGTTCAAGCAGCCCCTTCCTTCTCCAACTCTTTCCCTCAAATCTTTGGCACCAAAAAGGATATTCCTTGTTTGATCCCTTGTGCTATTGACCAAGACCCTTATTTCCGTTTGACTCGTGATGTTGCAAAGAGATTGAAATACCCCAAGCCATCTCTTATTCATGCTAAATTCTTCCCTGCTCTTCAAGGTCCCCAAACTAAGATGAGTGCTTCTATTGACACTTCAGCCATCTTCATGACAGATACAGCCAAGCAGATCAAAAACAAGATTAACAAGCACGCTTTCTCTGGTGGAGGAGCTACTCTTGAAGAACACAAGGCTCATGGTGGTAACCCTGATGTGGATGTTGCCTATCAATACCTTTCTTTCTTTATGGAAGATGATGAGGAATTGAAAAAGATTCATGATGCTTATAAATCTGGTGAATTAATGACTGGTGAATTGAAGAAGATCTGTATTGAGACCTTGTCCAAGTTTGTGGGCGATTTCCAAGAGAGAAGAGCCAAGGTCACTGATGAAACTATCCATTATTATATGGATAAGAATAGAAAGATTGAACCTTAGAATAAAAAACTATGTGTAACAAGCACATAAAAAAAGGCGAGGGGGGGGAGGTCTGTTTAATCATTTTTTCTTCTTTTTTTCTTTACTATGTCTAAAAGAACAGGTTCAAGAATACCTTCCGCTGCCTCTCATCGAGGTGATAATATGTCTACTTTGACTCCTTCAGAGTCTACAACAGGTAGTAGACAACGTCAATCGAAAAGAGATGAGGTATAGAAAAAAATTTTTTTTTACATGTTCCTGAACAAACAAGTATAGGCTATTAGAAAGAAGCTTGAATCCGAGCTCTCAAAAAAGAAGTCTGGTTCAAAAAGAGTACGCCAGACCCGTAAAATAGCTGGTACCGTCTCTGCTCTTCGTCCTGCTCAAGCACTGACGGTGAAAGAGAACATGTTGGTCATTGAAGCTTCACAATTAATGGCAGCCAAGAGAAGTGATTGTGTTCTTGTTGTAGACGAGGAAGATCATCTCAGTGGTATTTTCACTGCCAAAGATCTTGCTTATCGAGTTGTTGCTGATTCATTGGATGCAAGGTAAACTAGAAATACACGAACAATAAGCTGATGTTTGTTGACAGAGATACAACTGTTGCCAAAATCATGACAAAGGGACCTATGTGTGTTACTTCTGATACTTCAGCTACAGATGCACTTAACCTGATGGTTTCCCGTGGTTTCCGTCACTTGGTAAAGTCTCTCTCTTTTTTTTTTACTTATATTTTACTGACAATCATTAGCCTGTTTGTAATGAAGAAGGCGATATCTTTGGTTTATTAGATATTACAAAATGTTTGTATGAAGCTCTTGATAAAATGGAAAGAGCCTTTGGCTCATCGCGCAAGCTATATGATGCTTTAGAAGGTGTAGAAAAAGAATGGAGCCATAGTCCTATACAACTTGTTCAGTACATGGAAGCATTGCGTGACAAGATGGAATGTCCTGACTTGAGTTCAGTCTTGGATGGATTGGCTCCTGCTGAAGTAAGTGTAAAGACCAATGTACGTGATGTTGCTCGCCTGATGAAAGAATATCACACCACAGCTGTCTTGGTGACAGACCGTGAAGGATTGGCTGGTATTTTCACCACCAAGGATGTCGTGTTGCGTGTCATTGCTGCTGGATTGAACCCTGAAAACTGTTCTGTTGTGCGTGTCATGACACCTCATCCTGATACAGCTCCTCCTCAAATGTCTATCATGGACGCACTTAGAAAAATGCATGGTAGGCTATATAACATGCATCATTTTCTTATTTAACTCTTATAGATGGTCATTACCTTAATCTTCCTGTTGTTGAAAGTGGTGATGTCATTGGTATTGTTGATGTATTGAAATTAACTTATGCTACTATGGAGCAAATCAACAGTATTCAAGGCAATGATGGTGAAGGTATAAATTATAGTGATTATAGGCTTGTATGCTTATATGTTCAATAGGACCTATGTGGGGTAGATTTTGGGATAGTTTTGGCGCTACTGATCAACACGATACAGAATCTCAAATATCAGACCCCATGTCTTCTCAACTCCTTTCAGCTCACTCACAGCACAGTAGTAACAACCACAGCAGCAGTCTTAACCGTGCTATTTCACCTGAACCTTCGGCTTCCTTTTCTCAACTCCAAGGGTTTCCTGAAATTACACCTAATGAATCTGCTAGCATGGTTGCCAACAATGACGATGGTCGTTCGATGATGTCCGAAGATATTCGTGCCATTTCAAGAGGAGAAGACGTCTTCTCGTTTAAATTCACTACGTCTGGAGGTAAAACACATCGTGTTGCTTCTTCAAGCAACAGTTATGCTGCCCTTTTAGAATCTGTTCGCCAAAAAGTGATTGGGGAACACTTGGCCCATACCAGCATGGAAGATTCAGATGTGCCTGTTGAGTCTTGGCTGAGTATTTCTTACTTGGATGATGAAGATGATCAAGTCTTGATCACTTCTGATGCTGATGTGATTGATGCTGTTAAATTAGCTCGTAAAATGGGTCAAAACCGTGTTAAGTTGTTTGTGTTGGATGCTACTGAAAAGGAAGAGACCAATGTTACTGTGATTGAAGAGAAAACGACAGTGATAGAAGACAAACCAGCTTCTGTTGTCCCTTCTCCCCCTTCTCCAGCTCCTATGACACCTACGATTGAAGTACAAGAACCACAATCACCAAAGAAGACCAAGAGACGCAGTAAGAAAGAAGTCAGTTCTGACTCTGACTCTGAAGAACAAGAAAGAAAGAGTAAGCATGATGGTGTTACTGTTGCTGGTATTCCTCAAGAATTAGTGTTGCCTGCTGCTATTGCTTTCTTGGGTGTGGTTATTGTTGGTGTGTTTGCTCTCTCTCGCGTGGGTTCAAATAAACGTTAGATATATATCTCAGAAAAAAAAATCCTATTTCTATGTGTATTTTATGATCACCCTTTTATATAAAGATAGTTTATTTCTTTTTAGGTGGAGGAGGCGTCTTCTTTTTCTTCTTCATAGCTAAAGGATTAACACCTTTTACTTTTCTCTTTTTATGTTGTGGCGCACTTTCTTTTTTCTTTGCTTCTTCTTCTAAAAGAGCTCTTTTTAATCGAGCTGTGTCTTTATCCAATGGCTTCACTTTTTCTTCCTCATGCACCTTCAGAGCATGTTTTGATCTATCTGTCATTGGTTCAAGGCCTAATCCTTGATGTTTGACATCCACATAAAGGACAGGCACACCTGGTATCTTTCTCATTCTGTCTCTTAATTTAGGATTCTGCGATGCAACAAAGAAATGATCCTTGTTGTCTGTGCCTACCAGATCACGAATGCATTGGTAAGCAGACACTTTGGTATCCTTATGTGGGCATCGACGAGACTCAAACTTTTTAGCGAGGATCAAGGCACTGGTAAAATCATGGCCTTTATCTTTCATGTCTTGCAAGATGCATTCAGTCACCACTATACCAAAACCATAAGCTATTGTTCTACATACACACAAATACCTATTCTTGTCTTCTCTCCTACGAGATCAGGAAGCGCGTCCTTGACATAGATCTTTTTCTCGAGTGCTTTTTTACAAAACTCACCATCGACTACTTTTATTAATAGAAATGTAACATGCTAAACTTACCAACAACTTGAAAAGGTGGTCTGAATCCAAATCCTACACAATAACCATGAATGATCTTTTTGTTTGTTCTGGAAGCCTTTGTCATGTTTGAAAAAAAGCCGAAAGAAATTTCTCGAGTCTTTTTTTTTTGACAGTTGCTTCTGTGACTGGATTTCAAATCGGAATACGAATTCGCGAGCAACTGGAGTGTTGCTGTCAAGGGGCCTGTAAGAAAAAAATTTGACCTTTTCTTTTTGTTTTTTATTTTATTGAAACTATGTCCAGCTTATTAAGAATTGGCCGTATGTTGCCTGTAGCGACCAGAGCTACACGTTATGCTTCACCTGCATTGGCATCTATGACACAACGATTGGCTTCAAGCTTCTCACCACTACAACAACAACAACAGCAGCAATTGGATGAAGTTCTTCAATACAGAGAAAAGCCCGGATCTTTATCTTATTTTACTGGCAATTACAAATACAATGACCTCTTGATCGAATTTGATGCACTTTACAAACGCTTCGAGAACTGGAAACCTACGGATCAGGTGGTGAATGTACCTTCTGATCTTTTGGATGTGAACAGTGACAAAGTATATTCCTGGAAGCAACGTGACAAGATGTCTGAACTTTTGAGTATCCCACTCACCACTTCACAATGGAGAAAGATCACAACGCATCTTAGTGCCCTTGCTTCTTTACCAAAGCCTTTGCCTGCTGCTGTTGCCAAAATGCTCGAACCTTATGAACGTTTTGATGCCACTCAACAAAGCAGTGGTGACAACAAGACACGTACACTGGATGACATGGGCCGTGCTTATGCTGCTGGCCGTAGAAAGGAATCAAGTGCTAGATGTTACCTTGTGGAAGGTGAAGGCAAGGTGCTTGTCAATGGGTTGGAATTAAATGAGTATTTCCAACGATCTGTTGATAGAGATCAAGTCAATTTGCCTTTGGAAGTGACTGACAACAAGGATAAGTTTAATGCTTGGATTGTTGTTAAGGGTGGTGGAAGTACTGGTCAAGCACAAGCTATTAAGCTTGGTCTTGGTAAGGCTTTATTGATTCACAATAGTGAATTGAAGCCTGTTTTACGTAAAGGTACGTCTATACCTGTATGATGCCATGTATTGACTTTTGTTTTTTTTAGCTGGATGCATTACACGTGACCCCAGAGTGGTTGAACGTAAAAAGGAAGGTCAAAGAAAGGCTCGTGCAAAGTATACCTGGGTCAAGCGTTAAAATTTTTTTTATTATTATTGTACTGTATATTTTTCACTATTAGAGATAAAAAAAAAAAATAGGTGATTTTTATTATAAATAGCATCTAGACACACTTTGTTTTTTATTTTTATTTTTTTTTTAAAGTTTAGCCTTGACAGCTTGTACCTTATTAGCAAGACTTTCATAGAGTTGAGCAATTTGGCTTTCATAGTACTTTTTTGCTTGAGGACGCTTCACCTTAAAAGTAGGTGTCAAGAGATCATTTTCAATAGCAAATGGTTCAGATTCCAAATAAATAGCCTTGGCTTGTTCAAAACCACGTAATTCAGCCTTCTTGCCTACCTTGGTGATCTGTTCAAGCACCAAGTTGGATACTTCAGGCACCTTACACAATTCAGGGAAGCTCAATTTCTTGGCATGGATATGTGGCAATTTAGCAGCCACAAGACTGTTGAGTGTATCAGGATCAGGTACCACAATAGCCACCAATTCACTCTGAAGAGAATCACCGTGCAAATAGATTTGAGCAACCACAGGTTCCTTGGCATAGACATTCTCAATCTTTTCAGGAGCAATGTATTCACCTTGAGACAACTTGAAGATGTTCTTCTTACGGTCAATGATAACAAGTGCACCGCGTTCATTGATCATACCAATATCACCTGTATGGAACCAGCCTTCAGTATCAATGGCTTCTCTTGTCTTTTCTTCGTCCTTGTAGTATCCCTTGAACACGTTAGGGCCGCGAATGCAGATTTCACCACGAGGGTAAGGATCAGTAGACAAATAGTCCATTTCAGACACATCCACCAGCTTGATTTCGTTACAGACAAAAGGAGCACCCAGATGACCGGCCTTGTATTCGTTTTCATAGTGGACACAAGAAGCAGCACAGGTTTCAGTAGCACCATAACCTTCACGAATATCACAGCAGAAGGCAATACGAAGGAATTGCATGACATCTTTACCAATAGGAGCAGAACCCGTGACCATGATACGGACATTGCCACCCAAGGCTTGCTTGACCTTGTTGAAAATCAAACGGTCCCAGAAAGGATGGGTGTATCCCTTGCCGGCTTCAAGATTGGCTAGTTTAGTAGCTACAGCACGACGTGCTAAAGCGCCTGTTGTACCGGGTGCATTGATCGTAGAAGCCACAAGCTTACCATAGATACGGTTCAAAAGACGAGGTACGGTAGCAAAGACAGTAGGCTTTAATTCTTGAACATCTTCTACCAACAAATTCATATCACCACCAAAATAACCTAGGCGACCGCCACAACAAAGGGTGACCATGTCAGTAATACGGCCAAAGATATGGGCAAGAGGCAGATAAGAGATGGTAGCATCATGTTCGTTACCACCCAAGGCTTTATAACTAGCAGACAAGGCAGAAACAAAATTGCGGTGAGTCAACATGGCGCCCTATTCAACGAGTGTGAATCACACATGCTAATGTGGGTATATTATCTATTTTACCTTTGGCATACCCGTTGTACCACTTGTATACATAATACAAGCCAAATCGTCAGGCTTAGGGTAGTTATGTGTACGTCTGTTTTTTTTACCCAAGGTTTCAATTGAGTTGAAATCAACCAGTTTGATATCTTTCTCTGCTGCCCAAGCCTTGATGATAGCACTTGAAGAAACAGCACCAGGACGAGTGGTTTCGTCAATCGAATCCATAGAGATAATTGTCTTGAGGTGAGGCAACTTGTGTCTTAATTTCAAGAGATCAGCAATATGATCACCAGAGCATACGACAGTTTCAATTTCAGCATGGTTAATCACGAATTCGACTGTATCAGGACCCAAGGTATCATACAAAGCAACTGTATAGAGACCATAAGCAGAACAAGCTAAATCAGTGATGGTCCATTCAGGACGATTGATAGCCCAAATACCAATAGGAATCTGTTGAGTACGAGTTTCGCCTACTGTATGGTTCAAATAATTCAAGAGACCAGAACCAAAGTTAGTGATACGATGGTTAACTTGACGGTACGTTTGCCAAATATAAGGACCGCGTTCACCAGTTTCTGCATTTTTGAAAGAACGAACACCAAGGCATGGTCTGTCCTTTGAGATGTTTAAACCTATCATTCTTGTTATCTATGATGTCATTTCAATAGGATCTTACCATGATTAAAGATTTCAATCATTGTCTTCACTTTAGGATTGAAGGTTTCTTGAATAGTTGTGTTCTGAGCATTACGGTAGATACCTTAATTATGTTAATATATAGTTTGACATTGACAACTCTAATTTACCTGTTTGACCAGGAGATCGAGTACCAGGTACTTCATAAGTCTGTCTTTCTAAGCTAAATTTGACCATCTAATGTATTTAAGAAAAGAAAAGAAACAAAACAAAACAAAATAAAAAAAAAATATTTAAGACGTAACTGAATATAGGATAAGTCAGCAAAAAAAGGATTTTTATAACCGTAGTTTAAAATCGTGTGAAGCAAAAATGTTATGTACTTGTCTATCACATGAAACATAAGCTATAATTTTATGTTCTTATTTTATTCTAGTATTCAATAGATGAATAAACACATATACACACACATACACACATAAACACATACACACATTCATATGTGTAATATATATATAAAGGGAAAAATATAACAATGACCTACTTATAAGTGGATCACATCATCATAAATACAAAGGCAAAACCATTCTTCCTGACGTTTTTTTTTTTTTTTTTTTTTTTTTTTTTAGTCCAGTTTCTAAGGAGCGATCATTTTGATTCTCAACATGTAACATTATGCAATTAGCAGGTATGAATATACTTTATTTCTTTTTTTTGTTTAAGAAAAAAAGACCTTGAGAACAATTTACTAGTATATAAGAATGAGTATTGATGCTTTATATTGTGTGTACACTTACTTGCTTCATGGCATCCTTCTTACCCTTACGCTCAAGGATAGCAACACGGGACTTGTCTAACTTGAGCTTGGTAACAACAACCTTGGAGGGAGAGATACCAATAGGGGCAGTGGCACCGTTGACCTTCTCGCGAGAGACACGGTCGATGTGGATAACCCACTTCTTACGGTAGACTTGAACAATCTTACCTTCACGACCCTTGTAGGTACCACGGACAACCATGACTTCGTCGTCCTTACGGACAGGAATAGAACGAACGCTGTGCTTTTCACGGAGTTCCTTGGAGAGAGGAGCACTCATGATGGTGCGACGAACATCGGAGGTAGCATTGAAGTGAGCCTTTCTACTCTTTCTACGAGAGGAGCTAACGTCTAGAAAGCATTTTAGTATATGTATATAGAATGACAATCAAAGCAACATGAACGGATCGAAAGGCTCATGATCAGATGTCCATTCTCTTTCTTTTTTTTTTCTCATTCTCCTCTCTGTCTTTCTTTCTCTGCTCTTAGTTGTGTGTGTGTATATATATGTTTTTATAAAATCATCGAATTTTCAGCCATCCATCTGCCATGAATCCATTTCCATTCATTCATCCACTTTGATTTTCATTATGATATTTACCAGCAGAGAACTTCATCCTGTCTATTTGATGAAAAAGAGGAGGTTTCTAAACGTAGCTTACTTTGTGCTGTCTTTTCTTTCTCGCTCTATCTCTGTCCACGCTTTACACGCACTCTCTCCCTTCCCAGCTATCCCCGTTTTCATTGTCCGCTAAAATATGCATAACGCCAATATATGTCCGAGCCGGATCTATTTGACAGATCATAGTTTGCATTTCATGGATAATATTCGCTTTATATGACTAACAAACGAGGAAATAATCCTTAAAAAACCATCATATACATGAAATGAACAGCCACAAAAAGGTAGAATGAACAGGTAGACAAGTTTCTTGAGCCACGAGAGAAATCAGCAATACCGTACTCATCAATACCAAGTTCTTTGTTGGAATTGTTCTTGCTGGGAGAAGGAGGACCATCATAAGAGGGTTTACTTGAGGGATCATTTGTCTCAAGGTAGCTGGGTGGTGCTTTGTTTGTCCCACATTGATAATAGGTATTGCATGCAGTGACACAGGTAGCAAGGTTCTTGATGTCCTTGTTACAAATCGACCGGCATTCTTGTGCCTTGCCCGAGCATTCTGCTAGAACCACCGGCCATGAATACGTCGTGATATCTGCTTTCTTTTTCTAGATAAAGAAGATGAATCAATTAAACCATTCGATCTTTCACTTACACTGCAACCACATCCCCATGCTAAGCTTGTTGCATTACAAAAACTAAACCAAAACAATGAGTGAATACTTTATGTACATGTAATTTACTTTTTAGGTGCTTCGTCTGGTCCTCCACAATTGTTCTAATGATAGTCAGAGAAACAGGTTATATGCATCATGGACTTACTGCACAAAAAGCAATTTGTCGAGTACATAGATTTTCTCTATTTACAAGATCAATATGAAGTACATTCCATTGAACCTCTGGTAAGCCAGCTTAAAAAAGGATCTAGTGTGAGTCTATGGGTAGTTATTTATCAGTGGGGTCATTTTACCAGGCTTCGTCTGTGCTGGCATTGGCATGTTGGGTGTAGTTATATTATCAAACATAAACATTTCTTGAGCATAGACAACACTCCATGTCACCACTATAAGAAAACAACTTAGCATCATAAGAAAAAAAAAAAAGGGATGTATTGTCTTCCAAGCAAAATAAACATAAAATACAAAGAAAGTTTATTGCAATAAAAACTACAATGAAAACTACATTCTAAACAGTTTCTTCTGGTTGTTGTTGTTCTTCTTCTTCTTCTTCTGGTTTCATACGGACAAACTCAACCATCAATTCACAATGATCTGTGTGAGGGAAAAGATCAATAGAGACAGCACGGACAGGCTTAAAAGGCATCCCCTTGAAACGATTGGATTGAGGACGACATAATCTATAAATGCATAAATATGCTGCCATTGTTTTTGTTTGTTTGTTACTCACGTGACAAAGTTTGGTAAGGCTTGCTTAGAATCACAACTGATGTAAATGACACGGTCAATATGTTCTGCATCACGTACAGCACGAATAACACTTGCATGGACACCATTTCTACCAACATCAATCAGTCTATGCTTTACTTCACTCTTTTGTTACCTAGGTGGGTCTAAAACTGCAATGACTTCTTCATTCTTTTCACCTGTCACAACGTCAATCTTATCCTCAACTTTGCTTGCATAATATGTTACATTCTCGATATCTAAAATAAAAGTTTAACTATGAGATTCATTCTTTTCTTGCTGTTGTTACTTACTGTTGAGTTTAGCATTTTCTCTTGCATCAATAATGGCTTCAGGCACCATTTCAATACCCACAACACGTTCAACAGACTTGGCCATTGTAATACCAATGGTACCTGTACCACAACAGAGATCCAATAGAGTTGTCTTTTTGTTGGCATCAATACTACACCATTCAGCACATTTAGAATACAGAATGTTTGTGGCTGGTGTGTTGATTTGGAAAAAGGCAGAAGCAGAAAGACGGAAACGACAACCAAGGACTTCTTCATATATATAACCATCGCCTGTCAAGGTTTCAACAGGAGCTTTGTCTGTGAACCCATTGGAATGACCATCCCAGACTTGGAATAACAAAGTCGTGACTTGAATACCACTTTCTTGTGTCCAGAATTGAATCAAGTTTTGCTTTTCTTGTTCTAAGCGCTCAGGGGTCAAGTCAGCAGCACGCATTTGAACCAAGATCAAGATATCCCCTGTGCTTTGGGTCTTGGTTAAGAGTGTACGCCAACAGCCAGTCTTCTCAACACGGTCATAGACAGGCAAATCTGATCGTTGAATGTACTCCGTCATGGACTTGGCAATATGTTTGGCAGTATCATTCACATTCAAACATTCACTAGGATCCAAAACAGATACCACACCATCTCTATAGAGACCCAACAAGAAACCTACGGTGGGTTCACCCTCTAAGTTCTTACCAATCGTGAATTCACACTTTGTACGATAACCATTGATTTCAGGGGACCCAATGGGCTCAAGCATTTCGCAAGGGGGCCCTTTGTAAGAGCCCAGGCACGTTGGCTTTCATCACGGACATCTTTGAGCGAAGCAATTTCACGCTTCAAGTTTTGAAGTTGAGTGTATCCCTTACGGTTCTTTTTAATCAATTGTTCTTCATAAGGCATTCTCCAGAAAGGAGTGACTTGATCAGCCAACTTTTCAGCGGGTGTACGGGTATCATTCTCGTCAAATTCAGGTTGGTTTCTGTTTTTCTTCTTTTTGGGCTTTTGGAATCTGTCACGGTGTTCTTGTTCGGTTTGAACAATGTATTCGCCCTTTAATTTACGATGCTTGAATTCAGCTTGATTGAAGATTTCGACGCATTGAAGTGCTTCTGCTTCAGACTATCACACCCCCAAGTCAATACAAAATCATGGTTTCTTGGTACTTACATTAACAGTAATAAAGGCATAGTTCCATTCAGGTGCTTTCTTGATACGGTTATAGCCACGTTCCTTGATGAATTTTTTAATAGAGGCCAGTTCTCGTTCGGGCAAGTTGGTCACTTTGACACGATGAATCAAATCGAGTTTTTGTTTTTTAGTATCGACTTGTTGATCATGAGTTTCTTCATCAGCATCGAAAGCACGCTTTCTACCCAAGACAGTGTCAATGATTGATCTTGCTAATTTAAGCATCTTGATGAAAAAATTAGTAAGGAAAAAAAAAAGAGAGGAAAAAAGTCAAAGCCTCAGGAAAATTAAGCTTTTATTCATTTGTGATTGGTGCGGTCTTTGATCGACTTGCAATTGGTTTAATTCCAGACAAGGTTGTTTTAATTCGGTGAACTTGCAGTGTAGACAAAAAAACTGAAAATAATCAAAACGTATCAAGACAGCATTATGCGCACACATTCTACTCTCAGTTCTTTTAAGAGGTTTGTCTAAACTTCTCTGAGAAGTCATAAAATGAAATTCTATTGTTCGTTATCACTTTCTAAGCGGTATATTTATGAAATTTACGATGGATAGTTTTGCAAGTTGCCAACATATTGGTTTAAGGAAATACCTTACCAATGGGTCCCTCTGGCAACCCATGTTTTTGACAGTAGACAAAAGACGTTTTGGAACTAGCTATTAGACCCTGAAGCTTCTGCAAGCGAATGTTTTCCATCAAATTTGGTCCAAGACAGAACTCTACCTCAGTTGACTGTGAAGACTTATCCCAAAGGTGTTGGATGTCTAAAACAAGAGAAATAGGGGTATTAATACCGAACGACCACATCATTTTCCCTCTACCTACATTGGCCTACAAAGATCAAGTTCCGTTCCATTAAACCGACAACGATCGCTAACATTTCGAGAGAAACATGATGGCAAACGCAGGAATGGATACATCAAAGTTCGCCCAATATAGTCAGTTTCAAGTACAAAAGCAATTCAATTGGGTTATGGAATTGACGGCGTCAAGAAGCATTGAAATTGGAGTCTTTCAGCGGATACGATTCTATTGCAAATCTTCTCATCAAGGCCGAAGCAGCAACAGAATGATGACTTCAATTTTCTCTGATCCTACAAATAATACCGCATCTGAAGTTGGAATAGAGGCAACAAAAGATTGGATGAACCGGAAGCTATTCGGTAACGTGATGTCATTTCCTTCCAAACTCAATCCACACGACCTTCTTTCAATATGTCAACTGTTGTTGGTATTGATTTACCATTTTTTATACTTATTTCTATTCATGCTCTATATCATTCCATCAATCATCAAAAGAGCAAAGTAGTCGATTGATTTAGCATTCCTGTTATTAGCATTTTACATTTCTCTCCCTATCCTTGAGCATGATAACATAAAGATTAGTCCTCTGGCAAGTTGATTGTTACTGTTTTAAAGCAACGAATTAATTCTTTAATCCAAAATGTGTAAAAAGCAAAGTTTAAATAAGGATGTGGAGCACTTTCGTGTATCTTTGAGGGTGATTGTCTGACTGAGACAATAAATACGTTTTCATTCAAGTCAAGTCAAGTAGTTATACTGGCTTGATACAGCCTGAATCAATTATATAGCTCAACATGTTATTTCGAGTTAACAAAATTGGGTGAAGCCTAAAGGATAATGTTTTGATCATCAAAGTTCGAGAAAAATTGACTACCTTAAGCTGTTGACCCCTTTTACTAGCTAAAAGTGGTAAGCTTCACCAGCTGACAGACCGGCAAGTTGGCTGGCAAGGAAAGGGACGAGGAAAAAACCCTTCTACTAAAAAGCGACCCTCTACAAAAAAAAAAAGCAATCCTATTTTATATGGAGATGCACATCAAACCTTGGCTTGCATTCAATAAAAAAAAGTACATGCTTACAATTCCAAAAAAGGGACAATAGTTTATTAAGATGCATGTATATTATGTGAGCTAGATAAAGAAATGAGTGTTCTGCCGACTATCCGTATGAACAAGCATATCGTTCAATTTGAAATGATTCAATTCTTCCTTAATCTGAAGGGCAAGAACAGGGGTTAATTTTTGACAGGTTACACTCGTGTCACATCGTCTGTCATATTCAAAAGCTGAAAATGTCTCATGGAGCTTAATGACTGGATTAAAGGACAGCGATTTTTTTGTAAAAGTAGTAGTAGAGGATGAAATTGTTGATACAGTAGATAATGCAGGTGATGGCAAATCAAAAGAAGGTGGGTGTCGATGATGGCGAGTCGGTCTTGAGATATTCGAGTTGGGTGAATCAGGTAGTTTCTTTTTATGAGAAGAGTCCATTTCTTCCTCTTCCTGAATAGCAGTGCCTGTGCTCATACGAAGGGCTTTTTTGATTCGTTTACCAAGGGATTGTCTTCTTTTCGGTACTTGGCTCAATGTATCACTCTTGGTGGATTTATCAGAGCTTATGGATGATTTGGATGAGAAATGTTGTTGTTGTTGTTGATGTAAGAGTAAAGAAGAACGTTGATGGCTAGGCTTATGACTGCCGCTACTATGGTTACTGCTGACAGAAGAGATAGTAGACGATCGCCTGCTACTCGTGTTGCTATGGCTACTTGAATGACTTCTATAGCGCATCATCATGGACATCATTTGTTGTTGCTGAAGGTATTGAAGTTGATAATAGCTCGCTTGTAATTGTTGTTGTTGTTGATACCATATTTGTTGTTGTTGTTGTTGTTGTTGTTGTGGTAAATAGTCATGATTCCACATAAGAGGAGTGTCGTTCTTTAACTAAAAAAGGAATTGAAAGATGTAAGAAATAGTACACAAAATTAAGAGCAAGTTGCTCCCATGACTATCTTATGGTTATTTTCCCCTTTTTCCCTTCTTTTTTTTTCTCTCTCTCTTTCTCTCTCTCTAAATGCTGAGATTGTAAAAATTGCATTGATGGATAAAAATAGGTTCTTTTACAATTATAGAAGATGTACATATCACAACAAAAAAAAAACACGAGTTTCTCTCTCTCTCTTTCTTTTTTTCTGCTTTACCTTTTTTTGAGTATCTGTTAAAGTCATCTTGAGCGACATCATGTCAGCCAAAGATATGTTGTCATCATCTTTTTGATATTGTTTAGAGTTGCTCATTTTTCTTCTTTTTTCTTCTTTATAAAGATAAACAGAATTGCATTTATTAAGAAAAAAAAGAGAAGGAAAAAAGAGAGAAAGAGAGAGAAAAAGAGAAAAATTATCACTTTGAATGATTCAACTCCTTTCTACACGCACCTCCTACACTTATAAACTTACTTTGCTCACAACAATCTCCCGCCCTTTACATCTTTCCCCTTTCTTTCTTTTTTGCTCCTATCATATATATATTTATATTTATATTTATTTATTTCTTGTGTAAATATGTGCTTTCTCAGTGTACAAAAACCATTATTCAAAATCTTTGGAATCATCGGGTTCCTAGAAAAATAAAAATTAAATTAGCTTATGCAAGTATATTAAAACCAATTACCTTAGGTTCCAAGTCTTCGCCATATTGCATCGAATTATCCACATGTGATAACACATATTCAACAGAATCTTCATCTGTAATATTAAGTGGTATAAATCGAACCATGCTATAGTCATCAATCTACATAGTATGAGCAACATATATACACACTACTGACTTACAAGTTGCACAATAGCCTGATTTAAAGCCTGAAATCGTTTACTTCCTGGGCTGGGTTCTTCACCATTCAATACAACCTCAGCTTCTTCTGACATTAATAATGGGTCTGGCTCTAAATATCGATCCATTTCTCTGTCTAACATAGCCTTTTCCATCATTCTTCTTCTTCTCTTTTGTCGACGTCGCTTCTTTTCAGCTGCTGTTTCTTCATCGTCTTCCTCATCCTCTTCTTCTTCTTCAGGGCGTCTGTTACCATAATCGCCTTCAATCAAATCCATCTTGGTCATCACATTAATATGGGGAATTTCCAAATTCACCATGGCACTCATGGCACTTAACACGCCCGAAAAGTATTTACTCTTGTCTTCAATAAATTGAGATTCAAGACAATAGACACCACATACACTCATATTTAAACGACCCAAGGTCTCACAAAGACGTCTCATGATAGGGAAATGAGTGTAAAGTTCAATTTGACCGGGACAATCAAAGATAAGATAATCATCGTCATAAGTACCGATTTCCTCTTCAAGCCAATCAATATTGTTCATCAAAAACCTAACATGGTTATGACCTACATCCTTTGTCTTCTTGGGCACTTACTCTAAACAATAGATAAGACCACCATTAGGTCCATAATCAAGTTCTTCCATGACATCCTCCAAAGTGATGAGTTCTCGAATATCAATTGTGGGTTCGTATTCAAAGTTCTCGGCAGCAGGATCTAGATTGACAAGATGGACTTTGCGTCCTGCCGTTTGGCAGTGTGTCATCATGGTTGCACAATAAGTGGACTATGAAGATTGGTAAAGACTCGAGAATTCGTTTTTTTTATTTTTATTTTTATTTTTTTGCTTACTTTGCCACTACCGGCAGGGCCCATAACAAGTTGACAGTGACGACCCCTAATTAAGAGAAAAATCGCGTTGAGAAAAACAAAAAATATCATAGTAGTTGCTTACATGTTTTAAGAAACAATAAAGAAAAAAAAGAGAGAGAAAAAAAAAGTTCATACATAAACAAGTCCCTTTTTTTCTACAAGTCACATTGGGACAATCCAATCAGATCTAGTAGTAGAGATCTTCACTCTCTTGTCCTCAATGCTGTTTAAGGAAGGTCTAATCTATCGTATCATTTTTTTAGATGCCTTTGTCTTATACCAAACCGTGCGTGAAACCAAACGACTACAATAGTGTTCGACATACTTGATTATGTTATTACAAAAGGGAAAAATGTCATTAACAAGATCGAGTTACACCAAGAGTGATACGGTTACACGACTTTTTTAAAAAGGAATGTGCAAAGAATCTAAAAAAAAGGGAGTGTTTGGGGGATGCAACAGATCAAAAAGAATGAGGAGAAAGTCTATCTTGGCATATGAATGTTCTTAATTTATCTTTTTTATATCAAATTGAATGCTCCTCATATATGCACTTCTCCTTCTTGAATCGGTTCTTATGTGCGGCATGAACTCTTGTTTCAAAATAAAAAGGCATCACATCTTTAAAGGATAAATATATGTAGTGAAACAAATGACTGAGTCTGTTGTGTTAAGTTTGTTTTCGCTTTGGCCCATCTCTTCTCCTTGAACAACTTAAAGTTCTCATGACTATTTGGCTTATATTTTTATTTTATCTTGCTGAGCCCTTAATAGTGGATCGGAAAAACAACTTTTTGTAATGTTACACTTTCTTTGTATAGCTTGTTTGTGCGTGTATATGTTATATTATGTTTGTTTTGTCTAGATGGAACGATATATAAATAGTTCTGAATCTAAGATTATGTAATGTTTCATCATTCACCGAAAAAAAAAAGATATATAAAGTTTTCTTAGTTATGAATGATATATGTGTTTGTACATTAAAAAGAAAAGCAAAGGTCGCGTGTTGTGTAACAGGACAATCTGAATGAAATCACCATCACCATCATGCTATTTTGAAGAAGAAAGAAAAGGTGGAATAAGGTATTATATCATCAAAAGAGAAGTAAACAGAAAGAAAGAAAGAAAGAAAGACTATTGTGGTTCACCCCTAAAGTGTCTCTGTTCCTTTTTTCTGTTTCTCCTTTTAGTGTTTATGCGCAATAAACAACACAGCGAACCTTAATTTATTTATTTCATATTTGTGTATGTCAAAATAGGTTTCTTTCTCTCTTTCTTTTCTTCTTCTTTTTTTTTTTTTTTTTTTTAAATTACACCATGATTTTATCATCTAGAGAATCGTTTCAGCCCAACTCAATAACGCCAATACAACTTTCAGATTTATGTTCAAATGTTGTCAAGATTCTCTGTGGAGGCAATTTAATGTGGGATATGGATAGGCTCATGAACTTTTCTCTGTTCTGTAATCGACTGGTTGTTCAACTTGATATTTCAGCACCTGTTATCTACACAAGGTAAAGAGATGGACATTCAAAATGTACGAAAACTCTAACCCATTCAATATAAGTCTCAAATATTTCCAGACCATTTTGGCAAACAGTATAAACGAATATAATATCATTGATTTATCTGATATCGCACATGAGTACTCTCTTTTTACGGTATCACTCATATTGGCGTACAAATTTCTGGAAGACAATCCACCATATATGGTAATCTTGATTTTATATAAAATGTCAATCTAATTATAATAATAGAGACAATGGTCCTTTGTATCTATGATTTCTATCGAAGAATTAGTCATGTTAGAATCTCAAGTATTACAAAAACTAGACTATTTCCTTTCTATTTCACCTGAAGTATATCACGAATGGATTGAACAATGCAACGCTTTACCCTTTTTAACTCTGGAACAGTTAAACTTGTTTGATTTACATATGACACAGTCTCGACTCGGATACAGCATACTTTTACCGGTTTTATTAGATGACTTTTATTTGTTACCATCGTTATCGTCTTCGCCTCAATCCACCGCATCTTATTCAGATTGTTATTATCAGATGACTCATATGACGACTGCACTACAGACCAACATCATTCCTCAACAACAACAACAGTTCATGTACAACAATAGTAGAAGTAACACAAATGAAAGCAGCATTTGTGTACAACTTCAAAATGAGTTTTTTGTAAATAATATATTTATTGCTGCTCCTACTACTGTGCCTTCAAATTATTATCCAGAAGAATCTCAATTTGACTATTCATCATGCTTAATACATCAAAATTGGTTACAGCAACAACAACAACAACAACAACAAGTGTTCATGGATCCTTTGTGGTACTTGTAACATATATACCATTTATAGACAGAATTATTCCCATTTCATACTTGTAAAGTTTAGATAATAAACACTTTATTCATTTGTGTATACATTCACTAGAATTTTATTCAATTGACCGCATTTTTTTTATTGTGTTTATCATGCGGCTTATCAGAAGAAAAAAAACATGTGCTTGTGAGGTATGATTTTGTACCTACATCTAGTCATACATTCTGTTGGGTCCAAACTCAATATGATTCAGGCACAACTGTGGTGTCAGCAGAGTATGTATCATGCATAAATACTTCTTTACTATCATTACTCAGAATAATAAACTTCTTTGGGCTTACAGAAACGAATGATCAATATCTACTATTTCATATACCTTAAGGTAGTTTGTTTATTATCAAATGCATCTGCGGAAATCTAAAAGAAAGGACCAACATTTTTCTTTTTTTTTTCTTCTTTTTTTTTCTTCCTTATTATTAGGTCCAATATGAGAAAAACAGCGAAAAAGACAAAGAAAAAGACATCCACTGAAAAGCAAGCCGATACAAGTACCTCTTCTAAACCAGAAAAATGGACACCTATTCAACAAGAACAAGTAAACCTTGCTCAACAGCTCGATACGTATATTAGCGAGTTTCAAACGAAACTTTCGCGCCTTAACTTTCAACCTTCCAACAGAGAACTTGTTATATTGTTCCTGATGAATTTACATCCTCGTTGGCGTCGTCTGGTAGAGCCTCTTGAATTATCCTGTAGTAGTTGGGTAGAAGCAGCTGCTTTTGCACGACTACACTGTGGACGTGTTTCTGCTATCCTGGGTTGTGAGACAAGTGAACCTATCTTTAAGACGGCAGAAGCTAGGGCTTTACGAGACTCGGGCTACTTTACACCTGACGCGAGTCCGGCTAAAAGAGCAGATGTTCTATCTGCAATTCAGCATTTATTGATTTCAGAAGAAGAAGAAGAAGAAGAAGAGGAAGAAAAAGAACAAGTAGTGCGAGAGTCGCATATGCACATTCTATCTCAGAATAAGCCTTATCGAGGACCAACTTTCATGGACCAAAATGCAGAGATATTAAAAGAAAAGCTGCCTGTTATAGAAATACAAGAAGAAGAACAAGAAGAGGAACAAGAAGAGGAACAAGAAGAAGAAGAACAAGAAAAAAAAAACCAAGAAAGCCAAGAAAGCCAAGAGGAAAAAGAGGAGAAAGAAGAGCAAGAGGTGCAAGCGCCCATACCCAACACTGAATCACCAAAACCACAACCATCAACTAGTAAAACACAAAAAAAAGACAAAAAAAATAAAACAAATCAAGCCCCTCAAAATAGTAAAAGTATCTGTTACCGAGTACCTGCTGAGCATAGTGATGTTAATCTTACTTTCCTGGAGCTCACAATCAACCACAAGAAAGTTAAAGGACTATTGGCTAAAGTACATTGGGGAAGTTCGGCTATTTCTCTTGACTGTGTTCACCGCCTTGGACTCTCCATGAAAGAAACAGATAACTTTTGTATTAACACTGATTTTGGCTTTGAAGACTCGATTGGTATCCTGACATTACCTATTGTACATCCTGCAGACAGTAGTATTCAATCAGAAATGGAGATACAAGTACTGCCTCAGATTTACGGAGGTAAAGTTGACCTTGTTCTTGGTGCAGATTTCTTTTACTTTTACAATCCAACTTTAAATATAAGGACTAGAGCCATTCGATTTCTCGAAAAGGAAACACCTTATATTGTGAGTAAAATAGAATAAAAAAAGTATACCAAAATTTCTTCTCTTTTTCCCTTTTTTTCTTTTTCTTTTTCACCAGATATGTGGCGATCGTGGGTGGATAGGATAAACACTATCAATAAAATAGCTGAGGAGCCTCAGTTATCAAAAGAAGAACAACTCAAGTAAGCATAGTCATCGTGGAATAAAACTTATTCATATTTTACAGACAAGAAAAACAGCAGGAACATTTTCGTGACAGTTGGCAAAAGTGTACAGACTTGAATTCAAGCGACGAGGTACAGACTCTTATTTTGATGTGTGGTTATTAAACGCCATCTAGCAACGATCTGACATCTTCTTGCTCGAGTTACTCCCGCTGTTTTGCGAAACACATGAACAGTTTGGCACAGCCTTTACCTTTAGCATAGTGCCAGACGATCGCGCTTTCTTGAGTATGCTTACAAAAGAGATTATTGCGGGTATACGAAAAATACCTGAGCATCAGAGTAAATCAGAATCAAGTCAAGGTAACATTTTGTATCTGAATACACTTGGCTGAAGAAAAAAAATTATAGCATTGATGGATAATTTGAGATCTAAATCACATTTGTACAATGTGATACGAGCTATTCAAGTCGTTTGTTATGGACCTGTTAGTATGGTATAGCTTGGCTCGGAAGCAGCGTTATTAAGCATAAAGGAATAGGAAGCCATTGTGATGTTGATGATACAACAGAGAATTCCTTCTATCATGATCAAACTCTTCCGTTCTTTTATTGATCTTTCCGTCGACTATTATCGATATGAAAAAGAAGGCATGGTCACTATTGAGGAAACAGGCGACATGATGACCAATATCTTGAAAGGGTTTGTCAAGAGACAGACCGTGTTGCATAGGTTAATGACAGAAGATACATTATTAACCTTATTGCGCATCATTTCAGCCAAGCCTACAGAAGACCAAGAAGCTTATTTGATATGGAAGTCGCGTACGGTAGATATTTTGACTAGTGTGGATATGAATAGCGAAGTATGTCAATATTTATATCAACGCCACTGTGTGGAATTGTTATGTCGACTTTGGCGTGACCATACAGAGTGGAGTGTGGTAGATCACCGAGAATTGTTGATGACTCTGGATATATTGTATCATCAACTGAAAGGATCAGCCAAGATACAGTATTGGAAACTATTTGAAGAGATGATAGAAGCTTCCGGATATGAGACTCTGTGCAAGGTTTTAAGGACTGGGCCCTTTGATCAGCCTATGCTTCAGTTAAAAGTAAGCTGTGTACATTATATGCTTTGGCTTATGCTTGCTATAGATAGAAATTGTACATAGATTAGTAGATTTGAGTTTTGTAGGTAAAATAAGCCCTATTCCTTCTGTTTCAGATGGGCTTCCATATCAACATGCAGGTAAGTAAACACATACTTGTGGTCATTTTTCAAACACCATTTTATTAGACTTTTCTACTCCTCAGCCTCAAGGTCTCACAGGTAACAAAATCTTAATTTGCGCCAATGTTATTAACTCAAAACACAGATAAAATCGTAAAGAACGTGCCTGCATTTCAATGTCTATTAGCCTCCTTTTTATTATACCCATTATCTGAGCAAGCACCCTCTATTCTCCATCTTAGCTTATTCAACGCCTTGAAACAAACTATAGAAGCCCATCCTTGCAACTATTTCGTTGTAGAACGCACTAATGCTGTGCCTCAATTTATCGAAGGCATGGAGCGATACGATGTTCAGATCCAAAAGGGCATTATGGAATTGTTGGTTTATATCATGGCTGATTTGAATTTCGTGCCGTTGAAAGAACTGGCTGTTTTATCACTTCATTTTCAAAGTAACTCAAGCGGGAAGATGATTGCATTGATCTGCAGCTATTTAACGGAATTGCTCAAGACCAACAAGTTCTTTACTGTAGTACAAGAGGCAGGCCTCATTGACATTATGAGTTTGATGCTCTCGGATATTACAGACAAGATAAAAGCAAAGCAGCAAGATGAGTTCTTGGATCATGTTTTGCTTCATTTTGATCAAATCATAGATTGTTTAATTGCTATGACTTGTACACCTACCAATGTTAATCTCTTTCGTAAATCGTAAGTACTGTATTCCAACTGAAAATAGACTCATAAATATACTAGTTATCGTAGCAATCTGTTTGATTTGCTTCAATACCCTCAAACGCGTATAGGTGCATTACGTCTATTTGAGAACTTATCAAGCCACGCTTATGATCCATCCACAGCATCACCCACACTCGACAGTCAACCTGCTGTTGAGGTAGGTAACACATTTAGTCGTGTGATGGAAGCCATCCAGTTTATTCCTCGGGATGATCTTGGTTTTCGATTGGAAGTGCTTAAATCTATTCAACGTATCTTTAAAGCGCACACATCAACAAGAGATATCTTTCGTCGTGTAGGAGGCTATGTCAGTCTAGTATCCATGATTGTGGCTTTGGAAGGCGCTTTTGTCGAGCCTGAAAGATTCGTCAGGGAAGACACCGATCGAGAACAAGTTCAATCTAGAATTGTAGCTGTCATTCAGACCATCTTTTCTGTCCTTGCCGCCTCGATGCACCGTCATGAAGTGAACAAGAAATATTTTTTAAAAGATGTAGGCTATGGTTCATTGGAAAATGCGCTTGGTTTGACAGGTGCTTTTAACCCTGGCTGTGTTGCGCATCATATTTTTGGTATCTTGTTTGGATTTGCGATTGAAGATGAATCTGTTTATGATTTATTTGTACCCGAAGAACAGGGCGATTTAGCAACACTCACTGTTGATCTCATGCGAAAAATTGAAATGACACTCAAAAGACCAACGGTTAAAGTAGTCAATCCAGAAATTACACCTACTATCCTACGTCTTCAAGAAAAGATACTTGTGGTCGATGTACAATTATCGCGTGTAGTACTGAGTGCTATTTATGCCTTAGCACAAGCCAGTCGCCACAACCAAGTCAAAATGAACTCAAGTGGTTTGATACTCACACTCCTTAAGCGATCCTTCCCTGAAGACGGCAACAATACTTCACCTGAAAGAGATATCTTGATCGAAATCATCAAGAAGCTTATGAACATGGGCGTCAGTTTTGAAGAATTGCGATACATATTCAAGCAGTTCGATATAAACCACGATATTCAGAGCAGACCTAAACTGATGGACTTGGTACTGCAAGGTATCTCTCGTAGTCGATGGCCCAATTTTATTCAGTTTGATAAAAAGTCAAGTGCTTACTCTGTGCTGGAGATCCCTCAGCTGAACCATTTCCCACCTGCAAATCCAGGATACACTTTATTGTTTTGGGCCCATATTGAACGTCAAGACGATACGTCCAAATTGACCTTGTTTGGTGTATGGGATGAAGATCAATGTTTATTCGAAGTGTATGTGGACGCAAAGACCAAAATGCTTCATGTGTACAATATCTCCTCAAAGCAAGATGCAGTCTTTCGAGCATTTGAGTTTCAATTAGGGTTTTGGTATCACTTATCTATTGTACATTACAAGTCGAGATTGTCTGTCAAATCAAGTACCATGAATCTGTATGTCAATGGCGTCTTTATTGAGCAAATTGCCTGTGCCTATGTCCCTTATCCATCGGTTCCTACGAGCCCTTGGAAAGCCATCATTGGTACGCTGGATCAACCTACAAACACTTCAGTCGAGCTTGTATGGAATTTAGGTCCTATGTATCTTATCCTAGATACTTTGGAAAAAGAGACTATCATCCTGTTCTTTAATTTAGGTGCTCGCTACAAATCGTTGTTTCAAGACTCGCTTAAAAAGTTTCAGACCTATGAAGCCTCCTCCTCTTTATTTCTGACGCTGCGTAGTCTATCAAAAGCCACACCAAGTCGACGTAGTTCGACACAGTCTCAAAACTTGATGAATATGATGAAAGGTGTCAATTTTCAAACCATTCCCGAATCTAAAATTGCCATGGCTTTCTTTGCTTGCAATGCCTTAGCTGAAGGGCCTCGTACAGGCTTAACATTATCTGGTATGAGTAGCAGTACCATGTCTTTGATCTCTACCGGTGTAGACTATACCAATCTTGTTTTGAATTCGGCTATTCCTAAATTGGATTCAGCCATGTTTGTACCCAAAAGCATGGGCTATTTAGTAGGCAGTCCAATCATTGCCTATCCTTTTGGTCTAGATGAATCGATTTGGAAGATTGGTGGGTGTGCTATTGCTCTCAAATTGATTGAACGATCAGAGACATCAGAAGCTTTGTGTAAATCAACCGCCATTTTGTTTGAAATCATTCGTTATTCTTGGCGAAATTCAGAAGATATGGAACGATGCCATGGTTATGAAGTTTTAGCTTATTTGTTAAAGCAAAGGCGAGAATTAATCACAGTGGAATTGATTGAATTGTTGCTTGTATTTATTGGCAAGAATCCTCATGCACCAGAGTAAGAAATGATCAATATACCTTGAATTGAAATGTGTATACTTATTGTATCTATAGGGAATCCATCATCAATAACCCATTAGCTTATCGATTCGTCATCCTTAATTTTGAAATTTGGAAAAAGACATCAATTTCTGTTCAGAAAGCTCAGTTGGATCAATTTATTTTGTTTTTGAATACAAGTAAAATGAGAAACTTTAACTCAAGACGTCTTCCCAAAATTCGTAAGTAGAACGCAAAACAAGACTCGTACTGATACTTTTGTTTAGATCTTGTCAAAAAAGTCTTGCTGGCATTTAGAATGAACGTGTATGCTAAGGAACTTGTGCCTCATCTTGTCAATTCACTAAAAGCCATCATGTTGAGTAATTGGAGTACTGAAAGCATTCGAGCTGTAGCTACTTTCTTAGCCTCTACAGTCTCCAAAGGTAAAGCTGGATAAAGTAGCTACAAATTGAACTCACATTTTCTGCAGCGCCCTCTACATCTGCTACTGCGAAAGCACCTCGCCTTCTTGGTAGATCAGACAGTACACGATCCACTTCTTCCAGTATTTCATTTGATACAGAAGCTATACCTAACGAGCCTGATATGATAGCAGATGCCAAGTCATACAACAACGGCATAAATAATAAGGTTGTACAAATGCGTAACATTGTGCTTGAAATGCTTCATGACATTTTGTGTGACAAAGCCAACGGTCCTGATTACATCTACAAGTTCTCCATCACTATTACTAACAAATGGCCCTTGTTGTTTTTTACACGCAACCTTGATCCCTTCACAGTTGTTTTAGCAGCACGTATCTTTTCTCGTCTTTGTGTTACTCAAGGTCCTTCTTATGTACAGAAATTCCGTGTCTCTTCAGAAGGTTTTATTGTCTTGAAGACGTTATGGCCACACCATTGGAATTTATCCCAGTTGCAAGAGACTGCCATCTTGACAATGATGGGTATAGATATTGCAGATTATCCTCTTTATGATAACTTCCATATCAATCATTTGCGTAAATGTTTGAATGACAACAAAGACCTTACCAAGGCTGCTGTTCCTGATATGGTGCCTATTCTTGTTGCTATGTGGGATGAAGCACGTAAGGCTATCGAGACACCCGTCAACAAGTTCACACAGACACCTACTCTCGTTCGTCCCTCGACCCGTGCACGAAGTAACAGTGTGAATGTCAAGCCCTCCAAAGACAGGTCCAAAAGAGAAATGACAGCTGCCACACGCAACCAAATATCACGAACTTTTGATGATTTTATCCAACTGTTCAATGAAATGTACGAGCACAGGCCTTTGTTTAAAGAAGCCTGTAACAAGCAAGATGTGGTTGATTGTGTAATTCAAATCTTGTTCTCCTCTGTGTGTTATACGCACCATATGACAGCCGATGATGAACTGAATTCAAAAGATGTAGTGTTGAACAACTTTGATTTGGATTATTTGCACTCGCCTTCGTCTTCAGCCGCTGCATCGCCTGTAGACACTTCACCTTTTATTGATCGTTTTGGCAGAGTACTGGATGATGATGCAGTGTCGGTGGATAGTCTGACGACGGCAAGCAGTATTATTAAGCGGGGCGGTACTTCGGCACTGATGACAAAGACGTCGCCTCATGTATCAAAACGTAGCCAAGGTTTAATCACTCGTTTAAGGTAAGTTTATAGACATATGTTTAAGGTATCATCTGACAAGAGCATTAGATCTGCTTCATGGAGCCAGTCGACAGGATCGTCTTCACACATTAAATTACTGCAAAATTCAATGATGGATTCCTTATTGAACTTTGTCATTAATATCTGTATTCGATCTATTATTGATCCTCAAAACAAAAATCTGAATAGTCTTGCGGCTGTCTTTGCGGTTTGTAGTTTATAACACTAGAAAGTCAACTCATGTAGTCTAAACAATAGGGATTTCCTCCAAGCACACATGATCAACAATTACAGTTTGAAAGCTATCTATTAACCCATATTTCTCAAAGCTTAAAGAGCAGTTTCCAATTGGATATGGAGCTTATTTATGATCAACGTATCTTGATCAACATGGGTAAATTTGCACAAATAGCAGCAGACGCAGTGATACAAGGCCGATTTAAAGAGGGTGGCGCAGAACAAACATACGATCTCTTGGCTACTTTGTTAGAGTTATTGCACTCAGATGAGGTAGTCAATCGATATACGGCAAGTGACGCTTCTGTAATTACATTGTACCGTGCCTTTAATCGCATGATCTTGGTCAAAATTTCTGATTTAGAGCAAGGTGACCAAGATGCTTCAAAGACAGTTGCTTTTCTTGACTATTGTATCCATCATCAAAAGATTATTTTGAGCCCCAAGAATGCAGACATGGAGTTTTTGAGATGCTTTTGTTACCATTTGTATAGATATTTATTGGTCAATGACGAAAGAATCAGAGATGCAGCTGCAAATGTAAGTCTTGTTGTGGCTCTAAAAATGACTGACTTGATTATAGATGTGGAAATTATTGATTTTGCAAAAGCCTAATAACGTAGAGACTATTTTCAATATTCGAGTGAAAGGCATTGAATCTGAAGACTTGATTGATGGATTTAGGCAGATATTAGAAATGGTAAACATTTAATAGTCATGCTTTGATCTCACCAATGTTTGTAGGAACTTGAATCATTTTATAGATGGCTTGATTCCCGTAAGGTCGAGCTTAACATTCTGTTTAATGAGCATATCAGCAAAGCATGGGAAGTAACGATCGCTCAAGAACACAAATACAGCAAAGAGACTTTCAAAAACTACATTACCAGGCGTATCAACAAGCTCAAGAGGATACAAAAACGTGATGCTTACGAGCAAGAAATCATTGCAGAATACAATAGCAAGACACTCTTGTGGTCACAAAGCATTTATGATATTGAGATGAGCCGATTTACAAAAGCGCTTCAAGATTCGGATGGACATGAGAACTTTATTCAGAGTGAATGGGCACGTTTATCTGCAGATTTGCTACGTGAAAGAGCCATATGGGGTCCTGAAAAAGCAACTGATCTGAAATGGCGATTGGATTATACAGAGGGTCCTAATCGTATGCGAAAACGATTACAATCTATTCCACACACAGAATATGTTGCTTATAGGCCCAAGCAGACACCTGCTCCCAGCACAAAACAAAAGCCGACTACAAGCACTGCGAACAAACGGCTTTCTATTGCAAGAACAGACGAAGACATTGACAAAGAACTCACACAAGATCCTATCGAAAAGGAACAATCTTTGGATAACGACTCTTCATCTAATGAAAGTATTGGCCGAGAAAATGAACAGGAAGATGATGCACAGATTTCTTATGAAGAAGACAAGAATCGCAAAGTACTTCGTTTGCTAGATCAAGGTGATATGGTGCTTGATGTTTACAATGTGAGCCAAATTGCTGGACTTGATGCCTGCGAAGGCTTACTCTTGCTCTGCAAGAACAATATCTATTTAATCGACAATTTCTTTCAGCTTAGTGATGGCGAAGTGGTTGAAATTTGGGATGTACCTAAAGAAGAACGAGATCAGTACTTGCTTCTCGTAGCTCAAGCTGCAGGCATGGAAACCGAACCCTTTGTGAGCCCTTCAGGTGACTTGCATACTTGTAGAAAATGGGCCACTGCTGATTTACGTGATGTGTTTAAGCGTCGATTTTTGTTCAGAGATGTCGCCTTGGAAATGTTTTTCAATGATGGTCAAAATGCCTTGATCACGGTGTCTCTTTCAGAACGAGATGAACTTTACTCAAAGCTTGTGAGTCGGGTGCCTGTACATGAAGAATCGGGAGGCACTATTTTTGGACGCGAAAAAGAGGGCTACACAACTTCTGGCCTCAGCAATACGTTTCGATTATCGAGTTTGTTTGGTACCTCTACCTTACAGGATTTGACACAGCGCTGGGAACGCAGAGAAATCAGTAATTTCCAATATCTCATGTACCTAAATGCTATTGCTGGACGATCCTATAATGACCTAACTCAATACCCAGTATTTCCTTGGATTTTGGCAGACTATCGCAGTGAAGAGTTGGATTTGGAAAACCCGCAAACGTTTAGAGACCTTACTCGACCTATGGGTGCCCAAACAGCTGAAAGAAGAAAAGAATTTTCGGATCGTTATCGACAATGGGGAGAAACTGATGATCCTACGCCTGCATTCCACTATGGTACACATTACTCATCTGCTATGATTGTCTGTTCTTTCCTGATCCGTCTTGAACCCTTCACTCAGCACTATCTCAAATTACAAGGTGGTACATTTGATCATGCAGATAGACTGTTTGATTCTATTGGCAAGGCTTGGGACTCTGCTTCAGAAAAGAACATGGGCGATGTAAGAGAACTGATTCCGGAATTCTTTTACTTGCCAGAGTTTTTGAACAATGTGAACAAGTTTAATTTTGGTGTGAAACAAGGCACTGGAGAAGCAATCGATTCTATTGTTTTACCTCCTTGGGCGCATGGTGATCCCAAAATTTTTATTCAGCGCCATCGTGAGGTATGTATAGGATCAAAGGTTAGAATGGTTGTTCATCATTATTTGTAGGCACTTGAAAGTGATTTTGTTAGCACTCATTTACATCATTGGATTGACCTGATTTTTGGTTACAAACAACAAGGTCCACAGGCTATTGAAGCGTTGAACGTCTTTCATCATGTGTCTTATGAAGGCGCAGTTGATTTGGACTCTATTACTGATATTGTTGAAAAGACAGCTACAATTGGTATTATCAACAATTTTGGTCAAACACCTCGTCAATTATTTAGAAAACCTCATCCTTCCCGATCTCCTGCAGTAACAGACCTAATGAGTTTGGGCTATTATCAGTTCCAGAATCATTTGGATAAACTAATGCAATCTCTGTTGCCTTTGCGTGGTAAGTATTTGTTAAGAAAACAACAATAAGACTTATGATGGTATAGATATCAAGCAACAGATTCAGAGTATTGATTTGTACAACGACAAACTGGGCGTTACGTCATGTCAACAGCTTTTGATGCCCTCAGACGGATTCAAATACATTGAATGGGGCTTTAGCGACAACAGTTTGAGAGTATATTCAACAGATACAGGAAAAGTAAGAACAGGGTAGCCCTCGGATTGTCACTCATGCTATTTTTTAGCTTCTAAATGTGTTTGAAAATATGCATATTGGACATATCAGTACAGCTTGTTTCCCTGATTCCCGTACATTGGTTACTGGTGGTACAGACAATGTAAGTGTGCAACATGGACTCGTTGGAGTGAATAACAGGCACATGGTAGGTTGTGTGTATTTGGAAGATTGTGAATGAAAAGACAACCGATTTTGTCTTGTCAGAATGCCTCAAGGGTCACACTTCTGTTGTTACAACGATTGCAGCTTCAAAAACGTACAGCGTCTTGGTTAGTGGATCTGAAGTACGTCAAACAAAAATACAAGGGGCTGTATAACTTACAAAGCGATATATAGGATAAGACAGCTATCATATGGGACCTGAATCGGAAGCAATACGTCAGATCTTTAGAGGGTCATGAAAATGGTGTGCAGCTTATCAAGATTAACGATACTACGGTAAGATGTTGTATGATATGTAACCAGTCTCTAAGCAGCGTGTTAGGGCGATATCATCACTTGCTCAGGCCATGTAGTGCGCATTTGGACTATCAATGGTGATCTTTATCTAACAAAATCAGCCTGCCCTAGCTCAGAATCCATTTTATCCTGTCTTTATTATGAGGCAAGTATTATCCAACACATGACTTCATGTGAAGCTCACATTTCAATAATAGCACAAAATGGCCGAATGGTGCAATAAAGACTTGATTATCACAGGCCATCGCAAGGGACTTGTCAAGTTTTGGTATAAACAAGTTGAGACTGATCAAGCGACAGGAAAACACAAATGGACACTGTCCCTTGTACATCAACTTTGTCACAACAGTCGCGCAGAAAGTGAGGTAGATGAGTCAGATATTGTTTGTTTGTCGATGTCCACTTCAAGAAAGACGCTTTTTACTGGAAATAGACAAGGGCAAGTGAATGCGTTTGTGTTGCCTGATACCTCGGATACCTATCATTTACAAAAAGAGGATAAATGCAAAGAATGCATGACTTGCAGAAAGGTCTTTTCTGTACTAGAGCGTAAAAACCATTGCAGAACATGTGGAGGTAAGGAGAAATGACAATCTAAAGTTAACTAATCCACTCCTGATAGGTATTTTCTGTTTTGGTTGCATGTCTAATACCCTTCCTTTAAATTGCCCTGACAAATCAGCCAAGTTTTGTAAATCTTGTTATACACATTTGTTACCACTCTGTCAATAAATATCACAAGAACTTGTACATTTGCATAAAAGACACTTTTTTTATTATTAAATGCATATTCTAAAGCAGTCTAAATCTTTATAACTTATAAACTATTTACAAAAAAAGGTATCCCAAAGTTACTAGACTCTGATGGTTGATTTAGATGTCGACAGTGATGAGTTCAGGGGAAGCACCTTCATATACGACACGATAGACAGTTGTGAAGAGAGGGAAATCCTTTTCCATGTTTCTGGCCTTCAAGAATTGGTTGACTTCTTGTGCTGTCAAGGTACCTTGGAGCTTTTGACCGTTCAACAATTCAGCTTCCAATTGCTCAATAGGCTTGCCAGTTTGAACAAAAGCCTCAGCAACCTTACGGTTACGACCACCGTTACAAGTTGTGATCAAATCAGCAGCACCACATGATTCAAAGAATGTCTCAGTTTGCACAGCATCACCAAAGAAAGTTTGGCCAAACTTACGCATTTCCATAAGACCCAAACGAATAATAGCAGCCTTAGTGTTACTTCCGTGACCAAGGCCATCAGAGAAACCAGCTCCAACAGCAACAACGTTCTTAAGGGCACCGCAAAGTTGAACACCGACATGATCCTGAATGACATTGATACGGAAATAAGGAGTATCAAACAACTTCTTAAATACTAAACCATCTTCCAAGCTTTCACAACCAATAGTAGATTCACAGAACTTTTCCATAGCAACTTCGTTAGCAATGTTGGCACCACTCAAAGCAGCACAAGGAATACCAAGGACAAGAGAGATTTCTTCAGAGAAAAGACGAGTACCATCAGCAGTGATTTCGAGACCCTTGATGAGAGAAATAGCACGAGCATTGGGAGCAATATGTCCCTTCATTTGTTCACAAATACCATGGATGAATTGATGAGGAACAACAAAGACAAGAAGGGTAGCACCTTCACAAGCCTTGACGAGGTCAGGAATGGCAACGACGTGGTGAGGGAGTTCAATGCCCTTCAAATACTTGACATTTTCATGCTTCTCGTTGATAATTTCGGTCAAATTCTTACCATCAACTTGTTCTTCGTAGACCCATTGACGAACAGTAGTTTCAAAGACATCAGTGTGGCGAGCAGTGTTGGTACCTACGATCTTGGCGATAGCAGAACCCCAGTTACCGGAGCCAATAATAGCGACTTTTTCGAGAGCAGGCATGTTGTATATAATATAAGATCAAAAGAAATTATATGAAAAGTTTGACTATTTATATGTTTTTTAAAATTTTTTTATTCTATCAGAATTTACTCCGTCTGCGGGACCAAATCAATTTATGATAAACTAAAATGCAAAGGATCACATTTATTCATCTGAAGTTAAAAACCCAGAACATGTAAAAACTTGGATATGTCTCCTTTCTCAATGATCGTATCTAAAGTACAATCAAGTTGCAGATCTTTATTTAGATCTGTTATTTTCGAGTATATAGTTGATACACACACACCATTTGACTAGACATTGACACATCAACAGCCTCTATGACGTTTTCAAGTCGGATCGGAACATGAATTAAGGAGAAGAAGAAGGGACCGTGTATGAGCCAATAGTCTTGACATCATTGATTTCTTATCTGGTACATATCAAGGCAATTTGAATCTCGGTCTTTAAATCTTTTCGACGCCGTTCACCACATCAGGAACTATGGCTTAATAAATAAAATGTGCAGAAAATTCGTTTCCAAGTTTTTTTTATTCTGGCAGGTATCGCACTTTATCTATTACATTTTTGTACAATCTTGCCTATCAAAATCTGCATTAATCTAAATAAGCATTAATAAAATTAATTATCTATCGCTCTGCAGTGGATACCCGATATAATGATCTCTTTCAAATTTAGATGCCGCACCCAAAAGAGCAAAAAAGTTCTTTTAAGCTCTTAACTTATTATGATCAAAGTCAGAGAGCAGAAATCAATTACTCTCAGGTTTGTTAAAGACTCCCGCTAATTTCATGGAAAATCAGTTTTAAAGACAGACTTAGTGCCATTAAACTCTATTTAATACAATCTTCAGGAACGAGTCTATATTCTTCTATTGTTGAACTTTATCAGAAATACTAATATGGCGATTAACTTTAGTTTCATGCCAGTTTCGCTGTTAACGTTTGACAGCTTTATTAAGACATTCTCAAATTAGGCACTACAAATTGTTTATTATCTAATTGAACTAAAAAAAAATATTATTGAAACAAGATAAAAAAGAGATGCTTAAGCTGTTTTTTAAGATGCCGCAATCTAATGGATCGTAACCTTCCTTTCTGCTTCTTCAAATGGTCTGAGTTTAAGCTTCCTTTTTAGGTTCATCACCTTCGAATTTCTTCAAAGCCTTATCGGTATCGACAGGCTTGGCACCACCGAAAGGATCAGGCTTGCTGCTTGCAGATTTGGAAGCATTTGCAGCAGGGCTATCAACAGTACGAGGCTTCAAGTTGAGACGAGGACGTTCAGAGGGACGGTCTATAGAAACATAAGAATATACATCACAGATTGGTCATTGAAATTACCTCGGCTACCGAAACCACCACCATTACGACCCCAAGAATCGCCGCGACCACGACCACCAAAGCCGCCGCGGCCACTATCTCTGAATTCACGACGAGGAGCTTCAGGCAATTCAATGGGGCCGGTACGACGCCATGTATCAACATCAGTACGATCAGCAGCACGAGGAGGGCGATCGTTTTCACGGGCTATCAATAAGGGCTAAGCACAAAGCTATCTAAGCAAAGTTTTACTTACGAGGTTCGGCAATGTTGACACGAATACTACGACCATGAACATTTTCACCAGACAATTCCAAAGCACCCTTAAGTGAATCTAAATCATCAAATTCCACATAACCAAAGCCCTTGGATCTGTCGCTTTCACGGTCACGAACAAGACGAATGTTGGAAATATTCAAGTTGTTGAACAATTCACCTAAATCGTCTTCAGTAGATTCAAAAGCCAAGTTGGCAACATGAGCAGTGAAGGGAGGTCTGGTAGGAAGCTCAGCAGGAGCACGGGGAGCGCGCTCAGGACGATCGAAACCACCACGTTCTCTACGCTCAAAACCACCACGCTCACTGCGTTCAGGACGATCGAAACCGCCACGCTCTCTACGTTCAAATCCACCACGTTCTAAATGATGTTCAATAAGTTATGCATTGCAATTCGTTGTTACCTTGACGATCACCGCCATAGTTACGGTCTCCACGGTCGCGAGAAGCATAAGCATCGGATCTTTCTTCTCTGGCTGTTTGAAATAAGTTTTTTTTGTTTAACTAATTATGCAATTTTGAAAAATGTGATAAATTCTTTACCAGCAGCTATTTGAAAGAACAATAGAAAAATCGTATAAGTAAAAAAAGAGGAATAGCTCAAAATAAACACTTACGAGCAGAGGGAAGGTCAGCAACGTCGTCAGCCCAAGATGATCCACCAGTGGCTATTTATTGCTTTTAGCTAAAAAAAAAAAGATGGAAAGATCCAAAAACTTACTATCATCGGCTAAAAAGACAGACAAGGACATCTTTTGTGCTTTCTTCTTTCCGGCTAAAGCAAATAAACAGTATTATTAAAAGAGTCCATACTTCTTACGCTTATCGCTATGTTCCTAACTTACACATTTTTTTTATAAACAAAGGAAGTTTATACAAAGGAATAAAAAAAAACTTATTTTGACACAGGAAAAAAAAATTTCGGGCTGAGGTCTAAATTGAGATTCATCATTTTGGATTGCTTCCACTTGATAAGCTCAATTGAGTGATAGAAACGTCTGCTGAAAACGAAACCAATTAAGCCCATATATCTCTCAGTATATCATTGTATTTCTCTTTATCTTGAGTCCTTGATTGATGACTATCACTCATTTATTTCTTAAAACTTGCTTATGTGGCGTAATGGGACAAACAGTCACGAGAGATACTTAGTGCTGTACATATTGAGGCCTGGATCACTCAATTTGCATGAACACGAACATTTTGGGCACTTTGAGCAAATTAAGATAAAAAACAAAGCACTATCACATACAACTATGAGTGATCTCTTACAATGTATTCAATGAGCTTTCAAAGACTTATTGTAAGCATTTTGATTTGAAGCGAGAGTGCAAAATAGTAATTTTCTCTTTTTTGTTTTCTGCTATCAGAGATTCAAATTGCTTCTAGTCGATCAGAAAAAATGCTCAAGCAATTATTATAGAGTCTTTAAGCCAATAGATGTCTTTGAATATGTCCATGCTCGCTTCATCTTTAGGAAGGGTAGTAAAAGCCAAATTTTGATTTCACTGACGGACTTTAAATTGGTACATCATCTTTAGATTCATTTTTTGAAAAATTTGGAATCGTCCCCTTCCACCCTGTTAGCCATTTTCCCTACTTTTTAGGACTCATTTTGGACATTGTCCCTTACCGCCGCTGTGAGAAATGTGGTGGATTGATACATAAACTATAAGCTGCCTACAAAGATACGTATGAATCGCTTCTTGCCTGAACGATTTCCAACTCCTTTATGCCAAATTTGTGGTCTTTATACTGAAAATGACAACCATATGCTCTTTTTATGCCCTCCAAAAACACATTTTTGGAAAGAGCTTATATTTGAATTTTTATGGCCAACCACTACTGTTGATGATATCATACAAGCATTCCGATATATGAACTTCTATTCTATTCGTTATACTCAGAATAGTGAGTTAGCTGCTCAAAAAATAGTATTCCAAGGCATGGATCAAATTTGGAAAGCCCATTGAAATACTATCTTCAATGAAATTCCGTTTAATCCAATTCTACTTCTTTCATCCACTCGTGCTTCTCTCAATTCACTGAATGACAAGAAACACTTGCACAAACGTTTATAGTTAATTATCTTATGTATTCTCCCTTTGTATCTCTTAAATTGCGGCCAGCTCTTGACAGACTTTAGTCATAGTCTACGTGGAGCAAAAAATAAAAACCTTTAGAAAAAAAATTTGGAATCGAAAATAAGTTATTGTCTAAAAGTGCATAAAAACAAAGAGCTATCAAAATGTGCCAATACCAAAAGTTGTAGCCATTTACAAGACGTATCGAATGATGTAAAGAAGATGGTGTTTTTATATATAGGATGATAAGTGATTGCTCAAAATCCGTTTTTGCAGGCCTTTTTGAAGCAATTGCCAGATAAAAGCATTGCTAAATAGGAGGTGCCTTCTCCGTTCCTCGGTTTTTCTTTCTGATAAATGACTAAGGAACCCATTTATATAATAACTAAGCGCGTCTTTAGTCTTTGACTAGACTCAAATAATCTTTACGTTCATACACAAAGAAAAACAGGACTTCGGGAACGAAGGAGCTCCGGTACGCAAAAAGTCTTTCACATTGAAACTACGACACTTTTTTTTTGTGAGAAAAGGTGTATTTTTTCCTTCCTTTTTCTTCTTCTTTAAGAAAATGACGAACTCTTTATCAGCGCATCCAGAAGGAAGTCAACCTACAAGTGTTTCACCACCTTTACAAGAAAAAAAAGATCTGACCGAAAATATCATGGCAGAACCTGATATGGAGGAATCTTACAAACAATTAAAACGTAAAATCAAGGAAATTACAGAAGTAAGCCCAAAAAAAAAGTTGTATCGATAAACCAACTCATTTTCTACAGTTAAACATGGCTATGAATAGAGATTATTTTCATGCAAAAAAGAAGATTCGTACCTTGACTTTTGAGAGAGAGTAAGGCAATGTGTGTGTATGTGTGAGCTTATTACTGACCCCCCCCTCTCTTCCTCTTCTAGTCTCTTGTTAGACAGCATCAGTAAATTAGAAAACACAAACAAATTGACCGATGAAGATAGCGATAGTGATCTTTATAGCGATATTTCTGACTCAGAGGATGATATAGAAGGTAAGACATCCATAAGACCCATACATTTACTTACATAAACCACAGCTTCCACGGGCGCCAAATCTAAGATTCTAAAGAAATTGGCGTTCAGACCTTCTAGCACGACACTACACCGTAGTCAGCCCACAACTAGTTTAGCCAACACAACAGCCATGTCTCTTCCACCAACGATACATGAACCTGCACCTGCACCTGCACCACACAAACGATCTCGATCAGCAAAGATCACCGTTAAGACGCGTCGAGTTCAACCTATTGAACGTGAAGCAGACGGAAGACCTAAACTTCCTCAACAGATTGGTGTTTTAACTGTACATAATTTGGGTACTATTGTCACGGATCGACCTAACTTTCATAACGAAAGATACATCTTCCCGGTTGGATATACAGTGAGCAGGTAAAAACAAACAAAAAAAAATACAAGGTCATCTAAACATCCTTTTTTTGCATTAGAACGTATCCTAGTATGGTTGATCCCAACAGTAACACTATCATTACGTCTACTATTGTGGATGATGGCAGTGATTGTCCTCGTTTCCATGTGACAGCTGCTGATATGCCCGATGAACCCATCATTGCCAATTCAGCAACTGGTGCTTGGACAGTCGTTGTTCGTCGATCTAATGAGATCCGTAACCGTGATCACTCTAACTCAGCCTCAGGGCCTGATTATTATGGCTTCAAACATCCCACCATTGCCAATTTGATTCAAGATTTACCAGGTGCAAAAGATTTAAAGCAATATGTCTGGCAAAACTTTGAAGAGATGGAACCTAGAGCTGCCAAAGGTGTCATGGCTGCTGCAGAGAAAAAGAGAGGCAATTTAGAACAAATGGGGAATGCAAATAGAAAAATATTGCCTATTAAAGGTGAAGTTGTCTTTGTCGATGAACTTGGTGAAAACGAAATTCCTGAAGAAGATGAAATTGTGGCTAGCGATAGAGAAGAATAATCATATGGATAGTTTTATTTCTTTTAGGATGATAATAAAACAAGGTTAAATGTCAAAAGCTAAATGAACATCGCCATGGCTAGTTTGTACAGTCAAATCACCTTTTGCTGTACCTCTTCTTGTACCACGTTTAGTAAAAGATTGGTTTTCTTCATAGTCGATATATTCTTCATTTTCAATGATTATGTCTGTGGAAGGTGTTGTGCTCAGTAAGAAATGACCTTCAAATTCACTTGGCTATAATAACATAAGTTCAGGTTAGGTAGAGAATAGGCTTACCATATGTAGATTGACTGGACCATTGCTATTGATCACATTGACTTGATTGTTCTTGACCCCTGTCACTCCAAAAGAGATAGGTGCATTGGACGTCTTGACTACGACACGAAATTTGGCCATAATATAATTGACCTGAATGTCGCTATTGGCATTCTGAATAGAGACGCTATTTGCCTCTATCTTGTTGAGTCCAATCAGTCGATTTGCATTTTCAACTTGAACAGAATTATCTGCTTTCAATAGACCAAAGGCTTCTATATCCCCATTGACATTGTTGACATGGATAGTTCTTTTGGCTACTGCATTATCTATTAAAGAAATCTGTCCGTTGGAATTTTTCATGTAAATACTATCTCTAGCAAACAGCGTCCCTAATGTCTTTATATGACCATTGGTTGTCTTTAAGTTCAAAGACTCGCCAGACCAATGATTAAGCGTTATATCGGCATTAGATGTCTGTATGTCAACGACTTGTATCTCTTTGACAAAGGGCTGTTGGATATCGATATCTAGATTGTTCACTGCTAAACGCACAAGGCTTGCACCATACGGCAATCGAACCTCAAGCTCAACGCTGACACAATCATCAGTGTTTTGTCTTTGAGGCATCTGTATCATAAGGCGAGTCAGATCGTCCCTTACTTGCTCAATAGTGTATGTTGCTTGATTTTGTAACTGAGGCGAAAGTAACACGCTAGAAAAAACCTGGCCTCCATGACGATCTTGTAAAGGAATCACTGTAATATGTCCACCAGAAACAAATCCTTTGACGACAACCTCAACACTGTCTATAAACTCAATGATTCTTGGCAGATCTTGCCAAGACTGAGCAGGACTTGGGCAAACGTCTCGAAAAGGAGGCGAAGGCGAAGTGTCAAACCAATAACTCCATTTGAAAATAGCAAGTAGTAACAAACAAGCAATGGCAAAATATTTACAACATGAACGATGACAGCAGCTTGAATACCGTTTGGGCTGAGAAACTAATCAAGGAATAAGGTTAAATTACAAAACAAACAACTCACAGGAAGGATTTTGCTGTCTTGGCGTAAAAGATGAACCTAATAAACCAGTTTGGTCTTGTTGGGAAAAATCAGCGCTGTTCCTGACGGAGCCATAACCTGACCCGTTTGAATCCATGCTTTGCTTTACAGCAGCAGAAGAGTAGGGTGGAGGAGGAAGTCCTGGTGTCAAATCAGATGAAGAGGCTTCATCTGGCTTATGAATGGTTTTATCGCTATCATAATCTTTATTTTTTGTTCAGTGAACTGGTGATAAAAACAATACCATGATAAATACCAGCTTGATTGTAAAATGATTTAGGATTACTCGAAGACATAAAGAAAGAAAGAAAGAAAATGCGTTACGGTCTAAAAAAAAGGAGTCTCCTTTTTAACATGATGCAATTGTTTTGTTTATTTAAAAATGTAGAATTGCAGACGCATTTGTTGTTTTGATGTGAATTTCAATATCTGTTTTCGACCGTCCATAATTGCCTTCTTTTAATTTCGTGTCGTGCTTCATAAACTGCAAGTGTTCTGTAGATCTACTAACCACTTGTGCCTCTGTACTTGAACTCACATGAAAATAACCACTAAAATTGCTTGGTACATAAACGTTGATAGGCGCATTTGTCGTCTGAATCTCTATTTTACTAAATTGACTCCTGATATCACTGATATGTACTTGTACTGGTGAATTTGTACTCTTAACAGAAAGCTTGGATCCGATCGATACATTTTCTACAATAACAGGAGCATTTTTAGTCTCAAGGTCAACACTGTCTGCTTCAATAGACGTATGAAGTTGAATAGGAGCATTTGTGAGTGATACTTTTAGATCTCGGGTAACAATAGAATCGCCATAAACAACAAAAGCCCCATTTTTTGTCTTTGCTTGAATTGTCTGTCTCGACGAAAGAGAGCCATCAATAACAATTGTACCTTGAGCTGCTTCCAAACAAATGAATTCAGAGGCTGTCAGGGACCCATGAACACGAATGCCACTATTAGTTGTTTTGAGAGAGCAGGAATTGCCAACCCAACTGTCAAGGTTGATAGGCTGATTTGTCTTTTCCATTTTGATATCTTGATCTGAATGTCCACTAGTGTTACTGGTAGCGCTGCTACAAGCAGGATCTGCCTTTGATTTTCTTTTTGTTTCTCTTCTTTTTTGTTTAATTTCTTGCCTAAGATCTCTTCGTTCTTGTCTGTATTCACGTTTTATTTCTCGTCTTGATTCCTTCAAACGTTGCTTTTCTCCTTTTCTCTCTAAATAATCGTTGACAAAACTATTCACATAGTCCATAGCCATTTTACCAGAATGAGCAATAGCAGCCTGTCCTGATCCATGGGTCACTTGAGTAGTCGTTGAAGTAATACCATTGACTATATTTCCAGCCAAACCAAGTACACTTTCGACTAGACCTGGAGCTTGCTGTCTTTTTTCCTGATCCATTGATCTCTGCAGACTTTCTAGTACGGGTGCTTCGTGAGAATAATGTTGCTGTGAATATGTGGGTAGTTGAGAAGAAGAAGAAGAAGCATTATTGTCAGTAGGTGTATATGGAGGAGGTAAATCGCTATGAAACCAAATGAGATGGGTAAGCAAAGAATGATTTACTTACAGAGGCTCTTTTTGCTTTCTTGGGTCGGAGGGCATGTTTGTATGTAGAGAGAGAAAGAGAGAGAGAATAAGATGATTTATATTTTATACATGTAAAATTATGCTGTACTTTTTGGGCGTAAATTCGCCGAATATTTCCACTGATTGGCTAATATGCATAACCAAGCCACTATAAACAAAAAAGTACTGCCAAGATTGATTTAATGCCAAGACACGCCTTAGCATTCAAAGCATGGACGGATGTAGATGAATGAAGCATTTATTTTTTTCCAATGCATTTTCACAACACTTTTTCTTCTCATTAGAAAAAAAATAGAACAGAGAATATGAACTGAATTCTGCATAATGCTTTATTTTTTTTCCAATGGATACGGAATCGGATGAATTACAAGTAACACAAGTTGCTCAATATAGATTTAGATATCCATTACGTAACCCATACATGTAGTCAAAAGTGAATATCTATCAGTAAGCTTTTTAGAGTAAACTGACTCGTTTTTTTTATGAACGAAGCATTAAGCAAAGTGTTGATTAATCATTCCATTGAAAAGTTGAACCAAGTGCCTTGATTTTCTGCAAGGATTAAACGTAATTTCTTGCAAGTCAAGTAAACACTCGTATTATAACGATCAACGATACAACAGACCACGCCTTTTTTTTTCTTGTATGACAAAGCTTATGTAGGTTGCCAAAACACAGTAAATCCGAGTGAATAAAAAGGGAAAAAGCGTGACGTTATTAGCATAGCTTTTATCCGTAAACCATAGTTATTTTCCCGCATTTTTTTTTCCTTCTTTCCTTTAAATACAAAAAAAAAAAATAGGCAATATGGAACCTACTTCAAATATGCCTTGTTCTGCTCTGACTGATGCTTTAACTGCATTGGCCGATAATACTTCACCTGAAAGAAGACACTCAACTGTAAAAACTATCCCTCGTTCTCAACAAGCTTCTTATTTAACAGATACGGCTGACGCTGTTAGAGAAGTAGCAAGAAAGTTAGGTAAAAAGCAATAACAATGACCATCTTTCATTTGATGAACAAATCGATATAGGAAAAACTCGCTTGAAATGGGAAAACCCTAAATCCGTTATGATTATCACTAAACCTGGAGACTGTTCACTTATCAAAATGACACGAGAGATGGCGTTGTATTTAATAGAAACACCAAGATATGGCAAGGATAGTGGAATTTGCTGGCAAGTACATGTTTGTTTGTATGACTCGTTGCTGACAAAGCTAATTTCAGCTATGTGGATGAGAAACTTAAAAACTCTAAACGGTTCAATTACCACAAAATCCTTGAAAAACACCCCATTGCTGAAGAAAAACTCAAGTTCTGGACACCAGAATTATGTGCCTTAAAGCCCAAATCATTTGATTTGATTATTACCGTGAGTTTTGTATAAAGCTAAACATATGTTAACATTTAACTAGCTGGGTGGTGATGGCACAGTACTGTTTTCTTCTTGGTTATTTCAAAATTACATACCACCTGTCATTCCATTTCATTTAGGCTCACTTGGTTTCTTAACTCCTTTCGATTTTGATCGCTACCAATTACATATTCGAAATGCGATTGAACGTGGTGTTCGTATCAATTTGCGAGGTCGATTGACTTGTACTGTCTATCGAAGTGTACCTAATCCAGACTGTAAATCACCTGAATCACAACTAAGAAATGTAGTACGAGACCCTATTACAGGCAAATTTACCATAGGTGGTTGGTGTCAAGAACTAAAGAAACAAAGACGGAAAAAGAAGTTTGGCGAAGTAGACGGTGATGATGTGGATGATGAAGGCGAATGCGAGTCTGTAGAAAAGACACATATTCCAATGGGAGAAGAACGACAAGTACCTTGCTTTACTACGGTACCTGTTGAAAAATACCATGTCATTAATGATTTGGTTGTCGATCGCGGACCAAGTCCTTATGTGAGCTTGTTAGAGCTATTTGGTGATGATAAGCATTTAACTACAGTACAAGCAGATGGTTTAGCCATTTCTACGCCTACAGGTAGCACAGCCTACTCGGTAAGATAAACAGAATTTGTCCAAATGTAGTATTTATGATCTGAATTAGCTTTCAGCAGGTGGTTCGCTTACACACCCTGATATTCATGCTATTCTAATTACACCTATCTGTCCCCATACGCTCTCTTTTAGACCCACTCTAGTTCCTGACTCTATGGAATTGCGTATATGTGTTCCTTTTAATTCAAGAAATACTGCCTGGGCTAGCTTTGATGGTCGTGGAAGAGTAGAACTTAAACGTAAGTTACAATGCGTTCATACTCGACATGTTTCTTATCTTTTTATAGAGGGTGATCACATCAAAGTAACTGCTTCGCGATATCCATTCCCAACTGTCTGTAAGGAGGACCAAGCAACAGATTGGTTCAATTCACTTCAAAACTGTCTTCATTGGAACAAACGAGAGCGTCAGAAATCATTTGCTGTTGTAGAATCACATCGTAACAATAACAAGAATCTTTCTGCCTCAAGCAGAAGCAATAGTAGCCAACACCTATCTCATTCTCCCCGCACAAGTTCTGGCCATGTATCGCGCTCTGGTGGTCATTCACCACCTCAACTTTCACCTCCAAGCAATGGTAATCGAAAATCGTCTGCCTCTTCTTCTGTTGCTTCTTCCTCTTCTGATATAGGACAAGATGAAGTGTTTGGCATGTTTTATGATGACGATTCTGGCAGTGATCATTACCACGGCACTAGCCGTCGTCGTAGTAGTGTTATGTTAGATCAATCAAGTGCCTCTAGTACAAATGAATCTTCAGATGACAGTGATGAGGATACCGACTATTCGCCTGACGGTTTTACTGGCTGGACTGATGAAGAAATTGTTAAATCCCGGTACATGGCCAACATCTCTAAAGAACTAGAAAAGGTGTCTATCAAGCATGTTAGTCAATAAAAAATTCTATTTATAATTTGAATAACTTTATTACACAAAACAGGGTTAAGAAAAAATTTTCTTGTGTAAACAAACAAAAATAGGATCAAGCTATATACAAAATCAGATATACAAAAGCCTGTGAGGAGAATACAAGAAAAGCGAGTCGACTATGGCGCGTATGTGAGTGTAAATAATATATTATAGGGAGGTAATGTCAAGGAGAGAACAATAAGAGAGAAAGAATTAAAATTAGTAAGAGGTATAGAAATTAAAAGGTAAATGTAGGATGTGATGTTGAGGGTGTTGTAATAGGCACCAAATAATCGTTTACACTATCATCTTCATCTGTTTCATCTTCATCACTACCAACTCTGTGCCTGACATGATTGGTTGAAAGCTTGGTAAAAAAGAGTGGACCACCCATACACACGCTTGTGTTTACAGTCAATTTTGGTTTCTTTCTTTTGTCAATACTAGGTGTTGTAGGTGTTTCAATATCTGGACTGCTGGATTCTGAATCAGTTGGAGAAGGGGGATTTCTAAGGACAAACTAGGCTTGTTTTTGGGTATTGTATTAGCCAGAATAGCAGGGTTGATTTTGTATTGAATTGGAAAAGAAAATATAGATCCACGGTCATAATCCATGGCCGAATATGTATCGATAATGACAACATGGTCTACATCAAACCTGACTGTCTTTTCACATCTTTTTCTCTTGCGACTGACGTGTTCTTTTATTAAGCAAGGTTGCATTTCTTTTTAGTGGTTTTGAAGATGGTATGTACAATGAAAGGAAACAAAACAAGAAAAAAGTAGAAAATCTTGAAATCATTGTTTATTTATATCAAAATGAAAAATACAGATTCAAACACCGCCGAATGTTGTTGTTATTTATAAATCTTCTTAATCTTATTTCTGTAGTCCTAAATCCTATATATAGACAACTCTTTAATGAGTCCAGAACGAGCAGTAGAAAATAACTTGAATTAAGCAAGATAATTGAATGAATTTAGCACAGAAGTATGTAGAAAATACTAAGAATAGAATTATATACTAAAAACATTCGAAAAAGCTTGTTTTCAATACACTCTAGGAAAAAAGGAGCAGCCAAAAAAACAGAAGATTGTACATTACTTTTTATGGTATCCAGTGATTTGATTTTAACAAGCTAAAAATAATCTATTTGGACTTGGCATTTTATCTCCAAAGCTATGTTTAGTAGAGCACATATACTATTTCCAGAAATCTATACTGTAGTCTTCTTCCAAGAGAGAAAGTGATAAACGTGCGATTAACAATGAGAATTCTTTGTTTCATTGTGTAATACGAAGTTTGTTACTTTTTTGCTTGCATAAAAATCAAGGTTCATGAGCATATGACCAAAGCTAAAATATGGAGCACAGATAATAAATGATAATGAAATGTCATTAAGATCAATACCAGATGAGCTTTATTTTTGATAAATATTCAACTATTTACTCTTGTTTTTATTCACAAGAAGTTCTGCGTAATCTTTAATTTGGTCCATTTCCTCATCTTTAACAGGACCAACACGCTGGATTGTTTGTCTTAGGTAATCAACATAGCTTTCTATATCTGTATTGGGTGAAGAGACAGAAGCAGGAACAGGAACATTTAGTGCTAAAAAAACTTCGGCGACTTTTTGCTTAAAGTAATTTAGCTTCTTGATTTCTTCTCGTAGTCTATTTAATTCTACAAGAGGACTGTTTTTGTTAGGCTGCTGCGGCGATGGTTGCTGAATTTGTGATTGCTGTTGTAATTGTTGTTGTCTACGAAGATGGTCATCAAGAGTAGAAGGTGAAGGGTTTGGGTTACTAAATGGTCTTTTGATTTCATTTAATAAGCTTGGTATTAACTCTAAATCTGGTTTCTTGAACCGGTCTCGATAAGACAATCCTTCAGATCTTTGCTGGTTGGTATTAGAGACACTATTGGTGTTACTGATGTTGTTATTGCTGTTGCTATTATTGTTGTTGTTGTTGCTATTGCTGTTGTTGTTGTTTAATGAGATGCCTAATGTAGAGTTCTTTCTATAAGTTGCAAGATTGTTTGTATTTTTAGGCTTCTTATTGTTTGAGGTGCCCATATCATCGTCATCTGAACTGTCTTCAATATGTGTGCGTCGCTTGGAAGGAATTTCTTTTTTTAATGGTTTGGTAATGCTTGCTGAGGCTGAAGCAGCAATAAGCTTATTGGACGATAATGCTAGTTTCTTTTTAGGTGCCATAAACAAAGGATTTCTGTTTTTCTTATCTTCAGGCTCTACTTCTTCCTCTTCATCTTCGTCATCATTATCCTCGTGATCTTGATCGCTTTCGTCCTCCTCCTCATTGTCTTCATCTTCTTCTGTTTCCTCTTCAGTTTCTTCTTCGCTCTCATCATCTGAAATGTTTCTTTTACGAAGACGCCTACTTTTGTTTTTTGTTTTTATTTGATGTTTTGAACATCGAGGTGAATAATCGTCAGGAACCACCGCAGCCGCTTTAAGAATTCCTTTATCAATAGCACACGTGACATGAAAGCGACTATATACATATGAGTAAATCTGTGATTGTGTATAAATACCATTACGTTAGGCAATTGGGTTCTTCACATTGAATACATAGACCCTGTTTCTTTGGACAATAAACACATTTCTGATTGTTGTTAGTTAAGTAAAGCATTCGTGTGTATACTTACATGTAAACCTAATTCTGATTCCTTGACAGTGTAGGGTTCTGTTTTGTCAGGCACCAATTTGTTCCACATGGCGCAAACAATATGCATGTATTTTCCTGGAACGTCTGTTGGTTTTAATGCTCCATCTCTGGTTGTACAACAAACGACATTCTAACAACAAAACAGGGTGAGTTTGTGCTTACGTATTTAGAATACTTACTGTTGTTTTCTTTTTCACCTTGTTTAGACAACTTTGGCAATACCAGTCACCTTCAGGGACTTCTTTAAGATGATAGCATCCTAAATTTAAATTTTAATATTAGATTTCATTGTTACATTCACTCTTTGCTTACGCTTATGAACAGGCATATTGCATTCTAACAACATATTAGTTATTAATTTTTTTGTACTTGTTGCACTTACTTTGGTTTTCTAAATTAGTTTTATCATCACCATCACAGTAAATAATGGGATTTTCATTCGTGGATTTGGTTCCTTTACATACAACGCATGCATCCTGTAACAATATTAAAATCAGCACATCAAAGTCATTGTTTCATGCTCTTCTTACTCCTTCGTATGGCATGTTTAGATCTAGGAAAAGATGGCATTATTAATCCAAGTTTGCTATTTTGCATAATAATCATTTTTTTTTTACCTCTTGTATATTAGCTGAACTTTTTATTTTCTGGCTCGTTATTAAATAAACAAGAGAGGGGAGAAAGAAAATTTAGAGAAATTGAATGACTTTTCTTAAAAATCCTGTGTTTTGTACAGATATAAAAAGGTACAATTTTTTTGTGTTAAAAAAATAAAGAGAAAGAGAGAGAAAAGAGAAAGATAATAGAGTGGCGTTTACAATTTTTTTCTCTCTTTCTCTTTGCTGATTAAAAGGGCGAATTTTTTTCTTTAGTCACACAGTGACGTAGAATGGACTTTTTTATTCAACAAACTCTCGAAAACTTGATCTAGAGAAGATACAAAGTGGTAGTCCTCCATTGTATAGCTCAAGATATCATGAATTAATTGGGAAAGTACTCGAAACTTTAAAAAGTTTATAAGCCCATCTGGTTTTTTAGTTGCATTGCCTTCTATGAAAAACGTCAAATCCTTCAAGACGATTGGAAAAAAGGGTATACAAGGAGATTTGGCTGCTTTTCTGAATGCATGCCGATAGTAGCTCATGTTGTTACATACATTCAAGTATTTGAATAAATTTTTAAATGTGACAATATCTCGATTTGGTAATAAGCAGGTCTGTTGCCAGTCCCTTCCACTAAACTCTTCTAGCTGTGTCAGTCCCATCGTTATCACCATGCATGTGTGGAAATTGTTCCAGCTCAAACAAAGCTAAGAAATATTAGATAGGTTGTCTCAAGCAGTGCTTACCTTAGCTATTTCCATGATTTTTCGCAGTGTAGCTCTTCTCTGTTTACTGTGTAATTCGTGTAAAGTGACTTGCTCGAGGACCCATTTACTGAGTTTATTCGCTCTTTCGGTCATCAAAGCAATGTTATCCGTCTTGTTTTCTGTTTTAGAAAAAAACATGGCCAGATAATCTTGTGCTGTAATGCATTTCAGAATATAATAATCAACCAATGTCAAACGTTTTGCAGCATCTTTTGAATTCATATATAATATGTCTGTCAAATTATTATAAAAAGTAAGACGAGTATTCTTTTTTAGCTTTAAGTCAGTATCATATGATACAAGCTTCTATTAAGAGATAGTTAGTAAATCACTCAGCTTTCTTGATTTGTACCTGCTCGTCCAAGGCTTTTTTTACCATGCTTGCCTCCGCTTTGTAACCAGAACGACTCACATCGCCGTGCAAAAAAGCTTCGAGTCTAGCCATCAAAACAGGGTTGCTTTTAAAGTCTTGAAACTGTAGCTTGATCCAGCGCAAGATAACATTAAGAACTCTAGTATACATTTCTAGCTCTTGATCACATACGTAACATATAAATAAAACAAGATGAGCCTTACTTGACTTGAATACAACATTGCCACCTATCAAAATAATACATATCGTCCGGTAAGGCTTCCAAATGAAATCTCGCCATCAAGTTCTCCAGTAACTCGAGCGAATCTGTAAAAAACAAATGACAGAGAATATACGTATCAATATAGTCAAAGTCTTGAGCCGATTCATCAGCCAACTTGATAAACAGTTTTTCTAAGGTGCCGGCTACAACCTGTAGCCTTTTTGAAGCTATTTCCATCACAAGTACATCCTGACCATTCTCAGATATGTGGAGCCTTGATCCCTCTTTACCTTTATGTTTGACATTCTGAAGTATATCGTCGTGTGTGCTGATAGACTGTAGTTTGCCTATTGCGTTTACAAGCGATAATAAGGAAGGCTGACGTTTTAATTCAAAAGAACTGTTTTTCTTGAGGCTTCTGTGTTTTTCTAAAGGTTGATTCCAGAGATGAAAGAAAGAAGTATATTCTTGCTCGCTTTTCTGCTTCATCGTATGATGCTCCCTTTTGATAAACACAGGTTCTGCATGTTCCTTTTGAATCAAAGTAAGACCTTTTTCAAATGAGGTTGAGGTAGTGATAGAAGATGATATAAAGCAGCCAGAATCGGATCCTTCAAAATCGATTTCTTCTGCTCTAATTGTCATATTTCTTGATGAAGGTGATACAAGCCTTTGGACAGATGCTTTTCGATCAGCCTATAGATTACTAACATTAGAAGAGGCTCATACATGTTGATACATGCTTCATTGTTTTGTCTGAAAAGAACCTGTGTATGTTCATTGTCTTTTTCCAAAGATGATGATTGCCATTTACTGCTAAAGAATATTCGTATGCTTCCTTTGTTTGTTGGTGCTGTATGACAGAATGGCTTTTTGTTGGTCGTGTCTTGTACATCGTTTTTTGCGCGCTGTTCGTCTTTTTCAGAAGTCTTTCTCAATGCGGATAAACTACGCATGATGCGTTTGCCGACTATATGCAGGATTTTTATATTAACTAAACTTTGAGGACAACAATTTTTTTACCTGCATCAACATTATTTTTTGACTTCTTATCGTTACTACTGCTTAAAATGTACATGCTGTAGGGTAGAAAAAAAGAAAGAGAAGGAATAAATAAAATGGAATGTTGAACCCTTTTTTTTTTTGTTCCATTTAATTTGCCTTTTCTTAACACGAGTCAGAGTCGCTTTGCATTCCTCCCTGGCGTGTCACTTATAAAATTAATGCGTTTTTGAGATGATGAAAATGCAAATAATACATATTTTTTGCCTTTTAGAATGGCTTGTTTTTTGATGATTGCATGAACGTAAAAAAGAAGCTTTTTCTTAGAGGATACACTATGGTGTCAAAATTCTTTTATAAATAATCATAAAACGTATTTAAACTTATTGCTTCTATCTATCTATGATCATTCAAATGTTGGAGTGAAATTTATTTATTAAGCTCATGTAGTTGATTACTGCTCATGAATACAATTTTTTTCGTTTTCTCAGTTAAGGAGAAGAATCAAGGAGAACTTTCTAAACGTATAGATGTAAACATTAAGCTTCTTTGTATAATGAAAATCAAAGTTAAAATTGTCATATTTCACGCTACAAAATATGTACTATCCTAGCATAACTTATAGTGCAATCGAAACGACTCTTGGTCTGATAAATTTGTTTTTATGAATACTGTGGAAGCTATAAAAAAATAAGATAGCCAATACCAATTATGCAATCGCCGATTAAGGGGTGAAAGAAAAGGGGTGAAGAGTAGAAAATGTCATTGTTAAAAAAGGCAATTTTTTCAGCAGTTCCATGAATGCTTTGTTATAAATTAATTGAATCAAAAAATGCTTTTTGTCTACATATAGTTTGAGTGCTTTTATAGCTATGTATTAGGTATCTATTATCTAATTGCTCCTCTTTTTTCTTGTTGGTGGTCAGTAAAGCACCTTGCAAGATTTCAAGAGTTGCATTACATTCGAACTAAAACGATGAGGCTATTTTTTCTCTTTCTCTATTGATATGCTGTACATGTTGATCCAATTCAACACACGCATAATTTTCTCCTCATACAGCAGTGTATAGTGATCTTGTAACAAAAGATTGTTGCGGAACTGAAAAGACAGCAATAATTTCATGATCCTATTCTTGGAAAAATGCCTACATTTGGAATCATATAAATCTTATTACACAATGACTAAATTTGTCGAATTTTTCTTACTATTTTTACCAATGTTGCAACGAAGATCTCTGTTAGAGTTGAATACTGCTTTTGCTATTATTAAGTAGTGTCGATCTCTTTGTTTGGTTCAAACGCAATCGGTCTAAAACTTGATATTATGTACTAAAAAAGAAATGCCAAGTCCATATACCACTTACTTGTAGATATTCATACTTGTCTTGCAAAGAGGTAGATCTTTCAAATAGCTGAGTGGGATGATTATGTTGAATACAAGAATTGTTTCCCACCAAGGTAAACTATTGATGGTATGACAGTAGCCATGCTTTGTTGCGGACAGTTAAATATACTTTGGAATCTAGAATTCCATTTAAAAAAATGCATAATTACACAAAATGAAAACCTGGGTTACATATTTTTTTTTTTTTTTTTTTTTTTTTTTTTTTTTTTTTTACAATTTTTTACATGATATCTAACCAATTGAACTAAAGGCTATAATAATGCGGCACTTTCTTTTTTCTGTAACAGCTGCTTTCTATTTACCCATCTTCTTACAAAAAGGAAGGGAAAGAGAGAAACGAACAAAAGTGCTAGAAAATTTAATATGTCTCTATATCGCCCCATAAATAGGTCTTTAGACTAAAAGAACCGTTCAGTACTTAATAATAGAAATCACAATATGACTGGACGGACAACCCTCATATTCATTTGTGTCAATCGTAACATGCTCTTTTAGTACCGGAGAAGTTAAAAATAATATATGGTTACAACATTATAAGATTGTGTAATATGTCGACATGCATATAAAATACGGAGGCAATGGAAGACTTTATGACTGTATCCTCTTCTTCTTTTTTAAATCTATAAACATGAAATTGTCTTATTGCATCCTGCTTCTTGCTGCCTTTGCTGGTCTCCAAGTCTCCGCTGCTCCTGGCAGCACCAAGTGTGTCTCTGGATCTGCTGGTCTTGGTAATGGTGATGGCTATAAGGGTTACTGCTGTAATGATTCCGACGATTGTAAGGACGCCTGTGTAAAGGGTGTCTGTGTTGGACCCTCTGCCCCTACAAAGACTACAACTACCTCTGGTAGCAAGCCTACTTCCGGCACATGTATTTCCGGATCTACTGGTCTTGGTAAAGGGGACGGTTACAAAGGCTACTGTTGTGATAATAGTGATGATTGTCAAGACACTTGTATCAAGGGCGTCTGCAATGGTCCTTCTGCTCCTAGCAAGACTACTACAACCACAGCCACAAAAACAGCTACAAAAACAACTACAACTTCTGGTACCCAACCTACTTCTACCTGTGCACCTGGCTCTTATGGTCTCAGTAATGGTGATGGCCAAGGTGGAGATTGTTGCAAGACCAATGACGATTGTAAGAATGCTTGTATCAAGGGTGTCTGTAACGGCCCCAAACCTAGTGGCACACCTGAACCATGCAAAAAGGGCTATGCTGGATTGGCTGAAGGCAATGGTCCTCTCAATGCCTGTTGTGAAACTAGTGACGATTGCCAGGAAGCTTGTGTCAGAGGTAGATGCACTGCTCCCTAAATTCCTTTCTATCCAAACCATTGTACCTTTTCTTTGTAAAAATAAAACAAAATATTTTAATTTGATTGTCGATATAAAGTGAGCATTTCATTCAGAGACAAAACAAGAAAGTCCCAAAAAATACTACTGGACTCAAACAAAATACAATGGCACAAGACTTGCTATGTCATGTCATAATGCACAAACAATGCAAGGGAACGTCTGCTGTGGCACATGTTTTGAGAGTCCTATACTTATGGAATTCTATAGAAAGAAAGAGAAAAGCCATTGAGCCCTTACTAGATGCCGTTTAGCAAGAAGTTATATGAGATAAACTATTCGTTCACAATCACCTTTCAACATTGCTTATGGGCTTTTCTTTAAGAACCCATCAAAAGCAAAATAAATGAGCCTGAAAGACGTCATACAGCACAGAGCCTATAGACCAAAGACACTGCACATCAGCAAACTTTCCAATATGGCCAGATTGTTTACGGCTCTTTGATTGCAAAAAGTACACCTACATTAAGAATATAGGCTTTATGACTGCGAAACGTAAAGGCTGTGCTTTTTTACAAGTTTTTTTTTTTTTTCATCAACTCGCTCTTACAACTACACAATACTAGTGCACAAGCCATTGTGGGTGTGTCTGATAAGATTCTCAAGTTACGCACAATTGCTTAAGATTGCAGTTTCTTTATGCTCTAGCCTGTTGTCTACGGTAAGTATTCGGGACTTGAAGAACCTGGTTTAGAAAAAAAAAAGTTTGATTTAGTTGGAGAACTGTCAAAGAAGTTATTGGAAGTAAATGGATTATTGTATAATTCTTTTCTTGTGTGTGTTCATCTGAAGATCCTAGACTCGTTTACAATGACTGTCTTAATATACTAAAAAAAGGCCATGACATTACTCTTCTTTATTACAGTCTACGTGCTTCATTTTTAGCATAAAAAAACATATATCTTGCCCTCCCCCCCTCATTATCTTCTTTATTCATGATGCTCAGAAATGCTATAATCCTCGCCTTTTCTACTTTGATAGGCTTCTCAAGCGCTTTCAATGTAAGAATTTGTTTGCTGTTGTTGAACTCTAACCTAATTCTGTAGAATCAATGCAATGACAACATTGTGGATTGTAAGCTTATTTACTATTATTTCTTAAACAAGATACTTATTGTTGTTTCTTATAGATTGGGGCCAAAACTCTTACGGAGCTTCTCACCCAGAAAACCCCCCTGGATAGCAACAGCCTCTTCGACACTATTGTGATGATGATACTATCGACACATTCCCTGTTGCTTCTTTGACAACCTTCTTCAGCGTAGGCGGCAAACCAGAGATTAATAAACGAATCTACCAGGCAGTGATCTCTTCTTTAAACTGAAACAGCAAAATCATTACCTGATAGCTTTTTTTAAAATTTTAATTTCTGGTTTGCCGCCTACGCTGAAGAAGGTTGTCAAAGAAGCAACAGGGAATGTGTCGATAGTATCATCATCACAATAGTGTCGAAGAGGCTGTTGCTATCCAGGGGGGTTTTCTGGGTGAGAAGCTCCGTAAGAGTTTTGGCCCCAATCTATAAGAAACAACAATAAGTATCTTGTTTAAGAAATAATAGTAAATAAGCTTACAATCCACAATGTTGTCATTGCATTGATTCTACAGAATTAGGTTAGAGTTCAACAACAGCAAACAAATTCTTACATTGAAAGCGCTTGAGAAGCCTATCAAAGTAGAAAAGGCGAGGATTATAGCATTTCTGAGCATCATGAATAAAGAAGATAATGAGGGGGGGAGGGCAAGATATATGTTTTTTTATGCTAAAAATGAAGCACGTAGACTGTAATAAAGAAGAGTAATGTCATGGCCTTTTTTTAGTATATTAAGACAGTCATTGTAAACGAGTCTAGGATCTTCAGATGAACACACACAAGAAAAGAATTATACAATAATCCATTTACTTCCAATAACTTCTTTGACAGTTCTCCAACTAAATCAAACTTTTTTTTTTCTAAACCAGGTTCTTCAAGTCCCGAATACTTACCGTAGACAACAGGCTAGAGCATAAAGAAACTGCAATCTTAAGCAATTGTGCGTAACTTGAGAATCTTATCAGACACACCCACAATGGCTTGTGCACTAGTATTGTGTAGTTGTAAGAGCGAGTTGATGAAAAAAAAAAAAAACTTGTAAAAAAGCACAGCCTTTACGTTTCGCAGTCATAAAGCCTATATTCTTAATGTAGGTGTACTTTTTGCAATCAAAGAGCCGTAAACAATCTGGCCATATTGGAAAGTTTGCTGATGTGCAGTGTCTTTGGTCTATAGGCTCTGTGCTGTATGACGTCTTTCAGGCTCATTTATTTTGCTTTTGATGGGTTCTTAAAGAAAAGCCCATAAGCAATGTTGAAAGGTGATTGTGAACGAATAGTTTATCTCATATAACTTCTTGCTAAACGGCATCTAGTAAGGGCTCAATGGCTTTTCTCTTTCTTTCTATAGAATTCCATAAGTATAGGACTCTCAAAACATGTGCCACAGCAGACGTTCCCTTGCATTGTTTGTGCATTATGACATGACATAGCAAGTCTTGTGCCATTGTATTTTGTTTGAGTCCAGTAGTATTTTTTGGGACTTTCTTGTTTTGTCTCTGAATGAAATGCTCACTTTATCTATTGATGTGGCAATGAAAAAGCAATCATAATACTAAACACTTTCAAATTCTCCTTCGTACTGTCCCTTACGTAAGCAACAGGGCGGGAAATAAAGGGGGAGGATATAAGTTATGCATATTAAAAAGGATCTGCACATCAGCTCGGTCGAATTTAATTTATCTTTTCGGATATTTCAAATGTTTAGACATGATATATTGTATGAAGTATATATGCAATTATCATATATCTTCTGAAGTTTTTGAAAAATTAAGATCAAGTCTATTCTTGTAAATATGAAATAACATCACTGTGATTGTGAGGAAATCAGACGATAATAAATAGCTGTCCAAATATATCATGAGCAATTAATGCAACAACACTCATGAAATAAATACTACCAAACGCAAAAGGATCACTTTGAGCCCAAGAGTCAACTATTCTTGTCAGATTTTATTTTATAAAGAAAAACGACAAATAATTCAACGATACTGTATCAATTTTGGATGAATGTTACTTCTAAAACAATCCTTTAGGTGAAGATAACTTATGCGATACAAGGGTTAACCGTGTAGCGATATTGACTATTGAAGAATCAAGAAATATATCGAATGAAAGCAATCAGAATGCTACTTCAAAATCAATTCAAAAATTTATCAATTTTGATATCAATTCATCTGTTGATGATATTGATAATGTTTGCTATGCTAATGGCAAAAGACTAAAGAGGTTTTATGGCTTCTAAAAAATTTCCAACTGAGCTTATTAAATCAATGAAAAACAAGAACTATATAGTTATAAAGCTCGCTTTCTTCAACATGTATTTTTAGTCAAACAATTGATGATAGAAAGAAGAGCCAAGTTTTTGACTCTGTGGCTATTGATACAACTTATTGCACTAACAAATTGAGAATATCTCTCATCTGTGCTTATGAAACATGCAACATTGGTCACCCAAGTCTTATTAACTTTGTTTTTGTCAACAATTAAAATACCTAAATATGTTCTTGTTTCTTTTAGACTTTCAGGAGTCTTTTTAGACTTGATCCATTGTATTCTTATAGTCAAGGCGCTAAACATATTCCTAAAAACACTTTGCAGTTTCCAAAAAAAAAAAAAAAAAAAAAAAAAAAAAATGAAATGAAATAAGCAACCTCTCCGAAACTATAGCAATCAATCAGATAGATGTATTAAACCTTCCTTAGTCATTAGACAATACTAGATACTCATACTCCATATTTATGCATAGAACTAAACTAGAACGAAGTTGATAAATAGTTTTTCATGTGTTGATTGTTTTCAAATGACAGTAAATATTACGATTTTAACCATGCTAGAATAATCACTGGGCTTTAGTGTAAAAAGATGAAATTCACAGACATTATGGTGCATTAAGAGATACATGACCAACTTTAAGTTATGCCTATAAAAGGATAGATATCCTTTCGATAAAGCACGCACGGTCTAATCAAAGACCACCTGTTTAGGGACAAACAAAAAGAACGGTTACTCTATTTGAGCAACACGTGCTATCAGCCTACTCAAGCAGTAGAGAATACGATTAATTATGAAATCAACTAGAAGATAATATGTGCAGAGAAACACAGCTTATATTGGATATAAAGCTTTGATGTTCAAGACTGATTATATGCCCCCTTTTTTTTTTGTTAAACCACATGATAATCTCGCCTGATGTTCCCCTTCATCTTTAGCATCGTATAAAGCCAGACTTATTTATGCACAACGAATTCTAATGCAATTGTAAAATCACCTGCCTGAAAGAACATCAATATAAGTCCATTCTTTCTTCTTTTTCTCCTTTATTTTCTTTAACAAGATCGATTCTCGGTTCAACACCAGAATGTCCCATTTATCCAACACAAAAGCTATACATCTCGAAACAACACCTCGAGCGTATTATGAGTATTACATGACAGCTGCGCCTAGTTATGATTTGTACCCAGGTCTTTCTCGTCGCCTTGTGAATGGCCATGTACATCGACCTACACGGCCCAAGCGCCAACCAAAGAGACAAGCCCATTTTTTAAATATCAATAATACGATGCATTTACGACGTAATTATAACGAACAGGAAGACCCCTTATGGCAACCTCAACAACAGCAACAAGGGGATATGACTCCGCCTTGGGATTTATATCCTGCAATATTACGTAGAGTATGTGTATATGTGTTATGAATTCCTGCGTGTACTGATTACGTTATAGGTCGAGAACTTTGGTACAGAACAAATGAGACAGAGACTTCATACGATGGAATCAACCATTACACTGGTGTAATATACTTTATTAATTTGTCTAGTAAAGAATGCAGAAATTATGATACATAAAAGAAAAAAAAGAGATAATACAAGAAATATGAAGGAATGAGAAAAAGCTAAAAATAAGTATGTGTCACAATACTCTAAGCACGACCACCTAATGTGTACGATTCTGACGTTCTTATTTGACTAGTGGCTACTGTCATGGGTTTTTTGCTATTGTTTTTAGTGAGTAAGTCAGTGAAAGACCAACGAGATTGTTTGTATGATAAGTGAGTGGAAGTAGGTGCGTTAGGGTCATATCGTCCAGTTCTCATGTCTTGAGGGTCTAAATAGTCACCATCCCTATAAGCTGTCTCATAATAACGACGGTCTTGTGATTGGAATTGAGATTGCGATACACGTCTTTTTGTGTATTTGTCTACTTTGTGATAATCATAAGTGTTTTTAATTTTATCAATCAATCCCATAATTATAAAGAAAAAAAAGAAAAGAGTATAAAGGAAAATCTTTTTTTCCTGGCCCTTTTATATACAGTCGGAAAGCGGAAAAACATTTATGTGTAGATCCTATTTGGGCTAAAGTAAACCTTTGCTCTCTCTCTTTCTCCTCCTTGTCAATATTACCATATATTTTTCTTGACTATAGCGTCATGATGACTCTGTGTTTGCTTTTATTTTTTTTCTTCTTGTTTACTTCCTAATGGCTTTCAATCTCCATTTTAAAATAGAAAAAGGCAAAAGCGGATTGGACATGTCAAACTCATTGTTGTTCACCCTTGTTTATTCAAAAAATAGAAATGAAGCATGTGTTAACATACACCTGGAGCTTCCTTCTTCTTGTTCTGTTCATAATCCTTGGACTCTTCTTCAGCACGTTGTCTTTTTGTACGGCCAACGCTTGCATGGTGATTATGCCTTGCACTTGTTTGGCGAGTTTGGCTATCAATTCAATTAGAATTCATGAAATGATATTTTTTTTCCTTACCGATGATTATCGGATTCTTTTTTGTCCCATTCGTCAAGTGTTTTTATCGCAGCATTAATGTCACGAAGCAAAAGATCGCAACGGTTTCGAGTAAAATCTTCACGAACAACAACACGAAGGAGCTTCAAATGCTGCATATTGGGTGCCATGGTGTAAGCAGGGACAATCCAGCCTCGCTCACGCAACTTAGTAGAGAGATCAAACTGTCAAAAGATGGATGAGAACTTGTTTCTTCTACTCAGCCTTTTACCTCATCATAGTACTCCTTGGTCTTTTTAAAGTTGAATGCAACAAGAGGTACGCCTTTGCCGCCGTGTTCACTCAGGATGTTGAATTTACCTGTTGCTTGCAACTTGCTTGCCATATAATCAGCTGTTGAAACCAGGTTTTTCATGATGTGTGTAAATCCAGTTTTGCCGAGACGAATAAAGATGTAGTATTGAGCAATGATATTAGAAGCGCCTTTACTAAAATTAAATGTGAATGAAGCCTATGGAACTATGTCAGCAAGACTCAATATTCAGTAACTTGCCTGATCAGAACCAAGATAATTGATGTTAAAGACAAGATCTTCGGGTAAGTAGCCCTTGCTTCTCCATAAAGCCCAACCAACACCAGGATAGGTCAATCCATACTTGTGGCCAGATACATTGATTGAATGAACACGACTCAATTGGAAATCCCATTGTAACTCGGGTACAACAAAAGGGGCAACAAATCCTCCACTATAAAAGAGTAAGTGTAAAAGCAGTTTTTTTTGTCGTATTTACCTTGCTGCATCTACATGAATACCAATATCAAATCCTTTCTGTTTGCACTTTTTGTCCAATAAGGTGTTCAATGTCTTGACGTCTTCATAATGGCCTGTATACTAGATACTCAAAATGAGTTGCAGGAATATGTACAATGTATACTTACAGTAGAGCCTAAAATGGCACAAATACCAATCGTGTTTTCATCAACAAGATCTATAGCCTTCTTTGGGTCCATATAAAGCAGTTTTTCAGTACAAGGAACTTCTCGTCCTTCGACTTCCAAATATCTATTAGACATAAGTAGAGCTTTAAAAAACAACAACACGTTACCTCATGGCTTTATGCCAAGCGACTTGACAGTTAGCGCCCATGATGAAATTAGGTTTATCCGTGGATAATCCTTTTTCTTTTCTAGCAGCTTGCCAACGGCGTTTCATGGCGAGTGTGGCTAAAATAATGGCCTCGGAGGAACCCACAGTAGAACAGCCAATCGCTTCGTTCCCTTCATTATCTTGTGGTGCATGAAACAAGCGAGCAATAATGTTAACACAACGATTCTATGTCATGATGAGATGGACTTGGAAAACTTTAAACATAACTTACACTTATTTCGGCAGTTTGAGGATACTCTTCAAAATCAATAAAGTTCTTTGACAAGTTTTCCGTCATCAATTGTTCTGCTTCTTTTTCCATAAATGTAGTGACAAAGCTAGCTAAATTCAAAGCAGGAGTACCATCCAACTATGAAGAGATGTGTTGGATGTCATGATTTAATAGTATTATATACATACTGTAAGTTCATCTTTAATCATACGGTAAGCAACACCTGTTGATCAATTAAATATGGTTTATTCTGATAAATAAACTTACTAGCAGGCATTTCATCCTAGAGAGCAATGTATGAATGGTTAGTATAATAAATGAATGAGAGAAAGTATACCTCTGGCATCTCATATCTACAACTCATTGAGTTCATATTCTCTTTTTTTTTTTTTTTTTTTTTTTTTTTTTTTTTTTGGCTTACCTTGGAATATCTCTAGAAGCCCAATGAGTACCATAAACAGTACTTTCGTATTCTGTTTCTTTATCTTCTTGAGGTTTCGACTCTTTTTTTTTTTTGTTTAATACACTTCAGTGTCTATAGAAACCATATATTGAACTTACTTTCTGTAACTGCACGCGAAAGGAATACCATGTTATAATGACAAGAAAAAGACCTAACAAATATTCAAGTTATTTATATGCAAAAATAAACCCTAGCTCTTGAAAAGCCTTTCTCAATGAAACAGTAAGGTATCACAATGACATACTTGTGTCAAAACCAGGATCTGTTTATACTTACTTAAAAGTGACAGACATTCCTGACTTTGAAATAAACACAATGCCTGAATTCAATTTCTCTTTTTTTTTCTCTCTCTATTTCAAATTATATGCTGGGCAGAAAAAGAAGTCGAGTAGACCAAGGTAAGATCTAGTTTGTTCCAACACACACACTGATTAGATTTCTTGAAAAGAAGAACACAGTCATGAAGAAAGACGTATTGCACCCAGAGACTACAACTTTAATTTTATACCAACACTTCAACCAAAGCAAAATAAACATACACCGAGTGTTTCTACACTCACACAACGCTTCAAATCAAGGTTAAACGAATACAAGCCGACTAAACCACCCACCACAGCAATAGCCCCTGAACCTGCTTTTATAAAGCACCAATTAATTTCATACACTATTCTTATTTACATGCAAACTATATTTAATGTGGTTGTTTCTATGACTGTGTTGTACATCTTTGGCAAAATTATGTTTGCCATTAAACAAGACTTTCGTCTCAAGACACAAGAACATATCAATGGTAACATAGGCTCTACAAACAATGCATTTACTTGTTGTTTAGTGCTACATAAAGAACGATTGGCATGCACCAATCATTATTTTATTAACCATTGTCAAGATGATCATCGAATTCCTGCTATTGAAGATATGTGTAATACATGGGAGGCTTGCATGAATCGAGATATTGTTGTAGCTCAGTAAGTTTAGATGCGTTGTTCTTTGTTTTCTTATTTTATACAGAGCCAAAGTATCAGCAGAAGCCATTGCAGAAATTATCAACAGCTTTGTTGAACCCATTTCTTACAAGACTTTGGTAAAAAAAAAAGTTAATTCATGCAATGTATTCATAATTTGCATAGTTCTTCTTTTTAACAGCAACAGTCGGTGTCTTGGTCTTTTCTAATTTAGCATTTAGCTTATTAAAGAGAACGCATAAACATACCATTGCATATCCACAGTAAAAAAAAAGGAAGGGCTTTGGTTTATGCAAATCTACGTCATGATGCGACATTTATTTTTAATATTTTTTTCTTTTTTATTATTTCTTTATCGATAATGGATGATTATGAATCGTTAGGAGCTAATTCAACCATGACACAGAATGCGATCGCAGGAGCCATGGCTGGTATTGGAGAACATTGTATCATGTACCCAGTCGACAGTATACGAGTAAGTTTACGGATAGAAATTACCATGTTAATCAACTAGACACGCATGCAAGTGCCTTCTTCAATAACAGATATGGCAGCCAATATGTCGAGCAAATTCCAATTTAGAAACCAAAAAAACCTGTGGCGAGGTGTATATTCTGTCATAGCAGGCGCTGGGCCTGCTCATGCGATTCATTTTGCCACTTATGAATTTTGTAAAGAAAAGTTGATTCTATCCAATCAAACAATATTTGGTTTACCCAATCAGTTGATTGCTTCTGGTTGTGCAGGAGCCATTGCCACATTGGCTCATGATGCATTAATGACACCGTTTGATGGTAAAATACAACAACAAGCAAGCTAGTAGATTAATAACAAGATAATAGTGTTAAAACAAAGGATGCAATTACGAGATTCAACGTATCGTTCAGTCAGAGAGTGTGCTCGAAAAGTATATGGAAATGAAGGTATCAAGGCATTCTATATCTCTTTTCCTACTACGGTATCCATGTCTATTCCATTTCAATCTGTTCAGTTTGCTACTTATGAGTACTGTAGATCAAAATTGGATCCAGAAGGTAGTTATAACCCAAAAGCACACATGCTAGCAGGAGCAATAGCAGGAGCAATAGCATCTTCAGTCACAACACCCTTGGATGTGATAAAGACATTACTGCAGACAAAAGGGTCATCGAATGACCAGCAAATTAGAAATACGCGAGGGTTTAAAGAAGCAGCCATTATAATTTATGAAAGATATGGTTTACGAGGATTTCTTAGAGGATATAAACCCCGTGTACTAACAAATATGCCAAGTACTGCCATTAGTTGGAGTGTGTACGAGTATTTTAAATGGTTTTTGGCAAGTGGTGAAAATGACAAGTTTATAGACCGTATTTAGATGTACATAAAAATCAGTTATTTATTTCTCAAAGAAACGGTTAGCTAAAAAGGCTTGTAAGAAGTGTATCAGACCCAATGGCTTTTGCTGTTTAGCAAAAGATGTGCTGATTTTGTTGAGTGTCTCTGCAATATCAGTAATCATAGGTTGAGCAATTTCAAGTCGCATTTCTTCTGAAATGTCTGGTTTAGCAACCCAGAGAGCAACTTGAGTTGTTAACACAAGAGCGCAGTCTTGTATAACATGTATGAATTCACCAATAGACGCCTTGTCTTCTTCTTGCCATTGATTCATCATAACAAGACATACATTAATGTATTCCATCAGAGTACCAAAAGAAGCAATTTCACCTGTTATCACACGCGAATCAGGGTTTATGATTGTATTACCAAAAGGCCATTGAACATCACTTGTAGTCATGATAATATCAGCCTGTGTCAAAGCAATAAGTGAAGAAAGCATGGTATGACTAATTGTCAAGGTAGTCTTGATAATCTTGTTCATCAGCACACTTGATTTTGGTGGAACAGTCTGTGCTTGTTGGCGCTCAATATTATCTACAGGATAGAGTTGTGCTTGCATATGAGATGGATGTGTATAGAAATAATGATAGCGTTGAAGTAGATGTAATGAACAATCCTTGAATGAAATAAACAAGTTATCAGCAATGTTGGGTAACCTTTCTAAGCATTTCGAAAGACCAAAAAAGATCGTATTGATACGCTCCATTTCCTCTAAAAGTGGTGTAGAAAGTGATTCAGAAGGTGTGAAGCCAAAGATAGAATCCTTGGCTCCATTTGCATTGTTGTAGGCTGTACCGATTTGAGGACCATACATTTGTATCAAATTTACCGTGTTTTGTAATACTGTTTCTGATTTACCCATTGTACGCATCAAATTACTCACGACACCAAGCATTTGACACCAGTTAAAATGGAGAGGATTACGCTCAACAAAGGCAGGACTTGTATTACTACCATCGCCAAATCGAATAAACAAGTCTAGTGTACCGCGTTGTAGTCGAGGTGTGAGGCTGTTGTTGCATAAGGAACTAAACAGGTTTTCTTTCACAAGTTGTTCAGCTGCTTTTGGTATATTGGATAATGCCAGTAAGAAGTACAATGCTGTTTCTGCATAGGGTGTAATACTAATGCTATAAACACCTGATGTGTTTGAAGATTGACTAAATGAAATAAAATGAGAGGAATATCATTAAAAACAGAATGATAGCTTACCGATCAACCTCGTTTACCACAAGTCGAATACCAGCATTGAAGAAGGCTAGAGCAGAGGCAGTTGTTTGATGCTTGTTGAAGGTATCAAGCCAGACATTTTCTGGAATCTTATATTTAGGACGGATCAATTCAATCAATAAAGACACAACCACAGTGATATCCTTGATACAGTTTTCTTGCACTTCTTCAGATACATGAGCACCTTCAGCACTATAAGAAGAAGCCTTGATTGTCAATACATGAAAACTAGAGCATACAGTAGTCAAAAGATCAGCGAGGCTTGTTTGGATATCAACACGCATAGGACTGAGAGGATCTACAAGATGCTCTATAGTACCACGCAATGTACGTAAAGAGAGCATGATCGTTTCCAACAATGGACGGTGGAAGCGGATGGCTGTAAGATCACAAATACTCTGGAACAAAGCATAGTTTTCGCGGTTCAAAAGTCCACACAAGGCAGACAAAAGGGTAAAGCTCTTGGAGGCATATTCTTTTTTAGCCACGTTATCTTGACCCAAAACAATGGGGCTATTCTTAGCAATCCAGTCTTCAGTCAAGTTGCGAATAAATTGAATCCAAACACTGTAAGATGTTAAGGTCACACCATCATCACGAGATTCATTTTGTGCTGTTTGAATCAAATCCTTAATAAATGCGTAGAGAACGTCGGCACCTCCTTGTTTGCTAGACCAAATCAAATCGCTTGAACGGCGAGAACAAGTTTCGATAAAAGACTTGAATGATTTGAGCAAGATGATTTGTGAGTCTACAATTGAGCTATTGTGGTTGACCAAAAGCAAGTTACGAAGGAATTGGTTGGCATAGTCCTTTAATTCTAAAACGGCTTTGGAAGGATGCGCGGCAATATCTTGAGAATAATCATGCTTGTTGGCAACTTGCTTGTAAAGTGATTGTACTCGAGCACTGGCTAAATAGTAGTCATACAAGTAAGCGTTGCCATACTGACGTGCTTCACCTTGAGCCACATCATCACCACTGCTAATATGGGCCATCTTGAAAAGCAAGACAGAGCGGTCTTGGATGTTCAGTGTTTCCAAAAGATTATCAGCTGAGAACTCTACTTGTCTAACAAAAGAAGGATCATAATCACTCTTGACAAACGCTTCATGCATAGCATTCAATTTAACAGGATCGCTCAACTTGCTCAACAAGCTCATCAGACCAGCAGATAACTTTTCTATACAAGCTTCGCGTGTCTTGCCGGCTGTGATATGGATTTCGTAAGCAATGATACGCATAGCAAATGCTTTGCTCAAATTGAGACAGCAACGACGACGCACATTCAAATCAAGGTGATCTATCTCGACTTCAGCATCAACTAGCGCAAGTGAATTCGTGGCAACAGTATCCATGTCACTGTTGGGGTTCAGCAAAACTTTACCAAGGACATCCCAAAGTGCATTATCGGCACGTGAGCGTTCCACCAAGGCATAGTGATCGAAAGCAGTTTGCCAAAAGGTAGCAAGGAATCGCAAGGCGTTGGAAGTGATTGTAGGCTTCTCAACAGACAAAGTTTCCCAATGACTTAAAATATCAGTAGCAGCACGGATAGCAGACTCAGTAATAGGTGCTGTTGCTTGCGGTTTACTGGGTTCGATTTCACCATTCAACAAACGAACAGCAGACTTGGGGCTGGGCATAATAAAATCACCACAATCCAAGAACAAGATGGCCAAGCTAGGTTGTGTTTCCATCAAGGCATTCATGAATTGCCAAATAGAAGAAGAAAGTTTTTCGTTTTGAGTATGGTCTTTTGCTTTTTGAAGGTAGGTGCGAATGATACCATGCACTTGTTCTGTGCTTCCCAAGTATTGAACAAGATTGGGGACAGATTTCCAATGAGCAGTTGTGCGACATAAGAGTGTCAAGACATGTGTAGCTTCGATACCTAAAGCGATGTTGTGGTGGTAGCGAATATGTCTAGCAACACGCAACAGGAAATCAGAAGAGTGACCAGTAGTAGAATGTTCCAACAATAAGTGTTCAAGTGTACTTTCAGGGGGTGCATTGCCTGCATTGATTTGCTCTAAGCGATGCTGCAACAAGATCTTGACAAAAGAGAATGTCATTTCAGTCAATTTCTCTACACGTTGTGCATCTTTAGGATAACCTGATTTGTATAACGCATTGGCTGTTCTAGCACCTTCAGAGATAGTATCGATTAAGGGTGAGATGTGATGAATACCACCATCATATAAAAAGTTAGTAAAGATGCCTTCACGAATACCATGGAATGAAAGCTTGACGTCTGCATCAGAAGGGTTTCTGAAATGAGTCACCACTTGAATCAAGATAGACAGAACCTTGGTTCCGATTAAAAAGCGTTCGGATAATTTTCTGTAGCGCCAAAGAGCATAGGTAGGCAACACATCCAACATAAGGTAATGCAAGCATACATACAATACTTGGACCTGACATTGTTGATTGACATCTTGAGTGTTTTCTGTGACCCACCAGCTACGTTGAATGTCCTGAACGAGACCTTGAACTAAATCCAAGAACGCCAACAAGAGTGTATATCTGCCTGTAGTAAACTCAACTTTGGAGACAATCTGTTGAATTTGAGAACCAGCGTGAGATCGGCTAATATCAGAAGACAATTGAACACTGGTATTCATGAGAGGTAAGATGGGTGTGTATTTGAGATATTGCCAAATATGACTCTTGTAGGAAGGAAGCAAAAGAGTCAAACACTTGATACTTGTTGTCAAAATATCAGTAGGACATGGTACCATTGCACTGCAAGTTGTGACAATGTTGCAAAGAATAGAGATAAGAAGAGGTGTATCAGTAGGATCAGAAGGGTTGCCTGTAACTGTATCGATGTGGTCCACTAATGTAGTTGCCAACTTGGTATTGCTGGACAAGACATTGTAGAGTAATTCTAAAATACTGTGAATAGCATCATGGTGCATACCCTTGAGACTGCCGCTTTCATCCTCTACATCAATAGATTTATCCACATTGCCAGCTGCAAAAGTAGCCAAACAAGAGGCCATGATATGCCAACCAGAATAGGACATACTATAACGCACAACACGTTCAGTTTCAGAAGTGTTGACAAGTAAACCACGAGTGCCTTGAGGAATGACAATGCTGTTCATGGAAGCTAAATCAGGAGTGACTCGAATAGGCTGTTGAGCATAAATCACAACTTCACCATTTTCATCTTTAGCAACCACGTCAATGGAGGAAGACAAAACAACAGTCATTGTAGGAAGCATGTAAAGATAGTTAAACACTTCTAAAGCAGAACCTTCATCACTTTTTGCTGCTTCTTCACCAGGCGCACCAGACACAGCAGACAAAAGTTGTATAAAATCAGTGAAAAACACAGGGAATCTACCACGCGCTGTTGCAAGCAAACTAAATACATTATGCTTACTGAAATCTTGTTCCCAAAATAATCTACAGAGCTCAGGTTGGCTTTTATAAACAAGACAATATGTGTTGACCAGACTGGCATAGCTTTCCATTGGTATATAATTAGGACGAGTGACGGATAAAAATGAGTTGAGCAAGACTCGCAACGTGTTTCGATAGCCGTGATTGTTGGGATCTTCTTCGCTGCAAATACCACTTTCCAAAATACCGGTTAAGGTTTCAAACACATTTAATTTGAGAGAACGGCCTGCAAGGATACGATCGAGATGTGGGCTTTGTTGAATACAGGTCTTTCTGCTTGTTGGGTTATACACTTGAATGCCGTTGACAAGAGGTCGATCAATAAGTATTTCAGAATTGATCGTCTGTTTGCCTTCAATCATTTCAACTACTTTGCTGTAATTAGGACGTGCAGTTGCATCTTCGGCGAGTGCAGTATCGAGACAGGTGAGGAAGAATGACCATCCCAACAAAAAAGCAGCATGTTCTTTTGACTCGCCCATAAAACTGACAATGCCATTAATTTTTGTGATAATGTCAGGTGTATTTAACAATGTTTGATTTTCTTGCTCAGGGTTCAGTTTGAGACCAACAGAGAGGGTAAGAGGAGCAATGAGATTGATGGACAATACAATACAGATATTTATGACTTCGCGGTGAATAACATGTGCTTCTTCATCCAATAGATAACCGAATGTAAGTAGTGATCCAAAATTGTTGGCTTCAAATTCTTGTATGATAGACAAAATGAATTTAGGAGTAAATGGTTGCGTTAGATTGCATAAGAAGACAATTTCCAACAAGGCCTTCTGTTCTTTTAAATTCTGCTTTACCCAAATTAAAGGCCATTGAGGTGATGTTTGTTGAAGGTGTTTTGGTGCAGATGTACGCAAAAGCTTTACATACTGTGAAAAGAATCGTTCTGAAAGTGATTCCAAAAGTATGCTATCAGCAATGCTGAAATAAGAGTGATCTTTATCGAGTGCAATACGCTTCAAAGAACTGATAAATTGCAAAAGTGAGAGGCGCTCTTCATAATAAAAGCTGACAAAGTCTAGAATCAAGGGAACATTTTCGACCAAAGGATAATCGTCTTTATCATTGCTGGATTGTCTAAACGTATCCCAAAGAGAAGCACATTGAAGTTCGTTGATATGAAGCATATCTGAAAGCTTAAACACAAGGTCTTTTTCTTTTTGGTCTAGTTTAATAGTCTTTCCATCCACAACAATACTGGTCGTGCTGAACTTTTGGCGTGCTTGGCTGGAAGGCTCGCCAAAGGCTTCTAGACCGAGTTTTAACTGCTCTTTTTTTTCTTCAACTAAAGTTTGAAGGCGGTCAGTAGAGCATTGTTCTGTGCCTCTTTCAACCGTATCAAATAGTCTACGGTAAGCACTAGATATAAAGAACTTTAGTAAACTTTTATTTTCTCTTAGGATATCATTACCCTGTAAACTCTCGATTTTGATTGCTTTGCATTTTTGAGACGTATTTCTCTTTTTATATACAATGAGCGCGTAGGAAAGAGAGAAGACACGTAAAACAATAAGAAAAAAGAGAGCTTTAGTAAAGAAAAACGAAAAAAAAAAGACGCGTGAATTAAACACACATTGGAAAAGTAAACGTCACTTTGTGACTACATACCTAATTCAACGTCAGTTGTTGAATGTTTATCACATATGTAAGATCCTTCCAACAACTACTGCTTCACTCTGTATATACTTGACTATTTAAACAATGATTTTTTAAATAGTAATAAGATACTACTACATAATAGATGAGAGATTCAGATTTGAGAAATTTGTAAAATGTGCTGCAGTAAGGCAAAATACCAGAAGATTCTATTGAAGCATCATCTGTATAGAAAGTTCAGCTATTGAAACAATGATTTTCACAATGGTTTAGCTACTACTGCATCTCTTTATAGCTGTAACTAAGGAATCAGTTCTTATGCTGTGACCTGGAAAAAATGGACTGGCTAGAATAATATCTTTGGATGACGCTCAAAGTCGTGCATGACTACGAAGGACTGTACTAACAATTGAGTTCTTAAATGTTTGCGCTCTTGTATCTAATCAAAAGGAGAATACTTATTGCTTAAAAAGCATATAAACAGATTGAACCTTTATCCCAAGATGATCTCAAGGATGCCTCTAATTCACTTTTTCCAAATGTTCCGTGCATCAATATGCGTCAGGGAACATTATCATAGCAAAAAAATGACTAGTTTTGAGATGGACCTGTTTTTTGATATTTTGCCTTATGATACCTAGACGATTTTTTTTTATTTCTACAAAATCGCGATTTGAGAGCGATAGAGCCACATTTTACTAAGGCATATATTAGTAAGAAATGTTTGTCTGAGGCTATAGAACGCACTCAAAATGTCGGATGTGCAAAAACCCAAAAACGGATTTTGAGCAATCACTTATCATCCTATATATAAAAACACCATCTTCTTTACATCATTCGATACGTCTTGTAAATGGCTACAACTTTTGGTATTGGCACATTTTGATAGCTCTTTGTTTTTATGCACTTTTAGACAATAACTTATTTTCGATTCCAAATTTTTTTTCTAAAGGTTTTTATTTTTTGCTCCACGTAGACTATGACTAAAGTCTGTCAAGAGCTGGCCGCAATTTAAGAGATACAAAGGGAGAATACATAAGATAATTAACTATAAACGTTTGTGCAAGTGTTTCTTGTCATTCAGTGAATTGAGAGAAGCACGAGTGGATGAAAGAAGTAGAATTGGATTAAACGGAATTTCATTGAAGATAGTATTTCAATGGGCTTTCCAAATTTGATCCATGCCTTGGAATACTATTTTTTGAGCAGCTAACTCACTATTCTGAGTATAACGAATAGAATAGAAGTTCATATATCGGAGTGCTTGTATGATATCATCAACAGTAGTGGTTGGCCATAAAAATTCAAATATAAGCTCTTTCCAAAAATGTGTTTTTGGAGGGCATAAAAAGAGCATATGGTTGTCATTTTCAGTATAGAGACCACAAATTTGGCATAAAGGAGTTGGAAATCGTTCAGGCAAGAAGCGATTCATACGTATCTTTGTAGGCAGCTTATAGTTTATGTATCAATCCACCACATTTCTCACAGCGGCGGTAAGGGACAATGTCCAAAATGAGTCCTAAAAAGTAGGGAAAATGGCTAACAGGGTGGAAGGGGACGATTCCAAATTTTTCAAAAAATGAATCTAAAGATGATGTACCAATTTAAAGTCCGCACGTTGATGCGCGACAAGGCTAATTAGTCATTTTTTTTAAACTAAGGCAAGTATAAACATCGTCATAGGTAAACGATTTTGGTGTATGTATTCAAGAGCATTCTATGTGTCTTCTGACAATACTGGAAAGAGAATATTGTATCACTACCATACTTAGCAGAAAAAGAAACATGTGACTACTGAATGAGTTGAATAAAATTTTCTTTGTTTTTTTCCATCTGATTCTTTTCTTTTTTCTTCTTTGCAAACAAGGAAGGCAACATACTATTCTTGCTGTCTTTCCAGACGCGTCTTGAATAAGTGGTCTTTCTTGTTTCTTTTTCTCCTTTTATTTTGGTGGATAAGAGCATGTTTATCTTATAAAAAAGGAAAAAAGAAAGAATAAAATAAGATTGATATCAGGATCTAGAAAGAAGTAAAGTTACGCTTTCTTGGATAGTATAATACAATCTACATTGATTAGTCGATCCTTTTTTTTGTACGACATTAGTACCTTTCAATGTTGAAAATAAACTTCAGTCTTTTATATCCTCATGTTTATTGTCTATGGAAACTAGATCCGTGCTATGGGTTCTCCATAACTGAGGTTAAAATATATACGTCTGAGCAAAATGTTGAATCTCGATGTGCATGCTCATGTTTCATAGAAACCATGACAACAAGAAATTAATGCGTCCCTGAATTTATGTCGTTTCTTATCGGTGTTTTTTTTTGTTTATCTATTTATTTATACGAGACAGTATCATGGTTACCAACACAATCGTCAGCCTCAGTCTTTACAACAAGTTTCATATAAATAGTAATTCATTTATTTATAATTTTTATTTTTCAGGGTGACTAGCTTACCAAGAAAAAAAGGGTTTGTCACCTCTCTCTCTTTTCTTTCTTTCTTTTTCTTTCTTCTTTTCTAACTTAAAAAAAATCGCACTGAAATGAAAAGAAAGAATACAACAGTCATTACGACACTTGTATTGCTGTTGTTTATTGGTTGTGTTGTACTACTTCAATACAATCGCGACTCATCTTGGAAAGAGATCAAGTTGTCATCTAAACGACAATCTGGTCAAGATCAAGCTATCCCGGTTATCTTTCCAGAACCATTTGAACTTCATCAACCCAGACTAGACTCTGAACGATTTTTATCGTATTTACCTCACTCTGGCTTTCATAATCAACGGATTGAATTAGAGAATGCGTTATTATTGGCTGCCTATCTCAACCGAACACTTCTTGTACCTTCTGTCTACCTTGCCAGTCCTGCCATGCCATGGCTACGTTATGAAAAACTCCACGAGCGACTCTTGTTTCAGACCAAACAAGGGCTTGATCACTGTGTTGCTCTGGACAAGGCAGGTATGCCTTTACCCAATGAATGTCTCAATAATTTTCGATGGACCAATGTCCCATGGACATTTTTTTACAACATGTCTGCTATTCAACAAGACGTCAATCTTGTGTTCCGCCCTGGATTGGATTATGAATGGCTTCATGACACATTTGGTGTGCAAAGAAATGATATCTATTTCTTCAAAGACACGAGTCCTTATGAATACCAAATTCATGATGATAGGTCGCAAGACTTACCACTGGATCGATTCAATTATCGCATCGACCTTGTCACATTGCAGAAAATAGAGCATCGCGTTCTGCATTTTGGCTCGATGTTCGGCTCTTACCGTGTTTTGGCCGAGACAACGGAACATGTAGAACTCTTGCGTAAGATTAGAGCCAATATGATTTTCCGTAATCCAGTCTTGGCAGGCGCTGCTGAGCGAGTGGTCAATCAGCTGGGAGGAGCAAATAACTTTGTGGGGATGCACGTACGTGTAGGTGATGGCATCTTCAGACTCAGGGCTTCTATCTTGGTAGACGATATCTATCATGAACTGGTCGACAAGTTTACAGACTTGACAGTAGAGCAAACGGCTTTCTATGAAGGTGGTGTGGAACAACATGATTTAGACAGGACAGAATCAACGGAATATGAAATTAAACTAAGAAATTCCCAGCCAGTGGACCAAACAAACTATTCAAAGCCTATTGAAGTACATCATGATGGTTATTCATTACTGGACCAAGACCCCAAAATTGCCAGTCGACTCCAATGTCAAAAAGGAGACAAGACCACCCATCGCTTCCGTAACACAGTACTGTATATCGCCACAGATGCACCGGATCCTCGGAACCACCCTTTGTTGGCCAAGCTATTCAAAGTGTTTCCTTGTAGCTTTACATTGTCGGACTTTGTAGATGAATTAGAAGACATCAAGCGATTAGAAGTGATTCAAGAACGAGTTCGATTGGAATCCTATTTGATCCCTATGGTAGATGCAATGATCGCTGCTCATGGCCACACATTTTTGGGTACTCCGCGCAGTACATTCACAAGTTATATTGAACGACAATTGCATCCTGTTTATACAGGCAAACAAGTACAAGTCATGGGCCTCAAAGAATATCTGCAAGCGATGGCTCATTAAATATCGATCGATCCGACAATTTTCTGCTTAATTTTTTTTTTTTTTTGTTTGTTATTCATATTAACATTTAGAAGAAGAAATAATATTAAAACTGATTTTTCTTTCTTTCTTTCTTTCTTTCTTTCTTTCTTTTTGTGCATTTGAATGATGCAATGAACGTCGATCAAAGTTCCTGTATAAAAAAAAACAAAAAAAAAAAACAAAAAAAATATTCCTTTAGCTATTTTTTTTTCTTACTGACAAATCGATCGAGAAAAAAAAAAAAAAAAAAAGACAATTATTTGGCTTTGTTTCTAAATAAGAAAGGCCCTTTTTTTTATTTATTTTATTATTACTTTTTTCTCTTTTTTTTTTTTTTTTTTTTTTTTTTAATATATATATTTTCTTGTTTCATGCAATTTGAACAAACACATTGGGATTCTCCCGAATATCAAAAAGTGTCTCAAGGTACAATTTCCCTTAGTGTTGTTGTTGTTTTTTTAATAATAAATATCATTTGATAGAAAGCAATTACTCAAAGTGTCACCAAGTTGGAGTAGCGGTGGTCAAAGAATACAAATCATCATTTGTGCTAGAACCTTATTCGTCTACAGAACAACGAATTCAATTAAATGCCTTAACATACTGTCAAAAGTGTCTTTGTCTATTTAAACAGCCTACTACTCTTTCTTGTGGATTTACGTTATGTTCTACATGTTTGCCTTCCACTGAACCCTACCAATGCTTATCTTTTTCTTGTCTAAGAACCCATGAAATCCATGACTACAAACCAAACGTATTGTTAGAAAACATTCTGTCTCACTACCAACAAGGCAAATTCGAAAACATCAAACAGTTACTCGACTGCTCTATCTGTCTATCACCCCTTACTGAACCCATCACTACTCAATGTGGCCATACATTCTGCAAAGACTGTCTGATAAGAACAATGACAGATTTGAATTGCAGATCCTGTCCATTCTGTCGACAAGAACTAACTCGAATAGGCAAAGTGAATCAAATTCTCTCTGGCTGGTTAGATTATATTTACCATAATGACAAACCCCAGGATCCATCTTATCTACTTTCATCATTACAACACCATATTCCAATCATTCAAGTCACCAAAGCTGTCACTTTCCCTACTCAACACTGCATGATACACATCACTAAAGACTATAAATCACTCCTTGAACAAATGACACATCGCCCTTACCAGAAACACTATGCTATCTGTGTATTTGCTAAATCAAACAACGAATTATTCGAATATGGCACTATGCTCCAAATCAATCACATTGAATATTCGGCTGACACACGCCATTCTGTTGTCCAAGCCTTGGGATTATTCAGACTCAAATTGAATCACTTTATGCTTGATTCCGACGATTGTTATACTGGCGAAGTAGTACGACTAGATGATATACATGACACCCATGACTTGGATCTATCGAAAAAGAGATGGACATCACCTACTGTCATTCAACCCTATTACAGGCAGCAAGAAAAGACAGTCAGTCGTCCTCGACCCTGTTCTATGCGGCTCTCGACTTCTGCACCCAACACAGTGCGATCCTCGGTCAATGAGAATATTACGCCAGGTTCTGTAAATAGGAGAATATGGGCCACACCAGCAGCACTATTTGGGAAACCTTCATCTCCACCCCTTACCAAGTCTCCTCAATCTCAACATAGACAGTTACAGACCAACACTAAAATACCCAATTTCCTTTCTCAAAAAACAAACATGACAGATGCCAGTCTGTTTCAACAAGAATTACATCCTCGCGTTGTCCAGTTCTTGAATACGACAGCCTATGATGTATGGCTTATGCAATATGATTGGTATCTACAACAATCTGATCGAACCCCTCTTATCTGGTGGCTCTCACATATCTTGCCACTAATGCAAGAAGAGAAAATACATCTATTACGCATTCAAACATTACGTGAACGTATGTTGGCTTTAATTTGTTTTATGGATGATTCATGATGCCTTCCCTCATTCTCTCCTTCCTTTCCTTATTCCTCTTTATACCTTATTGCCATCCCACACTTGTAATTTATGTTTGTATATGATAATAATAATAATAATAATAAACATTCTATGTCTGTACAACGAAAATGAAATTGTAATATATATTGACATGAATTTTGTAGAATCGATCGAAATTCAATCACAAAATAACGGAATTATTAGAATTAGTAAGAGCAATCATCTAGATCGATTGGTTCCAGTAGCATATAGTATCGATCAAGGTCAACTCCTATTTTAATAGCATATCCAACAAAAACCACACATTATCTTCCTCATCGTCTGTATTGGATGCCGTAGTACGACTGAACAAGAAAGATGGTATTTGATCTCGTACGACCAACTGAATCGGACTTGCTCTTTCTTGCTCTTTTTTCTTCTTTCGCTTGCGTGGTTGTCGTTTGTACTGGATTTGATGGTACCGTGTTCGGCATTGACGCTGTGTTCGACCTGGAATCGATTCGGCTACACGGATCCAACAACACCCATATGTCTCCACTCTCAACTGAAGCATCTCATCTTCTTCTTTTCTCCATCTTCCTTTTCGAACATTAGGATCAAGTGCTTCTGTCCACCGTGCTTGACATTGAATGCCTGTACGGTTTGGTATGGATGCTGCTACTTGGCTCCATGCGATGGCCTTGCCTTTAAATGAAGCAATGGCTGCTGTTAAAGCATCATCTTCTTGTTTGGACCATTTTCCTTTATGTATTTGAGGACTAATAGACGGTTAATGTATCTTACATGTTATCATCATGACTTACTTGAGTGCACCTAACCACCGAGCAGAACATTGGACAGGTGTGCGGCCTGGAATATGTCGAGCAATCAATGTCCATGCATGAGGACCATAGAGTTGAATAGCGTTTGATAATAATTGATCTTCTTGTTCTGTCCAACGACAATACAAGGAAGGTTGTCTTGTACTGTCTTTTTTAAATACTGAAAAGACACCCTTCTTGTTCATAAGGAAAGCAAAAAAAAAAGGGAACCTTGTAGTCCATTGTACTTTTTATGTCATTAAAGAGGTATATCATGAAATAGAAATATAGAACTCTAAAAAGACAAACAAAAGGGTATAATTCAAATCCATGTAACACCTATCATTATTTATGCAACATGCATGTCACGTGAACATACTTTGTCCAAAAAAAAAAAAAATAATAATAATAGAGTGTAACAAACGACATGTCACATGAAATAGATAAAAGTTGGCCTTGATGACATGGCAGAAGACGAGCCCAATGACTGTTGATCATTTTGCATTAAATCAAAGAAGGCAATATTTGCGCTGCATAGTAAAACTGAAAAAAAAAATTCTTTTATTCTTTTATATCTTTTTTTATTTATTTATTTCTTTCTCTTTTAATGAAAGTCTATCGTGCAGAAACAGGCCAAACTATTCATTGGCACTCTAACCCAACTCGAATAAAAACGTAACTTGTCTTTTGAGAGTGAGATCGTGTTAATATTGTTTAGATTAAGCGACTTGAAACAAGAGTTAGAACAAGACAGTGGTGTGCCAGTGAGTGAACAGATATTAATGACAAGTTTTGGTAAACTTGTTCGGCAAGAAAACATTGTTTCTATCTTAGAAGCCACTGGCCAAGTAAGATGCTATACAGCGATAGCCTAGAATAACCTATTTTATAGCATGAATATATTATATTTTGCTTTGACAGACGATACCTCAGTGTTCATGAAGAAGATATTGAGGCTCTTTTAGATGCTGAGACGCCTCCTTTAGAGCCCAAATTGCCCTTGTTTGATGGTAAACAAGCTTATTTAATTGTGTTTCTCATGTCTGGTTTTAGGTCCTTTAGCATTAAAGCAGCTATATACACAACTCAAAAACAGCTCTTTAATCGCTGTCTGTCATTCATTCGTGAGTGTATTTGCCAGCTTTGATTCCTATAGTCAAGTAAGGAGAAAGAGAAAACAAACAAACCAGAAAAAAACAAAAAATTAACAACAAATAGTCATTGATGAAGACTGCTACTGCGCATACACAACTTTCTAAAAACATCGTAGACGAACACAAGTTTCAAAGTATGGCATTGAATGTCGCCTTGACTAATTTGGAAGATCACCGTAAACTATCTGAAGCCTCCATTCATGATTTTGTCTTGAGAGCAGAAGCTGAACTGGAGAGACAACAGGCCTTGTTGAATTCAGTCGATCATGATCTCCATATCTTACGGCATGTACGCATCCATCCATCCATCACAGCTGCACTTGAACCCAACAACAACCAGCAGCAACAGCTGCGGCTATTGGATTTTATAGACATAGACCATATAAACCAAGTACGCTCAGATACACAAATCCTCTGTGATTTTCTGGTCGATCAGAGCAGCTTATTTAAAAAGGAAGTAAAACAGATGCAACAGGACGAAAAAGAATTCCATGCGCGTGTGGCAGAGAACAGCAATCTTCATGCGTTGGATGCTACGCTATCAGACATTCAGATCATTCATCAAAAGACGCATTATTACCGAGATAAAGTCAAGCGAGATTTAAGGCGGATTTACGAAAAAGTCGCTAGTTTGATCAATAAGCCCGTCTCGTCTTTGTTTGATACACTCTCGATTCACCACACTACGTCTGTCATGACGTCTTCTTCCAGTATGTCTTCTTCTCGGGTCGAACAGGATCCAAGTCATGTGATCACATCGTCGGCGAAACGCACCTTTGATGCCTTTCTTCATTTAGCTGAAATTCATGTCAAGGAATATCTGCCCAAGATGTCTGACTATGAACACTCGATTCGACAAAAGACATCAGAATTGATTGTATCGAAAAGGGGCTCGATTTCTATGTTTATACACAACATGGCTGTCGTATCTGAATTTCAACGACATGTAGGACATATTCAGCCTACCATTGAAAACAACATGAGTTACCTGGATGAATTTAAGCAGAAATACAAAGGAAAAGACCTGGAGAGTCTAAGAGACGTCTTGTTTTCTTATGTAAGTCTCTAGGCGCAAAGTAGTATTGATACAAGCATATGAATATAGGGTGCAGTGATGATTGAATTTGTACGAAGAAAAGAATTTGCTTCTGTAAGTGAAAACCAGTGAAAGCAATATAACTGATGATCTATAGTTACTTGTCAACAATGCTGATTTAATAGCCAACACACTAGCTCAATACCGAACACAAGAAGAAGCACGTCGAGACCATTTCAGACAGACCATCACACCTTTACTTCCCTTCAAACTCACGATGAATAAACCACCTCTACAATGCGACATATCCGTCCATGGCGATCAAGATAAAACAGACCTTCAGAAACAAGATATCTCTGAATTTATCTCGATTATTAATCAAGTCTATTCTCGGTCCCCTCATCAATTGGCATCTAGTATGCAACATCTCTCGCTCAGTAAAAGAGGGCTAGGATCCAGTAATGAACCAGACGAACAGTTTTTGGATCTCTTGAAAAATATGATCCAAGACATGAACAGCATGAAGACGGACTTCTTGGTGTATTTAAAAACTAACTTTACAGACATGGAGACAGTCAAACAAGACCCATCAAAAGTTCAGCGTTCCTTATCGCCTCCTCTTCTTCGCCCAACTGTGGTTGAAGAGAGCCAAAAGCCTTCATTGGCTTCATCGCCTGCTTCCTCTATCTTTTCAGTGATTGAAGACGACAAGAAACTGGTACTTGAAAACAAAGATCTCAAATCAAAATTGACAACAGCAGAGGAAGAAGTGGTGTCCTTGGAACAAAAAAATCAAGAGCAAGCAGACGAGATCAGCCAGCTAAAAGAAACCATCAAACTCTTGGAAAACGAACGAGACGAGTTTGAGTCACATCGAAAGAGCTTTTTGAATGAATTGAAAAATAAGGACAAGACAGCTGATTTCAGAATTGCTAGCGTAGAAGAAGACTTTAATGCTAAACTAAATGATTTGCAGTACGAGTTGGAAGAAGAGAGACGCATGAAAAAGAACTTGGAGATTGAGCATCAGTCTGAAATGAAGACATTACAAACTGAGTTAGAGGCGCATACAAAAACATTAGAAGAAATCCAAGCAATACATCGTTCTGAATCAGAAGGTCACACGCGCACCATACGTCAGTTACAGCAAGATATGGAGAAACACAGCCAACTCAAAGAGGAGCATACAGAACTTCAACGTCGATTTGATCAACTCTGTCAAGACATGGACACTGTCAAGCAAAAACTCGAAGCAGAACGAAGTGACTATGAAAGCCAGCTTAGTCGATTGCAAACAGAGATAGAAGAAAAAGAAAAAGCAGCAGAAGAAATCAAGGCCATCCAACAACAAACACGGGTGATGGTCAAACGAGCTCAGGATGACTGGGAAAGTAAGAACGAAGAATTACAAAACATCAAGCGAGATCATGATTCCCTCTGCCAAACGGTTAGAAGTCTGTTGAAGCGATTCATGCCTCAAGGTGTGGATCAAGAATTAAATCAAGCCAGTCTACAGTCTTATTTAGGTGGATTTAAGGAACAATTAGAGGTGTTTGAGCGTGAATACGATGTAGCCAAAGAAGATCTGTATATCACAATGCAGCAGCTCTCTGATCTTGTTCGTGATTATACCAACCTGGTCGAAGTCCATAATGAATGGAAAGTGATCGCAAGTCGCATGGCTGAAAAGTTGGAAGATTTTAGAAAGAACATGATATTCGAGATTGTGAATCAATTGCAACTGCCCATGGACGAGGAAGAGCTGAACATATTGCAAAAGAAGCTAACGCCTAATGAAGACGATACAGCTGTCTGGAATCAAATCTTGCAATTAACATCATCTATCAATACACAAAAATTTGTGCTCAAGGTACACAAAAGAGTCAAGGACAATTATGAGCAAGCAAAACAATACAAAAAGGAATATAGAAGCATCAAAGGTAATATACACCTAGATGACAACATGGTGTACTGAGCACGATGAATAGAAAAATACAATAGATTATGCACCAGTTATTGCGAAAAAATTGCTTTTAGAAAGTAAGTAAAGCATTGGCCTTGGTCGGTTAACTCATCTCTCTCTCTTTCTCTCTCTCTTTTTTTTTTAGCTTTCAAACAGGTGATATTGCCTTGTTCTTACCTACACGTAATGCTTCAGGCAAACCTTGGGCTGCATTCAATATCAATGCACCTCATTACTTTTTGAAAAGCACAGATAACATGGCATCTCAAATGCAAAGTAGAGATTGGATTGTAGCAAGAATTGTATCCATTACAGAGTATACAGCCAACGCTCAACATCCAGAATCCAATCCTTATGGTTTAGCTGATGGTATAAAATACTATTTTATAGAAGCAGAAAATTGGAGACACAGTAAACAACATTCAAAGAAAAGACAATTGGTACAAGACAATGGTTTAGCTTCCGTTATGATTCCCCCCGATGACCCATACCAGCAACAAAAAAGACCTTCATTGGGTCCTTCCTCTTCTTCAAGCTTTGTACACAGTTACTCAAGTTAAATGTGCATCATTGAAAATAAAATCATTTACTATACATACATGCAGTATTCACATCATGTTGCTAGTTTTATTGTCTAAAATCACCATTGTATTCGATACCCATAGCATACTTCATGATTTCGGCCTAAAGAGAACACTTAACATCCACAAATACATCCATGATCTTACCTTGACAAAATCCAAACTATCCACTGCATTTAATCCCATAGAGCGCACCCAAGTGACAGGTGCAGAATCTGTAGAGAACAAACGATGTAACTTATCACAAGTACTAAGCATCATGATGTTGCGCAAATAACGCTCAGAAGCGTATTGTCTTAGTAAATGAATATTGCCTATATCTTGACCCTCTGTGCTTCCCTTTTGTAACAAACCAGAAAGACATTCGACGTCCAATAAGCCTTGGTTTAATCCCTGGCCAGCAAGTGGATGAATAGCATGAGCAGCATCACCCACAAGAGCAACACGATCAGCGACATAATGTTCCGAGTTTCTTAAGCGAAGAGGGAAAGAAGCTCTTGATCCTTCTTGAACATCAATCACTTGAGGAGGTAGTCCATCCTCGCGATGAAGGAGTTGATGATCATCTAATGATTTCGTGGCGACACTTTCTCTCCAAAGATATTCTTCTTCAATAGAACAGGCTGAATGGAATGTAGTAGCGTCTATTTGTTTGTAAAGGTAATTAAGATCGACGTGTGACATGCGAAATGCTGCATTGACCAAACTACAAAAGTCGCTGGAGGATATGCTCTTTAGCATTTTAGCAATGACTGGCTTTGTTGACCAAACCATAGAAGCATAGCCATTGCCCAACTAACAAAGAATCAGATCAAGTACATTGGATAACGCATGAACTTACTGGAAGCATTGCAATAGGGCCTGTAGGTAAAAAGCGTTGCCATGCACTATGGTTGGGACGTTCTGGATCAAGTTTTAATGTAGCCACAACGCCCTGAGCATCATAATCCCAACCTAATGAATCAATGCCTGCAAAACTTCTCACTGGGCTATTGATACCATCTGCACCAATCTATACAACCATGTTGATATGCTATCCTTTCTTATCCTTTTTTTTTTGTTACCAATAAACGAGCTTTTAATTTCTCTCCATTATCCAAACAAACAGTAGGCCAATCTTGAAGATCTAATTTTTGTGTGTCCAAATTCTTTTCTTGTGCTCGCTGGATATCAGAGACTTTGGTTTTTTGAAACAAATCAACTGTGACACCTTCAGATCGACATTCTTCCATGCGCTTCAATGCAGCACTTTGAATATTGAGGTTTTCTACCATATAAGCAATAGTATTGGGTTCAGCAGCCTTTTTAGCGCCATAGTTATTTAAGAGAGCAGAATCCAAATGAATCCTAGCATTTGTCACACCATCCCATACTTTCATATCACGATAACCATAAGTTCTTTCTAAAACCATATGGTTTGCTACGCCAATGCCTACATAATTTAAGAAAATTAAATCAAATGATAAAACTTACGTTTAAAAAAATCCAACGAGCCAGGTGTCAAGGACACAACACGGTTTGAATAATCATCTTGCTTAGGCTCCCAATTACGTATACCTGTCAATTCCATGGCTTCTACAAGAGCAATACGGTTATTGCGCATAGCAGGACTAGAAGCTAACAAATAAATCGACCTGTCAAGTTATGTTTCATTTTTCTTACCTAAAGAGCAAGCTAAAGTGACACCTGCCACGCCACCTCCAATAATAACGACATCGTAAGCTTTATTCAAGTCTGTGTTGACAGTAGTAGCTAAAGTACGTCTTTGTAAACGAGTAGTAAAACGTTGAGTTAAGAGTGTGCTCCTCCACATAATATTGAAAGAAATAGAAAAAAAAAAAAAAGGCAGCAAAGCAAGACAACCATGCTGTTTTGATGTTCCGAACACTTGTTTTAGGTCTCCCGGGAATCAAGGGGAGATAAAGACGCGTTTTCCGGGAGCGCGCGCGTTTGTCTAACCAATATTTTTACGCAGCTTTTTTTCTTCTCTTTCCTCTTCTTTATGGACGAACAATCGAAAGAACACTTTTCTTCTCAGGTCCATGAAGAAGAGGATTTTTTTCTAGATGAAGATGACTTAATTGACCTAGAAGAATACTTACAAGGCGATGATGTATCAAGAACTCAACCAACAAGCGACCCGAACGAGTCCTTTCGACGTCTTTTAGCTGGACCTTCAGTAGAAAAAGTACACAAATTAAGTATTGGTGAATTGGATCGACACAAAATCAATGAAATTATTTATGAATCTTCCAAAGCAAGTAGTTAAAGACAAAAAAAAAGAATGATGTTAACCCTATTCATCAGGGCTCTGCATTTTTGAACGAGAGAAAAAAAGAGATGCAGCAATCACAAAAAGAATTGAAGTCATTCTTGCTAAATACAAATTTATCAGGGATCAAGATTTGACTTTTGAACGCAATATTGCAGATAATATGATTTCTGATCTAGAAAATACCCGAGATTTAACACAATGTATCTGTCATGTTGATATGGATGCATTCTATGCCTCTGTGGAAGAATTGGAAAATCCAGAATTGAAAAAAATACCTATGGCTGTAGGTGGCATGTCCATGTTGTGCACAAGTAACTATCTTGCTCGTAAATATGGTGTGCGAAGCGCCATGCCTGGCTTTATTGCCCTGAAACTGTGTCCTGATCTAAAGATTATACCTTTGCATTTTCCAAAATACAGAGCTGCTTCTGAAAAAGTGAGAGATGTGTTTCGCAAATACGATCCTCATTTCGTGCCTATGAGTTTGGATGAGGTAACAGCATGATGTTATCAGCCTGATCTTCTTATGCATACTTTTTTTTGTTAGGCCCATTTGAACCTGACAGAGGTAGATTGTTTCCACAAATGATCAATACACTAACCATTACGCTCCAGTACCTTCAAACAACAGACTTAACACCCTACCAACTCGTAGAACAAATTCGACGAGAGATCTTTGAAGCTACACAGTTGACAGCCAGTGCTGGTATGAAACATGTCTGATAAGACTAGCTAATGACCATAGGCATTGCTTGTAACAAAACACTATCTAAAATATGTAGTGATATAAATAAGCCAAACGGTCAATATTATCTACCAATTGATCGAGCGTCCGTCATGTCTTTTGTCAAGGACCTGAGAGTACGAAAAATTCCGGGTGTAGGCAGAGTCACTGAGCGTGTGCTTGAAGCATTAGGTGTTAAGACGTGTGGCGATATTTATACTCATCGTGCCATACTCTATAAACTCCTAAGCCATACTAGTTTCCAATTCTTGCTTCGTAGTTATTTAGGAATCAGCGATACAACCTTAAATACGCATACTGAGAGGAAAAGTATCAGTACGGAACGTACCTTTTCAGCAATGTCTGAACCGAATCAATTGCTTGAAAAACTCAAAGAACTGTCTATATCGCTCGAGAAAGATATGGAGAAAGCAGGTGTCATGGTAAGTAGATTCATGTTTGGAATCAAAAAAAAAAAAAAAAAAAAAAAAAAAACTCATGCAACAACAGGGAAGAAATATAGGCATTAAACTGAAATCTGTCAATTATGAATTACGTGTTCGATCCAAGACATTTCCTTCTTATTTATGGACTGCCAAAGATATTTATCGTATCGCAAAGGAACTTTTGATCAAAGAACTTCCTATTAATATCAGACTTATGGGCATACGTGTATCTACTTTAAAAGCCAGAGGTACCGAAGATGAAAGTGTTATGAAGGTATTCTTTTTAGGCAACTTTTTTTTTAGTTTTTTTTATTCATTGAACCTAGTAGTATTTTACAAGACTTTCGCCTTCTACTCCTCTCATAACAACTGATGATACCCTACCTTTTATCAAGGAAGAACTACCTACTATTGAATGTCCTGTATGCAACCGTCAACTTCAACTAGATAATCTGGAATTTAATAAGCATGTGGATGAATGTTTAAGCAAAATGGAAGTGAAAGCCATTTTAAAAAATGACCACTATCCTTCAAAGAAACGTCTAAAGAGGTATTAACCAACTGAAAAAAAAATAGCACATTGCTTATCATTCTACAGGTCTCATCAAAAAGGTAAATCTATTTTGGATTATTACAAATAGCCCGCCTATTCTCATCTTTGCGGGAAAATGCAGTAGATCGGACAAACAAAATAGTGCAAAATAATAAAAATGGGGTATTTTTTCCCGTTTGAGTCATTTATTCTCTTCTTTTTTTTTCTTTCTTTTCATAATGGTTCCTGTCCCTATCTTTGTGTTAATGGGTACCGCTGGTTGCGGAAAAACCAGTGTTGCATTGCAATTGAAAGCCAAGTTGAATTGTCGTTACCTTGAAGGCGACTCTTTACATCCTGCCCACAACGTACAAAAGATGTCTGAAGGTAATTTAAGATGATGTAAAGGGTGCATGCTAAGTGTATGTTAGGCCACCCTTTAAATGATGATGATCGTTGGCCTTGGCTCCGAGAAATTCGTGATCATTTAGCTATTCAAATCAAAGAAGTTAAAGATTTGCCGGAGGATGATCATCGTCGTGTGGTTGTGGTTACTTGCTCTTCTTTAAGAAAGGCTTACCGTGACATTTTACGTGAATTGCCCGAGAATTCTGCTTCTGTTATCTTTGTCTATCTCAAGGGATCCAAAGAACTCTTGTTGAGTCGTATCTCTAACCGTAAAGGACACTTTATGCCCGCCATCATGCTTCAATCACAATTGGATACCCTTGAAGAACCTGACCCAGAAACAGAAAATGTGATTGTGCAGAGCATTGAGCCTCCACCAGAAGAAGAAGCTCAACACATCATTCAAGAAGCTGTTGAAAAGGGCTTTTTGCATGCTTCTGCTAAATCATTGTAATCTTACGTCATAATAAAAGTATATTTATTATATTATTTCGAGTTAGTGCCACTCTGTTCTTCATGACTAAGAAGACTATTGGATAAATGACGGCTAGCATTACTAGTCGATCGACCTCTTTTCCAAGCCCTTTCTAATCTTCCCATTTCTCTTTGTGTATCAGGACTAGGTGGGTTGGTCAAGTCAATCAGGCGCCAATCTGTGCCTGCAAAATTACTCATACCACCATGCACGCCTTCTTCTAACTTCATCAGTTCAACCACAAATCCAATGTTGGGTGAAATATTCGGTCTCATTTTCACAATATGCCTGTATGCTTTCTTGAGTGTCCAATGCTCAATCAGGACAAGATAGGCTAAAATAGCAGCTGCCGAGCGTGATTTACCTGCCTTACAATGAACGTAGATTGGTTCATGATTTTTCTTCGAATCATCTAACGATTTATTAGTGCCATAAACGACTCTTTATATATATATATATATATATATATGTACCTATCACATTCACTGCTTTTCGAAGTGTATCTTCTACGTTCTGCATTTCAACTGTATCTCGAGCAGCAATCTTTTGATATTGAAAATCTTGCTTTAAACCAGGCACATCATCATCGCACTCTTCTGCCATGTTCAAAATACGCCGAATGGATCTTGCCTTTAAACCCGAGACTTGATCTACAGTCGCTATCTCAGGCCCAAGATACAAGAAATTAGGAATAATTTCAGAAATCACAAAATCATATTCGTTTTCAGTCTTGGGTGTTTGTTCTCCTTGAGCAGTAACCATGATCTCATCATCTGAAGGCGGTGTGGTCTCGAGTGGTGTATGGTAAACTTCCTCGGGCGAAAAGATTTGTGTAGTAGGGGTATGATTGTTTTTTTCATGAATGCTTTCTAATTCATTTTTATGACGTTGGGTGGATTGTGATTGACTTGGAATACTTGTTAAAGATCGGCTTTTGGAAGGTCGCATATTTGTATCGAGTGTAAACAAACTCGCTCTTCTCTGTACATTGACAGTCAGGTTATTTGCTTTGGCTGAGAGTGTAGAAGCACTACGGGAAATCATAGGTGTAGGCATCTTGAGTTTATTGGGTGGATTGAATAACGGATGCTTGAATTTTTTTGTTAGTTCGGATGATTGTGATGAAGAAGGTATGGGTAGAGGAGGTGTATCTAACCGAGCAAATTGTGAGCCTTCTAGGTATTTATGTGTCAGGTCAAACTGTTCAAATCCACGATAGCCATGCTGCAGGTACTGAACACAAGCCAGTGTGTTCTTCTTGATAGCACCTACAAGGATCCAAGTGGCTGTTGTCATGTCGGACTCTGTCATTTGTTCATCGTACACCACGAAATGAGCTCGTTCAGGTAATTCTTGAATGTCTTGAGCATTAAATTGCTTTAGCCAATGTCGAAATAAATCAGTGCCTTCGGGTGTCGTGATGAAACTCTCGAGATTAAAGTTGGAAACAACGCCCCGACGGTATCGTTTGATCAACAATGTAGGCACATTGACATGAATCGAGTGTCGAATATGTGATTTTTGGTATTGTTCCAAGGGACGCATATCAATCATTAAAGGTTCTATACCAAGCGGGGTTTGTGCATCTGTAAGCAATTGGGCCAGTGCATTAGGTCCAATATATTTAGTGTCTTTGATAGATTTGAGAAAAGATGAATTATTAGACGAAGACATGTGTGGATTGCTGTGAATGGGACTGATGGTATTAAGTGTGGCTGAAAGTCGTTTTGCTATTCTACCGCGATTTGTTGTTGTGCTGTTGTTTTTAGGTGAAATTGGCTGCGTTGGTTCTTCTCCTCTTCTCAAGGTAAATGTGGGTTTTTCATCATCCTTTTTGTCTTCTTTTGAATGTTGGTATTCATTTAAAAGAGAGACGCAGTTTGTATAGTTGACACCGTTCGAGTCTCTTCTTCGTTCAGTTGGGAAATCTTGTTGCTGTTGTTGCTGTTGTTGATGCTGCTGCTGTGAGGTACGATAGCTTCCTGAAGAGCGTTTGCGGAGTGCAGGAGAAGATAACTGTCTGCTGGTGCGTTTAGGTCTTTGTTCTTTATTCGTTTCACCCAGACTTTGTGACTGAAAGGCAGCAGAGAGCAAGTCCATGAAGCTTTCAGTACTAGTCTCTTTCATATCTGTAGGTTCTGTTGTGATGAAGGATGGCTTCATATTGGATGATGAGAAAAAAAAAGAAACAAGAAAAAAAAGGGAGAGAAATAAAAAAAATACTGTGTACAAATTGATTGTGTGTAATTTACTCTGCTTAAATAACTATGTGTGACATCTTACTTACCCGCGCGCGCAAACATAATCCCCCTCCTCCCTCCTCTTCTCCTTCTTTCTCCCCTTTCTCCTTTCCCGGTTTCGCCGTTGCCGTAAAAATTATTCAGTACGGAATCAACAACTTTATAAAAAAAATTATTTGATTTGACAATTTAGGACACTATTCACGAGAAAAATAAAAAAAAATAAGAGAGCGAGTTAAGATTCAACTGGGTTCGCTTTATTGTTAAGCTGGTCGCGTAATTCAGCAATTTTGTCTGTCTGTTTCTTAACTAATTCCATAAGTTGTTCAGTCCTTAATTGATACTGATTTAATAATTGTTTCGTATGTTGTAATTCGTTGGCTAAATTTTGAACATAGTCTTCATCTACGCTGGATACAGCGGTACTTGATTCTGAAGGTCGAGTCATAGTATTGGTTGCATTGTTGGTATTGCTCTATAGCAAATTAATATTTAGGCATAGAAAAAGCACTTACAATGGGTATTTGAAAATTGTTTGATGTGGAGTTGGTATAGTTTTTAGATAGATCTGTACTGGTTGTCATAGTGGGTTGAATGTGTGGTGTTTCATAAAAAAAATCGATAGAAGGATAAGGTTGGTTCATAGATTGAGGTTGAATCTCGGTTGCATTAAAGTTTGATGGAGAAATGACATATTGTTGTTCACTAGTGCCACCATTAAAATGGTAAGCTTGTTGTTGTTGGGTATATGGTTGTTGCTGTTGGCCTTCCATATTCATACTATTAGAATTATTATTATAGTAAGGTTGTCCTAAAAGTTGTTGTTGTTGTTCCATTTTTTTTTTTTTTTTACAAAGAAAGGTATTTATATAATCACATATATTATATTAAAGAAAAAGAAAAAAGAGAAAGAAAAGAAGAAAAAAAAAGTTTAATGTGAAAAATTCTTTTTGATTGTGTCTAGTTACACAGTAACAAATGATACGCGCGCCACATTAATTTGTTAGAAAGATACGCTGAGGGAGTCGTGTGCTAACGAACCTAGTGTTTATTCTATCGTGCTTGAAAGAATGATATTTTTGTTCTAATTTCATGATAGGTCGCTTATTTTGTAAATGGTTACTATTAATACGCAAACGTGTTGAACAATCATTCAAGAGATCTTGAGCTAATGTATGTTCTGTTCTGCTCTCTCTTTCTCTCTCTTTTTCCCCCGAATACAGATCAATACATCTTTCGCTGAATTTTCGATATCAACACCATTACCATTATCGTTTTGTTTTGTGGTGGCGGTGGTGGCTTCATGATGAGAAGCCTTATATGTCTATTTATATATTCAAACGGTTAATGATCTATAAATAATATTTCCCAGCTGCATAATAAATTAATAAATATAACTTGCCCTTGATCTTATTGCTCCTTGATGGGGTACAAGATGCTTAGTTGTCCGTGCCACTTTTTGAGTTACTGAGTGATGATCCTTATTCAACGCACATGGTCTCCTTGCTGTAGTTGCCATGCGGGGTATAGTGGATACTACTGGTTGCACATCTTGATGTGTTAGTAAAGAGCTGTCATACAATAGAATTATTTACCGTACCTGAACCTTCAAATGTCGGAGACGAATTTTAGCTAGTAAATTTCCTTTTTCAATCTCTCTGCATCTCTAAAGGACATATACATTTCAACTATTGCCATAAACTTGACTTTTAGTGTAAGAAAAAAAGATATCATTTATTAGAATCAATCACCATGATAGGCCTGATCATAAACATAGTCAGAGCTGACTACAACAGACTTTTGTTGTATTTTACATATATATATATATATATGCTTTCTGCTAACTTTTTTTTTCTCGCTTATTATTTCTAGTAATCTTAAGGCTCTATCGTCTTCCCTAGCGAAACAAATAGATGTTGTGGGCATAACCAAATCTCGATAATTCATTCATCCTTTAAACACTTTATTATACCTTGATCTTTTTATCAATGACATGCTTAATGTAATGCTGTAATAATTCAATACAAATACTTGCATCTTCTAATGAATCGTGTCCTTCACTACCAGTTTGGATAAACTTCTTTAAATGAGTTGATGATAAACTACGAAGACTGTTTCTATAAGGTAAGCCATTCTTGTGTGGAAATAACTGTTTAAAAACCATGAGCTACTTGTAAAGCATTTAAAAGTACTTACTGCCACTGTATCAATGATATTTGTATGTATTATTCTTAATGCATTCATATCATTTTCTAAACCATGTCCTACAATGATTGTGTTTTGATCTACATACTTGAACAGTTCATTTCTTAAACTGTCTAAATCATGTTTGACACCTTCCAATGTCTTGACACCACTGTAGTGTGTATTCAAATCAATCACCATGCTTGAGGGAAGCACAAGCTCATCAATCAAGACACTCATCTTTTCATCTACTGCGGTTAGTCGAATCAATTCCATCCCAGCTGTTGTATAACCCATTTCACAATCTAAAGCAACAATGCGTTTACTTGTGCTGGATTTAGCAGGTGCCTTGACATAAGGAATCTTTTGATGAAGTATGTGGAGATCAGTGTCCTTGTAGACATGAGGCCCTCTTGTACAACCAGGGCTGCCTAAAGGATCCTGACAGCATCCATATACTTTCTCTTTTAGACCATCCACTTTCAAAATACGAATACGGTTGGGATGATATACACATGCATCCATGTCTTCTGTACTCAAGACAGCCTTGATCAAATATTCATGATGACATCGATCGCATTCATGCACAGTGCCTACTGTACTGACAGACATCCCCTCTCCCTGGTTTTCTAATAAATCAGGTAAAGGATACTCTAATTCTCTTAATTGTGATTCAGACACAATGCATTCATATGCTCTATCCAATGTAGCATCAGGCTTAGCTTGTTCTTGAGGATCGACCCATTCGCCATCTAAACCAATATCACTATCGCTTGTACTAACAGGCCTTTTCTTCAAGTGCATCATGACTGTTGTTGCCATTTGCTTATAACCAGCTAAGTTCATAGTACTGGCCAATATCTTTTCTTCTTGTTGTTTAGCATGTTCTGTAGCAAGTGCAGGATTATTGGCAAGAATAGGTTGGTAGATTCGACTGAATGCTTCAAACAGTTTAGTAGCAATCAACTAGTTAACAATAAGAACAAGGTCTTCTTTTTTCTTTTTCTTTTTAGTTACCTGTCGCACTTTAAGAGGTATAATTGACTTCATATTTGGTAAGATAGTAGGAGGTCCTGTTGGTTTTAATGCAGTCTAAATATGATAAGCAAATAAAATATTGACTTTATTTGTGAGGGCTTTACTATAGGTGTATGTGCTACTCTTTTTCTTGCAGCTTCAAGAGCACTCATCGGTCTATTCTTTGTCTCTTGAGGCACCACTTTAGGCTGTAGTACTTTAGGCTGTGGTACTTTAGGCTGTGGTACTTTTGGTGGTAAGGCCTTAGGTTGTATTGTACTATTCTTTTTCGGTATCAAAGAAGGAATCATCTGAGTTGGTCGAGAAGGCATCGGTGTCGTAACATGGTTTATTTTTTGTCGTTTTACAGTTTCAACAGGACGATCTGTTTTTTTTTTTAGATCAATAGGTTTCCTATAAATAAACAAAAGAATACCTTTGATCGATGAGTTTTTTCGGGTTGTATGCGAATAAAAGCACGGGTTTCTTTTACAATCTGGGTACAAAGGACAAGGGATGGACTTGAACAGTCCTAATGAAGGAAGCATAATCTACAAAAAAAAAAAGCAAAACAAGGCCAGAAGAAGAAAAAACATTTTCATCATGCTCAAGTGGTAATTCAAGTTCAGCATGCTTCCCTAATATCTCTATGAATGCCTTACTATATAAATGGTCAGATTATATCAACTTTTCAAGTCAAGAAGATATTACAGCCAGATTGACACAAGATAGAAAATAAGAACAGTCAATATTATGTAGCCATTTATTACAGTATTTTCGGTTACATTTGAGAAGATTATCATATTTTTGTTATCTGTTCTTACCCTACCAGCATAGCTGATTACTTATAACTGTTTTCTTTTAATTTTGTGTTTTTTTATTATTATTACTTTTTAATTGTATATTTTGTATTTTCATACGCCATATACAACAGTGTTTGAACATCATTGAACTGGTTTAAAAGTTTATAAGCACTGCTGGTAGGTAGGCCACAAGCTTCGGCCGCTTTTGGCACAGTGACTCCTATTTCCTGTAATACGTGTATAAAGCGTGCGATTTGCTCAGGCCCATACTTTTTATATGTTTTGGTTTTAGTAATAGTCATCTCCTCCAGCTCTAAAACCATTTCCTCCATTTTCTCCTGCGTTTTGATAAATATCTTCTACGAGGTATTCATTTCCCCTAAGCATCTCAATGTCGCCGAACTTAACAGCAACCTCATCAACTTCCATTCCCTCAGTCATAAAGTTATTGTAGTTTTCGTCTGGAATATAGTTAACGTAGTCCATTTTTATTTAAAAGATGTCTAATCTAAAAGAAAAGAAATCGTCTAAAAACTTATTTCTAAAAAACTCTAAGTTACTTTTCAAATAAAATATAATTCTCAAAAGATTTAGACATTCTCCGAACCGCAACCTTCAGGCCAAAGCTTCCAGCTCAGGCAAGCAGAACAATAATAACAACACTTTCCTCTCTTGCGAAAAAGTAGTGTCAGTTCAGGCACGTACCAACTTGTCCTTTCGACCAACTGTCTTCACTTCATCTGCATTGTTTACAGACTCATATACCATCAGTAAGTCATTCTTGAATTTCCTCCATATATACATCATCTCTAGCATTAATTTCTGTCCTTTTGTCTAGAAAAGGCTTTCAGTCTCATTAAGGTATTAAAGCTATTTGTTTATTTATAGTCTGTATTTATGAGGTCCTCTTTCTTTTTTTTACAATGTGATTATTAAGTCTTTACTTTTTCTATTATTACTGCTATGCCCGTGATAAAACCCTTTCTTTTTGTGAATTGTTCTAGTGTTATTATTGCTATTATGGTGTTGTAATCGTACAATCTTTTCATTCATCGAGTCATTTTGTACAGTACTTTTTTGCTTTTTAGTGGAAATCGAACGCAACCAGTGACTTAAAGTCGACTGCTTTATTGCTTTCAGCCATATTTGCTGCTTTGTTTCTTGACGGACAAGCAACATAAAAGAATCTTCTCGATTTTTTCTTCTTTGCAGGTATTCTTCAGGTGAAAGATGAGTAGAAGAAGAAGTCGTGTGATGGCTGTATTTGCTACGAGGTGTGACATTAAAAGATCTCTGTTGGGATGTCTTGCTATGAATAGGGTTTCGATTGAAGATAAAATCACTATCATCATCTTCATTGTCATAATAGCGTATCTGACTTGTAGATGTATTTGAAGCAGGTGTAGACATACTAAAGATGTTTCTATAAATAGTGTCATAGATTTTGTTTTCTTTTTCTTGATACGTTTGTTGTATCTCTCTCTTAAATGTTTCTGCCTCGCTTAATAGGGAGGATGATCCTAAAGAAGTCTTTTGTATCTTATCAAATGGTTCTAATGATTTACTACTATGAGATGATGCAGATGAAGTTGTCCAGTCATCGTTGTCTTTGCTTTCTTGACTCAAGTAATTTTGAAGTGGCTGCTTCTCTAGCTTTCTTGAAGACATAATGGCATAATCTGTTGATGGAATGGACTGAAGTGACTCTGCTGGTGTATTGTATTGATTACTTGTGTCGTCTTGAACAAACTCGTCTATTTTGGGTTGGTATTTTTTAGAAACATGGTATTGATTATATAGTTTTGAATTGCCATCTAACCATTGCGATGTTTGTGGCTCTTGATTGTCTTTATCTTGTAAGCTCTCACTAATATGACTTGACGCTTTAGATGACATGGAACTAATTTGATTCCTTTCTATGTTCTTGAACGAGTCTTTTATCTTTAAAGAAGGTGAATAGATAACTTTGTCATTTGCTTCAGATTGATCTTTTTCGCTTCTTGAAGCCAGCTCAACTTCCCATTGGTATTCTTTAGAGTATTGTATTTCTTGCATACTGAACGGTTTTTCTATACAAACAATAGGATGGCTGTGTATGGCTATTTCTTTGAACTTTTGGAGGGAAGTAGCATTACTGTTCGTTGTAGGCTGTGTACTATTCGATGCTGATTCTCCAATGAATGAAAAGTTATATTTGTTATCCGTACTAGACATACTGGATGGCGACTTGGTAGATTTGATGGATTTGATACTCGGCGGTGTGGAGCTCTTGGAAGTCTTTAAGTAGCATCCACGTAAATAAAAAGAATCTTGATAAAGACCAATTATATCACCATCCTTTAAGACTTTTGACCTTTCAATCGCTTCATCTAGACTGGGAATTGCCCTGGTATTATTGGGATCATTGTTAGATAGTGTATGGATTGTCCAACGCAATTTTTTGTCCATTGAATGCTGACCGCCGAATTCTTCAGGAACAATCAACTCGAGATTTGAGTAATCACTCTTTGTTTTGCTAATGATGCTTTGATCCAATCCTTCTTCTGATAATCTTTCCGACAATAAAAACTTTTGACTATGAGCAAAGACAAAGAGTAAAGAGTTCTGCAAAGAGTCATCCCGAAATTTCCAAAACATATCTTCTAAATGGTGGTTGATATTTCTGTTTCTGGGTACTAACGCGGGTACTTTGTTCTGTTCCCTTCCGAGGTAACAGCCTGTTTCTAAATTTCTAAGCTTAAATAGACATTCGTTCATCAGTAAAGGTGAAAAATAACGAATGATGTTGATGATGAAGTCCCGTGTAGTGCGACGAGATTCGGGGAAGAATTCATAGACAGGTCGAACTTTGGCTCTTCCAAGGATACGGTAATGATCTTCATCCACCTTTGACTAGACACAAAGAACGATATGGTTATTTGTAAAGAAAAAAGTACACGCTGACTTACATTTTGTTTTTCTGTTGCTTGATGAACGAGCCCTGTAACAGGTTAACAAGTATAATCGATGTTAATGAGAACTCACCTAAATAGAGTTTTTCTGGCCACAAGAAACCATATCTATGCCAAATATGGCACAATAGATCCCATGACTCTTCTGGATAATGAGGCCAGTGCTCCTCCGCCTTAATTAGCTCTTCTTCAAATTCAGTTGTAAGTCTTGCGATTCGATCCATCTTCACGAATGCTTGCGCTCCAAAGTACATCGTATGCGTCTTTTCGTTTGCTTTGAATAAAGGCTCGTTTTGATTCTTGAGTATTGTACTGCAAATAGAGAGAGATTGAATAGTCACTGTATCATATGGATTCGAGACACCTGACTGAACGAGATTTTCCGTCCATTTCGATTGTGTAGCGATCGAAAATGCATGGCTACTCTTTTCGTCAGTGACGATGATTTCTGGCACAGATTGATGGACAAAACAAGGTTCTTTGGCGAGTAAACCTTCCAGAGACACACCAAGATTCCAATCTTTTATTTCGCTTAAAATCTTTCTTCGAATGGACTTGTCCTGTATACTTTTTTGGTTTTCCATGATGCAAAATAAAATTAAAAAAAAGAAGTGAAAAAGAAGAAAAAGAAGATAAAGAAAAGGACGCTTGTACGATCATTTACACAACTGAGGCATATGATGATGGTCGTTGTGAGACCTTGTATGTGACTGTCTGTAAGCTTTATCTTTAGAGGATAACTTCTTCATTATGAAATATGTTTTTTTTTTCAGGAACACTCTGTTTATTTTATACTTTTTGACTTGAATTTTCTTTCCCGTCATACATTGTGATCAAAGAAGAGTGGTAGGAAACAACAGTTCCGCCACAACATAGAATTTCGGAGCTGTTTATTTGTTTTTTTTTTCTCTCTTTCTCTTTTTCTCGATAATTGATGGAACCTAGCTCACTTGTCTATTTCGACCAACAAGTGGCTGGCCACGATAAACTTATGTCCATACCTTCTAACGACCTCATACTTATTAAGCCTTGTACAAAAAAGGAATTGGACTTTTATCAAGACTCACTCAACTTTTCCGAGTTTCTCGACTTTATTCCCGAATGTTATGGCACCCTAAGAGCAGCCACTGAAAAAGAAGTAGATATACTTGACACAGCAGGCGAATTAGAAGAAAATGAGACAATCAAGATAGACACAACGCACCATGTAGATCATATCCTTTTTTCTAACTTTTAAAAGAGCACTAACAAACACCATTTCTACAGAATTCCTTAACCCTGTCTTTGTTTACAAAACTTATGCTTAGAAAATATTTTACATGGATTTACACGACCATGTATTCTGGACCTCAAGATGGGCTCTTTATTGTACGATCATGATGCAACAGAAGAAAAAAGAAATCGAATGATACATCATTCTCAAACAACCACCTCAGGCACTCTGGGTTTAAGAATAAGTGGCATGAAAGTATATGATTCAATTGAACGAAAATACGCAACATATGAAAAGGCATATGGCAAATCACGTACTTCAGATACTATAGTAGAAGCCATGCTAGCCTATCTTTTCCCAACATCAGCTTATGGAAAAGACACAGAACCCTACAGAACATACATGAACGATATAGAATTAGGGCAAGATGACATAAAAGAAAGAATCCCAGCCAAGCACTCGAGATGGATCATTGAATGCTTCATAGATACCATTGCTGAAATAAGAGAAGCCATTGTGAAGCATCCGAATCTTCGACTAATTGGGTCATCTCTCTTGTTTGTATATGAAGGAGATCGATCTGCAGCTGATAAAACATGGAAATTCATGCTAGAAGAGGATAAGCAAGAAGGCAGAGGAGCAGAAGACGATAAACAAGATGCTCCTAAAATGTGCGAATTACGTCTAATTGATTTTGCTCATTCAGACTGGCATGCAGATAGAAAAACTCAAGATACAGAACTGATCAAAGGCTTTGATAATATCATTGACATTCTGAATGAATGTCTAAAGCGACAAAAGACCGAAAAAATTTAAAACGCGCCACCTTCTTTGAAGACGCGTTCGCGATTTCAAACCAGAATAAAAATTCTCTTTTTTTACGCGTCTTTCTTTTTTCTTCTACGCAGCAATGAAAAGTTTATCGACAGTGGATAGTGACGAAGAAGAACACTTTGAACCAATAAAGAGAACCAGAAAGTTAAAAAGAATTATTCAAGATAGTAGTAGCAGTGGCGAAGATGAGGATGATATTCCACTTATTCAAAGAAAGGCAGCTCAGAAAAAGCTGGTGGTTCCTGAAACCCCACCAGCCAAGAAAGTGAAACTTTCTTCTCAGGAACAGTTCGAGTCGCCCAAGAGTATATTCAAGTTGAATGCAAAGACAAGGAATCAATCGAACAATATATATGGTTTATTGAGCAAGTCTCGTATGCATAACAACAGCATCGATAAACAACCTTCAAAGCCGCCCCCAAAAGCAAATATAGAAAAACCTATCCAAAAAGACATACAAGCTACTGAGAAACCTGTTTCCAACAACCCTATACCACCACCATTTTCCAATGTATTCAAAGCTTCTATGGCGCCGCCCTTGAATGGGTTTAAAACACCTATCTCGCCTTCTCCTAATGAATTCAAGGCACCTACTCCACCTTCTTCTAATGAATTTAAGGCTTCTATGGCTCCATCACCTTCAAACGGACTCAAAGTGCCTATGATACCATCAACTCCCTCTAATGATATGAATATGGGCTTTACAGAGACACAAAAAAACGAATGTAAGTAAACAAGACAGCTAGGATTCGAACTGATGTCTTTTTTTTTTTAATATAGTAATCACCAATCGATTATCACATTATATCACTTGCATATGTCAAGATTTAGATCAATATAACCAAACAAAAAAGAGACAGGCAGATTCATTTTTGACATTCAGTGATGATGATCTTCCTATGCTGGATATCTCTGTCATGCAAAAATTTACTACAATGATTTCACATACAGTTCGACACAACCAAACACTAGATGGGATTGACATGAACAAGTTTGGCAAGATTATCAAGCTCATGGAAAACACTGTGATTGCCTCAACAGAAATAGACGCCATTGAATACTATGCTAAGAACACAACACAAGACAGAAAAGCACTATGTATGCTGACAACCATCAGCGATGCATTTGAAGCATGTTGCATGATTTTTGAAATTGTCACCACTTGCAAACTCGATAAAAAGTTCATTTCTCACAATTTAATCACAAATTGCTTACATTTTATCAAGAATCAACTCGATTATACCATATACCCATTGCTTGATTTAAATGATGCTCAGGATGAAAGCATGTCTTGTAAGTGTGTTTCTATTTAAAGCATATTTGACTCACACACTGTTAGTGACACCCAACGCCCTTGTCTTTCTTAAGCTTGTTCAATCTTCACCACAGGATAAACGTTTATTGTCTACTTTTATTCCTAGTATGATTCGGTTCTTTCGTCGTGCTTATTCACTCATCACTATGCAAGACTTGGATGATGATGTGTTAGTGATTGTTGCCTATATCAGTATGGGTCCCTTTTTTCATGATACCTCTGATCCTCAGTCTATCTTGTTACAGATCAGACAGGACGAAAACAAATTCAATCCATATGAACAACTCAAGTTTTATGCACTGGACATGCTAAAGCACATATTCAGCAAATACCCAAAACACCGTCGTTGGATTTTTGAAGAAATATTGACCAGTCTTGGATCATTGACAGTCATGGATGGCACACGAAAGTATCGATTAAGAGACAATAGGACCATTCATGTCATCAGTGCTTTGTTCATGCAACTCGTACAATGTAGTGCGTCTATCAGTGACATATCTTCGCATAAAAATTGGTATAAAAAGTTCAATATCAAGTATCAGAAAATGCTCAAGAATAATGATACGGATCAACTGAAAATGTTGGATGACAAGTTGATTCGACGTGCCTCTGTTACTTGGAGACAAAGTACAGAAGCAGCTACCAACAGTGCTTCTTTCTTTCTCGAGTTTCTGATGTCCAAGTGCAAATCAAAGAAATCAGATACATATTCACTTCAAGAATACAGACTGATTTTGGAACAAACATTACAGGATATCATGACAGTGCTCAATGACCCCGATTGGCCTGTGGCTGAACTTATTGTACGCGTATTTAGTCGTATCTTGATCTCGTTACTGGAAGGTACTTCTTCAGATCAATACCTGAAATCATTGGCTGTAGAATGGCTAGGTATTATTGCAAGCAAGATCAAAACTGGCTATAAAAAACTCTCGGGTGACTACACAAGCTATACTCCTGAATGGTTGTTTGACTTGAATGAAAAGCTGCCTTTTCAGATCACAATGGAAATAGATATTGGGTCTATTTTCTTGTTGGATCAATGCCGTAAAAAGCTTTTGGATCATGTGATTGCAGAGCGAGCAAGTCAGAATGTGATTAGTTTTTATCTATGCAACTGGGGATTTATTGAATCAGTTGTCTGGACCAAAGCAAATAAGGGCTGGGAGATAGAAGAAAAGAGAAAGCTACCACAGAACATAGAAGAAAAAGACGATACGCTTATGAACACCACACCTGTAAAGGAAGACGAAGCGATTGAATTGAAATGGCCAAGAGAGACAGCCATGCTATTAGAAGACACCTGCAAGTACTATTGGCTTTCTTGTCTAGGCATGGAACATCCATTCCCTAAGTCTCAACCTCAGCATGAATTTCCTGAAATGGCACGATCAGATTATGCTCTTTTGACAGAATTGTTGGCTTCTAGACAGACACTTTATACCAGTTACAAATTTATCTTGTCAGAAATCTTGGCTTGTTTAGAGAAAGATGCTGTGGTTTATAGAACAAAGGCACTCAAGGCCATTGGGAAGATTGCTGTTGAAGTACCAGAGATATTAGAAGACAAACGTATCAGTAAAGTGGTGGTGCAAAGGGTGCATGATACATCTCCTTCTGTTCGAGATGCAGCTATTGATGTGCTTGCCAAATATCTTCATCGCTCAAGCACAGTTCCTGACCAACTCTATCAAGTCATTAGTAGCAGAATTATGGTAAACATCTACAAGACTTTTTCTGTAACTAACCTTTTGGGTATAGGATACAGCTATCAATGTACGAAAAAGAGTAGTAAAACTGCTGAGTGGACTTTATTTCAAATTTACAGACCCTGAAGTCAAAATGAATATTGCTTCCAAGCTCATTCAAAGAATTGGTGATAATGAAATGACCATCAGTCAACTTGCACTCAAAGTAACACAAGATATTCTATTTGTGCCATTCAAAGAGATTGAAAAGGATGGAAATGACTATTTTGGTTATTCATTTGCCAATTCGCCCAAGCAACGTAAACACAAAATCAATGAATTGACACATATCATTATTGGCGCTGTTGCCAAGTTGGATCCCTCCATTGCAGGACAAAATGCTGCTTTATCTCAAATTGTTCAAAAGGTAATATAAAGTAGAACAAGACAAGTATTGATCTATCTAGACAATGGACGAAGCAGATGAAAAGGCGTCTGTTTGGTATAACAAAGTCTTTCAATGGATTGTTGATTCTTTGTTTGAGCGAATGATTTTATTAGATGAACAAGACAAGATGACTGAATTTAATCATTCTCTTATCACTGTCTATTCGTTTACCAAGTCTTGCCCTAACTTGCTTCGTGAATCGCATGTTTCTATGCTACAACCTTATCTTAGTGTATCTGAAAATGTAAGTTGATCTTATCCTTTGTTTTTGTATATGCTAATACTTGAACATAGGCTGATTGGACAAGGGCGCGTTATGTATTGACTATCTATCGAGATGCTTTGCCTCTTATGAAGCACCATAACCCTGATTTTATTCAATCGATTGAACGGGTATTAATGCGACTGTTGGGTTGCTGTCCTTTAGGTTTGATTCCAAGCGGTATTTCTTGTCTTTGTGTCATTGTAGACAAGATTTCGCATCGATACAACATTTTAATCAAAATGCTTGGATCTTGTATTAGTAAGTTTGGGGTTGACTAGACTGCATTGTATTTACTCGTCTGATAGCTAAATTAAATCAAGTCCGTCAGTTGATTACAGAAGGCCAAACTGAGGATAGTCGAATCTTTGGAGGCATATTAAAGATGCTCATGATATGTGGTTTGTTATGCCAAAACTTTGAATTTGACAAGAAGCGTGAACAATATCCACAGGAAATGGAAGCCCTGAACATGGTCTATCGAGGTGATATTGGTATCTTGGTCTTTGATCTCTTGCGATTCTTTACCAGCGAATACATGGATGAACTAAGTAACGATGGTATATCTATGCGAATGACAGCCTTGCAGGGCCTAGGCTATTTCTATGCCTCCCATCCTACCTTTATGATTTCAGATGAAAGCACACGTCTGATGGACAAGATATTCAACGAAGGCACAACTAAAATCAAGACACAACTCATGATGGTATTTCAAGAATTCTTGATGGCTGAAGAAAAGCGTATTGGCAAGCGAGAACAAGAAGCAGGTTCTTCTTTGTTTACCAAAGATATCGATGTGGACACACTGTTGGGCAATACAGAAGAATATGCTGAATTAGGCGTGAATGGTTCCTTGATGCAACGCTATTTACGTAAGATTCTTGATTGTGCTCTGGCTGGATTAGATGAATTGCGCTATGCTGCATTTGAAGTAGTGTCTGCTATTGTTCATCAAGGTTTAGCTAATCCTGTGTTTTGTATGTCGGCTATTGTGGCAGCTGAAACAAGTCCAGATGCCATTCTTCGCAACAAGGCTTATTATTTACATCGCTATGCGCATGACAAATATGGCACTTTGCTCTATATCCAAATGAACGAGTATCTGATGGCATCATTTCAATATCAGCAAATGCTCGCTCAAGATCAACAGGTGGTGGTATGTGGCTATTCTCACCGAGGAGGAGATGCTAAAGTAGATTCTGTCTTGGGCCTTACTTTCTCTATTCTCAAGGATAAAAAGAAACTCAAATTTGACTTTTTGGCAGCCTTGATCAAGCCTTTTGATTTTGATCTCAAGAAGACAGCAGATGAGGACATTGATATTGGTTACATGAAGTACTTGGGTGAGAATTTAGTGGCGATGGATTTAGCAACAGCAGACGAAGTGTTATATATTGTTTATTTGATGGATCGTATCTTAATTACATTGGGCGCAGATTTATTGTCCTATGTTCATTTTCTACAGAAGCAAGATATCCTTGTACCTGTATCAGAAGAAGACAATGACGAGCCAGTGACAGACATTGATTTTATGGTAGCTTCCAAATTGTCTGTTGTGATGTGTATTTTGCTCTATGTAAAGACACTTTTGATAGAAGTTTATGATATTCCTGATGAGTAATGTATTTTTAGTTTTAAATATGCCAACTAACTTTATATAATTAGTGAAATTCGTGAATATAATCCCAATGTCAAGCGAAAAGGACGTGATGTAACTCGAGATTTTGAAATGGAGCAATTTGTAGACTGGAATAGATTATTGTATTTTAAGAAACAGCAACTGTTAACCAAACAAACAGCCTCAGATGCATGTATCAAATTTGAACAATTGCTTATGAACGACACTACAGCTGCTTTTGTTGACTCTTTGTAAATAAAACTAAATTAGGAAATCATCGATTCAAGTTGGAGAATAACATCATTTGGGAACACACAGACAATTCTTTGGATATTGTGTAGCCCTTGTGATAACAAATCACGGGTAAAGTTTGGAAGCAGAAGAGATGTATGTTGAGCAGAAATAATGGCTGATTATGTCAACTCTACTGTGTTGATACAGTAAAGCCAAGCCGAATTTTTTTTTTTTTAGTTTTTTCACACACACGCTTATTATATTCACACAAGGATTTTTTTATTTCTTTTTTTCTTCTTTTCCCTCTCTTCTTTAACCCTTATCATGTACAACGTACAATTTCAACACTCGCCTTATTCAGACCATCAAAACCAATATGAAATATCGCTAAATAATGATAAAGCGACTTTTCCTTCACCAATAACAACTTCGCCTCTAGACTCACCCCCAAATAAACTACCTTCAAACCATTATATGACATTACCACCCACTTCGCCAAGGCCCTATAGCAACAGAATAAGTCAACAATATGATATGTCAAACTACATGCCAAATCAACAAGCAAGTTATTCTCAGCCCATATCAACAAAAGATAATCCAATCAAATTACCATCAAGCCCACGCTATTACGAAAACAATAACAATGACGAGAACTCACTTGTTTCGCCTTCAAGCCCACCTAACCTTGAAGATGAAATTGCACAGAGAAAGTAAGTCAGTCTGTTATAAAAACATCTTGTTTATCTCGTTATTTTTAGTATGCAACATATATTTGAGAAAAAAAGACGCCGAAGAGAATCGCATAATGCAGTCGAACGCCGAAGAAGAGATAATATCAATGACCGCATCAATGAGCTTGCTACCCTTTTACCTGACAGAGATGCTGTTAAATCTAATAAGGGTACTATTCTTCGTAAATCTGTGGACCATATTAGACTTTTGCATGACAAACTAAGACAGCATCAACAACGTATTCAAGAGTTGGAAGGTACACTGGAGTTATACCGTGTTAGAATGGGAGGTCATCCAACAAACAATATGATCCCGCCTGGACATCCTTTAGATCTATCTGGAATGCAACCACATATGACTAGTCATGTATCTTATCCAAGAGACTGATATCGTTATATATCTATCTTTTTTTTTTTTTTTTTTTATCTATTATTTTATGTATACCACCATATTGTTATAAATATATTTTCTTTTCTTATTTTTTTTTAGTATATGTTTGTTACACTTTATATTTATCATGGCGCATGATCTAATGTAATCATCGTTTAATGACCTTTTTGTATATATCATGACTTATACGTAATTGTTTTCTTTTTTAACCAGTTTACCGGTATAACTTATTTACATGAATAGGGAGTCAAAAGGGAATATGTGTTCATCGTTTTTTAGGCTTTACAATCAAGATAACAATTAATAGTATGATAATTAAAATAAGTAAAAGTATTAGTTTACGCTTCCTTGTCTTGTTTTGATAATAAGCGCCCTAGTTTATGGGTTAGACTAAAGAAAAAGAAAAAAAGACTTTACCTTATCTAATTGTACTACAGCATCCTTCACTTGTAGATTGGTTTGTTCAATATTATAATCAATTCTATCCAGCATAGAGCCTTGATCAATCACAAGTGTTTGTAGATCTCTAAATATCTCGGCTAACTGATGGATTGATTTTGCTATTTGGTTGACTTCACGCTCTCTCTGATCAATTGCTGCTTCATTGGATTCCAATACAGCCAATTGTGATTCAGTAAACCCCTATTATTCATGTTAAATCACATGCTTTTATATACCTATTTCATGTTACCACTTGTGCATCTTCATCCAACAGTAGCTCAGCTGCTTCATTACTTAAACCTGTCTCTAGTCCTAAAATATCTGCTTTTCTATTCTCTTGTCCCTGTAATTCTATTGGCAATGAATTATTTCTGCATGGAAGCGGAGTCTTACTTACTCTGCAAATAAGACGATTGCTGCTTTCGAAAACTTGAAGATACATCCTGCACTTTAGTCGCTAGACTTGTCTGAATGTTCCTTGCTAATTTGTCGTCTTGATCAGAATCATGCGCACCTACTCGAATGCGCTGTATTTCACGCTTAATGCGGTAAAATTCCTATGGACATGTTTGTCAGGACTGTCTATATGCGTTTATGCAGATTTTACATTGGTAATTTCTTGTGTTAATCCTTCAATAGCTGTTTCGTCTGATGTTCTGTCATCAAATCCCGGTAATAAGTGTTTTCTATGCATTCCTTCGAGCTTTGTAACTACAAAAGATGATAAGTAAAAAACAACTATAGTGTGCTGTCTGGTTACTTTTGTCTTTCACTAGGTCGAGTGCCTCATCTACTTCATCTACAATATCGACCCTAAAAAAACAGCTTAAGTTTCAAGCAAGTCTTTTGTAATCTTCACTTTTCTTACCACTTAGGAGGTAAGACAGACATCTCAATCACATTGTCTGAACTCTCTATTAAGCCTTCTGTTTCGGACAGACCAGCAGAAAAATGAGGAGCAGAGCTCTGTGTTCTTGCATATGAATTTCTATACTGAAGAAACAAAAGCGTTCTACTTCGCGTCGCCATAATAACGATAAAAGAAAGAGAGAAAAGAATGGCTGACGGGCATTGAACCCATTTTTTTAAATATGGAGACGTTCAAGCCACGTCTATTGCGTTTATGAACATGACGTATTATAAAGGTTTATTATTCCTTCTAGCACAAGGTTTACATACAATCTCATTGCTCTCAGTTGCTTGATAAAGGCCTAAGTAAAAGCATGTTTAAATAAGTATAAGTGTGGTATAGTACCTCTGTTTTTACCTGTCAATCGAGCGGAAAGTATCTTGTCACACTGGGAACATTGGAAATGCAGAGGATGATAATCATAGCCAAAGGCACTTAAGTTTCTACCCTGAATTGTGTTGTGACATTGATGACATATTTTTTTCTCTTCTTTGGGTGTTGTTGGTTTAATATCAGGTAATAAATCAAATACAGGGAGAACCATACGTGTTGATTTAGGATTGACTTTTCTTCTAGATGCTACAGACGCTTGTTTATCGTAATGTGCTTCACAATAGGGTTTTCCTGCTCGAATCAGAAAAGTAGAAGAAGTAAATGTACCACCGCAATCTGCACATACAAAGCATTCCTTGTGCCAGTCAGCACCTAAAGCTACCAAAAAATCGCCTGTAATGATCTCTTCACAGCCACGACACTTTTTGCCAAACTGCTTGTAGTAGTCTTTTTCACAATAAGCATGTCCTTCATGTTCTAAAAAGGTAGTTTCTTCATCGAATGGTTTACCGCATTCTCGACAGAAAAAATGGCCTGGATGATACGTTTTCCCCAGAGCAGAAATCGAATGCTCCTCAATAGGTGTCTTGCAAAAATCACAACGTGGACTGAAGAGTTCATGGTAATCCAACGCACAATAAGGAAGTCCCTCCTTTTCGTAAAATGCAATATGCTCTAGATTTTGATGGCATGCTTGGCATTGAAAACAATGTGTATGCCAGTGCTTGCCTGATGTTGTGATGGCTTGTCCACTTAAAGGTTCTTCACATCCATCACAACGAATACCAAAGAAAATAGAACTAAGGATCTTGTTATGCTTCTTTTCAGGTACTTTTTTGGGTATCGTATCCTCGTCATCAGAAAATCCACCCGGAGCACAGATAGTAGGAATTTGCGGCATAGTGGTATCTTTGTTATCTTGAGAATCAGGAGCAACAATCACGGGTATAGGCGGTAAATCGCTTTTATGGGTATTTGTTTTTGTTTGATGAAGCTCTGTTGGTTTAGGTACTTCCTGTTCATCCTCGTCATCCTCATCGTCTGAAATCGTGATATCATGTACACTCTTTTTACGTGATAAACTCAAATCTCGAAGAATAATTTCATCATCCAACTCATCCTCCTCGTCTTCATCTGACGAATAACAATGTAGCGGTATTTGATGTGTGCAAGTCTGAGGCTCTGGTTGAACAGGCAATTTTTTATTGTATTGAGGTTCTTGACAGGATTGCTCCGTTTGATCGAGTTCAGTTTTAGATGCTCGTCGTTCAACAGGTCTTGGTGGTGGATAATTATAATGTTGAGGAGGATGGGATTCAGGGACCTTTTTTGAAGGCGGAACTCTGATCAGCAATGGTTTTCGAGGCTGTCTCGGGGTGTAAATTGTGGTTTGTTGAAGTGGTCTAGGTCCACGAAGTACACCTTGATGAGAGACACGGTGAGGATTGTGATAAACACTAGATTGCATCTTAATCAAAAGAAAAAGAGAAAAAAATTATGAAGAGAAAGCAAGAGAGGGAATTGAATAGTAAAACTACTAAAATTGAACCTTGAATCCAAAACAATTACTATCTTTGGGCAAACATTTTCAATATCCTTTATATACTCTTCCTGAGCACAACATGCGAAAGGTTACTGTCGTATCTGAATTCAAGATAAGCTCTGGTTACTGATATGCAATTGGCAGATCACAAAAACTGCTCGATTTTTCTTTTTTTTTTAGTTTTCTAGTTCTTATACTTCATACTTAAAAGGATTGGAATAAAAAGCTGCTTAAGATATACTGCTGATCTGAAATAAAAATCAGCCCGGTTTTTTGTCATTCGAACTCAGCAACAAAGGTATCATGATCCAAGAACTCTTTGATATGCCAAAATGATAGTTAAACGCACTCAGTTTTTTGTTGATGATTTGTTGAGATGCTCATTTTAATAAAATATAGTTTAGTACTTGATGGTACAGCCTTTGGTATTAATCACAGTTTGGTATTGGCCGGTTATCTTGTCGATCAAGCGTGTAGTAGTATGAGTGTAATGAGTTAAAGACTATCTCATTTTTAGCAATTATGCAATTGAGAGGATAGAGTAGTATTCAACTACCTCTTCATATCCGTGTGAGTATTTATATATACTGGCCAATATCTGTTATTGATTTATTTCCTTCTTTTATCTTTCTTCTATTCCCTACTCTTTCTTATAACCTAATGCAAGTAACAATATAAATACTACTTATATATTTCATGTTCTGCCAGTTTTTTTTTTTTTCAATAGTATAGAAGAGCGCTTTGAATTGGACAAAAACTATATGCACAAACAAGTTCGGCTTGAGCCCCTGTAAAGTCACGTGCGTCTCGGTTCGAAATTATATAAATATGATATATAATTATCGTTTTTTAAATTTTTTCAGACTTAGTGTAACAAGACTGCGTGATCGCGTGGACTCATATCTAAGTAAGTGTTGCAGAATCGAAACGATATCTGTCGCACGATGTAACGAAGGTTGTGATGTCTTTTTCAACATGGTCCGTGTTGCTGATGCGGGATTAAGACCCCGTACGATGCAGATATCAACATGTTCCTGAACCTTTTTTTCCTTATGATTCTTTTAGAACTTAGCTTGTGCTCAGTGCTTTTAAGAGGTGCTGTTACAAGACAAAGGTAAAAATCACAGCAACATGTACTAATATACAACAATAGATATAGCTTAAAGGTTTTTATTTAAAAAAGTGATTTAGGAATGGTGTCCCTATAGGGCAAGTTACTCATCACAAAAGGTACATTAAAGAAAGAGAAAACAGATAAAATCAAGAATTATGGTGGACAAAGGAAGGGGCGAGCAGAAAATAGGAGAGGGGAACAGCAGGAAGTGGCAGCGAAGCAGAACAGGCAGTGTTAATGAGTCAGATGATTATGACAGGGCAAAAGTGATTGCAGCATAATAAATATGTTTTTGTTTTTTCTTTTTGTTATGCAGTATTTCACAGACAACATAAAACGCGTACAACAGCACAAAGAGAGGACTAAGCATACTGTACTGCAGCAGCAAGATCAGCAAGCAGCTGATCAGTCGAGGACACAGAAGCAGAGCAAATGGCATCAGCAGCAGTGTTAGAAGGTGGCGGAGCCAACCAGTCCAACAAAAGAGAACCAGAGGTACAGGAAAGAGGATCTTGTTGAACATTTCTTGATGAAACTTTCTGATTAATTTAGACAAATCACTTTTGCTCAAGGCACAATTATCATCATCAACAACACCATCACTACCCACCGCAACAGCCACGCCACCAGCACCGAGGATTATCACACCAGTACCAACAGAAGCAGCAGAAGCAGCAGGAACACCAACACCAGCACCAGCACCAACATAATACAACGTATAATGATTGTATATAAAGCAAGATCAAGGGGCCCAATTAGATAAGTGATATAATAACAATCAAGCAAAAGACAATGCAAACAACAGGATTGTAAGTCGAGGAAGCATAGCTTGACACATTATATCACTTTTACACTGACTCTGAGTTAATTGTACCTGGACTGTTATAATTGCAGTTTCGCAAATCCCAACATGACCATTTCAGAGTAGGTATACATACTAAATATCCAGTTACATATACTCCACATGATGCTATTTGCAAATTGCTAAAAGCAGACAATTGTTTTTTCTTTCTGTTTTCTTGAATTCTAATAATTCAAGAAATGAGAACATACTTACCATTGTATTTTCTCAATTGCATCATTACTAAACTCATTACATTCATACTACTACACAATATGACTGACCAATACCAAGCTGTGGTTGAAGCAAAAAGTGGTCAGCTCTTTCTCTTTTTTTTTATATGTTATTTTGCTAAATAACCTTAACCTTTATCTTACATGGTTTACAGTGCTAATCTATTATGCTTTGAGGGAACTTATTCAAGGATGGAAAGCATGCAATTCTATCTTCAGAAATCATTAAAAAACAGCCTTCTTTTTTTTTTCGGTGTGACTGTATACATTGTATATCTTGAGCAAAAGAAACAGAAATTGTAATTGCATTTGCGTGACACTGGTGCTCATAGCTTAAAAAAAAAAAGGAAAGACAGTAAAAGGACTTATCTCTTTTGCTTGTAGACATGTATTTTGAACCAAGCCCAAATCTGTCAGGAAAAAAGATGAATTTAATCACAATGATATTAAATTGTTCGAAGATACGGATTTGCTATAAAGTGCGACATAAATAAAGCAGTAAACGTAAGCACAATAATCAACATTTGCTTTTTTCCGCGCACTTTATTTTTTTCACTTCTAAGCACGGTTGAATGTTTCAAGGCCCGTGAATGGGGCCGAGTGGCTGTCTGTCACTCCTTCTGCTCTCCTCTACTTCTAGCCTGGATCATTCTAGTATGTCAGTAAGACAGCAGACAATGACTTCATGTCACAAACGATCTTTGTGTTTGGGAAACGCTCATCATTTATTTAAAGAGTGCATTAAAACTTGTCTTCTAAATCTATTATCCGACTCGCGCAGATAACTCGTCAGTGAGTCCGTTTATCTAAATATACTCTTTTTCTTCTTCTTTTTATTCTCTTCCCCCTTTCAGTATGGCTTTAATTACAGATCTAATCCAAATAACAAGTAATCGGTTGGAAGCATGGATGCAGTTGGTTTCACCTCAAATACGTAAGAGAGCTGGCATTATATCCGTGAGCACAGCTGTCATTTTAACCTTATTGTACACCACAATCCAAAAATTCAATCGTCCACCTAAACAATTAAGACATTTGCCTTATGTTAGCTATCTTTCTTTTCTTAAATATTGTTTTCGTGATGATCTGTTTGAGACTTATTCAAAACAAGTCTGTATGCCCTTGTTAAAAGAATCCAATGGTATCTACATGGTAAAAAATCTTACTTTTTTTTTTGTGCAATCATACTCATGTCATACACTGTACTACCTTAGCGTCCTATCGTAGAAGGTTGGTCTATTCAATTAGCAAATCCAGTGGCAGTCAAACAAGTGTTGTTTAAACCAGGTTTGTGAATTTATACATACTCTAGACAGTCTCATTGATTTATGTATAGAGGCTTCGTTTCCCAAAGCACATCGAGCTGTAGGTGCTAAAGGCACACTTATTTCGAAATTCATTGGTGGCCCTAATATTGTATTGCTCAGTGGTGCAGATTGGAGAAGACATCGAAAGGTATAAAAGACAAAAAAAAAAAAGCAGAGACTCATAGGCCAAATTTTAGATTGCTAATCCTGCTTTTCAACGTTCTATGCCCGTCAAAGCATTTGGCAATCTTACCATAAAAATGTACAAAGCAATGGAAGACTCAGGTTCAGATACAATTGACGTTCTTAACTTATTTGAACGATGGACATTAGATGCTATTGGCATCACTGGTTTTGGTAAATACTATCTTTAAAGAAGTCTCTCTCTCTCTTTTTTTTTTCTAATGTATCTTATAGATTTTGATTTTAATGCATTGGGTGATAAAAACAGTCAATGGGTGCGTTATTATGACTCTGTTAAAGATGGCATGAGCCATCCATTTTACATCTTTTTCCCTGCTTTTGATACCAAGTATCTCTATTTACAAAAGAAACGAAAAGAAGTGCATGATAATCTAGACAAGTTTTTACAGAACCTTGACAAGATTATTGAAGATAAGCGAAAACTTGTGCACGAGAACAAGGATACGACGCGCGATGAAGATAAGGATTTATTAGCTTTGATGATTGAAAGTGAATTGAATGAAGAGGGTGCCAAACTAACTAACGAAGAATTACGAGTAAAATAATGTTGACTTCTTGAATTAGTGTTAATTAGTTTTTTTTTTTTTTATATAGAGTAATCTATGTATCTTTTTCTTGGCTGGCCACGATACAACTGCCAATACGCTTGCTTTTACTCTTTATGAATTGGCCATCAATCCTGTAAGTTAATTTCTATTGCTCAATATATATTTATGATTGAATAGGAACTTCAAGAAAAAGCAAGAGAGGAAGCCATTCGTGTCCTTGGTGATGCTCCTCAAGATATTATTCCTACAATTGAACAAACAAAAGAATTGACTTATATTAACATGATTATGAAAGAAGTAAGCTTTTACTATCTTATGGAACCTTTTTAATCATTCTAATAGACCATGAGAAGACATTCTCCTGTATATAATACAACACTTCGTACAGCTCTTGAAGACATTGAAATTGCAGGTCACTTTATTCCTAAAGGCTCTGAATTTGCTGTAGATATTTATAATCTTCATCATAACCCAGATGTTTGGTCTGATCCTTACAAATTTGATCCTGATCGATTCCTTCCTGGAGGTGAAGCTGACCAACAGGAAGGTGTTGCTTGGGCCCCCTTCAGCAATGGTGGTCGTCAATGTATTGGTATGAATTTCAGTTTAGCTGAACAACGCGTTGTTCTCTCCATGATGTGTAAGTTTATCTGTATAGTTGGCCAATTATTCACTTCCCTTTTTTTTAATGATAGTAAGAAAGTTTAAATGGACACTTCCTACTGATTCACCCCATAAGAATGTCTTGAAAAAAAGAGGCATTGCTTGGGGTTTGGTGATTACAAAAGAAAAACTTGATATTACTTTTGAAAAACGATACTAATAAACTCTTTTATATATAAATCAATTTACAATTTACTGTTGGGAATAAGCATCTTGTTCAATCTATTACTAACAATATTTTCAGCATCACGAACAATACGAGCAACAAGATCTTGACAAGTAGGAATATCATCGATCAAACCAAGAACTTGACCAGCTGTCCAGACACCATAGTGAATATCACCTGTCACATAAACTTGTTTACCACGAGCGCCTGCCACTAATTCACGTACATCATCAAACTTGACTTCAGGGTTAAGTTCTCTCTTCTTGACTTCGACAGCAATGTCGTTCTTGAAGATACGAGATGTGTTACGGAATGGACGGAATACAAGTGAAGTAGAGTGTTCGTCTGCCTTGACCATGGCTTCCTTTACATTTTGATGGATAGGTGCTTCCACAGTACACATAAAGCGTGTACCCATATTGATGCCTTCAGCACCCAAGGCCAAAGCAGCAGCCAAACCATGACCATCACCAAACCCACCAGAGGCAATGTAAGGAATAGACAATTTCTTGGCAGATTTAGCCAACAAGATCAAACCGGTGATATCGTCTTCACCGGGATGGCCAGCACATTCATAGCCATCCATGGAGATAATATCAACACCTAAACGTTGAGCAGATAAAGCATGACGAATGGAAGTACATTTATGAAGTACGACAATACCAGCTGCCTTGAACATCTTAATGTATTTACCAGCTATAAAACGTCTTTTTTTAGATAGGTTTGATATAAATAGAGATCAACTTACGGTTGTTACCAGCAGTCTCAACAACCTTGATACCTTCGTCAATAATAGCTTGAGCATATTCTTCATAAGGAGGAGGAGTGATGGCAGGAAGGAAGGTCAAGTTAATACCAAAAGGGTTTTTTGTCATATTACGGCAACGTTTGATTTCAGCACGAAGGTCTGCAGGTGTAGGTTGAGTTAAGGCAGTGATCATACCTAAAGCACCTGCATTGGAGACAGCAGAAGCCATTTCCGCCGTACCCACATATTGCATACCACCTATAAATATATATATATATATATATTCTATCAAACACAATGACTTTATTTACACGGTTTCTATACCTTGAACAATAGGGTGTTGAATACCAGTTAATTCAGTAAGTTTTGTCTTGAAGACCATAGTTAAAGAAAAAAAAAAGAAAAAGAAAGGAAGAGGTATTTTTTTTTAATGTGAAAAAAACTAGAGTAAGCACAAATGCGGGGAAATTAAAATACTTGCTGACTAAAGTGTGATTGCATGTGAATATGATATTTTATCTTCGCCAATATTGAGCCCATTTATGCACTGTTTCCATGATTTGTGGGAATAAAGCATTGACACTTTCTGATATTAAACCACGGAAATAAGCAATAGCCGCTTCTTCAGTTAAATCAAGCCTAAATTTTTCTTGTACCTGTCATTTTAATCAGTCATTTTATATTTGTCATGTTAAATGCATTTACCTTCATCACTGCTTTTTCAGGTTCATTTTTAATGTCTGTGATATTTGCATCGACCATTAAAGAAAACAAGTTGAGAATGAGGTTGGCATTTCTACGCAAGGTTGTGAATGCTGTATAGCAATATTGTTGAAATTGCGCATAATGAGGTGAATTAGCACCTCCCATAGCTTCAATCATTTCTTTACAGAGTTTCATAGGTGGAGGAAATGGTTTTGGATCACGACCCAAGATAAAACCAAAATCAACATGAAACAAATGTCCATCTGGAGAGAGTAACAGGTTATCAAGGTGACGATCACCTACACCTAATAAATAGGTAATCACACAATAACCAGCTAGGTTTGTTAGAGAACGCTCTTCAACAAAGAGAAGAACTTACCACAACTACGAGTATAGGTCTCCATGACTTTGGGATCAATACCATAGACACTACCAGGCACATTACTTGGATGATGTTGGCGAAAGAAACTGAGTACGTTGTTTTGATGATCATTCAAGACAGCAGCAAGTGATTGTGAAGGAATAAACTGCATCATGCCTTGATCCGGACCTGTGGCCATCACTTTATAAGGTGTCAATTTAAGGTCCAAGTTTTCTTTCAATAGTAGCCTGTCCATTAAAGAAATGATCTGAATGACCAATTGGTCTTGTCTCAAATCATCACCGTATTTGAAAATAATAGGGTATTCCGTATTGTCTTTGCATAAAAAGCATATCTTGAGAGGAGCAAGACTACTGTTAAAAATAGTCGATTTGGCTGGATCAATCCCCACAATATCTTTGGATGGATCCAGTAATAATTGAAGTGGATTGACCTTCAGAATAGGTTTCTTGGGGTCATTTAATCTTGATCTAAAATGATCAATCTATTTGATAGTCAATAACAGAGTCAATATCGCTTGTACACTTGCCTTCTTTTGACGAGATTCTTTCATGGTGGCTATTTCTGCTGCTAATTGAGATAATACTTCAATCAGATAACCTTGATTTCTTAATGTCAAACGTCGTTTATGACCATCAGGTATCTGGTCATACATCAGTCCATGATCTTTTTGTTTATACACGCATACCTGTAAAAGGTCTTGGAAATAACGAAATGCCACTTTAGCATATAATTTACGATTATTCAAGTCTTGTAAATCTTGTAATTCAACCATAAGATACCAGTAAAAATAAGTACCCAACACATGATTCTTAATGGCTCTATCAATCAAGAATTGTAACAACGATGAATTATCGAATTCTGCATCTTTATCTTCAACAAATTCAAACTTGAGTGCTTGTACCAATTGTAATAAATACAGCAATAAATCCTACATAATCACTATAAGATATACAATACACTGATTATCACTCACATCATCGTCTGCTTTTCTAAGTTGATTGACAGCATAAGAACGAACAGACTTGTTTTCGAAATCTTTGCCTAATAGTTCTAATGCATCATCTACATTGATATCAGCCCATAAGGGCAATAGATCAACTGCTTGTCGTACTTCAATACTGTCTGTCCAGACAACACATTTTAAAAACTTGGTTAAGGCCTATAGATCCATATAGATATATACATCAGTCTCCCTTTTTCTCTATGTTATATACACATACTCGCTTTTCTCTTGTTAAATAAAATCTAAATTTCCAAACCAAGTCTTTTTCTTCAGGTGTCAATGTCTGTGTGGGAGGATAAGACATGATGCTCTAATACAAAAAAAAAAAAAAAAAAAAAAAAAAAAAAAAAAAAAAAAAAAAAGATCAGTATACATGGAAATTGACATAGACTCACATTTAGTTCATCACGTATGTTGGGATTTGGCTTTAGATCTCGGTCAAGAGGACCATTACGATGACTTCTGACTAAACGACGATGTTTGGCTTCCACAGGGTTATCTCTTTGAAGATCTGTGTCCAACACAAGTACATATTGAGTGGCTGTTCTCTGAGGCATTGTGTCCCTTTGGTCCATGGCATAGATCTGTTGATTCATGGCTGCTTTCATGGCGGTCTCACCTACAGTTTGTCCAGTGCTTGAAAAAGGGCCTGGCAAATCATATTCCATTTCACCATAGACCACAGGGAAATCAAACTTGGGTAGATCAATATAGAGTGCTAAAGCAGTAGATGCAGCAGACAGTGTCTTGTGAATTGACTCAATCTGACGAAACGCCATGACATCCAGCCATTCTTCAGGACGAATATCGCCACAATCATAACGTTTAACAAGCTATGGAAATCAATCAGTATAAACTTTTGTATAGTCTATCCTACTTTTTCTAGTTTGTTCATGTCATTGTCTTGATCTTGTTTGATCTTGCTAGGCGTAGTTGTGTCTCGACTTCCATCTGCTTCACAATCAGGCCAGAGATGTAATTTATGTTTCCCCTTTCGAAGCGTACTAATCAAATGATCAGTCATTACATTTTCATCCTGATAGCCCTACCATTGCTTGCCAAATAATTGAAATGTTGTACCTCCTATAGGTTTTGTTTTACGAGGACCTATCGCATCCCATACGGTGATAGCAAGTTGTGCTGAAGCAGGTAAGTCGCAGTATCGAATAGGTAAAGTCAACCATTCATTCCAACTAAACATGATTAACAAGATCACTTTATTTATATATACCTCCAGTGGTTCTTAAAAGCTTTATAACTTGTCTTGACAGGTACTGTTAGTGGTTTATTATCGCCATAGAGTTGTACTGTCACATAGACATCGGGTAAAGGACTATTCAAAGTGTAAGTAGACACACGTGTTTTATCCACTTGCCTTTCAGTTGACTTCAAGCGATGTTTTCCTTCTAGTGTTGCACTATACAGCATAATAAGCAACATTTTCTTTTTTTATTGAGTAATATTATTTACATCCGAACAGAGACAGGCAACTGTATATCTTTTGTTAAACAATAAGAGAAATCCATGAAAAGAAATGCCAACTTGGAGGATTCAAACACCGTATTTTTAATTCACGCATTGTGACGCTTGCTAGTGATACAGACGATGGTTTTATGTTGGTCAATCTATAAGGTTACTTACTTTGCTCTATTTCTGTTTGAAGTCCAGCATTCAGTTCCGTAAGTTTGATAAGAACATCTAATGTGTAAGAATAAGAAATGCAATAAGAACCTATCACTAGATCATATAATGTTACAAGACCAAAGCTTTTTTTAAGTTTCTGTTTTATATAAAAGTGGCGTGTGGCCCAAAACTAGATAGTCCTGTTAAAATATTGAATAAATTTGATAAATTTGAATCTTTTTGTTCTTTATAATTTGACATGTCCAAGAAATTTATTCATAATTGTCATCATATTTCTCCCAGTATTTATATCCAAGTGTCTTATATTTCACCCCCCCCCTTTTTTTTCTTGGGGGCCATCCCCTATCGGACATGTTTAGACCGAAATTCGCAGAGTTACGGATAGAGAAGGGATGGTTCATGCCACTGTGGCCAGGAAGAAGCAGTCCTAAAAATATAAATGTATACATAGCTGTTCTTAGTTTATTCGTATCTCTCTTTTCATTTTATTATGCAGTGTTCTTAACACAAATTTATCTTTAATTTGATAAATTACTGGTTTCTTTATGTGCGATAAACAATCAAACTGTTTATTGTTATAAAATAATCTGTTGAAAATTTACTTCCTCTTCTTTAAATAATTACATAAGCATACAACAATGGTTGCTTTTTAAAGTGAATGGTATGTTCTTTAGCTATCCCCTCTCTATTTGAGTTCGAACATGTACGATAGGGAGTGGTCCCTAAGAAGAAGAGAAAGGATGGTGTATAAGAAAACCGTTTATATCTTGCTGCCACAGTATTTTGCAGGTTTCACATATTAGTATAATGTTACCACGAGTATGATTTTCTGTCTTGACAGTTATTGCAGACTTTTGATGTACAAAATTCATTGATTGTTACAGCGATCAAACCTCCATCTCTCTCTGTTTTTAAGTACAGGCCAAAGTTCTCCTGTCACCCCACAGCGATTGCCTTTCGACTTCATCATATCTTTGCCGAACATGCCATCACAAAAAACGATCAATGTTACCTCGATTTTTCTTTCGGTATAAGGTAATAGCTTCCACTTATTTTTTTAAAAAACAACATGCTGCTTACTTTTTTGTTGTGCTCGGGACATCTTCCACTTTTTTCTTTTTCTTCTTCTTTTTGCTCTATTATATTTCGAGCTACCATACATCGGAATACCCACCATCTTCTCCGCTGCCTGTCGTCGACTTTGGTATATTAAAAAAAAACCTATCTTTTGCAACAGAGCTGTCATAGAATTCGAAGAATGCATGTATATGATTCAGAATATATTCAACATAAGATGTGTATGCTGTACTGGATGTTACTTGCGTTCTTGGCAATTCCTACATAGCATGCTTGTACAAAAATAATGGCTAGAAATGATATAGAACTGTTTAAATTCATACTTACCCTTCAACGGATCATCTAAATGGACTTCATCAATGCTGTCTTTTGGTTAGAACAGAGAATCCTTTTTTCGCTTTATCAACTTGGAAAGGTAGCGGACGCCCGCTTATTTTCCAATGATAACAGCAAAATCAATAGCACCAACAATTAGAAAACTTATATCACTTAACTTACACAGTTTGTCTCAGAGACATGAAGATGATTACAGCTATACATCCAAACATCAACGCTTATATGTGAATTTCCTTTTCAGTTTCATCTAAATTAGGCAATTTAATTCTCTAAAAGTTGGCTTTGTTTTATCCAGAAGAAAAAAAAAAAACTAACATCGCTGGTAAAAACTGTATATGTACCTTTACATGTCTTTATTCAAGGAATACAAAAAAAAATCTTTGTTGAAGGTCCATCGAAAACAGAGAAGATCATACTTCGGTCCTTCCCGACTCCATGCTAAAAAAAAAGAGAATTTTTTAGCATGTATTCTATGTTTGCAGTAAACAAAAAGAAGACAGACTTCGAGATTTAGTCTCTTTAGTTTCTTGATCATGTTGAACTTTAAAGAAGTTTTAATTGTTTAAAAAGTATGAAATACATTTATAGAAAATCATTTAGTAACGACAACAATTAAAACTTTGAAAATGTAAATAAAATGTGTGTACATCATTCTTGAAAGAGTTCAAAGTGCAATTGAGACCTGGGGTTACTTTTTTTTTTGGGTGTGACAATGCCTTTACCCAACCAAAAAAAAAAAAAAAAAAAAAAAAAAAAAAAAAAAAAGCGTTGACGCAGTGCATTCATTTATATTCAGACAAAAGCATATTTGAGTCTACGTTTTCAATATATATATATATATATATATATAAGAGAGAGAGAGGGAAAAAAAAAGGAAAAAATATTAGGCACTTGGACCCTTTCAAAGAAAAAAGAATGTTTCATTTTAACATTCGGCTCTTGAATCTTTTTCTACGCATGTATAAAAGTAGACAGTCTCTCTTTTTTAAATAAGCTTAAACTTTCTTTCCTTTTTATAACTTCTTATCTGTAAATATTATGTCAGCTACTGACTCACCTCCAAGGGACGTCAAGTTTATTCCAGAAACACCAACTTCAGTTCACTCTTCTGAATCACCTCAGGAACATCACCACTCATCAAAGAAACCTCGCAACTACAAGTACTGGTCTGATGAGGAAGTCAAAAAAATCCTTCACTGGCTTACTTTACCAGAGAATGAGGGTAAATTAGCACGTAATAAGGCGCAAGCATGTCGAGAAGTAGCCAAGAATTTATTTGATGGAGATGAATATATGGCTATCTCCGTAAGATCGAAATTAATGTCACTAGAAAAAGGGTTTCGAGAAGCAGAACAATTAAGGTCTCAACTTCATACAACAGATGAGAGTTTAATTCATGGTAAAGTTTTTCTTTTTTTTTTTTTTTTTTTTTTTTTTTTTTTTTTTTTTGCTTGACTGATAGAAATAGATAAAATGAAGGAAATCAGTAAATTTTATAAAGAATGTAAACAGTTATTTGGTACAAGGAACAATGAAGCTGGTTTTCTACCACCTATTTCAACATCCCCTAATTTGCAACATATGCCTACGCCTTCTTCTTATTCATCTAATTCTTCTCATCGACATCAATCTAGTCCTACACATCATTTACCACCTAGTACAATATTACCCCGTCCAGATTATGAGTCAGACAACAATTTACCGCATCTAAATGAAGATCGTCTAAGAGCACTAAGTATTCCGCCTCATTTAATGCGCCGTGGATCATGGTAAGATATATATATATATATATATATATATATATATACAAATGATGGAAGCTTACACAAATATAGGACACTTCCCCGTGTCGGTGGAGTTGACCTGGCCCCAGTCGTACAGAATGAAGAAGAAGAAGAACTGTTTAGAAAGAAAGAATGGTCCCATGTCAAAGTAGCAAGGTATGCTGCGAAACAAGCATCGTATGCAGCCAAAAAAGCAGAATATGAAGCATTAAGATCAAAACATGAACAGCACAAGATGGAATGTGCTATTCAACTTGCTAAAATCGAACTCGATCGTGATGCTTTATCCGTAAGGAAATTAGAACTTGAATTGGAACTGTCGAAACGAAAAGAGTAAATTTTATTGTTTATATTAAATATTTCATGTTTGATTGGGTCCGAGTATTCGGGACTCATTCATACTCTCTTTATATGCCTTTCTCTTGTCTTTTTAAAAGAATGTTAAATTAAAAAGAGCCAGTATAAACAAGTGTACCCGTTATAATAGGTGACACTGCGCCATTTAAATTAGCTCATTTCTAGAAGATCCCCCTCTTTTTTTTTTTTTACACACGAGCTGAAATAGAAAAAACTCCTATTTAAAATCAGGGAGAATTACACAAATCTGTGTTTCCTTTCATTGCCAATAACTAAGGGTTCTGGAACCCATTATGTAAATCAGATTTGTCATTATAAAAAATTTATATACGGAAACCATTGTCATGTTGGAATTCAATGTCCGTTAGTCCATATATAGCCTTGGGTTAAAGGGTTAGATAGATAGGTTAAACACTTTATGCTAGGAGAGGTAGTACATGAGTAAGCCCATTATTGTCTTGGTTTAAAGTATTGACCAATGTCATTCTTTCATTTTTATATGCATGACATGGAATGTAACTTCTTGTATAAGGACTATAGTCAAAATCCTAATTTGGCCACACTGATTAATTTTGGTAAATTAAGTTTGACTAAACCAAGTTATTAACATTAGGGCGTTTAGTTGTATTTGCATTGTCGTCATGATTCTGAGAAGGAATCCATGGCAAGTGTTTTAATATGGTCAATGTGAGATATATATCTCTCTCTTTACTAGTACAGTGTAACAATGCGTTTTTTAATAGTTATATTGCTATATTGATGTCATTGAGCACTTTAGTTCTCTATATCAAACACTATCCATTGAATAGAAGGACCATCATTAACACAGTTCTGTCTTCTTTCAATCCCCCCTTCCTTCCCTTGATCAATGTATTGCGCCTCAAAATATGCTAAAATAGTGTAACGTTCTTTTATATTCTATTTTCGCTTACAAATACCAGAGAGTTGTAGTCTGTGCGCCCATGGATAATTCAATCTATATAATTTGTCGATAAGATTGTATTACCCCCGAAAATAGCGCTTGAATATATAGTGTATAGTTTTAGTATTTGAACATATAAATTTGATGATTTTTTAAAATTTTAAATTAATCAATATAAAAGGAAATTTCAAAGTGGGAGATCTGAATTACAAGGTTACAGATGGAACAATTAAACATTCCATACACCATTTTAAATTGTCAAGACCTACCTCGGGTTCTTTTTCCATTCTTAGTAGGAGACATGCCTATTTTTTTTTATGATTGGCTTAAACTTTAAGCCAGCAAGAGAATAGATATATCTTTGTTTGTAGGCTAATGAGACTATATTGCTATTAGTTGATAAAACTCCCTTTTTTTTTATTTTATTTTTCAGCTATATTTTCTCGCGCCGTACCCTTTTCATTTGCCGGTTTTATATATATATATATATATATATGTATATGAGTGTGTGTGTATGTATGTGCTACCTACTTGCCATTTGATTTGAATATACACTTTTTTATGAATTGTTAGTAAAAAAAAGATGAATGCTATAGCGACCAGTTAACTCAATATCTCTGGACATTCATGTTATCATTGTATAATATAACACATCATATTTTGTACGTTTACTCTATCTTTAATAAGAATAATAAAAAACATTGGTTTGTTTGACCAACATGTCAATTTTCAGAAGGTTATTTGTTTCTGGTAAAAATTAAATTGTTCCTCTTTCATTTTGTCTATTATGATCACAAATGCAAAAATTTTACTGTTAAAAGTGGTTCAGTACACTCAAATCATGATACTGCAGTATATCAAAATTTAATATGTAGGCAATATTTTCTCAATTAGCATCCAATGTGAGGTTATTCTCTTAAGGACACTATAAAAAAAAAAGGCTTATTTCATTTTTATTCTGTGAAATGATTGGCTTCTTTTATTCATGCTTTTAGATTGTCAATGCACTTTCGAATACGCGTTTTCCTTGAATAATTGAATCTCAAACTGATGTTGAAAAAATAAGAATGATGTTATTATTATTTATTTTATTCTTTTATCACATTCTACTATGGCCTTAAAAAGAATTCAAAAGGTATAAAGTGATACAAATAACGCGTTATAATATTGCCTATAGGAATTATCAGACTTGACTAAAAACCCACCTGCTGGTATTAGTGCAGGTCCTATTGAAGAAGATTTATTTCATTGGCAAGGTAAGTTATGAGTCATGTCACAAGTCATCTCATTTAGTTTATTTTTAGGTGTATTGACTGGACCTGTAAGTAATCAAACACAATACACTCTATTCATCTTTATAAAGCAAGGGACACCTTATCAAGGTGGTCATTTTAAACTAGACATCACTTTCTCTGCTGATTATCCTTTTAAACCACCCAAGGTAAAGAAAGTAATAAGATGCGCGTCATCTGATGAGTGTTAGATCAAGTTTACTACCAAGATTTACCATCCCAATATTGATGACGATGGTTCTATTTGTGTTGATCTTTTGAAGCCAGATATCTGGAAACCTGCTACCAAAGTAGCTAATGGTAAGCATCTATATCTATGATAAACAATGTACATTCATACAGCCTAGTTTTACAAGCACTTTCTGGTTTATTGCAGACACCTAATCCTGATGATGCACTTGTTGCTTCTATTGCTGAAATGTACAATAGTAACAGACCAAAGTTTAACAAAATTGCAAAGGAATATGTAGAAAAGGTAAGATATTTATGTATATATATATAAAGAACAATAAGGGAACTCATGTTGTGTGTGTGTATTATTAGTATGCATCTACTCCTTAATCATGTCATATATCATTGCTTGTAAATAAAGGTATAATAAATAAAATAAGCCTAAGTAAATGTGGAGAACAAATCATCACTTTTGATAAAATCAAGGCCACGATGCTTTTCTTTTGTCTCCTCCGAGATAGAACCCACATCATCTACCATCACAAAGTATTGAAAAGACTTGTAATAGTAGCGTAAAATCTTGTCCATATAATCCACAGCATCCAGATTTTCATTTTCAGCAGGCCAGAGACGCATGACTTGTATGTCTCCTTTACTTAAACCGACAGTGATGGAAACAATCGAATTTTGTACTCTATCATGATGTATAAGTCTGTTGTGTATATATGTATGTATGTATGTATGTATGTAGTTTTTACCTAGTGGCAGATTCTCCGTCTTGAATGGCTCTGGTAAAATGATACATGAAGTTATGAGGAATGATCAATTTCCATTCACCATAGACTACAGGAAAACTATTAAACTAAAAAATATCAGCCTATATGTATGTATATATCATTTTACCTTGCTAATGGATTCAGATATCTTTTCAAGAATACTAGGATTATCAATCATGTTCTGTATGTCTGTTGTCACAAAACCACCTGTATTAATAGGGAAAATAGGGCTAGGAGGTATCATGTCTGGATAAGAAAGATCTGGTGCACCAAATTCCCATATCTGTGTTGAAGGTTCTCTTTTGTGTTTAAGCAGATTACGAGAGAAGGCTACTTGATTAGCACGATCAAACTAGAGGAAATCAGTCAATTGGGATCCATACTATCTCATTTTACCATCATCACATAAATTGGCTTAGAAGGATCTGGTGTTGCTGGTTTTTTGTAAGCCTTATTTCCATTTACTACGCGCATTAATAATTGAGCAGCATCTGATTGACCATAGACATGAAATTTAGAGGTTTTTCTCAAGTCAATTAACTAAAGAAGCAGAGTGAGTGATTTGAGCATCAAGATTCTGTTACTTGCTCTTTTATCAAACTTCAGATAGTTGGCAACACGAAGCCATGTAAATTCTTCGTCAGGTAAATCAAGGTCATTGAATTCAACATTTGGTTTAGGAGGCAAATGCTCTATAAAGATAGCACACAACTGTGTATAAGGAGAACTTGCCAGGTCAATATCCTTGGGTAAGTTTTTTAGTTTCTTTGCATCCGCTTCAGACAAGACAACCAATGCATGTGTAGGGGCATCTATATGGCTCACAACACCCACCTAAAGCCATATAAGTAAACAGATGTGTATCGTATAGCTTACCATTTCATTCACTTGTAAAAAGCTCTTGAGTTTACTGAGCTCAATCAATCGATCTTTAGCAGTAATATGTAAGAAACTAAAAGGACGATCCACCAAGAATTCATCCAATCGCTTTAAACATAAAAATGAACTGATCTTGACTGTATGGGCATCATCACCGCTTATTTCAATCAACTTTCTATAGATCATGTTAGTCATTCAATAATCAAGAGCAGGTATACTTGCTGTATTTTGAGTTGATGATAGCAATGCTGCTTGCCTTCTATTTGAACAGAAGAGATGAGTTTATCTCCTTTTTTGAGAACATAGTTTGCTGTAAAGCGTGTAGGAAATGCTGTTGAATTCTGAATACGCAATTTACGTTGATTGTCTGCAATCAGACGAGGATCGGGTCTCGAAGTCTGTCGTCGCATCGGCAATGCTTCTGGCTCATTCGGTCTTGATCGCGGATTCTGATCAGCAGGACGAGGAGTGGTCGAAGGAGGTGAAGACGAACGTTGGCTCATAGAAGGAGAAGAAGGTGATGAAACGGAAGGCGTGTTGGAAGAAGGTTGAGTGACGGGTTCGGAAGTAAAAGTAGTTGCATTGAAATTGGACTGTTTTTGTACCGTGTCAGATGGATCAGGTTCTCTTTGCGTAGGAGAAGAAGGTGATTTGGCTTGATTCGTTAACCTTTGTGTAGCTGTAAATTTAGGTATGGACGGTAATTTGCCTCCTACAGATTGTCTCAAAATTTCTGTAATGTCCAGTTCTTTCTCTATATCAGTAAAGCTATTCTTGAATCATACGCACTTACTGGATACAGGATTCGACAAGGAAATAGGTCGTTTGAGATTAGTAAACGAAGGTTTATAGTCTTTGGAAATTCCTAATTTTGGTTTGGCTGCTTTGGCGTGATTACTTGTCAGAGATTTAGTGCTGGAGGATTCTGAGGGCAGTTTATGCTCTGAGGAACCTATGATGGTCAATGCTCTCTTTGGCAATGCTTTTTCAGTAGGCGTAGTTCCATTTGTCTGAGGACCATTTGACTTTGGTTCTTCATTCTTGTTTTTAGCTTCTTCCTCTAGTTTTCTGCGCTTTGTGGTTGTGTCTTCATCTTGTGTGTCTTTAGGATGAACGTCTGTTCTTTTTTTGTTACCAGGTTCTCCCTTGACAGCATGCACAACAAACGTATCCTGTTTCTTTTTCTTTTTCTTAGCCTGTTCATCCTGTCTGTCAAACAAATCCTTTTTCTTTTTGTCTTCTGCCATGGCTTTTCGCTTTCGATTTGTCTCTTCCATCGCTTGCAAGTCATGACTTTCTTCCAACAATTCTCGTCTTCGTTCCTCTTTTGTCTTTTTCTTTTTTTTCCCCTTCTTATCCGGTTCTTCTTCAATTTTTTCATGTACTTCTACAAGGATAGGGCTCTTGTCTTTTCCTTTCGGATGACTTGATTCCCCTGGCTGTTGCCTAGATGATTCTTTTGGTTTCTGTTTCTTTCGGTTGGTTGTGTCTTCTATTTTTTTCTCTCCTCTCTTTTGAGAAATTCTTCCAGAATGGTTGGGCAATTGAGATTGTGTTCGGGTTCCCAGGTGTTGCTCCTATAGGAAAAAAAATTGAGTTAAGGAACAAGCAGATTCTTTTATACACTATACAATATGAGTGGCACGAAAGTATGAGCGTGTTTTACTTACTACTCTCGTCCATAATTTTTCCATTTGATTTCAAACATGCGTACACCTGTGTCTGTGATGTACATTTGAACAATCTCTTCTACCTCGTAATAGAAATCAGCATCGTCGTCTTCAAACTCTTCAGAGACGGCTAGTGTTTTGTTTGTTTCGACGAGTTGTTTGTTTTCGTCTGGGGTGTCATTTTGAGTGTTTTCGATGGTCTTGTTCTCCATGATGATCGACGAAAAAAAAAAAATAAAGGGTTTAATTTTTTTTTCTGAAAAAAAAGAATGAACTTCAACGCGTCATAGTCAATATGACTGTATTGAAACACTAACTTATTTAACAGTTTCTATCCATGTATCTCTCTTTAGGTTGAGATCAACTTTTTTTTTATGTTCCTGAATAAATTCCCTTGGAAAGCAAACTTTGTGGACAATTTTATTCTCAATGTTAAAGTATTGCTTTCTATATTGATAGCATAATCCTAAAGGCAGGTAACATTGTGTATTCTTTTGTGCTCTGTATGACTTATGATCAATACAACAAAAAAAAGGCTTTAGTCAGCCAAGAATGGCACTGCATGACTTTATGTCCTCTTTTGTATTACAATACAAGAATGGTACTCAATATCGTAGAAGAATATACTATAGTTGAGGTACGAAAAAGACTCTTTCCTCTTTATTGCCAAGCTTACATATGAATGAAATCAAGGGAACCAATTCAAACTATGGTAGTATCCATGCAACAAACTTTTTTTCTTCGGAGTGTAAATACAATATCTTGAAGGCAAGAAATTTTCTCTGAACTGATAAGTAAAATCGGTTTTTGCTTCTAAAATGCTAGAAAGCAAGCTCCTTTCTTTTTGGTGTCTTGATGAAAGCTAGAGATACCTACATTATGGACATTCTGATGTAGCAATGATAGGTTTTTTTGTACAAAAACTCTGAGAAAAGTCAATATTTTGTTCTGGAGGTTTTCTGCTCCTAAACTTTTGTCTTTGTAGTAAAATTGACAAGTGAAAGCAATAGTTAGATGATTCCAGTTTTTGCGCTTGTTTTGAGTATTGAAACATGTAGATAGCTCCACATTTGATGTCACAAAGTCCAAAAGAAGACAATAGTTCGGAAATTAAATCTCGGTCAAAGGGGTTTATTTGAGAAAAAATACAAAAAATGGCCATTTTGACCTTGTTGATTTTTTGATCCTCAATTGACTCCAATCATGTTCATAGATTAATAAACAGTGTCTGGTTAGTTTCCAATGCTTATTTGTGCTACCATGCGCCTTGTTGCCTTGTGTTGTGTGACTTAAAAAAAGGGATTTTTCACGCCTTTGTCAGTATTAGATGTGATATAATGGCAAACTACAAGCTCACATACTAAAGGCACTATACAATGTAGGCCAAGAGAATTCTGGTATATGTGTTCTGATAGATAAAGTGATCATCATGAGGTATTTCTTGATAACAGATGGTGTCGAAACGATAGTCCCTTTTTTATTTATTACTGTTTCAATGTACTTTTAGACCGTCAAACTACACAATTGCAATACATTTCTTTTTCAAAACAATGTTATGAGTTCAAAGCATGTCTAAAAAGACATGTACTCATTTGCCAGAATTTTGTTTTATGTGATGATGTTTAGCCATGTCTGTGCGTGCATATTTTGCTTCTTTCTTTACTTTAAAGGAGATATAGCTAATGTACAGCATTAGTGTATTATTACAGAAGATGCTATAGCTAAGTAGATAGAGCATGTCAATCATTAAATAAGGTTCAAATTTGATTTCAACCATGTACATTGAAGCTTATTGTTTCTTCAAGGCAAGCATAAAAATGGTTAGCTGTACAAAAAGAGGTGATTGGCTGAGCTTCTTTTTCTTTGAATTACAGTCGGGCCTGGATCGCCATGGCATAAAAATGCGTTCTTCTCTAAATCAGGATTTTACTCAGAGACACACATTTAAGAGCAACGATGCGTATATACATCTTTTGTAAAACAAAACAGCATCGTCTTTTGGATTCGTGATAGATCATCATTTGTCACGTCACATCTACTTTTTTTTTTCGTAAAGATCATCATCTACTCTATGTATATGGTATTGTGTGCCATGATGGATTAAAATGTCAGGTATTCAAGTAAGCCAAAAGAATGTACCCCATGAAAAAGTCTTTTAAACATTCTCTCTCTTTCTTTTCACATGTCCTGTGTGAAGTTCCTTCATCAAAGCGTGACGTTGACAGATGTTGCGGAGATGCAATTAAATCTCATTGATAATGGATTTCACATTTCCCCAGGTTTTCTTTTTTTTTTCTCTCTCCTTTTTTTTCTTTATACAACTCTTAATTCATTAATGATGCTTGCCTCCACTACTTCACGCATTGCTCTTCAAGTAAATTTTGAAAAACATAAAATAAAAAACATGACTAACTCAAACTCTTTCAGGCACGCGCTACTCTTGCTAAGCGTTTCTATGCAACAGGTGCTGGTGTCAACACACTTTTATATGTTGAACACAAAGATGGTGCTATCAGCGGTGCTACCTTGAACGCTTTGACTGCTGCCAACAAATTGGGTGGTTCTATCTCTGCTTTAGTTGCAGGTGATGCCCCTGAAGGTGTTGTGAAGCAAGTTGCCAAGTTGACTGGTGTTTCCAAGGTATTGACAGCTAAAGATGCTGCTTATGCCAACACCATGCCTGAAGATATTGCACCTCTTCTTGTTGCAGCTCAAGCACAATTTGGATTCACCCATTTAATTACAGGTCACACTGCTACTGGCAAGAACATCTTTCCTCGTGCTGCTGCTCTAATGGACGTTGCTACTGTCTCTGATATTGTTGCTGTTGAAAGCGAAGATACTTTTGTTCGTCCTATTTACGCCGGTAAGGAGATAATGAAAAAGGAAAATGGATACTGATGTCATGTCATCTAGGTAATGCAATTGCCACTGTGAAATCAAGCGATAAAGTAAAGGTTGTTACTGTTCGTGGTACTGCCTTTGAAGCTGCAGGTACCAAGGACGACGGTGCTGCTGAAGAAGCTGCTCCTTCAGCTGAAAAGCCTGCATTAACTCAATGGATCAGTGAAGAAATCCAAAAGAGTGATCGTCCTGACCTTGGTTCTGCTAAGCGTATTATCAGTGGTGGTCGCGGTATGAAGAATGGAGAAAACTTCAAGATGTTGTATGATTTGGCAGATAAGTTGGGTGCTGCAGGTAATTAGATCACGTGGTTGTGAGAAATGTAAGATGATTAACTGTGGTAGTTGGTGCCTCTCGTGCTGCTGTTGATGCTGGTTTTGTTGATAACTCTTTGCAAGTTGGTCAAACTGGTAAAATCGTTGCTCCTGGTAAGTTTTGTTTTAGCCACACATAGCATGATTTAACTTTTTTTTTTTTTTTTTTTTTTTTTTTGTATACAGAGCTTTACGTTGCTGTTGGTAAGTGACCAAAGAGTCGTGGGAAAAATAGCTAAACAGGATGAAATATAGGTATCTCCGGTGCTATTCAACATCTTGCTGGTATGAAGGACTCCAAGACTATTGTTGCTATTAATAAGGATGCTGATGCTCCTATCTTCCAAGTTGCTGATTATGGTCTTGTTGATGACTTGTTCAAGGCAATTCCTGAATTGACTGAAAAGGTCAGCCAATAAGTCATCCCATGCATCGTAGAAGACTTGTAATTTTTTTCTCTGTAAATTCTCCTTCCCCCCTTTCTCTTTTTGAATACCACATAAACCATCGTTCTTATACTTCAAACGGGGACATCTTTTTTTCTATTGATCGGCCAACTAACGTCTTTAACTTGATTGAACATCCTTTCCGAGAACATCGTTGTTTATGAAAAGAACGCATTAAAGAATTGATTCGTTGAGCATTACTTTTTCTTTCTGCTAATGCTGGTTTATGTTCATTGACCAGAGCATTGTCCGCTTTTAGAATCCAGCGACAAGCTTTGAACCAAAAGAATGGATATTCATGTAAGTTGAAGTAAATTTCCTCCAATGCTTTAGTACTTTTTTTCATGCACAATTATTCCTTTAGGTTTAAGGAAATAAACAATTTGGTATTCTATGACTTGCTCATGTAACAAAGACATTAGGCAAAAAAAAAGTTTCAATGATGAAGTCTTTCTCTATTTCTTCGACTTATGAAGGTAGCATAAACCCTGTTTATGCCCTCATGAATGCTCTAGATATCTACAGACAGTATCTATTAGGGTTTATAGTGCATTTAGAGTTGATTTGGAAAAAAAAAAGCGAGTTGTAAAATTTGATCAAAACGACCTTTCGACCAGAGAGAACTACTCATGAAAAAAGCTCGATTTGACAACTCTTAGTGTTTTTTTCGACGCTATGGAGCGAAAAATAGAGCTATCAACAAGCTCAAGTACTCAAAATGAATGCCAGAGGCTCTGGTTTTTGGTGAATATGTTTACGTAACAGTTATACTATAAACTGACATGATATGAGCGAAAAACCTCGTAAACATTTTTGCCTATTTGTTCAAGATTTTAACAGCAAGATTGCTGTGTTCCTTACATCAATATACAGCTTTTGTCACTAAGCCAAAGCCATAAAATTACGTCTTTATGCAGTTCTAAGCAAAAGCTTGATTTTTTTTTTAATAAAAGCTTGATTTTCATGTTGAATTACTAATTCTTTTTCATTCTTCCTTCTTTCTTTCTCATTATGAATTTCAGTTTTGAAGGCAACTATAAACCAAGACGCAACATCAACTTGGGTAGTGTTAGAAAAGTCGATGATAAGAAGTCGCTTATGGTCGAAGCTCAACTTGAAAGAAAACAACGAGAACAAGAGCGTCTTCGTTTAAAGAGTGCAGAACGTATTCAGACAAATACAATGCTATCTTTGATGAGTATCTTATTGGTCCTATCGACATGATTATCTTGACTCGACAATTGCTCTTATTTTATCAGCCTGAGAAAGACACAGCTTATTTAGAACAATACGCAGCTCAACTCACAGTGATGCCTACAGGTGATTCTTGGGTCTGGCTTGTCTGTCTGTTGATTAAGAAAGTACTTTTACCCAGCATAAAACATCCTTTTGCATCTCACCTATTTTCTCGACTCTTGAATGACCCTGATCATCATATCCGCATCATGACATTTACGCTCTATCATACGCCTGTCTTCAAAACTATCATAGATCAAGGTAAATAGAAGCAGACAAGAATAAGCATTAATATGGATAGATTCAGACTCTTCTGATGATGATGACGACAATGATAATGATGATGTGGTTATGCAAGAAGCAAAACAACCTTCTCTAGTGATATCACCTCTTATTTTAGCTCGTCTTGAATCCCTATATGCCTCAGATCGTATTCATGAACTTCTTTATTCGTTTATTCAACAACAACAATCAGGCATTGAATCCATTGCCAGTTTCTTTAATACACTCATGTTACGATGGCCCTCTAAAAAGGACAGTATTCTCAACACACTTCTATATAAATCTCGACAAAAGACAGCCCAACCTTCAATGATCCATCAATTCATGCTCCACTACTGTAATATCGTTTGAAAGTGTTTGAATAGTCTCAGTTGCTATTTAAATAAGAGGAACGATAGACACTTTGCTTAGGCTTCACACTTTGTGCCAATTGCTCATTGGACAGGTTGGAGCCTGATCTACTAGCCTTATCTTTTGTAATCCCAATACGCTTATTAGGAGGGCGGCCTGATCCATGATTACGACGAGGACAATCACGGCTGATATGACCACGCTCATTACAGTTATAACAACGACGAGTATTAATGAGTTCCATGCAATCTGCTCGACAATGGTAGGATTTTTGACAAAAACGACAAAATTGGGGCATTTCATCCCACATAAGCAGAAGCTCACGATCAAATTCGGGCCAATCCACTACTCGACTAAGTTGTTCAGGCTTAGTCTTGTGAGGATTGTTTAGGTCAAGAACGACGTAGCCCTGGCCGAAAAATACAGCACCATCCATATGAAATCCTAGATCCAGGGCTTCACCAAAATGGGAAAAACGTTTGGTCATTTGCTCGCGAAGAGTTGAAGGATGAATCAAGGGGGGTCGTTCAACCTTAACTCGAGCAGAAAAAAAAATTGTGACCATATTTGCTAGAAACTCCATATGAATTTTGGGCTCAGGCGGGATCACGAGAGCCCATGAAGATGAAAAAAAGACAAACCTCTATCAGGAATTTTTGGAATGACTCTTATGTAGGTCTAATCCAACTGAAATCAGGTGAGGTCATGCCTAAGTACTTCCAGCAAAAAGAAAGCGGGTCTATTAAGATGAAAAAGATGACTTAATTGGAGCATTGGCTTCAAATTTGCGTTCAAAGCTTCTTATACATTATGAATGGCTGAAAAGAGGCCTTTTCCAGTTGATATTGACTAGTATGTGTTTGCTTATTCTTACACCATTCGATACTCAATTTATTTTCGAGTAAGGTCTGCTATAATACACAACGCTTTTGAGAACAAAGAGGGTAGCTTTGAGCATAAACCAACAATGGATGTTTCGCAAGAGGGTTCAGTATTTCAACACCGACACGTTTTCGGCTTGTTCAGCACGCTTAAAATTACCTATGCAACTAAAAGTGCACAAAGCTATCATGAACCTCAAAAAGACGCATTAAGTAAAGTTGTAAATCCAAATATGGTGAATTGAACGGTGTAAATAACTATTTAAGTGAGACAAATTAAAAAATTTCTAGTCCTTGATTCAAAAACAACAGATAAATACTAAAAATCAAGTTGATCAGCAAGTACATCTTTAGCATAGAAAGTTTATTGTGATAAAAAGGGGAGTGTTTTTTCGTTACATATTGTTCATTCACTGGAGTTGAACATAGTTTGCCGGGAACTAAAAAAACAAACAATATAAGCGTTTTATGTACTTTGTTGTGTTATGACTACTTACAATGCCCTGTCTACCATTCAACTTCCCTGTCCACCAGTCATCCTGGCTTTCTGTCTTCTGCACAATTACAATTGTATCCCCTTCTTGAAAACTAAGATCTCCCGGCTGTTGTCCTTCAAATGTATAAAGCGCTTTAGCTGTAGGTTCTACTGGTTTTCTACTAGGTGGAGGTGGAGGTGGAGCTCGTTTGGCAGCAGTTTGAGTGGCATAGTCATTATGATTTGTATTAATATTGTTGTAACTATTATTAGAATGTTGATTGTAAGATGAGTTATAATTTGTGGTGACAGGTGATTTAGTATCTTGTCCATAAGTATTGGGATAAGAAGGAGCCTGATAAGAAGGAGGCGATGTAGGTGATGTATTATAAGGCTGCTGTTGAATCTGTAATGGTGCACCATAGCCACCTATTTGTTGACGAATAGGTGGAGGCTGTCTAAGCGTACCGGGTGCTGAGATATTAGTACTTTTAAAAGTCCCACTTCGACTGATGGGGCTGGTAGGAGATCCGTCAGCAGAACGTGCTGTATATGTTTGTGTACCCAGCGTATGAAATTTAGCATTCAGTGCTCTGTAAAGGGCATCTGCTTCAGGTGGAGGAGGAATGGTGCCGCTTAACAATTCCTTAGCAGTAACACGTTGGCCGTAAAACTTTTCATTCGCATCATTACGAGTAATGACCACAGACCCTTCAAGTGAAACACCAGCAAATAATCCTCTTGTTTTACTGTAAGAATAAATAGCTGCGATGTGCTTTAAACTTGCACTTCCAGATGCTTCTGCATTACGACCAATGGGACCAGCAGCAACTATGCCAATAAGTTATGCTATGAGTAATCTGGCCATCGACACTTACCAGACACATTGCCACCTAGTGTTATGTTGCCGAGTTGACTAAATGTTTTTACAGCCTCCTTTGTGTTCAAAACGAGAACAAAATCTGTCAACTCAGCACCTATAGTGCTGTATTAAGACGATGTGAACGCTAACCTTATCACTTTACCAATTTGTCCACCGGCACCAATACCACCTGTACCAATACAAGAAGGGGCGGACCAACCTATCATCATACAATGATATCATTTTAAACACTGACTTGTAACACTTTGCTTTTTTTCTTACCTCCTTCAGGCAATCTAAACTACTTGGTCAATATCGTTGTAAAACGAAAAGAAAATCATGCTTACCTTGCCACTACAATGCCACTACCAGCACGGCCAGAAAACAAAAATCCTGCTTTGAGTACAGTATAGATAGCTAAACCTTTGGCGTTCATCAAAATGTTTTCAGGAATGATTTTATCCATTCCTTGTCCAGGATCTATGTATGATATGAATATGTAATTCTAGCCTTTTTTTTTTTTTTACCTATAAATCCATTCAAAATCTTGGCAGCCTTTTTGCATTCACCTAAACACGCTTTAATATCTAAAGAAAAAGTGTTCACTCACCAGCTAGACTCGTTGGAATAGGCGAATTGATAGAAGAAGAAACTCCAGAAGCAAAACTGTTTATTTTTTTCATTATATAAAACGAAAGAAAAAGAAATATTATTTTTCTTGTGCATGTTCAATTTCAAATACCAGCCGCTTTCGGTAAAATAATTAACCATCTACATTATGCGTCATGACGTTTCTTTGAAAAGAGCGGGCTGGCTTTACACACACTATTTCCTTATTTAGTTTTATACTTTATTGTATCATAAACCATCTAAAATATATAAAATACATGCTAAAAATAAAGAAGTAGAAGACATTTGATCTCTCAGATATGAATTGAATCAATAAAGAAAACAAATAGTCAAATAAACAATAGAAGCTGATTGAGTCAAATCAACTATTTCTTCTGTATCAACTTCAATCGCATCCTTCATGTATATGAATGATATACACTCAGTAGCGATGCTTGACCATTTTAAATGGTAGAAATAAAATTAAAAGAAATAACTACGCAAAAACTTTTTTTGACTTGCATCAATGCCTTATTTTTTTAAAACTACGCCAACGCTTACTCTTCTTTTTTTTCGCTCTTTTTTCTTCTTTTGAGCGTAAATAGTGTTTAATCTCTTTTGTACAATGAACGCAAACGCACCCAGTTTTGTACCAAACTCTTCACATAAAAATGATAGACCTTCTCAACAAAGAAAAAACAACAGCCAGAAGAAACGCCCGAGTAAATATCAAATTTTCTCTATTTAATTAATAACAATAATAGATAAGAAACAGAACTCGAGAAATAGCAGTAATCGAGAATATAGCCGAGTAATAGACAACTTTCAAGATATGAATTTAGCCCAAGTGGCTCAAAAAACAGGAGGATCCGTTGATAAAAAAGGACGCGTTTCTCTTAATCATCTTTTAAGCTTTTCTTTTCCCGAGAGACAAGAAGCAACCCCTTCACCACAGCGCAAAACCAAAGTAGTCACATCCTATCAACCTTTCAACAAAGAAAGATTTATCAATGCAAAGTAAAACGAGAGAAAAAAAACGGAGCGATACATGTATCTAACCTTAATTTGACAGTTTCCGTTTTATGTTGAACCCAACAGGCAATTATATGTTTCAATTAGCTGATCCAGACACCAATTTTGACTGGGATACCATTGAGCAAGTGGTAATGTTTACTCTTTACGCATGGCATTTAATAACCTATTACATAGCTTATTTCTTCTACAGAAGCACAAGCTTGTCCTATTTGTTTGTCTCCTCCTACCGCAGCTCGTGTGACAAAGTGTGGCCACATTTACTGTTATGCTTGTATATTACACTACCTCGAGCTTCGAGAAAACCCTAAACGATTATGGCGTAAATGTCCTATTTGCTGGGACTCTATCTATGAAGCTGATTTAAAACCTGTGCGTATAATGAAGCCCTTTGCAGTCTCGGACCATGATACCAACAAACATGCTTCTTTGGTTAGTGGTGTCACAGAGGGCGATCGTGTGGACATGTCATTGATTCAACGCCCTCATCATTCTACATTAGCATTTCCATTATCTGATACTTGGCCATTACCTCCTAATGTAGTCTCAAATTACATGAAGCCAGATACACCACTGATTCCATGGCATTTCACACCTCATGCCATGACATTTGCTCGATTCATGTTAGCAAGTCCTGACTATTTAGAACAAGAATACAACAGAGACTGTGCAGAGTTGAATGAAGCCCTATCAGACGCTCATGGCTGGGGATCTGCAGAAGAACTTCCATTCATTCAAACATGCATTGACCTGATTCGAAAAAAGATCAAGTCATTACGTCAACAAAAGACAAAGGAATTGGAACTAGCGATGCATACGTCAGATATGATGTTTGAAGCTGTAGCTAAATATTCTAAAAAGCATGGTAAAAGTCCACAGGCAGTTGTTCAACAAGACGAAGGGCCTGAAGCTTATCATCAAACGAGTAATATGCCAGAGACACTTGTTCGTTCATCGAATGACAATACACCAGCATCAGATTATTTCTTTTACCAAGCTGTGGATGGTCAGCATGTTTACTTGCACCCTCTTGATATCCGTATTTTAAAACATGAATTTGGCGAATACAATCAATTCCCTTCTACGCTACAAGTACAAGCAACCAGTGTTCAAGAATCGACATTAACAGAAGACCTTAGAAAGAAATGTAAATATTTAGGACATTTGCCCCTTGCTTGTGATGTCACTTTTCTAGAGATTAATGTCAAGGACATTGTATCCCCTGAAACGGTTCAAGTCTTTGATCGTAAGTCATCTGAAGCTACATAGAAAAACTAACACATATAATAGAGGAATTGACGGCTCGAGTGAAAAGAAGAAAGGACAAAGAAAGAAGAGAGGATCAAAAGCGAAGGCAAGCAGAAGACAAGCAAAAGTTGCAGGCAGCAAAAGAACAAGAATCAGAACGTCGTATGCTTGAAAACGATCCATTCTTTTCCATGTATAAACCTGCTTATTCACAGGAGGAAAGCGAACACCACTTAGTACAAGCTTTACAAGAATCAGCAGCAGCAACACCAGTAGAGGAATACGAAGAAGAGGAAGAAGATATGGCCTCCTCAACTCATACAAGCCGAGGTCTACTTACAGTTTGGGGAACAAAACAAGTGGTTTCTAGGGAAGAAGAGCTTATGATGGACCAAACTCATGATTGGGCTGACCATATTGTCATTACAAAAAGCCATCGAAAGAAAAAGGGCAAAAAACATTAAAGATATATATATATTTTTGGTTACACGCACATTTGATTTATTTGATACAAAGGACAAGTAATGAATAAACAAGAAGTCCAAAAGAACTCCATGAGATGGCATGTTTTGTTGCTGAATTGGGTGTTTTTTCATAATTGTCGTCAGCATGCTTGACAACGATGGCTTCTTGATAGGGATCACCTTCTTTATAGTCTTCATTCACAATACCCATCGCTTTCAAATCTTCAAGGGATTTACCTTCAAGAGCAGCTGCCTTACTCAACCCTTTGCCTGGATAAAGTACTTCTAAATGTTTTGAGAGGTCTTCAGCAGGCTCCATCAATAATTTCCAAGAATAAGAGGATTTCATTTGACCACGAGGACAGCCCTTATTACATGTATGGTAACAATCATCTTCTGGCCAAGCAGGTGGCGTAGAAGCATTTTTATGAGACCAGCCCAAATCGAGTTCGCAATCAGTATAAGGCTCAAACTGATTAGCACCATAGAAATCAATCAAGCCAGCAATGGCACCTGTCCAAGCAGCATTGTAGTCCTGTGTCACTTCAGAGTATTCGTAATTGGAGCGATCATCATACCAAGTATCGTCAATGTTAGGTCCGCCTTCAACGGCACCGTAGAGAATAAATCGTTGCTTTGTCTTGGACTCCGAGAAATCGCCTTCTACCTTATCTTGAAATTCGCCTCGCATGGGATAGTCAATATAAGAATTGTAAGATGATTTATGGTAGGGTTTTGTAGGATAATTATCACCAAACCCAACGACCCAACTGTAACCGTAATCACCTAAAGCATAGTTGATTTGTTGAATAGCAAAAGTTGTCATGGCCTTGGCTTGTTGTGACTCATAACCAACAGCTTTTGCAAAAGCCAGCATCAAGAAGGCCACGTTGCCAGAATAACCCACTGAACCCCAATGATCGATATAGGCTAGTCCACGAGGAGTAAACTTGACAATTTGTTTAGGATTAGGCAAAAACTGGTTGAAATATACCATGGCATTCTTGTAGTATTTGGGATCCTTGGTAATCGTATAGAGCAAGACGTGTAATCCACCGCCTTTTTCATCCCATGAATACTCGGTCCATGAATCTGTAGAATTCGTGTACCATTTATTAGCTTCTTCTAAATAATAAGGATCTTTGGTGGCTGCGTAAATCCATGCTGCACTCCAGGCAAGCTCATCTTCGTAGCGTGTAGAAGGATACCAAAAAGTAGCCCATTGAAGTGCGTTATCGCGAGAAGTAACATAACTTCCAGGATGATCTGTGGCAAATTTATAAAGACGTTTAGCATGGTTTATAAGCTCGTCAGCGTAAGTAGCATTATGCTTTCGCCAGGAGATAGCAGTCGCAGCCAAGGCAGCACTGTACTCGCCAATAATTTCGGAGGATGGATTATCGGGTGAGATATAGGCTGCTTTATGAGGAAGGCCTGTGGGTACCCATTCCTCAAACTCTTCAGGTGGACCCCAATAATTGAAGTCAACATCCAGTTCAACTGTTTTCGATATAGGGCCAATAGCTGATGTACCTAATTGACCCACGATATAAGTGTCATTGTAATGAGCATTGGTGATATAATCTATAAAAATATTCCGGTCAATGTCAAGTGAAAAAAAACAAGTGTATTTTACCTGCTCCCCATTTCAATAGTTCAAGACCTTCTGCCAGTTCATCCACAGAATTCATAGCGTCTTCAAACACCATGATATTGAAAGCCAATTGAGTCATTGTCCAGCCCAGAGGCAATCCCCATTTCATTGTGTTGGCTGCTTCGTACCAACCACGTGATAAATCTTCACCAAAATCACCTACACAAACCTTACAAGAATCAGATCGCCAGGCAAGTCGTTGATAGGGTAAAACGCCTGATTTTTGAGCATGATAAAACAAATAGCTTTTATGCAATACTTCTGCATAGTCATATTTAGGTGAAGTAGGCGCTACATAGGGCCCTTTCAAAGGTGGTTTTGGTGGATGCATTAAAGGACTACCGGGTAAAGGGTCAGCTCCCGAAAAAGATACCAATGCCACAGCCAATGACAGCCATGAAGCAAAATAAAGTTGCATATTGAATACGAATCAAAGAAAGAGAAAGGAAGAAAAGATAATGTAGATAATGCATTCTTTATACTATCGGAAACATAACAAACTCAACTTCTTTAAAATAATTGTCCGTATAGATGAGTAGTAATTTTTTTTATTATTATTATTTACAATGATTTTTTTTTTCAATAAAAAAATAAAAGTTATTATGCACATAGTGTTTAGTTTGCTACACTGACTTGTCGAACCACACATCTTGAAATATCCATCAAAATTCGAGCAGCCTATGAATTTGATTGGTTTTTAATATATAGAATTAGAAAAAAATTTTTTTTTTTTTTTTTGCTTACCTCTAAAACTTGGTTTTCTTGTTGTTTCAATGACGATTGATTATCTTCTTTTGATTTCTTGTATTGTCTCTTCTTTCGTGGTTCTTTCTTAATTTGTTTTGGTTGCTCTTCTTCCTCTTCATTAGAGGAAGAGGAAGGGGAAGAAGCAAAAGAAGCTAAAGTAGCAGCGGCTAATGAAATGTCATCATTGGCTGCTATTGTTGTTACGTTATTCTTTCTAGCTCGCTTTTTTGTAGTAGAATGACTATTCAAAGGATTTGATCGTTTAACACCACCACTTGTAGGCGTAGTCACAGGACTAGGGTAGTAGTATTGAGCAGGATATTCCTGTTGTTGATAGTAATAAGCATTTGTATTGGCATTTGCAGCAACAGGAGCTTGGAGATGATATCCAGGCAATGAAGAAGGAGGAGGAAGAATGTAGACTTGTCTACCAGGATTTGATGGGCTACTACTGTTAGGCGTAGTTTCAGTCATTGCTACTGAATTTTGGTTTTTATTATTATTGTTATTATAAAAGTAATTGGATTCAAACAAAGCAGATGGAGGAGGCAATTTGCTTGTTGATTCCTTTGGCGTAGTAGCAGTAGCAGCGGTGGTAGTCATTGAATAAAGAAAACAAAGAAAAAAAAAGAGAGAGAGAAACAAAACAAAAAAAAAAACTTTTTTCTTAAACCTTAAAAAAGTTTGCAGCGGAAATCCAATTTTATTTCTTTAAAATTTAGATTATTTACACTTTATTGAAAAAAATTTGTATTGAAAAAAATAGATTCTAGAAATGAAACAGAGCATGAGATGCATAAGCAATATTTGTATTGTTACTTACATCAGGTTGTAGGGAAGAGAAGAGAATAGAAAGGAGATAAATTAGTAACAGATATTAGCCAGTCTATATAAGATATTGATATGGATATGAGGAGATAGTTAAATATCACTATCTTGTCAATTGCATAGTTACTAAAAATGAGATAGTCTCCAACTCATTACATTCATACTACTACACGCTTGATCGACAATATGGCCGACCAATACCAAGCTGTGATTGATGCCAAAGGCTGTACTACCAAGTACTAACTTGCTTTATTTATATTATCTTAAAATGAACATCCCAACAAATCATCCACAAAGAACTGAGCGTGCTCAAGTATTATCTTGGCATATTGAAGGGCTTGGATTAGGATACCTTTGTTGCTGAGTTCGAATGACAACAAAATGGGTTAATTTTTATTTCGGGTCAGTGTATATCTGTCAAAGCAAATTAAACCTTATAAACAACACTGTTTGTCTTGTATAGGCAAATAAAAGAAATCTTCCCCATATCCGCAAAAGAAAAAAAGACGAAAGAAAAATTCAAGAGATGCCTTCGACTGAGCAAAGTGTTGTCCGAGAAGATCGGAAATGACTCCAAAAAAATCGATGTTGGTACAACATTTTTGTCCATTCACTCTCCCTTTTGATTGCCTTTTATTTCTTGACAAGATTTGTAGTCTTCTTTGATTTCAAGTGAATATGTTTTAGTAGAAATTCTAAAAGCTTTTTTAGACTGAACTAAAGGCGGAAGTTCAATGAGCTCTCGATATTAAAAGGAACTGGTTGCTCCGAATGCTTTCACATCTCATTACCAAATATGTCTTTTATCATTTGTTTATAACCCAAGTCAAGCAAAGAAACTTCTTTTGATCGATACTCACAAACCATGTGTAGGAATAACTGAATTATGATCAACCTCTTTGTTTCTTGTGTCGCTGAGGTATGTATCTAATTTTCAGCCGCTAAATGCTTATCGATATAGTTTGCCTGAAATAACATATTCATCAACTCAAGTGCTAGTCAGGCACATTAAAAATATCTTGAACTATTTTTTTTTTATTTGAAACACTTTTTTTTTTCTCAAGCTAAATTTTTGGTCTTGATTCTCTTTGTGGTATGATCAAACATGCTATTACGAGCTTTACTTAGCTCTTGTGGTGTGAAATTTTGGCATCTATTGATACAGCTATGATCTTGAGATAAACCCCCACAACGATAACAACTGATCAGCTCGTATTAGTTGATATATATATATATATATATATATAAACTAGCTTATTACTTACAAATAGGCGCCGCATACACAACGCATAGTAATACATCCACTCTGATAGAAATGATGATAAACAAGTGATATATATAGAAGCAGAACAACTTACTACTTTCTCTACCAAATGTTCACATCGAGGACATCGCGCCCATTCTTTATGTTGACCATGTTCCAATACTTTTTTGACTGTTTCTTCATCATCTACGATTTTGATTTCACCTATAGAATCTATATATGAATATAGGTAACACAAATTGTAAATGTTACCAGGATGCCAGTGACTTTGACATGCGATGCAGAAACCCCGACGACACTCGTAGCATTCCCCAAATGTACATTGTTTGGTACATTTAATATGGGTATCATAAATAGCACGACAATTGGCAAAAGGACAACGGACCTAATGCATCATTATTTAGCTTCTGTTTATACAGTCTATACTTAACCTTGTTTTTGACATGTGCTTTAATAATAGCAAAAGTCCACCATCGTTTCATTTCTGCTTTAGAGAAAAGGTTTTGAAGCACATCCTGGGTCACAAAGTGTTCTTTGCAATCAGGACTCGGACATTCAATAGTTTCATAAGATGTATATCGAACATCTTCCAAAGCACTATTAAAGTATTTTCTAGCACATTCTCGACAGATGCTATGACTGCATTTATTGGTACTATGAGAGATATTTGACCTATAGGAAATCATACAGATAGTACATTCAAAAGGAGCTCGTTTTCTCTTGTTGTTGATTGGATGTTCTGATTCATGATTGTTGTCGATAGACATATCATTAAACAGTTTTGTGATTGTTGTACTCATCAAAGAAAAAGAGAGAGAGAGAGAGAGAGAGAGAGAGAGAGAAAAGGAAATTGACATGAAGTGTGTTCCATCATAAAACAAAAAGTATATATATATATATATATCAACTGTTGTTTGTATATCACTGCGCCAAAAAAGCAATGTCATTCGAAAACTCTGTATGACACACGTGTATCCCTTTAAATCTAGACTTGTTCTCCTTGATAAGATTGGTTTTTTTTCTTGCCTCCTAGGATTACATGCTCAGTTTTGGTATGACATTTAATTCTTTAGCCCAATAAAGTTATTAGGAGAATTGCTTCAATGTTTTTGTTTAAAAGAATGTCTTTATAGTTTAATTTGATAAATAGTTTGATTAGAAATGGTGCGTTGTACAAAAGAAGACCTGTTTTTTTCTATCATGGTCTGGACATGCCTATTTTATCTTTTTTTATATGAAAAAAGATCGACGACAGAAAAAAAAAACCTTTTTTCTCTTAAAATAGTGACTCCGAAATAGCCAAGGGAAAAAAGGAAAAAGAAAGTAGTTGTACAATAACAAAAAAAAATGAAATGATAATAACCTCTAAATAAGGGTTCAAGCCTATAATGACAAAATGTATATAAAAAAGAAAAGGAGGAAGGGGGAGGGAAAACAAAGTACAACGGCCAGGCTTAAATCAGTAATTGTTGAAAAGAACCAATCACAAAAGTAGTAGAAAGGCCGATCATTTGAGTTGACAAATAAAGATTATTTAGAAATATATTTCAAACAGAATTCAACCTGAAAAAGATCGACGGTTGATTGGTGAAGTTACTCTATTTATATTTTCTTTTTTTTTTATCTAATTTTTTTCTTTCTTTCTTTCTTTCTTTCTTTTCTTTTCTTTTCTTTTCTTTTTAAATCATGATCATGATGACACCTTTTACTTCTTCAACAAATGCACCAACACCTGCAACAAAAGGAAAAAAACCATATAAAAGCTGGTTAAAAGATGGCGTAAATGGTGGGCCTTCTTCTATGGAAGTGCTCGTCAACTGGCTTTCCAAAAAAGCAAATTACGCTAAATGGAAAGGCGATGATTGTGAAAGAATCCCAAAGAAATCTTTACTTGAGAGTATTATCGATGAAATGAGAGAGGTCGGCATTTATCACCGCCTTGCAAAAGACGTAGCTTCAAAGATCTCTACCTTACAGAGTAATTATCGTCTTGTTCGTGAATGGAAAGAAGTAGAAGGCAAGAAATTGCTTGAAAATGGTGTTAGCGAAGAAGGCATTCATGGTAACATCAGAATGAAATACATATTTTTTTATAACACACTTTTTTTTATATATACAGAGGAACTAGTAAAGCGATTTCCTTATTGGGACTCTTTAGATGAGGTATTCAATAGTACCCGTACTTCTTCTTGGCCAATGTCAATCAGCAGTATCATGCACTCAAATGAAGAAGACGATTTATTTCATGTTAAACAAGAAGAATACGCATTTGAGGATGAAGAAGACTCGATTGGTTCTCCTCCTAAAAGAAGACGAAGATTAAGTGATAGTACACTACAGCCTACGACACAACGATCATCTATTGATAATACATCTGATTCAGCTAGTACAACACATTCAACACAGTCTTTACCTACAAGTATGTCAGTTACTTCGCCCATTGTGATCAAACCATTGCCTCGAGTACTACCATCGCCCATTTCAAATAGTACAGCAGCCCCGCCTCCACCCACTATTCCACCTCCCTCATTATCCACCAATCATAAAAACTTTTCTACTATTCCCTCACCATCTCCACCACCATCATCATATTATCATTATCTTCCACATCCCTATACGACTGAACCTCATCGTCGTGACCATGTTTTGGCTGAATCTTTACTTCAAATGACACGCGAGAAAGAAGCAGGTCGAATGAAACGATCTCAAGATATGCTCCAGTTTCTAAGAGAAAAACGAATGGAACGTGAGCAACTCTTGATCGAAAAAGAACTAACAAAACGAGTCAAGGCCAAAGCAGAGCTCGTAAAGAATCTCATGGAAGCAGGTTTTGATAAGAATGCGATTGCTGAGCAACTCAATATGTTATAATTATTTTATTTTTTTCTTTTATTTATTTCACTCCTTTTTTTTTTCATTCTATGCAAACATCCGCTTCTTTTTTCTTTCTTCTTAATAACTATTAATTACTGCTGCCCTTATGTACAAAATATATAAATATATATATACTCTTCATCATGTCAAAATAAAAAAGATTTCTTGTCCCCTTTTTTTTCTCCTAAGAAAATTCGTCAACTTTCTTAAATTGGATGTTTCCAGACTTTGCCACACATCAATTTTTTTTTTTTTTTACATATTTTTTTTAACAACGGAACCAACCTTTTTTATTTAAATTCGACTCGGGGTCACGGATGTTCCCATAAAACAGAAATCTTGGATTAGGAAAATCAATCTTAAGAGGAAATGTGATTATAAAGAAGAATTTCCCACTCAACTATTCTGTAAAAATTCTTTTTAACTCCCTAGTAAAGAAAGGGTGATTATTAAACTTTGAATAAAGGTTGTTTTGAGTTACTTTCAAGTAAGAATATATACAGAAAGTCCATTATTTTTCCCTGGTATAAAAAAAAAATCTTTGATGAAGTCATTTGTCCCATGTTGTCCAAACATACTAATCTTAGAAAACTCAAATAATCAAATAGCTTAAAGATTGTTTGATCTAAAATTTAAAATAACTAAACTCAAAAAAAAATTAATTATTTTTAATAATCATTATAAACCTTTAAATTGCCTGCTAAAGTGAGAGCTAATCCAACTGTAAGAGCAGCCGTCGTTCCCAAACCAGCCACAAAAATGACAGGCTTATGAAGCTGCTTGGGTATATACTCCAATCCATACTGTACTGATTTACCTACGCCCAAAGCAAAATAGACACAGAGGTATTCCGAAACAGGAATAAATGTAGCACGATAATAACCTTTGTCTTTACGAAATCCATAATAAGCCCAAATGAAAAACAAGCTATACAAAGCACTCAATCCAAAACGATTTTGACTGAACCTGGTCTGAAACACTTGGTTAACTAGGAACATCACCATGAAACCATAAGAAAAAATTTGCCATCCAATACCAGGTTGGATCAGTGCAGTCAAGGTACCATGAATAAATACCCAAATTTCCAAAAACAGAACCCAAGTTTTGTTCCGATGACTCTGTAAAATAAATAAGTTCACGCGTTTTTTTTTCTTACTTTTTTCCTTACTCTGTGCAAAAAGTTGGTAGATTGCCAAATGAGTAAACATTGGTAAATAAATCCAAAACAATGTCCCATGGTTCCTTCCTATCAAAACAAGTTGTGAATAAAATAAATGTAAAAAAAAGGGGGGGAGGATTTTCTTACCACTGGATGGTAATGAAAGTTAAGCACTGTACCAAAACTCATACCATAACCATGATATTTTCGAATAAACTGTATAACAGGATCAGAAGCTGGTTTCTTTCCATACCCAAAAATGATGCCTCGACTAATATAGATTCATTTAGAAATAGGTAATCATAAGGTGTTACTTACTATGGGATAGCCATAATGATAGCAAAAACCAAGATTACAACCACTGAACCTTGAGCAACACCTTCAGGTACAGTCAAAGATAGACCATCATAGAATAAGTGACCATGAATTATTTTGTAAACTGCCATAAAACTATTCAAATAGACCATTTGCCAATTCCACCATTGGTAATCATCACTCCAACGTACTTGTTTTTGCTTTGATAGTTGAACACGAGCCAAAATAAGCCATTGACTGACTTGATGCACTAAATAAAATGTCCACGCGATCCATTCACCCAGTTGGCTTGGGTTGACTTGTCTCCAGGGGTAGGCAAATGGCGTATATTGGCCTAACAAGAATTATTGTCAGAAGCATACTAATCACTTCCTTACCATTGACAAACCGAGTGCCTCGAATAAGAAAACGACCAAATCCCATGTCTCCTCTTACAGGTCTTGAGTTATAGAAATCTGACCAAGTATTGGGTGAAGTACATAATGCAAGTAGAGTGACTACGATACCAAAGGCAAAGGAAGTAGTCGTGTAAAACAAGTATGGGTTCCTTGTTATTATATTTCTATGAGCCATCTGTACTTGTTGGCTCATATGAATTTAGTGTAAGGGAAAGAAAAAAGAAGAGAATAGAACTTTTTTTTTCTTTTACTGCTTCATTTTTTGTTATCAGATCGTCGATTCTAAATGACGAACAATTTCCTTATTTGGGGTTCGCATCACAATGAAAAAGAAAGATAGAAGTGAACAACATACGACATTTTCATGAATCTTTTTTTTTTTTTTTTTTTTTTTTTTTTTTTTTTTTTTAGACCTGCATTGGCCTGTGTGTATTTAGCAATGCAACTTTATGCAATGCTTTGGACTAGATCGGACCTCTAAAACCATTTTTAGCTTACGTAAATCTTGTTTTCTGCATACATCAACACCGAATAACCAACAAGTCGGATTTACAGTTAAAAAAAAGGAGAAAAAGGATCTTTTTTTGAAAACAACACTACGTCTTGGGCTATTTATTTCTATCGTTCATTCATGTCATTGAATTACAGAGCAAAATTGACGACCCATGTTGAACTGTGCCAAGTCTATCAGGAGAAGAGAAGAAAATGAACTGTTTCAGGCCTTAAAGGTTACTCAAACAAGAAGAATGAATAAACTTTCTATTGTTGTGAAACCCTTCTTGTCATTTTTACTTTTAGAGTTTAGTGGTTTTCTGTATGTTTGTTGCTGTTGGTTTACAAGAGATTAGCCTTCCGATCATTGTGTTCTTTCTTTTTTTTTAGCCATTGTTCTCCTTTTGATTTTTTTTTAAAAAGAGTGATAACATGTCATTGACATTCAAGAATTGCCTATGTTAGCATGCAGTGCTTGAGTGTGTAAGAATTGCTTTAGACTCTTAAATAATAAGCTATTTTTTTTCTTATTAATTAAAGAAACAGGTGAAATTCATTCTGTGTAACAAATGTGCCTGATTTTTCTTTTTTTCTTTTTATATACTTGACATTGCCGAGGTAAACATGAATAAAAATCATGGGTTTTTTTTTGTGTTTGTCTTGTTACCTAAAAAGAGTCCTTTTCTCGTTTATTTTTCTTCCTCAATGGCAAAAAAAAGAGAGATAGAATCTACAAACCTTAAAAAACGATGCGTTACACGCATGTTATATAAAAGGAATCTATCGAACCAATCAAAAAGCTTTCTCATAGACACATTTGTACAAAATATCTCATGTCGATCTTGTATAAGATTTATTAAGTAAAGAGTAAAAATAAAGGTATAGATAGTGAGATTAGCATGCAGTATGTATATATACATTATGAGTAAAGAGATAAAGGGGGATATGTTAAAGAGATCTATCAGAATCTTGACGACCAGGACGAATACGAAGAGATTTGGGTTCATTCATGGCAACAGAAGAACGAATCATGGGTGTAAGAGAGGTGTTCGTTTGATCTTTACCAAGTGATATCTGTCCGTGGGAGACAAACCCAAAACGCTCGAAAAACTTGACTGCTTGAGGATCTGTGGCTTCAACATAGACAGGGTAATGAGATTCGTCTGCTTTGTTCAAGACGTATTCCATTAATGCAGTGCCCAGCCCTTTATGTTGTTCTTGGGGTAAGATACCAATAAAACCAATAGCAATATATCTTGGATACCCAGCCATCAATTTGCGACGAGTCTTTTCGGAAGTAGAGGATTGCAATTTGACAAGTGTCTTTAAGGCTGCAGTCCAGCCTAAAAGACGAGCGTACTTAAATGTGGAAATTGTTTGAGGCCAAGAGAACAGTTGAGAACGGTCAGACCAGACAAGAACACCTCGGCAACCATCGACTTGAACAGCAAAATCCCTGCTTTGAAGAGAGGCAGTGTCAATCATAGTCTTGAATAAATTGACCAGGAAATGATCACGTTTTGTAGGATCCAAATTACGAGCAGACCATTCAAGTGCCTTGTTTGACACAAAGGCATCTGTAAGTGTGTTTGAAGCTTCATTAATAGCAGCTATAACAAATATTAATTTTATTTATAAAGACCATATACAAACAAACATTACCTTTGATCACAGGACGAACATTAAGTTGTTGTTGATCCAAATTGACAGTGAGTTTTCTGCAAAGATTGCTTTCAGAAACAGTAACAGGAATTCCTTTCATAGATAGATAATAATGAGAACGAAGAACAAAAAAAAAAAAAAAAAAAAGAGAAAAAGGATCTTCTTTTTTATACAAAAAAAAAATTGAAAAGGAGTTCAATGTGAATCAACACAACTCAATTTGATGTCACACCAAAGTCTCGAACCTGTCTTTGACATATCTTTAAATAGCACATTTTCTTTTAATAGGACGAAAATGTGTAGAAAATGATGGACAACCTGACTATAAACTTAGTGTGTGTTTTATATGTAGACCATTTGCGCACGTGACTTAATGCGTAGAAGTAAGTTGAGCAAGCTCAAATGGACACCGCAGTAACCGCGACTTTTTTTTGTCTCTCTTTTCCTTTTCTTTAATTACGGATGGTTTCGATTTTTAAAGCAATTCGAGATAATAATGTCGAATTATTAAATTATTTTATTGACCTAAGTACAGGCGAACAACAAAATACAAACATACCGAAACACACGGTACAGTGGTTGCAGCAACAACTTCGAACTTCAGGCCAAAAGTATTATGATATCAATAAACGCTCTTCAAGAGGAAGGACGCCTTTGCACTATGCTGCTACTTGGAATAGAATAGATATTGCTCAGGCTCTGATCAGCTGTCAGCATGTCAATGTGAATCTACAAGATCGAGAGAATGGCTGGACAGCATTGCATAGGTACATTGTAGAATGAAACGCATGCACTAATCCATCTTGGTTAGATCGTTGTATATGGGCAATATTGAGATTGCAAGAATGTTATTGAAGCGAGAGGACATTGATTTGGATATCAAAGATTGGGAAGGGCTGACAGCATTCGAAGTCTATCAAAGCACGATTCAAGATGCGTTTCCTAAAGAGCGCGTCTTGTTAAAAGACGAGGCATTGACAACAGAAGATAGAGAAGATCAAGAATTACGTCTTTCTTTGCGTTCGTCTGACAAACATACACGAAAAGGAGGCACCGATCTCTACACTTGGGGACACAATACAAATTATGTCTTGGGCCATCCTGATTCTGAAAACAGAACAAAGCCAGAAAGAGTCAAACTTCAACTGGAATCGCAACAGTCGACCTTGATGATGAAAAGACCCAACTATGTGATTGAATCTGTTGTGATGTCTAAGTACCATATGGCTATCTTGACAAGTGACTCAAGTCATAATCTATTAGTCTGTGGGTTTGGTAGAGGAGGTCGATTAGGCCTAGGAAAAGATCTGGAGACGCAGTTTATTCCAGTGGCAGTGCCATGGCCTGAGCGTATTGTGTCTGTTGCACTGGGTCGAGACCATACTGTAGCTGTGACAGAAAGTGGACATGTTATCACATTTGGTAGCAATGATATGGGTCAGCTAGGTAAGGCACAATCAAATAGACAACAAACTAAATGGGTTGGTTAGGTTATGAGACGGATCATCAAGACCAACTTGTGCCACGCAAAATTCAAGCACAGAGTCTAAAAAAGCAGCCGATCCTCGGCGCTGCTGCTTCTAGAATCCATTCTGTTGTGTTCACCTTGACAGATATCTTCACATTCGGTCTAAATCAAGGTCAACTGGGGTACCATCAACCTGACCATGATCCTTGCCAAACAACACCTAGGAAGGTGAGTATGTCCACAGAGATAGTGCAAGTGGTTGCCAATGTAAGTTATGAAATAAAGCAAGGTGATTTTAACTGGATAGGACAATGCCACTGCGGTATTGAACAAATCGCACGAAGTGATTTTATTATGCAACTATAACCAGCAGAAACTATTGTAAGTGGTGTCAGATTAACATGACTAACATCTGGACTCACACACACATATATATTTTTATTAGTTTTCCCATTCATCGCTTCCCAAAGCATATTGTTGTTCATCGCTCCGAGCCAAATTATGCAGTCAAGTTGATTTCAAGTGGCTCAGAATATTTAGGCGCTGTTACAAATACAGGTGATGTTTTTATATGGACCTGTCGATCACTTCGTCGCAATTCAGAACAGATGCGAAAAGCGTGTGCGACAAACAAACAAACCACCATCATTTCAGCTCCGAAGCCCATCTGGGCCCTGCATAAGGCCCATCATGCGGCCATAGATGCAAGTATAGGCCAACATGGCGAGATTGTGATCTGTACTGTGTCTGGACATGTCTTTGTGGGACGAAACGAGGCTAACGGATACAAGTTTAGCCCTATTCCTCATTTGCAGCGATGTATTAAGGTCTGTGCTAATTTAAGTGGTGCTTTTGCTGCAATTCGATCCGAATATGTGTTGCCTGCTTTGACCACAGTCTTACCTTCGACACTGGAGCATGACTTGGCTATCGCTTTGCCTCATATGAATATCGCCAAGGAACTACAAAGTCAATTACGACATACTGAATCACTTATGGAACTCGAAGTCAAGAGCGAAAGACATACTCGCATGACTGCCACCATAGAAGATGATGAAGCAGCTTTGCAATACCAGCAAAAAAGAGAAACCATGGTCAAGCAAAAACATCATGATATGATGCTGTCTTTTGTGAATGAAGCATGGGATCGCATAGACATTATTTCTAGACAAGATGATACACTGGATATTGTGTTTATGATTAACGACAAGCGTATTTATTGTCATAGCTCTCTTTTGCAATGCCGAAGTAGATTGTTTAGGCAACTGATAGACTGCGTTGATCGTACGTTGGATCAACAACTGACTATTAAGGTGAAGAAGCGAGAAGCAGATGGCAGGATTGAAATACATATAGACCAGTGTCAGACAGCATCTCTATTGCTGCTTTTGGACTATGTATATACAGACACATATGAACATCCTATGAAGGCCTTTTTCAAGTTACCGCCTTTATGCTTTGAAGGCTTTGATCTCCCTTCTTCAGCTATGGTCAAGTCAGTACAGAAAGATCTTGTCACACTGGCCAATTTGTTTGATTTACCTCTCTTGATATCCTCTGCACAATCATCTTTTGGCCATACACCTGTTCCTAGCCTAAAAGACAGCCTAAAGCAGTTGAAAGAAAAAAGAGCTGAAATTTCCATCTTGACAAAAGACAGTGGTCAGACACTAAACTGCCATCGAATCATCTTACGACAACGTTGTCCTTTCTTTAGCAACCTCTTCAAGCCTCAATCCGTCTGGATCCAGACACGAAAAGAACAAAACAAGCAAGCTATGATTGTCAACTTAGACCATATGACTCATGATATCATGAAGATCATCCTTGATTACATCTATCTGGACAAAGATGAGTCTAGTCTATTTGATGAGATTGAACAGGACAAAGAAGAATCCATGATGAAGTTTCTTCTTGAATTGCTTTGTGAAGCGGATTACTTGTTATTGGAGAGACTCAAGACAATCACCGAGAAGGCATTGGTTCGGTTTATCAAGCTGCGTTCAGCACCTACGATTGCTGATTATGCAAACACCTATCTTGCAGACAACTTGAAAAAGGCATGTCTACAGTTTATCAGCGTCAATTTACCTGTTTTTTTGAGAGCAAAGTAAGTCCCTGATGTGATCAATAGTTATTGATAAATGTGATATAGCATGCTGGATACCATGGCTGTTTCGCTTGTACGTGATCTAGAAGCATTTGTGCGTCAACTGCAGATGGTGGTGATGCCGCTTGTGCCTAAAGGAAATTATGTGGCGCCTGACGACGACCAAGAAGCGCTTTTAGAGGAAGAGGATACTGAGTTTTCTAGTTCCATGTATGCGCTCTCTCGAGGTGATGGTAGTACTGTTTCTTTTGATGAAATCTTGGTTACCATGTATCCTGAAAAGACACCTAAGGAGACAGCAAAAAAATCATCACCGCCTCCTCCTTCTACTCCAGCAGAAAACTCCAATAAAACAAAACGAGATACACGCATTTCTCTCGAGTCACTTGAACCACAACAAGAAAAGCGACAACCTTCAGCAAGCTGGGCTCCTGTGGCTGTCAATGAAGCCACCTCGACAACAAAACTTTCATTGCGAGAAATTATCGAAACAGAAAACAAACCGGTGGAAGTGAAGACTAATTCAAAGGTAAGTTACATTACAATGGATCTATCTGATGCAAGATTAGGCTGTTATGCCCAAAAAAATATCTCAAAAAGAAAGGAAGAGACTCGTGCACCAACAAGAAGTTGCAGCAGCCATGGAATCTTCTTCCTCGACATCGAAACCTGTCTGGGGCAAACTTCCTGTCATTGATGTCAAGCCAATTTTGAAAAATACAGAATTCATCAAAGATACCTCGATACCTCTGCTAAACCATGATGGCAAAGGCAAAAAAGTGTATGTAGATTATTTTTACATATATATTTCTAATTTTATTTAGATACATTTCTCAACAAAATCTAAATCAGATTGAAGTAGCAGACAGCAACAGTCGACAACCATTAGAGCCAAAAAAGCCTCAAGTGTTATTCAACCCTACAGAAAGTCTCGGCTCTACATTCAAATTGACACCTATTCGTCGATTCAACTTCAACAAGGAATCAACACAAACCAATGTTGAAAGATCCTTCCAATCTATTCAAAAACAACAAGAACTAGAAGACAGTTGGATCAAGGGAGACAAGCCTAAGAAGAATATTTTAAGAATACAGAAAGAAGAACAAGCTGTGACAAGTATTGGGCAATACTATATTCAAACTTTAGAAATTATGAGTGGTGAATGGTGCGAAGTACAAAGAATTACCACTCGTTAATTTAATAAACACTTGTTAAAAACAAGAGTATAAAAAAGATGGTTCGACAAATATGCAGATTTTCACAGAAGCCAAATAAGATGAGTAATGCAAATATTTCAAACACCACTCGAGTGAATGTGGGGTAAAATTCACTCAAGCATGATTTCTATAAGTAAGCGGTAATACCCAGGCTTCCCTTTTCTTTTTTGCAAATATAAATTGGTTTGCTCTTTTTCTTCTTTTTCTTTTCGTAAAAGCAACTTACTATGGCCACTCAAAACCTTATTGATATCACTCAACTTTCTCCCAAGTTCCAAGACTTATATGCCAAGGCCAAGGACTTTGTCGAAGTATGTATAGCATATACATATATAGGTCGCGTTTTAACAGCTTTATTTTAGAATGATTGTATTCCAGCTGAAAAAATCTTTGAGTTACAAATGGGTCAAAACGAAAACAGATGGAAGGTAGATTCGCAATGACCATTTCGAACTTGACCTAACTCTCTTTTAGGTTGTTCCTCCTATCATGGAAGAACTCAAGGCCAAAGCTCGATCTCTCGGTCTTTGGAACCTTTTCTTGGGCAGAGATTATGCTGAAGGTGCTGGTTTGACTAATGTAGAATATGGTTTGATTGCCGAACTTACTGGTCGCTCTCCCAAGATAGCCCCTGAAGCCATGAACTGTTCTGCCCCTGATACAGGCAATATGGGTAAGTCAATCGTATGTATCTTTCATTCCTCTTACATCCAACAGAGGTCTTTGCCAAGTATGGTACACCCGCTCAAAAAGAAAAGTGGCTTAAGCCTCTATTGGAAGGCAAGATCAGATCTGCTTTTGCTATGACTGAACCAAAGGTTGCTTCTTCTGATGCTACCAACATTGAAACCAACATTCGTCGCGTCGGCAATAAATATGTCATTAACGGTTTGAAATGGTGGATTTCTGGTGCAGGTGATCCTCGTTGTGCTGTCTATCTTGTCATGGGCAAGACTGACCCTGATAACGAAAACAAGCATCGTCAACAAAGTCTTGTTATTGTCCCTGCTGATACTCCCGGTATCACAGTTGTTCGTCCCATGAAGGTCTTTGGTTTTGATGATGCACCTGAAGGCCATTGTGAAATCGTCTTCAAAGATGTACGTGTCCCTGTAGAGAATATCGTTTTAGGTGAAGGCCGTGGTTTTGAAGTCATTCAAGGAAGATTGGGTCCTGGTAGAATTCACCATTGTATGCGTTGTATCGGTATGGCTGAGCGTAGTCTGGACTTGATGTTGGCTCGTGTCACTGATCCTACCCGTCGTACCTTTGGTAAGAACTTGAGCGAACACGGTACTGTTGTTAGTGACATTGCTTCTTCTCGTATTGAAATTGACCAAACTCGTTACCTTGTCTTGAGTGCTGCTCAAAAGATTGATCAAGCCAAGGCTAAAGGTGCCATGAAAGAAATTGGTATGGCCAAGATTGCTGCTCCCAACATGTTACTTCGTGTCTTGGATCGTTCTATGCAAGCCCATGGTGCTGGTGGTATTTCTCAAGATTTTCCCCTGGCTCACTTTTATGCCTCTGCCAGAACATTACGTTATGCTGATGGCCCCGATGAAGTGGTAAGTTTTTGTCTTCATTTTTAATATAAACTCATTCTTTATTAGCACCGTGCTCAAATTGGTAAGGTCGAACTTCGTCGTGCCGAAGAAATCTCTCAGAGGATCAAGGCTCAAAAAGAAAAGTCTGATCGTATGGCTTCTAAACTCTAAATAATGCATTTTAACCATTTCGTCCATTTGTACAATAAAATTCCCTCGAAAGTCCGATTCTTTTTTTTTCTTTCGTTATGTCTAAAAGAGCTTTTGATATTGTAGGACCCTCTTCAACAAAGCGTGTTCGCTTTAATGAAAAAACAAAGTCTCATAACACTGCTACAGAAGAAACAGATTTTGAATTTGATCACCAAGATCAACTTGAAGAAAAGAAAACGCGTCGTGGTGCAGTCAACTTTGATGTGTACGGTAGTGATGATGAAGAAGTAGGCGGAGGAATGTACAGTAGTGATTCTGATCAAGAAGACAAAGAAGAAGAGAAAAAGGATGCTATGCCTAGCAACAACGAGGATTTTGATATGTTTGGTGTTGATGCAGAAGAGGACACAAGCAAAAAGAAAGGCAAAGGCAAAGTGGATGTGAATGAACTCATTGAAGGTCAAGAATTCGATTCTTATAACCGAGAAGGCATTGATGATGATGAAGAGGATGATATAGAAGACGGACAAAAGAAACAGTCTCGCATTGAAGCATTCAATATGAAGGAGGAATTAGAAGAAGGCACTGTGGATTCGAACGGTAACTATGTCCGTAACAAAGTTGATCCACAAGCATTCCATGACAACTGGATGAAGGGAATCACACGCAAAGATATTAATAAAGCAAAAGAAGCACAAGAAAAGCAAGAGCGAGAAGAAGCGTTAAAGGAAGCAGAAAGACAGTCATCACTGCCACAGTCACAGACAGATATCTATCTTGCTCTTCTCAAGTACATCAAGCCTGGACAAAGTGTTCAAGAAGCATTAACCAATCTGGCTAATTCACTGCCTAAAAAGTTGCCTGCCTGGAAGCAGAAAATGTTGGATAAAAAGAACAAGAACAAACCAAACAGCAATCAACAACCTCAATTATCAGAACAAGAAGAAAAAGAAAGACGTGAAAAAGTTGAAAAAATTACAGCCTTAGCTGATCAAATGATGGCTTTAGGCCATTTCAATATTTACGATGATACATTTGAAATCATGGTTCGTCATTTGAGAAAAGAAGGTGCAGTTGCTCAAGATTGGGTACCTTCATAATAAAACACTGTACATTTAGTTTATTGTAATTTTCCGTTAAATTTGTTTTCTAATGCTGCCCATGCCTTATAATAGTCTTCTTGAACCTTTCCACACGTCTTAAGCCCCCAAGGTGTAAGTGAAAGCATAAAGCAGGTCTCAAACATGAATGCTTGGTTGTTCTTTCCGACATAAACAGGCTTAAGGTCGGCTTGAGAGGCAGATTCAAATACAGCAGCATCAGGCCCATGGGGAGTCATGATGTTATGAAGAGAAGCACCACCAGGTGAGAAACCGTCTGCCTTACCGTCATAATCACCTTTGATGAGGCCCATAAATTCTGACATACAGTTGCGATGAAAATAGGGTGGACGGAATGTCTTTTCAGCAACTGCCCAACGAGGAGGGAAGATAACAAAATCAGCAATGGCCACACCAGGTGTATCTGATTTAGCAGTCAAGACAGTAAAGATGGAAGGGTCCTAATCGACAGAAGATCAATACGTACGCTACATAAACACAATCAACTTACAATATGATCAAAAGACACTGTATTAATGACGCAGAAACGATCTAAATCGTATTTGTAAGGGGCATAGTTACCATGCCAAGCAACAACGTCAAATGGTGTATGGTTTTGTTTAGCAGCAAACAATTGGCCGTTGAATTTGGTAATGATTGTCCACTCTACATCATTCTCTTCTTCAAAAGCAGCAATAGGCGTTGAAAAGTCTCGAGGATTAGCAAGGCCATTGGCACCAATAAGGCCCAAGTCTGGTAATTCAAAATGAGCTCCAAAGACTTCAAGAATATAACCTCTGGATCCTTTGTCGGGCAAGTTGATAGTATAGCGAATCCCTCTTTGGATCACGGCAATTTCATTAGGAGCCACTCTCATCTTACCGAATTCAGTAATAATATCAAGTACACCTTGTTGAGGGACTACTATAATATAAGCACGCATATTCTCTTTTATAATGACACATACCAATCAAAAAATCACCATCAGAATTATAAAAAGCGGATTTACCCATATCTGCGTTGGCAGTATAAATATGAACAGCAAGGCCTGAACGGCAAGCAGGATCGCCAGCACCAGCCAATGTACGCAAACCTTTAACAAAATTAACCTCTTTATTAGATGCAGGCATGTCAAAGGGACTCCAGCGAATTTGAGTAGGTGTGATCAACACATCTTCTCCTCCAAACTTTGACTTGACTAAATTATTCAGTGTTGCATGATGTGTAAAAGGAGTATGTACTACTGAAGGACGAATACGATATAACCAACTTTTTTTTTTCATCTTGTGAGTCATAAGTAAAAATAGAGATAAGAAACACATACCTTCTTTGATTGTGAGTACGAGGTACTGTGAATGCTGTGCCCGATAATTGTTCGGCATAAAGATTATAAGGACATTTTTGTGGTGTATTTTGGCCTTCAGGAAGTGCGTCTTTTAAAGCTTCAGAAGCAAAAGTATTACCAAAGCCTTGTTGGTATTCATAATCGTTTTTGTTACTGACCATCTTGTGCAAATTGTGTGTGTGTGAGAGGGAGAGAGAGAGAGAGAGAGAGAGAGAGAAAAGAAGAAAAAAGAGAGAGATCTGCATACAAATATATACACATTGGGCTTTGATCAATCTCAGTCGTGGGAAAAAAACTGAAATTCAGTGAAGCATATTTCCTGTGCACCGCAGAGAATTTCAGGTTCACTAAAGAACAATAGTATTATCGTATGATTTCGTACATCAGGGCATAAGAAATTTTGATTATGCAACGCGCTATGGATTCAACTGCTGCATACCATTTATACTTGCGTCTATTTTTTTAATATACATTATGCAATGCTTAAAATAAGCAGTGCATAGTATTAAATTGATATAAAATCGGATTATTAAATTGTACTTTCAAACAAGACTGAACACGTCAATTGATATGAGGTTGCGCAAAAGAAAGTATAGACGAAAGCACTGAAAAAGAACAAAAAGAACAGAAAACAAACATGTCAACCACATCAATCATTTCTTTTTTGTGTTGCATTAGATGAATTCGCTTCTTGTGTTGTCAAATCCAGTGAACAACTTGAATAAATAACGTTTCAATGCAGGGAAATTGAAAAGAATAAAGTGTACATAATGATCTATCCAGTTGCCGCAAAAATGACTCACGTAATGCAAACCTTATTCTCATTTTTATCTTTGTGTTTCCATCACTAATAAGAAAGAAGTGCTTTCTTTTTTAGTATGCTTAGAGTCTTTGCACATAGAGATTCAAAAATGGTAGATTTGCATAAAGACGATGTTATTTAGATTTATTAATTTATCTCTTTATATAAACCATAATAGCCGTCTGGGATTTGCAGTTGTAGATAATGACTCATACAAGAAGAATATCTGTCTTCTTGCTATTTAAAGATAAAAACTGGTATATCTTACTTCAATGATTCGGGGAAATATCGAATTAAAGAAAACACTGCAAATACTAAAAGAACATACGAATACATGAGATTGCATAACCACACAAAGGTAGCATAAACCCTGTCTATGCCCTCATGAATGCTCTAGATATCTACAGACAGTATCTATTAGGGTTTATGGTGCATTTAGAGTTGATTTGGAAAAAAAAGCGAGTTGTAAAATTTGATCAAAACGACCTTTCGACCAGAGAGAACTACTCATGAAAAAAGCTCGATTTGACAACTCTTAGTGTTTTTTCGACGCTATGGAGCGAAAAATAGAGCTATCAACAAGCTCAAGTACTCAAAATGAATGCCAGAGGCTCTGGTTTTTGGTGAATATGTTTACGTAACAGTTATACTATAAACTGACATGATATGAGCGAAAAACCTCGTAAACATTTTTGCCTATTTGTTCAAGATTTTAACAGCAAGATTGCTGTGTTCCTTACATCAATATACAGCTTTTGTCACTAAGCCAAAGCCATAAAATTACGTCTTTATGCAGTTCTAAGCAAAAGCTTGATTTTTTTTTAATAAAAGCTTGATTTTCATGTTGAATTACTAATTCTTTTTCATTCTTCCTTCTTTCTTTCTCATTATGAATTTCAGTTTTGAAGGCAACTATAAACCAAGACGCAACATCAACTTGGGTAGTGTTAGAAAAGTCGATGATAAGAAGTCGCTTATGGTCGAAGCTCAACTTGAAAGAAAACAACGAGAACAAGAGCGTCTTCGTTTAAAGAGTGCAGAACGTATTCAGACAAATACAATGCTATCTTTGATGAGTATCTTATTGGTCCTATCGACATGATTATCTTGACTCGACAATTGCTCTTATTTTATCAGCCTGAGAAAGACACAGCTTATTTAGAACAATACGCAGCTCAACTCACAGTGATGCCTACAGGTGATTCTTGGGTCTGGCTTGTCTGTCTGTTGATTAAGAAAGTACTTTTACCCAGCATAAAACATCCTTCTGCATCTCACCTATTTTCTCGACTCTTGAATGACCCTGATCATCATATCCGCATCATGACATTTACGCTCTATCATACGCCTGTCTTCAAGACCATCAAAGAAGCATTTGAATTATTTCCAGACACTGTCAAGTCCATTTTATACCAATATGTTGTATTTTATCCACCTTATGACTACCCAACATCATCTCTGATGGAACAGTATGGTGGTATAAACAGACACGCTATGTACATGACACGTCCTGCATTATTGAAAGGTGATTTGTCAGAATTAAAAAATTGGAGACCAATTTCATTGATCAACTGTGATGGTAAAATTTTCACAAGGCTCATTACCCAACGTCTAGCTCCTATAATGAATCGAATTATTAACCCGCTTCAAAAGGGCTTCATTCAAGGACGTTTTGTTGGCGAAAATGGGATGTACGTCCACTTAGTTCTACAACAAGCAAGATATGAACATCATCAAGGTATAGGTTTGCTTCTCGACCAGGAGAAAGCCTATGATTGAATATTACCAACATATCTTCAACAAGTTCTTGTGCTCCTAGGCTTTCCTACCTTATTTATACAGAATATTTATAATTTGTTCTTTGATAACTCCGTAGCAATCAATGTCAACGGATCCTTTACGGATCCAGTACATCAGCGACGTGGGTTAAGGCAGGGTGATCCTTTGTCCCCTTTATTGTTCAACATCGCTTTGGAGCCGCTGATTCTTTCAATCCAGCAAGACCCTACATATCAAGGATATGTCCCGACAATGAGCACTACGTTTCAATAGATCAAGTGCATCGCATATGCTGATGATATCTGTGTGTTTGTCAAGGATGCCACTGATTTTATGCGTCTCCAACATCACTTGACTAAATATAGTGCTGTATCAAATGCAAGATTTAACAAGCACAAGACGGAAGCTTTCTCATTGAGTGGTGTCAAGTCAGAATCTTGGGAATCATTGCTTTTGAGCCATGATATCGAAACATACTACCACCATCATTCCCCTTCTGCTTTTCGATACCTTGGCTTTTATATGCCATACACAGATTCTCAACGGAATCGTGTCCAGGATATCCTATTGGAAAAAGTGCGTACACGGGTTCATGGTTATTCTCAGCGTCATTTCTCGCTTCAAGGAAGAGCTACCGTTGCCAACACTTTGATTTTATCCAAAATTTGGTACTGCTTGCGGCTGTTTGCGCCTACCAAGCGATTTCTGAATGAACTTCGTTCGATTATCTATGCCTACGTGTGGCAAAAGAAGTTTCCTTATATTTCTTTTGACCAGTTATGTCTCCCTAAGGATCAAGGTGGTGTAGGAGCTCTCAACCCTATCACACAATACTTGGTGCTGCAGATGAGATGGGTCTTTACTCTGTTTAGTTCGTCTAATCTACCTACTCAGCTCCGAGTGCTTATGATAGAACACTTTAGCATCATGTCTTCAGATGCTGACAATACATTGCTACCCTTTTTCTCTAGAACTCTTCGCCGTCATGGTCTTTGTCATCCCACTTCAGTTGTCAATGGTATTTATGCTGCCTTTAATCACTTTGGTATCAACTTCAAACTTGATAATGTGCCCCTAGCCAACTTGCTTTACTTTTCGCTGATTAACATGTTTCAAGAGGTACCTCAGAACCACTGGCTTCATCGACATTCAAAAGTACCGGCATTTCTTTTCTTTTTCTTTGACGAACAGAGTAACCGGTTACACTTGAAGGTTCGCCACGAATATGACCATTGCTCGACAACTGCATTATCAAAATAACTCATTTTTATGTTTAAAACATGTTCTTTCGAGTCAAGATATCGAATGGTACCATCAGTTTGGCTGTTATGTGAATCTCATTTTTTGACCTATGGAGGATCCATGAAGGTTTGTGATAGCTTATCGTTAATGCAAGATTCTATCTAATGAGCGTTTTTTTAAGTATGTTTATACATATGATAAAGTTTTTTACAACAAATTGAGTAGCTATTTCTATTAAAGTCATAGTGTCAATCAACATAACGAAAACCTTTTACGTTTTCAAATAGGTTCATCAAATCATTTTAAATTCTAGTCCCTGATGTTGAGTACTGTCCAACTTTTTTCCACATGATTATTCGTTATTTGAACCACACTTATGCCCTTAAGAAGCAGTCTCTTTATGATGAATTATTTTTAGTAAATAACATCTTTTAACTCGTCGTTTTACAAAGTAAAGCTCACATTGTTCATTTATGCCTTAATTTCAAAGAAAAAAAAATTAAGTAAAAGCCTCATTTTCCTTTTTCTTCTTTTTTTTCTCTCATTAGATCAACATGTCCTCACGATTAGCAAGACAATCCTTGGATCTTTTGACAGCTCCTAAAAGCAAAAAGAATGACAAGCTAGACAGCAAAAAGATCAAGTTGCCAAAGACTAACAAAGGTATCAAGAAAGTGAAATACGAAAATAGATATGGCCGACACCAAAAGACACGCTTATTACAAGAAGAAATCAGAAAGCGAGAGAATCCTATAGGTAAGTTGTCCTTACAAATGATCAGTTGCTCACAACAGTATAGACAAATTAAATCAGCAAGAAGATATACTTGAAGAACAATTGAAGCGCAATGTACATATTATGAGAAAAGCCCTTCGATCTAGTGAATTAGAAAAGAAGATCCATAAAGAAGTATGTGACAATATATTTTTATATATATACATAACATAATGTTTGCTCTCTACATAGGTCATCAAAGAAAGAAATGCCAAAAGAACAAAAAAATGGTCCAGTGAAGTCAATGGCTCTGACGGTGATACAGATAATGACAGTGAATAAAAACTCGTGCCAAATTAGTTGTACTACAACATTCTTATGAGGCACAATTTAAATATATATTTTTTTTTCCTCTTTTCTCCTACATAAAGTTCTCCTTTTTCTTCTTTTTTTTTATACAAAAGGACCAGTTTACATTCTTTCCCCCCTTTTTTCTTCTTCTTTTTTATCTTTAAAATAATGTCTGGTAAGTAAAAAATATATACACATTGACAACAAATTCTTATATTTATGTTTAGACCAAACAAATAATCCTTCTGGTGTAAGTTGTTGAATGAGTCTTTTTTTTTTCTTTTGTTCATCATCTGTTTATAGATCACTGTGTTGCGTAAAAAGTTGCAAGGTTATGTTGGTTTTGCCAACCTTCCTAACCAAGTTCACCGTAAATCTGTTAAAAAGGGATTTCAATTCACTACTATGGTAGTAGGTAATGTAATAAGGAGGAGGAGGGGAGGGGTTGAAGGGAGCTACATACATACGCACAAAAGAGCATAGGCTGACTTTTAAAAGGTGAATCTGGTCTTGGTAAATCCACTTTGGTCAACACCTTATTCAATACACAATTGTATCCACCCAAAGAAACAGTTGAACTCACTCATGAAACAAGTCAGACAGTGGAGATCAAATCTATCACATCAGACATTGAAGAAAACGGTGTTAAATTGAGATTGACTGTGGTTGATACACCAGGTTTTGGTGATTTTGTTAATAATGAAGAAAGGTAATACAACACGTTCTTTGTGTCTTATTCACCCATTATAGTTGGAAGCCTATCTTGGACAATATTGAATCAAGATTTGATGCTTATCTTGAGCAAGAAAATCGTGTGAATCGTCGTCGTATGGTGGATAACCGTATTCATGCCTGTCTTTACTTTATTGCACCCACAGGCCATGCCTTGAAGCCCTTGGATATCGAATTCATGCGTCGTCTTCATACCCGCGTCAATTTGATTCCTGTGATTGCCAAGGCAGATACATTGACAGAAGAAGAAGTTGCTGCCTTTAAGGAGCGCATTTTGGCTGACATTGCTTATCATAAAATTCAAATCTATCAAGCTCCTGTGTACGAATACGACGATCAAGAAACCATTGCAGAAAACAAGGAAATCATGTCCAAGATTCCATTTGCTGTTGTTGGTTCTGACAAGGAATTCGAAATTGACGGTGGTCGTCGTGTGCGTGGTCGTAAATATCCTTGGGGTGTGATTGAGGTTGATAACGAAGAACACTGTGACTTTGTTAAGCTTCGACAAATGTTGATCCGGTAAGTAGGTCACCATAAAACAACCGATACTAACAATCGTATGTAGTACCCACATGGAAGAACTTAAGGAATTCACAAACGATGTCCTTTACGAAAACTACCGTACCGAGAAATTAACAGCCATGGGTATCCAACAAGATCCTTCTGTATTCAAGGAAGTCAACCCTGTTCAAAAGATGGAAGAAGAACGCCTTGCTCACGAACAGAAGCTTGCCAAGATGGAAGCAGAAATGCGCTCCGTATTTCAAGCCAAGGTACAAGAAAAGGAAGCTAAATTAAAGCAATCAGAAGAAGAATTATATGCTCGTCATAAAGAAATGAAGGACGCCCTTGACAAACAGCGTGCTGATTTGGAAGAGAAGAAACGTCGCCTAGAATCAGGCAGACCTATGACTCCTGAAAAGACAGCTAAAAAGAAGGGCTTCTCCTTTAACAAATAATTTATTCGATATATACACATTTAATATTCTTTACTATTATTTTATTTTATTGTCTTTCTAAATAAATACGTTTAGAAGGTAATCCTTGTCCAGGTACATCAACGTAGAGTTGCTTGTATTGCCATTTGTTTTTATCGTCCTAGGATTCAATCAGCATACATGCATGATGGTGCCCACTCTTACCTTGATCATCTCAAGGGCCACTGTGCCTTGATTAATAGGGCCCTCTACATAAAAACGCATAAATAAATGAGCATCACCATTTTGATCCTCGACTTCTTGAGAGGCAATGCGTCTGTTGCGTCTTCTTTTGTTTCTGCTTGGTTCTCCATGACCCTTAATAGGCTCACCCAAGATTTGAACCAGTTCTTCATGAACACGAATACGGTCTACAACATCATTGAAGATACTAGTAGGACTTTGTGAACTGAATAATTCAGAAGTAATATAATAAACAATAGCTGTTGTTAAAGTAACACCTGCTGCGATCACACCGAGATTCATGGTTGTCTTTGAAGCCGCTACCACTATTATATAGTGTATTAATAAAGAGAATATATATATATATGTGTATATTACCTTTTTGTGGTGTAGATAATTCGCTCCATGGTTTAACTGCAGAAAGTGAATTTGATTTTTTTGAAGAAACTGGTACTTGACGAGCAGGGGTAGAGAATGATTTGGTATTCAAACAAGACAACTTTGTTCTTGAAAGACGCGTTACTGGTTGTTTACTATCATTGACATTAATGTTTATATTTGCCTGTGTTTCTCTTTACCTAAATAAACGAAGCATGATAAATATGGAAAGAAAGAGAGAATAAAAACATAGTTTAGCATAAAGGCAGAGCGTTAGGCTTAAATTTAGTCGGCGATTTTATCTCTTCAGAAGTTTGATTATTTTATGCTCGACATGTTCAAAAGAACAATATGCAAATGACTTGGGAAATCCTTAATGTTGATTATGAAATTATGGGGATGATCAATAATCCCCTTTTTTCAGTGATCGACATCAACTAAATGCTGCATTCTATTTTAAGTGCATTCAAAACTTGAGAATAAAAAAAAGAAGTGTTAATTTGTGACAGTGAGATGTTAACATTCCATGATTTTCCTTTCCTTACAAATACAAATAATTGTGGCTTGTCATTTACATAAAGCAAGAGCTTAAATTTGGTATTTTTTTTCATCTTTCTTTTCTGACCAATATGACACTTGTAGACGCCGAAGTAGCCCTTATTCTCGGCAAGAAAATCAAAGCTGATAATAAAGCCGTGGATGCCATAGTGACCGATATTCAACAGGGTCACTATGCCAATGTGATTAAAAACAGTGTCCTGTTTAAGCAACCAGAAGCTGAAGAACTTAAAAAGACAGGCGATATTCAAAACTGGCTCAGCGACCAACTCACTCATATCCCCTTAGAAGAACACAGTTTCGACTTGCTTGCAACTGGTATTGCTTGTCTTAACGCCTTTATTCAAGTCAACTGGACAGGTCCGATACTTTCTTTTTCAGTATCTGAATTGTTTTATGGTCAAAAGAATGATGATTTCGAGCAGTTGTTACACAAGTCCTGTCTTACATCCCTTTCTGTTGACAGTGAAGAGGTCTATCACTTGACTCAACAATTGGGTTTGTTAGTCATTGCTTGTTCTGTATTGGATGCTGTGCGCGGTAAAACATTGACTGGTTCTTTTTGGTCAATGCGCTCTGTCTTTATTCAACAACAACTCTTGGATGAATTTACAGGCTCGCTTCAAAACAAGTTGATGGCATTGGCTAAAGAAAGCAACAGCAATTTGGAAGCTAACAAGGAATTGGATGATGAAACTCGCCAACAACTTAAAATTCGTCATGAACTTGAACTTGGTTTGATTCATAACTTCTTTGGCCAAGACAAGGAAGCTTTGGAAAAGATGGAAGCTGCCCAAAAAGAGTCTGGTTTCGTTTGGTCTTTGACGGGTTCTCTTGGTCGTCGAACCAAGTTCCAACAATTTGATGTTTCGCAATTAGTCGTATTGGCCGAAAGTAAAAAGCAAGAGGTTGTGGATGAAGAAGCTGCTCGACCTGAGCAATTGGATCTAAATGACGATACACTTTTGGACCGTATTGAATTCTCTGAAAACGACAAAAACAAGCAAGAAAACGAGCAACGTCATGGTAACCTGAATGTCATTGATCAATGTCTTTTATTGGCTTTCTGTCTGAATGTTAAGAACACCAATCCTGATCATGGTATCACCACAGAACAAATGGTACCTTATGTCACTCGTGTGCTTGAGAATGCCAATAACTGGATGGTTCATACCATGGGCTTATTGCTTCGTTCTCGTCTGGAAGCTAACAAGGGTCGTACAGTTGAACGTGCTGCTCTTCAATTACAAGCTTTGGTCGATCAAATCAAAGTAGAAGATTCGGGTGTTGAAGAACGTTTAGCTTACTTTTATGATCTTTTATTGCCCAGTAAATGGGAAATGGAGCGCGAATTAGCCCGTCGTTTTGTCTCTCTTGGTGTGGTTCGTTCCGCTGTCGAAATCTTTGAACGTCTTGAAATGTGGGAAGAAGTCATTTCATGTTATCAAATGATGGAGCAGCCTCAAAAAGCAAAGGATGTCTTGGCTCGTTTGATGGAAGAAAACCCTGATTCTCCTAAATACTTGTGTATCTTAGGTGATTTAGAAGCGGAGCCTGCTCACTGGAGAAAATCTTGGGAGATTTCTGGTCAACGTTATGCCCGCGCCATGCGAAGCTTGGGTTCTTATGAATACAAGCGTCAGAACTACAAGGCAGCTATGGATGCTTATCAAAAAGCACTTACTATTAACCCGCTCTTTGAAGGCTCTTGGTATATCCTTGGTTGTGCTGCCATGATGGTTGAGGACTGGGAAGTAGGTGCTCGTGCCTTCCAACGTGTTGTTGCTTTAGATGACGATCAACCTGAAGCTTGGAGTAACTTGGCCAGTATCTATGTTCGTATGGACAAGAAGACGGATGCCTTTTTGGCTCTCAAACAAGCAACTAAAATGAAGTTTGACAACTGGAAAATGTGGCAAAACTTGTTATTCGTCTCTATTGATGTGGGTCAATTTGCTGATGCCATTTACGCTATGCAACGTGTGGTTGAACTTCGTTGGGACAAAGTACGTGATGAAGCTGTAGACATTGGTGTGTTACGTATGATTGTTGAGAACGTGATTCAAAACTGGAAAGACCCCTTTGATCGTGATGGTGCTCGTCTTTCTCGCCATGTTCAACGTTTATTAGAAGAAGTAATCTTGAGCCGTATTACCAATTCGCCCGATATTTGGATGATTTGCGCCAAGTTCTACTTGTGGCAATGTCGATATGTTGATGCTCTCGAGACTTCTGTTAAGGCTTATCGATCTGTGATGCATGATCCTCGTATTGAAACTGAAGTTACTGTATTTGATGATGTGACTATAGTCGCTCTTGAAACTGTAGATATGTATGAAAACTTGGGTGAAAAGACAGTTGATGGTGCTCCTGTTTGTGAAGACTGGCGCTATCAATCTCGTTTAATTCTTAAGGGTCTGATGGGCAAAGTACGCGACATTTTTGACGATACCACCTCTTATGAACGATTAAAGGATCGTATGGACGAACTCAGAAATGCATAAATTACATACACATACACAAAAAAAAAATCATGTATAATATTTAAAAATAAAAAGTTTGTTAGAGAATTAAATTTTATTGTTTACAAAGAGACACAATTTACATTTTCTTGAAATTGACTTCACCTACAGGTTGTTTGCCGGTAAGACCACCCAGACCTTTTGAAGGTTGTTCAGCAATGTGATGAGCATCACCTCTTGTATTTAAAGGTTTTTTATTATTATTGTTTTTTCTTTGTTCATTACTTGTGTTGGGCTCTTTTGTTTCAAGCGAGTTATTGTCGACTTGCTCTACAGAGTCTTGTTCATTATTTCGACCAACCATTACAGGAGCATGTTGCTTGGGGTTAATGCTCATTCTAGGCTCATGTTCATTGTTGTTTTGAGTAGTATTTGCTGTTTCTGAAGAAGTGTAGGTATTGCCTTTGATATCATCATAATTCACATATCCAGAAGTAGGGTCTTGGATTAAGCCAGTATCATAATGAAGGGGGTTAGTATTATCTTGCTGATTCTTGAAATCATGTAAAGCAGTGGCGTTAGAAGGAGTTTGTTGCATTGTTTTTATTTTATATATAGATGAGCGGCTAAATTGGCTTTGTTTATATAGAAATTGATCTTTTTCTGCATCATCACCATGATATCATGAAGCTATTGTACTTACATTCATTGTAGCACTTTGTCTGGTACTACTTTAAGCCAAAATGACATAAAGAAAGTATATGCTGCCTGTAGAGCTAACAAAGCTTGAGGACATGAAAGTAGCCAAGGTTATAGATATTTAAACAGATGAAATAAATTTATCTTGTTTAGAACATGAATTAGATTGCTTATCCTCAGACAAAGAATTGATGCAAAGATAAACAATACTCGGAGCTACAGTATTTTCACTTTAAATTCAGACAATGTTAGTTTTCTCTAGACGAATCAAAATTAATCTTTAGATTTTTAGCTTACCTTTTTTGGACGAAACGAAAAAGGAAATTAGACAAATTACAGCCAATCAGAGATTTGTATGTGGACCAACCTTGACCAACCTTTTCTAAAAGTTACTGATATGCCAAAATGGAAAAGGAAATTAAAAGTTACTTCCTCCTTTAAATAATGATGCAGGATGATTATTAGCAGAGAGGTGAACACAAAAATTTGGATACACGTCAAATCATACTTTTTGTTACTCAGGCTGTTTCTTTTTTTTTTTTTTTTTATTTTTTTGCTGAGCAAAGTATGTTTATATTTTTCAGGTACTGGACAAAAGCCAGAGTTATTTTCAATTATTATAAAATACGCACAATTAAATAGACATATATCTGTAGGGTCTCAAATAAAGATTATACATCAGTGATTGAAACCCTAAATAAAAAGATAAAAAGCTGTCAGCTGTACTCTTTCTTCTTTTTTTTCTTATGGAACCTCCTCTAAAGACAACTACAGTTAAAGGTTTTATTACCGGCATTGAGTGGAAAACAAGATACATTCCAAGTTTCAAATCTCTTGTACTTAAAGTACATACTCTCGTAACACATACTTATGCACTTTTGAAGTATATTTTTACGCAAGAACTTGAAAACAACATGGATTTTGCTTTACAGGACCTTGCCAATGTTGATTTCTTTAGAGAAGTCTTTATTTCACTACTTGATAACTATAAACCAGATAAAGCAAAACGAAAAGAAAAAGCAAGAAGTTACAAGGAACGTATCAATAAGCATCGAGATACCTTTTGCCAACTCGCCTCTTATGTTCCAATCAAACTGAAATATGCGCAACAAATAGGAAGCTATGAAGCTACGAAAATCCACACTGCATACATGAATGGCGTCGCTCTTCATTTCGAGAACAGATTGCGTATGTTTTTGAACCTACTGTTAAAGAAGCAGGAAAGAATTGGCGCTTTGAAAAGTGAAATGAAAAAGAAAAATTGCACAGAAAGCGAAATCTCTACTGCAGTCAAAACCATAGCAAGCCAGTGCACCAAAGTAAAAATGAACATCTCTCTGAGGAACATCACTGAATTGCCAGCACATCTTTTTAACTTACGAGAAGTCGGCATCCTTCAACAGTTTTTTGATTGCTACCCTTCTGACACTCACTTCAAGAAGAATTCTATTTATTATGATTGTAAAGCGGACCCATCGAAGCATCTGAAGACATTTTATTATCTGACGCGATGTTCTGAATCTCTCTACAATAAGTCGTTCAACTGCTTTCCTCTGAGAAGAACATTCATAACTAGTTATATGACTATAGATACAAATATTGTAAACACTCAGATGTTAAGAAACTCTGTCATTAGCCACTTAGACAAAGAAGTAATCTGGGGAGCTGTACTGAACATGAAATCCAAAGCTATGAAGCCTCAATGAGACAATAAACAAATGAAGTTTAGAGGTACTATTTACACAGATGGTGTTGCCGTATCTATTTTGAAGCAGACCTATGACAGTAAGAAGAAAGGTTCTGGAGGCGGCATGCGAAATGATAAGAAGATAGAAGAAGACATTGCTTACATAGAAAGTCTGTCGCAAGAAAAATTTCAAGAAAGAACTTACAAAAATAATTGTGTTTTAATTGACCTCGGACGGCGTGATATGTTGTTCTGTATGCACGAAAGCAGTACCGTTGAAAAGAAAAGAACTTACCGTTATATGAGAAATCAAAGGAACATGGAAACAAAAACAAGAAAATTCATGAAACTTTGTGAAAGACTGAAACCAGAGGCCGTAAGCAATGCAGAAGCAATTCTTTCACTTTTAAAGTCATCCAAAGTCATAAAAGATCAATACGTAGAATATATAAGACAGAAAGCTACCGTGACTCAAGTTCTTCAGGAATACTACTCGAATGAAGACTTACCTTTAGAAGAACGTAACACTAATATGTTACCATTTCGAAAGCTAAAACTATCAAGCTACATTAATCGACAGCAATCTGACAAACGTCTTTGTAAGAATATCAGAAAAAACTTTGGCAACGATGCTGTTATTGTTATTGGTAACTGGTCTGCGGGGAATGTCAAGTTCCATGAACCGATTAGAGGAGTTGGCATGAGAAGAATGCTTCAAAAAGAAGGTTTTCTGGTACACCTGATTGATGAATTCAAAACATCCAGTATATGCCCGGTATGTAAAGGTGATGTAGAAACTTTCAAAGAAATCGTGAATCCAAGGCCCTTTAGAAGGGAAAAATATCCAACCGTAAAACGTCATGGTCTTTTAAGATATGAAACTTTTAATTATGCTTAGTTTATTGATAATGTTTGTATGTCGTCTAGGTATAAAAATGAACAATGCTTGAAAGAAGATCGTTGTCTTTGGAACAGGGACTTACTCGCCACCCTCAACTTTTGTGAGATTCTCTTTAGTTTATGTGACCATGATGCAAGACTGATTTATTTTCAAGAATCAGCCAAGCAAAGACCAAAAAAAAACAACAGAAAAGACAAAGATCTTCTTCTATTGAAAAAGACAGTAGAAAAAGACAATAACAAATCCGAAGTAGTTATCGCTGCTTTCAATCCATGATACAGGGTGAGTTCATTATTTTAATTTTATTTTTCACTTCATCTGAAAACTAATTTCCATTTTGTCTAATTTCCTTTTTCGCTTTGTCCAAAAAAGGTAAGCTAAAAGTTTAAAGATTAATTTTGCTTCGTCTAGAAAAACGAACATCGTCTGAATTTATAAAAGTTATTCATGCAGCAAATGTTACACTTTGATACTTTCATCTTTTCGTGGTACAATCAATCATTTTAAATTTTAATTAATCTTTATGATTGTATGATCGTAGTAAATAGCAATACAAGTCATAGCCAAGGACAATAATACTTGTTGTCAAAAGAGTAACAAACAAAATAGGAATGAGTAACATAAGACCAATGGCTAACGAAGAAAACACGAAAAACATCCAAATAAAACTGGTTACAGCTGAGGTCAAGAAGATGACAGTAAACATAAATGACAAGAAAATGAGTATTGGCACAGCAGAAATTAGCGCAAAGATATAAAAGCCAAAACGGAACTCTTCACTATCATGCAAGTTAGTCTATGTGTTTGTATTTGCCTAAGTATTTACTATGACCAAAACTTGTTTACTTTTGTTAATATCGCGTCATAACATGCTTGCGGTTGACTATAAAGACTATGCAATAAATCTCTCCAACTTTCTGCCCTGGGACAAGGTTCTGTATTGAAAATTGGTTTCTTTTCGGTTTGTGATTTTACTTGTTGTGTTTGTGACATTGGCAGTACTATGAGAGAGAAGGAGAAGAAGAAGTGGAAAAAAAAATATAAAACACAGCATTCAGTTTGTAAATTTTTTGTTTCTCTAAATGATGTCACTTAATCCTAAAATACATTTTGTTTATTTTGCTTAAAGAAAACAATAACTTCTTAGCCCACTTTCCTGTTTAAAAACGTCTAAAAAGGGGCAGGAGCATGTTCGTGATATGCTCATGAACATTTTCTTTTTTGTTGGCAAGAACATGTTTATGCTTCAATTAATCAGTTCTCGTCATGATTTCCTATTGAATGAACTCCCAGAAAAGGCATTTGAATCCAAAGCCAGATGAACTGAATGTTGATTCGGAGTCACAGATATGTAATCGAGACCTTATTTCATTTGATGCTGATATTGCCTGAAATAACAGGATTGAATCAAACAATCATTCCATCATAAAAAAACAAACAAACAAACGATTCTCATTTGGAAGTGATACAAGGTTTCTCTTATTATACGAACGGGCAGTCTAGTATACTTGTTCTGCCGTACAGCTTTCAAGGATTAATGATAAAATTTACGACAACTAAACACTTTAAGAAAAGTAGCTGCATTGTATATTCACACAAAAAAAGCACTAGTGAAATGTTGAGTGTGTGTTAAAATGCGAACATGGCTCATGCACGATAGACTTTCAGGCCACCAATAGAAAAGGAAATGCTGAAAGAATACACAATCAAAATAAACTTTTTTCTTTATTACTTGAATGAGATAAACGATGTCAATTTTTGCTGAACCAACTTCCAATACTAGACTTTTTGCTATCATCACCTCCTCTTTCAGGGATTTCAATCTTAGGAATACGATGCTCTCCTAACTTCTCTACCACAATATGAACTCTGCCACCATCCAATACATCATCGTTTTCATTAGCCTTGGCCACTAAATTAACTACCTTGCGTTCTACTTCATATTTAATACTACGAGCACCATAACGAATATTATATCCCTTAGCAATGACATCTACTACTTCAGGATCCCAAGTAATTGCAATGTTGTGTCGCGTTCTTGCCTTTTCTGCCCATCTAGATAATTCTCTTGAGGTTATTTCTCTTAATTCTTCTTCACTGAAAGGTAAAAAGAACAAGACTTCGTTGATACGTCCAAGGAATTCGTCGCGGTGGAAATGATCATAGAGAATGGGATAGATGGTTTTGTCAATAAACTGACGGGATAATGATATTTGGCGTTCACCTGCCTTCTCTTGTTGTTGCTGCTGTTGTTTGGGTTCAACAACAGTAGCAGTGCCTGTAGATTGCGCATCTGAAGACACAGAGGCTTCAAGTCTCAAGAGTTCAGCTTCATCCGCAATTTCATGTTGAGCCAAGTTGGAAGTCATGACAAAAATAGCATCTTTGCATTCAACCGTAGTGCCTTTGCCGTCTGTAATACGTCCTTCATCAAACAATTGAAGCATGATAGTCAATACGTCAGGATGTGCTTTTTCAACTTCATCAAGCAGGACTACTGCATTTGGACCTATGCTGGTTGTTAGCAGCGCTCTAATGTATACTGTAGAACTTACATTCTTTGAGTTTCTCCGTCAATTGACCACCTTCTTCATAGCCCTATTTGAGTCAAGTAATTAAGCATGGACAAGCAGAAATACGCACTGATACTTACAACATAGCCTGGAGGCGAACCAATAAAACGGGATACATCATGCTTGTGCTGAAATTCACTCATATCAATCCGAACAAATCCTTTGTCAATCTGCTTGCCATGAAGATGCTGCGCCAATGCTAATATATATACATAAATATCGTTTTAAAAATACGTGTGATTACCTTTGGCCAACTCTGTTTTGCCTACACCAGAGGGACCACAAAACATAAATACCAAAGGATGCTCTTCATCATGCCAGCCATTTTGTTTGCGTCGAATGGCACTTGCAAGCGCATGAATAGGACCTAATTGACCCACAATACGAGCCTTTAAAGCGTCTTCTAATGGGTGTTTTTTGCGGTATTCTTTTTCTCTTTGAAGTTGTGCTTTACGTTGACGTTCATCATGCTCAGCCTTATCTTTAGGATACGAAGTTTCCTTCTCTACAAAATAAATACACTGATTCCATAGAACTCACAACTTACGATGCAACATTTCTTCAATCGACGTGTTTTGTTCGCCAGTAAATCTCTCAACGTAATACAAGTATTCACGAGGTGTCAATCCATTCGAGTTACGCACAAGTGGATCTGCTAAACGATCCAGCAGCATTTTTACAATGGTCGGATTACAAATAATAACAGCATAATGAAGTGCTGTATATTCTCGGTAATCACGATAAGGCAGTAAGTCTTCTGAGAAATCAACTTGACGGATATTGGCAGCTTGATGAGATCTAGGGTAGTATTGATCCTGAAGATTTGGGTCTTGTAAAGAGTAAGCACTCGCCTTGTCAAATCACTATTACCTGCTCCTTTTTCAAGTAAGAACTGAACCATTGGCTCATTATCCTGAATGACAGCAACTTGCTGCAGATACATAATGAGTTTATTTATTTATCACATGCTAACGTAACTTACCAATGGTGTCCACCCATAACGATGATATACATTGGGTGTGAAATTAGGATCTTCTGCTAGTCTATACTATAGAATTAGAAATAAGAAAGAGGAGTGTCTACTTGCTTTTTTAATGTTTTCATATCGTTCTGAACAATAGCTTTACACATAGTATCTCCTAAAGCTGATATAAATGTTAGAGAAATAATTATATGTCAAGTTACTTACATTCATTTGCTTCTAAAGCAAACACCTGAGTACCTGATAAGCTCAAAGCAGCAACTGAAGTAGCAACTAAGGCTGTTGCTTTCCATAAACGAGGAACGTTTCGCGTTTTTGGTTGTTGGGTAACTATGGAAGCCGTTGCCATAGTTCTGGCTGTTCCCATCCATCGTGCATTTATAGGGCGAGTATATAATTTGGGTAACTTTTTTAACCTAAACATTACAAAAAAAAAAGAGAAGAAAAAAGAAGAAAAGAAAAGAAACATACGCATAACAAACGATTGTTTTGGCAGCTGAGAACAAAAAGGTGTGGTCGTGTATCTGAACTGAGATTGAATCAGGAACGACATACAATTCTAAAAGTGGCAAAGACAAGAGAAAAGAAAAAGTGCACATCTGTTCTTAGCACAAACAACTCCTAGGCTGAGACTACCCACACACAAAGAAGTTTTAGATAGAAAGATACAAAAGTTAAATAGTATAAATTTATTATTATCAGTCTTTTTGAATTGCTTCAAATTGGTGATGTTGGATGGTAATTCTTTGCTTTTCACTTTATGTCAACATTAACTCTTCTGCTTTGATTTTCCGAACAAGGAGTTGGTGCTGGAAGTCGACTCCTAAAATTTAAGGAGTTTGATTGATTAGCTTATCACAAGAAATAAAATGCATCCATGCCTCAACTTGCACTTCGGAATTGCTTCAAATGCCTCAATGAATCACTAGACACATTTTCTGTGTTGACACGGACACATACTTCTTCCATCGAACAAAGATGAAAGATATGTTCAGAGGGTTGGTTTATGATCAAACACCTTATTCTCAGCCCTATAATAAAAAAAAAAAGTAGAACATTTTAAAACTCATGGCAATTGCAATTTTGCAATCATGCAAAAATAGTTGCTTTTTTTTACAAGACAAAAAAACTGAAATTATGATACTGTAATTATGCATGAATAGAAGGGGGAATTTACAATTTGATTATGTTACAAAAGAACTATTCGACTGCATCACCAATACCGTCCTCCATAATAGAGAATGTGCATTCAGTTTCAGGTAAAGAAGGCGAATCGTAGATCTTACATATACGATTTTCGCCACGTCCCTTGCGAAGATAAAGTCTAGTGCAAGAAGCATGTGCAATAATGTTACCTCCAGCAGGCTTCTTGGGGTCTGGGTTGAACATGGAAGCAGCACCATCTACTTGGGCCACAACTTGATTTGTAATCACAACAGCTACACCAAATTCATCAGCCAGTCGTTGTAATTGACGCAAGAATTGAGCTAAATGAGTTTGACGAGCGGCCAATTCACCACGACCAGCGAAATCAGTACGATAAAGGTGCATAGCAGAATCCACAATTAGCACAGAAAATCGAGCTTCAGACATCATGGCTGCTGCTTGAATCAAGAGAGAAGTTTGGTGATCTGTATTAAAGGCGCGAGCATAAGCAATATTGTCAAGTGTTTCTTCTGCATCCAATGAATATCGTTGTGCTATAGAGGAGATACGGCTAGTTCTAAAGGTATTTTCTGTGTCAATAAATAAGCATTTGCCTTGTCCTCCACCCATACTGATAGGCAGCTGCGCAGTAACAGATAGCATATGGCATAACTGACTCTTTCCTGTTCTAAATTCACCAAAAATTTCTGTAATAGATCCAGTCTCAATACCACCACCTAATGCACGATCAAGTTCTTTGGAACCTGTTGTGATATATACAATTTCTTGTCTACGTTGATGAACATCCATCGCAGTAGTAAAACCCATATTCACAATCTTGGAAGCTATTGCAATTTATCAATATCAACAAACTATGCTTATTTTCTTTTTTTTTTACCTTCTGCCAAAAGACGATCTGCTTTGGTTTCTGAAATACCCTTAATAGCAAGTAAGGCTTTCTTGGGTGCATAAGCAATGGACTCTACAGTATAGAAACCAGCATCTTTTAACTTTTTGACATCGGTTGCTGAAATACCACATTCCTGTTTGATCGATCAGCAACTCACTTTTTGAAAGTACAAAGAAAAAAAAAGGATACATACTTCAAGCTTGGATATACGTAAATATCCAGCGTCTTCTTCTTCATTAAATTGACTCTGGGACATGATAAATCAAGATATTAATAACTATGTGTCAAAAGAAGAAGAAGAAGAAGAAAAAAAAATTCTCCAACTGATATTGAGTGCTTGGAGCTGCGCGAACAGATCGGCATGTAAATTATGATAGCTCAATCAGGTTGCCATGGCAACCATATTTTTTCATCCGCAGTCTGACATTTGATTTCGCAGTTTGATGGTTTCAAGCGAACTCTACCATAATATCAAGTATGCCTTGCAAACAAATGCATTCTTCTTACACATAGATGAGCAATCAATATGTCAGAAACATACATACTGTCTGGCTGCTAAAGAACTTGTAATTCCATTCGGCTCATTACACACCTAATATGCTTTTGATTCTTAATTTATGCCTTTTCCGAGCATCAGACATATTATGCGATCTTAGATTATAGCCTGAACTTTCTTAAATAAGCCTCTAACATGAACTACCTTTCTTCCTCAAATAAATTCAGTAAACAATTCATTAGCACAACAATAACATTAGCGGTAGATGAACCATCATTTCTGGCTTCCAATTCCCTTTTTTTGAGTTTCCATGCTTGAGCATACATAAAAGAGCATATTTATGCAAAAACATTGTAAGTTTTGATAAAGTCAAGAAATCGTCATTTTGCCCTTATGATACCCTGTAAAAGTTTATATTTATTTAAAAGGTTTTGAAGACTGGGCCCTATAGGGTAAATGTCTAACCATCAGTTCAAAAAAAGAAGACTACAAAAAAACCATAGAGTGATAAATATAAGAAAAAAGGGGCAGGAAACATAGACGATGATGTACTATAGTCTATACAGGTAAGAAGAGATAAGAAAGAAAAAAAATAAAAGGAAAAGACAGGTGCATAATGGAAGTATAAACACCACAGGACGGAGGAGAAAATTAGCTGTCGGTCTGTACTGGATATAGCGAGGGTATTAGTCAAAGGAGAAAAGTCAAGCCAGAGGTATCTTTTTCTTCGCTTGATAAGGTCTTGTTGGGAAGATCCATACTCTCAATTTCAAGAAGTAGTTGGCAAATGATTGGCCACCAATTTGACCATCGTATGTGACGGTAAAGTCTTTGAGCTTGTAGGCTTGGAGGGCGTGATATTCTAGGCAATTGATTCAAGACACAATCAATTGGATTAGGCTGTATATCAGCTGGTAACCGCAAGCGTTTAGCAGCGCGCAGGTAACCCAGTACATGTCTTCTACTGATAGGTGATGAGCCACATGAGCAAGTAGAGGTGTATTTTGAAATCTACCCAAGGCGCCAAGAGGATCCTTTGACGGTCATAAATCGACATAGGCAGCAGCAAGATAGGAACAATCCAACCAACAAAGGGCCTACAGGCAGAGATGAGGACAGGGGCATTTATTTGTGTACGAAGAGCATCCAAATTACGCTGACGAAGTCCCAAAAGTTGCTTCTTGGCGTTTCCATCGGCTTCGACCCAAACGGAAGGCGTATTATAGCTATTGCTAAGTTTCTTATGATACCCTTTACAAAATCGTCACTATATTGCAGCTACCAGATGATAAGTGTGGATTCTGTGGTCTAACACAAACTTCCGAGCACTTGTTGTTTACATGCACGGTCAACAAAGACATCTGGACAAATGCTATCAATTTGTTCTTCGAGCACGCTTCTCGTTTCTCTCTTTCCCAGCTTTACCTAGATGTAATAGCTTTGAACATTGATCATTACCAACTACTAGATACACATCTTCGCCTCAATTGCTTTGGAGTTCTCTCTGCTGTCTTCTCCTCTATTTGGAACACGTACTGGCGCAACCACTTTGATGCTCACTTTTATGATGGTCGTTATACTTGACGACGCCATCAAAACTATACGAAAATTATCCGCTTTTAAATACTTGTAAATTCTGCCTTTTTGAGACAAGTCACTGGTTCTTGCACTTGTTCTCTTTCCTTATATCCCCTTTTTTGATGAGTTAAATAAAATTAAGTTTTTACTTTTCACTATTTTGTGAGTGGGGACCGATAGAAACGTTTTTGATATGACATGACTTAGTACGAATTGCTTCTCTAGGTCTATAAAACACATTCAAAATGTTATATCTGCAAAAGTACTATAAAAGGTGTACACTACAGCTTAAAAATAGAAAATACTTTTTTGAAAGATAGCTCTATATTTTACCAACAGATATACTATGTTCTTTATATCATTCAATGAGCCGTGTCTATATCTATCATTTTTGTTAGTACACTTTCTTGATAGCTATTCGTTTTTAGACACTTTAAATCCATCATTTCTCTTGAGTGTCTAATTTTTTTTTGCATTGGATGAAAGTTTTATAAAATCATCGTATAAATGGAAACTAGTGTATGTAAAGCAAAGTGACTAGCTATATGAAATATCTTTAAAACAATGCTTTTGTGGAAGCATTCCGTACGATTACATGAGTCTTATATAATCCCAAAGAAAATAGCTGTCATCTGGACTACTCCTCAATATGTCCTAAAAAATATATTAAGTTTTTCGTTCGTTGCTCCTTAGAGTCAGTACTCTTTATATCTTGTCTTGTTTAATGCTACAGATGGCAATACCAATACCACAAGTAAAAGACATCATTTCAAAATGCCTTCAATTACTTGGCACTTGGAACTTGACACAATTGTTGATACATAAGAGATACAGCCTTCCACAAGGGATTATAGCAAAATCCGGAGCACCACCAAGAGTGGCCAGACCAGTGTATTAAAAAATTCTTTAGACGAAAGAAAGGTGTGAGTGTCTAAATATGCGATTACTAATTCAAACTCAGAATTTCTTTATGCTAAGCTTTAAGGCACGTCAACTTTTTTCTACAATACTCTTTCTTGTTGCATTTAAAAGAGTTCATGTAGAATTAGATACTAGTAACTGTTGCCTTAACTTCATTGATGTAAACGCCATATTCCTTTCTAATGAACTACGAGTTTTTTTCTTAGCTATTGACATTTATACTAGATAATGGACTCATCAGTATATAAATGAAAAAAAAAAGCGTCAGTTGTATCTAAAAATTGTTTTCATGCTGTTATATGCATTTTGATGTTAGTTTCTCGGTCAATACTGATCCAATTCTAGATCTGCTTATATTGATGGAGGTTTCTGAAAGAGAGCCTTAAAATGAAGTATTATGACTACTGATATAGCTTCAATTGAGACAAAAAACAACGTTCTTTAGAAAGGATAAATTAATTCGATAGCCAAAAAACGATAGTTTAGCCTTTAAAGTACTTTTTGATCCGAAGGATGAGTTGGTGATGTCTCAGGCTACTCTTAAAATCAAAAGTCGTAGAATAGCTAAAAGGTAGCTCGAAACAAAGTTAGGTTGATTTCGTGTCTTAACTAAAAGACCCTGTGTGCTAAAAACAATTAACCGAAAAAGAATATGCTCTTTTTATCATTCAACCCCAGAGCTAGGCTTGACATCTCGATGCAGCAAAATCGTTTTCTATGAATGCAAAGAAATACATTCTTCATTGCATATATTGCAACAGAAAAACTAAGTGCATGGTTTTGACTTATTTTCAAAGCCTTAGAGTTAGGAATAAAGTTTATCTTTAGTAAGAACACTATCATTTTTGATTGGCCTATTAAAAAAAAAATATGAGCCCATCCTAACTGCAGTAATTCATTATCCGAATTTTCGTCTATTTTTCTTTTCTTTCTATCCAAGGCTAATCTCAATACACACTATGAGCAAACGACTACGCCTAAAAGCTCTCTTTTCCCGTAAAGCAAAACAAGAACTAGAAGACGGGCAAGTCGAAAAAGAGATACAGAGAACAGAGTCTACGTCTTCCTATATGCAAAAAAGACGCAGAATATATGTCAATATGAAGCCACCACCTTCCGAATATGACGAGAAAGGAAGATTAATTGATCATTCTTATGTACCTAATCGAATACGAACAGCAAAATACACACCATTATCATTTATACCAAAAAACTTGTTTGAGCAACTTCGTAATATCGCCAATCTTTATTTCTTATTTCTCATCATTCTTCAATGCATTCCTATATTTGGTGTAGCGGAGCCAGCCGTTTCTGCACTGCCGATCATCGCGATTTTAATTATCACTGGTATCAAGGACGCTATTGAAGACGCCAAACGAAACAAAAGCGACCAACGCGTGAATAGAGCCAAGACACTGACACTGGTTCATTGGACCAATGTGAATGTACCTCAAGAACAAAAAAGTAAATTCCATGTGTTACATGTTATCTGGGGATTCTTTTGTACACTAGCGGGTGTGGATAATCAATTTACGCATGCCTATCGTATGTTCCTTGTGAAGGACAAGCCAATTCAAAAAGTCGATTTAGATTTTGATGAACCATTGAATCAAGTAGACGATGAACCTGTTGTTGTTCAATCACCCATAGAAGAGCATGTGAATGTGCCTCAATCACCAGCAGTCAAATTCTATGATAAAGTGAGGCAGCGCTCAGATACCCTTCGTTCAGAATTCAGCAATATGTTCAAGCCGGGATCTACTAAAAAAAAGATTTATCGACCAGGCACCATTCCACACTCTGTATTACACCGTGCGCCCACACGAACAAGCGGGCGCCGATCTTCCTCTATTCATCCAGGGAAAACCAATTGTTCCGACCTATCGGCCGGAGATCCTCCAGCACCTGATTGTAAGGTAGGATGGCAACAAGTTCAATGGCAGGACGTTCAAGTAGGTGACTATGTCATGATTCGAAACGATGAAGATGTACCTGCAGATATTATTATCTTGTCCACATCTGAAAAAGATAATCTGTGCTATGTTGAAACACAAAATTTGGATGGTGAAACCAACCTTAAAGTACGACAAGGACTAAAGGCTACAGGGGAATTGCGTACAGTGCATGATTGTGAGCGCGCTTATTTCTATTTTGAAAGCGAGCCACCCAATGTCAATCTGTATCAGTACAATGGTGTCATGCGTTGGGATATTGAGCAACCTGATGAAGAAGCAACGACAGTTTCGCACCAAAAGACAGAAGCAGTAACTTACAACAATTTGTTATTAAGAGGCTGTGTGTTAAGAAACACACGATGGGCCATTGGTATTATTGTATTCACAGGTGATGAGACAAAAATCATGTTGAATTCTGGCAGAACCCCGTCTAAAAGAAGTAAAATGTCCAAATCTACCAATCCATTTGTAAGTGAATTTGCATGGAAAGCCTGAATAGTTACACGAATATACATAGATCTTTGCTAATTTCTGTGTTTTGGCCATTTTGTGTATTGTCAGTTCTGCTTTGGCAAGTGCTGAGTTTAATGCGCCTGGTTCATCTCGCTATTTTGATTTTGGAATTGAGGGAAACAGTGCCTCTTATCTTGGGTTTATTACATTTTGGTAGATATTGGCTGCAAAACTCTAATAGACTAACCTGTATATAGGGTCACATTGATCTTGTATCAAAATATTGTGCCTATTTCTTTGTATATTTCTGTCGAAATTGTAAAGACAGTATCTGTAAGTTACCTATATTCTATGGTTGCTTTCATCTTACATGTCTTATAGGCCTATTTCCTCTATGCAGATTTAGACATGTATTATGCACCAACAGACACACCTTGTATTCCAAAAACATGGAATATCTCTGACGATCTCGGTCAGATTGAATATATTTTCTCAGACAAGACAGGCACACTCACTCAAAATGTGATGGAATCAAGAAAAGCAACTATCAATGGTAGTTCCTATGGTGTCGGAAAGACAGAGGCATCTGTAGGTGCAGAATTGCGTCGCGGATCTTATGTATCAGAAAAAGAACTCAATCAAGAACATCAACATATGGATCAAGCCAGAGAAATCATGTATCAAAAACAAGCACAACTGTTTGAGAACAAGTATATAGGCAACAATCCTACTTTTGTGGACCCTAAATTATATGATGACCTTGAAAAGAATGACAATCATGCTGCAACCATGGCTCACTTCTTTACGACATTAGCACTCTGTCATACGGTGATTGCTGACCGACCTGATAAAACCAACCGTCATTTGATTGAATACAAGGCACAATCACCTGATGAAGCTGCTCTTGTTGCATCAGCTCGCGATTTAGGTTTTGTGTTTCTAGGAAGAGAGTCCAACACCTTAACAGTCGAGATTATGGGCGAACGAAAAAAGTACGAATTGTATAATGTGTTGGAATTTAATTCGACTCGAAAGCGAATGAGTGTGATCGTCAAACCGCACGATAGTGACAAGATCGTCTTGTTGTGCAAAGGTGCTGATTCTGTCATTTATGAACGCCTTTGTACTGATTTTGGAGATCAACATGAGCTGGCCGAATCTCAAGAAGATTTAAGAGAAACAACCTTACAGCACTTGGAAGATTTTGCAAATGAGGGACTTCGTACACTCTGTTTATCTTATCGATTTATTTCACAACAAGAATACAAAGCATGGAACAAACAGTTTCAAGAAGCAAGCGCTGCTATCTATAACCGTGATGAAAAGATTGATAGTGTATGTGAGGAAATCGAGACTCAAATGTTATTGATGGGAGGTACAGCTATTGAAGATCGCCTTCAGGATGGTGTGCCAGAGACCATTGCTGAATTATCTCAATCGGGTATTAAACTCTGGGTACTCACAGGCGACAAGACAGAAACAGCTATCAATATCGGGTTTTCTTGTAATTTGATTACTTTGGACATGGAGTTAGTAGTTGTTAGAGCAGATGATCGGGATAGTACACTTGCCGAATTAGAGAAAGCATTGAACAAAATAGATCAAGTCAACGGAGAAAGGAAATGTGCTTTGGTGATTGATGGTGTTACGCTTAAATATGCTTTAGAGCCGCAGACAAAAGACTTAATGCTTGATCTAGGCATACGTTGTGCTAGTGTCATTTGTTGCCGTGTAAGTCCTAAACAAAAAGCACAGGTAGTTCGATTAGTTAAGAAAGGTCTTGGCGTCATGACATTGGCTATTGGTGATGGTGCAAATGATGTCTCTATGATTCAAGAAGCCAATATAGGTGTTGGTATTTCGGGCGTAGAAGGCAGACAGGCCGTGATGGCATCCGATTATGCAATTGCACAATTTAGATTTCTGCAAAAACTATTGCTTGTTTATGGCCGATGGTCTTATCTTCGCATTGCTGAAATGATTATGGGCTTCTTTTTTAAGAACATTATATGGACGTTTGTGTTGTTTTGGTACCAAATCTTTTGTCAGTAAGTATCACTATGAGAATGTAAGACCATTTTGACTTAGTTCTGTGTAGATTTAATGGCTCTATGATGTTTGAATATGTGCTCGTAACACTCTACAATGTCGTCTTCACTTCTTTACCCATAATCTTTATGGGTATTTGGGATCAAGACCTGAATTCAAAAATATCTAGTCTCTACCCTGAATTATATCGCATGGGACTTCGTAACGACAAGTTCAAACCATGGCGATTCTACCTTACTGTATTTGATGCTATCTTTCAATCCTCTGTCTGTTTTTTCTTTCCTTATATTCTCTTACTAGGAGGCCCTATTGATCCCCAAGGAAGAGATCAAAACGGCATGTATGAATTTGGCACCATCGTTTCTAGTATTGTGGTGATCGTAGCCAATCTTTTTGTCATGACATCACTCTATAGCTTCACATGGATCCAAATCTTGGTGATTTCATTGTCTATCTTGGTCTATTATGCCATTGTGTGCATTTATGCCCAGTTCAACTCTTTTATTTTTGCTGGCCATGATATCTTGTTTGGTACTGGCTTTTATTGGATGATTTTGATTTTGACTATCTGTACATGTTACATTCCTCGTATCGCTGCTAAACACTATTTGCATCAATATCATCCATACGATAATGATATTGTACGTGAAAGAGAACTCGTCTTGCATAATGGAAGGACATCTCAAGCCATCACGAAAGGAAGTAGTCTAGAGACCAAAACAGAACAAGAAGATGCACCAAAAGCATCCAATACTATTGTGGAGACGGATCCAGAACCAAAAGTGACTCGTAGAAGACCTTCTTCTATCAATGATACTATTTTAGAAGCTTAAAAATAACGCATAGACCCTTTATTGTGATACATATTCTATTTGTACTTGTAATTATTTAAATGTATTTAGAATAAAAGTTTACATATCATCTTAAAAAAGGTATAAATAAGTAGCAACGTCAATAACACTGTATAAATCAAAGTTGATCGGCGAGCCCATGGTCTAAAGGTAAGTTCTTTGGGAAAAAACTTGGGCCGCCAATTTTCAGGGCAATAATAATTATACTATAGAAGATATAAACAATACTGTTTTGCTAAAGACCAACTTACATAACAATTTAGTTTAGGATCATTTTCTAGTGTCCACTGCACCATCCATTTAAATTCGTAAGAACGAACAAATGTCTTTGCTCTGATTCCCATGGCATGAATATTATCATACGAACAAAACATTTTTCCTTCTATCACTGCCTTCTTCTCTTCTGGAGTCAAAAATCCTTCTTTGCTTCCTTGTGCCAGCTTGGGTTTATACATTTCTAGAGGTGGTTTTTGTGTTGCTTGTGTCTTGGAAGAGCCAGATACATCGGTAAATATTCCATCCATATCTGTGACCTTGATAGACCATTGAGCCTGATGATACATAGACAAAGAAACGTACCTTAAAGATAGTATGTATTAATTCATAGGCTTCTCTTAATTGTACTAATTGGCTTGATGCTTTATTGGAGTTACTATCCATGCGTGCCATAATTGCATTATGAAGCATAGAGAGTGTCTTAAGTAATGCTTCAGATCTTGGTTCAATGTCATTGGAATACAGTCCTCTTGGTCTCCATACTTCTCCTTCAATTTGCCCAAGCAAATGGAAAGCAATCTTGAATTTATCAAGTACAAGGAAATCCATCTGCTCTGTACCATAACAGAGATTGGAAATGTATTTGAAAGGATCCGATATGCTGTTAACTGCCACACTCAATGCAACACCAGGTCGTATGGCTTTGAGTCCTTGTTCAGCACAAGCCAAAAAATCCACTAAGTTTTCGGCTTTCAGTACATTGATAATGCGATACAAGATACGTAAATTGCCTCGAATGGTTGTTTGGTCTCCATATGATGTAGTAGTGCTTATCATTGATGTAGATGGTTGTGGCATGGCATCTTTATACATAAATGTACTTGTACGCTGTAAGAATATGTCCACCAACAACACATAAAAAGGAAGATTTTCTAACATCCAAGGCACCCATCCTTGAGCAATTGGTGCATAGTGTACTTTTTCAGCACTGGTAGGTTGTTCGCCTAATTTCCATGGTGCGGACCAAATGGCCCATAGTTCAACGACTGCAATATAATCATCATGGTGACTCCAATTCAACGCTAATCGTGATATCAACATATACAATTCATTCTTGACCGTTTGATACACTTCAGTCAAAACAGGATTCGAACCGTGCATGCATTGTCTCAAATCATGTCGAGTAATGTATTTGACAAAGGCAGTAATGAACTGCATGAATTCTGTGCTCAACTTTTGGTTGGGTGCTACCCAAGGTGTACGGATCCATAATTCAACACAGGCATCCAAAAAGAAAGTATTCACAAATTTTGGGAATGTGGCATTTGATGTCAGGGGCATAAAATAGGCTGCATATTCCTCAAAGATAGCACCGTACACACTAAGTGTGATGGATCGTACATTACCGAGTATTTGGTATTGAATTGAGGTAGATGTGGTAGTAGAGACTGTCGTATTTGTATTGTTATAGAGGGAAGGTATTCTGGGCGTGGCATGGAGGCCAGGATTGGATGGTGTTGGTGGTTGTGGCAGTGTGGGTTGAGCCAATGGTGGCCAAGTAGGTACATGTAGAAAATAAAACAGATAGAGTTGAATCATGTTGAGTCGAATGACTCTTTCTCCACCTGCATTTGAAGGTAGTAGTGTTGATTGTCGTGTAGCTGCTGCTCGTAAATCAATAGTGTTGGATTGAGAGGCAATATTGACATAAGAACAATTACTGTAGACTCGAGGTAGTAATTGAATAGCACCTGCTGAGAGGACTTTTTTTACATCTGCCTAAATACGCATTGTGTTAGCTAAGATGGCTTAATTTATGTTATTATTTACAGGAAGACTGTCGGTGACTAAATCATACGAGTATTCAGAGTGAAAGCTTAGTTTTTTCAATGCTTGAATAAATGAACCATTGACTGAAAGTAAGCTTTTAATAGCTTGTTCTTGTGGAGCAGGTATATCTGTCTGAATCCAACCTCTACGGTCTGTGAGTAAGCATAGTATATACTATTCTGCTTACCTTGTATTGGGAGCACCAAAAATATAGACCAAAAGTGTTGGTAAAAAAGTATAGAGTGGTCGTGCAGAATAAGATGATATTTTGTTTGTCGCATTGATATACAATTCACAATAGCTTGTGATATACTCGCATATACCAATAACGTTGCGATCTTGAAAGACTTTGTTGTTCTCCATAAACAATCTAATTTTAATTTATCAAGGGAAGACAATAATAATAAAAAAGTGCAGGAACGCGACAATTGGCGTCTTTTTTTTTTTTTTTTTTTGAGTAGGCGATCGAGTCTCACGATGATTTTCCAATGGAAATGGAAATTCCCGCTACTGAAGTCAAAGAAAAGTTTTTTTCCCCTTTCAGCGCAAAGCATAGATATTGACCGCTGCAGTCTCATAAGTGTAAATCACTCAAGAAGAATAGATATTTCATTATAGAATACTCAAGTTCTATTTATCACAACAAGGAGTTATTCAAAATATAAAAGAACAATAGTTCTTTTCATTCAGATCATTTTATAGCGAGAAATTCATAGCAAAATGTGTATGACTTGCTTTTAAAACAATTGACAGTTAGCGGACATTAAACCAAATCAATAATTCCACCCTCCTTGTATCTCTTCTCTTCCTTTTTTTCTTCAAGTATTTTCAATGTCTGTTTTATCTCTGAGTAGGTGTTTATGCTTAAAATAAGCCTTATTCATAACTAACATATCTACAAAAAAAGCGTCTGCTTTGAAAGCCTTTCAACCCTTTAAACAAGCAACTAGTCTTCGAGTTTTACAGTCAAGGTAACCGAAAAAAATTTTTTTTGCTAATAGTTAAACCTCAAAATAGCTTCTCTACTTCAGTACGTCAGTTAGCAGAACAACCTACACCCGAAAGACCACAAATAGGTGCTTCTTCCTTGTTTGATAATGTTCAAGTCGAAACTCAAGAAAAATTAGCACAACAAGATGAAACATTGGCAGAGAAGCAAGTATGTCTTTACTAGAATGGATATATGTGGTTTTCTAATTCTATCATAGTATTCATTCTCTTCTGCCAATTTCAAGACGAGCCCACGTAAATTAAATATGCTTGCTCGTCAAATTCGCAACCTTCCTATTGATGAAGCTATTCGACAAATGGAATTTTCTGATAAACGTTCAGCTAAAAAGATCTTACACAACTTGGCCTTTGCTAGAAAGAATGCTACTGATCAAAAGGGAATGCAAAATTTGGTTGTCTGTAAGTGATTTTCTGACAATAGAATGCATTAACTCATACTTCTATAGCTCAAGCTTGGGTTGGAAAGGGAAGATACATTATGCGTATTAAGCCTCATGGCCGTGGTCAATTCGGTGTGATGCATCATAAACAAGCTCATATCAAGTTCATCTTGAAAGAAGCAGAGACTAAATCTACTGACAAGGCAGATAGAAGAAATATCAGAGGCTGGAAGAACTCCAAAAAGACCTGGACTCAATTAGATGAAACAAAACCTATTTACAATCCCAAACCTTTTTACAACTGGTAAAATTTAATAAAAGATGTATATCATAAACCTGTCAACTAGAAGAAATTTTATTCAACCAATGAGAACCCATATCGTGTTGCTTATACTCGAGTATAATAAAGAACTTGTATGAACTTAATAGAAGTAGAAATGCATAGTTTACAAGTCACTTTCTCTGTTGACTAGAGTTTGACAAAAGCTACATCCATAAACGGTCCTTTAATCTTTATTATATTTTTAATTGCTATTTTCTTTCTTTTTTTTTCTTCTTCTCTTTTTCTTTCACTCAACTTTTTTTAAAAAATGTTTGCAGAACTACGTCGAATGAATGTGCGACAGGTGAATATCAATGGTGATTACACATAAAGATATTAACGCGTTGATAATAGGTTGCCCTGCAGTTCCTGAATATTCTTACAGTAGCAGCCTCTGCTTTTATGATATGGAAAGTAGTGTCTATTGTCACTAATACAGAAAGTCCTGTTGTTGTTGTATTAAGGTATATATCATACACAAATCACAGTATTAACATAATATTCAGTGGAAGTATGGAGCCTGGTTTTCAACGTGGTGATATTCTTTTCCTTACACTCCCTAAAAATGATCCTGTGGAAATCAACGATATCTGTGTCTTTAAATTACCAGAAAGACCTATTCCCATTGTTCACAGAGTAGTCAAGATTCATGAAGAGTAAGTTTGACATTCTATTGCTGTACTCATTTTATGTTAGTAACAAGACAAAGAAAGAATATATCTTGACAAAAGGTGATAATAATGCTAGAGATGATCGTGCTTTGTATGATAGAGGACAAATGTGGATCCATAGAGAACATGTCGTTGGCAAAGTTAAAGGGTGAGTCTCAAAAACAAGTTGATTTTCACTCATGTGTTTAGTTTTTTGCCTTATGTTGGTATGGTTACGATTCTTATGAATGATTATCCTTGGATGAAGTTTGCCTTGTTAGGCGTACTTGGTTTATTTGTACTTATTCATAGAGAATAAAAACGCTAAGTTTTCTTTAATGATTTTCGAATATCTGCTAGACATATATCATCTTCATCATCTTTCAATGGCCGAACAAACTGAACAGGATGTCCTTTCACTGAATGATGGTATCGTATGGCCTTTAGCTCTTCTTGTTGGTTTGATGAATGAGACAAAATGGTATGTGCATCTTGGAAATAATTCACATTATACTCTTGTTTCTGTGCTGCTAGTTCTGCTAGTGATTTGATCCATGCTTCTATCCATAACACTTTTTCATTGGATAAAATGGGCGGTGTCACGTGCTGAGATGAATGAACATATCCCCACATTTTAGACAAGACAAAGATCCACCTCTCCAAGTCTTGTTGTTTATTCGCCTTCATTATATAGCATTGCCCATCGCATGTCCTGATAGAAAAGCATTTCGAGGTCATACTAAACAGACTTTTTGGTTTAAGAATAGAAATATAAGACACGTCTTTCATGTGAATAGTCCATTTAGGAAGTTGATAATAGCTTGCTATGCACTCATGCTTTAGACAAGACAGTCTGGCTTTTCTGTCTTTGGGTGTAGCCAACAATGGGGAAGTAGAATGAAATGGATGTGTCCTTATATTGAATTGCGTACTAGGAGCTAGTTTTATCTTTTTAGGCGATAAACAGATCAAGAATGATCCATCAAATCGAAATAGACGCCACAGCCATTGATGTTCATCTTTCATGTATAAATAGCCCTCATATATATTTTGAGCCGAAACTGGTATTTCCTCGGTATTCTTTAGGCTATTCATGAAAGAAAAAAGAGAAAAAAAAAGAGAAAAATGGATTTGTCGTCAACAATTTTCTATTGACATACTCAGCCTTTCTGACCTCACGTGTTGGCAACATCAAAGCCTTTCCTTTGAATAGTTACAAAATAAGCTTCCTTGATCTACTGTGACGGTCTCTAGCCAAACAATAATAAATTTACATCGATGGATGACTAAGACGACTATTTTAGACATTTGCCGGTTAAAAGCCAGCATCTTTTTCCCCTTTCTTTTTTCTTTCTCTTTCCCTTATGACTAGGTCACTCGACAAAAGCAGTGGGGTTTTATCTAATATTGATCTAGAGAACCCAGTCACCTCTTTAGATATCAGTCGTAGAAGATTATTTGCCATTATTGCCTCGTAAAGTAGTATAGACAATACTACATAAACTCATGAATGATAGATTATGCGTTGTCTCTTTTATAGCCGCATTTGATAATATTATTGTAGCCAGTAATACACCCTTAATTGCTACTGGTAAGTATATAGAAAATAATCAGTAGCACTCATTCTATAGAATTCAATGGATTTGGATTATACAACTGGGTCAACACGGTAATTATTGTTTACGTTATGCATATGAGCTCATTCTTGTTTTGATAGGCTTTTCTTTTGACTGCTTCTACGTCGCAACCCATGTATGGAAAATGTGCAGACATGTTTGGCAGAAGAATATGTTTCTTGTTTGCAACTGCAAGTTATCTGTTTGGATCTGTATTGTGTAGTGCAGCTCAATCCATGGTTATGTTGATCGCTGCTCGCGCATTATGTGGTTTGGGCATTGGCGCATTTGATACACTTATGAAGATTGTGGTTGCAGGTAAATCATATGATTGCTAATAACGTACATTGATCATTATAGACTATATTCCGGTGCGTTATATTGGCATGTATCAATCATTTTTAGGCATTTCCTGGGGATTGGGTTATGTCGTAGGAGCACTTGTTGGTAAGCTGAATACCATTTTTCATATGATTCTGACGTATCGGAGGTGGTGTGGCAGCAACAAATTCTGGTTGGAGATCTGTATTTTGGATGGCAGTAAGTGATCATGACAAAAAAAAAAGATAACTTATCAGATTAGCTTGGATTGTAAGCATATATTTTTTACGTGAGAAAATGTATTGATTCGTTACGCAACCCTTAGTTGCGTAGTGGCACTTGTTTTGATCTTTTTTGCTATTGAAGGGCCTGGTGATTATGACAAGAAACCCACTCAATTGGGTCAAATTGATCTTGTAGGCATCCTAGCATGGACTGTAGGTGTCGTCTGTCTTGTCCTTGGACTGAGTTGGGGTGGCACCACTTATCCTTGGCATTCTGCTACCATTGTTGCTCTCTTGTGTGTTGCCGGTGTTTTGTTGGTCTTCTTTGGCTTTTATGAGCACAGTATGGCTCAAGATCCAATGATTCCTCGAGGCATCTTTACCAATCGTAGTACTCTATTAATTCTGATTGCAGCTTTTTGTTATGGTGGATGTTTCCAATCACTCATGACGTATGTACCTCTCTATTTATCTGTGATTCGGAAAGAAGACGCCATGGCTAGCAATTTGGAATTGTTGTGCCTTGTGTTGTTTGCCTGTATTTTCAATGTATTGACAGGCCTGGTGATTGTCAAGAGTGGAAAATACACATGGGCTTCTCGTCTGTCTTTATCTGTACTTGTGCTTGCTTGTGGTCTGCTGAACTTGTTAGATGTACAATCAAGCCGTGGTTTAATTATCGGATTGATGATTGTGACTGGTATTGGTAGTGGTGGCATGATCAATAGTGAGATCATTACAGCACAAGCATCGGTTGCTATTGAACAGTAAGTCTAGAACAGTAAAGAGAATGATATTGATCTTCATTTAGTGTGCCTACCATTGTTGCTTTTATGACATTTTGTGATCAAGTAGGCGGTATTACTGGCATTACTTCGCAAGGCAGTATTCTGTCAAACACATTGAGCACCCGACTCTACGCTCTCAACTTACCTGATGTCAACCCTGAACTGGTTCGACAGAGTTCTTCTTATCTTTGGAGTTTACCAGAACCAACACAGACAATTGTGACTCAAGTATATTTAGAGGCTGTCAAAATGTCCTTTTGGGGATCCTTTGGTTTTGCTGCAGTTGGATTCGTGGCTTCTTTGGGTTTAAAGGCTTATGTGCTCAGAAAAGACATGAATAATATATAGAGACTCTTGTAGACTAATACCCTTATACCAACATATCATGATGCATAAATATTTTAATAAAAAAGCGTGAATCTGACTGGATCACAATAGCCTTTTCTGAGTTTCAAGCATTAAAATCAGGATCCCCCCTTAATTCTGACCCTCTATTAATAGAAGGTACTTTGATCACGTGAATCGTAATGACCTCTATCTGTTTTATTTCTTTCAATTCTTGTAGATACTATTGATTGGTTCCTCAATAAGTAGAATAAGACATAGTTTATTTGTGTAACAAAATAGCCCACGTTTTTATAATTTTATTGATTAGGCTCGTTGTAAAGTGACCATTTATGGCATGTATCACCATAGTTTAACAACATGGCAAGACTTTTTTTTTATTATTTAATTATTTTTTCTTTTTCTTTCTCTTTCTTTCTTTAATTTTTATTTTATTTTTTCTTAATTCCTTATTCCATCATAAATCTTTTTACTTGTAAAATGAATGATATCAATACAACAATCAATCCACAAACACCATCACCCAAGTCATCTTTAAATCAAGAGAATAAAATCCCCAATTTGGTTAGTAAGCAATACATTTTAAATGTCAAAAATTTACAAGTTATTAATTGAATATATATAAAAGAAAAGTGGGAGTATTTCCCCTGAAAAGTTTTTAGACATTGAACAGGATCCATCATTTCTGCAGGTAAAAAAAAAAAATACGCATTTTTAGATAAAGTCCTGTCATTGATGACATTTTAGTTGAAGACAGAACCACAATTTAATGATTATGAAATTTGTCTTCATCCTACATCGCTCCATGATAAAGTAGAACAACAACACCAACAACAACAACAACAAACAGAAGAAGGTATAGAATAAAGTTTGTGGCACAGTACCCTTACTATCACTTAGGGTATTTAAATACTACCAATAGCAATGTAGAAAACATATTAGAAGATAACCTATACGAAAGAAAGTCTTCTTTTGGTAGACGCCCATCTCAATTGTCTCAAGATTTGGCTGCATTGAATGCATTGTGTCCTCCATCTCATGTGCTTAAAGCAAGAAGACTCTCAAAGAACACCATCAAGACATCTGTATCTACTCCTATTATCTCATCATCCAAACCAAGAAGTAGAAAACCTTCGATTGTGGATAGTTATTCAAAAGAATTCAGTAACAATAGTGCTGTCAGTCCACGATTCATGGCTCTGAGAAAACTTAGTGAAGTCACAACAGTAAGTAGAAAAATCAAAGATAGAGAGTGATTGACATACATTTTCTAGCTACCTTCCCATTCCCTTTCTTTTTCAGCCGTGCCACCTGTTCCACAAATACCCTCCACTTATCAATCCCCGGCAGAAAAAGACGACAAGAATGAAGAACTAGAAAGCCGAGTGTTGTCGCGTCTGGATGACATTATCGAAACTCAGCTTCAGTTCCATTTGGGTCAGATTGTCTGGAGAGCATCCGAAAGCCATTTAGATGCACGTCGGTTTTGGGAAGACCAAAAAAAGGAAATGTTCAGTTTTGCTGCAACCGTCGTTGATCGTATGGAAGCTCAACTAGATATTCAGAAAAGAATGGCACTTGAGACTATACCTTCACCCACAGACACCAAAAAGAGTGATGAGGATACAGATACCATGATCGTAATGCTTCAGAAAGAATTAAGCATGTACAAGTCAAAGTATACCGATGCTCAACGAAAGCTGTTTGAATTAGAAGTCATCAAGACACGAAATCAGGAATTAGAAAAGCAGCATGAAATGGATATGGTTGCACTCAAGACATTGTCTCAAGAAAAAGAAGCAGTGGCAAAACAACTGAAAGAGTTACAGGACCGACATCTCAACCAAGCAAACAGCAAGACAAACAAGAGAGAAACGATTGATAGGACAAAGCTTTATAATCTAGAGACGCAGAATAAACAGCTCAAGAGTCAGGTCAAACAAATGCAGGAAATCAATCAACAACTATTAGAAGAAGCAACCACACATGAAACTAAAATCAAGGCTCAAAATAAGGAGATCAAGAAGATTAAATCACAATTAGTCGAAGCAGAATTAGTGATCCTCAACAATAAACGAAAGATGGCACCCACCACAAGCACATCCACTGTGGCTGATGGTATTGATTGTAGTGAGGATTTTGGTAAAAAGCAGCAAAAGACAAAAAAGATGGACAATTGGGCAGATATGATGCAATCAGAAGATGAAGCTAAAAAGACATCTGAAGAATGGGCTTTGAAATACAAGGAACTTCAAGCCAAGTATTATGAAGTGTGTCTGAAGCTCGATAATATCACTGAAGATGAGCAAAAAGTTCGTGACTTGACCGAGTTACTCAACGCCAAAGATCAAGAGATTCGTCATTTAAAACAAGCAGAAAGCGTCAACAGAATTCAAATAGACTACTTACAATTAGAATTAGATAAATCTCAAAAGAAATCAAGTGCTGAGATGAAGCAAAAAGCCCGTAGAAGTCAACCACCTAGAACACGACCTATTACACCTGTCAATAATAGTAATAATAGTAATAACAATAATAATAGTAATAGTAATAGTAATCATACCACCACAAAACCTAATACCAATAATAAATCAACAACAGAACCCAGCTATATTACAGAAGATGGTTACTTGACATTTACCACCGAGATAAACGGCAAGCCATCAAGGTATTCTATAAAAATTCCCCAAGGATATCAGCAAGAAACACCCAAGAAGAAATTGAATCCCAATGCATCCACATGGAAAAACAATACCAAGTAATACAATACCCCCTCCCTCTCTCTCTCCCTATCCTTTATAAGAATAAAAAATATCGTATCATAATTTACAAAATGCTCTTTCATTTGACCCTGAAGTTCATTAGCCAATCGATCATTTTAAAAATGGTGCATTATGACTTGACTTGACGCAAAATAAGAGACTATAAAAAAAGAACGACAATTTCTCTTATATTCATTATGACTCGTTTATTGAATGGCCAAGAAGCGACAGCTTGGGTTGCTTGTTTATTAAGCGATCGCGTTCATGTATACAACCGATCAGCTCTTGATCAGAACCAACTGAATATTTGGAATCAGCATGTCAAGATCTCACACCATGATCCTGGTCGCGATCCTCTATCCCATGTAGCTGAAGCCACTTTTCTTTTATCTTCGGATGCTTTATTGCCTGCTTTGCCTTACTTGTATCAATTAGTCGCTGATAAATCAAGCTCTGTATTACATGTCAGTGCTGATTGTCATGCAACTATGTCTACTTTTGGTGATTTCACTGAGGTGATGGCTGTTCGACAGACAGGCATGGTTTTTTTAAATGCCTCAAGTGTACAAGAAGCCTATGATTTTAGCATATTTGCTAAATGGATTTCTATTCTGGCTTCCATACCAGTATTGCACTTTTTTGATAGTAAACGAATTTCGCATGAATCTCGCTCCATTGACACAGTAAGCAAGAAAACATTACTTGATTGGTTTCCTTCTGAAAAAGTAAGAATATATAATTTTGTAGAAAATAAGTTGTTTACTTTCCGAATAGCATGAACAAGAGCCCAATTCAAACATACTAGATGTTTATAAGCAAGTGACAGATCAATTTGCTCTAGTGACTAAACGTTCTTATGCTCCCTTGGAATATGTGGGACATCCTGATGCTGAGTTTGTGATTATTTCTATGGGTGCTGGTGCCTGTGTTGTTGAACATACCTTGGTTGCTCTTGACAAGGATCTCAAGTTAGGTGCCCTCAAGGTTCGCTTGTATCGGCCATGGTCTCATCAAGCACTTTTAGACGCTTTACCTTCCACTGTTAAGCGCATTGCTGTTCTTGAGCCTACAGATCATCTCGCCTGTGCATGGAACCCACTTTTTTTGGACGTCGCTGCTGCTTATCAATCTATAGGCGATGACAATGTGGATATTTTGAGCGGCCAGTATGGTGTTGAAGAAACAGATTTTTCCCCTAAGCAAGTCTCAGCTGTCTACCATGGTTTGGCGTCTGGCCAATTGGATCGCTATTTCAAGGTGTCTTGTTTGTCTCCTGGTACTCTCCAGATGCCACCTTCTACTGTCGAGCAGTTTATCTTTATAGACGGCATTGATCTTGCTTATGCTTTTGTTTCTTGTCAACCAAAAGAGACATATGTGCAACTTTATACCCTCAATAAAACTACGTTTGTTCGTCTGGGAAGATCTGAATCTGATGTTCTGTTGCCTACTTTGATTGATTCAGCTGACGTTGTTGTTCTTTGTTCTACAAAAGATGAATCGGCTTCTATCAGAGCTTTGGATTCTTTAGTATCTGGTGGCCTTGTTGCGATTCAAAGTGATGCCTCTCTTTTATCTTCCGGAGTAAAAAAGATAGCTCATAACAAGCAAGCAAATATCGCTTCTTTCGAAGATTTACATGTTCTTTTGGAAAACAATAGCTTATCACATTTGTCATGTCTTTCAAGTATTGTCCGCGTACCTGATAATTGGTCTACTGAAGCGGTTTCTCTCGCGAGTGATGCTATTGAATCAAGTCCTGAGCCTATGTCTCTTGACTTACCTTTAGAGACACCTTATCTCAACATGCTGGAACAAACGTTTGGCTCTCGTCTTGACATCGCTAATGCCATTCATCAGCCTTCGGTTTGGTCCCCTAGTCAATCTCATCCTCAAGCAGCCAATCCTGAATTCGGTTATGGTCGTCTAGTACATCGTATTCAGGAACGCACTCGCTTTGTGGATACTGTTATGCAAGTCATTCGTAATGGAAATTTGCCTTTGGATGCTGTCCGTGTTCTCTCAAGGTGGCTTCTTCTTGTGAACTCGCCTACATCAGAGCAGCACAAGATTAGGGAAGTTTCTGACCTGGTTGTTCGCGTCTTGTCTTCCATTGTCGATGTGTACCCAATGATAAACACATTGTTGAACAAGAAACATCTCTTGTATGCTCAGTCGCATTGGCTCATTGGTTCAGACACTTGGGCTTATGACTTGGGTCAGTCTGGTCTTCATCATGCTATTACTTCAGGCGAAAACATCAATATCTTGGTGGTAGACACGACGCCTTATAGCAGCTCAAGAACTCAAGAACAGTGCAAGAAAGATATTGGCCTTTACGCAATGAATGACGGGTCTGTCTATGTAGCCTCTGTTGCTCTTTATGCTTCGTATACGGGCGTCTTGCAAGCTTTGATGGAAGCAGATGCTTACAAAGGAGTCTCTGTTGTGTTGGCTTACTTACCTCAGGTTTCTGGTACGTTTGATGCTCTGGCTAGTCTTAAAGAAACAAAGATATCTGTGGACAATGGTAGCTGGCCCTTATATCGCTGGAACCCAGCCTCAGAAAACAATGAGTTCACTCTAGATTCTCAACGAATCAAAAAGGGTTTGGAAGCATTTTTGGCACGAGAAAATTATCTGTCCCAATTGGCCTTGAGTCACCCTGACCTATCTAACATTCTTGTCAGCTCTTTAGAAACAGTAAGTAGGCCTAAAACAAAATTACATCCGTACTCAATGTTAACATAGGATATCAAAAAACGTCATACAGAATTAAAAAGTAAGGCACGCGCTGATTATGCTCGTCTATTGTCTGGATTGAGTGCTACTCATGGTCCTCCCTTGACTGTTCTATTTGGATCTGATAACGGTAATGCTGAGGCTGTTGCCAAAAAGATAGCGATGCGTGCTAAACTAAGAGGTGCTCAAGTCAAACTGATGGCCATGGACGACTATAGTGATATCCAAGCATTATCCAATGAGACCTATCTTGTTCTTGTCTGTTCTACTGCTGGTCAAGGTGAATTTCCCTCCAATGCGCGTGATTTTTGGAAGGCATTGAATGGCTTGGTTTTTGGCGACGTTGATTTCTCAGAGCTTAAGTTTGGTGTGCTTGGTCTTGGAGATAGTCATTATTGGCCTCGTGAAGAAGACGCTGCATTTTATAACAAACCTGCAAAGACTTTGGATGCTAAACTCGAAACATTAGGGGCAAGTCAACTTTTGACAGTTGGTTTGGCAGACGATCAAGATCCTGATGGATATGAAACTGTCTTCAATGCATGGCAATCCGAGCTGTGGAAAGCACTAGGCGTCAATGAATCAGGTTCAGATGAAGAACCTGTCTATACAGACAATCAAATGAAGATTGATTCCAACTTTTTGCGTGGTAATATTGCTGAAGACTTGGTAGATGATTCTACTGGCAACGTGCCTGAAACCACGCAAAAACTACTCAAATTCCATGGTACTTATCTTCAAGATGACCGTGATTTACGAGAAGAGCGCAAGCATCAAGGCCTTGAGAAAGCGTTTAGTTTTTTGGTACGTGTTCGTACGCCAGGTGGTGTGGCCACGCCTAAGCAATGGCTTGCTATTGATGCTCTTTCTGAGAAGTTTGGTATTGGGCAGCTGAAACTAACAACACGTCAAACATTTCAAATTCATGGTGTTCTCAAGAGAAACTTGCGTAGTACAATCCGTGGCATCAACAAAACGTTGCTTTCTACCCTTGCTGCTTGTGGTGATGTCAGTAGAAATATAATGAGTACTAGTCTCACTGAAATACCCGAGGTGCATGCACAAGTACAGACCACTGTTTATGAATTGGTTGATTTATTGTCTCCCAAGACAAGCGCCTATCATGAAATTTGGCTCAACAACAGTATGGTGGCTGGCCATGCTGTCCAAGATTTTGAACCTCTTTATGGTCCTTCTTATTTACCTAGAAAGTTTAAGGTGGTGATTGCTGTGCCTCCTAATAACGATGTGGATGTCTATGCTCATGACCTTGGTTATATTGCGATTGTGGATGCTGCAAGCAAGCAAGTAGTCGGATATAACGTCTTAATTGGTGGCGGTATGGGTCAAACACATGGCAATAAAAAGACTTATCCTCGTCAGGGTACGATGATTGGTTATATAGCTGCCAAGGATATTCTCAAAATAACTGAGGCTGTTGTCAGTACTCAACGTGACTTTGGTGATCGTCTTAATCGCAAACATGCTCGCTTCAAATACACCATTGATGACCGTGGTTTAGACTTTATTATAAACGAAATTGAACAACGTAGTGATGTCAAATTACAAGAAGCCATGCCATTTCAATTCAAGGACAATGTAGACCCTTATGGCTGGACTAAAGGCGTTGACGATACTTGGAACTTTTGTATGTTTATCGAAAACGGTCGTCTCAAGGATACGCCAGATACTCAATTAAAAAAAGGTCTACGTGAGCTAGCTAAGTTCCATCGAGGTGAATTCCGTTTGACGGCCAATCAACATCTGGTTATTGCCAATATACCTGAATCAAATCTTGAGAAAACAAAGGCTCATTTGGCAAAATACAAGATGGATAATCTCTCTTTCAGTGGAATTCGTAAGACCTCCATGGCATGTGTCGCTCTTCCAACGTGTGGTTTGGCGATGGCTGAGTCCGAAAGGTATCTTCCTCAACTGGTGACTCGATTCGAAGATATCATGGAAGAAGCTGGCCTTGGCGATGAGTCGATTGTGGTTCGTATGACAGGTTGCCCTAACGGTTGTTCTCGACCTTATTTAGCTGAATTAGCTTTGGTGGGTAAATCGTCTGGGACTTACAATCTTTACCTGGGTGGTAGTATTACGGGTGAGCGCTTGAATAAGCTATACCTTGAAAACTTGAATGAACAAGAAATTTTGGATGCAGTAAAACCTATAATCAAGAAATATGCTGTAGAAAGAGACGATGGTGAATCCTTTGGTGAGTGGGTTATTCGAGCTGGATATGTTAGAAAGACCATAACTGGGCTAGATTTTCATGATTAAAATGTATGAATACAGTGTGTTCATTTCTTTGAAGAGTTTAGACTATAAACCATTGTTATTGTGTATTGTATCATTGATGATATTCTTGTTTCTTTTGGAAAGGCATGACCAAAAAAGACATTTAAGAAGCTTGTAATACATTAAAATCATTTCTTTTCAAAACTCAGAATGGGGGATTTTGTTTCTTGACTGCTTAAAAAATGGTATGTGGATAGTTATTTTCAGTGTAAGCACTAAATATTTGAATGAGACGTAGACCGGAAAATCATAAATGAGTTGCAGTTTGCATCATGAAGACTGTTTTACAAGACATTTGTTGTTTTTTACATACAAACTCGTTCTTTTTAATCTCAAAAAAGGTCAAGTGTTACAACAACATATGGTTTTCTGTATTTTGCGCATCAAGTGATAGTATAATGAGTATTTACTTACTAATCAACATCTACTGAAAAGGGCCAACTACATTGTAAAGTGAACTTTTGGTGAAAAAACTCGAGTTTACTAGGATGAAAATATTGAACCAATCGAGGTATTGCCTTTAAATTTACATTTGAAGTACCTAGAAACACGCTTTTTTTTTTGTTTTTTTTTTGTTTTTTTTTGTTTTTTTTGTTTTTTTTTGTTTTTTTTGTTTTTTTTTGTTTTTTTTGTTTTTTTTTGTTTTTTTTTGTTTTTTTTTTGTTTTTTTTTTTGTTTTTGTTTTGTTTTTGTTTTGTTTTTGTTTTTTTTAATTATGCTTTGAATTAGCATTTCGGCGCTCGACTTAACTTCTCTTCATTTCCATTGATCCCATCCAGAGTCAAAAGTACATATTTTTTAGAACTTCCAGGCTAAAACACCATGTAGTTTTTGAAACTGAAAGAATTTACTCTCAACAAAAAAAAAATAATCATTTTATTGAACTGATTATCGAGTAATGGTTAACCAAAGAACAAACTGCTTAAACATATTTTGGTCCATATCGTGTATGTTTTTTAGAAGGTGCAAACAGTTGACGTTTAAAGAGAAGTATTCCAAAGTAATTGAAAGCATATCTAAGCAAAAAGCTACTCGCTTTATACTACATTTATTGAGAAGATAGACGAAACACAATGATCTTTGTCAAGACCATAGTCTTTTTGAAGCTCTTGCTCGCCATCCTTATAGTAAATATACAGGGATAGTTATATTCCTTAATGTACATATAGTAATTGCACAGCTTTCTCTAGCATTCTTGCTTGCTATCTCCATGATATTGTGTATCTAGAGTGGCATAAAAGTAGTATGGCCATACACGCATGCAAATGTCCACTATTCGGAGGCTGAAATTCGAAGTAGTTAGAAGAACCCAAAATGGAGCACTTGCTTAAAAATGCATAAAGACGCAGTTGTTTCGTCTTGGAGTAACAACAAAAGCTTTAGGATTCTAGCTTAAAAGTCTAGTAGTATAAGAAAATAAAAAGATCTGATAGCAAAGTATTGGGAAAATGTATGGGGGCGGTTATTTTAGATGTTTCTCGCTCCTAGTAGACTATTTTTATAGTCTATTTTGCAAGCAAATACAACCATCAAGAAAATATGATTTTCTCGTTTATTCTGAGTGCCTAACTGCGTTGATAGCTGCATTCTTCGTCCTATGAACTCCAAAAGAAGTACAAAAGTCAGAGAACTAAAGCGCATCCTTGAGTAATTGCCTTTCCACAAGAGAGATTTTTGGTCAGTTTGGACATATGGCATTTTTTTATCCAAATGGACTCTAAAAGTGGTATTTATTTCAGTAGACATTGTTTACAATTACTTTGAGTATTTATACGAGTATACACAAGCTTTACGCTACTCTTATAATGTCTAAGAAAAAGAAGAAAATTTTATGACCTGTTGTTTTTAATATTAGACTTTATATACCTGGCATCTCGGTTACATGAAAAGCCAATGTACATCAGAGCTGCTTCTTCAAACAAAATGCTCTATTAAGGTGAATTTATCCTCCTAAATTAGAAAGGAAAATGTTTGCTTATAAAAAATATCAAAGTGTTGGAAAACTTATTTTAACTTTACTATGCACGATGTATGAAAGCTAGCCTTTGTTACATGTGTTAGATGTGGTATAAATTGCCATATACTCGCAAATACAATTTGGTTACTGACTTTTTATATAGTAAGGATACATCCAATCTAAAGGTATATTGTCATTTGTATGATCTAATGAAATCAATGATATGTTGTCTTGAGAAAAACACCGGTCATTATTGCACATGTGCATACTTAATTCAAAGTATTTTCTTTTATTACTACATGTCATTTGGACTATTTCATTGTCTCTCAAATTTATTGAAATATATACGTATATCTACAGGATTCACAACCATAGTGTCAAATAGACTATAAAGATTCAGTTCTAATATTTAATTATGCTTGAAATTATAACTTGTTCAAAATCAAAACAAATCTAGCTTAAATACAAAGTTTTAGGACTGGAAGTCACTCGAAGCCTATCATTCATGATCAAATGTCATTTAATAGCAAGGATGAGCAAAACAGTAGAGAAAAATGTATGTGTTTTGGATTTTCGAAATTAATTCGCTCCTTAACGTAATGAACCTAGAAAAAAAAACTTTTTTTTTGGCAATATATGCAAATTTTATACAAATTTTATGTTCATTTTTTTCATTTTCTTCATTTTTTTTCTATTTAATCTAACTCTTTTAAAATTAGAGGCATTACAGCATAAGCAACGAAAGAAAACTTTCATTGAATGCAGAAATGGAAAATTTTGGCTAAATCTTTACTTAAATATAAAGGAGAAATATAATCGCTTACGCTGTGGTGAGAGTGTATTTTTTATATCAGAAATGCTTTTCTGTTAGCACAGATAGCATATTTGCGCATTGGTATTAATTTCGTCGATTCTATACTTAAAGTTTGTTAATTTATTAATCCGATAAAAAAATCTTTTTGAACACATGGCCCAATGTGGCTTTTGGCTGCTCGGACTCGATCAATTTTTAAGAATAACTATACTAAGCTAAAAAAAAAGAAGTCTTCAGAGAACAAGGGCAAAAGAGAAATAAAGAGGAGAGTGTTGATCTAATGGTGTATTTGGGCGTGGGTCTGTAACTAGAGAAGAAGTGGAAACATTTGGTTGGGTGTTGGAAGAAGTAGATTGTTTGTGGTAGCATGTCACATAGAGATGATTTGGGATAAAAGCGAATGTATAGAGACCCATTCGATACTCCAATAAAGTACAGAGCGGTCAGTCTTGGGTGTGTTTGTGAGGAAGTAATTTACAAATCTCTGAAACACAAAGAGCTTGGTTGAAGGCACTTTTGCATTCTCCAAAGCCACCTTAATCAGTATCTAAGCACGATACTTGGCTTTAGAAGAGCTCCTGATGCATGTTTCGAGCGTTCTTTTGGAAGTGGTAGTTAGACTAATTAGGTAGTAATTGACTAGTTCAGCCGGATCGTCTTTCTCATAAGTTAGGACTCCTTGTACGACTTGTCAACAGTGAGACGTGTATGGCCAACACCAACATAGATAAAAATATGGAGAATCAGGGACCACTAAGATTTGTGATATGTATGCAGAAAATAAAGCTAGAGCCAATAAAATTACAGTAATAACTGTGGATGTGAGGAACTTCTCATGGATGTAATGGCTTCACAAAAAAAAATACATATACGTTTTCAAACTTCACTGACATTTATGCCGACTTACAAGTATGCCACTTGTGTACTCAGAAAATATTTTTTAGAGAAAAATAGAAATCACTACTTTGAAGTAAAACAATTTTTTTTTTTTTTTTTTTTTTTTGTAATGACAAAAAATAAAGAAAAGTAAGAAATTTCTAATTTTTTGTTCAGAATAATTAAAAAAGTCATTTTTTCAATTTTTCTGTTTTAAATAAATAAACGAGTTTACCGGATAATGATTTTACAGTTTTAGTTAAAAGAATAGATTGCTACTTGGTAGATTCGTCTATTAATTCAAACCAGAGAAATTGAGAAACAAGCTTTTTTTTTAAATTTAAAACAGGAAAATCAGAAATTCCTTACTTTTTTTATTTTTTATCATTGCAGAAAATGTTTATGATTTGTTTTAAAACAGTGATATTATTTTAAAGTAGCTGTTTTTATTATCTTTCAAAAAGATTTTTTTTAGTACGCAAATGGCATACATGTAATTTCGCCATACCTGTTAATATTTTTTTTTTGGTAAGTTCATCACACTGGCCACGAACGCCTGAGGTCTATGAGTCTTTCCATGCTTTTTTTTTATTGCTCTTATTACCTTTTTGTAGAGTTATCACTATAGCGTAAGCGATGAAACAAATTTCCCATTACATGCAGAAATTTTTCATCAAAAATGGAAAAATTCTTCTGATGGAAGAAAATGCATCGCTTAAGTTCTGGGATACGGCTGCTATGATTATTATTATGGCTCCTATGGTTGCTATGATTGCTATGTTTAGTTGGAAGTCGGGCTCACAAGCCTACTGCACCCTTCCCTTGGATTCATTTTAGCAAACTCCGATCAAGCAAGTGGCAGCTAGAAATCCTATTTGTGAAGCAATTGTCAGTCGTCCACAACGTTTTCACTTCCTAAATGACAACTCCAGTAATTCGAGCTCTTTGTTAAATGCTCTTGATCATCGTTTCTTACCAGGATCCCTGTTGCAGCAGAGTGATTACGACAGCCATAGCAACCATAGCAACCATAGTAACCATAGAAACCATAGAAACCATAGAAACCATAGAAGGCCATAGAGAGCCATAGGAAGCCACAGCGACCATAATGGCGACCATACACCACAGCGTAAGCGATTATATTTCTCCTTTATATTTAAGTAAAGATTTAGCCAAAATTTTCCATTTCTGCATTCAATGAAAGTTTTCTTTCGTTGCTTATGCTGTAATGCCTCTAATTTTAAAAGAGTTAGATTAAATAGAAAAAAAATGAAGAAAATGAAAAAAATGAACATAAAATTTGTATAAAATTTGCATATATTGCCAAAAAAAAAGTTTTTTTTTCTAGGTTCATTACGTTAAGGAGCGAATTAATTTCGAAAATCCAAAACACATACATTTTTCTCTACTGTTTTGCTCATCCTTGCTATTCCTTGCTATTCTCTTTTTCTCGCAATGGAATATGGTCTAGTTACGTTGCGGCCCTCCTCTACCGAACTAAGGTAATTGAAATCTATTTGGGACAGCTGCCTTTGTGCAACTTTTGGCGTTTCTCGGACATCGCCCGCTAAGGGTATACGCTACTCAACAAAACTGCCATCCATGAAGAAAGCTTATGTATTGCATGCTGATTGTTCTTTTTAACAATTAATGATGTTAGATGAGGCATACCTTTTTTTTGGATTAATACTAGCTTGATTTATTAAAAATAAACATAAAAGACAGTTTTTACTAGTCAAATTTAATTATTTTAACTGTTTTCGTTCTCTTTTTAGGGTTCACCTAGCTAGTAGTCAACATCATCTTGCGTCAGAATTTGCCATGATACTTATCTAAGCTTAAAAACTTACTCGCGGTTGATTATATCTTACTTTATGCTATATTATGTACCATTATAAACTATGATGTATATCACCTATCCCTTATACTTATCGCATTATGTTTCGTGATGGAATCATCATGCAGATGGTATTTAATAATGGACAACAAGTTTTGAATGATTTCTGACTTTAACTTCACATTTAAGCTCAAACCATAACAGCATGTTAAGCATGCGTGTTCTGCAGTCCATCTCGTGCTTTAACTGTCTATTTCTCAATGAGTCGTAGCTTGAATGCATTTCTAGCTGCATCATCATAACTTTCAAGTAATCTATAGAGTGTGCATATGGCTTGCCGATATCATGTCAACTGAGCATTTTAAACGTCCTTGCTAAATTTGGTATAGAATTATTGCGGTATAATAAGTATATCAATCTCTGATTTTCATCTAATTTGCACCATTCTATTTAGCCCTAGAGTAGATAACGAATGGTGCCATACCTATGCTGATAGCTCTTGATTTGAACTGCTTATGAAACTTGGCTCTCTTGCCGTATATCCTAGTGATAGTAGAACAATCAGAGTATACTTCAAGTTAGAATGCTTTTATTATATAGTGGTAAGGGAATAAGAAGAGTATAATACAGATAATTATTTTTTCATATTTTGAATCCATGGGTGATTCAGTGCTTCAGCAGGCTTGATTCTCTTTTCAGGCTCCCATGTCAAGCACCGGCTAATAAAATCACTAAAATCTTTATCAAGATTGTCATATGTAGATCGTTTAAGGGCTTCTGTGAATGTCAGCGAATTAGGTCTTCTTTTCTTTCCTTTTGAATTAATAGATTTACGAGGTTGATTGTACATATCTATAACATATTAGACATTTTACAACATTAGAGGTATTTACCAAAAAACTGCTTTTTTCTTGAGCATCTTTCTAAATACTCTTTATCAGGAACACCGATAAGTTGCATGATGCATGCTAGCTGGTCAGGCTCGTTTTCTCCTGGAAACAAAGGCCGGCCTGTGTATAATTCAGCCAAAATGCAACCTGTACTCCACATATCAATAGGCAATCCGTAATCCATACCAAGAATTACTTCTGGTGCACGATAGAATCGGCTTTGTATATAAGTATATACTTTTTCATTTACAAGACAAGAACTGCCATAATCAATAATCCGAATGCCACTTCGATCTGGTTGCTTCAACAATATATTTTCTGGTTTCAAGTCGCAATGAATCACATTATGTTCAGAAAGGAGCTTCAGTGCTTGTAGAATTTGATATGCAAATCTTAAGGCAGAATTTCAGATAAAAGTAGGAAAAAATACACAAATCATAATGCTTACCTTTTTACAAGTCCCATACTGAAACCTTGGTATGAGTTTTGTTGGAGAACCTCGTATAAGTTCAAGCTCAAACATTCAAACACAATGCATAGATGATCTCTGAAGTAAAAGCTGTCCAACATTTTAACATTGTAGTGTTTATGTTTGGGATCCTGCATATAATAATTGAGCATGAATCAAATTCAATTTGCGTCGTCTTTTTTACCCATTTGATTAGCTGCTCCAGAATTTTCACCTCTGTCAAGGCTTGAGCATGAAAACGTTTCTTATTTCGAATAATTTTGATTGCGACATAGTTATGGTCATTTATGGCTTCGTCCCCTGAATGCTTGTGATCACGGCATTTTACCACTTGACCAAACGACCCTTTACCCAGGCTCTCCATGATTTCATAACGATAATTCAAATGATCCTTCATCACAACTCGATAGTCTCCTTTTTCATCGTCAAATCCATAGTTTAATGAAGTCTGATCTGTTGTGGCCCATATTTTTTTGGCGTGCGATCCTACGCAATAGATTGCAGGGTAGCGCATGATTTCCAACCTTTCATATGGTGAAAGAAATGGTCGATAACGACTCAAGGCAGCTATTGGTATGTTATTTTACCTTGTAAGTTACCTTGAACTTACTCTTTGGGCTCATGGCTTCAAAAACGTCAGTCTCTTTTTTGTATTCTGTAGTATCGTGCTCTTCATGCTCCACCAAACACTGAAGACGGTCATGAATTTTTTCCATTCGAGAATCATGGGAGCTCGTCCGTGAAATACCAGGTGGGGAAGACCCTGTTTTGTCCTCTGGTTGACTAATGAGCCCTTGTGCAGATACTAGATTAGCACTTAAACGTCTTGAGTTTTCACGCTCCTTCTCCAACTGCTCTTGTAAAATGTCATTGGTAGGAAATGAAGGTCTTCGCTTTGTATGCTTTGGTTGAGAAGGTATTCTTTTAATTGATTTAGGTACAATGACTTCAGGCTGCCTTAATTTCGACACCTGATCTGCCCGGGTGATTGTTTCTGCTGGCGTTTCATTATTAAGTGATAATATATGCTTATTGGTATGATGCGTGGGTGAGGTGACTGGCAGAGGAATACGAGTAGTCGTATTGCTGCTCTGTTTCAAAACTGGTATATCTTGTTTCATCGAATCTGAAGCCTTGGAAAGAAAGAAAAAAAGAATAAATATTTGCTTTAGCTTTTTCTATTTTTTGTACCTTGGCTGCTTTTTTAAGCGTCTTCTCATTTGTTGATTCACGTATGGATGTCATGCATGGATCAAAATCAGCCAATTCTCGATTGGCTTTACCAACCACGGTTGGTTTAACAAGGCGTGCAATTGAAGAGTGCCTTGCTCGCCTGCCAGGCGAAGAAGGAGGTGTGGGACCCATCTGGATGGTTGTATCAGTAGTTGTGCTATGATTTGTTGCTATTCTACGCGGAGTTGGTAAGCGCGTTGGCTTTGTTTGTCTTTCTTCAGATTCCTGCTGGAGTGGATCAAATTTGACAAGCAAAGTCGGTAAATGCTTATTAGTCATATCATCGCTTGATTTGTCGTTTATGCCTAACAAGTCAATATTCGGCCATTGCTCTTCTTTTTGTGAATCTCGAAACGACATCTACATAAAAAAAGTTCAATATAATCCTTCGAGCCATATAGTTTCTACCTAGGAATTTATATATACGTATAACAAAAATAAAACAAATGAAAAAAAAAAGAGATTCGACTCAAAAAAGTGGCAATATTTATTTGAACAAATCTTCTTTCTCTGTTAACCTTACTTCTTTTCGAAATATAAAAAAAGAAAAAGAAAAAGAAAAAAAAATGCGCTTTGATATCATTCAAAAGAACGTGTGTATGAAAACACTATGCGATTCTATATACACCCTAAATTTCTGCCAGTAGAATTTAGCATGGTCTTTAAACTCAGTATTGAAAATATTGTGTCACGATCAATCTGATGCTGTTGTACTAATCAATATATTGTCATCATAGCAACGATTACCATAGCAATGAGAAAAGCAGCTCGAATGATTTATATTTTATATTTTATATTTTGTACACAATCTTAATGTTTAGCAGATAAAATTCTCGTGCATTATATTGAGAGAAGGGATAGAGAAGGTTGTTTAAACAAAACACAACAAGTGTGGTAATATACATTGCAAGGAAAATAGAAGCGAAACTTTATGTTGCCTCGATTTGCACTGAGATGTGATTACCATAGCAACCATCCAGCTTCTCCTTGACCTGAGCTTGCGGAGTCTACAAATGACATCACGCTGGAGGGAGCCATTTTAAGCAAGTTTTCATCGCTTCCATTTCACTACTTATCTTTTTATACCTTTCTTTCTCTTTTATATATATATATATATATTACATACCTCCATTCATTTCTCTACCATGAAGTACGTTGCAATATGCAAAGCACTTTATGAATATAAAGCACAAAACCACCAGGAACTTTCTTTCAATACAGACGACATTTTGTATATCCTCGAAAACAGTGATCCCGATTGGTATAAAGCACAACTTAAGACACCTCCCGAACAAGACGTAGGTCCAATAGGTCTTGTTCCTTCCAATTATATAGAAAAAGTAAGCATAAGCAATAAGCTGTGTTTAGACTAAATATATATAAATATTCTCATAGATTCATTCTATTGGTACAGTAAAAGCACTCTATGATTATAACGCACAATCCGTTGAAGAAGTATCATTCAAAGAAAATGAGACTCTTTCACTCTATGAGAAAGATGATCCTGATTGGTATGTTGTGGAAAAGGAAAATGGCGATATTGGCCTGGCTCCCAGCAATTACATTCAAGAACAATCAGTGCCAACAACAACAACAACAGCAGTAACAGCAGTAACAGCAACGAAGGCACCAACATGTGATCCAAAATGGGCCATTGCTCTATTTGACTTCAAAGCCGAAAGCAAGGAGGAAACAAACCTTGTAGAAAATGAACAAGTCTTAATTACAGACTATGTTAATAGTACAGATTGGTGGACAATTCAGCATAAAGACGGTTCATCAGGCATTGTTCCTGCTACCTATGTCAAATTTCAACAAGACAACAGTGATAAACGCGTTCAAGAAGCCGAAAGGAAAAGACTAGAAGAACAGAAGCGACAAGAGCTAGAAATAAAGCGCAAACAAGATTATGAAATACGTGACAGAGAAAGACAAAGGGAATTACAAGAAATCAACAGACAACGAGAATTGGAACAGAAAGAGCGTGAACGACAAGCTGAAATGGATCGTAGACGAAAGCTGCAAGAAGAAGCGAAACAGAAAGAGATTGAAGCTAAAAGACAAGCTGCTGCTTCTACTAATTCACCTCAATTAGGTTCACCTCGACGCAGCCAAATCCCAGCACCACCACCACCATCAACTCATACTGATCCCACCAAGCCAGATCCTGCTAAAGTACGACTATGGACTGACAGAACAGGAGCTTTTAAAGTGGAGGCTCAATTGTTACTTTGCGCCAATGGAAAGATTAGACTGTTTAAAACTAATGGTGTCAAGATTGATGTACCTACCGAAAAGATGTGTATTGAAGACTTGCGCTATATTGAACAAGAAACAGGATTGAAACTGACAGATGATAACATTCCTTTGGCTCAACTGACTCGATTCAATTGGTTTGATTATTTCAAGCGTGCAAATTTACCTCATAAAGCATGCCTTGAATATGCTCCTGTATTTGAAGCTAACAAACTGACGGAAAACGATGTGGAACGACTGACACATCGTCAGATGAAGATGCTCGGTATGTCCGAGCGCCATGTGCAGCGCATTCAGCGGTTTGTAGAAACCAACAGAGCAGAACCACCTTCAGATGATGAAAGCGGGGTAGTTAAGCCAAAGCCAAAAATAAAAAAGACGGTGACATTTGGCACTGTTAGTTACATTGATGATCTTGGCTATGACGATGATGACGACGAGCATGACAGGCAATGGCAAATTGAACAAGATGAAAGACTTGCTAGACAACTGCAAAATCAAGAAGAAAAAAGTAACCATGTTACTTTACATAGACGTGGAACAGGCAGACCTACACCTTCACATAATGCACCTCGAGGTGTCGATTCTACAGTGCTTACGCCACAAATCTTTGAACCTTTAAAACCTGCTCCTGTTCCTCTTCAATCACAACAGTCTACAAGAGAGATAGAGACAATCAAGCCAGTCACTGTTCCTGCAGTTCCAACAAAGCAAGCATTATCCACATCTGGTTTTGATGATGATGCTTGGGTTCCTAGAACTTCACCTTCTATGGCATCTAACCGTCTGCAAAGTGCTTCTGCTGTTCCTCAGAAAACTTCTCCATCGTCACAGAAAAGTCTAGTAGACCCACAATTATTAGCTAAATGGAGTGGTAGCCCTGCCTTGGCTTCAGCTAATGCACGTCCAGTTCCCCCTCCACCTACCATGCTCAATAGAAACCAGATTCCTTTGAATCAATCCATGCCAAACCTTCATCAGAACCCAGGTAGTATTCTGCATCAACAAAACAGTAGCATGACATCCTTGCCTTCTAACCTTCAACAAAACAACAGTACAGCATCTTTACCCAACAACCATTTTGTACACAGTAACAGCATGAGCATTCTGCCTGTTCAACATGCCTCCTCGTTTTCTGGTTATCAACAGCAGATTGAAAATGCTAACTTTTCTCCTGCTCCACAACATCAACAAAGCATGATAAATTTGAATGGACCCTCAAACAATTCGTTTATGCAATCAGCTTCAATGCCATCGCAATTAGCTATGTCAACTTCTTTACCACCTCCTATTACACCACAACATCTGCAGCCTCAAATGACAGGCGCTAGTAGAAATTGGGCTAACGCTACACCTGATAATCCTTTTGGTGGTAGAGGTGGTGGTGGTGGTGGAAGTTCGCCCATGTTACAGCAACAACAAATGGCGCCTAGCCCAAGCATTCAATTTCAACAACAAACAGTACCTAGCCCTAATGTTCCATTCCAGCCACAACCACAACCACAACAACTATTCAGTGTGCAACCACAAAGTACAGGTTTTGTAGGTCAATCTTTCAATCAAATGAATTCTATTCTAGGTAAAGAAATCTCTCTTTTTTTTCTTTGACAACTTATGCTTGATATAGATGCCAATGATAAATATGCCGTATTTAAAACCATTGATACCTCTGCTCCTAGTGTATTTAATAATAACAACCAGCAACAGCAGCAACAACAACAACAACGCTATTACTATTAAACTAGTTTTCATGTGCATGAAATAAAACATTCTGTTTATTCCTTGAGTTCACCAGATTCGATGATTTCAATTCTGGCAGTGGGTCTACCGCTTTGAGTACCGTACTTTTCCAAAAGATCCAAGACTTCTTGGCCTTCAGTGATTTGACCGAAAACAGTATGGTTACCATCCAACCAAGGAGTTTGGTCAAAAGTAATGAAGAATTGAGAACCATTGGTGTTCTATCCCAAAAAAAAAGAAATTAGAAGACTAGATAAAACTTGGTTTTTGCTTACAGGACCAGCGTTAGCCATAGACAATACACCCTTACCTTGGTGCTTCAAGGTAAAGTTTTCACTGGAAATAGATGTCAATTTGTATTCTTTTTCAATGAAGTCACTTACTCGTTGAACTTGTGGCCATAAATGGATTCACCACCACGACCATCACCCAAAGTGAAGTCTATTGTGAGATAATGGTGAAAAAATCGCTCACTCATCAATGCTTTATCTACTTACCACCACCTTGAGCCATAAAACCAGGAATGATACGATGGCTAATTCAAAAAATGTCAAAAAAAAAAAGAAAGTTATGGATCGAAGTTACTTACAAAGCACTGTTCTTATAGTGCAAGGGCTTGCCAGACTTGCCAATACCTTTCTCACCAGTACAGAGAGCGCGGAAGTTTTCAGCAGTCTTAGGGACAGTGTCAGAGAAGAGCTAAATACACAAAATCAATAACGCGTTTACTTTCAAGAAAAGCATTATACCTTGAAAGTCATACGACCAGAAGGTTTGCCGTTGACAGCAACGTCGAAAAAGACCTTAGGGAGGTTCTTGGCGGCCATAGTAGATAAAGAATAAAGCAAAAAGATGAAGAAACAGGATACCCTGAACTTGACATTTTATCTTTTCGGTCCGGGGTTTCAAAGATGTATAGAAAACTTGTCACAATGGATTGGCTTATTGCATGAATTTTAAGAAAAGCACAGTGAAATTAAAGAGATAATATCAAACTATCTACTTTTATTAGACAATGCTTATCTTAAATCAAAGTAAACGTATGCATAAAGCAATCTATACTTATATGCAAGCGATGTGCTATGTAATTAATTTCGATCATAAGAATATACTTTTTCTAAGGTAAATGTATGACAAGACAATTGATCTAAAAACAGGGTGGTCGAAATGTCAGTAAATCATATTAGTCGCTTTTTTTCATTACCCATAATACTCGGTATAGCATTAATTGTAAAGTGCGATTTTGACGAAAGATCTACTTTTATGTCTTTTTTTTTTTTTTAAAAAAAAAAAGGAGGTGAGGGTTGTTACTAAAAAGCTGCACGAAGGATACCTCTTCTTACCATCACAAGTCACAAGATCAGCAAACGAGTCAAATTGATTGTCTGGATATTCAAGTGGGATTTGTTTCTCTGTATGCTGAAGAGTTTCATTCAATTTCATAGTATTTAGAGTGAAATTTTCTTTAGCCAATGCTTTTCCTCTTTTTCTACTACTCATAGGCCTATGAAAGCATTGAACACTATGAGAAGAACAAAATGAACAAGGTTGACCACCATCACATTTTGTTTTTCTACTTCTACAACGTTCGCAAGCTGATCCTGAACCTAAGCGACGAGGGTGATGAATGACAGAAGTAAACGATTTTACTCTTTTCCTGTATGTCGGCTCTTGTCTTTCAAACGCATGCTTGTATGCATCCACTGTACTATTCGAGGCTTTTTTATGCATGTTAAAACGATAAAGAAAAAGAAATTGTGCTAAAGAAAAGACGAGCAATTAGAAAAGGAGCATGATTTTCTTGGGGAGTTGTATGATAGGGGTACTACTACTAATGTATTTGCCAAGAAAACCCATCACGATGTTATGAAATTTTTGTAATTATTGTACCAGCTTGTCTTTGCTAATTGGCCCTAGAAACTGGTTAAACTCCTTTTCTAAAGGCACAAATAACAAGTTGAGAATATTTGTAAAACATCTCACTCTATCTGCTTTACTTGTTTGCTAGAATATAGAACCAAAATGCTATAAACATAATAAATTTATTTACATTCAGACATTAAGCTTGTTCTTCTATTTCGTCTTCCTCAGCCTCTATTTCATCTTCTTCTTCATCGTCATCTTCTAATGATTTAACCTTTTTACTATTTTCGGCAGACATCAACTCATCTTCCTCCTCCTCCTCCTCCTCTTCTTCTTCTTCTTCATCATCATCGTCAAGAGAACGCTTTTGACCTCGAGAAGTTTCTTCCATTGGTGCATCATCATCTTTGGACTTTGTATCATTTTTATCCTTCTTTTTCTGATTCTTTTTTTCTAGCATTAATTGCTGATAGACTAATGAGCAAAACAAGTCAATATTATGACAAGTTACTTGACAAAATTTACCTTCCAATGATTCCTTGAGTTGAGGTGACAAGTTTTCTAATTCAACCAAGTTTAAGGCCTCAAATACATCAGCTGCACTGATTGTTTTATGGTTAGCTGCCTTTGCAACGTCGTTTGCCCTATATTTAAGATAAATAAGACATGCAATTGATGTATGTGTTGCTTACACAGAAGACAGATAACTGATAAAAACAGTGGCTGCTTTACTCACTGCTAATTTAGCATCTTTTTGCAAAGCAGTTCCTGGTGGAAGCTAACTCAAGATATAAATTAAACAGAAATATGTTTATTAGACTTACAGCAGTCTTGAGTACTCTTGTCACATTGGCTTTAGGAAGTTCGTTATCTTCAATAGTACTTGACATAATATGAAAAAAAAGAAACGCGTTTTCTAAAAAAAAAACGCGGACAAATATCTATGTCAGTCACAATCTCCTGAGATTCGCATATATATTCAAAAGCGTGGTGAGAAAAAGAATGTAGCCTTTTCTTCTTTATTTTACTATGAGCACCGAGCAAACTGTAAGTTAAGAGAAGTACCATTATCTGTTTCTCATCATCCATGTAGCCTATTTTATACGGTTATTTCAGATCTTCTGCTAGTTGGCGTGTTCGTATCGCCTTGGAATGGAAAGGCATCAAGTATGACTTGCAGCCGATTGATTTGTTGCATGGACAAAACGTAAGTCATAAACTATACAACTACTGTTAAGCAGACTGTAGAAAACAGAGGAATTTCGTAAAGTCAATCCTACTCAAAAAATACCTGCTTTTGTAACAAAGGATGGTAAAATCCTTACTCAAAGTCAGGCTATTATTGAATACCTTGAAGAGACTTATCCAGGTGATATGATGAAATAAAAACGATGCTTACTAATATAGATTTTAGACCGTCCAATGTTGCCTCAGTGCGCCACAAAGAGAGCCGAGGTAAATGCATAAACAACAACATTGTATTCATTTTTTCTTTTAATCAGGTTCGCGAGATTTGTCAAATCATTGCTTGCGATATTCATCCTATCCAGAACTTGGGCGTGATTAAACGTATTGAAGAAATCAGTTCCATGAAAAAGGAAGAGTGGGCTAAGATCAGTGTTACTATGGGCCTTAAAGGGCTAGAAGAGAGGCTCCAACGTGTTTCAGGCACTTACACAGTCGGCGATTCAATTACAATGGCCGATTTCTTCTTGTGTTCGATCGTAGGCAATGCTAATCGATGGGGTGTTGAAATGAATCAGTTCCCTATCATTACTCGTATCAATAACACCTTGATGACTTTGCCTGAATTTATTACTGCGTCTCCTTTCAAGCAGCCAGACTGTCCTGAAGAATTGAGAAAATAAAATTTATGCATAAAAGTCACGTAATTTCTTTATTCTTCTTTCTTTTTCTTTTTCGTTTTTCTTATAAAAATGAGTATCAACTGGGTTATGTTGACACAGGATGGTAAGGCACCTGTTCCTTTACCACAAGAGAAAATATTCTTTACTCAAAAAGATGTAAAGCTGATTTTGGACTGTAATGAAACGTAAGCTCTAGTTTATCTGTATATCTCGAACTAAACAATCTATCTTTAGGGAAGCAGGATATCCGGGACATTCAGAGTAAAGTAAATGAAAAGGTTTATGTTCGTTCTAATTATTATTACTATTATTATTTAGAGGTTATTTTGAGTCAAACAAGGGCACTGTTATTTTATCAAATCAAAGAGTAAGTCCAAAGAATACAAGGAGCAACATTAAGATCGTTTCATAGATCATGTACCTAGTAGAACATCCCAACAGTGAATTTAAGAACTTGAATGTGCCCATCATGAACTTTAAGAATTGGAAGCTTGAGCAACCTTGGTTTGGTGCAAACTATATCGCTGGTGTTGTTCTTCCTGTAAGTCATCATCTAAACATATGCAAATGATTTAACACCATTCAAGGTTCAAAATGGTGGATTAACAAAGAATAGCCAGTTGAAACTCACGTTTAGTGAAGGAGGTAAGTAGTTTCTATGTTTTCTATGTCTAACAAGTTGTGTAGGTGCTATTGAATTCACTACTATTTTACGTAGCCTATTAGAACGTATGGGTGAGTCAAACGATATTCCAGCTGAATATGAGCCTTTGCCTACTTACCAACCTGATCAATCTTCTTCATCACCACCTGATCATGATTTACCTCCACAATACTCTGCTTAATTTTTTGAGCATAAACAATAAAGCTTCAATCCTATTCTAAACAGTACAATGCGTATTAAATATATGAATTTTTATTATATATATGAAAAAGAATAAGTCCAAAGCTTATGAATTGAATAGACATATTTACATAACAAAAAAAAAAAAAAAAAAAGGGAGTGACAAGTGCATAAAAAAAAAGGGATGTGGATATGCACATCTCAATAAATAATGGTATTACAAAAGACGACTATTTTTTCATCCAAAAGTAGAGACAATATGAGCTAACTGAAGTAAACCTCCAGACGAAGGTGATTTGTTATTTTTGTCGTCTTCTTCCATTGGATCATCTTTATTCCCACTGTTCTGATTTCGTGTGACGTTGGACAATTCTTCTTGCTGTTGTTGGTGTTGTTGCTGTGCGGGATGAAGCAATGTGTACGGGAAACTTGTGTTTTGTGGTCTTGTGAAAGTTAAGGGACGATGTTGATAAAAGAGATTTGTACTGGATTTAGGTGGTTCTTTGGACACTGTTGGATTATCAGGTTCACTACTATTTGTGGTATTGTCATCCATCATCTGGTGAAGGGAAGGTAATGAAGTAGAGGATGAAGAGTGAGATAAAGTAGGTGAGGGTGTTGGGTCTTCTTTCTGAACTATCTTTTTAAGATTAGAAGGTGTTCTTGCAGTAGAAGAGAGAGGTAAAGGGAAATTGAATCGAACTGGCGTATATCGTTCAACAGGATCGGTATGTGGTGTGGCTCTTAATGACTGATGATAGTTCGAAAGATGCTGATCAATAGTCAACGGAGGTTCGACTCGAACAGGGTCAGAACGAATACGATGATGAGCATGTAATCGAGGCCTTGGTCTAGCATCTTCTGCAATCCCCCTTTTTTGGGATCTTCTTGACTTGGGTGACATATGTGTCCTATAATGCTGCATCATATTGTCTTGACGTGAAAATCTTGATTGACAACCAGGGAATAAACAAGGAAAGTTTTTTTCACCTGTATGAATCCTGTTGTGTCTGGCAAGGTGGCCACTATTCATAGAAAAAAAAAATTAAATCAGCTGTAACCATCTATAGAGACTTACCTTGTAGTGAAGCTTTTATTACATCCAGGTTCAATACAGTGGTATTTTCTTTTTGATTGTTGTGGGTCTTGCTGCCATTCTTCAGGTGTATTTATTGCTACTGGTTGTGGTTCCTCGTTTGAATTCAAGAGACTTACTTGTCTACCTGATGCATTCTTTACAGACAATAAGCCTTCATTCATTTTTATTATTTGAGTGAAAAGAAAAAAGAAGAAAAGAAAAAAGAAGAAAAGAAAAAGAAGAAGAGAAAAAGAAGAAGAGAAAAAGAAAATGAAAATGAAAAAATTGGTTTCAGAATAAATAATAAACTGTGTTTATTTTTGCAGCCTGTGAATGACAAACTTGTATTATCTAACGTATTTAACCACCGATGTTCGCGGAGGTTCATAGACCCTTGAGGATGAATCTAGTTTACACATCAGTTAAGGGTTCTTTACTGTTTATTTATACACAACATATAATTCTCATGGTCAAGTAAGTAAGGCGTCTTAATCAGGAAAAAGAGCTAGAGAAGATGGTGGTTGGCTATCTAATGTTGCACTGTATCTTATCAATTGGGACTCAGGCTACCTCGGAATTTCTTTGGTGACCAACAAATAAGAATGAATGTTTATTAGACCCTTTGGCAGCCCATGTCCCTTAAATAATCTGCTCCTTATTGTGTAATAGCGTATGAACTTTTTTATTTTTTCTTGTAATATTGTGTAACTTGGTTCTTTTTTTTGTCTCTTTCTTTCCTTTATATAAACACGTTTCATATAAGCATGATGTTTACTGGTCCTGTTGCCTCTTCTGATTGCTACTTTTGGGATTCAGGGCGCATCAAGATTTGTGCTGTTTGATTTAAAAAAAACAAAACTAAGCTTGAAACAAGTCACTTTATCGTACTTAGGCGAAAAAATATTTTGAATATCCGCATCTATATGTTTACGGGGATGTCCCTGTTCTTTTTTTTTTCTTTCTCTTTCTCTTTTCAACCCCACTCTCTTCAAGAAAAAAAATGTTCCCTTCTCAACAGGCCCTCAAGAACAACTTCATTGTCCCTTCTCCTGCTGCTGACGCCAAGCCTACTGGTGCTAACCTCTACGCTCGTTTCGCTCTTGCTGGTGCCGTCTGTTGTGCTATCACTCACGGTGCTATGTATGTATATTATCTTTATCTTTTATATCATTTACTAACTCATTTTACTATAGGGTAATTATTTTCTTTTGATGTTCAACATGTGTCTTTAACCCTTTTCTCTTTTTATTTTAGACTCCTGTTGATGTTGTCAAGACCAGAATCCAATTGTCCCCTGAAGTTTACAACAAGGTAAAATATGATTGTGATTGATAAAAAAAATAAGGGGGGGGCAAAGGGAAATTACGGAAATCAAAGATTTTTTTTGACTCATATTTTAAATAGGGTATGATTGCTGGTTTCCGTCAAGTTGTCCAAGCTGAAGGTGCTGGTGCTTTGTTGACCGGTTTCGGTCCCACTGCTGCTGGTTACTTCTTGCAAGGTGCCTTCAAGTTTGGTGGTTACGAATTCTGGAAGAAGACCGCCATTGACTTTGTTGGTGTTGAAAAGGCTTCTGAAAACCGTACTGCTATCTACCTCGGTTCTTCTGCTATTGCTGAATTCTTCGCCGATGTTGCTCTCTGTCCTTTGGAAGCTACTCGTATTCGTCTTGTCTCTCAACCTACCTTCGCTAACGGTCTTCTCGGTGGTTTCTCCAGAATCTTGAAGGAAGAAGGTGTCATCAAGGGTTTCTACTCTGGTTTCGGTCCTATCTTGTTGAAGCAAGTTCCTTACACCATGGCCAAGTTCGTTGTCTACGAACGTACTGTGTAAGTTATACATCGAAAGAAGTGAGAATTGCACAGACTAACATTTTATTCAGTGAAATGATCTTGAAGGGTATGAACACTCCCAAGGACCAAATTGCCGCTTCTACCATGACTGCTGTCAACCTTGGTTCTGGTGTTGTTGCTGGTACTGTTGCTGCCATTGTCTCTCAACCCGCTGATACCTTGTTGTCTAAGATCAACAAGCAAAAGGGTGCTGTCGGTGAATCCCTCACCTCTCGTCTTATCTCCATGGCCGGTCAACTCGGTGTCAAGGGCCTCTTCTTGGGTCTCGGTCCCCGTATTGTCATGGTTGCCACTCTTACTGCTGGTCAATTGTAAGTAACAAACATTTTGAAGGAAGGGAGCATATAACTGACTTATTTTATTATAGCGCCATTTACGGTGATATCAAGCGTGTTTTGGGTGCTACTGGTGGTGTTGAAATTGCCAAATAAATGGCATAACCTCTTTTCATTTTTCACATATACATTATACACATCTTTTAAAACCTTATTTATCCATCTTGGTTGTTTGAAAATCAAAAATAGAGTTATTATTTAGACACGTTCAGTTTCTTTTGTCTAATTTAGTGGATGGCGTGTAGGAAACACTTGAACTACGATTAGGATGAGGGCTTGGTGTGGATCTTTCAATAGTAGGTGCGTCTGTCACTAGCATACGTTTAATCATAGCACTCCAACTCTCTGTCTGGGACTGTGTTGCAATCTAATAACAACTTAACACACTGTATTTGAAGGCATATATCTACCTGATAAGGAAATGGATTCCCTTCTGTAGTTGTGATAGAGGGTATATGTTCTTTAAATTCATTCACAATCTCGAGTATCTTGAGTAAGTTTTGTCCAAACTGACTCTCAATGGACTTGTTACTCCTAAACTTTTCTAATGCCTTGATTACATAATAAGCACACACTATGCCCGTTTACCTTGTTCTGTTGCAGGTGATTGGACCAAGTTGAGTACAATGTTCCACTGTTCCCAACATACTAACTCCTCTGATTTCGAAAACTGGAACCAGTTCTTTTTTAACCTCTTTTCATAAAACAACACTGCCAACTATAGTATATTAATGGGCGTACATATCATAGCTCTTTACCTTTCCTTGCTTTACTTGAGGTGAACTTGTATTGTGCAGAAACTCAACCGTCTTTTCTTCAATTAATTTTTCAACATCAGCATTATCTGTAATGGACTAATACAGCGTCAATGGATCATAGGTAGAACAAATACATACAACTGTCGTATTCAATACTCGGAGCTCACGAGGCGTAACGTTGATCAAAAGACGGTGAAAAAAGATAGAATGTAAAAGACCTAGTTGTTGGTCAAGAACTTTTTTTAAGAAAAACTTCTTTTTTATTACCTCTCAATACATCTTTCACTTGATCTCTCGGTAAAAGAGTCTAGAAGCAAGGACATGAATACAAACAACAACAAAGTGTCGAAATAGTTACCATCTCCAAGCTAAACTCTTGTGTTGAGGACGTCATGAGCACAGCAAGGAAAAATAAAATAAACGGAAAAAAGGTTAAAAATTATTTTTATTGTGGTTCAAAACCAAGGACAGTCAAGGTATTGCCCACCATAATGAGACTGCCTGTAGTCAATACTTGCACTTGCTTATCGGACTGCTGAGAAAGGTCCACAGCAAAGTCGACAGCATCTTCAATAGTGCCTACGATATGCACGTGTTTTTGATCGAAATCAGGTACTTGCTCAAGCCAGCTCTTGGCTAGCTCTTGCTGAACTGAGCTAGCTTCACCTGTAGATACAGTGAAGTTTGTGTTATCAGTGGTATAGCCTTCACGATAAGTGATGTTGGTGGTAAAGATGACATGATCAAAATGAACATGGGACTGAATGCTTGAGATTACCTGTAAAAGACGACTACTGTCACGACCATGCGTACAGTTAAACACAAGCACGCGAGTAGCACTTGTGTTCTCTTTTTCCATGGTAGATTCGAACCATTGGGCGCATACTTCTAAGCTTTCAACTGTATGTGCGCCATCGAGGTACCATGTTGCATTACTTGATTTGCTAGCATATTTTGTGTCTTGAATAGAGAGCGTTTGTCCTCTTCCAGGCCATTTCACGAGGGCTAATCCCTTCTTGAATTCCTCAGGAACATCCTCTTTGAATTCAATACCACGGACTTTCTTTAGCCAAATCTTGCATAGTTCAATGGCAGTCAAGGCATTGTATTTTTGATGAATACCAGCTAAACCAATCTCAACACCATCCAATTTGGTGTTATCTTTGGCATGTAGCACGGTAAGAGGTGCATTCTTTTCTTGTGCTCTTCTCTCAACAACTTCCATAGCAAGAGGAGGTTGTTCAAATGAGACAACAGGTACATTAGGCTATCATACTAAGTATTCTTTTTTTCCCTTGATTACTATGCATCTATTTACCTTGATAATGCCTGCTTTATGCCATGCAATTTGATCAATTGTGTTACCCAATATAGAGACATGGTCCAAACCAAGCGCTGTGATACCACACACCACTGGTGTCTCAATGACATTGGTAGAATCGTATTCACCTCCTACACCCACTTCTAAAATAGCACAATCTACCTTTGTGTGTATTTATATGTGAATATAGAGTAACTAAAGTATATATATATACATTACCTTTTCTTGTACAAATGCATGTAAAGCAACCAAAGTAAGATATCTGAAATAAACAGGCTTATCAGGATGATTTCGTCTGTTCTTCAACAATTCTCTTTCTTCATGTTCTGACAGATTCATAGCAGCCAATGCCTCAGCCTTTGCGGCTTCTAATTTGTCCCATACTTCTTGTGAGTATTGTGCAAACTTGGCTTCACTTAGTGGCACACCATTAATACGGATACGTTCACGTACAGCAACCAAATGTGGCGAAGTAAATAGCCCTGTCTTAATCTTGTTGTCATACTGATGAAGGATAGATTGGGTCAAGGCACTGGTTGATCCTTTACCTTTTGTACCTGCGATATGGATCAAGTTGAGCTGATCAAAGTCCTTGGGTTCATAACCGATACGCTTGAAGGATTGTCTCATCTCGGGCAAACTCTTTTCGTTCATACGAGGACCTGCTTTTCTGAGTTGTTCCAAGAGGGAAGCATTGCTTTGGAGAGAGTTGAGTTTTTCTACAGCTTCTTTATAGGTAAACATGATACGTGTTGAAAAAAATCTTTGAAAAAGAGATTTATTCATGAAAAGATAAAGATTGACAGATGATACGTGCACGCGGAATAGGTTAAAGCAGATTCAAAAAAAAAAAAAAGATTGAGTGATGAGCCAATCAAACAATAGGATCTTTTTTTTTTGGGTACAAAACACTAGAGCTTATTTCTTGACATGTATAGTGATAACCTTTAAGAGTGGTTCAATGATAGCAATATGGATCTTTTTTTCAATTTATATGTTTGTAAAATGGCTCTAAACTTATTTCCAAAGATTATCTTGTGCAAAATGGAAATAAAATCTCTTAGGCACAATGGGACAATAAAAAGCATGTTTATACATTCTTGGGCATATTTAATACACAAGAACAATGTTTGCTAACATAAGTAGTACTTTTGAAGTTGTTTGAGATCAAAAAAGCGACTTGTGAAAAATGGTCAAAAATCACTCAAAACTTTGTAGGGGAACTATGTTCCTGTTTTATTTAAAGTCCTAAAGATGTCATAATGAGTGCTAATTAAGACTGGAGGGGTATGATGTGCAATAAGAAGGGGAGAGGAAAGGTGCATAAGTTTAACTAGTAAGGAAAGTGATTTCAGTCAAGAAGTATTAGTTCTTGTTCATTGGGTTGTTTAGTCAGCAGGCGTTTGATTATGGAGAGTACAGCAGAAAAGGTGAAGGGACCATAGACCTTCCAATGTGCTAGCGCAGATTTGTTGTGTGGATAGGGTTGGGAGTGCAGAATGACTCGTTGAAAAATCAAAGGTGTTACTCGAGGAAATAGTTGCATTCTCCAGTATTGAGCACCTCTTCGTTTTTGCAGGACGAGGAATGCAGCTATCGATGTAGTTAAGTACTTGAAATAAGCGCCAAAGTCTACTGTTCTTGATAATGGGTTTTTTATGAGCTTTGTCATAAAACCTGTATGCCAAGGGTCAAAAATCTCAAAACTGTTTCCTGGCATTTACTCAGAACTCTACCAACATAGTTGCTGCATTCTTTGCATTGATAAACTTAGAGAAAAAATTTCTACAACTTTTGTTAATACATTACGATGATATAATTGTGTCTGAAGATTTTCATACAAGAGCTTTTGTTTCAATCTCCGAAGCAAATTTTTCTGCCTTATGATGGCCTACAATTCTTTAGAAAGAATCGGCCGTAACCCAATGTACAAGCGACTTTTACTATTATGACCTAGTATAAAGTGATTGTCTAGTAGCTTAGAGATATTTGTAGCGCTCAATATAAGAAAATTAAATGAAAAAAAAGCATACAAGAGGTATGCAGAATAATATCAACTATTCCTGAACCCACTGTATTGTAGGAGGGCCTCGTTATAAATAAATTATAATATTTCTTTTTTTTACATGTCTTCATTTGCAAAATATCTGCCATGTTGACAAATGCACCTCTATTTTGTTTGACAAATAATCCTTACAAGCCAACCCAATAAGACCTTCCATTGACATTATGGATAGGCAAGACAGTCATTTCTTCACCCTGTGAACCGTGCACAGCGACAGTCCATTCATACCAGACCTTCTTGGCATCTGTCAAGCGCCAAAAGTCAAGCGAAACAGTAGCGTTCTGAGGTACTTGAACAGGTGTACGAATAGGAAAGTAGATAGGGAACCAACTAAACATATCAGGCGAATGTGTCTTGGGATGAATTGAGATCATGACATCTTTGTAGAGCACACTCTCGAAATAACCAGCAATACCATGCATGACCATATCATGCTTGACCTTGAATTCAACATGGCTGTATCTTTGATTATGAAGATTATTGATAGGGTCGCTGTTGGCAGGAACCTCGTTGGTGGGATGCTCGAAAGTCCAAAGTGGTTTAGGTGAAGCAAGTTCACATACTTGTTGGAACATCACTACATAGGGTGTTTCATAATGCTCAAGGTCCTTGTAAGCTGCTACATTGTTGTTGAGTCGAGTAGAAGCCAAAGGAGAAGCAAAAGCAGTATAAGAAGCAGGAATAGAAATACCACTCTCTTCTCAGCATTAGTAACATGCCCAGATCTTTATCATTCCTTTACCTTTAATAAACTTTTGAGCACCGTCCAAACATTCAGGAGACAATTCGTTATCACCAAATGAGCCCAATAATTCGCTCACTAAAATATCACACTATAGACATGTTAGTGTATCTTTCTTTGCTCTTTGCTCTTTACCTTGGTAGCTGGACTCCATTTTCTCATGTCTGCAAACACAAGTGTTACTCTATCACCCCACACATCTGCTTTTGCATTTTGCAATCTAAACTAGAGTCAATAAAACATATAAAGTGTGATGGATATACTTGCGTTACAAAAGCATTGTGATTCTTTTCAAGAGCATAGATGTGTACTTTGCGTTCTGATTTTTCAGATGCACGCAAACAACAGTTCACTAAGGGACCTCTACCAGCACCCACAACCATGATTGTTCTAATCGATTGTTGAGCATACCCTTTCAAAAGAATAAGCATACTTACGTGACATAGTCAGAGTCATGTTCAACACGGTCCAATAATGCTTGATAAACAGCTTTTTCGTATTGTTGATATTTGATAGGATCTTTTTCAAATACTTCATAAGTTTGATTCTCTAAATTATCCATCAAGGGTTGTAAAGGAGCTTGAAGATAGTCGTGGTAACCAGTAGCAAATTTCTCCACTTCATTTAAAGGAGGTAAATGGCGATTAAGGTAGTTGATATATTCACTGTAAGAAGAAGGTTTTGCCATCTTATGGAGTTGTGTAGGAGGCACAGTAACAATCATATCAGGCTTCATCTTATCCATCAATTTCTGAATGAATTTTTGATGAGACTTGGGCAAGACAGGATATCCCTTTGAGTTAGAAACAAAGATTTCTCCTGGTACAATGACTGCCTTGATAGGTTCAGCAAGCCATAAGTTAAGCAACTGTTCATCATTAGGTAATTCAGAGGTGATCTCAAGTGCAACATGAATCTTGGTGTTATGTTCAGTCAATGTTCTAAATCTATTCCATTGCTTCCAAGGAATGTTGCCTTGAACATTCTTTTTATCTGTAAGAGGCACTCTGACCAAAAACTATAGATGTAAGCCTATATAAGATAAACGATTATTATGGCTTACTTGAGTATAAGACATGGACTTGACTGCATGATTGATCGCTCGAGCAGTATTGTGCAAAGAACCCTTAGGTAAAGCAGGGAATATAAGGCCAGCAAGACTGATATGACAAGCCCAATCAATTTCTTGCTTTAAAGCAAGTTCAGAACAAAGACGGGTTTCGGGATCGGTTGAATCGAGTTGGATCCAGTTCGCGATCAAACCTACTGCTCTTCCTGACCATTCTAAGCTAGTTGTCAGTGCAGTCCATATATGGTGTTCATATAACTTACCAGCAGACTTTATGATCAAATCTTTACGATCAAACACAGGACGGTCTTTCCAATTCGTGTGTGCTTGTTTATCGTTAGTCTTGTCTTCGTTCAAGACGCGTCTAAAAGTAGGGTGAGAGACAGGAGTCACGATAAACTCATGTCCTGCTTCTTCTGCTTGCATAACAAAGTTGCCAATATCATCATAGTATTCTGTAGTCAATAAGCCTACACTACATAAGCGGGAAGTGTCAAAAGAATCACTCATTTTGGTAAACAGAGAGAGAGAGAGAGCTGTCAAAAATTGTGGCTCAATAAAAACTTTTTTATTCTTATTATTATTTACAATTATTTCTTCTTTTTACTGCTTGTCTTGATCTTTCTTTTCTTTTCGGCCTTGGGAAGCTTATGTTTTCTACGCTCTCTTGCTTCCTCTTTGGCTTTTTGCTTTCTTTCTCTTTTATCATCCTTGTCTTCGTTCTTTTTCCCTTTAGGTGCTCTTGGCTTCTTTTTGTCATCGTCTTCACTATCTGAATCTTCTTCGCTGATATCTTCATCAGAATCATGTTCTTCTTCACTTTCTTGGTCTGACTCTTGTTTGTCTTGAATGTTTAATTGTTGAACAGATTCTGTGACACCAGTGCCCAACAAATCAGCATAAACAAGGTTTTTACCTTTACCTTGCTCAACAATCAAAGTGTCTCTTTCAACATCAATGACTTCTTCCAAAGTAGTTGGAATATAAGACTTCATGAAAATCTCATCTTCAGCTTTGTTGACTTCAAAATTAGGATTGGTAATCATGTCTTGTTGGATCTATAAGAGTTATTAGACAATGTCTATGATGTCTATATTACCTTTTCTAAGCGAGCATCAACCACTTCTTCTTCATTACTGAAGGTAACATCTGTCACAAACTTGAATAACTCGACCACACTCATCACACTGACACCCTTTTTGGCAAAGAAATCTGTCACATTCATCAAATCTTTTCTTAAGAATTCAGAGGCATGTGGGTGATCATGTTCAACAGACTGAGAGACATCAATAATATACAATTTGCGAGAATGATATCTACAAAACATAAGCTACAATACAGTCTATAGTACAACTTACAGAATATTGTATTCACTGAGATCTGCATGGACCAATTTACACACTTGATACATGGTACGCACATTCTTGACCAGCTGATAATAGAGTGTTGGATACCTTGAGTCTTCAATTTGAGCATCTTTTAAACGAGGATAAGCCCAGCCATTTTTATCACCCAAGAAGTCCATCACCAACACATGCATTCTTAACACAAGTGCGTTAGGAGAAGGAATACCCGCTTGTTGTAAACGGCGCAAGTTTCTCATTTCCTTTTCAGCCCACACCTTGACCATCTTTCGAGGGTTAGATTTAGAATAACCATGTCTAAAACGGAATTCACCCGTAACATAACGATCACGGTCCTTAAAAGTCAAAATAGATGTCTTGTAAACCTTGATAGCTCGGTGTTGACCGTCTTCTGTCATGGCATGATAGACATTGGCTTCTTTACCTGTACTAATACAACCATTGATCTCATAAAAAATGCCTCTGTTCAACATTTTGAAAAGAATAATACGAGTTCTTGGATCAAGTACTTGTTCTACAGTGGCTCTGTCTGCTTTATCTTTTTGAACAGTCCTAATGATTCATTTAGAATTCGAGGCTTATTTCAAAAAAGTGTCATTTACTTGTCTCCACTGGCTTTCTTGGAACTCAATTTAATGTCACTTGCGACAGAAGAAGTGATTTTAGATGGGTTGTAGTCTTCACCAATATGAATACGACTAGCAAAGTGTCCTAGACTGTCAATTTGACTTTCTAACATTTGTTTTTTATCACTGGCTGTAGCTGTGGCTGTGGCTATAGCTGCTGTACGTTGAGGTGTCGACTGAATCTTTTTATTGACAGCAGGAGCTGGTTTATCTGTAGCAGGTGAAGGTGCAATCTGTTGACGAAGTTTATTGTATTGCTTTGTAAAATCTATTTAGTGTCAATCAATGAATAGATACACATATAAACAAACCTCCAGTGGCATTGTCCCACATATCAGTATCATTTAATTCATCGTCGAGATAATCTTCATAATCTTCATAGTCATCATACTCCTCTTCCTCATTTTGGAGGTCTCTTTCATCAACGCTCTTAGAATCAGACATGCTTAAAAAGTAAAGAAGAAAATCAGAAAAAAAATATTTTGACATGTATCTAGCCATAAGCCACAATTTTATGATTTATGCAATTATGCCAGGCAAGTCTTCATTGGATCACAAATCAGGTTCTTTCAAAGAAGGAAAAGAGGACTATATACTTAAGACAAATACTCATAGTCTAGTCTTCATTAAAGTAAAAGATACGTTTTTTATCTTATTGACTCAAGGTACGAGACTTTAGTTTTTATAGAAAGATGCGAAGCGCTCAGCAGACATTTACGATAAACAACTTTAGTATTTATATGACAAAGCTTATTCGAAAGCGACAAAGAACACAAAGCATTTCAACTTTTGCTCAAAAAAACAATCATTCTTTATACTTGAGTAAAGAGCAACCAAGATAAAGCCTTGGCCCAACCTATTTTTTAACATGACACACATCTTGGCCAATCTTGTATGAATTTATCTATCTTTCAAAGACTATCGTTGCTTTTGTATCGAATATATATATATATAAAAAGAGGCTCCAAACACAAAATAATATTTTTCTTTTGTACACGAATGGACGCAAGTGAAATTAACTCAATTGCTAAACGAATCACACAGCAATGGATAACCATGATACAATCTCGCGTGTCAAGGCCCTCTAATGCATCTTCAAAAGCATTTCTTAACCAACTGGAAGCCAACGGAAGGGTTGTCTTTAAATACCAAGACCGAGATCTCTTAGTAAGACGCGCTTTTATCTTTTGTCTTTAGCTCATCAAATATAAACAGGACAAAGCTCTTGAATATATTCCTCTTCAAAGACTATACGATGAAGCAGAAGCCATTCTTGAGCAAACTGAAGGATCGCTCGAGGATGTAGTTATTCAAAGACTGCTACACTGGTTCAAGCATGAATTCTTTAGCTGGGTCAATAATGCACCTTGCGACTATTGCTCAAGTGTAAAATAAATCAATATTAGGATGAGGTGACTGACTTACTTTAGACTCAAACCAAGTCGAATGGTCTAACACAGCCTAGTCAAGAAGACTTGCGCTATGGAGCTCATGTAGTCGAAACCTATCAATGTCTTTCTTGCCATCAAATCACACGATTTCCTCGATACAAGTAAAGTACTTTTTTTTTTGGCATAACATATTTAAAAAAAACCTCCCTAGTGATCCAGGGAAACTGCTAGAGACAAGGAGAGGCCGATGTGGCGAATGGGCTAACGTAAGGCAAATTGCTTAGATCCAAACTAACAGATGTATTGTTTAGTGTTTTACTTTATGCTGTCATGCAGTTGGATCTGAAGCTCGTATTATATACGATACTACAGACCATGTTTGGACTGAAGTCTATTCTGAACATGAACAACGTTGGGTTCATTGTGACGCTTGTGAAGAAGCTTGGGATAGAGTAAACACAAAAATGATTTTTAGCATATTAATGTATCTATTTATTTAGCCTTTGCTATACAGTATGGGTTGGAATAAGAAACTAAGTTACTGCACTGCGTTTTCTATAGACGAAGCTATCGATGTCACAAAAAGATATACAAGAAATTGGCCTGAAGTCCTCAAAAGACGAGACAAAATAAGCGAGTTAGAATTATCGAAGGTAATTTATGATTTATTTAAATGTTACTGATAGAATTCAAGCTTCTTGACGAAATAACAGCAAAGCGTCAAGAAGGCTATGATGCCGATAGAAAACAGAAATTACATGCTAGACGATTAGAAGAATTCATTCAATTAGAGCAAGATAGTAAAAAGAAGATTATTAAAGAAGATGAGTTGACTGGCAGACAAAGTGGTAATGATCCATTGTCTGTTGTGATACATATCTAACCACTGATTAACAGGTTCACTTGCTTGGCGCACAAGTCGTGGTGAAACAGGCCAAGTTTCTTTAACCGAAAACAAAATGAGTCTATTGAATTGTAACGAATACAGTAAGCCAATGCTATTATTTGTTCTAAAAAAAAATAACACTTGTTTCTTTAGAAACGCACTCTATTCCTGTGGGGCTTGATTGTCGATTTTGCTTGTTAGGTAATGCCGTCGTAGAAAGCAGCAATCAATCGTATGTTTCCAATGTACCCATGATAAGAATCACCAAAGCATTGCCTGATCAAAGAGGAGCTACCTATCTTTCCCAAACGATAACCTTAAGCGACAATCTAAAGGGAATTGAAGTTGAGTTTGTTTTTCGTATTACTAACAAGGATGGCGGACCAGCTGTAAATGGTGCGGATGGGTTTGCTTTCGTGATCCAATCTCAAGGTGAACATGCTTTAGGTGGAGGAGGATGCGAGTTAGGCTATGGAGGCATAAGAAACAGGTACGTTGTTTTGTTGAAAGCAATGTGTAACACTGTTGCAGTTTAGCTATTGAATTCGATACGTATCAAAGGTTGACAATAAGAAAAATGAAACATATATTGCTTTGATTTTAATACTTTTATAGTTCTGATAGATGTGCTGATCCTTCAGGAAACCATATTAGTGTTCAAGCAAGAAAACCACCACAAATTAACTCTGCTCATCATGACTATTCTCTTGGACATACTTCACGTATTCCCTCACTTCAAAATGGTCAATGGATGAAATCCAAAATTAGGTTACTTTCCAATGGAACAATAGAGGTCGGCTTGGGAGAATCAGGTGACAAAGGTTATATCCAAGTACTCAAAGTGACAAATCAAAACTTTCTCGATTACGTTGATCCAGCAAACAAGAAAGCATGGATAGGATTTACTGCTAGTACAGGTGGTCTATCTCAATGTCACGATATACAGTGGATTTCCATTACCGAATATCGTTTGTAGAGAGTACAGATTTGTTTGTTATTGTCGATCACTAATAATACTTCAAGACTTTGTCAACTGCATTAGCCCTGGTAATAAATTGAAGTCACTATCTTCTTGTGTTTGCTTCACCCTAGTTACTATATAAGCACATTTTGAGCAGTGATTATCTCTCCTTTTTATACTGAATATAGTCCCTAAACTCTGTTATAAAAAAAAGAAAAAAGATGTATCCCTTCGAAGATCCAAAAAAAGACGTACAATAATGCCAACTCCTTTTGCCCCCCCTATTTACGCATATACACTTATAGGGGATAAATGATAAATAATAAGGATAATGAAAGATGCAAGAATCAACGATCTATTGTAAATACGCTCTTTTTTCTCTTTTGACTTTAGTTTTGTAATGCGGTTTTATTTCTTTTGCCTTTGTGTGCTTATATCTTTTGTCCTGATTGATGCAAAACATCAACATGTGAAACGAGGTAAGCTTTAGTCTATTTCACAGTAAAAACTTTGTTCTCATTTCTTTATTGAAAAAAACTAGCTGATGAAACAGGTATAGCTTTTAGCTATAGATGTTTTAGAATAACAAATAACTTTGACTTGTAGGAACTGCACAACCATCTAATAATAATCAAGCAACACTCACACCTACAGCAACAGCTGGCGCTACTATACCAACGAATTCACTTGTATCTGTCAATGACACTCTTATACAGCCTAGTAATAATGGTACTCAAGCCAATGCAACACAATCAGCCGCATCCAACAACGGCAATCCATTTGCCGGTAAACCTACTTTTGCCTCTTTTTCCAATGATATCCCCCAGCTTATTTAACTTGGAAAAAACCAGTTCCAAACCAAACGTTTCCTCCACTTTTTAAGATTGGCGTATCAAACATCACATTTGAATGGACAGTTGACCCTAACGTACTTAAAGTGCAACCTGAGAACCTGACAGTTGCACTAGCCAACCCTCAAAAGCAGACATTTACTGCTGCTATTGTGCCAGGCACAGCAACTTCTGCAGTTTGGGACCTCGCTCACCTTCCACCAGGACAACCTTTGATGGTAGGCTATTATACAGTCTGGGTTCATGACCAGAGAGGGCCCAAGGCTTACCCTAGTCCAGGATGGTTGATGCCTGATTCAAGACTCACTGTTGCTATGTATTCAACAGAATCCTATGTTGGAAGAACTGACTGTAAGTAGAAAAAAAAAACCTTTTATTTACTAAACAATTCACAATTTGTTTATAGCCATGTTTTGTCCAACATGTTATTTAGGCAGTGGATCATCTTTTCGTGAATCATTGATGCCTATATTAACAGCCTTTGGCGTGGCTATGTTAACGAGTGCTATCATGATTGCTTCTATCTTAAAATAAGGCTCTGTATTATGTTGAATAAAGTGAAGAATTTTTCAAATCAATCGAAATATGTTGTTGCATGCGTGATTAAAGTTTTTCCACCTTTTTGTTGAAGCGGGAATGGACAACAGTCTTTTAGAAATAAAATATGTTATACTGAATAAACAAGGCTAAATTAAGCCAAGAAAATAACATCCATTCCATTTATTGGGAAACGAACAAATGATTTCGGTTGATTTAAGAATAAAATACCACATAAGCATACCACATACACATTCAAATATATATTTTCTTAATCGTCTTATCGCTAAAAAATCGCTCTATAGAATCATTCAAGAAAGAGATATGAATAGAAACAGGCCGACTATTGGTTGAGTTTTTACATCTAGTACAAGGAAAAAAGGGATCTACATATATTAGAAGCCTAGCGGAATTTCAGCAATGTTTGCTGTCATACAATCCAGAAAATAACATATAAATAGTAGCTTTTTCTTTTTAGAATTCATTGTCATTTCTTTCCCCTTTTTCTCTCTCTTATCCATTACTTATATACCATGAAAGCACTTATTCTTGTTGGAGGTAACATATAACAAAATGACAATACGTGTATTCATCGTCTATATTTATTAGGTTTCGGTACTCGTCTTAGACCCCTTACTCTTACACTTCCCAAGCCTCTTGTTGAATTTGCTAATAAGCCCATGATCCTTCACCAAATCGAAAACTTAGCCAAGGTAAGAAAGATTGGCAAAAAAAAAAATAGTAAATTGATGTCATTTTTAGGCTGGTGTAACAGACATTGTCTTGGCTGTCAATTATCGTCCTGAAATCATGGTAGCAGCCTTGAAAGAATACGAAGCTATCTATAATGTCAAGATTACCTTTTCTGTTGAGACTGAGCCCTTAGGAACTGCTGGTCCTTTAGCCTTGGCCCGAGATATTTTGGCTAAAGATGATTCACCTTTCTTTGTGTTGAACAGTGACGTTATTTGCGATTATCCTTTTGAACAATTAAGAGACTTCCACTTGGCTCATGGCTGTGAAGGTACAATTACTGTGACTAAAGTTGACGACCCTTCCAAGTATGGTGTTGTTGTTAACAAAGCTGGTTCTTCTGCTATTGAACGTTTTGTTGAAAAGCCCAAAGAATTTATTTCTAACAAAATCAATGCCGGTATGTACATCTTGAACCCCTCTGTTCTGGACCGCATCGAGGTAAGCTACACAGAAGTGCGAGTTTCATTTTCTGATCCTTATGTTGTAGTTGAAGCCAACTTCGATTGAAAAGGAAGTGTTTCCTTTTATTGCTCAATCAGGACAATTGCATACATTTGACCTTGAAGGCTTCTGGATGGATGTCGGTCAACCCAAAGACTTTTTAACAGGAACTTGTCTCTATTTATCTCACTTGAGTAAAAAGAAGCCCGAAGAACTTGCCAATCCTGAAGCTGAATTTGTTCACAAAGGCAATGTGATGGTGCATCCATCTGCCAAAATTGGTAAAGATTGTCGTATTGGTCCCAATGTTGTTGTGGGTCCCAATGCTGTGATCGGTGATGGTGTTCGTCTTCAACGTTGTGTCATTTTAGAAGGGGTTCAAATCAAGGATTTCGCTTGGGTCAATTCAAGTATCGTTGGTTGGCATTCAACTGTTGGACGTTGGTCTCGTATTGAAGGCTGCTCTGTCTTGGGTGACGACGTTACTGTAAATGACGAAATCTATATCAATGGTGGTTCTATTTTGCCTCATAAGGGCATTTCGTCCAACATTACTGAGCCTCGAATTATCATGTAAATTTATATATCACGTTTTCAACTATACACATTAATGTTATTTATTCATTTTTTATATATAAATGAAACTATTTATTCTATTTAACTTTGATCTTCTTGAAGCATAATGTCATACAAAGCTTGTTCTTCAAGAGTAATTGTTCCTTTAACTTTGCGTTCACCAAGCAATCCTAAAATTCGATTTTTTGTTTCAGGACTAATCGTTCTGTAACTAAATGGACGAGATGCTGCTTGTTTTTTATCCTTTTCTTGTTTCTTTGAAGCTACAAATTCTAATGTGCTTGATGAGGGGTTTGTTGAGGATTCAGGTGTTTCTTGTTGTCTTTGCAATGGTTGTGATGCTTGTGCTACTTGTGGTAGCTGTGCTACTTGTGGTGGTTGTGTTTGTTTTTCATGCCAGTATGTTGTTGTTTGTGATATGTATGATTGTGAATTCTGCTCTACTTGTGATGGTTCTGATGTTTGCTTTGCTTGTGGTTGTTGCAGAGATTGCTCTACTTTTGGTGGCTGTAAAGGTTGTGAAGGCTGTAGAGCTTGTGAAGGTTGTGAAGGCTGTAAAGCTTGTGAAGGTTGTGAAGGCTGCGAGGGTTGTGAAGGTTGAGGAAGTGGTGGAGGCTGTGAATGTTGCTCTACTTGTGATGATTGGGAACGCTCTGACTCTTGTGTTTTGATTGGATGCATTATACGAGGCAAAATAGGTGTCGAAAATCGCACAGTCATATTTGTGTTCATGGCAAGACGTGTAGGGTTATTAGATTGCAATGTTGTTTGCACTTCGTGATCTGCTAGCTTCTTTACATGAGCTGTTGGCTGTTGTGCTTGAGCTATTGGCTGTTGTACATGAGCTGTTGGCTGTTGTGCTTGAGCTATTGGCTGTTGTGCTTGAGCTATTGGCTGTTGTACATGAGCTGTTGGCTGTTGTGCTTGAGCTATCGGCTGTTGTACATGAGCTGTTGGCTGTTGTGCTTGAGCTATCGGCTGTTGTACATAAGCTGTTGATTGGGTTAATTGCAATTGCTGAATTGGAGGCAATTGAACATTCTTATGGTTTTGGTAATTATTATCCATTGGCATTTGGGATTGTTGTCGATAGGAACTAGCTACTTGAAGATTTTCCACCGGCTGACTACCATCCTTTATGCGATCATTCATAGGACCAATAGGTGGCAAAGGCATTACAAAATCAGGAGGCATTCTGTTCATATATGCGGCTCTTAATGCCTCTTTCTGTTTTCTTTGCTCATCAAGCACAAGTTCAATTTGTTTTTGTTGTTCTTTCTTTAACTTGTCGATCGCCTTCGCATGACTTCGAAGCATGGATTGCTCTTCTAATTCAAGCTCTTTTTGGATTCTTCTACGATTAGCTTGGCATATGTGGCGATAGATTCCCAAGTCCATGTATCGAATCATATCTTCTCTGCCCATTTCAATCGTACTGCGTTTTACTTTCTCCAAATGATCTAACATAACTTCCGTATATCCATAATTTTTCTCAAAGTATCTTTCGTTCTGAAACTGGAGTTGGTAATATGAATTCACTTCGTTGCGATAGCTGTTTTCCATGTCAGCTTTTACAGCCTGGAATCGTTGTAAAACAAGTTGACTGTTGGTGCATTCTTCATCAATAAAGCGGCAGAATCCTTCTAGGAATGGTTTAGACATTTCAAATAGCTGTCTATAGTTGATTTCTTTGTATCGTTGAGGCAATTCTGGCATAGGCATGAATACAAAAGCATTTTGGTTTTCAAGTGGGACATTTGGATAAATTTGGGCCTTGAATTTGTTCATACTCTTAGTGTATTTCTTTCTATGCTTACGAGCTCCTGAAGCAGGCTTCGCGTCGACAGACGTAGAAACTCCACCCATATCTTTAGCGTTAGCATTTTTTTCATTCTTGTCAGTGGGTAAGTCTTCTGCGTATTCCTCAGCTTCAATGACAAGTGGTTCTTCAAAAGTAAAGTCAGTATCTGCTTCATCGTCTGTTATCTTTGAGAACTTGTAGAGATTTGCTTCTTTGTAGGTCTATATGGAATGAAATCAATAACTGAATACAATCATAAGTTAGCTACTTACAATATTCGCTCTCTTACGCGCACCTCGACCAAGATTCTGTTCAGCAATTCGTTTTTCTTCTTTCTTCTTTTCTGCTACAGCTTGTTGTTCTAACAAGAACTTCTCCCAAAAGTCAGTTTCTTTCTTTTCAGCGCCTACATCTTCTTCTGTGGCGAGTTCTTCAATAGTGCCATCTGCTTGCCATACTTTAGCAAAAGAGAAATTCATACTACCATTTTCATTGGATTTTCCTTCAGACTCTTCGATTTCTTTAATCTGTTGTTCAGTAGCTACTTGACGATATTGCTCACGATCCAATAGATTATCAATGGCCGCATCATCATAGACAATGTCCTTGGAATCATCGTCAGCAAACAAAGCTTCAGTACCGAATTTGAGAATGGACTCGACGTCTTCAAGCTTTTCTTCTTCATCGGCTTTCATTCTTTCGACCACCACATGCTCAAGTGCCATTTTTTTCTTACCGATTTGCAAGACCTTTTCTTCTACAGTAAGACGGGTCATAAAACGATAAATAAGGACCATCTTGGTCTGTCCAATACGATGAGCACGACTGATAGCTTGCAAATCAGCATAAGGGTTGAAATCAGAATCCCAGATGATGACTGTATCGGCAGTAGTTAAGTTAATACCTACACCGCCTGCACGGGTAGACAATAAAAAGACATCCAGTTTAGAATCAGGTGCATTAAAGGCATCAATGCTTCGAACACGATCACGTTCCCTTGTGCTACCGTCGATACGAGTGTATTGAATTTGCTCATAAGTGAGATAATCTTCCATAATATCCAGTGCACGCGTCATAGTGGAAAAAAGCAAGATGCGATGTCCGTTTTGCTTCAATTTGGGAAACATTTGATGAAACAATTTGAGTTTGGCACAGGCATCAATCATGGTCTTTTGGACTAGTTTAGATGTGGGCTGTTGTTTCTCTACACCATCTAGAAGGTAAGGGTGGTTCAAGTTCTTGCGCAAGTTGGTAAAGATGTTGGTAAGGCCCTTTTGTCTCTTATGTCCATTAGCTAAGGCTAACGTCTCATAAATTTCTCGACTAAGACATTGCTTGTATACTTCTTTTTGAAGCGGTGTCATTGATAAAGGCACAATGAGTTCGTACTTGGGCGGTAACTCCTTCAAGACTTCTTCTTTGGTTCTTCGCAAAAAATGAGGGCGCAAGCGAGAGTGAAGCTCTTCTACTTGAGAGGCTGTCATGTTCTCATAGTCTTTGGCTTCTGAACCTTGGAATGCCTTGGGATGAATAAAATTCATGATATTGAACAATTCTTTCAAATTGTTTTGAAGTGGTGTACCTGTCAATAAGACAGTGTGATCTACTCTACATGAAGAAAGGGTTTTAAACAAGTATGACTCGTCGCTCTTAAGACGTTGCGATTCATCCACAATTAGAATTGGCCAAAACAACCTGTGTAATGGAGAAGACTCCATGATTGATTCATACGTGGCTACAACAACATGACATTTGATTCGTTCATGGCTATCTAAGATCTCGTTGTGGAGAGCTAGTTTTCGTGCTACATTGAGCCCAAAATAAGGAGCAACGGTCATTTCGGGGGCCCATTTCTCAAATTCTCGGATCCAGTTTGTTGCTGTACTGTTAGGCACAACCACCAAAAAGGGATATATCGAGAATTTCTTAAATAGACAGTAAAGAAATGTAACGATTTGAATCGTTTTTCCAAGACCCATATCATCTGCCAAAATACACGATTGTTTCTTTTCCCATTGATAAATAAGCCAACTAAGAAAAAATTTGTTAGTACATATTTATGATTAATTTATGCATTACTTGAGTGCTTCCATTTGATGCTTCATAAGTGTTCCACCTTTGACAAAATCAGGTTGTTCTTTAATTTCGTGTCTTTGGTAACTTTCGGCAGTGGCAGCAGCACGGACAGACTCAATTAAACCATACATGTTCTTGGGAGGTTTAACTTGGCTTGCTTGGATATATCGTTTGAGAGCAGCTTGGTAGTCTGGGTATACGTCTGTTTCTTCTTCATTAGGCGGTTCATCCCATACAGCTATAAATGAAAAACAGGGTAAATCACTGTATGCATATGCGCGTATTTTACATATTTACCATCGCCGTATTCTGAGTCTTTGTATACAGCCAAAATACGCTTCACTTTTTGATTGGATTTATCTTCCCATTCTACATTCAGAATTCGATCTACTACTGTCCAATCCTCAGATACTTGGGAAATGCCATGTGCCTCTTTGCGCTTCAAATAGCCTCTGAAAAGGCTCGGGCTGACTTGTGAAACCCAATCAGCCAAAACCCAGTTTGTATGGCGATACGACTCACTCTTCCATTTGATCAAGCATTCGACTCTACCATCATTTGATGTTCTTTCACTCGCAATAATTTGAGGTGTTCTGTTTGCAAAAATCAAGCACTCTATGCATTTTCCAGATTGATATAACAGAGTTATATCATGTTTTTTGATTTCATCTGCTAATGCAGGTGAGGCGGCATCCAAAATACATTCATGATGAAACGCTCTAGAGCAAGTTACGCAGCGAAAAGCAACATATTCGCTTTTCTTTTCGAGGATGCTTTTGTGACATCCAAAGCATGTACCATTATTTATACATTTAGCACATTTTAATTCGCCTGTGGTTTTGTCGATGCTGGTCGTAGTAGGCAAACAATTATTATGGACAGATATTGAGCAAGTCTGACAGAGTAAGAGGCGTGATCTTTTTTTTTCTGTGCCAAGAAAGACTAATTCTGATCCATTGATTTGACCTGTTCGCAAACATCTAAAACAAATAAGTGAGTGATGTTGTATAAAAGGCTCATCTGTGTAATTTGGTATCTTGAATGGTTTTTTGGACGTTTTCTTTGACGTTGGCAATTGAGTCGTGAAATCACGATGATAAGCTCTAGGCTTCATAATTCTTCTGCCGCGTGATGTTGCCAAAGGAGTTTGCTCTTCTTCATCTGAATACATAATGAAATCGTGGATATCATCTTCTTCATCCTCGTCATCGTTGTCATCGTCTTCGTCGTCGTCTCTATAATCGCTTGATGATGCTGATCTGGTTGGTTGTATTACTATTTTTTGCTTTTTTTTGCTGTGTGTGATATGTTTGCTTTTTTCTTCTTCTTGATCAAGCATATCTAGTTCATATCTCTCTACTAGTTTTTTATTGATGTTGTTTAATAAGTCTGCCGAAACCTATTAAAAAAAAAGGGGGTTAAGAAGGATAAAGAAAGAAGGGAGAGACAAGGAAAGCTATTTTTTACCTTTCTTGTTTGACCGTCTTTAAAGCAAACAGTATAGGTTACTTTTCCTGTTTCTGTTCTTTGACGCTTCAGGATCCTCTTTGTTGAAGAAAAAGAATACGGCCAAGGGTCAAGTTTTATTTGAACTCTTTTGTATTTGTTTTGAATAACCTATTTCAAGTAAGTCATATAAAAGAATTTCATAGAGCTTGCTAGTTTACATCTTCTTTTTCAGTATTATACATCACACTGCTATCTATTCAGAAAAGAGATTAAACAAAACAAAAAAGAAACGCGTTTGGTCAACACGCGTAGAATTTTTTCTTCGGAGAGTACTTTAGAATCCATTGCCACCCCTGAACAGTCACGGTCCACTTTGTTTCCTTATAAAGAAAAGGAGTAGAAGTGAGTAAAAATAGTGGACGCTCCATCCAACATAAAGGGGAACAGCATTAAATAAATAAACATCACCCTTACTTTTTCTTTCTTCTTCCTTTCTCTTTCTTTTTCTCTCAATTCCTTTCTAAAATCAATTTGATTTATCAGAAGAATGCAGGACGATACACGCATTGATTTATTATGCTTGTTGAATCCATCTTCAGATCAACCGCCTTCTGAGGATAGTATTGCCAATTTATTGTCTACAAGGTCTAAGCGCAATCAGCCTTATACTCGTTCAGGCTACTCAAATTTGATTGTTGTAAATCCCTACCAATCTCTAGAAATCCTCAATGATGCTACATTAAAGTCTTATGCTGACAATGGATACAGAAACCTTGTAGAAAATAAGCCCTTTATGCAGCCACATGTATATGATTTGGCTACAAGAGCTTACTTTCATATGCGTAGAACAGGTGAAGATCAAAGTATTATTTTAAGGTGAGGAGAAAACAACAAAAAGAGAGAGAGAGAGGAGAAAGAAAGGGGGCACAAAGACAAAATTGAAAGGGCAAATTGACCATTGGACGTATTAATTAAAATGTATTTTTAACATTTAGTGGTATCACCGGTTCTGGGAAAAGTACTACTCGATCTCATCTTTTAAACCAACTTTTATCACTTTCAACACATTCTAAAAAAGAGACTAAGCTTCAACAACAGATCAAAAATTCGCTTGTGATTCTAGAAGCTTTTGGTAATGCAAAGACTACGCAAAACACTTCTGCTTCAAAGTACGGTATCTTTCAAGAATTACAATTTTCAGAAAGAGGTCGAATTCTCGGTGCAAAGACACTCACCTACGCTTTTGATAAATCAAGAGTCACATCAGCCCCTAAAGACGAACGTACTTTTAATGTGTTTTATTCTTTATTGGCTGGAACAAGTCCTGAAGAACAAACTGCACTTCATATTAATTTCCCTCCTGAATCATTCAACTACCTCTCTGTCTCTAAGACAATCAAAGTACCAGAAATTAATGATGATATTGCCTTTGCTGATCTTAAGAGCTCGCTCAAGACATGCGGCTTTAAAGCAAAGACAGTGACTCAAATCTTTCAATTGTTGGCAACCATTCTGCATATTGGTAACATCCAATTTCAAGAAGATCACGATGCTGGAAACTTGGCTCAAGAGGCTTGCTGTGTCCGTAACCGTGATGTGCTAGAGGTGGTTGCTGTCATGTTGGGTGTGTCACCAAACAAGCTTGAACAGTCGCTTACTTACAAATTAAGGTTGATTCGCAAGGAGCTTTGTACCATGTTTTTGAATACGCAAGGTGCTACTGAACAAAGAGACGCTCTTGCTCGAGCCCTTTATCATGTCTTGTTTGTCTGGATTGTCGAATCTATTAATACCAAGATCTGCTACAATGATGGTGAACCTGCTAATTTTATTGGCATCTTGGATCAATTCGGTTTCCAGAACTTCAAATCCAATGGTTTTGAGGAGTTTTGTGCCAACTTTGCCAATGAGCGTGTCCAGCAATTTATCATTGATCAACAATTCAATGAATCAGATATGAACCTTGCCATGATACGTGATGGTATCGTACTCCCCAATTTTACTATGACAGACAATACAAGTTGCCTTGAACTCTTGGTTGGTAAAGAACAAGACCACACGCGTGAAAAGAACGTAATCAAATCGGCTGCCCTTGGTTTAGGTGGCATTGTGAGTATGATGGATCGTGATTGCGCCCGCTATCAAGCAGGTGCCACTGATGCTACCAATGCAAACTTTCTTGTGAATGTGCAACGTGCGTATGGTTCACATCCTTCATTTGCTAAATCAGGACATGCCTATGCATTTGGCATCAATCATTTTTCGGGTTCCGTACATTACACAGTGGAATCATTTTTGGAAAAGAATTTGGACGATCTCTCTCCTGATTTTGTGAGCCTTCTTCGTGACAATAGTACGAATTCTTTTGTCTCCGCTCTCTTTGAAGGTACTGCCATGGCCACAGAATCACATCCTAAAGACGATCGTACCATTGTCAAGGCACAACTGTCTAGTAAGCCCACGCGTGCACCATCTATGAAGAGAACCAACAAACGCCGCAATAACAACGATGCTACTGCTGGTGAAGCTGAGGTTGAAACTGAAGAGGCAAAAAAGCAAAAGGGCTTAAAAGAAGCAGAAGATGTTTACCAAAGCATGCAAGTCACTACTGTCATGGATCAGCTTTATATGACATTACACGATCTTTTTTATACCATGGCAGATACTCGCCTTTACAATATTATTCATATTAGACCTAATGATACCCAATCACCCGATTCGTTTGATGCAAAGCGAGTCAAGGCACAATTGCGTGCTTTCTTGGTACCTGAATTAACCACAAGGGCCTCTGTTAGTTATGCTAATTACTATACATTTGCTGAATTCGTTGTTCGCTACGCAAATCTGGTGCGCTCCTTGAATATCGACCCCTCCAGATCTGAACGTGAGCAAGTGCAAGATGTGCGTGCTATTATGAATTGGTCTGAATCACAAGCATTCATTGGCCGTGAAATGATCTGGATTGGCTATGATAACTGGAAAGAACTTGAAGATGGTTTACGTTTAGCTGAAAAAGAAGAACGTGCTAAAGGGGCAGATAGCAAGCAGGAGGTGCCTATTCCTAGTCATTTTACTGGTGCTGAATATTATCAAGATGGACAAGGCCGCATGACGAATAATGGATATATGGATCATTTTGGTCCACCTAGAGCTTTTGAAGACTCTGCAAGTTATGTGGACAGTGACGATGGTATCAAACGAGACATGGAAGGCAGTCAATGGGGTGAAGAATCAGAATGGGGCATGAAAGGGCTTTCAGAAGGGTATGTTTGTACTAAATATATGTATATCATACTGATTTTTATCTAGATTTGGTCCAAATATGGACATGAGCAAAATGGTAGAAGACTATCATACCCCTCAACATGAATCAGTAGAAGAAGTGCCGATCACAGCTGTCCGTATTTGGTGGGTACGGTTTGTTTGGCTCATGACTTGGTGGATCCCTTCTCCCTTTTTACGCTGGTTTGGCAAGATGAAGCGTGAAGATATTCAAATGGCATGGCGTGAAAAAGTAACCCTCTGTATTATTATTCTTTTCTTTTCTGCTGTTACTATCTTTGTGATCGTGGGGCTTGGTGAAGTGATTTGTCCTGGTACTCGTGAGATGTACTCTCCTGCAAATGTAGGTGCCCACAGTACGCCTGATGATATGTACGTCAGTGTGCGTGGTCTAGTCTATGATATCACCAATTTTGCAAAAAATTCGCATGGTACACCAGGATTTACGGCTACGACTGATTCCATGAACCAACTTGCTGGACAGGACGTAAGCTATATCGTTCCTCCTCCTCTGACTGTTGCTTGTTCTGGCTTAGTCACTTCGCCTACTACCAAAATTATTGCCAACATCACCACATCTGTCAGTATTTTTAGCCATTATTCGGGCGATCAAGTCTTGGTTCCTAATTCTGCTAAACTACAAGACCCATATTGGTATTGGAATTACTTCTTGCCTAGCATGAGTATCCATAAGAAAGGAAAGCTGGTGATCTCTGTTAAGCAATTAGCTGATGACTTTAAGGGTTGGTCAAGACGTGCACTCGCTATCCATGGTAAAGTCTATGATATTCAAGATTATATGACAACAGCTGCTCTTTACGAGGCAGGAACCGCACCTGATAAAAGAGGTCCCTATCACTTCTTGAGCGAGCAAGTGGAAGAGATTTTCAAAAGCTTCAGTGGTACAGATGCTAGCGAAAGATGGGACTATTATACTGGTTCAATGTCGCCTGAACTTAAGGAAGCCAATCAAGCATGTTTGGATAACTTTTTCTATATCGGTGATGTCGATGAGCGTGAATCTGTTAAATGTATGTTTACGAATTACATGCTTCTTGCTTGTGCTATCTTTATGTGTGCTGTGATTGCTGTCAAGTTTTTAGCTGCCCTTCAGTTTGGTGGTGCTCCTACACCTGAAGATCATGACAAGTTTGTTATTTGTCAAGTTCCTTGCTATACCGAAGATGAGGAGTCCTTGAAGAAAACAATTGACTCCCTTACTGTGATGAACTACGACGATAAGCGCAAGTTGCTTTACATTATTGCTGATGGTATGATCATGGGTAGTGGCAATGACCGACCAACTCCTCGTATTGTACTTGATGTGCTTGGTTATGACACAAAGAATGATCCTGAACCTCTCATGTTCAAGTCGATTGGTGAAGGCTCCAAACAACTCAATTATGGTAAAGTCTATTCTGGTCTTTACGAATGCGAAGGTCATGTTGTGCCTTATGTCGTAGTTGTAAAAGTCGGTAAAGCTTCTGAGCGCGCTAAACCAGGCAACCGGGGTAAACGTGATTCTCAAATGATCTGTATGAATTTCTTGAACAAGGTCCACTTTGACTCTGAAATGACACCTTTGGAACTTGAAATGTACCATCAAATTAAGAACGTGATTGGTGTAAATCCCAGCTTCTATGAGTACATTCTCATGGTAGATTCTGATACTGAAGTCTTGCCTGATGCTCTAAACCATATGATTTCTCGCATGCTTCATGATGGTCGTATTATTGGTATTTGTGGTGAAACTAAATTAGTAAATGAAGATCGTTCCTGGACAACTATGATTCAAGTCTATGAATACTATATTTCGCATCATTTGGCTAAGGCTTTTGAATCGTTATTTGGTTCAGTTACCTGTTTGCCAGGCTGTTTCTGTATGTACCGTATTCGTACGCCTGTCAAGAATGAGCCTTTGATTATCTCTCCTAAAGTAATTCATGACTACTCAGATAACCATGTCGATACACTCCACAAGAAAAACTTATTGCATCTTGGTGAAGATCGTTACTTAACCACTTTAATGATGAAGCATTTCCCTCAATACAAAATGAAGTTTACACCTCACGCACAGTGTAAGACAGTAGCTCCTGATCGATGGCAGATTCTGTTGTCTCAGCGTCGTCGTTGGATTAACTCTACCATTCACAACTTATTTGAAGTCGTCTTGTTGCCTGATCTTTGTGGTTTCTGTTGTTTCTCCATGCGATTTGTGGTACTGATTGATTTGATTGGTACATTAACTTTGCCTGTCTCTGTTATTTACTTGGTTTATCTTATCTATGTCATTGCTTCGCATACAGGTCCTATTCCTGTGCTGGCCCTTGCCATGTTGGCTGGTATTTATGGTCTTCAAGCTATTTTGTTTATCCTGAAGCGTCAATGGCAACACATTGGCTGGATGATCTTTTATATCTTGGCTATTCCTGTCTTTTCCTTCTTCTTGCCTATTTATTCTTTCTGGCATTTTGACGATTTCTCCTGGGGTAATACCCGTGTGGTTGTGGGTGACAAGAAGCAAAAGAAGATCATTGTAGCGGACGACGAAAAATTTGATGAAAAAATGATTCCCTTAAAGAAATGGAGCGTCTATGAACAAGAACTTTGGGAGATGGGATCAACTGGCAGTAAAGAAACAGGGGTAACAGGCCACAGCTACAGAAGTTATCGTTCGCATGGTTCTCGTGCAAATCAAATGAATGCTCATGACAATCGCTCTCATTATGGTGGAAGTCAAGCAGGCGATTATGATTATTATCGTGACACCAATGTCTCTACCAGTTTTGAAAGAAAAAATAGATCTCATAGTCCAGGTTTTGCTGGCTCTATTATCAGCCCTGGATCAGAATACGGAGGCATGGGCACACAAGACTTTATGGCTACGCCTCCTTTACCGCGTGTCTCTCAAGCCATGTCTGTCCATAGTTTTGGGCCAGATTATGCAGCCAGTAGTCATATCATGCCTATGATGGCCAACAGTAGTTTTATGCTGCATCCACAAGAGAAAAGCATGATGACTAGCAACCAGTCTATGATAGGACAGCCTGTGATGGGAGCACTTCAAAGTGAGTATGAAATGCCTATGCGACCCATGAGCCAATTCTCTGTTCCCATGTCACAAGGAGGCGTACAAACCATGACACCACCAGGATTCCCTACAGATGAGGAGATCTTATCTGAAATAAGAAACATTCTTCAAACTGCTAATTTAATGAGCATTACAAAGAAACAAGGTAAGCATTGAACCATTATGAATTATGTATACTTATTGTCAACTAGTTCGAGAGCAGTTGAGCGCATTTTTTGGATTCGACATGTCTCCCAAAAAAGAGTATATTAATACTAGCATTGAATATGTATTACAAGGTCGCCTTTAATTACTATTTTACGCTTCTCATTTTACATAATAGAAAAATTACATACAAATAAAAAGTTGGTTTCGAGAAAATATCGTCTCGGAATGGACTTTGCCTATTCGGGAATACAATAGTGTACAATTTTTTTTCGTCTTTTTTTTTTCTTTTTTATCCTTATCATGCTACCCATTGAGTCAAAGAAAGAAAAACAAAAAGAAATTATACTCAGTCTTCACTGGGCTTGCACAACCGGGAATGTTGGTAAGTTAACTTTTATTATAGATATCTTGCATTAACACTTTGACAGGCCTTGTGAAATTTGCTTTAGACCATGGTGTACCAATAGACTCAGTAGTCAATGGATTTGTACCCTTACAACTGGCATGCATTAGTGATAACAACATTGCTGTCGTTCAGTATCTCATTGATAGAGGCGCAGATGTGAATATCCAAAAGTATGTGTATTGCCTTGAGTGCTGACTAACTGTATAACAGGTGGTCTAAAAAGCATAGTATGGATAAATCTCAAGCTGTTCATGGTGCCACAGGCTCTACAGCGCTTCATGTCGCTTGCGCGAATGGATGCACCAGAATTGTAGACCTTTTACTTCGAAACAATGCGCGTGCTGATGCAAAAGACAAGTATGGCTCGACTCCTCTCAGTATAGCTCAAGCAAAAAATGAAGTTGAGATTATCAAGTTATTGAAAGCAGCCAAAAAGAAACACAGGAAATCCTTAGATGCAAACATCATGACGCATAAAAGAACACCTTCTGATAAATTAGTACGTATCCGAAGACCGAGCCTACCTTCCATTTTTGAGGGACCACCTTCTTTCATCAGTATGACACCAGTGACTCCATCCGAGCCGCCCTCAAGGCGGAGTTTTACGTCAACGCACAGACCATCCTCTGAAGACTTGCATGCCCATTCCTGTCCTGTTACACCAAGAACATCCATAGACCAACTTAACAACAATACCAAACAAAAACACAAGCGTGAAAAGTTTTCTCATTCCTCTGAAGAACTCTCTGATTCTCCTCAAACAACTTCTCTCTTTCAATTAGGTATGCATTCAGATGGTTCATCTTCAGCCATCACGACAGACAGTCACACCGATTGGTATGGTTATGGTATAGTGAATCCCTATCACGAAGAGAATTACTTGCAATCACTCGAGAAAAGAGCGTTTAATTTGGAAAGAAATCATAGCGGACATGCTCAAGAAGTCTTTAAGCAGTCTATAGACCATCAACGTCGACCATCCAATGAGCTTTCTGGCTCTCTTTCGCAGAAAAGTAGCTCTACATTACATCTTGAAGAAGACTATGAAGAAGAAAATGATGACTATGACGACGACGACGACGATGATGAAGATGATGAAGAGGAGGTAGTTTCCCCATCTATTATTACTGACAATGGAAAAGAAGCAAGCCTTATCCAATACCACATTCTAAACCAAGATACAAAGCCACATTTGAATCTTGTTACTACCAAAGAGACCAAGAAGGGATGGTTAAGCAATCTGAATCCTTACTCCCATGATAACTATCGCAAAAGTCCTAGCTTTGATACTATTTCTCATTTCAAACGAAAAGGAAGTCATAAATCAGCAATTCAATTAGAACAAGATAAATTATCGGATGAAGATAATAATGTACATATTCAACAACGCAATGGCTTTTTTTCTCGATGGACACCTTCTTGGCAAAGAAAGTGAATCCATTTTTTTTGTAGATACATTTCATATAGTATATAAACATATTTATTAAAGTAGCATTGATACAAGCAAAAATATAAAACCTTTTTAATGGTTTTCAGAGCTTTCAACTTGAAGAATTAATTCATGAGGAGCATCAAATTGAGGTAAAATCACTTCCACAAAATGAATTTTGTCTCGCTGTTTTTTGACTGTCTGCATGGCTTCTTCAAATGCCTTGCGTGTTTTAACTTTAACTGTCAGGCCCAAAGGAGAGGCATATTTAAATTTGGCCTTGTTGTTTTCAAGATTAGCGCCAAAATAGTCCAATGCCTTGGTGTATTCCCACATGAAAAAGTTATTGTAGTCACAATGCATGCCATGGATAAGTTTTTCGATAAGATAACCATCATTATTTAACAAGATAATAACAGGTGCTAACCCATGTCGCATCATGACAGAAACTTCTTGTCCAGTCACTTGAAAAGACCCATCTCCTACAAACAGATAAACACGACGGTCGCGGTTAGCCATAGCACTGCCCAGACAAGCACCAACAGTATAGCCAATCGATCCCCAAAGAACTTGGCTGATATAGGTAGTGTTGGGAGTGGATTTCATATTGAACAAGCCAAATTCAGCCGTACCTGTCTCTCCAAGCACAATGCTGTTGGGTTCAATGTACTCGGACACCTTGTTCCAAAGATAATTATGCGTGATTTCTTGCATACTATCATCTATAGGCAAAACGACGCCTCGAGGGCCAAAACTGAGCTGGCATGACTTTTCAGGTAAACGACTTGTCAAGAGAGGTAAAAGATCCATCATGCTTACACCAGGATACTCAGCATAGTAAACAGTGGTACCGAAGCTATGCAAAGCAATCGTTTTTGCTTTCTCAAGACCATAAGAGAAATTACCTGTATTAAAGTCAGACTTGATGGAGCCCAGTTCAATCAATAAATCAGCTTGTTCAATCTCTCTTTTGATACTTTCTAAAGAGACATTACCACTGTAACAACCACGAAAGTTAGGCAACGATTCATCAATGGCTCCCTTTCCCATAGGCGCAGCAAAAGTAAGAAAACCAGACTTGATTACAAATGCATTGGCTTCTTTCTGAAGGTGGTGTCGAAGGATACAACCGTCTACCACAATAGCAGGATAAGTAGCGTTTTTCACTAACTCAAGAATTTTCTCCAACGCAATTTGCATAATTTCTGGAGGACTTGTAGGAGGTGCAAGTTGAAGAGCATCCATAAATGGTTCAGACAGCTCGACTTGCTTCTTCATCAAATCCAAAGGAATAGCAATGTAACCAGGTTGTTTACGAACAAACGATGTACGAATGACATAGTCGATTTGTTCGAGTGCTTTTTCATGCGTAAGACAAGCAGAAGCAACAGTAATCATGCTGGACATTTTAGCGAAGACTTTAAAGTCACCATTTCCAAGTGAATGATGCAAAAGTGTTTTGTGAAGTTGAGAAGAAGTGATGGGCGTGCCAACAACATGGATAACAGGCAACATTTCTGAAAAAGAACCAGCAACACCATTGATAGCCGAGAGTTCACCCACTCCAAATGTTGTAACAAGTGCACCTGCACCACGAATGCGAGCATAGCCATCCGCAGCATAAGCTGCATTCAATTCATTTGTATTATTGCCCCAGGTAATATCCTTGTCTTCTTCAATGAGATCCAACAATGGCTAGACGAGTTATGAGCTTACAGCTTTAGAGTTCATTTTTATTCATTTACTAAATTGTAATCGCCAGGAACACCAAATATTGTCTCGATATTCAACTCTTTCAACCGTTTAAGCAAATACTCACCAATTGTAATAGAAGCCATCTTCATCAAAAAGAAGAAACGAAATATTGGCCATCATTTTTTAACATAACCAAACAATTCATCAGTTTGTAAATACGTTCAAATGATATCAGCATTATTTATCATTATACACTGACTCGAAATAAAAATTGGCCCAGTTTTTTTTTTTCATCCTGATCCAAGAGACCTTTGATTTAAGTAACAATATAAATATTATTTATGCATTTCATGCTTTGCTTAATTTCTAAAATTTAATTTTTGTTCATTTAATATTACAACGAAATTCTTTTTCCAATAAAGTGTATATGCTACACAATTTTTCCATTAAACAAATCATTGCTTGAGCTTTGATTATCGTGCAATTTCGTCTTTTTTTTCTATACAGCTGACATGGTTTGAGTAGTTGTTACCTATCATGTATCAGCATTAATTGTTGTCATTAAGATGAAAATATGAAATAAACATAATAAGGAATCAAACGGATGGTAATATCAGTTTGTTAACTACCCTAACCAAGAAACAGCAAAAGTAGTAGTCTACTCTACTGCCACAAGGCCATGGAATTTGTTGCAGCAGGGATAGCTGACAAGTTCAACAAAACTGAGCGGAACGTTGCTGGCTTGTCTTACGAATCCCTCAACAAGCCATTAACAACGGTCTCCTTTCGGGCAATTCCTCGTCTTCCAGACGTTATGTAATAATATAATATAATGTTTTGTATTTAAATGACTATTTAGCTTGGGAAAGAGTTGATGGAGCAACAAAGATGAGAAACTGAAATCAGACTTCTTTAAATGATGATGTTAGCATTATAAGTTTTTATCCAATCCAAAGGATTCTTTTTTGTTTGGAATTGATATACAACACTTATGCCAATATTCAATAATTTACGCATTGCTTATACTCGAATGAGTATAGCGAGAATAAATTAAGAGGTGAAAATTGAAGAGAAGTGAGAACATGAATAAATAAAGATAAAAAAAGCTTAATTCTAGAATGTTTATTCGGCATTCTTCTTTTGAGATCTTTTTGGAGTAAAAAAATTACTTGAGGGAAAGGGACATTCTGGTCTAAGTGGGGATTGTAACATAGAAACAGCGGTACCAGAACTCTTGCTTGAAACTTAAAAACGTTTGAACTTCTTGGATGATTTTTTAACTTTAATATACATTGTTTCGATTGTGTCCTGTATTAAATACGTTTAATAAAGAAACGGATATAATGTAGTCTATTTACTTACCAAGTAATTAAGCAGTTGATCAAGAGAATCTCCAAAGATAGAATCTTCGAAACCATCCTCATCAGCAGGTAAAGAAAATGCTCTCTTTAGACACTTTACATGCTGTTGTGATATCCTCAAATTGTTTAACTTTGTAAATGTACGCAGAGAGACCTGAAAAAACAATAGCTTTTGTTAGAAATTTAGGTAAAGTATCATTAGAAATTACCAAGGACATCAACACCAAGCATACATAGACCGTCAATGAAATAGTTACCAACGTAAAAATGAATGTTGTGAAATATACTCTTGTTGACTCTGATATTTTTGTTTAATTGGACTGCTTCCACACTTTCAGAAACAGAAGCTGGTCTAATTTCTAAGGCGCCAAGCTCGATTAGTTCCTCTTGAAGGGCATTGTTTACAACAGGAGCAGCAAATATCAAATCAATCTTACGGCCATAAATCGATTTTGAAGATTCACCATATTCGTATTCATTAATCTGTCTTTCTGATTTACTAGACATGCTGTACGATTCACCTCTTAAATTACCAGTTAGCATGGTTCTTCATTAAACATATTGATGTACCTTTTAAGAACGATAGGGCTCTCTCTAAAGATAGCCTCAAGTACGTATTTCCAATAGAAGCTAAAATCTTCTTCTGTCAAGGTATTGCTTGTCCAGTTACGATAGTTCATCATATTCAGTACAAAATCAAAGATATCCAACACTTTCAATGTGAATGCTTCAGAGATCTCCAAGTCATTCTCGACCACACGTTGCTTCTATCGCAAAATATACATCTTGACACTCCTGATATCATTTGTGATATATGCTATTTGAATTTCATCCTTTAACTTTGTAAACATATCATTTTTGTAGACCTTGAATGGCTTGTATTGGCTATTGTTGGACAGAACACGGTCAACTTTTTCTGTACCAAATATGGTATTCAACGTAACCCTGTAGGCTGCATTGATAGTGTTCAAACAGCTTGAGAGAAGAACATGAAGATAAGATCTTTCAACAGCATTTAGATCATCAAATCTTTAGATTAGATTACTGCAGGCATTGTAAATTAGATTGCAATATGTTGTAGAAGGAAGTGCGTCAAGGCTATTTATATCAGTTCGCTGCTTCTTATAAAGCTTGTAAACATGATCATATAGTGATGATATATGAATAGGATTTCTGAAATAAGAAGTATCAGTAGGGATAGGACTAGAAGGCTCCGCGGAGGTGACATAAGAATCATTTGCCATATGTAATGCAGAAGATGGCGCTGAACTTTCATCATGATTCAAACGTCTCTTATTCCCAGTAGAAGTCAAGAAAATATTTTCTTTGTGCGTAGAGTTGTTGTAATTAATGCTAATGGTGGTTTCTGAAGTGGTCGCCTTTTTGTCCTGATTGAAATTATAAGAAATCATTCAAATCTAATTGAGTTACCTTGATGTCTTTCTTTATTTCAGAAATAGATGTTTTAATATCATTAGGAACGACCGATGTCTTTTTAATGATTTCTAAGTTGTTTTAGAAGTCTCTTCTGCAAGTCGAGAATTTAATAAAAGGATCTATACTCTTCTTTTATTCCATAAAACTTGGGATGATCCAAGTTGATGCAGGCTTGTTCTTAAAGAAATTATCCACTTAAAATTTTGAAGGAGCTGTATAGTTTTCAAAGTTCATTTTTTACGTGAAAATACGAAACAAAGCAGCTGTTGATTTATGAGAAGTTTATGCTTGTCCAGTGTCCTGTCATGCATGCACTTATGTATCAGTGGTTCAACAACACGCCACAAGCTCAAGTTTGTCACTGTTGAAATAAGCGCTGCTTTGTAACAAACCTTATACAGTCACGTGGATGTCTGTTGATGATTTTTGAAGAAAGTAAAAAAGAAACTTTGCCATTTTTATCAACAGTAAAAAGAGAATATCTAGACGTCGTCACCAAGAAGTACTAAACATAAATTAAGGGAGAAAACGGGTTCCGTGGCGCCGGCCCTTTTTGACCTTCATAGTTTTTGTCTGTTGTCACCATATAATCAGCCTGTTCTAATATAGACATTTCTCGATAAATAGTTTATTAAATGTTTATATGGAGTTTCTTCTTACTGCAACTGGTATTGTTGCTTCACTAGAGTGAAGTTGGCGTGCTGCTGGTATCCAAGTTTGTTTATTAATAACTGTCTTTTTAGGCTTATTATTAGAATAGGAGCCAGGCAGAGACATACGCCTTAATTTCGCGAAGTAGTTAGGTGCCACAGTAATTTGATCTACCATTAGATTTGTGATAGTAAATAGACATGCCCAAAAGAACATCCAAGAAAAACTAAAGGTTGACGCGTTTCGATCTGGAGGATTTGAAGAGGAACAGAAGTCAAAAATCATAGTAATTAAGGAATGTGGTAAATGTAACAAAGGCACCAGTAATAGAATTGTCAGTCTAGAATCCATTATTTTATTGGTCTCTTTTGTCTTTGGTGTAGCCAAGTCACGAGAAAGTGAATCCACCAATGCCATGGAGGTATCGAGTCTCTTGAATGATTCCATGACTGGATCTGAGACGATTTGTCTCTTTGTTCGTGGTGTAATGGATCGACGCATAGGTATTGATGCTGTTGTTGGACACGACCTTGTATGATGTCGAAACATCTGTTTTTTAGAGTGTGTCAGCGTCGGTGATGGAGAGCGAGATAGTAAGGTTGCACTTGTACTCGTAGAAATGGGAGAAAATATTGAGGACTGTGTGGAGTGACTTGAAGAAGTGCTGCCATTGCGGTGATGACTAGATGAAGGAGTAAGAGAAGTACGGGATTTTCTAGGGCGAGGTATTCTACTTTCGTTGTTATATTTAGGACTTGAAATGATAGTAGAAGAAGTGAATACTCGAAGTGGTCTCTTTGTTGATGTACTGCTTTTCATAAGTTGAACGCGCTCTTTTTCAATGCCATGAACAGCTTCATTCGCTTCTTGAATTAGGTTAGTGAGAATACCAGAAATACGATCAAATGTTTGCTGCTGTTCTTCATCGTCCAATTCTTCTTCCATATCAGACAATAATGCCATTGCTGAGTCTGGTCGAGTAATTGTGTGTCGACGAGGTCTTTTGCTTGACTCGGTTTCCATATCGGTGGAAGAGATAACTGGAGTTGATATTGAAGGTATAGGTTCGGGTAAAGACTATTATAAGGAGGCTTAATATTAGTATTTCAACATATTTTTATCTTTTATTTACCATTTTAATGAAGTAATGATAAAAAAAAGAGAGAAAAAGAAGAAAAAAAGTTTAAATAAAAATGTAGTCCGCCTCTTTTCCTTATTTAGTGAGCTTTAGATGACGGTATAAGTTTGTTTCTTTATGTGAATTACACATGACGCTTTATGCTCCTTTATTATATTTTCTCCCCTTTTTCCCTCTTTCTCTTTGACAGATATGATCAATTAAATAAAATATAGTTTTATGGCATGACTAGAATTTTTATTAAAAACATGGTTTGTTATAGATCAATGCACCGCATTATCGTGCCAACCTTAAACACGACTTGACTTTTTCTGGATGAAGGTGAGCTAAACCAAATTATTCAAGTGATTTCAACCTTATGCAATTTGCTAAAGTTCGAAAAATGTTACTGGTCAACATTTATAAACCACGCCACAAAGTCTTTTTTATAGGCCCCGATGTTGTATCTGTTCTATTTCTTCCTTTCTTTCTTCCATGTCTCAATGTCTTTCTAGGAATAAAAAAGCCAAAGTAGACAATGAAACCGACATAAAAAAAGAGGCTCATTCATTTTATGATAGTTGGCAGAAGAATACAATCAATTACTAAAAGAACTTTCTTCTCCAAAAATAAAATCCATTGGATGTTATTCTCTTCATGAAACTATTGGAAGAGTAGGAAGAAAAAAAAGACAATGATTGCAGTAGCCTTAACATCATTTTAGGGAAGCTATGGAAAAGTAAAGCTAGGTGTTCATCAGTTAACTGGAAAGCTAGTTGCGATTAAAAAGATTAACAAAAAACACGCATATTTGATGGCACGCGAAATACATCACCATAGACAACTACAACATCCTCACATTGTTTCTTTATATGAAATATTGTCTACTGAAACCAACATTTTTATTGTTTCTGAATACTGCCATCATGGTGATTTACTCATGGCTTTGACCCGCCATAGAAGGTTTTCCGAACATCGCACAAAGAAATGGTTTTTACAACTATCGAATGCTATTAGTTTTTGTCATTCCTTGGGAATTATACATAGAGATATCAAGCTAGAAAACGTCCTTTTAGATGAGAATGACAATGTAAAAATATGTGATTTTGGTTTTGCACGTCAAATAGAAAGGAATCAATTACTCGAGACATTTTGTGGTAGCTTGGCTTATTCAGCACCCGGTAAGTTATCCTACTCATACAATGGTTCTCATTGTTGGTTTTTTTAGAAGTAATTCAACGCCAGACTTATTCTGGTCCAGGTAAGAAAAAAAACAAAAAAGTGATTGTTACCTAATGCCACCTTTCTTTATGTCGTGTAACAACAGCAACTGATGTATGGTCACTAGGCGTTATTCTTTATACACTCTTAGCAGGAGAATTGCCCTTTGATGATGATTGTGAATCTGTCATGCAACAAAAAGTGGTCAGTACATCTTACAAAATACCTTCCTTCTTTTCTTCAGGTAAAAAAGAAAAAGAGCAACAAGAAACTCAATCTATTTTATAGAAGTGGCGGATCTAGTACAAAAAATATTAAAATTAAACCCTTTTGAACGTCTCACAATCAATCAAATTACAACCCATCCATGGTTAGACAATCCCTCTATTTGTTTACAGCCAACATCCGCTCAACTTAACCTTATTTCACCTCATCATGAAAAACAGACAGCACATTCTCTTATAGACGCAGGTTTCGAGAGATCGATTGTGGATGAAATGCGACACTCAAAGTCCGGTATGCTTGGTACGCTTTGGAAAATGCTTTTATCCAAATCACGTAACATGGCTTCCGAACTGTTACTACCTAACTCGCATTGTGCAACCCAAACTGACCAAAATGAAGGTTGGATAAGTTCCTTTAAACACTGGTCCATTTCTAAACCAAACGACAGTGACCAAAACAATTCAGGAACTATCCAACCCAACACAACAGAAAAGCATTGGGACATGTATAGAAAGAAAAAATGTGTTCCCATTCAAGAAGAAGAAGATCTTAACACATCCACTTGCAGTTCGGTAACAGCGGAAGATGAATACGATGACAATAATTCCACAGCATCTTCACCTGCAACTTCTGTCGATGAAGAAGAAAGCAAGGAAGAATTAGCCGCGGTACAGAACATGACAGCCTTTCATAACATATCTCCCATGGTAAACTATGACATAGAGTATTGTTTCATGTCATTAAGCGCTTTTCCTTTTTTTTAGCCGAGTCGAGCTGATATACTTTTGCCACGTTCATTGTTTAATATTGAAGAACGTCAACATAAGTTGCGTGATAGAATAAGCAACAAGGCCATTTTGGAGGAAGATGAAGAAGAGGAAGAGTGATTGATTATACCCTCCAACATTTTATTCTATGGATAAGAGCATTGTTCTCCTCTTAGTAAACGTTTTCCCGATACAATTGTGTCATTTGGTGTACCTGTTGTGACCGCAGAAAGAAAGTTACAATAAACTTTTTTGTTCTTGAGTTATCAAAGCCTGTCGATCTATCTTTAAATCCATTCATACATTAAGATATATAGCCCATGGTCTTTTAAATGCATATGATCGTTATTGCCCGGCTTTCTTTGATCCAGGAGAGCAAGTGTCTTTGATTAAGATATATTTATGTGGATAAGTAACTTGCTTATTTTTATGACAGAGACAACAAGCAAACATTCACTTCAATAGTGAAAAAGACAACGGTCCATATAGATTCCCGTCTTTTTTTTTTACACATATAGATGAAGCATAAAGTCTGTTTCTACATGCCTAAATACTCCAAATGTCCACAGATCATGTCTACTAGGATCCATTGTACCTTTAAAGCTGATTTGGACCAAGATAAATGACATGTCCAAAATGACCAGAAATCTCTCAGAACCAAAGGGTACTTACTCATGAAAGAAAGCTCGATTTGACAACTCGTGGTTTTCTTTTCGACGCTACAAGACAAAAAATGAGGCTATCGACAAGATTAAATACTCAGAATGAGCGCAAGAAGCTCTGGTTCTTGCTCAATATATTTACTTGCCAATTGTACTATGAGAGTAGCATGATATGAGCGAGAAACCTCATAAACATTTTTGCCTATTTGCTTAATATTTTGGGTTCAAGGTTGCTGCGTTCCCATATATCAATAGACTCAGAAGGCAAATATCTACAGCTTTTGTCACTGAACCAAAGTCATAAAACTGCATCTTTATGTAGTCCTCAGCAAAAGTTCCATTTTAGATGTGACGGGAAGAAGAGCTGAATTGCTTCTATTTCAATCTTCGATACTAGTTATCATGTATATCTTTTGCCCATTTGCTCCACGTTGGCACTATAAAAAGCCTATATTTCTCTTTCTCTATGCTCTCTGGCACTCCAAATAGCATATCTTAATTCTTATAGCTCCATGGATAACAGGTTTTATATGTCATCTAGAGCAAAAATGCATAAAATACTGCTTAAAGAAGCCAATCTTTGATGCATCATTACTCGACAACCAGACTATTGAAATGGTCCGTTTTTTTTATTTAAAGTATGTTCTTTCAAGCCCAAGAATCGAATGGTACCATTGGTTTGGCTGTCATGTGAATTTCATTTTTTGACCTACGAGGGGGGGGATCCACGGGGGATCCACGAAGGTCCGTGAAGATGAAAAAAAATCTGATCCAACCGAAATCAGGCAAGACCATCTCTAGGCACTTTCAGCAAAAAGAAAGCGAGCTTACTAAGACGAAAAAGGCGACTTAACTTGGGCATTGTCTTCAAATCTGCATTCAAAGTTCGTCGCACACTATAAATGATACAAAAGAGGATCTTTCCAGTGAATATTGCTTGGTATACTGGTACTTATTTATACACTATTCAGTATGTGCAGTGCTCATAAGTAGAATTTACTGCAATGCATAACACTTCTGAGGCTAAAGAGAGCAATGTTAAGCATAACTAACGATGAAGGTCTTGTAGGAGAAGGGTTCGTTACTTCAAGTTCCGATGCTCTTTTTTGCTACATGATTGGGTCGTATTTATTACCAGCCTTTAGGTCTCATTGAATTTCTATTTTGGTAAGCTCTTTTAAAGTGCGATAGTTTGATTTTTTTATTTGGGTTAATAGCGATAACCCCCCTTTAGTTTTTTTACTCAGATAATAATCAAAAAATGGAACTTGATCCTCAACAACAGCACACAGCTAGTTCCCCAGACACTCCAGCTGTCAATAACATCGAGTCCAACACATCTACTTTGGAAACATCATCTAATGTTACTGCAGCCACTACTTTACCCGATAGTAATCTCGGTCATGATCCTTTAGCTGCAAGAACAAGTGAAGAACAAGAGCTTTATCCTATTGCTGTTCTTGTAGATGAACTCAAGAATGAAGACGTTCAACTGCGTTTGAATGCTATTCGAAACTTGAGTACTATTGCTATTGCTCTAGGTCCTCAAAGAACGCGAGATGAACTAATCCAATTCTTAAATGGTACGAGAAACGCGTACGTTTGTGCCTAGTTATTGATGTATGTAATAGAAACTATTGATGATGAGGATGAAGTTTTGTTGGCTGTAGCAGAAGAGCTTGCTAATTTTGCAGAGTATGTGGGTGGTCCTGAATATGCTCATTATATGTTGAGTCCTTTGGAGAACTTGGCTACGGTAGAAGAAGTGCTTGTCAGAGATAAGGTGAAACTATTCTTTGTTGCAATGGGTTATTTATTGTTTTTATATAGGCAGTCGAGTCCATGAATAAGATTGTCAAGTTACTTAATAACACACAAGTTACACACTATTTCCTTCCTTTATTGAAGCGTTTAACCACAGCAGATTGGTTTACAGGACGTATTTCTGCGTGTGGCCTTTATGCTGCAGTGTATTCGAAATGTACTCCAGAACAACAAAACGAATTGAGAATAGCATTTGCTCAACTCATTCAAGACGATACACCTATGGTGAAGAGAGCATCTGCTAAAGCACTTGCTGTAACTATACCAATGCAAATGTGTATTTTTTATAACTAACTTATTACGTAGGATTTCTCTAAAGAATTGACCCAACAACAGCTTATTCATCATATTTTGCCTTTATTCCTTAGACTTACAAATGATGACCAAGATACCGTTCGGTTATTGACTGTAGAAGACTTGGTTCAGATTGCAGAGATGTTTAGTCCAGAAGAATGCAAACAGCATCTTTTAGGCCCACTTAAGAGTCTCGGTCAAGATAGATCATGGCGAGTGAGATATATGGTAGCAACACACTTCACAAAGCTGTGTTCAGCATTAGGTGAAACTATTACACGCGAAGAGATGGTGACATTGTTTGTCAATCTTATCAAAGACACTGAAGGTGAAGTCAAGATTGTATCGATTGGACAGGCAGCAGGTAAATAGATTTCATAAAAGGTATTCAACTAATGATAAAAGACTTTTCTAAGCTTATTGATCAATCCATTGTGATCGAAAAGATACTTCCTTGTATTAAGGATCTTGTGATTGATACAAACCAGCATGTTCGTGTAGCTGTTGCTACAAATATTAGTGGATTTGCACCTATTCTTGGTCAAGACTTGTAAGTATAGAATTACAGATAGCCTGTACTTATCATAGAATAGAACAATTGAATATCTACTTCCTTTATTCCTTCAACTTTTGAAAGACGATTTCCCTGATGTTCGATTGAATATTATATCCAAACTTGAGCATGTAAATCAAGGTAAAGCAAATTTCCTATTATGAAATATTTAGTTTTGTAGTCATAGGAGTTGAGCGTCTTTCCCAATCACTTTTACCTGCTATTGTTGAATTAGCTCAAGATAAACAATGGAGAGTACGATTAGCCATCATTCAATACATTCCTTTGCTTGCATCTCAATTAGGTGTAGAATTCTTTGATGAAAAACTGCTTGACTTATGTCTGTCTTGGTTGGGTGATGCTGTCTTTTCTATCCGTGATGCTGCTACTACCAATCTTAAGAAACTTGTCGAAACATTTGGTCATGATTGGGCCAAGAATACTGTTTTGCCTCGAGTGATGGAAATGGCTCACAATGAAAACTATCTCTATAGAATGACAACCCTTTTCACACTATCCGTAAGTTGATTGTCAAGTCATCTTTTAAACTAAATGTTGTATTAGACAATGGCTGTTTCTCTTACACCCGATATCATTAAGGAAAAGGTGCTCCCTACTGTGATTGAACTGATTGATGATCCTATCCCTAATGTTAGATTCAATGTTGCCAAATCCTTAGAAGTACTTGTTCCTATCCTAAGACAAGATCCTACTACAAGTGAACTTATTCAAACACAAGTCATTGATAGTCTCAAGAAACTCAGTAGTGACTCTGATGTGGATGTGAGATTCTTTGCAGAAAAGGCTTTAGTTTCAGGTAAAATAGCAGATAGTGGGTAATATTGATACTAACTTTACTTAGTTTAAAATGGTTTTAATAAACAGATTTTATAAATATATACAGTATTCTATGAGGTTGATGGTGATGATGATTTTCTACCATAAGCCCATCGTATGTTAAAGAAGGTTTGATATTCAACACATTCATCAAATGCTTTGTCCAGCAGATCATCAAAGGACTCTGAATCAAATTCGCCTTCCAATTCTAAATGTTCAAAAATAGCTGGTCCAAACACCCTGAATCCTTGTAGAGCGTTCTATCATGACATACTAATTATAAAAGTGTATATGGATATATGATACATACCTCATAGACAAGCTTGCCAATATAGCCTCCCCAACAAACAGGTAGAGAACCATAGTCTGTTTGAATGTCTACTAAACCAGCTTCTGACATTCTCTTGACAAGTGAAGGACCATGAAGTGGTGATCCAAATAATTCTTTTATGGTGATACGGACTAGACAGACAAATGAATAACCAGAAAAATTCAACCTATACATTTACCAGCATTATAGACTTTTTCAAACAATGGTCCACATCGTTTTGGAGACAAGTCAGGCTCAATTAGCTCAACCCAGCCATTGTCCTTTGTGACACGCAAGATTTCTTCAAAAAGCCAAGGAATTTTGTCTTGAGGATACACTAAATGCATCATTCTTTGATGGACAAAGTCAAACGTATTGTCTTTGTATGCTAGCCCATCAAACACATCATGTTTTTTTAGTCTACAATTATTGGGTATAAGAATTCCTTGGCCTTCTTCAAAAATATCAAGTAAATCAAAACCGTAGAAAGTGCAATTAGGAAAGTCAGGGGAAACATCCAAAAGCCATGAAGCTTGAGAACCGCATCCAATATCTAAAGCAGCTGAATCCGGTTGAGAAAGAAGGTTGTCTATAGGTGCAAAGTAAGCCTTTTGGAACAAGTGTTTAATTAGATAGTGTAGACTTTGCTGCCGAAGTGAGTCTGCTTCTATTTCAAGTGAAAATTTGGGTTGACAGCCTGACAAAGTTGAAGTGTTGTTGTTAAAACTATCGCTGAATGTACGTCCTGAAGAGACGCTGGAGGTCTTTTTCTTTTCTGTTATCCTTCGTTTTTTTGTTGAGACTTGATTGCCCATAAGAATCTAGCAAAGAAAAGAACAAAAAAATAATGACCCCCGTGTGTGTAATCTTGAATATTCATTATTTCAGATTTAGTGTTACACCAATTTATATGAGCATATTCATAGAACAAGGCTATATCCTCAGTCTTTTTAGTGTGTATGTATATATTTATATCTATGCCATTTTACTAATTTATTAAAATAACTACTTACCACACCCCTATTACTAAGCCTCAATCTTTGCTATTAAGCACATGGGCAAAATGTCAACCGAGAGATTGTCCTACCTTTCTGCACGAGATCAAGCCCTATAAGTTTGGCATATTTGTTGCGTTCTAGCCCTTTTTTATTCTTGGACCGTAGATTCGGTACTTGTACGGTGAAAGAGCAGGTTGTACTAGATTGAATTTTGATGTCATCGTGGCAGATCAGTGTGCTGTTTCCGAGGAGAAAAGATCTGACTCATAAATACTTTTTTCTGAAGTTTATACGATAGCATGTGTGAAATATACCAAGAATAAGTATAAGAGTTATTCACTCTATCTTTTCTATACAGGCTATTGTGCATATTACCAACATGCCATACTCTTTCCTGTAAAAAGAAACATAGAGTTATCACCGTAACAACTCTCGAAAAAGAAATAAAGAAATTTATAAAGGAATGGTATAGTATTGTTTACAATTAGCAATCTCATATGAAATTTGCGAGAGAAAAAAGGCTAAAAGCAAGCTTTTTGAAAGATAGTTCCGTGAATTACATATTTCTTTTTAATCTGTTAGGTTTTCATAACATTCTTAGATTCGCAAAGTCTGTGCGAGTAACTTATTTACATTTATGGTACTTTTGAGAATTTTCTTGTGCCCCAAAAAAGAATATCGTTAAAATAGCCATTTTTTCTTGCTTTGGTCAAAAAAGAGTGCTTGTTTTGAATATCGACATTTTATTGCTTAAACATCGAATCTTGAGAGGGCATATAGACCATTAGTCTCGATCATTAACATCAGTTTTAAAATTGAATTAAAAATTACTTACCCCGAAGGTAACCAAGCTTGAACAAGCGGAACTAAAAAATAAAAGCATGACATTTTTAAATGAACCGGGCAAGAAGTGATAGAAGTAAAGCAATTTTTAACAAAGCAGAGGGAAGTCTCGCCTAATTAAAGCCTTTGCCATAGCAGAAAGGCCAAAAGCAACTACAGAAATCACATCTCAATTTCATATAGCTTTTACACATTTGGCAGGATTAGGTACAGCTGAACTTTCTAGTATGGGACGGGTAATAAATTGACTCACACGCGAAGTCGGAAAGTAACGAACCCTTCTCCTACAAGACCTTCATCGTTAGTTATGCTTAACATTGCTCTCTTTAGCCTCAGAAGTGTTATGCATTGCAGTAAATTCTACTTATGAGCACTGCACATACTGAATAGTGTATAAATAAGTACCAGTATACCAAGCAATATTCACTGGAAAGATCCTCTTTTGTATCATTTATAGTGTGCGACGAACTTTGAATGCAGATTTGAAGACAATGCCCAAGTTAAGTCGCCTTTTTCGTCTTAGTAAGCTCGCTTTCTTTTTGCTGAAAGTGCCTAGAGATGGTCTTGCCTGATTTCGGTTGGATCAGATTTTTTTTCATCTTCACGGACCTTCGTGGATCCCCCGTGGATCCCCCCCCTCGTAGGTCAAAAAATGAAATTCACATGACAGCCAAACCAATGGTACCATTCGATTCTTGGGCTTGAAAGAACATACTTTAAATAAAAAAAACGGACCATTTCAATAGTCTGGTTGTCGAGTAATGATGCATCAAAGATTGGCTTCTTTAAGCAGTATTTTATGCATTTTTGCTCTAGATGACATATAAAACCTGTTATCCATGGAGCTATAAGAATTAAGATATGCTATTTGGAGTGCCAGAGAGCATAGAGAAAGAGAAATATAGGCTTTTTATAGTGCCAACGTGGAGCAAATGGGCAAAAGATATACATGATAACTAGTATCGAAGATTGAAATAGAAGCAATTCAGCTCTTCTTCCCGTCACATCTAAAATGGAACTTTTGCTGAGGACTACATAAAGATGCAGTTTTATGACTTTGGTTCAGTGACAAAAGCTGTAGATATTTGCCTTCTGAGTCTATTGATATATGGGAACGCAGCAACCTTGAACCCAAAATATTAAGCAAATAGGCAAAAATGTTTATGAGGTTTCTCGCTCATATCATGCTACTCTCATAGTACAATTGGCAAGTAAATATATTGAGCAAGAACCAGAGCTTCTTGCGCTCATTCTGAGTATTTAATCTTGTCGATAGCCTCATTTTTTGTCTTGTAGCGTCGAAAAGAAAACCACGAGTTGTCAAATCGAGCTTTCTTTCATGAGTAAGTACCCTTTGGTTCTGAGAGATTTCTGGTCATTTTGGACATGTCATTTATCTTGGTCCAAATCAGCTTTAAAGGTACAATGGATCCTAGTAGACATGATCTGTGGACATTTGGAGTATTTAGGCATGTAGAAACAGACTTTATGCTTCATCTATATGTGTAAAAAAAAAGACGGGAATCTATATGGACCGTCAACTGAGTACAAAATGTAGTGTCGAATTGATTTTCTGCAAATACATATTTTATCAAAAAAGATATTCGAATCCCCCCCCCCTTCGAATCAAAGAAAGGGATAAAAATGTGAAAGTGATGAAAAATTCACTTTAACTTTGTTCTGCATGATTTATGCAAGACAACTTTGAGAACATAAATCAAACATGGCGCAAACTATTCTAATATTTTAGCTCCAATTTAATGACTCGCTTTTTCTAAAGTAAAAGACGTATCCAGCTTAAAAAGATATAATGTCATTTGCATGAAATCAGTAAAAAGAAATGTCATTCATCCTTTTAAAGCGTCGCATCTACATAAACTGCACTATTTGGGCAACACTTTTTCTGAAGAAATAAGAGCTGATATTATCCGTCGCAAAGATACAGGACAAAGAAAAAAAATGACTGCTTGTGTACATTTGCATTAAAAGGAACAGGTTTCTGGATCTCGATTAAGAGATCATTTTGTGCATGTAACTCAAGCAATCCAGTCTATTCATTTACGGCCCAAACCTGCCCTTAAGCAGAGGAAATGGCACCTTTAAAAGGTGAAGATGGGGGGACATATATTTTTGTAAGCATAAAGTACATCATTTAATAGGCTATTTGAACCCCCAAAGTTGACTTTTAAATAGATATAAAACATGACACAATGCGTGTGGGGGGGACATTTTCTTTTAAAACCATGTTGCGAGCTTTTTTACGCCCTTATCGACAAACCTTTCTCAAACCTATTCTCATGAGTCAACGCTCTTTCTCTGCTGCTTGCTGTATTATTGGCGACGAAATATTAAATGGCAAAACGCGCGACTCTAACGCCAACTACCTGGGTAAAGTTTTCCCTTTATGCTATTCGCTTATTAATTTATTTGTAGCCAAATACTTGTTTGAACTAGGTATTGATCTTAAGCGCATTGAAACCATTCCAGATGACTATGAAGCTATTGAAGAAACAATAAAGCGACTCTCTAGTAAACATGATCTTGTATTTACAAGTGGAGGTATTGGACCAACACACGATGATATAACTTATGCAGCCCTTGCCAAAACATATAATCTACCTTTGAAGCTCGATCAGGAGACCTGTGATCGCATGGAAGCTTCCTCCAAAAATAAGTTTCCTGAATGGTCGTTAACAGAAGCAAGAAAGCGTATGGCCATGTTTCCTGAACCTTCTGAAAAATTGCGCAAGAGTGACGAACTATGGGTTCCTGTGGTAGTTGTGAACAAGAATATTCATGTCTTGCCTGGTATTCCTCGCTTATTTGAAGGGCTTTTAGATTCACTAAAGCCTCATTTCCAGGCTATGCTAGGTGATCATCCTTCTGCCTATCATCGAGTTCAAATAGCGACCAAGTTGACAGAAGGACAAATTGCTAATTTCTTGACAGAGTTACAAGGCAAATGTCAAGAGAAACAGATCAAAATTGGTAGCTATCCTAATTGGGGAGAAGGAAAAGATGGTGCTCGCGTTGTTGTGAGTGTGGTAGGCAAAGATGAGGTCGAAGTAAAGGCTATTGGTGAACAAGTCGTAGAAGGCATTGAAGGTTGGACTGTAAAAGGAAAACTATAGTTAAATTTGATAAAAAAATTGAACCATCATTGTATTCAACTACAAACAAACGTTTGCTTAATCTTTGACCTAAAGTGAAGTATTCTGCTCGTTACTGTAATTTGTTATTTACATCAAAGAAAAATAATAGAGCTATTACAAGTAGCAAGTCAAAGAGTACTTCATATATTTTAGAATAGCAAGAAACATCTCAGACAAATACATAAGTATTAATTGAACACTGGACAAAATGCAACACTCTTTGTGAAATCGCATGACCTTTCTAAAGCCTCTACTCATCATCTTAACAGTCTAGGCTTCCTGTCATTCAGTTCTCCAGCTGCCAACAAAAGGGCGTAAAACGGCTGTTATTAAATACTATTCTATTCAGGTTATTTCTCGAAAGCGCATCTATGTTGGTCATCAGTCAAAACAGATCAAAGGAAACAGAATGCTGTTATAATCAGAAGCTGTGTCAACGAAGCATGTAATATTTGATTAGATCTTTTAGAATGAAGAATAGCAATGTCCTTAAATCATGTTTAATACATATCAGATATTCAAATACCATTCTTACGTCACTTTATAAAAAATTTTAGGGTAAAATCGGCGATCCTTTATTGACTTCTTTGTCCTCATGAAAAGGTCAAGTTATTATATCTCCGTGTTAGCCTATATCAGCTAACACTTTTTGATAGTATATGCGCTTATTTTTATGTGTCTCCTTCAGTTTGTCGATCATCAGAGAGAGAGAGAGCAACAACTAATTCTTACTAGTAGCTCAACTATACTGCTCCATCGCATATGCCATCTTGTTCCTTAGTTATTTTTATAACTTTGGAATGAAAGGAGCTATAGGATAGTTGACCCAACGTTTGAAGGATATAGGTCTTGTTCAACACTCTAGAACTAATGTAGCAAAAAAGGCGTAAAATCCTTGCATTTGGTCTAGTGAGCATGGTAGGATGGCATTCCGAACTTGATATGTTGTTTGCAAAGAAAGCGGCCAATTCTTACTAGTAGCTCAACTATACTGCTCCATCGCATATGCCATCTTGTTCCTTAGTTATTTTTATAACTTTGGAATGAAAGGAGCTATAGGATAGTTGACCCAACGTTTGAAGGATATAGGTCTTGTTCAACACTCTAGAACTAATGTAGCAAAAAAGGCGTAAAATCCTTGCATTTGGTCTAGTGAGCATGGTAGGATGGCATTCCGAACTTGATGTGCTGCTTATTTCTCTTTCAAAACTCATCATTTTTTTTTATAAATGAGATACATGGCATGCATTGACTACCTTTGTTACAAAACCTATTAATATCACTGTAGACACCAGTTTCATAAAACCACAATAACTGCAGTAGTATATACCTCGACAATAAAGCTGTATCTTACTGAAATATGTAACTGCTGTCTTTACATGATGAGATACGTACTGTATTCAAAGTACAAAATTTTCCAACTGTCTATTGCATGAATAATGGCTTGTTCCAGTTGTTGAATGGCAAGGTATTATTCGTGTAATTACCTTGGATATATCGTTTTAGGCCTCTAATAATAACAATCATTAAAGATTATACATCCTAGATTATCTGCTTAAAAGTAATTTATTGCATAAACTCAGGTATGATACGGATGTGTAGCAAACTCCACATTGGCGACTGTACTGAACCATCCAGTCTTAGTTTTAACGAAACCGTATTTATCTGCTTTTTGACTGTTGTCTCCTTGGTTAGTCTGGCCATCATCGTCACTTTCTATACCGCTTTCATATACAGTATGATGAGGAATTCTAGATAAATTTTTGTTAGAGCGGGGAGGAGTGAACCATGTTGGCTCTGAGACCATGTCTTGTCGTTCAGGAGAGAAAGACAGGCGTTTATTGACGTTTCTTGCTGTAGAAACCTTTTCTTTGTTTTCACTGAGAATTCTTCTTATAGTAAGCGCACTTCTTTCAACACTGTCACGAAAACCAAACAAACACTGGATCGAGTTAATGCCATCCGAGCCAAGGAAGCTAGTGGGAAAAGATAGACTGAATTGAGGAACATTGACGTGGTATTGATGTTTTGTTGCATGAAGGGTTGAAAATATACATTGCAAGCCAACAAACTGGCACAACCAAATTTTGCTCTTGATAGGATTTTTGCCTGTGCTATTGCAGATTTGATGAATGGCCATTTCTGCTTCTTTTCCTTCCCTTACAAGTTTGCTCAAATCACTACATACTTTTTTATTTGTTGCGTCACGTAAACAGCCTTCACCACATACCAAGTCAAACTCTTCTTCATCAAAATCAACAATGATACGCATATCAGTTTTGAAGCCAATGATATTCGCATGGTTGTAATATAATTTGGCTTTTGATTCAGTTGTGTTTTCTGGTACAGTTTCGCCTGTCTTAATCCTTACTATGTTTCCGTTGATATTGAACAATTTACTGAGCAAAGGCAACCATATTTGATAGACATAATCTCGTTCAGAAACTTTTAAAGCATTCCTTGCATTCAGCAAAAACTCTTTCGATTCTACTAGAATCAATATCTCTTCATAGAAATCAAAAACTTTTTCATCTGTTTCCTTCAAGTTGTCTTGGCTCTTTAACTGATTTAAGAATTTCTTTGTCTTGCGAATACCATTTTGATGACAATATAGGTTGATAATGTAGCTCCATTTATCTGCCAATGATACATCAATGACTGGAGGAACAGCTTTGAAAAGATTAGTATATTTTGCAGTTAATTTTGTCCACAGATCATCAGAAAAAAGATATCTTAAGGTGCCTTCTTTCTCTGGCTCACCAAGATCTAGGATACAAGATAGACCTTTAGACATGGCTTCTAATTGCTCAGTTGATAAGTCATCACCATGTTGATACAATTGATGAAGGCCCTTAGCGTGACTGAATATGATTTCCTTTATATTCCTTATTTCAGTGTTTGCAGAGCATGTTGTTGTCAATAGTGGTGTTGATTCTAATATAGAGCCCGATACTGTGTTTCTTAACTGCCTTTCAAGTTCTAAGAGGCTGCTTTGATTTTCGAGCATCACTTCAGACTGACTGATAAGACATGTTTGTCTGTTGAGCCTTTGCTTGTTCTTTTTGATTTTCTCTTCTTCATATCTATCATTATAAAGCGATTCGAATTGTTCCTTGACAGAGGGTGTTTTTAAATAACGTTCTACTTTTGACGCATAGGTTTGAACGTGTGGATATCTACAAAGAAACGAAGAAACTAAAGAGAAGCATCGAATATATTTATCAAAGCAGGATCGGAAACTGGTTGATTTGGCTTTTCCTGCTGCAAATTCAGCCTCGACCAGGTCTTCAACACTAGACCATTTAGGTAGAGGAATAGTAGTTAAGATTGTATTGATTTTGTACTTTTTGCAGTGCTTTGTAGAGAGCCTAAAGTCTGATAGATTTCCTTTACAGACTGGCTCTTTCATTTTTTTTAAAAAAAAAAAGGAAAAGGGGAAAATATGTATATATTTCTGTTGTTTTGTTGTTGGGACATACTGTGGATTGATTGCCACTCATTGAAAGTGGATGACGACTTGCCTGAACTTCATCCAGACATAAAAAAAGAATGCTACTGAACCTCATGGACTCTGTGGTTTTTACTAATCGGTTCATCTCTGGTGATGAAAACGGATTTTTAAAAATAGGAGATACAGAATGAAGACCACTTTCTGTGACTTCATCCCTTTGAAGAACTTAAGCCGTATGTTTTGGTATCAAAGAAGAGAACGATAGTCAAGAAATAGACTAGCAATGCTTCTTCAAGCCACTATCAACGGCCACTAAGGCGACCTACCCATTTTCTTTTTGGTTTTCTTCTCTTGTGCTCGGTTGGCTACTGATACTTTTTGCCGTCCAAAGGGGCTCCATCTGAAATGTTCTTTCGACTCGTCAAAACAGACGGGTATCATAGAACAGTGGAAGGTTCTGAAGCAGCGCTCTCTGTACCAATGGTTCTTCAGCGTATCATTGGTAGCCATTGAGTTACATTTGACCTCAAGAACCCAAGAAAAATGATGTGTCCGAGGTCAAGCCACAACCTTTGGGAAGTGAGCAGAGAAGAAAATTAGCTACAGGCGATCTCGCTGGGACAGTTTCATTTATTTTGTCTCAATAAAAACAAATGTTGACGAAGAAGACTCAAAAAATGTGGTAACAACTCGCCCTTGGTATCTTAAAAAGAATTGAATACTACAACGCCTTTGAAAGGGAAAAAAGGGAAATATTTTATTTATTTATTTATTATAATATATATCTCAAAAAACGAAAATAAAGCGTGGCATTGATGTTGTTGCCACGTTTGGAGAGGATTCGCAATCAACGAGGATTCTTGAAGTGAACTCGACCAACAATTTAAAATAGCCATATATCATTTTGTATCATCGTACAGTTTACTTTTCGTTGGGACTTGACATAATAGATATGGAAATAGATCTGTTTCAGAAAATAGAATTCTATTGAGAGTTCTCAGAGAAAGCATTGGATTTAAGTAAAAAAGAGGTGATGGTTTCCTTTTAAAAAAAGCTTATTTGGCTTAAAGGGACTCAGACTAGCGCTGTTTTTTTCTTTTTCTTTTTCTTTTTTTTTTTATTACAATGACACCTTTATTTTATATAAGGTTTTTAAAGCCCCCACCTAGAGAATGTTTAATAGGCCAACACTTTACTATTGTATGGACGATCGAAAGCGATCTTGGTGATCAAACCTATTGGGAAACAGTTCCTGTGACTCTAAGCCTTCAAGGAAACTCACAACTTGGTTTACGCGAACTCAACGCTGATCCAAAAGGCAGTTCAAAGAAGAAAGCAGCGACACTTGCTAAGCCTTATATGCAACAAAAAGTAGGACTGTCGCCTGATATTCCTATTGTGTTTGATCCTTTAAGAGGAGGTGGCATCGTGACCAAGTTAGTAATAGAGCAATTACCGGGAAAGCCTGTTCCTTTAGGTACCAGTGTTCCTATTCAACTGAGCATGACGTTATCGCCTGCTGCTCGTACAAATATAACAAGCCATCCAGTCTGGCATCATGCATACCAGTTTCAATCTAATATATGGCTTATTCCTACATGGTCAAGTCCGATCGATACCGTGGCTGGAAAACAAAGACATACACAAGCCAAAGAAAGTGGGGATCAAGCAGAGCGTATCTTGAGAGTGGACAAGTTAAAGACGATCCACATTAGAGAAGATGCAGTTCAGAGCATTGCAAGACATGTTTGGTATGCATAAGACTACCAGATTGTATGATTTACTAAGTTGATTCTAGGGATTGTGGACTTGGATTGTGTCAATTTCTATCCGAATACATGCTAGGTGCATACAATGAAATACTAGAACTTGGTAAAGATACATGTCTATGTAGTGGTATTGACTGCTTTTGATAAAATAAGGAAGTGGCACTGGTCTTGTTGGTATTTATGCAGCAGAAGTAGTGCATGCCGAACACATCTATTTGACAGATTTACCTGATGCGCTTGAAATCATGCAACAAAACGTAGATTTACTGGCTTCTGCAGACAAACTAAGTGTGTCTGAACTCTCCTGGGGCAATCTTAAAGAACCGCAGTATAAAAATGTGGACCTTGTCTTATTGACAGATGTTCTTTATAACCAGTCATCGCATGATTTACTATTAGATACATTGGATTGGCTATTAGACAACGACAACTGCAAAGCACTTTTAGCTTATAAAGAACGTAACCCAGACGAACGCGAATTCTTCACCAAAGTTGAAAAAAGAGGTTGGAAATGTGAACGTATCGAAGGTCAAGATCATTTAGTATGCGAAGTTTATTGGATAAACAAATAATTAAACACGGATCGCTTGAAGTGCATTCAGTAAGGTATGGTCTGTATCATCCATCTCAAGAGACCAAAGCATAACACCGCCCAATTGATGGTCTTGAGCATATTTTGTCTTGAATTGTAGACTCTCTTGATTGTCAAATGTGATGAATTGGCCTGTTGGGTGATTGGCAAAAGGCGTCATGGATTTCTGATCAAACATAGTTGTCCAGCCAGACTCATTGCGTTGAATGCCCATATTGTTAATGGAACGCCATTGGATTTGACCAGAGAAAGTAGGTTTAGCATCAGGACAGGGATCAGCGAGATAGTCATCATATGTATCTCCTTTGATCTGTGGAATGGACCGATCGAGCTTGATGTTCATACCTGGTTGGGAGGCAAGTGTCTTGTGCGTGTAGCCGTAAAATGGAACACCCAAATAGATGCGTTGAGAAGGAATACCGGCGCGAATCCATGCTTCAATAGAGGAGCTTCCGCTTATACTTTGTTTATCAGAGTACAAAGGGGCATTCGAAGCAGTGAAATCACTCCATGAGCCACTGATATCATATGCCTAAGAATGATGAGTAACTATAGATAAGATTAGATTGATAGAACCTACCATGATATAAAATGCATCCATTGCTTCTGCCCATCGTTTGTCTAGTTTGGCTATAGGCTTTTGATCTTGATCTTTAAAAACATCTGTACTAACAGCTGCTGTGATTAGTTTATGTTGGTCAACATAAGTTGAGTCCAACATTTGACGTAGCTCCAAAATAAACAATAAAAAGTTTTCTGTATCCTTGGGGTTTCTAAAAGAAAATGTGAGTCTTGATTTAATACTCTCATCTTACTTTTTGTTACAAGAAATGCCATTGGGATCATTAGGATATTCTATTAGCAAGTAAGTACGAATAAGGTCTTTCGTCAAATGAGTTTACCCCAATCAATATTCAAACCATCTAAATCATATTTCTCCATTGCTTTTGCAAGTTTTGTAACGAAACTTCTTCGAGACTTTCGTGTGCGAATTAAGGTGCTAAAATGCAAAGAGCCAGTCCAACTATTGAAACATTAGAAAACGGGAATTTCATGTTGATAATGTACCCTCCAATACCAAGACTGATGCCTTTTCCATGTTGATGTGCTTCTTGAACCACTAGTGTAATGATTTAGTGGTTTTATTGTTTCAAAACAAAACGCATTTACCAGATTGAAGTTGTGCTTCATTAAATGACACCAGGTCTCCTCGACTGTTTGGGACTGCAAAAGCGTAAGCGATATGGTCCAGCTTATCCCATGCGATGAATTTAGGAATATCCTGTATACCATTAGTGTGATAAGACTCAAAGATAGTACGTACCCAATCAACCACATAGGCAACAAGTCGATGCTCTCCGTAAGTTGATTGCCCTAGAGCTAATACAAGAAACAACAAGAGTATACTACAATAAAATACAATGTGCATGTTAATGAAAAAAAGGGACAATTGGAAGAGCAATGGGTTCTTTTTTATCATTTCTTGATTGCATTACATTTTTGATATGCATGATCAAACAATACCATTTACTGTAATGGTTTGACAAGTACAGAGTGAATTCAAATCTTAAATTTAATCAATATCTTGTCAAAGCGCGCATAATTGTGCATTAAAAAAGTACAAGTTCTAGAATGTTTTGATTTTAGTACCAAACTAAAAAGTGCTCACCTAAAGAGTTTATTGTTTGAAACTCATAACTATAGAATGACCTATTCTACAAAATGAAATGCAGAACACTCATATGAGCAATAATAGAGGGGCGAGGAGCAAAGCTTGAACATAGAGCCACTTGAGAACACTATATTAGCTTGAAATATGTATAATTCAGCTGGTGTTTAAGCACTTCAGAAAGGCTGTTATAATTTTATTTGGATAATTATTGTTTTAGGCAGAAGAAACATTCGTCGCATTAGAATCAAAGGTGAATGCACTGACAAAAATGCATCGTGTTTGTCAGTTTGCTACAAGCAGAAATGAATATAACTATTTACAGAGATTTTTCTCTACCGAAGAAAAGGCGAAATAAATCTTGTTTGAAGGAATTAGCCACAAAGAAAAAGAACTTTTGCATTTATCCAAATTGGCAAAAATCGCCATTTTGAACACACATACTAAATGATGATAGTAAACAATGTATGCAATTATCATGAAGAATGATTGGGCAAGCCACTCAGCTCTGACAGATATGACTGCCTATCATCTATTTGGAGACGATTGTTGCTTGGAAGGGGGTGAAATGCCTTCTTGAAGAGTCCCTTTTGGGTACACTTTGTTGTTTCTGTGGTCTGCCAGCAGCTGCATAAACGCGCGCCGCAAACAACCGCTTGAAGTGTTTATGATAAAGATCCTAACAGCTTCTACGCTTACCCATTTTGGGTCTTAATCAGAGCATGCTTTTGTCTAGATCTCGTGCTTGGGCATTATCCATTTATTTTTAGTTAGTGGCACAAGCAATCTTGAATAAAAGAAAGCTTTGTGCTTAATTTGCTCAAGCTGATTACTTTGTAGTTTAAAGAGTGAGGCCTACTCCGTTTAACTCATACTGTAAATAAAAGACAGCAACTGTGATGTCTTCAATACACTATAACATTACATTTTATTTTTGGGTGTCGGATATCTGGTTATTAATTTTCATAATTTATCTTTCTCTTCTTTCCTTCAACTCGACTAAAATGTGATTACGTGTTGGATATTATCTGCTTTGAAGAGCATTTTTCTCTCTATACCATCACTTGCAAAGTAAAAAGTGTCGGAATTTACAATAACGAACCCTTCTCCTACAAGACCTTCATCGTTAGTTATGCTTAACATTGCTCTCTTTAGCCTCAGAAGTGTTATGCATTGCAGTAAATTCTACTTATGAGCACTGCACATACTGAATAGTGTATAAATAAGTACCAGTATACCAAGCAATATTCACTGGAAAGATCCTCTTTTGTATCATTTATAGTGTGCGACGAACTTTGAATGCAGATTTGAAGACAATGCCCAAGTTAAGTCGCCTTTTTCGTCTTAGTAAGCTCGCTTTCTTTTTGCTGAAAGTGCCTAGAGATGGTCTTGCCTGATTTCGGTTGGATCAGATTTTTTTTCATCTTCACGGACCTTCGTGGATCCCCCGTGGATCCCCCCCCTCGTAGGTCAAAAAATGAAATTCACATGACAGCCAAACCAATGGTACCATTCGATTCTTGGGCTTGAAAGAACATACTTTAAATAAAAAAAACGGACCATTTCAATAGTCTGGTTGTCGAGTAATGATGCATCAAAGATTGGCTTCTTTAAGCAGTATTTTATGCATTTTTGCTCTAGATGACATATAAAACCTGTTATCCATGGAGCTATAAGAATTAAGATATGCTATTTGGAGTGCCAGAGAGCATAGAGAAAGAGAAATATAGGCTTTTTATAGTGCCAACGTGGAGCAAATGGGCAAAAGATATACATGATAACTAGTATCGAAGATTGAAATAGAAGCAATTCAGCTCTTCTTCCCGTCACATCTAAAATGGAACTTTTGCTGAGGACTACATAAAGATGCAGTTTTATGACTTTGGTTCAGTGACAAAAGCTGTAGATATTTGCCTTCTGAGTCTATTGATATATGGGAACGCAGCAACCTTGAACCCAAAATATTAAGCAAATAGGCAAAAATGTTTATGAGGTTTCTCGCTCATATCATGCTACTCTCATAGTACAATTGGCAAGTAAATATATTGAGCAAGAACCAGAGCTTCTTGCGCTCATTCTGAGTATTTAATCTTGTCGATAGCCTCATTTTTTGTCTTGTAGCGTCGAAAAGAAAACCACGAGTTGTCAAATCGAGCTTTCTTTCATGAGTAAGTACCCTTTGGTTCTGAGAGATTTCTGGTCATTTTGGACATGTCATTTATCTTGGTCCAAATCAGCTTTAAAGGTACAATGGATCCTAGTAGACATGATCTGTGGACATTTGGAGTATTTAGGCATGTAGAAACAGACTTTATGCTTCATCTATATGTATAGGATAAAAGGAAATTTTATGCTTATTTTTGCAAAATAGAGTCCGCGGAAATGAAATCTAATTAGGATCTTACAAAGGCCAATATTATTTTTTTCATATAGCTAAAAATGCTATAATTTGACTTTTCTTTGTTTTGGCAAGCCGAAAAGGTCTAGTGGGAGAGTAAACCGCAAAGCACAAAGCATTATAAGAAACCCGTCTCAACTAAAGCAAATAGAACGGTTTTTTGGGCAACCATACGCAACTATGTTAATCTTTATCTAAAACCACATAGAAGGCGTCTACCAGACTAAAAAAACATCCACATTTTCTTAAATAAACATTTGGCAATGTAATATGCTCTTATAGTTCCAATATATTGATATTTAAGAGATAGTTGTACGAGGAAAAAAAAGGGGGATACTTTAGAGAAAGAGTGGAGGGTATCTAAAATGGAATAATTTGCTCATGATCCTTCTACAGGCGAAGGGTCATCACAAATGGATTTTTCAGGCATAGACACATCATCAGAAATCTTGCCTGTCGCTGGATCAATACGAGACATTTTGCATACGCGTGCTGAATGCAATTGCATCAACCAAGGCATAAACGGTAATGTTTGATACTTGAGCACGCCTCGGACCGTGAGCTCATAAGGGTAGCGAATCAGCAAAGACCATCGTTCATTACCACTGTTGTCATCTTTGGTGGCACCTGGATTTTTAATTTGAATTTGACTTGTTGCTGTACTAGTCACTGGGCGAAATAGCCCACCGGCTTGATATATTAAAGGATCTTCAAGATGATAAATGGTACCCAAGAATTCAGCTGGATCAGCACCTAGTATCATTTGTTAGCCTTTGCTGTATGTACGTGTATGTTTACCAAATGAAGTCATATTGGGTTCCGGTGATACAGCATTATCAAGTGACATGGTAGGTACAAATTGACTAGACGCAAACACACTAAATGCTGTATTTGTCATTCGTATCGTCCACCAATTGCTGTTTCTAGCAAAACGGCCAAGTAAATAAACAACATACCATGCATAATCAACTTACTTGGCTCGTACTTGAAGATTGAACATGAGTTCTTTTTGTGTACCTAAAACGTTGCTAATACCGACCACTTCAACATCCGCAAGAGGGCTTGAAGAAATTGCCAAAAGAAGCCAGCCGACGCAAATCCCCAGCAGGCCACCAAACATAATGCATAGAAAAGTAAAACAAGTTCTGCAGAAACCATTGTTTCTATAAGTTGATCAGTCTACATATCTCTACCATCCTAAAATTGTACCTCTTTCCTTGATGATTGCTTATGCCTTTTCTTCTACGAGGTTGTCTTGATCTGATGAGAGGCGCGAACTCTTCATCACTTGGATGATTACCATAGTACCCAGAAGAAGTCTTGTACTTAAAAGAAGGTCGCATTTTTTTATTGCCTACAATCGATGAAGAAGAAGAGGACGCAGGTCTTATCTCAGATACTGTAGAACGGAGCACAGGCCTTCTAGGTGTAAAGTATTTTTCCTTATTCGCATGGTAATATTCTAAACTACCACTATTGCATTCGGTGTTGCTTTCAGTAGAAGAATAATACCGATCATAATAAGAAGGCATGTTTGGATCCAATGCACTTTCATTCAATGTCCATGGCAATATGGTATATGTAGGATTGATAGCTGCAGTAGGTTTGTCTCTATAAACATAAGACTCTTGGTCGTCTGAATCTATGCAAAGGCATGAATAATGACTTTCTCGGACCCACAAATGGCACACACTTTACTATCAGCATCCATGACAGCATCACTCAAGTTTTGAGCAAAAATGTCAGTAGGGTTGACAAAGCTAGAGGTAACGTTGGCTTTCTTTTTACTTCTCTTGTGGTTGGATCTTGTTGACTCACTACCTGAAATAACACTACGTGCATCGCCCTAAAACAAGATGATGATTATTTATTTGTTTATCGTGTATATATAAATACATATTGAAATTTACAGGAATTGTACTACTATGGTTCCCTGTGAGTGGCGTGCTGCTAGATCTCTTGGTAATGGCTGGATGTTCAGTAAATACGGACTGATGCTCTGGAAAGACGGCAGTTTCCACAGTAAGTTGTCTTTGTGGATCCATCATCGCTGGCTTTCCATGTAAATAAGGTCGCGTAGGGGAAGGATTATTAGGATGAAAAAGTATTGTGTTTCGAGAAAGACTCTTTTTAAGTGTTGGAACATAATCATTATTAGGTTTTCTTTTATTATATGCACGGCCCTCGCTTTGGAGTATTGTGTTGTTGTTGACAGAACCCATATAGAACAAATCAACAAAAAAAAAGAGAAAATGTAAAGAGAAAGAGAAAGAAAACGGAGGTCTAGGGTTTCAAAGAAATAAACAGCGTAGATACTTATAAAGTGTTGAAAAAAAGGTTTAAACTTAAAGTCAGCAGAAACTGATAAAAGGACGCACAAACCGTTCTCGTAACTCAGCTTTTGATGGTATCACCTTAACACTTGATAAATGCTACTTGATTTATCATTATCTTTTACCAACCAAATCCAGCAGCCTGTTGCTGTTGTGTCTGTTCATCTTCTTTAAATGCCACTAATCCGATCAGGATACCAGCAATAAAGAACACCAAACTGATCAAAAACCAAAAAACTCCCCAAACACGGCTTGACATACATGACCCGCATACCTGAGCAAACTTAGAAGCATCTGATTCATGTAGCTTTCTAAACACCAAATCATCTAAGATATCCCATAAACAATAAAGACAAGACATGACACCAATAAAGAGCACAAAATATTTGAGCCCCACACCATGTTCCAGCCACCAGAGAAAGACAATAACACCTATAAACAAGAGACCGATACCCCGTGTCAGCCAGTTTCTGGCCCACCATAAGGTAAATAGCAAGCAAACACCTAGGACTATACTCATGATTTTGGAAGCCATGATATTAAATCCACACATCACAAGAATAGCGCCAATTAGTGAAGATCCTAGGTAACCAGCAGGTAAGGTACACATTGGTATTCCGCCACGCTGTTGATGAATTAGAATTAATTTATGCTCATTATTCTATCATTACCATTCGAGTGACACCTCCTTCATCTGGATCAATCTCAATTGACTCAATCTTGGCACACGTTAGGCAGCCAACGAACGCGTGTGAGAATTCATGTAAGCCTACGGTCAATAACTACAGGCATAAGCACACAGGTACTGCATTCGTTCCTTACTTTAAAAGGTGATAAGATAATCTTGGCAATAGGCATATTCCATAAAATCAAAATGGCTGCTGTATAAACTCCAATAATAATAAGAATGATCTTTTGATCTTGTGTTGGTGTAAGTTTATTTGTAGCTGAATCAGCAACGACTTGTCGCGCCACTAAATAGTTTTCATAACTTGTGAATTCAATAGGTGCCATTAAGAAAAAAAAGAAAGAAAGAGAGACAAGAATAAAAAAAGGGGCAAATATACACTTGGCTTATATTATTTTTTCGATATCCAAAATAGGCAACTATCAACATCTATCGAATGAAATCATCACCGCTTATGAAAACTCATTCACTTTTTTCAAATAGAGAGACAATAAGCCCTTTTCTTTATTGCAGAAATCAACTTGTTTTCAAGTATTTTGCGATTCTTGTTATTCCGCCAAGCCCTTTCGAGACAAGTACTATTTTTAGCTCTTATTTAAAGCTCATCATGATCTATTGTGTCGTCTTCATAGACAACATTTGTCTTTTTGAGTTCCTCGTCTGCTTTTTTTTCTTCTTCCGTCTTTTCGTTTGCCTTTTTGACATTGACTTCTGCTTCTTCTAAAATAGAGACACCCACTGCTTTACGGATCAAAACTTCCACACGAGTAGCAAATTGAGTAATGTCTTGCAAAGGAAATCCACTACGAATTGCTGTCGTATCATACATAAGTTGGATCAAATTAATCATGTCATCTGTCACCTTATTTTGTTCTACAAGACTCAATAAAGTCTTGATGACAGGATGATGAGGGTTGATTTCCAATGTCTTCTTTTGTGATCGCATTGACTGTAAAATGAATTCAAGGTTGGGATCTTTGATATTCATGCCTTGTGCATCCAAAATACGTTGAGCATGACCACTAAGGCCATCTCGAGGAGCAACAATGGCAAGAGGAGAAGTAGTTAAACGACGAGAAATCACAGCCTTGTCGATATGGTCAAATAGCGTATCGACTAACCAGACAGTCAAGGGTTTGAATTGAGTCTCTAATTCACTGTCTACATTATCATCATCAGTAAAAGTCAGGTCGCCTTTAGCGATGTTCACAAACTGCTTTCCGTTGTAACCAGGAATGTTTTGAACAAAGGTTTCATCAATAGGATCAGTAAAGTAGATAATTTCATATCCACGCGCTAATAAGCTTTCAATAAAAGGCGACTGTTCAATTTCGCTAATACTGCTGCCTGTCATGTAGAAAATACTCTTTTGTTCAGATTTGGCTCTGTCGATATAGTCATCCAAACTACTGCTAAAGGCAGTGGTGTTGTGTGAAGTAGCAAAGCGCAAGAGACTCGTGATCTTTTTACGATAAGATTGGTCTTCGACAGCACCGTATTTCAACACACTACTGTATTGACTGAGGAACTTCGAATAAGCTTTGGGATCATTTTGACTGAGCTGAGTAAACATATCAAGGGCCTTTTTAACCAAATGGCGAGTGATGATACGAAGACTACGGTGTTTCTGAAGAGTTTCTCGGGATACATTTAAAGGCATATCATCAGCATCCACAATACCTTTCAAGAACGAAAGCCATCTGGGCAACAAATCCACTTCATCAGAAATAAACACACGCTTCACAAAGAGTTTGATAGGCCTATTGGATTCTTCTTTTTGAGCATTTTGATAGAAAGATTCATCCATTGTAGGAGGAATGTAGAGCAAAGAACGAAACTCGATTTCACCTTCACCTTTGTAAAGTGTCCAGGCCAAAGGATCTTGGGTTTGACGAGTCAGGGTTTTAAAGAACGCTTTGTGTTCTTGGTCCGTGATTTCTTTAGGATCTCTCATCCAAATAGGCTTTTGAACGTTGATTTGTTTCCAGTTGTACACCATACGTTTCTCAGTCTTGGTATCTTGTCCAACAATTTCTTCAGTCAATTCGTCATTTAACAAGGTATCCAAATCATTTTGTCCCACAGGAACTTCTTTTTCTTCGCCTGTCCAGAGCAAGATGGGAAACGTAATAAATTGAGAGTATTTTTGAACCAATTCCTGCAATTTTTTTTCTTGTAAAAACTTGTAGGCATCAGGCTTCAAGTACAACGTAATCTGTGTGCCTCGCTTTAAAGAATTGCCTCGAGGATCTTTAGCAATCGTAAAATCATCCACAGCCGTACTCATCCAGAGATGCTGATCTGGGTCATCGTTTGATTTAGAAGCCACGGTGACTTTGTCTGCCACCAGAAAAACCGAGTAAAAGCCTACACCAAATTGACCAATTTGAGAGATCGCATCGCTGTTTTGTTCCATGTTGGCCAAGAATTCAGACGTGCCTGATTTAGCAATGGTGCCTAGATTATCTTTGAGTTGTTGGCGTGTCATGCCTACACCTGTATCTGTAATCACAAGCGCTTTTTTATCATGGTCAGCAGCAATAGTGATGTGCAAGTCAGGATTTGTCGCAAGGGATTCGGGGTTTGTTAGGGATAAGAAGCGAATTTTATCAAGTGCGTCTGAAGCATTAGAGATCAATTCACGCAAGAAAATTTCACGCGTTTTATAAAGTGAATTAATGATAAGATGCATTAAACGCGACACTTCAGTCTAATGAACCATGTTAGCTTGATTTGTTTGCCTTATCTATCTTACCTGGAAAGTGAATTTTTCTTTATGGGTTGTTTCTAATTGTTCAGGTGTGATATCTTGAGGTAAACTAGCATGAATAGGTGCTTGGTCATATTGTTGTTGGTCTGCTTTGACTATGCAAAGGCAACTGGCAATAACCAAAAAGGTTATGCACGCCAAACGATTGAGTTTCATTCTTTTGTGAACAAAGAAAAATAGAAAGAAAAAGAAAAAAAAAATATGCACCACCTTCGGGCTTTCTTTCCTGCAAAGTAGTACATACTAATCTGCATACATGTTTAAAAATAAGAAGGCTTACTATTCTAAGCAATTGAACGTTAGAGGCAATGCACAGCTACTTGAATTTTGAATTAAAGGTAAACATTAACTTCTTGTTCTGAATAGGATCAAAACAGGTTTCTCACATCAATGAGCAAAGCCCAAAAAAAACACATTGTTTATAAACTTTAATCAGATAATTTCGATAACCTAAACCAAGCCTTTTCAGCCATAGAAGTGGCCTTTCTGCATCCCAAAATGAACACGTCTGTTTCTTGGCACTAAAACAAATTGTGGCCATCGGCCTTAAAAAGATATATGCAATATTTACTTAAGCAATTACCCCCTTCAGTAATATCTTGACATCCTTATGCAATTGCATTTTTTTTGCATGCATTTCTTTTCAAATCAAATCTAGAAAAATAAAAATTTATTTTGATGTGGAGGCATTCACAGCTGCTCGAATGTTCATCAATAAACGATTTTTTTCTTGAAAGAAAGAATCTACTGCTTGTAGAGTTTCAGCATTACGTGTAGCTAAATTTCTTGTTGTCTGAACATCACTTTGTCCTGATATACTCAACAATCCACAGCTTCTTGCGTGTGTTTCTAATGCTTGAAGTGAATTCATCAAATGATCATAATCAGCTATGTATTTCATTAGCTGTCTTTTTTCCTAATATCACTCTACCTTGTGCTACTGATAGTTCATAAGGTGTGAATACCGATTTTTCACTATGAACAAAGATATCAGCTTATGTCTGTTTTTCTAGAGAAAAAGACTACATTTTATCAAAGAACTCTTGTCCTTTTTGTTCGATTTCTGATAATTGAGAGATGAGCGTGATGAAAGACGATCTATACTCTTGTGTTGCTTTTGAGGTCATTTTGTAGAAAGAAGAAAGAAAAGCAAATGTCGATTTTACCAAAATGTATGGTAAATCAATGCACATCCAAAGTCACTTTTTTTTTTCCTGTCAAAAGCCATCATACTTTTTTTTTCTTCATAAACAAAAAGCAATGGCCAACAAGCGATCTTATATTATTGAACACATGGAAGATGCCATGCACGAATGGTGTTCTTTAGAATACAAGCATATGTTACAAAACATTGGACCTGACCACCTTTACTTTACTTCTTTGACTGACAAGTGTTTAAATGAAGGTATGCCTGAAGAACTCAAGGCTGCCAAGTGTTTCCAAGTGGACGTGATGAATTTGCCCGGTGTTAAGCCCGAGGAAATCTGTTTATTGGATCCTGCTGGTACTTCTGAATTGGCTCCTGAAGATGGTGATAAATTTAAATACTTTTTATTTGGTGGTATTTTGGGTGATCATCCTCCTAGAGGTAAAATTTTGATTTAAAATACATGTCTTGACATCTGTATAGATCGTACAGGTGAATTACGTAAATTAGGCTTTGCTGGTAGAAGACTTGGCCCTGTTCAAATGACTACAGATACAGCTGTGAATGTCACCAAGCGTGTTGTTGAAGACAAGAGTAAGTAACAATGTACACTTATCTGATTGCTTATGACTACTAGTTCCTTTAAATGAAATTCCTTACATTGACTATCCCGAGATCTTTTTCTCTCGTCATGAGTCTGTTACTATGCCTTTTAGATACATTGCTGAACAAAAGACAATCACAACCAAGGAAGGTGAACAAAAGACAATCAAGAAGCCATTGATGCCTCCAGGCATGTTTGAATTGATCAAGAAAGATAATGAAATGACACTTGATTTTTAATAAAAGCAATACTGAGTTTGGTCCAATGGGAAATTTTCTACAAACCAATCAAAAAAAGAAAGAAACAAAGAGAGATTGCATGATCTGTAGAAAGTGTTGTTTATCTGATTTCACCAATTAGATCGAATCGATGTGATTATTCAAGTGTACATATGTAATTTCATTTTAACTTTTTGGCTTCAGGGACGCACAAGTTGTGTATATAGAATACAAAGCCATATGATGATAATGATGCAGAAGCGTATCATGCCAAGTGACGTGATCTAAATCAATTCTGGTATTTCCTTTAAATAATGACGTATAGAGCAACAATAGAGAGAAATATATACTTTGATCTTTCTATTCAAAGTCAGAATACCATTGCCAAGAAGGAGTCTTGTTTGAATCGAGTACGAGGTGACTTGCTTTTTTTTTGTCTGCACTACAGCAACAGGAGTTTGAAAAAAAAGAGCGTCTCTCCTGTGTTGCCATAAAGAATTTATTTAGGGCCGCCCGGTTAATAATTATTGCGTAATGTGTACTCTATTGCGCTATTTTCTCCCATTTTAGAGTGTTTTAGTTCAGTGTTACACAGATATGGAAATGAGGTTTTAAAAGGATGAAAAATCTTTTTTTTAAAAATCTTTTTTTTTTCTTGTTGAATATTATAAATTCTTTCTCTCCATTTTCATACCCTATCTCTCTTTCTTTTTATTATTATTATAAAGTGTACATATAATATAACTTGTTAGATTACTATTACAAAAAAAAATGAAGGCATCCTTATTGAACTATCCATTTGAACTGGTTGCTCCTATGGTGGCTATTGGTTCTATCTTACTTTTGCCTTTGGGTCCACTCTTAATACCTCGTATTTATATTGTGTTTCTCTTGATTTACTTTACCGTATTCTTGTACACTCAAGTAAACCATGTCTTCAAGTTTTATATTACAGCCACAAAGATGCAAAACACTATTCGTCAATGGAATCAACATACCACTAATACTTCTAATACTACTACTACCACTACTACTACCACTAATTCTAATACTATTAATACTACCACTACTACTACTAATAACAATAATAATAATAATGAAGAATCAACTAATAACAATACAACAACTACTCGTGAAAGAATCACTTCTGTTGAAGAACTTGAAGAAATGGAAACCTCACTCACTCAATATGACGATACACACTTTGTTCATGCCTTTATTGTGCCTAATTATGCTGAACCAGAAGCCCTTTTAAGAGATACTATCAAGCGCTTAGCTAATCACAAGTAAGGAGATACAAGGAGGGAGAGAGAGAGAGAGAGTGTGTGTGTGTGTGTGTACGATTGTGTAAACTGATAAAGAGAGAGAGAGAAGGTTTTAAGGGCTTAATAAACTAAACACTTTTATTATTATAGGAATGCTCAAACTAACTATGTCATCATTTTGGCTATGGAAGCTTCAGAATTGAATTATGAGCAAAAGGCAGATAGTCTAAGCCATTATTTTAAAGACAGTTTCCTTCAGTTTATCGTCACTGCTCATCCTTCTGACATTCCCGGTGAAACACGCGGTAAAGGCTCCAATGTTGCTTATGCTGCTAGACATGGTTGTGCTCAAATGCTGCAACACGGTATTGATAGAAGAAGAATTATCTTGACTGTCTCTGATTCTGATTCTTCTATTCCCGAGTTATATATCAAAGAGATCGAAAAGGCTTTTAACCGTGCTGAAGACCCTTACTTTTTATTGTTTGCTCCACCCATCTTCTTTTCTCGTAACTGCAAAGAAGTCCCTGCTGCTGTTAGAATGACAGATATTACTTGGTCTGCCATGGTCATGTCTAGTTTAAGTAACAGTCGCGGTCTTTGTTTCCCTTGTTCAACTTACAGTCTTAGTATGGTTTTGGCCGAAAGAGTCGGTTATTGGGATACAGATGCAGACTCTGTAGGTGAAGATATGCACATGATGCTCAAGTGCTTTTTCAAGACAGACGGTCTTGCACGCTGCTGTCCTATCTTTGTGCCTATCAATTTGACCAATGTTCAAACACCAGGCTATCTTGCCAATATGCATGCTCGATTTGTTCAAGCCAAACGCCATTACAATGGTATTGCCGATCTCGCTTATACGCTTCGAAACTCGTTTGGTGTTAGAGACGATATGTTGGACGGAAACCACGTCTTTGCTTCTCTTACTAAAAAGACGAGCATGTATGCCTCACCTAGTTTTTGGCTTGATAAATTAGTCATGTGTACAAAAGTCATGGAAGCTCATCTGATTCCTGTCTCTTCTGGCTGGCTCATGTTTGCCGCAGTTCCATTGATGCAATTCATCTTGTTCCCTCCTCACTCGATGGTCGCCTTTGTTGACCCCGTCGACAATCCTATCTTGACTTCTGAATTCTATGCTACTTTGTGGAATATTGTCAAGATCATCACTATCTTTTTACCTTTCCCCTTATTTGGTACACTGGCTATTTATGAGCACCTTCATCGGTTTGTTGATCGGGAACTGTATCGCAAGACGGAGTCTCGTAATTGGCGTAACGTGTTTGATTACATCTCTTTGCCTATTGCTGCCTGGGCATTTATGACTATTCCAGCCACAATCGCATGTATCAAACGCCTCTACAAGACAAATGACAAATATATTGTCGCAGAAAAGTTCTTTGATGAAGACAATGAAGATTAGATTATTTTACGCCACAATTTTAATAATAATAAAAAACTTTGTACTTTGAGAAACATGGATGAGGGTACTCAATTTGTTTTTCTATGCTCAGGAGGAAGCTTCATCACAAAAGGGTTTGAAAATAAACTTCAGCTTAGCAGAGTGCTAAAGACCCAAAAAAAGAAGGGACCCAGTCGTTAAATTTGAACAAGTCTTTAAAAATCAGATTACTTTTGTGACTCCATTCAAGCCAGCTTTATAGAGAAGAAACGCACTTTGAACAACTCTATTTTCGTTAGATTAGCATGGCTTAAGCCATTGATGACATTTTTCTGTCTCCTCCCCCCCCCCCCCTACTCTTCTCCAAAAATGAATTCAAAAATCAAAACGTTGCCGAAGCGAAGGCTAAAAATGTGGTAAATGCTCTCAGAGCCGCGCTTTATTTTTTATATAAATATAGCAAAACCCTTTTTTTCCTTTTGGTGGGTTATCTTTCTAAAACAAATTTCTAATATTGTAAAACCAAGACTTAGGCATTTACCACATTTTTAGCCTTCGCTCCGGCAACGTTTTGATTATTGGTCGTTCCTAGAGCGATTTCAGTTGTCTCTGCTCCGGCTTCCTTGGCTGAACAAGTCTTGTGAGTATCTTCAATACAGGTTGAGAATATCTTGTGTTCCAACGGTAAGTTGATTCTCAAAGACAACGTTCTCTCCAGGAATATGTGTAGTGTTACCACAGAACAAATACTTGTATCTTCAACAACACCAATTGCACATGATTTCAATTGAGATTCTTTGGGAAATTGGAAATGTATTCTGGCGCCTATTAAAGTACCTTGATTATCATATTGTATATTGCCTATGTCTGGTCTTGGCCTAGCCCTGGTAGCAATGCATAATAGAACATTTGTCTTTTGCTGAAGATCTTGGGTTGATAGTTGGTAAACAATAGACTCCTTGTTGGGATGGATGTGCTTGAAAACGGACGCAATAGACGATTGAGTAGTATTCAAATGTTGAGTGCTAGATTGCTTGTATTCTGGTATTCGCCAAGTACTTATAGATCGAGGTGATAACTTGGCGGGTATCTGTCTTCCACTTCTTAAATTCATGAATATGTTCCTTGTTGATTTGATGTTGCTTATTCCAGTTGTCGTTCTTGTATTTGGCGACCTGTCTTTTAAATCTATTAAACTCTTCCTTGAGGTCATATGTTGGCGTGCTATCCAGATACTCTAATATTTCCAATGGTAATTCTAAGCCATGTCTTTCTTTATCTTTCCTAATTCGTTCTTCAACTTGCAGTTGTTTGAAGCGTGAGTGCGGCTGCTGCTGTGAAGAATCTTTCTGGCTCATTGTTATTGATATCACCCATAATTTATTCCATGATGTGCGGCTTTGGAAGATATAAGGAAGAACGGGGTTTGAAAGTTTATTACTATATTTACATGAGATTGTCCTAGGAACGACCAACAATTCAAGATGTCACACATATGTTATTGCACCGTAGGGGTACAAGAAAGAGGTACTTGACAATGATTTATTGTACAAAAATTAAAAAGGAAACAAGGAATATAAGCGAAAAAAGGGAGAAGACAAAAAAGGAGGGATGAAAGAATCAGTTTATTGATGAATTGAAACGTCATTAAGAAATTATAAGCCAATACTTTTCTTAGCTTCGCAAAACACAGAGCAAACTCCAGTGTCTTGGTACTAACGGAATTAACCACGAGAAGGTGAAAGTATATCTAATTCCAAAAAAAGTACACTTGACCAGAATGAAAAGACAATACCAATATCCGCCAGCTCTTCCCCTCTAAAGAAGGTACTTTTGTCACATTGTAGGGAACAATATCAAGCACGGCTACTTGTTCGGACGTGGTGTCAATACCTTCCAAAGCCCCACAGTATTGACAGCAGCTTTGTCGATTTGGTTTATGCAACCAAAACCTAGTCCGTCCATTGAAGTAAGTGTAAATAGACAAGAGAAAAAAAGAAAAAAAAAAAAGAGAATACGCAAGTTAAATACATACGTCATGCAGATGGTTGGCGTATATTTTTCACCCAATCAGATGAGACGGTCTTAAGTTTTTCATAATTGACCTTTACCTTTCTTTTTATGCAGATGCTAGATCTTGATGAGAAAATAAGACTTCCTGATAAACCTGAATTCGAATACTTTAACAACAGTACCCCTCGTTTCTGGGATTTCCTATCTTACAAGGAACACATCATAGCTGGGGCAGTACGTCCACCTCGAAATAAGAAAATAAGAGCAAAGTATGTAACAGCCATCAAGGATATTGGAAAGCTTTCGTGTGTCAATAGCGAAACAAAAGATTACTTGGAATCTTTAATCAAACCTGAAGAACCAGAGGTAACATAAGATAGATATTGTAAGCTCACACAAAGTATTAACGTACCCTTCTTTATGCAGAGTGATAAAAAAGAAACTCAAGTAATCAATCAATACATCAACTATGGAAGTGTTGGAAAGCAAGGCTCCAGTCAATCTGACAAGATTAGCATAAATATTGATAGCAAAAACAAAAAGAGAAAACATGGTAAGTTGACTTATTGAAATTTACTGTTGCAAACATAGTAGACGATGCCAATCTTTCTGAAAAAACTGCAACAAGTATCGGGACTCAATCCTCATTTACCACAGATGAAACTACATCATATAAGCCAAGCGAATCGTCAATCAACTATGGTGAAGCACTCAAAACCAGCAAGTATACCTTGACTTTAAATGAACTAGGCATGGCATAAAACAAAAAAGAGCATGTCTATGATAATACCAGTTCATTATTTGAAAGACTGTAAGTTGTCATCTACATTTTGACTGATTAAATTAAATTATTTTATTTTATAAAAGGGCTGTTTCTTCAATAAGTTACAATACATGTCCTTCTGAAGCTCATCAAGTTATACCTACGATGTTAGATGAAGGTGAATACCATAAAATCAAAGACTGGCGAACGGTATAATAAAATCAGAAATCCTTTGATATTCTGTCTTTGCTAACGTTAAGTATTTTTAGAGAGTGAAGAAGAATCAATTATACTATCCACCCATTGCAACAACACCCAGTCAACTACAGTTGAATACATACCTTTGCAACCTAGCAGACACTATAATGAATGAAAAACGAACACAGGAAGAAAAAAGTGAAATTGGATTTATAGTAGACAATGTGTCATCCTTATTCAAGTATCTTTTCCCTGCAAATGATGTCCTATTATGCAAATGGTCAGTATGTCGTTTTGAACAACTGAACTTCACATATAAAAAAAAAAAAAGCTAAACTAATGAAACTCTGTGTCTTTGCAGGGAGAAAGCGTCAACTTCAAATAAGAACAATGAATGCAAGAAAATCCGCACTGACTTTGTTATAATGGCTAATGGATTAGAAGTTGGATGTGGAGAAGTTAAAACTGCAAATACATCATTTTACTTATTAGAAGAAGACAGGGCAAGAATGGCAGAGACTCTGAAAAGACAACTTCACGTAAGAATGATGAAGAGCAAAAAAACAAAAGAATTTGTCAGCTTTGGCATTTTATTTGATGGGTTCAAAATCGAACTCTACACCATGACCTTTGAAGCAGAAAAAACCCCACCTTACCAACTTTATGAAGCTGAAAAACTGACACTCCCTAGCTCGCCTGAAACATATGTTTATTTTGAAGAAACCATTGAACACCTTATAAGCTTTAAGGTAAAGTACTTATTTTTTTTTTTAAAAAAAACATACAATTATTCAAAAACATCATCACCAGACTTCCATAATTTCAAGTATGCCAGAAGAAACAGATATATTAGAACCTTACATTTATCATGATTATATCCATCTCTTGAAACCTACTATGGCCATTAAGAACTAGTATTATATTTCATATAAATAAAACACTACTGTTCATATCAAAAAATGAAAATGAAATTGATATGGCTTGATTTATTACCCAGTTGAAAGCAGCCACTGTAATTTACTGGTTGATTCCCTGAGTATTTCAACTATTTGACCAAGCTTGTTTTCTTTTTGGGATCAAAAAAGTATGCATGTTTACGACAGAAACATTTCTTATACAAAAGTATAAACCCACTTTTATATATCATTGAACACCTTACACAAATATATGCAAATAAAAAAAAAATAGATACGTTTTTATTATGTTCTTTAACGAGAAGTGGCAGCGGCCTTAGGGGCGAAACCCTTAGCTTGTTGCTTGCTGACCTTAGGTTGAGAACCCTAGACATGAATTAGAATATATATATACACACACACACATATATAAATATAAATATAGATATAGATATATGATAACTTACAGCAGGGTTGGCAGCCTTCTTAGCAGCAGCAGCAGCCTTCTTGGCTTCCTTGGACTTGGTGATAGCAGCTTGACGAGCAGCAGCACGGGCATCAGGCTTTTGGTTACGCTTAGCACGGATAGCATCCCAAGAGGCACCAACAACAGCACGTTCATGCTTGACAGTACGGCGAGAACGCTTCTTTTGAACTTCTTCAGTGATACCCTTCTTGTTCAAACGACGGTAGATAACAGTCCATCTGATCTTACGGGGTTCAAACGTTGAAGGAAGTAAGAGGCAGCCTTACCGTTGATGAAACGGAAAGTCTATTGAAGATGTTGAATATACATTCGTCCTGAATCTAGCTTATATTTTACTTACTCTATAAACACATGTGAGTTCATTTTATGCTCATTACGTTTATTTTTGTTATTTACCTGCTATCGACACGGACGTAAGTCTTACCCTTGGCAGGGTAGATCTTGTGGCCGGAGAAAGAACAAATCTCAAGCCTAATAGGATTGATTAGTGGATGAGCTCTATGGTATGGATGGGGGGAATAGCTTTTACTTCATCTTGAATTATGGATGTATGGCGAAAGAGGAGGTTTTTGCAACTGCATCCAGCTTGTTAGGTATCCTCTCTCCTTTCCTCTCAGCGTCATGTCGGGTCGTCAAATCTTCCCGGTCCGCACCTGAATGGTATCTTTTACTCTCTCTCTCTTTCTTTCTTTTACTTCTTTTCTTCATGTCATTCCAACGTCCTCAAACACTATTCAAACACAACTTGCTTAGTTTTACTAAACGATTCAACTCACATAAACCAAACAATGGACCCAAGATTCCAAAACCACCCCGTTATTCACCTCAAAACCAACAAATCCTCAATGATTATATGATTCCAGGACCAGCATTAAAGTTCTTCAAGACAAAAAGAACAAAAAGAGAACCGAAACAGAAGATATGGCAAGTGCTCTTTCTTATTTAATACATACTTATACTCTATAGGCAACAAGACATGATATAGAGCATATCTATACAACACCAGCAAGATCGATCAACTACAACGAATTTGATTCTGCACCCACTGTAATTCAAGAAAGACTGGCTGAACGTATACAAAGAGCCATCACAACCATGTATTCTACTGAAGTATTACCCTCCAAATGGATCACATTAAGCCATGTGTCTATTCGAGCAGTCAAAGTATCCAGAAACTTGAGGAAATGTAGAGTATTGTATGAACCTTTATCTACCAAGAAATCAGAAAGGGGACACATACACCGTGCATTACAAGACTATACCCCTTTGCTCAACAGTATGATTCGATCTCATGCCCATATCAGACACCCTTTGTCAATCAAATTTGTACCCGATACACAAGCAAAAGAATTAGAAGATATCTTTGAGCGTTTATTACTCTAAACCCAAGATGCGCTTATAGGCTGCATCTTGCATGGTATCATCATCCTTGGCTGTTGCAAACCCTATTTTCTTATTGCCTAAATCAAATACTGTATAAAAGCTTTTAAGAAACACATCGCCTAATATCCAAGTGTCTGTTTCCTCTATGTCTTGTTCAGAAATACCAGAGAGACAATGGATATTGTTTGGACTTGTAGGGCCATAAATAGTTTCTCCGGTGGAATGGTCAGCATGACATTATCAGACTGGATCACAAGAGGCTGAAGTTGGTCTACATATCTACAGGGAAGTGACCATGTACCATCTCCATTTGAGAAAGCACCTTTTACCTTTTTATGGTATTCTTTAGCATCCTTTTGAGGCATAATAATCAGCGTAGATCCTATTCAGTCTGTTTATATTCCCCCCTTTAACACAAGCTCCACTTACCACTGTCAATAATACCCTTTCTGTCATCAAACGTATGGTCTGATCCTAACTGGACTTTATCCATGGCCATCATCCAATAACTAGAATCGATAGCATCAACATAGTTCAGTTCACCTTCATATCGGTTTCTATCAATGCCTCCAAAATCAATCTCTCCTGCATTATGCTGAGAATAAATAGCAAACAAAGGTTCTTGTACAAGTCCTTGTTCGACCATGGCATAAAAAGGGGATCATAGTTTCGGGAACTTGCCAGACCTTTTAAACCAAGACCAAAGATACCATGGAAAGGGAGACCATGGAAATCATGCGAAATAGACAGTGCATTGGCCATGATTTGATCTTGAATCTGAATCTGTTCATTGGCTAGACGCACCATGTCTTTACCTAAATGACCTTGTATACTTCCAGTACCATAAATCACTTCAATCATGTTATCTTCAGAGTCACTATCATCTTGTTGATAAGACTGAGATGCTTGGTAATCGAATTTTTGTCGGTTATTGCATGCTTGTACTCTGCAATCAGAAGAGACAACCCATAAATCAGAACTACCTGTATCAAACACAACATTGAATTTCTGTGGTGGTGTTCCTATACTAATTTCACCATAATAACCTACAAATAGTATAAAGAATTTGTCTATATAAAGTTGTCTATTACCACTGCCATGATTATAAGCCACTTGCTTTTGTTTAGCAAGAAAAGAAACAACTGAACTATTATGATTGGATGGATAATATTCCTTTTGAATAGCAACCTTAAAATGTCGTTTTTGTTGAATTGGTTGACAATGGACGAATACGAAAAATAATAAGAGAATCAAGACTGAGATCATACTAATAAAAAATAAATAAATAGAGAGAGAGAGAGAGAGAGAGAGAAAGAATTCAAATCAAAGTTAGCATAGCATATATACATTGTCTTTATTTGTTTAAACAGTCGTTAAGCTCTTTTTTTTTTTTTTTTTTTTTTTGTTAAGCAAATACATGCACTATAAAAGCCGAGGCATTTATTCGGTTGATCCGAGGATGTATCACTTTGAAGTGTGCTACGATTGATTATTTTATTACAATGGTGTATACTTGACGTCATAAATATATTTACAAAACAACAAACTTTTGATAAGCTACTTCATGGTAAAAGAAGCCTATGCCAATCTGATACTCTCCGCTTGGAATATCGTGACCCACTGTCCAGATATAGCTGTTGTCTAATATTGAGAGGTCTGTGCTGATGGTATATACATAAGGTTGTGTACGAGAAACATCATGTGTTGTAAGTAATCCAACTATATATATACTTATGAGTAACTGAACATGTATTGGTGACTTACCATCTGTCTTGGCTGTTCTTGAAGATGCATAGCCATAAAGAGGGAAACGCACACCAGGTACCATATTCCTGATCATATCAATATAAATTGATGCTATGAATTGTATCTTACCATTTTATTTCTATCGTGTCACCCGCTTTTAGTTTGATAGGTTCATCTTGTTGTTGCTGAAGGGATATATGGACAGTAAAAGGCGAACTTTTTTCTGCTAGATAGCAAGAGACATGGGTAACAAATACAAGTACAATAAGTAATAAAGTACAGAATAAAGATTTCATATTGAAAACAAAAGAGAAAGAAAGGTAAAGATGAAATCATACAAACTGCATAATTTCTTATAAAGAACTTGCTGACAATGAAACGTGCGAATGTTACAAAGTTATACAAAAAAAAAAACTCTTTGTTTGTTGTTAAAGAAGTCTGTTGTACAAGGTGGATAAAGAGTATATCGTACTTTGGTTACAAACAATGGGATAGTGTACATTCGTTAATATGCCTTTTGTAGATTATATATAAAAAGTGTATTTAGGTACAATCTGATACATTGCATGCATTTTGTGTGAATCAATCAAATCGATAGCTGCCTATATCTGTGGCAATCAAATCAACGCTATGACTGCTTTTCTTTTCAATGCTGCTTTAATTTTTTTTTTCGTGTCTTACCTTTTTACTTCTTTCTACATAATCACAACATGAGCGTACAAGGTTTTTGGGGTTTAGCCTTGCATCCTGGCAAAACATACAGCCAGATTGTGTCTGCTTCTTTCCGTATTGCTATGGTAAATTTATTCGTTAAAGTGAAACAAAACTAACTTGAATGAGTAGGCTTCTCTTACCGAGCAAATCAAGGAAAACAAGCGTACCACTGTTACCGTTGTTGTTGATAACAAAGAATACGTTTTATGTACTTTGATTCCTAACAAGGTATGCTATATATATATATATATATATATATATATATGTGACATTAAACCGAGATTTAATCGTGTTAGATTGAACAACAATCCTTGGATCATACCTTTGTCGAAGGTGAAGAAGTAACTTTTGCTGTCAAGGGTGAAAATGTGGTTCACTTGACTGGTAATTACGTTTTCAGCGATGACGATGAAGAAATGGGCTCAGAAGAAGATTCTGAAATTGACGATTCTGAAGAAGAGTTTGATCAAGAAGAATTCCTCAAGAAGCTTCCTCCAGGTTTGACTCCTGAACAACTCCAAGAATTTCTTAATCAAGAAGGTGATTCTGATGATGAAGTTGACAGTGATGAAGTTATTTCTGCTGAAGAAGTCGATGAGGATTCCGAAGAAGAAGAAGAAGAAGAAGAAAGTGAAGAAGAAAAACCCACTGCTAGCAAGAAGCGTGCTGCTGAAGCTTCTCAAAAGGAACAGCCTGCCAAGAAGCAAAAGGCTGAAGAGCCTAAAAAGAAGGAAGAACCTAAGAAGAAGGAAGAACCTAAGAAGAAGGAAGAACCTAAGAAAAAGGAAGAACCTAAGAAGAAGGAAGAACCTAAGAAAAAGGAAGAAAAGAAGAAGCAAGAACAACCCAAGAACAAGGTCACCAAGCTTCCCAATGGGCTCATTATTGAAGACGTCAAAGTTGGTGAAGGTGCTTCTTGTAAGGCCGGTCAAAGAGTTGGTATGCGTTACATTGGTAAGCTTACTACCGGTAAGGTCTTTGACAAGAATGTCTCTGGTAAGCCTTTCAACTTCCTTTTGGGTCGTGGTGAAGTCATTAAGGGTTGGGACATTGGTGTCGCTGGTATGAAGGTTGGTGGTGAACGTAAGTTGACCATCCCTGCTCCTTTGGCTTATGGTAAGCGTGGTGCTCCCCCAGACATTCCCAAGAACGCCACCCTTGTGTTTGATGTCAAGTTGGTTTCTATGAAATAATAAACATTTATATATATATATATATATATATATTTTGTGTTCCAAAATCATTTGTTTATTTCAAAAAATTTAGGGTGCTTTAAGCTTCCCAAGAAGATTGAGCGGGAGCAGCAGATTCGTCAGCCCAGTCAGTGGTTTGGTTAGCAGACCAGTCAGCAGCGGCAGCAATACCAGCAACACCTTCAGCAGCATCACCTTCAACAGCCCATTCGCTGGCAACAGCTTCAGTATTGAATTCACCTTCTTCAATGTCAGCTTCAGCGTTTTCCTTTTCGATTTCCTCAGGATCACGGTAGAAGAACATGTCGACCATGACGTCCCAAGGAGTAGCGTAGTCAAGAGTACCACGGAGACGGAGGACAGCACGAGCCAAGAGCCAGTAGATCAAACCAATGGCGTGCTTACCCTTGTTGTTGGTGGGGATAGCAAGATCGATGTACTTCAAGGCAGCATCAGTGTCAGCAAGAGAGATGACAGGGATGTTGACGTAAGAAGCTTCAAGGACGGCTTGGAAGTCAGAACGAGGGTCGGTACAGATCACCAAACGGGGTTCACGGAAAGAACGGGTGATGTAGTTAGTGAAAGTACCGGGAGTGTAACGACCAACAATGGCTTCACAACCAATGTATCTGGCGAACTTCAAGGCAGCACGGTGACCGTAAGGACGGGCAGAGACAACAACAATGTCTTGAGGCTATTGTGCGTATTAGCATTCCATTCACCAACCTCTCTATGACTTACGTTCTCAATAGCAGCAATGACACGAGCAGCCAAGATGAGCTTTTCCCAAGTCTTACCGATGTTGATCAAGTGAATACCTATATGTCATCAAATGGTCAAAACAAAAATGCTTATATATTCTATATGCATACCATCAGCACGACGGGTGTGGACATAAGGAGTCATACGGGTGTTGACGTTCTTAGTACCAATGTGACATTGGGCACTCAACAAGAGCTTAATATCCTCTTCGGTGGGGTTAAGAACTGTAAATACAAATTAGTAAACATACACAAACAATACTGTCGTGTTTACCGGAAGGAACACGGGACATCGTGATAAACTGCTTTTATCTATAGAAACAAAAGGTTAATCCATCTGTTGTCTTTATGGATGGATAACATACTGGGTTGGCAGGGAAAAAGAGAAGGATCGATGGATGGGCAGACCTGTTGGATGTGTAATAGCCATACCAAAAGAGGGGGACATACAAGGCACCAATTGAATGCCCGGACAGATCGCTCAGTTTCGGTCCGAACAGTCGTATAAAGAAACAGAGCGCAAAACAGGGTTTTATGCATTCAAGTATAGACAAATAGACTTTTTAAATATGTTTATATATATTTATTTTTTTTATTTTGTTTAACTTTCAAGATGAGAGAAAGGTAAAGACGTGGAAGAAAGGAAAACAGGGTCGCGGGAAAGCTTAGAATCTAAGCTTGCTGAAGAACCACTTGTTCTTACCAGTTTGGTAACGTTCTTCAAAGAGCTTTTTGATGACCTATATATCATATCATGAGCTATCTGTCAAATTTGAATTGTGAGTCTCTTACCTTCTTGGATTCTTCACGTTGAGAAGGTTCCTTGAAAGTTTCAGCAGAAACGGTACCCTTGATTTGTTCCAATTCCAAACCATAACTAAAAAAAAGTTAAACACTCGATTGAATCATCAGACATGGTTACTTACCGAGTGGGCATCATGTGGTTGTAGTTAATAATCTTAACGAAAGGCTTGACCTTGGAGCGCTTGGCGACCTTCTTCTTACCCATGGCTTTAGTGACCTTGAGGGGAGTACGTTCAACACCAGCAACGACAGCATAACCATAGGGTCTGTCCTTGGTACCTTCATCGTGGTCTACAATGGCGTTAATAAAATGATTGCCTAAACACGGTATGCGGATGCTTACTACGAACGACAACAGCCTTCTTACCGGCGTAACGGCCCTGCAAGATGACGACAACCTAAAGAAAGACAATGAGTACATGTGTCGATGAACAAGGTTATCCAATGCTGTATTTCATCCATCCATTGCGCTCTTTTTTTATTTGAATCCATACATCCATTGAAATACTGTTTATGTGGGTTATCTGATACATACTTTACCAGCCTTGATGAACTTGACCATAGTGGGTAGTAGTTTGTAAAGGAAGAGGAGGAAATCTGAGTTTTGATCAGGACACCTTTCAAAGTAAAAAAAATCGGTAGCTGACTTCTAAAAATCTAGAGTCATTCTTTACGGCATGAGTGTTGCTTTCTTTTTTTTTTCTTTCTCTTAAGTATACGACCATTTCAACCTTGTGTTCTCATGACAGAAAACAAGGTAATTGAGCAACAAAAGCTTGCAAATGAAAGTGCTGTAAGACAAACAGGTGTAAAAAAGTTGACTTGTATTTATACTCTCATTCTTAGAACATGACTACGGCGGAACATGTAAAGAATCAGCAAATACCTGACAAGCCAAACACATTGCGAAAGACGCGTAACAAGAATACAGCAAAGAAAAAGGCTAAGCATGAATCCATTGGTGAAGAAACTCAAGTTCAGCCTAATGATGCTCAAACTGACACGACCAAAAAGAAGAAGTACAGAAGACCCAAAAAGAAGTCTGTTGTCAATGGCAACGTAGACAAGCCTGTTGATATGGAAACATTTGATAATAAGGAGGTAACTGCGGTTCAGCCTAGTGATACTGTTACTACTAGTACTACTACTACTACTACTACTACTACTACTGCGGTTTCATCAAATGAGCCTAAAACAGCTGGTACTAAGAAGCGCAGCAAAAAGAAAAAGCAAAAGGAAGCCATTCCCAAAACGGAAGAAAAAACATATACTGTTGATTACGAGGGTCTTAAAGATGCTCTTAAAGAATCATTCAGTTTGGACGATAGATTAGGTCCTGTTCACTTTGCTCCACTCACAGGTAAAATGAAGCGATTGAATGATGTCCCTTCTCCTAAGTTGTCTTATTCTGCTTCTCCTACCATGAGTTATGATTATGATGGCTCTTTAAGAGTGTCCAATAAATCCACACCAACAGCAAAGAGTAAGTAACTAAACTAGCCAATGTTCTTGCTAAGATTTTGTAGATCGTCATGCCCAAATCCCACCACCTTCTTCTTTGATGACAGGCAGTAAAAAGAAACATGGAAAGGAAATCGGGGTTCCTGCAGAATCAATTGAGAATTTCAAGCCAAAGAAACCTAAGGCGTCCGAAGAAAAGACTAAGCCCAAGTTAAAGAAACCCAAGGCACCTGGAAGCAAGATTATCATTGAAGAGCAACCCGAAGTAAACGAGATTAATAAAGAAGAAAAAGAAGCTGTTGAAAAGAAAAAGAAAAAGAAGAAAGCCGAGGTCTCAAGTACTTCTTCTGCAACAAAAGAAAAAGAATACTGCCATCCCAATGATGCTATCAGTCCTACCAGATCAAACAGACCTCGTTTTGAACGTTACCTTGATCCCAAGATATATACTAAGATGGTTGAGAAAGGAGAATTACATGAGGGCATTTTACGTGTCAATAGGCGTAGTCGAACTGATGCTTATGTTACTTGCGAAAACTTGGGTGGAGATATCTTTATCAATGGTCAGCATGATCGTAACCGTGCTCTTGATGGTGATACAGTTATTGTGCAACTACTAGACCTCGAAACAATCTGGGCCAAGAAGAAGGAGCAAATGATTCAGAAGCGTGAAGAAAGACACAAGACTGCCCTTGAAAGACCACCCAGAGATGAAGGTGAAGACGATAAAGCCAAGCCTAAGTACGTTGGTAAAGTGGTTGCCATCAGCAATACTAGCAAACTCCAAACATGCTCAGGAACTCTCAGTGTTCACAGACATAGTTCACAAGATGAACAGTCATTAAAAGCAGACGGTGAAGATGAGAATGGACCAACTGAATCAGACGGTCAAAAGCAGATCAAGATTGTTTGGTTTAAACCTGTTGATTTGAGAAAGCCTCTTATGGCTATTCCTATCCGCCATGCCCCTCTTGACATAATAGAGAATCCAAAGAAATACACCAACTTGCTTATGGTGGCCAAGATTACTCGATGGCCTATTGACTCTCCTCATCCCTTAGGTTCAGTCCTTCGTGAACTCGGTCATATAGGTAATATTGTTGCTGAAACTCAAGCTGTCTTGGAAGACAATCATATCATTGAACAGCCCTTTGGAAACAAAGCACTTAAATGCTTGCCTCAAGTGCCTTGGTCTATCTCACAAGAAGAGATTGATAAACGTCGTGATTTGCGTGACTATAGAATATTTACTATTGATCCAGCCACTGCTAAAGACTTGGATGATGCTGTCCATATCATCAAACTAGGAAAAGACGAGTTTGAAGTGGGTGTTCATATTGCTGATGTGTCTCATTTTGTTCATCAACACACTGCCTTGGATCATGAAGCATTTGATAGAGGCACAAGTACTTATTTGTGTGACCGTGTCATTCCCATGTTGCCTTCTTTACTCTGTGAACAACTCTGTAGTTTGAACCCTGCTGTTGAACGATTGGCTTTCTCTGTCATTTGGAAGATGGATGGAGCAGGTAATATTAAGGATACATGGTTTGGTAAATCAGTGATAAAGTAAGTAGAGACAGAATGAATATCGTATATTTATACAGAATAGATCCTGTGCCAAATTGGCCTATGAAGATGCTCAGCAAGTTATTGAGGGTCATGGTTTACCTAGCACTGCTTCTGTCAAATCATTTGCTGTGTCTGAAGTAGAACAAGATATCAAATACCTTTTCCAACTCTCTAAGCAGATGCGTGAACGTCGTTTTGCTGGTGGTGCATTGTCTATTAACTCTATTCGTCTTTCTTTCAAGTTGAATGAACTAGGTGAACCTTGTGCTGTCTCTATTTACGAACAAAAAGATGCCAATCGCCTTATTGAAGAATTCATGTTGTGTGCTAATACGAGTGTTGCTCAAAAGATTGCTTCACATTATCCTAATGATGCCTTGCTTCGTCAACACTCTCCTCCTCATGAAAAGAGTCTTGTAAGTTCGAAAATCGTTGAGTAATGTGTTCTAATGCTAGCTTAGGATGAGTTTATCAGAATAGCTGAAGGTATGGGCTATAGTTTTGATGGTTCATCTGCTGGTGCTTTACAAAAGTCATTTAATGCTATTGAATCTGAAGACGTCAGAGCAGTCCTTCGATTGTTGGCTGTGAAGCCTATGCAACGTGCTAAATATTTCTGTACTGGCTCTTGCGACGCTGCTAAATACGGTCATTATGCTTTAAATATACCTCTTTATACTCACTTCACTTCACCTATTCGTCGTTTTGCCGATATCATTGTCCATCGTCAATTGGAAGCAGCTCTCAAGAACAAACAGTCTTGCGGTTACAAGAAAGATGCTGTCACAAAGGTTGCTATTCAATGTAATGAACGTAAGGAAGGAGCCAAGAATTCTCAAGACATGAACATCCAACTTTACCTTGCTCATTACTTGTATATGATTGAGACCAAGACAAAAAAGCCTGTCATTTGTACAGCTATCGTCACTCAGATCTTGAAGGATTGTTTTGAAGTGTTGATATCTGAATACGGCATTGAAAAGCGTATTCATATGGATGCTCTTCCTATCAAGAAGTATGTTTATGATCCTCGTAAACATGCCTTATCTGTCTATTGGCAAGAAGGAATCGAAGCTACTCGTGAATACGATATGAATCGTAAATTAGATGAAGACTATAGAGAGCCTTCAGGTACTCAATTATATCTTAATCAAGATTCAAGCGATGACAATGACGAATCAACAGCTACCAAAACTATTTATGAAATTCCTCAAGAACTACTCAACGATAATTTGATTGACAATGAAGCCAAATCACAACGTTTCGAGACCTTTTCTAAGCTACAAGTTCGCATTCAAGTGAATGTAGAACGTTCACCTCCTATTGTCAACATTTATCCTGTTAACCCATTTATGTAATTTCTGAGAAATTGTTTCATACTATAGATAATTTTTATCAATAAAATCTTTGTAACTTCAAACTTTTTTAGACGTTTTTCCTTAATATCTCTTTTTTCACTCAATTAGTCTAGCTCAAGCCATTCTACCATATGCCCTGAGGTACAAAAAGAAGATGCTAAATTCATGCAAACCGATTTAGCAGTCCTGAGTTTCGATAAGCCACTAATTTGTTCCTTTTTTAAAAATGGCAAAAGAGAGCTTTCTTATTCTTTTCGACATACTATGAATAGTAATACCACTCAGCTTGAGGAATATTACAAGACACCCAAAGAGGTCGCTGAAGCTTTGAAAGTCAAAGATCTTCAAGCGCTTATTCGAGGTATACACTCAACGGTCTTCTTCTTTTTTTTTTTGAATATTCTAATGTTTGTTAATTCAAGGTTTATCTCGTTTAAGAAGTCAACTCGCCATCGCCGTCAAAGTTCGTGTAGATCCTACCGAGAAATACACTCGCCCTCTTGTAGAGTACTGTCAGGCATGTGCAGATAGTCACGATCTCAACAGTTTATGGGACTATCAAGCTTCAGTATGTGTCTATATTATTATTTCATTCATACTCATTTATTCTAGTCAAACATTCAAGATTTGGAGTGCATGTTACCTGATATCATTGGGTTGTTTATCAAACTATCTACTACACCTGTCATTCGCTCCTATGGTGTACAGTTAATCCAGGTTATTTTACAACGACAAATGAAGTACATTTATCGTGGCATTTCTTCCATGCGTATCCCTCACTGTCAGTCTACTTTCCGATTATTGACTTCGATTGTTTCTTTTAACGAATCAACTGCCAGAGATTTTTTCACGACATTTAACTTTCAAGCAGAAGGATTTCTGAGAGCTTCAAGGTATCGTCAAAACAAAAAAGCAAAGAAACCTCAAAGTTATATCTACGGTAAGCGTTATTAACAAAGGAAGCGTGTAGCTCATAGTTATAGATTTGAGAACAAACTATGTGCATTTTGTTCTTGCTTTTTTTAGACATGCAGATGCTGAAATCAAAAGACAAGTCCTTGGTATCAAAGGTCTTGTGAGTGGTGTTTTTATAGGAATGGATGAAGATGCGTATCCTGTAAGCATAGACACAAATGGATAGTTTGCATTGAGCTAACATGTCTTAGCTTATTGAAGAGATTCTTTCAGTCGTATATGAAAAACTGATATTGGACACCAATGTACCCAGAAGTACAAAAACTTTCTTTTTCTCATCTTACATTTTGGAGAAACTTGCCAAGATCTATGCTCGTTACGAAGAAGAGGAAACAGGACTGGAAGAGACGGGCATACCTGCAGATTTGGTTCACCATTTTTTGATTTCGATTTGTAGTGTACCTGATGTTGGTATTTGTTTTAGAGACACTGCTTGGTATCCAACTCAGATCAGCCCAGAAACAGCAGCATCGACAACAACAATAAACAACAGTCGTATTACTAATCGTGTTTTGGCCAAATTCATTACCACATTGAAGCCTTCAGATGACATGAGACAACAAGAACTTATACTCAAGATTTTGGACGCATGTCCTGAATTAGTACAAGAGTATTGGAGCAATGCCACATTGATGTTTGAACCTCGTATTTCGAGTAAATGGCTGGCCAATATCACTGTCTTGCAAAAAATAATTCAACTTGCTGTCCCTCCTTTGTTTTATGGATCATCACGCATGTACCCAGCTGAACCACCAGCAGTGGATACCATACTAGACAACGTATTGCCTAATGCGTTCAATAGATCACTTTCTAGTAAAGGTCTTCAACACGCTAGTGCACTTGTTCGTTACACCACCATGCTTGTGTTATCTGCAGCCTTTCAGAAATATGGTAAGGTAGCACACGCCATGAAGCAAGTGATTATGGCTCTCGAATCGTCTGAATTGGAAAACTCCACTGAGCAAAAGCCATCAGGCAACTGGAAAAAGTGTCTTGAAAGTGTACGTGAAGGTTTACGTCGTCGTATTCCCGAGATTCAGACATTGGTTGCCTTATACAAGCAAACAACAAACAAAACCATCCCTGATGGTTTGGAGCAAGATGAATTCGAAGCTCAGAACCAATTATTGCAAGACACTGCTTTTAGATTGATCCGATACTACCAAGAGTTTGTTCCTGAAGCTTTAATGGAGTCGAATGTGGATCCTGGAAATTTTATTCCTTCAAACATCTTGTCTGTCAAGCCTGGTACTCTTATCCACTTGCTCAAGCTCTTTTTGAGTATGCCTGATTTTGACTGGACTTCTCGATCATGTAAGTACATCTGTCATATACATAGCTTGCTCACACAACTAAATAGCTGGATCCTCTACTTCTCATATCACTACTTTGTTGACACTCTATCTTCAAACACCTTACAAACACATCCGAGAATTGACTGCAAAACTGTTGAACCAGACCTTGTCTGAATCGTTTATGTTTAGACATGATTCTGAAGAAGTGCAACTCTGGCTAAATGCATTGCCTCAAAATCATAACTCGTTTGATCTGACAATGTCCAGCACACAACAAGCCGTTCTTCAATTTTTGGATAACTGTATCAGCAGATTCAGCAAAGCACAATACAAGTATACGGATCAGTTAGTTGACCTTGTTAACAAAGTGAATTCAGAACACCTTTCCAGCGAAAACGCATTGATCCGTGCGTTTGTATCATCCAATATAAGCACTGCATCTGACTATAAGCATCCTTTCAGTCCTCTCTTGTTGACCTTGTGCGAAAACATAAACTTTATCAAAACAGATAGACAACCTGCCATATTCTATATCACTCGCCTGATTTCACTTGTTTTGACCAAACAAAATGTGCCATATTACATCGAAGCAATCTGCTCCAAACTAGATCAACAATTGGATAGTCAAAGCGTGATATCTCCTCGTCAAGTTCAGCAATGGACCAAGTATGAAATGATTCTATCAGCCAAATTATGTTTAGGACAAACTGTCGATGGAACCTTATCAGAACAAGTACGTAACAACACAATTGAACAACAACTATTAACTTTGATCAATCGTAAGTGTGCTTGCATGAATCGTTGTTTATTTCTAACTCGATTTATAGAACAAGAGGTCAGTAGTGTAGCTGATTGTAAAAAAGAATTTGTGGATTTACTTGAGCAACTGCCCGTGTGCGTCCTTGATCAACACCTTGAAAGAGTAGCAACATTTTGCAGCGAACAATTACATTGGACATCTTATGAACCTTTGATTGATTATCTTTGTATCCGTCATCCATTGGCCGGCAGCATCTTTTTTTATACTGATATTGTTGATATGAAATCATTTGCTTCTATGGATTCGTGAGTGTTGCATAAATTTGCTGAACAGACACTTATCTTTTTTTGTAGTACACACACAGCGTCGTTACTGAAGAAAATACCATTTACTAGCTTATTTTACAACATTACCACAAACAAGTTATACACAAACGTCTTTGCTGTTGAAGTATTGAAGAATGCATTGAATCACATGAAGCCTCGAGAATTGACTTGTGCTAATCTGTTTGTTTTCCAACACCTGAACACCATTTTGTTGCATTCAGAAAGCAACTTTGATGCACTCTTTTTCATTTTTACTCTTGTACGCCATATTGTGCTACTCGTAAAACAAATTCAAGATGTCAAGATACGTACAGACTTGTACAACTTTATCTTCGCCCATCCTTCAATAAGCTATCTTCGTTCTCAAGCTATGGATTTTATTGTACAGCTAACCAATATAAAAGCTTTCCCTTCCAACATGAATATCAAGGCAAGTAGCACTTTATATTGCTTTTTGGTTTCTTATTTTCTGTATAGCTCTTTGAATTGGTGATTGCATTTATTGATGTATTTGGCGAGGGATCCAATGCTCAAGCTCTTTTAGATCAGGTTGTTCAAGTTGATTTTGATAGCCTTTCTATTCTCGATAAAAAACCGACCAAGAACAATACTCTCAGCGATGCAATCAAGAAATTATTGATTGTACTTGTTGATTACATGTATAAATTTGACACACAAGACTACAAGATACCCAGCAAGGCATTTGAAATCATTGCCCAGCTTTGGAAGCAACACGCCACAGAAAAATTCAATCTACAAGTATTGTCTTTGCTTGAGTTGAGCTTGACAAAACAAAGACAAGACGAAGCTGAAACGAAGGCTGTCCATGTTTTGCTACAAGTATGCTGTGAACCCATCATCAAGCACATTTTAGCTGGCAAACAATGTACCATAGACATTGATTCGCTTCGATCTGCTTGTATTTCTTCTTCAGTGGATGTGGCTACAATTGTGATTGAACATTTGACTGATTCTCTATTATTGACTTATCAATTGGTGGATGTGATACATATTGGCTACGATTTATTAGATGGTAATCAAGACGACCAAAATGAATATGTCAAGAGAGTTATGGAACATTTATTGAAGCTATTGACATTTGCTGCTGATGCTAATGTGCTCTCTAATGAGCCTCCAGAAGAAGCATTCTTTGACAAACTTGTTGAATGGATGAATAGCATGACATCTGATTTTGATTGGGCGAGTGAACTCAATGCAGAGATTGTTCGCGACTGCATTCTAACTTCATTGATGGATAACTTGGCTGATGCTGAAGCCATTCGTTTCGTCACGGCTCTTGTCAAGCGTGTTTATGCAGATTATGATAAGCTCGAGCCTATTGAAACTTATTTGCGACGTATCTTGGATCATACCCAATATCAACAATTAACAGCCCCTGATGTAGCCAAACTGATTGCTCGACAAGCACCAACCAATGATGCTCAACGCCTTGCCATTCTTCAACTTGTTCATGCGCTTAATACTGTTCAACCACTAGTGATTGCTAAGCACCATGGTTTATTAGATCCTCTATTGACCAGCTACAGTGCCACAACCACATTAGCCGACAAATTGATTCTCGATGTGCTCTTTTCTTGTGAGAAATATGGACGTGAAACTATTTTACCAAAGATGCTTATGTGGGGTCCCGGCTCAGATCGTACACGACAAGCTCATGCTCAAGCTGGTACATTGTTACAAGCCAATTCTATTTCTATAGAAACACTTGGTCTTATTGACCCTGCTCTGATGAAATATACCTTTACTCACTTTCCTAGCGGATGCGCACTCGAGAAACAAGAGCCTCAGTCCACACAAGCTTTCGTCTATGATTCTTCTTTCTTTTTCCCCTTGTTTGCCAATTTGATTTCTTCTGGTGCTGTAGACTGCCGCAAGTTTATCGAATGCAATGGTTTGGGTTTTGTGATGATGGGCTTATCTTGTTCAGATGAACATTTGCGTAGTGTAGCCTATCAAATGATGGATCAATTCTATGTGATGGTAGAGCATGCTCGTTTTAGAGAGCAACCTTCTGTTATGTTTGTGTTGGAAGCATTTAAGAATTCAATCATCGGTCGATCTGAAGTGGATGTACCACCTAGAATTCCTTCAGCCATTACTGTTTGCACAGCACATGCATTGTCAATCCTGCTTCATCCAGAGCATTTCATGTTGCCTCATATTTCTACATGGATCTTGCAAAACTCTACTTTTGACTTTAATGTAAGTAACATTCTTTTGCTATTTCTATGACTAATATCAAAATAGTATGTGCCAATGTTTACCTTTTTGTTCACTTCGTCAAATCCCAATCACAAAAAGGAACGCCTTTGGTTACTCTATGTTTTGTCTTCTTCATTGCGTACATTTGAAGACTACAAGATCTTTTCTAGACAAAGTGTGTTTGATTTAATAGCCAATTTTTATAACTCTGCTTATGCAGATCAAATGAGTAAAAAGGCCATTATTGAAGTAAGAAAAAGATACTCTTGAAAAGAAAAGAAATCTAACATAGAATAGATTATGGAACAAGCAACGGCAATTCCTAATGTCACATCGAATTTGATTCAATACAATGGTCTCTTGGCCTGGATCCATCAAGCATTGGCTTTTGCATCTGATCAAGAGGAATATAAAGCATGGGAAAAGATTTTAAATGCAGCTATGGCTAGTGTAGGCAAATTAGAAAAGGTGCCTGAAAAAGTGCAGTCCATGCTAAAGGACGAAAAGACAATTCTAACAGAACTGAAATAAAAAAAAATACATAACTGCTTGCGTTTAAAATACTAATGAGTTTTGTTCTATACATTTCTTATAATATTAAGTAAAAAAAAAAAAAAAAAAAAAAAGACTATCAACATACAGAGGTTATTGAAAGCCAAGAAAAGTGTTATGTTTCAAATAAAAGAAGCCTGTAGAAGGTCGCTCAATAAATATATGCGTCTTGTTTCAATGTAATAAATATATAAAACAAGTGTTTAGTAATCCTCGCTCTTTTTTTTGGTTTTGAATTATGATCAAATCTCTATACATAATTTATCTTTCAAGACTGCATCCAAGATAATTTCCTGAACCAAATATAAGAGTAGGCTCATTCCTTGTTATCTTTTTAAGCCATCTAGTTCTTTTTCAAAAAACTGTGAGAAAATGAAAGCAAAGAACAATAGCACTTTTTACGTCTTTGTATAGTTTTATTTTTATTTTATTTTTTGCCCTGGATAATTATTTTTTTTTTCCTACCTCCTCATCTTGTTTTGAACAAACAGTATGTCATCTTTACTTACTTTTCAACTTATTCAACAACAACAACAACAACAACAACAACAACAACAACAACAACAACAAAATAAAGAGAGCAGTGGTCTTCCTTCTCCACCTAGCTCCTTTTGTGGCGAGGACACTGCAGGCAGCTCTGTTGTTATCAACGAACAAAAACTGCCGCCTCAGTTACAGTGTCGTAGAGACTCGCTCCAGACGGTATTTAGTGATATGTCTTTGCAAGACTATTCTACTTCTTTACCAGAGAACTATACAATTGATCATTCTAGTCACGCTACCGGCGCTATAAAGACCACTAGAAAGATTTCATCATCTTTTAATCCTTCTTCCTTACAACATACGCCTATTGCAACAGCCACAGCAGCAGCCACAGGAGGACTCACAATTCGTAATAATAATAATAATAATAACCGCTCTAGACAGGATATCCTAAGCACCAGCATTAGCAATAGTTATAATGCTAGGAGGAAAAGCCGTGGGCTTTCAGAGTCCCTCAATGGTCAATATAGATGTAATGACTGTGGAAAATCGTACAAACATCCCAATTGTCTACAAAAGCATCGTTGGGAGCACTCTGAAGAATGGGAAATTACTAAAAAGCTGCCATTGACAAAGCATCAGCAAGTTCAGATGCTTGAGGCTGCTGCTATCTTGGTTGGTATTAACAAGAGTCAGCACCGCAAAGATGAGGATGAGGAGGAAGAGGAGCAAGAAGAAGAAGTTCAAATAGATGACGAAGAGCAAGAAGAAGAATCCATTGTTATTGATGATGATGAACCCAATGTTTCTTCTATCGATTCCTCAGGTATTTTTATGGATGATCTTTAATATATGCATATACACGTATCCGATTTGTAAAACTACATTATTCTCTACTTATTATTACTATTTACTATTCTCCTTTTTTTTTTTTTTTTGTGTGATTGTACATACTCCTTTTCTCAAACTTATTAATTGATATAAAAAAAAAGACCAAAAAAAAGTACACTAGTTATTTGTTTTAAGAAAACTGATGAGGAATAAGACATACAGCTTGTTATATGCCCTTTTTGGATATATGGTTTCTTTGAAAAATATGACTGTAATATCAATGTATTATCTTGATGTGTCTATGCAGTGCTAAATGAAAGTTCTCGAAATTTATAACATGAATATAAAAAAAAGGTCAGTGCGATTACTAGTTTAGAACAAAAGCACAAACACTTGATTCTACGCTTTTTTTTTTCTTTCGTAGGCCAGAAGGAAAGATTCAAAGTAATGAATCTCTAAGTTATCTTGAAGAAAACAAACCCAATTATCCCGTATTTTGCCCATGAAGGCAATCCTCAAGATGAACACTTGCAAATTGGAGCATGCATACCCTCTTTTTCATTTAGAGTTTACATTATAATACAGCCTTTTTTTATCGAGATATTTAAATTACTTGTACAAACAACTTTTACCAATGTATACTGTATTTTTAAAGCTATTGAGAACAAAAGATTGAAACGTTCAACATGACCATTTTCCATACTTCACTCTTTGGCCATCTTTTGCATGTTGCGAGCTCAAAAATGGAGCTATCGACATACTTAAATATGGAGAAGTAGCGTAGCAAATGTTGTTTGAAACTTGCATAAGAAAAGTGGAGATATAGACCGAAAACTCTAGAAACAATTCTTGTAATTTCTACATTTTTCGAATCAGAAAAGTAAGCCCTACAAATTTCATCAAGCTTTCTGAAAAAGGGGACAATTTTCGAGTTGGCAAAGAAAAATGAAACGTTATTTTATAACACCGCTAGTTACCAGGGCGTTTTTTTTCTAATGCAAGCCATATTCTCCTCTGCCTTTAGTGCTTGAATTCTTCAAAATGTATATCAAGGGCATAGTTCTTAAAGGTTATTTTGAACTTGCTTTAGTAGATAGAAACAAAGATATATAATTGAAAAACAACAAATTCTTATATTTGTTCTGCTTTTCTTTGCAAAAAAAAAGAGGATTGTTCTCAAAATCAGTAAAATAAAATTTATTTATACGGATGATAGAATTAGTACAGTCTTAAACATAATATCTATTAGATTTCCTGCCTGTATACTTGTTTCCCTAGACAATATAGATAGATTATAGTTGCCTTTGTTGTTTTCTTCATAGTGAAGCTGATAGTAAAAGTTGGCAATGTCCATAAAGCATTGAGCGGTAGATAGTAAGACATCAATTTCCATTTTAATGAGAGCAAAGCAAGGTCTTTCTCGAGAATCATATATGCTTAGTTTCCCAGTATTATATGCCAAACTATAATGAAGTGATAAAACTTCTCGGTAATCTGAAATAATTTGAATAGTGTAATATGGATCTCTTTCAATTCTTTCCTTTTCTGGTTCATCAATTTATGTTTCTCGATACATTTCAAATACAATATAGGTATGATTAGAGTAGTCAAAAGTACTAAAAGTTTCTTTCATATCTAAATCAATAGAATAATATTGATGCATTTTTGAGGGAAAAGAAAGCTTTTATTTGATCCGCTAGATATTTATGGATAGAACATAAAGAGACAACGCTTTGCTAGACAAAGGACTAAACATGTTTGCTCATTTGTCACCATTTTTATATCTGTTCATTCTTATCGTTAGTCCTGTATAGACATGCATAGTCTTGTCATCTACTATTGTTGGCAACGCATTTCAGTCATCTTGGCCTTCAAACACTAGTTGTCTTGTTTCGCTTGCAATAGGGCAGGTTACCCTACTGTGTCGTAGTCAGGAAAATAACCATCATTGATAATATCTATTCCAACCCGAAGCTCTCTCTCTCATTTGATTTCAAAGTGATATGAATTTCTGCATAGGCTCTTCTAGTTTCATGATATAATGTACCTCCGTCATCTTCATACAGCGCAAAAGTACATTTGCTTGATTCAGCGCCATCCACATACTTTTCAGGGAATATTTGTGTACGCCTTTCATTGTCAAGGATAGCATACATATTACTCATCACTTTACCAAAAATCAGCATGGAGCCAGCCTTAACAAAGAAGAGGCAGCTTCATCTGTTATTGGTGCGGGAACATGAACCCATTGACTTTTTGTACGATTGTAATATTCCCCTGTCTAATAATGATACCATGAAGACTGTGATGACAAGTATACTTTTCTGGTCTTAAGATCAGGTCCAAAAATAGGTGCTATCAAGACAGAAGGTCCCAGCGTAAATCCAAATCCTTGTTGGTATGTAAGCGTATCGTATTGATGGCCATAAAAGACAGGTCGAAAGAGAGGCTTTCCCTTTTTATAGACATGCTTCACATAGAGTGAATAAACATAAGGGATTGGTCGATATCGAAACTGAATACAAGCACGGATGGTTGGTAGAACTTCAGGATACTAGACGAAAACTGTTAAAAATGGCAGATAAATGATGAGCTATCACTATCCAAGGCCCAGTTGTTTATCCATCCGTGTTCCAAGAATGAATACAAAGCCGAGGTCAGAAAACACCTTGTTGAACCCATTGAACAAACATTTCTGGGTCCGGTTTGGGCCCTGCAAAACCCCTAATGCCATGACCATAACCAGCAGGCATACTACAAAGGCTAGCACCTAACTCCATCGAAACATTGTATTGGATTGTCTTCCACGCAGTTGTATTATCGCCACACCATGTTTGAGAAACAAGTTGGTTACAATAAGGTACAGCTGATCGAGAAATAAGGAAGGGACTCAAGGTAGTTTCATGCTCTAGCATTGCTTCATATGAAGATTGTGCCATTAAAAGTGTCAACAATACTGTTCCAATCTCTTTTAGTTGTGTTGTATACTGTGAAGCAATAATTGAAGGGCCTGAGACAGAGCTAGTTTCACTTGGAAACAAGTTGACATACTTATCAGGAAGAACCTCACAAGCAAATACAAAACTATCATCTGGTAACGTAAGTTCATTGTTATTTAGCCATACCAAGCACCCTTTATCCAACAGTTGTGATTTGACATGAGACTTCCAATACTCATAGCCTGCTCTACTGGAAAAATCAATGTAACTCGCTTTACCCATTGTGTTGTGTCCACCACGCCATTGCATAACTGTACTGGGTTCATTCGTTTCATTGTTTCAAATGAGCCCTCTATCTTCACGCAATTGATCAAAATCAGGATGGCTTTGTTGAATAAGCCAAGGCTTGACATTTGCAAAAATCTAAAGCCTTTTGGTTCCAATGTCTTTGCAAGCCCTTTTGGGCTTGGAAAACGCTTAGTGTTCCATGTAAATACACAACGATCTCTATGCTCGTTCATCGTGTAACCAGAAGAAAGATGTATACCGTCGCAAGGAATGCTATGCATTTGACACATGTCATTAAATTGCTTGATTTTTTCTTGCACATTGTTTGCTTCAGTACAACCCATTGAAGAAGTAAAATAACCAAAAGAATAACAAGGTGGAAGGTGGTGAGGTAGGCCTGCAATGAGTGAATAATCTTGCACGACAGAAGAAACAGAGGGACCATATATCATGTAGTAATCAAGAGGACCATATTCAGATTGATAGTAAATATAAGGTCCCCACATCTACAGATTAGAAAAGCAAAAGCTATTTGCTGACTTACTGTGTCAATTTCATTTCCCAAATCAAACAGAGTCGGGGAGAAGTTATTATAGTAAATGCCATATGCTTCTTTTGCAGTACTTGACAAGCTAATATAGAACGGGCAAAACTTGTAGATGGGTCAGCTGTTTGTGCATCGCATCCCATATAATCTAATCTTTCTAGCCGAAAGCGACGTCCCGTCAAATCCAAAGAGCCTGAACGTTTTCCTAACCCATAGTAGGTATTATCGCTTGGTTTCACTTGATAATGCCAGATTGCTCCAGACGTTTTATCATATCCATACGATCTATATGCCAGGTCTTGTGCAACAAAATTGAAATGTAGGTTTTAGTGTAACAACAAAGCGTACATCTGGCGCTTTAACCTTGATACTGCTTTCATTTTCCTCATTTATCGAATAGTTCTTGAAAGAAGCACTCGTATCTGTTTCAATCATCAAAGCATAAACCTGATGTTGCATTCGAAAACCATTACCGCTGATAATGGCTATTTTAAACACATGTCCTTGAAGGTTTTCAAAAACAAACGGATGCTTGTTTTCTTTTAGAGAAAAGTCTTCAGCTATATTTTGTTGCATATGTCTGTCTTTAAGGGAGAAAAGAAAAACCAAGGCAGGCACAACAATTTCTTTCTTTTTGCATGAACAGACCGGAGTTTGCCACCTTCCAAAAGTTTGCACAGTCACAATTAGGTCTATCATAAAGATTTTTCAACTTCTGTATCCATACTATCTCTTTATTATGTCTTTAGGTGCACAAGAAATCCCAGACCCTCTCAAAGACTTTAAAGACTTTCAAAGTTCTTTGTTTAAATCTCTGGTTTCAGCAACTGCAGCAGCCAATAGCATTTCAGTCGAAGAAGTTGGCTTTTATAGGTCGCTTGATAGACAGTTTGCTAAAGACTTGGATCACGCTGGATCCAGCTCTCTTTCTATGGGTAACGCTTTATTGCAACACAGTGCTGCTGACTGTGGTGCTACTGCAAAGAGTTTCGAAGATGTTGATGATGTTCTCGACCGATATGGCTCAGTAGTAGACGTCTGTGATAGTTTGTTAGAAAAAGCAGTAAGTATGTGTGTCCAATTCAGCTCAATTCTTATTGTATTTCTAGGATCTCTGCCTAGACCATATGGGTGGCAAGGTTAATCAAGATGATTTGAAGAACAATACGCCCGAAATTACACAAATTGCTACTAAGGTACTGATATTAACCAAATTTCAGGTTATTCATTGATCGTATAGGACAAACTTGACTATAAATTCTTACATGCCAATAATGTGGTTCGACCACAAATGAAGTTTAAGGACAAAGTAGACAACTCTAATTCAACACCATTTGAACGAAAAATCAAGTATAAACCACACGCACTTGTCCCACTTGATTTTACTCCTGTCTCTGAAGACAAATCACTCCCTCATCCCTATGTCTATGAAATCAACCACATTGAATATCCTGAACGCATGTTTCAAATCAGTGAACCAGAAATTTACCAACCATACGACACTACTTCAGCAACATGGGTTGATACAGAAGAAGCATTATTGGAGATGCTGAAACACTTAGAAGGACAGGAAGAAATTGCTGTTGATTTAGAACATCACAATTACCGTAGTTATCAGGGCTTTACATGTTTGATGCAACTCAGTACTCGCGAACAAGATTTCGTGATTGATGCCTTGGAACTCCGTGACAAATTATGGATGTTGAACGAGTATTTTGCTGATCCCAATATTACCAAAGTACTTCACGGTGCTGAATCTGATATCATTTGGCTTCAACGCGATTTTGGCCTCTATATTGTCAATTTGTTTGATACTTACTTTCCTACAAAAGTGCTTGATTTCCCTCACCACAGTCTTGCTCATCTTTTGAAGAAATACTGTAATTTCGATGCTGATAAAAAGTACCAGTTGGCCGATTGGAGAATTAGACCATTGCCAGAGGAGATGTTGAATTATGCTCGTTCTGATACACATTTCTTATTGTACATTTATGACTGTCTTCGTAATGAACTCTTGACAAACTCTACGAGTGAAGGAAACCTTGTGCGTGTCTGTCTTCAAAGATCTAATGATGTTGCTCTCCAAAAATACGAAAAGGAAGTATATGACGCTGTTCTTGGTCTTGGTCCTGGTGGATGGAAAAACATGTTGTCAAAGTGGAAATACTCTCTGAATCCTCAGCAATTGGCTGTATTTAAGGCTCTTCATAGCTGGCGTGATCATACCGCAAGAGAAGGAGATGAATCTGTTCGTTACGTTCTGCCTAACCATATGTTGATGACTTTGGTTGAACGCATGCCTACAGACTCTAGTGGTGTCATTGGTTGCTGTAACCCATGCCCAACGTTAGTCAGAATGAATGCTCAGGCTATTGGATATGCGATACAAAAAGCAAAGTTGGATGCCCTAGAACCTACCAAAGAAACACCGCAACAAGAATCCAAATCAAAGATTGAAGCACAGTCTGTTTCATCAAGCAATGGCGCTGTTACTACAACAACACAAGTGCAACAAGTCAAGAGAAATATTTCCAAGGTTGATCCTGCTTTGTTTGATTTACAGAAAGTGAAGAAGCTTCGACTAGAAACAACAGCACAGCTTGAAAAGAAGACTTCTACATTATTTGGTGATTGTTTATAAAAAAAAAAATAAAGACAACAATGATGTCCTCTCCTGAATTACAGTAAAGATCAAAACGCATATATAGAGTTCAAGAATGAATACTGTTTATTGTTCTTGATTATCTTACCAATCATGTATCATATGAAAGTGGTGTAAATATAGAGGCAGCTGCTTTTGAGTTTTGGCTTGAAACTCCTTCTCAGCCCGCAGCATGATTGGGCAGCCAGATGACGTACCGCTCATAAATTGTAGAGGCAGAAATTACTAACTCTTTTTAGCTACAAATATGACATTGGAGAACTCTTGCTCTTCCTCTGCCTCTTTGTATAAAATGACTGCCAATGATAACAAGCATTCTCTCTCTGATTTCTTATGGCAATCACCCTTACTGTTCAACTGCCACTTTGATGAGGCTGCTAAACAGGCTATATTATCACGTTGTTATGAATCCTTATGGAAAGATGAAGAAGTGATGAGTCAATATTTTTTTAGTACAAAGCAAGAACTACAGCAAGCATTGGCAATCCAGTCTCAACGCCATGATGGAAAAGAGCAAAATACAGTCATTGATCCAGCTTTGTGGCATACAAATGCCATCATCCCGAATCAAGACTTGTCTAGTCAAAAGGGTAGACAGTGTGGACACGTGTTTCGCAAAGGCGAACCTGTGTACCGATGCCGGTAAGATCATACCGGATGAAAAGAAAGCAATGAGAACCTCATCAGTCTATAGAAACTGTGGTTTAGATGATACATGCGTATTCTGTAGCAAATGTTTTCACGCGACAAACCATGATGGACACGACATTTTATTTTCTGTTAGTCCAGGATCTGGCGGATGTTGTGATTGTGGTGATCCTGAAGCATGGAAAATACCTCTTAATTGCAAAATACACTCAAGTGAACAAATACAAACTGATATAGGGTCAGAAAAATCACTTGATCCTGATCTGGCTGCCTCTATCCGAGAAACCATTGCTTCGGTGCTTAATTTCTTACTAGATACTTTTGCTTTGGCGCCTGATGAAGTTACCCTTAACTCTTCTACTGAAGATTTGGTTAGAGAAAACCAAGAGCAACGCAATATTTTAAGCAGAATGGGTATTCCTTCACAATTACCAAATCAAAATGACGCAACGATGGAAAATACAGCTGAAGAAGATGTTGATATGGACAAGGAAAATGATGAGAAGAATGTTGAAGAGGATGGTGAATTATATGCCTGTATTGCTTGGAATGATGAAGCGCATGCATTTTCTCATGTATTAGAATCCATCATGACAGCCACTGGCTGGGATTGGCAAAAAGCAAAGCAGATTGTAGATGTAATTCATGTGCATGGAAGAGAGATTATTGCGGTCTCTAAAGATATCACTGAATTACGCAAAATTGCAGTACCTTTATCTGCCATTAATCTTGGTGTTACTATTCGACCAGCCAAAGAAACCTTTAGAGAGCAAGTATGCGGACTACTGGTGGATTGGTTAAACGAATTAATAAACGGTGAAACGCGTTTCTTTGAAGGAATACCCAATGGTGATGCAATTATTCGAAATATATTATGTGAAGAATTATGCGCAGAATGGGAGCTTCGATTGCCTTTGGCTCTTTTGACAACTGGATTACGCACGAATAACACAGAAGATGACGAGGATGAAGACGGTATGAAAGACGATCCAGCCATTACTAGCTCAGATATCGCTGAAGATGTTGAAATGTATGAACCTGATGTTGATACGGTCAAACTAGAGACCAACGAGTCCACAAGTCCTGTTGTTTACCGCAATCAATGTGATGTAGCTAGTATTGATTGGGATCCTGCTGCCATGGTTCGAGAGTACCAACAACTGCGTGCAAAAGAAACCGAATTTGGAGAATCATTGTCAGACAGACATGGCAAAAAGCCAAGCAAACCAGTCGAACAACAAGAAACATTTCAATCAGCCATTAGCATGCAAAAAGAATTCGAAGAGAAGCTACGTCTAGATTACTTTATGTTATATGATCTGAAGCTATGGAAAGAAGTGCGTATTTCTCTAAGAGAACTGTACATTGCTTCCTTGGCATCCAATCCTCATTTCAAAAAGATTCTCGGTAAGCGTCTTGCTAGAAACTACGCTAGACTAGCAGAGTCTTTCTTGTTGCGTGATCGTGAACCTGAAAATTCCATCATTCTTTTCTCTGTTCAACTTTTGACTGTACCCACTGTTTCTGATCTGCTTGTTCACAATTATTACTTTTTCGGCCTTATTTGCTCTACTTTGACTGCCTTCTTTTTGACTGATCGTCTCTATCTGTTGCTACCCTCTGAACGTCCAAAATACCCTTCTCGAATCAACTGTGAATCTCGAGCTTTTCGCACTCGTCGTTACTTTAATGCTTTCCATGATCTGCGATACATCATGAATGTGGATATGATTAAGCGTGTACTTGCTCAAGACCCTCTTTATCTTTGCCAGTACCTTGATTTGATCAGTCTTTTCCAAGGCATGAATGCTCAAATATGCCAAAAGGATACTCATGTTGAATACGAATCTGAAATATGGGTTAATGCATTCAATGTAACACTCCAGATTGCTAAATGCTGTCGTCAATTTTCTGATTGTTTTGCCATGTTACCCTTTACTACTGACGAAGACAAAATATCTACTACTACCACTGTTGTAAGAGCTATCTCTCGCGTTCTCAAAGCTATTATGGAATGGGGTCAAGTAGACGATGAAGAAGAAGAAATCGAAAAAGCAAAACAACTGTCAGCTACTGCTAGTAGTACACCACCACCAAAGATCTATGGCGCCATGGCTCAAAATTTTCATACAATCTCATTGAGATACACTGAACCCTTTGAAGTTGTTAAATATAGTGTGGCTACTCAGCCTGTCTCATTCCATCACCCCCTGCATTGGCTGCTCTCTGGTCTTTTAGAATATGCACATTTATTGACAGATGATGTCTTGTTTCAAGCTGGATGGGAAGGTGGCTTCAAGAAGGTAGTTACTTTATTCCATGAATCCAAAAATTCAGGTACAAATGTATTACTGCCTATCCTTGACTTTCCTATTCGTACGATTGTCTTTTCTTCCCAAATTAGAGCTGGTGTTTGGGTTCGAAATGGTTATGGTATTAGGAATCAGGTATGTCTTATATTTTTATGCTATTGCCATTCTAACTTGGCCTAATTTATAGGCACATCATTACAGAGATATTTCTTTACGCGAAAACACATACGATGCCGATGTATTCTTGTTGCAAATGGGTTTCGCTACACTTAATTCCAACCGCTTCTTGGCCACTATTCTTGATCGTTTTGACCTTGTCTCTTGGTTCTTGGGCAAGAAGACCCATGAAAGCTATGATGCGTCACAAACTGTGTTTATGGTTGAGGAATTATTGAGTCTTTTGATTGTGATTGCCTGTGAAAGAGCCAATGTGTCTGGCATGTCTATCCACGACAAAATTCGCCGTGAAATTATCCATAATTTATGCCTTGGATCATCTGCTTACTCAGAACTCACAAAACATATTCCCGAACGCATCACTGAGCACCCTGATTTCGATCGAATTCTTGCTGAAGTAGCCCATTTCAAGAGCCCTGACGGTGTCAATGACCATGGATCATATGAACTCAAAGATGAATATTTTGGCTCTGTGGATACATACTTTTGGCATTTCAGTCGTAACAACCGTGAAGAAGCTGAATCTATATTCAAGGCTCGATGGAAGAAAGCAAATCCTGACAAGAAAGATGATGAGTTCTTTATATTACCCAAAAAATCTCCAATTGCACCTGGTCCCTTCCAGCATATGAACTCCTTCTTACAGTCTACTTTGTTTGTTCAAATGTTGGTCTTTGCTATCTGGAATGTTTACACTGGTGATAACCATAAGAGCGATACTATTTTGGATCAAGCCTTGTATTTGGTCTTGTTAGCCCTTATAGATGAAAACTCAGAAGATGCATTTAATAATGGCCAAGGCAAGTTCTACGATTATGTGTGCTCTTTGCGCTTTGTGATAGACGCACAAGAAACCGCAGAGCCTCAACAAGATGCCTCAAAGCAATCCCGCGAAGTATCTTTATTTGATATCTTGGTCATCTTGTACACAGATGAGCGCTACAATGAAATCAATAGCCGTCTTGATTGGATCTTTGAGCAATTAATTAAGAAAGGCAGCGATACTACTCAGGCTAATGCTCAAAGCTGGAAAGCACAGCACCGTGAGCAAATGGAAAAGAACGCACAACAAGAAAACAATACCGAATTATCAGAAATGGAAAAGAAAAAATTGGCTGCTAAAGAAAGACAAAAGAAGATCATGGCTCAATTTGCTCAAGCTCAATCACAATTTATGGAACAAAATGAGTTCTTGTACGAAGATGAAGACGATGCTTTTGTAGATGCACCTGACGCGTTCTCTAATGAGGATGAAAAAAGTGCCAATTCAGACACAATTAATCATTTCTGTGCCTATCCCACTGGTACCTGTATTGTATGTCAAGAAGATGTGAATGACAGATCATTGCCTTACGGTCTATTGGGTCTAATTCAGACGTCTAATATTATTCGGGAGACTCCTATGAATGACCACTCATTATTTAACGATATTTATAATATGGGAGCAAATCTGGATATTGAATGGAGTGACCGTCAATGTTTAGACGATGATGCACCAACAGTGCCCGGCTTCCCAGCTCATTTGCACAAGACAGGTCTTTATGCTTCTTCCTGTGGACACTTGATGCACATCAAATGTTTTGAAGTGTATTGCAACTCTATTGATTCTAGACATGCTGCACAATTGACTCGAAATCATCCGGAAAATAGATCTCGAAAGGAATTTATGTGTCCCCTGTGTAAGTCTTTGGGAAATGCCTTACTCCCTGTATTTTGGAAAGGCAAAAAAGAATCTTATCCTAGTATCTTGGCAAAGGCTAAGGAAGCTGATTTTGCAACATTTTACAAATCTGAAGTGAATCAGATTGTAAACAAACTAAAGCATAGCATCATGTCTTCTTCGCGAAGTGCACAAATAAGAAAATCAGGTCGAGATAATTCAACAGCAAGTCGTATGAAGGATGTTATGGCACAACTGTTGCCAAACCTGCCTGCAATTGGTGCTGCTACACCAACACCAGGAACTCATACCATTACTCCTCCATTTGCTAATACTCGAGAATGGACTCCTACTGCTTTCCCTACTCGTCTTCCCATTCCTGCTCCCCTGGAACTCAATAATCAGGCTGTTACTGACACTCCTGCTCAACAGCCACAACAACAAGAAGGCGACCAAATGAACGTCAATACTGAAGAAGATGAAGCAGATCGTGACGTTGAAACCATGTTGATGCGAAGTGCATTTAGCACTGAGTCTCTTCCTCTTCCTGATGGCTACTTAGGCCCTTTCGAAAACGACACTTTACACAGTACAGCCATGGTTAGTGCTCCCTCAATTAAAAAATCATATCAACGTCTTCTTGATGTCCTTGGCATTATTTATCAAGAGATCTGTACTGATGAAAATGAACGTGAGATGTCAACAGCTGCTGAAAATGTGGACATGCTTTGGGGAATTATGGGCTATACTATTGCTGGTGTCGAGATTGCTGCTCGTGGTTCTGAGCGTCATAGCGTGCAAGAAGAGGGTGCTACGAATACCTTGTTTGATCAAGTATCCGCTCAAATGCAGATGCTACTTCGCATTTTGAGTGATACTATCATGGCTTACACTACCTTGATGTGTTCTGTATCCACTGAATCCAAGTCATCATCTACAAGTATACCTATGGCTCGTGTCAACATGTTTTCTTTAGGACGCATGAGACAAATGTTTGAAATTAATGTCGATGATGTTGCTAATCTGCCTGCCGGGCCTTCTCAAAAGATTGTGTTATATGATAACGCACCTATCTTAGAAGATGATCCTTTCATGATTCTAACTGAATTATCGCTTCATTTAGTGCCAACGACTCAAGCAGATATCTTCCCTTTTGTTCGCACGTTACTCTTGGCTGAATTTGCTAAAATAGCAATTGCTTTACTTCAAGATCGACTTAATAGAGAAAAAACCAATGAACATTATACAGTATCTAGCGAACCTTCTCAAGATATTGCTAATGCTAAATCGTTTGCATTCTCGTTAATGAACAAACTTCGGTTTACATCTGAGGAAGCGCAAAACACATTCCAAAAATTTGATAGCGATGCTTCTTTCTGCACTTTACTCAAGTTCTTTGCACTACCTTTCCTTCGTCGCACTATTATTTTGATGATTGTTCGATTCGGTCTTGTTATTCCACCTCTTGATACCAATGAAAACACTGGTGCTGATGAACTAGAACGTCTTATGAACATTTTACGGTTACCCAAATTTGCAGACCTTTTACAACCTGCCTCTATGACTGAATCTTTGCTTCATTATTGGTGTTCTCAACACCTTCGAGAATCAGAACGTCGCATCCAGGTTCAAGAAGGTATTCAGGTTCCTGTTCCTGCAAGCCGTCTGTATAATATCTCGTTAGATTTGCCCACGCCTTTCCATTTAGTAGCCTTGCCAAAGCGCTTAGATTGCCTCTTTGATGAAAGCATGAAACGTGTCTGTCAAAAGTGTGGCACGGTACCAAGCGACCCAGCCATTTGTTTATTCTGTGGTACATTTGTCTGTGCTCAAAGTTTTTGTTGTGCAGAAGATGAAGAAGGTGAATGCAACCTTCATACTTTAGAGTAAGTTTGAAAGCGATAGCAAGAGACTATACTTATTTTTTTTTAGATGTGGTGGTGAAATTGGTGTGTTCTTATCTGTGAAGAGATGTGTGCTCATGCTGTTACATAACGGTAATGGCTGGTTTATGAATGCGCCTTATTTGGATCTTCATGGTGAAGTTGATCAAGGCCTAAGGTAAATATACACGATTGGATGACACATACTCATAACTTGTAGACATGGCCGACCTCAGTATTTGAGTGCAAAGAGATATGCCGAAGTCCGCAAGCTATGGCTTCAACACAATATACCAATTTATGTAGCTAGACAAATAGAAGCCAATTATGACATAGGTGGATGGACAACCCTTTAAACTCAATACAAAATTTGCATTGTACAATTTGCTTGAAATAAATACATTCTAAACCAAGTTTTATATATACATTCGACATTAGGTGCTTTTACCGATCAAAAGAGGACTAACGCAGCTATTGGAAACCGGACTTAAGGACGTGCTGGATGCTCGACGCAATGATTCTGATGCAAAAGGCAAAAGTGCTTCTCTTGCGTGAAGAATCTAATATCCATTGGTCAATATTTTTCTGTATTTTTTTACAAAGCTTACCCTTTTAGCAAGCTGAGAGGCACGTTTGTCTGCAGATACAATTTCCCAAGCGAACTCTACATTGTAACCCAGCTTGATACAGCGCACCAAGTGCTTGGCTTCTACTTCGCCCATGCCTACATATTCTTCATCAACGGTATGTGGCATTATCTCACTATTGTTTCCCAATGTGTTTTGAATCCATTTTAAAACTGTTCGTTCTGTCGTGCTCTGGTCAATCGCTGGAGGTATTGAAGGCGGCTTGATCTCAAATGGGATTGAAACTGCCATCACATTGTGCTTGTTATCATGTTGGTATCTGAACTCATAGGTCCCCACTCTCCAAGGAAGTTTAGATCCACTAAAGATAACTATGCCTTCTGTACGTAATTCTGTTTCGGGAGGGAATATAATATCATCTAATTCTTTACTGACAGCAGCATTTGTCCAATGCCATAAGCCACGCGAGCTGATATTAGTTATGTGCTTGCTCTTGTTTGCTTTGACTTCAAAGACACCAATCCAGTCTTGAGGGCCATGATTCTCTGGAGCTTCCCAAGCTACCTGAATGGACTGACCCATCTCAAACACATAGTTATTGTTACTAGTAATGACCTTGAGTTTGTAACGAGATAAATCGTACATGTCTATATCACTGGCCGTTAATGGAATGACACGAGAGCGAGAGGATTCCAGCATTTGCTTTGTTTCACTCAACACTTCTTGCAAACGAGGACGAGCTGCTTCAACAATGTCCCCAACTGCATCTTTGGTTTCCCCTACTGCCTTCTCTACTTTTTCGACTGTCTCTTTCACAATACGTTCCATACTTTTGGTGCTGTCTTGTTTTTCGTGGATTATTTTGGCAATTTCTTGCTGGAGTTTCTCGGGAACCGTTTTGGGTAAAGCAATAGCAGCAGATTTCAATGCCTTTGTCAAGCCTGCTTCTGTACGAATTTGATCGCCATAGAGCTTCTGCATATGAGGGCTATAGTAAATTCGTGAGGAAACTGGATATCTTGCTTCGCTGGATTACCTTTCAACATAATGAAGAAACAAAAAGTTACAGATTTGAGAAAACAAGGCTAAACCAAAAATGAAGCCGTTGTTTGCAATTAAAGTCATACCCCAGAAGGCAGCATGGCCCATTATTTTCTCTGGGTTGTTTAGATATCTTGTTAGATTGTTAGAGAAATATTGAGGAAGGGACCTAAATACCTGTAAATGCCTGTATATAGTAATTCTGATTGATGGTCTTCCATAAAGAAATCGCCGTAGAACCTAATGAGACAATTAGACATATCAAATCATACTCGGCAGCCCAAATTACCATCCAAAGTTACCAAGCACTTCATAAATAGATACTGAGGTCCATATATGAAGTGAAATAAATATCAACCCCAATGTATGTCTAAGAAGAGTCGTTCCATAAGCCCAATTATCTGGCAAGGTATATGTCTTCCAGCAAGCGATAAAAAAGGTAGTATAGGACATACATAGTGTAAAGTTATAGATGCTGTTCCCACATCGTTAGCTCTTACGTAATATGCTGTTCTGTTATTACCTCTTCCAATTTCGAAAGGCTTCTTGAGCTCCTCCTCCCCATTTGATAAAGTGACGAGTGAAGAATTTGTTGTTGGACTGAGAGCGAAGAATAACACCATTACCAAAAGAGTATACTGAGCGCCAAAAGAAAGCCTGAAAAATCGCCACAACAACGCCTGTTCTACCAGGAAGCAAAAGAGGCATCACAGCCGCATAAATCATGACAATGACAGTAACAAAATCGGTGGCTCGAAAGGGATCAAAGTTCTTGAATGCAATTAGATCATGACGAAAGTAGTTTGTGTAAAATGGTTGCTGTTCAGCGATAGATTCCTGTTTGCTGGCTGCAGTAGAAGGACGTCTCTTGATGTCAGCTGGGGGATTATAGATCTTATCAATATCTAATTATGATCTATTAGAATCAAAATCACCTTTCTTTTTCTTTTCACTCTAAACGATACTTTACGAGGGGTTTCTACAAGAATCAAGAATGCAAATTGGAGAGCATGGGCAGCAATGCTAACAAACAAAACTGTGTAACTTGCGCACAAAAGTGAGACACCATAATAGCCAAAGTATCCAATCGAATACATTGGGTGAGGAGCCATTTCAAACACACCATCAAATGTAAGGGATTGTTCAATCAAGAAGAAAAAGTCTCCCCAATCTAGCCAAATTAGTATATTTCGTATGCCACATAAAACAGATACTTACACCAAGCAAAATCCTTGACGACTCTTTGAGCATCTATTTTGACCCAAATATTAAAAACAATCAGGAACAGACCACCTCCCCATCTCAACGTATCACCCAGAAAAATAGATGATTGTGGTGATGTGTTGAACCAAGAAAGAGCAAAGCACATGTAAGAAATAAAATCATTCATTAAAATAAGATCCACTAGCTGTCTGTATAACATCCAGGTATTGTATTCAACAGGAGCCGTCTTGAAATAGTTTTAGTAAAAAAAAGGGGAGAGGCTGTTCAAAGTACTTACTTCAAAATCATAGTCATCGCCCATCTTGACACTAAGCTGATATTTGAGCCAATGGTACGCTTTGGGATTTGCTTGACGATCAAATACATTGTATTTCTTTGCCCAGCGGACTAGGCCTCGATTGTCGCTTTGGCACTTTAACAACAGGCCTAGACCAGCATTATAAGCCAAACGCCAAAAGAAGAAAACAAAAATAAACAAAATTTGTTTGAACCACACCGGCAAGGTAAAAAAAAGACCGATTTCAATTGCCATTGTACCCAAAGTAATCCAATCAAAAAAGCTTTTCTTTACATTAGGATTTAATAAGTTAGCAACCATTTCACGCGTCAAAGGAACTCGAAAGACTAGATATATTTGAAATGCATGAGTGCGCCTTCTTTGTCTATTTAATCTATTATACCTTTTCCATCAGGTGTTTTTCCGTAAGAGTATCGCATGTCCTTTTTTATATTGCCATCATATTCGCGATTTAGGTCGAATAAGGGTATTGTGCTATCTTCTGCATCGTCTTTGGCGACCGCACTTGTGTCTCTGTGGCGCAATCCTGTTCCCATTTAAATGATAGAGGAAAAAGAAAGAGAGAAAAGTCAAGTAAGAGATCATATATCAATCTTTACACACGCATGTGAAATTAACAGTCATTCTACAATAGAATGGGGTATTTCTTTTATGCATAAAAGCTGTTCTCCAATCATATAGCGCGCAAAGACTTCTTGTGATACTTACAGCGACCCTTTTTAGCGACTCCTACAGCCAATCAATCCCTAACAAGTTTTTAAAGTTTTGGCCGATATTGATACTAGTGTACACTAATGTCATTTTTCGGATAACAACTTTAGGAATGGCGGTAATGAATCGTCAGAGTTCTAGTGAGAAGAACTACTAAATCATGAATATTGTTAGATTTAGGAACAGGGTCATTGTGTACATTGTGCATTTCGCTGACCAAAATATCGATCGACAAGCAAATATATAACCTGCAGCTACAAGTATATATACTGAAAAGAAAGATCGACAAAGCACAAACAGCAGATCAATAATAATGGCACTCTCGTTTTTTCTTCTTTGATGTCTAATTAGGTTAAATATAGAGAGAATAAGTTGGCCGTCAAGTAGTTTCTTCTTCTATCATATGTTATGTAGAAGCAAGCAGTTCATCAAGCTTGGTAGTCAAAGCTTGGTTACTAGCTAATTTTACAGTGGTCTTTTTGAAGCTCTTGCTCGCCATCCTTATAGTAAATATACAGGGATAGTTATATTCCTTAATGTACATATAGCAATTGCACAGCTTTCTCTAGCATACTTACTTGCTATCTCCATGATATTGTGTATCTAGAGTGGCATAAAAGTAGTATGGCCATACACGCATGCAAATGTCCACTATTCGGAGGCTGAAATTCGAAGTAGTTAGAAGAACCCAAAATGGAGCACTTGCTTAAAAATGCATAAAGACGCAGTTGTTTCGTCTTGGAGTAACAACAAAAGCTTTAGGATTCTAGCTTAAAAGTCTAGTAGTATAAGAAAATAAAAAGATCTGATAGCAAAGTATTGGGAAAATGTGTGGGGGCGGTTATTTTATATGTTTCTCGCTCCTAGTAGACTATTTTTATAGTCTATTTTGCAAGCAAATACAACCATCAAGAAAACATGATTTTCTCGTTTATTCTGAGTATCTAACTGTATTGATAGCTGCATCCTTCGTCCTATGAACTCCAAAAGAAGTACAAAAGTCAGAGAACTAAAGCACATCCTTGAGTAATTGCCTTTCCACCAGAGAGATTTTTGGTCAGTTTGGACATATGGCATTTTTTTATCCAAATGAGCTCTAAAAGTGGTATTTATGTCAGTAGACATTGTTTGCAATTACTTTGAGTATTTATACGAGTATACACAAGCTTTACGCTACTTTCATAATGTCTAAGAAAAAGAAGAAAATTTTATGACCTGTTGTTTTTAATATTAGACTTTATATACCTGGCATCTCGGTTACATGAAAAGCCAATGTACATCAGAGCTGCTTCTTCAAACAAAATGCTCTATTAAAGTGAATTTATCCTCCTAAATTAAAAAGGAAAATGTTTGATTATAAAAAATATCAAAGTGTTGGAAAACTTACTTTAACTTTACGATGCACGATGTATGAAAGCTGGCCTTTGTTACATGTGTTAGATGTGGTATAAATTGCCATATACTCGCAAATACAATTTAGTTACTGACTTTTTATATAGTAAGGATACATCCAATCTAAAGGTATATTGTCATTTGTATGATCTAATGAAATCAATGATATGTTGTCTTGAGAAAAACACCGATCATTATTGCACATGTGCATACTTAATTCAAAGTATTTTCTTTTATTACTACATGTCATTTGGACTATTTCATTGTCTCTCAAATTTATTGAAATATATACGTATATCTACAGGATTCACAACCATAGTGTCAAATAGACTATAAAGATTCAGTTCTAATATTTAATTATGCTTGAAATTATAACTTGTTCAAAATCAAAACAAATCTAGCTTAAATACAAAGTTTTAGGACTGGAAGTCACTCGAAGCCTATCATTCATGATCAAATGTCATTTAATAGCAAGGATGAGCAAAACAATAGAGAAAAATGTATGTATCTTGGATTTTCGAAATTAATTCGCTCCTTAACGTAATGAACTTATAGAAAACATACTTTTTTTTGGCAATATATGCAAATTTTATACAAATTTTATGTTCATTTTTTTCATTTTTGTCATTTTTGTCATTTTTTCATTTAATCTAATTCTTTTAAAATCAAAGGCACTACAGCATAAGCGATTGAAGAGGTCTTCCATTGAATGCAGAAATGGAAGATTTTGGCCAAGCCTTTACTCAAATATGAAAGATTTTTTCCACCGATGGAAGAAAAATGCAATCGCTTAAGCTGTGGTGTATGGCTGCCATTATGGTCGCTGTGGCTCTCTATGGCCTTCTATGGCTCTCTATGGCCTTCTATGGTTTCTATGGTTTCTATGGTTACTATGGTTGCTATGGTTGCTATGGCTGTCGTAATCACTCTGCTGCAACAAGGATCCTGGTAAAAAGCGGTGATCAAGAGCATTTAACAAAGAGCTCGAATTACTGGAGTTGTCATTTAGGAAGTGAAAACGTTGTAGACGACTGACAATTGCTTCACAAATAGGATTTCTAGCTGCCACTTGCTTGATCGGAGTTTGCTAAAATGAATCCAAGGGAAGAGTGCAGTAGGCTTGTGAGCCCGACTTCCAACTAAACATAGCAATCATAGCAACCATAGGAGCCATAATAATAATCATAGCAGCCGTATCCCAGAACTTAAGCGATGCATTTTCTTCCATCAGAAGAATTTTTCCATTTTTGATGAAAAATTTCTGCATGTAATGGGAAATTTGTTTCATCGCTTACGCTATAGTGATAACTCTACAAAAAGGTAATAAGAGCAATAAAAAAAAGCATGGAAAGACTCATAGACCTCAGGCGTTCGTGGCTAGTGTGATGAACTTACCAAAAAAAAAAAAAAAAAAAAAAAAAAAAAAAAAAAAAAAAGCATTTTTAAAAATAATAAAAATATTAACAGGTATGGCGAAATTACATGTATGCCATTTGCGTACTAAAAAAAAATCTTTTTGAAAGATAATGAAAACAGCTACTTTAAAATAATATCACTATTTTAAAACAAATCATAAACATTTTCTGCAATAAAAAAATAAAAAAAGTAGGGAATTTCTGATTTTCCTGTTTTAAATTTAAAAAAAAAGCTTGTTTCTCAATTTCTCTGGTTTGAATTAATAGACGAATCTACCAAGTAGCAATCTCTTCTTTTAACTAAAACTGTAAAATCATTATCCGGTAAACTCGTTTATTTATTTAAAACAGAAAAATTGAAAAACTGACTTTTTTAATTATTTTGAACAAAAAATTAGAAATTTCTTACTTTTCTTTATTTTTTGTCATTACAAAAAAAAAAAAAAAAAAAAAAAAAAAAAAAAAAAAAAAAAAAATTGTTTTACTTCAAAGTAGTGATTTCTATTTTTCTCTAAAAAATATTTTCTGAGTACACAAGTGGCATACTTGTAAGTCGGCATAAATGTCAGTGAAGTTTGAAAACGTATATGTATTTTTTTTTGTGAAGCCATTACATCCATAATAGATTAAGTCATCAACACATTTCAGAAGGGTTTCATTCAAGGACGTTTTATTGATGAAAATGAGACGTAGGTCTATTTGACTCTACAACAAACAAGGCTTAAACGACATCAAAGTGTAGATTTGCTTCTCGACCAGGAGAAAGCCTATGATTAGTTTTTATTTGCTTATTTTCAACAGGCTTTCTTAGTAATAGGCTTTCCTACTTTATTTACACGCAGTATTCACAATCTATTCTTTGGCAACTCAGCAGCAATTAATGTCAACGGATGCCTTACTGATTCAGTACATCGGCAATGAAGATTAAAGCAAGGTAATCCTCTATCTCCGTTGTTGTTTAATATAGCGTTGGAGCTATTGATTCTATGAGTTCAGCAAGACAATATTTACCAAGTATATATATCGACAGTGGGCTGCACTACTCAACATAGCAAGTAAATTATATATGCTAATGTTATTTGTGTATTTCCCAAGGATGAAGCTGACTTCATGCGTCTTCGACATCCCTTAGAGAATTGTATTATGTTATTGAATGCAAAATTCCACAAATACAAGATAGAAGCCTTCTCAGTAAAATGAAGTCGAAATCTTGGGGATCATTGTTCTTGAATCATTAATAGAGACATACTATCACCGTCACTGCTCTTCTGCTCTTTTGCTCTTTTGCTTCCCGGTATCTTGGCTTTTATATGCTATATACGAATTCTCAAAGGGATTTTGTTCAAGATATGCTATTGGAAAGTGCACACACAAGTTCATGACTACTCTCAACGTTACCTATCACCCCGAGGTGGAGCGACTGTAGCTAATATTTTGCATTCACTAAGCAATTTCTGAATAAATTACATTCAGTTGTCTACTCTTATGTGTGTCAGAAGAAGTATTTTTATGTTTCCTTTGACTAATTATGTCTCTCGAAGGATCAAAGTGGATTAGAAGCTCTCAACATTATCAAACAATACTTGGTGTTGCAGATGAGATAGATTCTTACTCTGTTTAGTTCGTCCAGTTAGCCTAACCAGCTTCAAGTGTTTCTGACAGAACTCTTTGTGATCATGCATTCAGATACAAACAATCTACTACTACCTTTCTTCTCTAGAACCCTTCGCCGTCATGACCTTTGCCATCCCACTTCAGTCATCAATAGTATCTACGCTGCCTTTGATCACTTTGATATTGATTCCAAGCTTGATAGTGTGCCTCTTACCAACTTGCTTTACTTTCCGCTAATTAACATGTCTCAGGGGTACCTCAAAGTTACTGGATTCATCGACATCTAAAAGCACCAGCCTCTCTCTCTTCTTTCTTTTTAACAAACAAAGTAACCGGTTACGTCTAAAGGTCCGTCATGAATATGGGCAATTACCAGGATTGTGCTATCAGCTCTTTATAGACGTTTTTTGCAGGCAAACAGTAAAACCTCAACTTTTCTTGTGGCAGTATATCACGCAAAATGTGATAACATCTACTTCCTCTGCCTATAATGCTTTGACCAAGCAATTTCGGTGATCTTTTTGTTTTGGAGAACTCCCATGCTCCCTTAGGCTAGAAAATTGTGGTATCGTGTGCTTCACAAAAAATTACCCACTGCCGCAGAGCTCTTCAAGGTTGATACAGCCTCTACTCCTATTTATCGCTTGTGCAAACCATAATCGGAATCCCATGACCATTTCATAGCCCATTGTTTTTATCAAGTGGAGTGCTTGGGCAGAAATACTCAACTACTACTATCTTTTGGTACATTTCACCCCTTCCTCCCTCCACAAAATCATCACTCGTTAAGCCTTATCACCTGCCATTACAAACCGTTTCAAGATTATATCCATCGTTGCCATAATTCAGTACGATGTCTAATCCAGTCTTTCCACGTCCCATCACTCTGCAATGTGTAACTGAACGACAATTCTGTATATCTAAATAAAGCTCAACTACAAAAAAAAAAAAATTCCAAGCTACGGCCATATAACATAGAAAGCACTAGATCCCGTCCAATCTGCACAATTAATCTATGCCTGGGGCAGTCAGTACTATAACCCCTTCAGTCTTAACTATCACACATTTTAACATTTTTAGGACTTTGAATACAACAGGGCTACACCTCCCCTATGAGAAAGCCCTTTGTACATCTACCCTCACATTAACATCAGAAAATGCCTATATTTCCATTTTCTCTAATTTTTGGCACTCAAAATAGTATATCTTGCTTTGATAGTGCTCATTGCTAATACATTTTATATGTCATCTAGTGCGAAAATGCTCAAAACACGGCTTAAATAAGCCAATCTTTGATCCGTCATTACTCGACAGACTGTCAAAACATCCTACTTTTTTTTTTTGCTCAAAAATGTTCTTTCAATTCCAGGAACAGAAAGACATTACTGGTTTGACTGTTGGATGAAATTAGTTTTTTTGGCTAATGGGGGATTCACGAAAAATTTCTGAATGTAGATTTTACCCAACCGAGATGGGATAAAGCCATATTCAGATACATCAAACAAAAAGAAAGCGAGTTTACCAAGACAAAAAAGGCGAGTCAACTTGAGAATTGTCTTTGAATTTGCATTCAAAGTTCGTTGTACACTATAATTGGCACAAAAGAAACCCTTTTCAGTAGATATCAACTAGTAGATGGGCATTTACTTCTGTAGCATTTGATACATGAGATAGTCAAGAGTAAGATATAACATAATAGATGACACTTCTAAGCATAACGAAAGCAAGTTTTGTCACACTTTATTGGCGCTATAGCTTTATTTTCTGTTGATGTATCTAAGTTGTAGCGGTCCCTCTTTACTCTATTTTTATGCTATTCAATTGGACTGCCAGCATCTTTGAAGATGCACCTTAACTTGGTAACAATAAGTCGTACTTGGTTTAAAAAAGAGGAATATTTAAAGGTGTTCTGTGCTGCCTTCTGAGACAACATTTGGTTAAAGCGTTCATTGATCATTTGGTCGCATTAACTTACATTGGATGGTTTCACTTTGAGCCTTGGGATTTAATCTCACAAAACAGTAAGTGGTCATTACTCATCACTCATTGGCCTGAAGGAAATGATGGCTCCACCTAAAAAGAAAAAAGCTAGTTTTTTTTTCTATTTTGGATATCTTAAAGACTATTGCTAGAAACTAGCACAAAAGAGGGTAGAATCTAATGATTATTTCACTAAGCTTGCGCAATTGGTTCTAGCATCGTCTGAAATGCGAATATTAGATGATTTAAATATCACTTTGAAGCCAAGAACCTTAGCACAGTTCTTGTATAATTCTGACAAACGAATAGCTCTGGAGAATAAGTGCAGCCATGTTCTATTAATCGCAATAGTAAGAGTAAAAGAAAGAATAATAAGCAAGGCAAAAGTTGCATTATACTTTTTTTTCTAAGCCCCTCTTTACGAGTGAAATAAGCAAATCGTTTTAAAAGCAGTCCGATTTTTTTTTATAACATTACTTGAGCTGAAAAATTATCTATTCACTTTTTTTTTCCTATCCAAAATGGGTCAATACAAGAAAGAAAAACAAAGAGTTTCTCGAGACAAGGCTGGTGGTGATGATCGAGCCAAGAACATTAGAGTCAAAGGTGAAAACTTCTACCGAGATGCTAAGAAGATCAAGTACATCAACATGTTGAAAGGCGGTAAGGCCATCCGTGATTCTCAAGGTCGTATTGTCAAGGCAGCTGATTTCCAAAGCAGTGAAGTCAAGACTGCCCGTGTTGCACCCAACAGAAAGTGGTTTGGTAAGTTGTGATGACGAATCTTGGTCAGATCTAATGAGTTTATAGGTAATACTAGAGTGATTGGACAAAAAGCTCTTGAAGATTTCAGAGAATCTCTCGCTGCCAAAGTTGATGATCCTTATCAAGTTCTTTTGAAGCAAAACAAATTGCCCATGTCTCTTTTACAAGACTCTACTAAGCAAACTCGTATGCATATTCTTGAAACTGATAGCTTCAGCAATACCTTTGGTAATAAGGCACAAAGAAAGAAGCCCAAGTTGGCTATTGGTTCAATGGAAGAATTGATGAGTAAGGTGGACGATACACATGGTAAGAAGAAACTGCGCATAGATCTATAAATTGATTCTTGTTCTCTAGACACCTACAAATCTGAAAAGGATTCTAGTCTTTTGGCTAACAAGGAGTCTGATTATTCTGAAGCTGGCCGCGCCTGGTATCTTCAAGCAGGTCAATCCAAGCGTATTTGGAATGAACTATACAAGGTTATTGATTCTTCTGATGTTATTATTCATGTCCTTGATGCCCGTGATCCTATTGGTACTCGTTGTCGTAATATTGAAAATTTTATTCGTAAAGAAAAGCCTCATAAGCAATTGATCTTTGTTCTTAACAAGTGCGATCTTGTTCCTACTTGGTCTACTGCTCGTTGGGTTTCTCATCTCTCTAAATATGCCCCTACCCTTGCATTCCATGCTTCTATCAACAACTCGTTTGGTAAGGGTTCACTTATCCAACTCCTGCGTCAATTCTCTTCTTTGCACAGTGATAGAAAGCAAATCTCTGTTGGTTTTATCGGTTACCCTAACACGGGTAAGTCTTCTATCATCAACACCCTTAAATCCAAGAAGGTATGCCAAGTTGCTCCTATTCCTGGTGAGACTAAGGTCTGGCAATACATTACTTTGATGAAGCGTATCTATCTTATTGATTGCCCTGGTGTTGTACCTCCCAATGTAGATGATGGTGAAGTTGACATTATTTTGAAGGGCTCTGTTCGTGTTGAGAAGATGGCTAATCCCGAAGACACTATTCCTACCATTTTGGAGAGAGTGCGTCATGAATATTTGAAGAGAACTTATGGTCTCGCAGGCTGGGAAGATAGTACTGATTTCTTGGAGCAAATTGCTCGAAAGACAGGTAAATTACTCAAGAAGGGTGAACCTGATGTGCACAATGTGTCTATTATGGTGCTTAATGACTGGCTTCGTGGTCGTATTCCTTATTATGTTGCTCCTCCTGAAGCTGTCGAGCCTCTTACTGAAGAACAAAAAGAAGAGAAGAAGAACAAGATTGGTGTTGAACAAATGTTTGCCAAGATCAATGTTACTACTGAGTACATGGAAGATGATTTGGCCAACAATGCTCAATTGATTGCCGAAGAAAGAGCTAAGGCTAAGGCCAAGAAGGAAGAAGAGGAAGCTAATGCTGCTGCTATCGAAAAGAATACTTCTAAACAAAAGAAGAAGGCTGTTGCTGCCGAACCTGAAGTTACTGATTGGGATGAAGTTTTTGAAAGTGTTGTTGGCGAGGAAGGTCCTATTGTCAAGGCTCCTGTTATTGAAGGTGAAGAAGAAGATGAAGAAGAAGAGCAAGAAGAGGTTGATAGTGAGCTCGAAATGACTGATGATGATCAAGAAGAAGAAGAGGAAGAAGAACAACCTGTCAAGAAGGCTAAGGCGAATAACAATGAAGTTGAAGTTGATAGAAAGAAGAAGAAGGTTGGTGTTCACTATTATGAAACTGCCAATGTCAAGAACAAGAACCGTAACAAAGTTAAGCCTGATGAAACTAAGAAGAAGGTACTTCACTCTCGCTTAAAGGGTTCTGCTGTTTCTGGTAACAAGCGCAAGAGAAACTAAACTATACATATTCTTTCATATACATCTATACATATAATCACCCCCCCCCACACACACACACACACACATTAAAGCCTTTTTTTAGATTCTTATTTATTTCTGTAATCGCATTGTATCTGATCAATTAAATAAAAAGAAAAAACATGAAGCACTTTTGTTTAAACACTAAAGGACTCATCATTACACTAAAGAGCAATGTATGTGGTTGAGTGACGTCCGCTGGCTTTTTTCTACTAGTTCAAACTCAACAACAGGGCTGTTAATCATACTTATTTTTTCTCTTCACTCTCCTCTCTCTCTTTTCTTTTCAAATTTGTATAATGTCTGCTCTTAGATCACAATTAAAAGGTCTCAAAGAACTTCGTCTTCATTTCTGTCAAACATCTCCTGCCAGCAGTGGTGTTCGGTAAGCCTAAAAGAGTATACGTTTTTTTCCCAACAAGATCAATAGTGATTTCATTGCAAAGAACTATGTCGATATTAAAAAAGTCAACCCTGAACTTCCTATTTTGATCCGTGAAGCTAGCGGTGTTGAAGCCCGTGCTTTTGCTCGCTTTGGTAAAGTATAAGTACATGAGTACACCTTATATTTATATCAAATTTAGATAAGGGAATTGAACGCAAGGTTTCTCTTCAAAATGCTTCAGCACAAGACATTGAAGGCACCTTGGCCAAATTGATCAAGTCTGCTTAATATTTAAATAAAAAAAGAAAAGAAAAAAGGAAATACATGTCAAGAGCATGAATCATACAAAGAAAGGGGTTACAAGCACGTAATTTGTTTGCCCATCTTGGTGGCTTATCGTGTCTATTAAAACTCCAGTTACACTTTTTTTCCATCTTCCTTCTTTCTCCTTAAACAATATGCCCGCAGCCATAAAGATAACCTTGCCCAAGTTGGCAGCCAATACAAAACCTTACGCCAATGCTTTAAAGCTTTCTATTGCTGCCCAGGTAACTGGAGCTAAACTTATTCAATCAACTGGCGAAGCTGTCTCTTTTGTTGTTTCTGACAGTCTTGCCTTGAGTGACGCGAATGCTGCTCTCAAGTAAGGACAATTTATAAATAAATGCTTGTATTGATTCGTATAATAGATACATTTTTGATGCTACCGCTTTTGATGCCTTACAATCTGTTGTGATTGAAAAGGAAGAAACCCTTGTTAGTCCTTTGATTATCAAGAGAAGAATTGAACAAGCTTTCGAGAATGCTGAATATATTATTAGCAATTACTCAAGTGCTTTTGCCAAGGTATTTTTTTTTTAAAAAAAAAAAAAAAAAAAAAAAAAAAAAAAAAAAAAAAAAAAAGCAAAGAAAGTAAACATTAACTTTTTTTCTTTGACAACAGGAGGCTGACAAGGTTACTTTAGTCGATGCTATTTATTATGGTACACTTGTTGAAACTCTTACTGCTGCTAAAGATCTCAGCAATTTCCCTGTCTTATCTGCTTGGTTTGAAATAGTATCCAAGAACAACAAAGTGACAGCTGGTGTCGACTTTATCAAGGAATTGGTAAGCCTTTTTTTTAAAAAAAAAAATATAAGAAACGGTGACTCATGATTTGTAATCCCAGACAAACAAAGGCACCAAGCCAAAGAACAAGAATGCTCACGCCGAAAAAAAAGTCACTAAGGAAATCCCTAAGCCTGTGATCAACACTGCTACACAAAAAGTCAAGCCCAACATTGCTGCCAAAGTCGTTGATCCTGCTATTAAGTAAGAGAAAAAAAACAAGGCTAGGAAAATAGATGACTTATTTTTGTGATAGAGTTCTTCCCAAGGAAAATGAACGTAACATTTTGATCACATCCGCTCTTCCTTATGTCAACAACGTACCTCACTTGGGTAACATCATTGGTTCTACACTCAGTGCCGATGTTTATGCTAGATACTGTCGTGCTCGTGGCTATAACACTGTTTATTTCTGTGGTACTGATGAATATGGTACTGCCACTGAAACAAAGGCTTTGGAAGAAGGCGTTAGCTGTCAAGCTCTTTGTGACAAATACAATGCTATTCACAACGATGTCTACAAATGGTTTGATCTTTCTTTTGATCTTTTCGGTCGTACTACCACTCAAAAGCAGACTGAAATTGCTCAAGAAATTTTCTTCAAGAATTATGAAAATGGCAACATTGTCAAGGAAAGCATGACTCAATTGTATTGTGAAAAGTGTAGCAGGTAAGCAGAGACATAAGAGAGAATCAAATAATAATTTATATATTGTCATAGATTCTTGGCTGATCGTTATGTTGAAGGTATTTGTCCCAACTGTAAGTATGATGATGCTCGTGGTGATCAATGTGATGCTTGTGGTAAGCTCTTGAACGCCACCGATCTTATTGAGCCTCGCTGTAAGCTTGATAACAACAAGCCTATCACTAAGGAATCCAACCATCTTTTCCTTGATTTGGCCAAACTTCAATCTGAAATTGAAAAGGCATTTAAGCAATCTGCTGAAGAAGGTAAATGGTCAGCTAACGGTATCAACATCACGCAATCTTGGTTGAAGGAGGGTTTGAAGCCTCGTTGTATTACTCGTGATCTCAAATGGGGTACTCCTGTTCCTCTTGAAGGTTACGAAGACAAGGTCTTTTATGTTTGGTTTGATGCTCCTATTGGTTATCCCAGTATCACTGCCAATTACACTGATGAATGGGCTAAGTGGTGGAAGAACCCTGACAACGTTAAGTTGTATCAATTCATGGGTAAAGATAATGTTCCTTTCCACTCTGTTATTTTCCCTGGTAGTGAAATCGGTACTGGTGAGAAGTGGACTGTTGTCAACCATATCAGTACTTGTGAATACCTCAACTATGAAGGTGGCAAATTCTCCAAGTCTCGTAATGTAGGTGTGTTTGGTAACAATGCTCAGGACACTGGTATTCCTCCTTCTGTCTGGCGTTATTACCTTTTGTCTGTCCGTCCTGAAACCAGTGATTCTATGTTTACATGGAATGAATTTATTACCAAGAACAACAGTGAATTACTAAACAACCTTGGTAACTTTGTTAACCGTGGTATTCGCTTCATCTTTTCTAAATACGATGGTGTGATCCCTAAGGCTGACTTCTCTGGTGCTTTAGAAACAGACCTCATCAAGGATATCAATGTACTCTTGAAGCAATACGTAGAGACATTGGAGGCTGTCAAGCTTAGAGCTGGTCTTAGTATTGCTATGACAATCTCTGCTCGTGGTAACCAATATCTTCAAGAAGCTAACCTGAGCAATGCTTTGTTTGATGAATCTCGTCCCAAGTGTGATGCTGTTGTTGCCACTGCGGCCAACTTGATCTATCTCATTTCCGCTATCATTGGCCCCTATATGCCTGCTAGCGCTGAAAGTATCTGTCGCCAACTGAATGCTCCTCTTAGAACTATTCCTGATGAATTCACCATGGACATTTTGGAAGGTCACAAATTGGGTGGTGCTGAATATCTGTTTACTAGAATTGATGAAAAAATGGAACAAACTTGGAAGGCCACATATGGTACTGGTTCAAACTAGTGTGTTAATAAATAAAATTAAATAAAACGAAGCTTATTATGCTTTTAATTTACGAATTAACTTTTTTAAGAGTCGAGTCAACTCCAGATGCTACACAACTAATATCGTCATGACTCTTGTAATGATTGCATTTGACTATAAAAAGTGGCTACAGAAAAATGTGTACAATGGTAATTATTGTTGTGCAGGTTAAATTAGTTTACAAAATGTCCCAAGCTAGTCTTTATACTTTATTATTTTCTTTTCTTTTTCTTTTTTTTTTTTTCAAAGTTATAAATACTAGCAAAATTAGTCTTTGTATTTGTTGTTGATGTATTTATGGACCGAGAAACTTGAAGATTACCTTTTATCTTCTTGCCCATAATCGTTGCTCTTATTAGGCACTCTGAATAAACGAAACGATAGAGCACAAGGCCCGGCTTATTAATACAAATAATTGTAGCGATGACTCATTTTTCCCATAGTCATATCGAATAAGCTATTATTATGGAAATTACGTTTGGACCACCATGCGTAAAACGCATTGACACAAGTCACCTTTCCTGCCACAAAACCATACATGCACATGGTCAAAAACGTATCATTTCATCTATCATTGTTCAATTAGATAATAGGTAAAATAAAAGTGATACGAGAACACAAAACTGAATTTATCGGCTGAAAAACAACCGAACCACATTTTCTCGCATGAAATGTGTCCCGTCTTTGCGCTGCTCAACAATTCAGGCATCATCTCCGTCCCTATTGAGTTGCATGTATGCGCACAAACTTCAGGGCAACACAGGGCTATCGGAAGAACGATAATTAAACTTTTTTTTTTGGCGTATTTTGTGAGCCGAGTAGATGCAAGAAAACCTATGTCATACGATTACTAATCGGGTTACATGGAACTTAACGGAACACATTACCATGTTTCAAATAATGATTTATCCTTTTTCTTTCTATTATGTATCTATATTGTTTGTGTATAAGCTACTTGTTAGCATATGCTTATACTTTAAACCTATATAAACCAATGTAGAGGCGGACATGAAAACATAGTTATAAGGTTTGCCATGTGAGCTGTATGTGGTATGCCTACTCACAACTCAGAAGCTACATACATGTATACATAAAGTTCAAAAAGTGCCATTTTGCTAGAGCCAAACGCTGTGATTTAAATTAGTTTGGACTTTTAAAACTTCTATGTTGGTCAATCGCAACACGAGGTTGTGTTTACTTGTGTATAGCTTTTTACTGCCGTTCTTTGCTTCAAATGTGTCCAGTCAACGACAGTAACAAGTAAAGAGGTTACTTTTTTCTTTTGGTGACAAAGTGGCGGACTCGAAAACTTTAATGATGAGTGACACGGGGTAGAACACCATGGCGGCAAGTTAATTGTTTACTATGCTCCCAATTCTAAAATATTAAAAACATTTCTCCATTTAAAACACTAATTTCGGATTTATAAGGAACTAAATGAAAGGAAGGAAAAAATGGATATTGCTTCGAGTCATGTAAGCAAGATTCTTGTACATGGTGCTTTTATGTTTATGAAATGTGATACGAAATCAATCACTATGAAGGCACTACTTGTGCTACATTGTAGGCTTCTTATTTTTTAAGAAGAAAACTTTATACAACACTTTACTAGCGCTAACGCGAGTGCATACAATTAGGAAATCTATAAAAAGAAGTTGGAATATAGTTAAACTTGAGAATAAAGTTTTTTTTTTTTTCTGGTTTCACTTTGTACTTTTAAACACATACAAAATGATTGGGGTTATTTAAAAGCATTTTCTTTTATCTGTATGAGTGAGCAAGTGTGTGACAAAAACAGGCAGGAAATCAGAAACAACGTGAGGTTTGACAGCAGGCGTATCTATAAAATGCTAATAACACGGTGAAAAGAGATTTAGATGCTTAATAAATTAATTGATCGTGCAAATGCTCAGTAGACTATTAAAAATTGAAACATTCTCGCTAATAACAAAATAGACAATGAGCAAGAATACCTTTTTTTTCTTTATATATCCACACAGATTTTATTAATAAAAAGTATTTAATAACTAACAAAAATAGTTGACAGTTTCAAGTTTTGATAGGTGTAGAATTTCTATTAATAATTCTGAGAAATGTCGAATTCTAAATTCATTAAATGACTCGAGACAAATCTTCTGTTATTTTGACTTGTAAGCACCTTAGTGGCCTGTGCCCCTCGCATCCGATAGGTACTTTCCTGATTATCTTCTTTCCTATTTCTATTCAACGTGCAACGCTGAAACTTTGGATGGATGAACTCAGACAACTGACGTTTATAACGCATGTATACAAGATAATTGTTTTATATATAATTGCTCTTGTTACACACATAACACGCGATAACTTTTGTTACACAAAAGATTAGTACTCGCAAAAAACGTGCTCCCGAAGGAATACAAAAAAAAAAAGAGACAAAGAAACACTGTGCTTCCAAAAAAAAAAAGTTACATTATTTCAGAAAGAAGGCTTACATACTACAGTACATGTATATAGACATACCAGGTCTTTTCAAATTATAACTTTAATTGTATGCATTGGAAACCCTAATATATGTTTACTAAAGTGCCACGTTTTCACAATAAAAAAAAAACAGCGCAATGAATAGGCTGAAATAATTACTATCCTTATAATCCAAACTGGATTTATAAATTTTACTGTAATTCTCAGGTGCGGGGTAGGTTTTGTCTGTTAAGTTTTGTATTACCTTATTACGAATATGTATATTAACCGACCAATATATTTACATTTGACTCCGACTTTTTTTTATTTTTTTTTTTATTTTGACTTTCGTCGATAAAATCAGATTACCGTTTATCTTTTACCTGATCTTTTTTTTTTTTTTTTTTTTTTTTTTTTGCTTGTCACCGAAACATACTTTTTTTTTTATACTTTCTTGAAAAGTCTTGAGAAGGTAAAAGGAAAAACAAAATAAAAAATAAAATAAATTAAGGCATTCAAATTTGAAATCATTAATGAATTATATTATTATATCTGTGTGTATATGTATGTATACGTCTGTTGTATAAAAATACGCATTTCACATTCAGCTGGCAAGGGCCAATCCATACTGCCTTAATGTCACAATAACATTGTTACAGGTCAGGGGTAGGAGCAGATTGACGTTTTATAAGTTAACTAAACAAGCTTAGGACAACTGCTTTTTCAATCAGGGACAGGAACTAACTCCCTTTTTCTCTCTCCTTCTTTCTTTTCAATCAGTTTTGTTGCTTTGACTCAAAATTCTTTTTCAGTCGTGTCATTTTGTAAAAAAATAGCTTGTGTTACGAAGGTTTTGACTCGTACAAAAACTTTAAAGACAATTATAACCCCGTGATTCTGTTGGAATTTATATAAAAAGGACCTTTGTTTCGTGTGTTTTTTCTTTTCTTTTTACATCTATATATATATTTTTTGTGTGTAATTTTTTTTATATATTTTTTTACTTTTTTTTTACGCCTTATATAATCTATTAATTCCCTTTTTTCCTCCTCCTTTTTTCTTCTTTTAATACTCTAATATACTATGGACATTCGTAATTTACTTAATACACATGACCAACAGCCAGTTGAAACATTGCTCAGCAGCAGCGTTTCATCTTATTCTTCAAGTATGTCTATGGACTCTATATTATCAACATCAACATCTTTATCTATGAACCAAAAACAACACGATAAACCTTATGTGTGCACCTGGGATAATTGCACCAAACGTTTCTCCAGACGCTCTGATCTCTCTAGACACAAAAGAATTCATACAGGAGAACGCCCATATCATTGCGAATGGCCTGGATGTGGAAAACAATTTATTCAACGATCTGCTTTAACTGTTCACTATCGTACTCACACAGGTGAAAGACCACATGTTTGCGAATACGAAGCTTGTGGAAAATCGTTTAGCGATGTAAGCACTCAATCATTTGCCCTTTTCTTCTTTGCTTACTGTTTTCTATAGTCTTCTTCTTTGGCAAGACATCGTCGCACTCATACTGGCAAGCGTCCTTATGTCTGTGATGTCAAGGACTGTGGCAAATCTTTTACTCGTAAAACAACATTGTCTAGACATCAAAGATGCCACGATCCTCAATGGAAAACATTCAAGTAAGCAAATATAATTTGAATCAATTGCATTTATTCTAATCTTCTTTTTAGTCTCTCTAAAATGACATCTCCATACTCACCCACTTCACCTACAACAAGTTGTGACTCTGACGATGCTCCTACAAGTCCCACCTCATCTCTTATGGACTACCGCTCACCACCCTTAGTGGCACCTATCGCATTCCGCCCCTCTGCTCCTCAACCACAATCCCAACAATATTATACCCATCATTACGAACAGAACAAGCCTGCTATGCCTCGATTCCAATCAAGCTACCCCGAAATTGATTATTTACGATTCAATGATAATCAGTCAAAGCCTACATGGAATGATCACAGCTATAGCAGCCCTGCTTATTACCACAGATCAACTCCTTATCCTATCTCCAACTCAACTAGATCAACATATCCTATTATTATCAACTAAGCATATACATATACATCCAAATCGAAAAAAAAAAGTCCAAAAAAAACCAGAAAACCCAAAAAAAAAGAAAAAAAAAAACAAAAACTCATATAAAAAGAAAAAAAAATCAGAAAAAAAACAATACAAAAAAAGAAAAAAAAAGCTTTCCTTACAATCACACACACACACACACACACACACATATATATTGACACACACAAACATATACATATATATCTTATCATATCAACATTTCAACTTAGACGATATTCATATCAACATTCAACATCATTCAGCAAACAAAAATCTACAGAAATTGCGTTTCATGTCTTGAACAAAAAGAATCACCCCCCTTTTACCATCAACCCCCAAGCTACTATTATCTGTATGAGAAGCCAGCCCTAGATTTATTGTATATACATACCTTATGAATTTTCCCCTTTTTTTATATTTCTTTTATATGTCTTTATTATGATTATGTTATAGTAGCTTAGTATAACCCTCATCTCCATTCCTTCACTCTATTGTTTTTATTTTATTTATTTTTTAGGCTTGTCTTGATGACAGTTTACCATATTGACGTTTTTGACATGAATCCGATATCATATTTTTCTTCAATAAAATATTCCATTTAGACTTGTAGTTATTGTTGTGTAATAAATGCATGTCAAGTTTTGTTTACATGTTGAACAGACAGCATGTTGTGGTACATTATTATCTTGAACAATACGATCTAAAGATCTTCTTTTCATTGGCATTCTTGGTGTCTATAAGCCTACTCAGCAAGTAATTCAAAGGAGGTTATTCTGTCAGCGACATGTGTCGGCTGTTGTTTAAAATAGTTTGCTCTTTTTCATTACTTACTCTTCATCTCTTCTTTTGCCCCTGTTAATTTATTTTCAAGAAGCGCAAATTGGCTTTACTTGATTACAGGGTTTCGTCTTTTTTCCCGCCAAATTTCCTTATTGTCAATTGGTGCTTCCATCTAAACAGCTAACACACAGACATCCCTGTTTTCGATAAACAAATCAGAAATTGTGATACCTCGAATATAAATTAATCAATTTATTATTGAGAATACAACACCAAACCACTTACTAAGCTTACAAACTGTTCTTTTATTATTTGTGGTATATAATAAACATTGTCTTTTTTTATCGCATAATTTCCTTTTTCATAAATCATTAAGATAGTAAAATTGCCTAATTACCAAGAGAGAAATGTGTGTACTTATTGCTTTTATGTTTCATGGAATGGATGGGATTCTTGATATTTCTTTAAATAAACATCATAATACGTGTTGTTATTCAATTTCACCCAACCATAAATATCAGGTGTTCCATCTTTAGCATTGATTTGTTCAGGTTCAATCCCTTTAAGGATAGAAGGAGGAGGAAGGCCAAAGAAATTCTGCGAGACTTTGGAAGACTCTTTGCTGGAGGCGTATACCATGTATCTCGAATCCAAGACAGCTTACTATTGATTTGTCTTGGAAGGCTTCGATTAAAATAAGACTCGATATCACATTTTTCTTTGCTTTCTTGAAATATCTTATCAGCAATTTGACTGACTTCCTTTTTCATGGTCAACAAATGTGTTAAAATGTCAGCAAGAGATGACATATCAGCCACATTGGGTCGTATATTAAAGCTCTATCTATGTTGATACATAGAGTCCATTAGCAGCCAAGTGTGTTGTAGACAAAGCACAAGAAGTCCCATTGAATTGCGTGAAATAAGCTGCAAGACAACAATCGGATCCTGAGACATTCTGTATCATACCATCAAGAGCATCTTTGCTTTTTCTTAATAGCTTTTCTTCGTCTTGTATTATTTTGTTATCTTCATCATTCTTGGCACATTCACTGACGACTAGATCAGCCTCATCTCCACCAATATCAACCACAAGTCTTATATTAATCTTGAATCCATGAATATTGCTTGAATTTCTATAGAGATATGCCTTTTCTTTTGTAGTATGCTTATTTTCAGATTCACCAATAATAATCCGAACTTTTTCTTTCGGCGGGAAAAGGAATTCAAGTATAGACGACCATACTGTGCGTAGGTAGTCATTTTCACATAGATTGAGTTGAGTATATTTGACAAGATAATGATTGTAATGGTTCATCAGGTGCATGATATATTTGATAATGGAAAACTGTCCAAACAGAATTTTTTTGTTCTTGTTTTTGTCACGTATTTTTCGAATGTAGTCAATGACGGCATCATAATTTCCTGACAAATTGAGTGTATTCTCTACGGTGGCTATTGTGTCTTTCGTAACAGTTTCCAAAGTATACATCGGTAGCTTCAACTTTTCATCAAAGTAGTCATTAATGAATTTCCATTGCGCTTGGCTAAACAATGACTGCCGAGACGCGAAAAACTGGTCTGACAGGTCAAAGATCGAAAAAAGACCAGCACTCATAATTTTGCGCTGATGGGAGCTAAGTGATTTTGGATTGGCTAGAAACTTTTCATGGATTTTGAGTGTCTCTCTTTTAATTAATATATCCAAACTTAGCATTAAGTCAGGAATAAATATATTATCATTTTCGATCTGTTATATGGACTTGACCGCTTGTTCCTTTTTAGAGACAGTGAGACTTTGTACTTGTGGCCACTTGCCTCTCAACTTTTTAGCAGCTTCTTCTTGTAGAAATGCACCCGTAATCTCGACGTTTATCTTTTGTTGTATTGCAACCTTCTCGATATCAGCATGGGATTCACACCAAAATTTCTTGAGTGCTAATTCATATTTTTTTGATCGCTGTACTTCAGCGCTGCATCCGCTATTCTTTTGTCAATAGTAGGATCGTTTTAGGTTAGCTTCACAAAATAGTCTATAGGATTCCAACGGGTTATTTAATTTGTTATCCAGTGCTTTATGTAAAGTAAGTAAGAGTGGTTACGAGACTTAACAAGCTTTTTTGTCTGAGCAATTCAAAGTATCCTTCAAAAAACTCCAAGTATCGTTGCTTTCTATCATTTTAGGTGGAGAAAACAAGACATTTATGCAAATTATGTTTAATATCATCTTTTTCAATTCTGTTGTGACCGTTCTTTTCTTTTTACCCATTTACGCGGAAAAGCGTTTCAAGCTATGACCAGCGCCAGTATCTTCACTACCGAAAAATACATATCTGCTTGCGGGTAACGACAGATAGAGCCAGTGGTTTTGGCTTATATCTATTTGAGGGTGTTCGCTCGTTTATACCTTCCAGAAATGAGAGGCAAGCTTGAAGTGAATAGTTACAAACCGATTGCTGTATTGTATAAAATTCCTATACCAAAACCTGTGGTCAAGCTCCAAGATCTCAATATACATATCAAGCTCTAGTATATTGAATAAATAACTATCTTTATATTCATTCCACCCCCACATGAGTTTGAAATAAACACAATTGTTTAATGAGTAGGTCTCCTTGATACCCTTCAAAGAAAATTAATATCCTCAACGATCTTAACCGTAAGTTCAAACTCTAATTATATGGGTTTTGTATGGCGCCTTTACAAGCTATTGAGAGATTTACATCTACGCTTTATTGAACTGTTGCTCATAAGCCATTATCATGAGATTTTTTTTGAAGCTATTTTCAATGGATTCACTTGTCTTAAACTATTTGTTCTTAGGAAAAATTTCCAGCAAGCTTCATGAGTAATAACAGCGTGTAGTGAGCATCATTACCTATTCATGAATAATTAGTAACAGTAAATAGGTCAATATATATGCCCTATAATTACCAGCATTATGAAGATTCCATGTATCAACACCAAGTATATTAAGTGTACCACCCAATGAAGGAGGGTTATGAAGATCATTGATAGAAGCAGCATAAATATTGTCTGTATTCAAAATGATTTTACAGGCAGACTTGTTTACTTCTAATGTCTCACCTCCATATCCGTCTGGCCAATGGAACTTTTGCTGAGCCAAGTATTTTAGATCACTATCAAGACCATGTCCTACAAGAATAAATTCTCCATCACGCTCAACAGCCCAATCCAAATCCTTTCTCAGTTCAACCAGTGCTTGGTCCAAGCTACACCAGACAGAAATACCAAAATTGAAATGTTCTTTCTGATCATCAACAAATCGGCTATTCTTCAAATGACGATATTGATCATTTATGTAGTGTTGATCCATAAAGAGACCTGTTTTGGAGTCGTACATGGACCAACCTATCTCTAGTAAAATTGAATGTTGTAATTCATACGCTTCAATATCAATGCTAACAAATATATTTGTCTTGCTCGCTAGTAGCTCTTTTGCTTGAGATGCTTCTCTTTTTGCTGCTTGCAATCTTTCCATTTGTCTATTCTTGGTTTTGACTTTTTGATAATATCGAGAGAAAACTTTGGACGTATTAGCTTCAAATCGTTCTACAATTTCGTATTCATTTTGTGCTAGCAGTTTCGAATCAAAAGGCGGTATGTTTGGAATACTTTGTTCTATAAACATCAAGAGCTGCTCATAAATGTGTGTGGGCAGTATGATTTCATATCGACCGTTTCTTTTTGAGATTCCTATATATTAAAGAACACGTTCATTTCTAATTCGGACATCATGTATATATACTAGCCTATGCAAAGAGGGATGCCGTTTGTAACAGCTTCAGGTGAAAAAAAGCGTACAGAATCATAAAAGAGATCAAACAACTTCCTGGTCTGTTTATCATATGAGTAGTAGTAATTTTTTAACGCCTCATATAATTCAGTCCACTCAACGCCCCTACCATTCCCTTTGCTGCTCATAACGCGTTCTTTTGTTATGGTTTAAATTGTTAAAAAAGACAGGAGCTTGTTTTAGTTTCATTGAATCTCAGCTGATAGTGTCCAATTGTCAGTTGGGGACCACTTGGCTGCAAGTCTCCAAATAAATAGTTTGCATATTACAAATAAAGTGTTTATTTGAATGGTGAATGTTTTACTATTCAAAAGCTCAAAACTCATTCTACTGGATCTAAAATAAAAACAATGATATGTTGTATTTCTTAAAACTCAGGGGCAGTTTGACTCAAACCAGATATCTGGGGTTATTTTCTCATTATCCTTTGCTTCGAAGCAATATACAAGCATCTAACAGAAACTAGAATTTTTCAAGATGTTTATTTTTGAACAATGACTATCGTTGAAGAATATTGCTATCAACATGTGTGTTTTGGAAAATCTTCTGGGCCATGTAATTGTGCAGCTGAAGAAAACTCGCTCAAAAAAGATATCAATTATACTTTGAAGTCGCTTAAAGGCCTTGCATAAGAGTCTATTACTCGAGTAGTTTTATCGAAAACCTTCGAAAGATTCTTTGGCATATCTTGTCGACTTCTGAAGAGGAATGCAGGCTGTACAAGCCATTTAATGTCAGGAGGCTTCCTATTTCCAGTTTTTGTATTGTCGAGTTAATATTGGCTCAAATAATGATAAATGCCGGATAAAGCATAGTTGATATGGGCCCTGAATCTGCCATGCGAATGACACTAGTAACTTTTGAGTAAGAGGTAAAACTGAAATTTCGATAAATCTCAGAAGTGTTGTTGATCAAATAGCATATTTTGTGTAGCAAAGTATAGGCCGATCAAGAAAGGCACATAATCCAAATGCTCCAAACCAAGCGACACATCCTTCATCAAGTCAAAGATAATCCTACGATTTCATGATGACCGAGTTGCCAAACCGTCAAAACGTTTCCCGTTTATGAATACAGGCAAAATTGTTCTCGTGTTACGAAAGTTTAATTGATTAGATTGTTACAAGCCTTAACCTTACTGCTGTTGTACGATAAGTAGCCAGACTCCAGTTTTTCAGATAGACGATACTTTTGCATAATACTCTAGTGTCTTTATAGCATGTTTGCCTTGGAGCTCAAGTTCAAGTAAAACATGTAAATTTTCCATTAAACTTTCCTTGTTGTATAATACTCGATAAACTTAAAAAGGCCTTATTACAAAAGCCAAGACATATGTACTCAATTTTGGACTGTCTTGCGATCAGCAGACCATTTACTTAGGAGCATCCGAAATGCCGTACGATTTGACAAAAACGTCAGATTTGAGGACACATTTACTGTGCGACATCAAAGATAGCTTTAATTAAGAGCTATATGAATCCTTTCTTATTTAGAATTTACTTCATATCAGTACGAAAAGGCCCTTCTATGTAGCTTCAAACTGCAATCTATTCGACACGTCATTGTTTATAATCGAAAAAGCTTGTCTTGTGTCACCATTCGTGTTTCTAGAGGACAATCTATAAAAGCCACTGATCTGATTATTCAGAATTCCTTAAAACTCAATTTCTAATTTAATTAAGGAACCCTTTTGGAACTTACTCTCAAATTTAGCTTGGCTTTTCATATTGAGTGTGAATAGTTTCTTATAAGATCAACACATCGTTTTTACCTATTGTCTTTGAGTCACATTAATCATTACTTGTGCATTGAATATCATGATTACACTTAAAGATTTCTAGAATATCAATAGATGTGTGAGAACTTTGTGCTACAATATTCAAATTGAATTGTTCTATTAAACAGGAAATCTGTCATGTTGAAAGTAAAATCTGTTTCTCAAAAAATTAATTTTGCTCAAAATTTTCTTTTGACCAAGATGGATAGCCAGCGTAATAGTAACAATAAACAACGTGCCCTGATTGATTTTTCTTTATTTGACTTGTCTCCTCGTGTGCATTTGCTTTTTCTTCTTTACTTCTTTACTTCTCAATTTGAGAAAAAGAGGATCCTAAAAAAATTTCAATCATGAATGCTAAATAACGGTTGCTCTTTTCTGTGTTAACGTATGTAGTCCATAATATTTTTATTTATTGCCTCTTTGGTTAAGTCAATTCGAAAAAAAAAAGTGACTAAAGTAGGTATTTGAGGCGCAGCTTTCTCCACTTTAAATAGAGTCTTGTGCTTTTGCATTTTATTCTTCTTTTTTTCCCCTTAATATAATTATGCATTTCTTAGGAGAAGCATGGTATAGAAGAGTATATATCTTTTGTTAAACAACATTTGTATTCATCTGTTACTTAGCCACTTGAGCCAAAAGCACTTGCGTATAGCAGAGGTGGAACTGCTATTACAATGACTATGGTATTTCTGGCATTCTGTGGTTATTTGATAAATCAAGCAAGTAGAATTTTCTAAAAAAAAAAACCAGCAGACTGAGACTTTCAAAAATAGATCTTCACCGACAAGCCATTGATTCAAAACTCATTAGAAGAGATCATGACTGATACAGTGACACCAGATGTTGAACTATGTGTACAAAATTCAACGATGCATGTCGTAAAATGTACGGCAATGTACTATAACTGGACTACAATGGATATTCCAGACTGCTGGACGCGATTCTTTCGTCCGGGATACAAAAATGATGACACATCAAAATGTTGGTACTTTTCAACAAACAACACTTACCGTATGGCTACAGGCCTTACTTATGACAACAGAGATGCTTTGAGACGATTTGATTTTTATTGGAACATTGATAGTTTGGCCAATTTAAGTCATTCTACTATTTCGGTACCCGCAATAGCTGTACAACTTTATGATCCACGTTTTAGCACATGGAATCTAAGCACAATGGGTGACACGACATATGAAGTAAGAATATATGCTTTTGAAATGAAGTTTGGAGCCTAAAGACATTGCATGATAGAAAGAGACTTCTGCCAACATACAATTAGGCCAATCAAGAGCAACTACTTATATTAACCATACTTCAGCTATCTTTTATTACCAACAAAAGTATCGTGCCATCAAACCAAAAGATGCTAGCGCCATTATAGGGCTGGTAAGGAAATAAATTCACATGTGCTGTTCTTGTTTCACACTAACTTGTAATATATCAAGACACCTAAATATACTGATGTGATGACGCTTGTTAACTTTCAGCATAATTGGCCTCTTCAGACCAACCCTCCTCCTCCCGCATTAAATCGAAGTGTAAGTTTTAGATACTAGAAAAACAGAATTAACAAGTAATGTTAGCTCTATCAAGGCATATTCTCAGTTCAACTAGCAAGAAGCACTATTGAGGTTCAGGTATGCATGGTCTCCTGCTTTCTTGTTTATCTCATATGGATTGTGATAGGCTGAAATACGACAACACACAATACTTGCTGCTGTCGCCTTGGCAGGTGGTTGTTATGGTGTATTAACATCTCTCTATATTATGCTCTTTGGTATGTCCCGATTGACACCATGGGGTTTAGCACATCATATACCTGCCTATGTGAGCCGAAAGAAGCACCATGTTGATGATGATTTGTATATAGATGAACGCAACATTCATTATCATAATAACAGTAGCAAAACAGCATGTCCTAGAGAAGAGCAACTTGAAGATGGAAACCAAAAGAGCCAAGTAAACCGAAAAGACTCCACAATTCTTGTGCCATGGTTCTTCCGTGCATCACTCAACGGAAACAAAACATTTACTGCAAAGAACAATGATGATTCGTTCATAAGAAAAATGGTCGATCATCAAAAGGATGAAGGCTATAAAGAGGATGCACATCAACTCAATGAGCTAGTGCAGACCACAAAGATTGACAGTAAAGTACCACTATCTTCACCTGAGTTATACTTGTTAGACTCAAATGATAAGGCAGACATCTCAAGTCATCCAAGTTTAATGGAAAACACAAACATGTCACCGCGAACGCTTTTGGGTCATACAGAATCAGATCATTTAGGCTCTTCCTCTTATGTCAACGATTTTAATATTACATTCTCTCCTGCAGCTACCGACGCTGATAAACAAGAAGCACTGATGCAAATATTACGTCGAGAACAAGAACGATCTGACAGTCTAACAACCCGTGTAGAGGAACTTGAAATCATTTTGAGCGAATACTTTATCAACACTTACTATTTGGACCAGATACGTAATCGAAAGCATCTGAAAGCTATAACTCGTACTAGTGTTGAAGAAGATAGTCTTAGTCGTATGAAGTCTCGACATTAACCAATACTCATATCCTATATATTAAGTTTGTGCTATACCTTATAAATAATCCTTTAATACATTTAAAACAAACAATTTATTGTCTACTCAAACACACAAGTACCATATAATATCACTAAATTCAATTAACAAAAAGACTGGGTGTATTTTTTGTCTTTCTGTTCTATATCATTCAAGCCTGAAATTTGTCAGTCGAGTTCGAATATAATCAAATTACTCAACAAAATATTTGATATTCTAACGCTACTATCGCATATAAAAGAATAATTAGAGCACCTTCTTTTTCAGTTCTATAGTGTTGTGAGGTAGAAAATATGATTCGTTTTGATAAACACTCCCGCCTGCATCGTGCTGCCAATCTGTTGGTGGTACTGTTATGCTCATCAATTGTTTGCCAGATTCATTCAAAAATGAATTACAAGAAAGGTCATTTTATGAATCAAGATTGTATAATAAGTCTAGTACTCAAAAAAGGCACGAATTGAGAATTAGAAGCACACCGAGTATATTAATTTTGCTTATGCCAAACGAAATCAAAAGCTATTTGGTAGTTGCGATGTATACGTGGCTTTTCTTGAGAGGTACTTTGAACATAACAGAATAAAACGCTAGTTGCCAGCCAGATGAACCAAAAAAAATAGGTTGCAAGCAATAAAGATCATACTGTTTTACTAGTAAAAGCAGTAATTTATGCTTATTTTTGAACGAATTGAACTAGTATTAATCTGTTGAATATGGTTTTAGTATCAGTGATTATCAAGAAATATGCTTAAACTATTAAAATGTCTTGTTAATTTTTGACCCATTATGCCTTACGATGACATGTGAATTTTGTACACAACAGCAACTTTTGTTTGGTAGTGTACGGCAAGAAATATTTCTTTTGGAAATGTGAACGTCGCTTGCAAGTATGGTCCTTTAAGTAAATTGTTTTGTTTTTGAAAAAAATCTTAGTTCTGACCTTCTCTTCCTATTATTGCTTACGTGATCTACACTACAAATAAATAATTAAGTCTGAACTTTTAGATATATTGTTCCTTTTTGTCCTTTACTTATTACGATCTCTTCTCGAATATTTTTATCGTAAACTATTACTCTTTGGTTGAGCTCAAGTAAAATTGTCTGTTTCATTAATATCACTGCTAAGGACATCACTGGTTTTTCGAGACTCTTCCAAATATGTCTCAGACTTGAATTGATCTGATTTAATTGAACAATGTATGTAAGCAGAAAAAACAAACTTGACAATGATTATTATGCTTATTCTTTGTTAGGAAAAGCTGCTAAGCCAACACGATCTCTAGCTGAGCGTCAGTAATGATTTATTGCTAAACAAATATTGCTTTTTGTTGCTTCATCTGATATGCAATCTGTCGTAACAATGACTTGTTTTTTTTGAGGAGCGTTAACGTTGTTTGACTCTCACAATGCGGTGTTCTAACTTATTGTCACCTTAATTTGCTCATGATACACAAGAGTGAAGCTATTTAATATGATCGTTCACAATACAAGTCTTAGAGTATGCCGAGGATTTACTGGGTAACTTGCCGCATGGAGGCGGCCTTTATTTCGTAATAACAAGCTTGCATTGTGTGAATATTAACCAATGTTGTACAGCACTTGTATATTATCCAGACCTCAACAAAAAAAAAAGATCAACCTTTATTTTTTTATCCTTCTTCTCTCTCTTCTATCTTTTTTTTTTACTCTTTGTCTTACTTTTCTTATTTTGTGTAGATTGAAATATTATATGCATTTTTAGTATATATAGATCTACTTTAAAGACAAATAGGCCCGTATTACAACCAAAAAAAGGGTATCATGAACATAAATAATGAAGCAGTTCCTCCCTCCAAACGATCATCGCTATCATCACGTGCTAGCAAAATCCCGCAAAGGTTAGCACAGTCAACCTTCTTCTCTTTGAAACCAACAACTAGCACTTTGATTAACAGTACAACAAGCGCTGCGCCAATTCATCATGATCGTATTTCAACGCGAATAAGCCAAATGCTGTTTAGGCAGCGCACCACAAGCGAAACTATCATTAAAAATTTTACACAAAATGCAGATATGTCAACTTATTCTTTGTCGCTAGGAAGAGAATCAAACAATCAGCCTTCTCGAAGCTTAGATATCCACCCACAAAAGGTAAAAACAGTGCGTTGCACAAACAATAAAACTTAGCATGACTTTTTATTATTCAGGAACAACAAATAAGAAGCAACAACAAGCATTTGTCTATCTTGCCTAACAAGACCGATAATCAAAATGGTCTTACAACACACACTCCTTACTCGATATCCTCTCCTGAGAGAACTGGCTTTCTTTCGTATTATTATCCTAAAGACGAATTAAACACGAATACCCTTTCTTTTACAGACTCGTCCATTTCCTCACTGGCTGAATCGATGCTCAATGTTCATATTACTCCACCTTCTTCACCTATGAAATCGATTGATGCAAAAACTCCTAATTCTGAGGTACCTGTGGCAACAACAATCAAAGACTATGCAGCGAGTGTAATTGATCGCTGCTTCTGCTTGTTGGATTTATTTAACTCGTCAGAGCATGAATTTACTTTTGCTCACCTTCGTGAACTAGAGACAATTGGAATTGAACGTCTTGGAATTTTAATTGAGGCATGCGATGAATCGTTTTGTGCAGAGAAAGTAGCAAAGCTTCGATATCAACTTAAAAAAGTTCAGGCTATGATTCAGAACAACACTTATCATCCCGTCTCAAATGCTGACCTGAAGAATCAAGCTTCTTTTGTTAAATTGCTGGTAAGTCATTGAATTTATATGGTCTCTTTTAATAAGAGGAAACTTTAGGTCATTGATATTCAGCACATTTGCCAAGAATGTTTTTTGTTATCTAAAGAATCACCATCGTTAAGCTGTGCTGATATAGATGGCTTCAAAAAAGAAACACCTAAAATTGATTGGACTCGGTTATCTAGCGAAGACTACAAAAAAGCAAAACCCGACCAGATTAACATGAATGCAACTTGGTTTCGACATTATTTTGTTGGAAAGCCATATTATACATTTATTGGTCCACTAAACGAACCCTCTGGCGATTCAGGTATAGCAATAGAAGACAAAAAAAAGTTACAACCTTTACCCAAGAGGCGAAACAGTAAATCTTTGATCAACACATTTTTAAGCAGCAGTCATGATTTATCTGATGCTTACGCAAATAGCCAAGACCTGAATCGCTTTAACGGTATCATCTCGGTCATTCAAGAGCGCACTAAGAGTAGTAATATATCTAAAAACAGCAATTCTGCTGGTCCTTTTGTTGAATCACAATATCGCGTTATCATTCGGAGTAAAGAGGTAAAGAAGCAACTTTTTTTTTGCTTTTTATCCTGACTGATTTGTTTATCTCAGGCAGATCTAGCAAGACATATTGTGAATGAAAGTACAGCAAAAGAAACATTACACCAACTGGAATTGAGGGGCGAAAGCTATAGAATAGACAAAGCACAAACCAGTAACGACAAGAGACTCCGTTCCTTTATGAATAAGAATATCCATGCAAATGAAAATATTAGTTCTCGAATGTTACGTGCTGCTGTTTTGTCAGTTTGCCCAAATATAGACCTAAGGTTATTTAAGGAACTGTCGGCTGAATCTACTATTATGGCAGGACTTGAGAAGGACTTGTTAAAATATGACGAAATTCAGGTATATAAAATGTTATTCTCCTTAAGAAACAGGGGCTGAAGTCTATAGATTCCGAAACATTACAAGTTTGGTGTATTGACAATCAAGGATAATCAGCCATATGAAGAAGCATGGTTTTCTAATACAGAGGTATCAACTAATTTGAAGGATTTTTTAAACATCATTGGGCAAAAAATCGAACTCAAGGGCTATACTGGATATGGTGCTGGACTTGATAGAAAAAGTAAGTAGTTTGGTATACTACAAAAAATTGACGTTTGTATAAATCAAAAACTCAGCTGGTGAATCTGGTAAATATTCATTTGTATCAAAATGGAATGAATTCGACATCATGTTCCATGTCGCTCCATTGATGCCCATACAGAAGAACGATCGGCAGCAAGTAATGCGAAAGAGATACATCGGCAACGGTAAATAAGCTAGTGGAGTTGATAAGATAAATTAAGTTGAGTCTTTTAGATATTGTTTGCATCATATTTCTTGAAGGGAATCAATTGTTTGATCCCAAGGCTATACGCTCACAGTTTCTCCATGTATATATCGTTGTTCGCCCAGAAAAAGTGGATGGAAAAAGACATTGGAGGCGAGTATAATAGGGTTTATTCATGAGTATTGACAGGTTCTTTTTTTTAGAATTGAAGTCTTGAGAAACAGCAATGTCAATGACTTTGGCCCAGCTTTGCCTAGTCCACCCATATTTCATGATTATGATACCCTAAAAGAATTCTTGACATTAAAACGTAAGTTGAAAACCGAGTTTATCAAGAAATCTCATTTTTTCCCTGTCAGTGATCAATGCCGAAAATGCATCTCTCAAGTCTAACAAATTCCGAATACCAAATAATAAAGCTAGAGTAGGACTTTTATCAACCCATATTCAAACTGGATTAGCATTTCATCAGCCTCAAGTCCTAAGATCAGCAAGCACAAATCGCCTTGTTCCAAGCAAATCCTCTTCGATACCAAAAGAACTGAAAAAGGCGCAAAGACCTCGGTCCGTAAATGATAAAGTAACTTCAAGGGGTGTTCTAAACAGTGGAACATCTCGCTTGTTACAAGAGGCTATTTTGGATGAGGAAAAGAGAAAAAGAACAACTATTGGAAGCACAGAAATACCACCTATGCCGTCTATTTCTCGATCTACATTATTGCAGGATTTCAAAAAGGGCATTGTCTCGAGCTCAAAGAAATTAAAAGAAGCAGCTACTGGTAGCGAAAAACAATTGATTCGAAAGTCAAGTCAGCTCAAAGTCAGCAGTAAACCAGTTACAAGTCATTCACTTGATATTGTTGATGAAAATAGTGCTGAAACTAACAAGGGTAATATATTAGTAATAGATCAAGAAAGATTGATGCTTATCATGGATGATTAGACACTATGTTTGTAGGAAAAGACATTAATGTTTCTACTGAAAGTTTTATTTCTCCAGAGCAATTTTTTTCAATTACATCAAACATCAAAGAGAAGAGCAATGCCAGACTCAAAAGAAGCGTGTCATCTCGTCCTAGAAGACTATTAACAAGTGCATCAACCAAGCGAACAACGGTTGCTAATAGTACAATCATGTCATGGCGCTAATCCCTTTTGACTGGTTCAAAAAGGACTTGCGGATCTTTAAATAAAAGAAAGTACTGGCAATTTCCAAGTGTGTCAATTAAAAAGACGGACACCCCTTTAATTGATCTTTTTTTTCTTTTAAAACTTTTTTTTCTCTATTTAAAAAAATCTATTATGGTCAAGTGTACACATAAGGGTTGTGGAAAAGAATTCAATGAGCAAGAAAACACAGATAATGGTATCGAGCATTTTTAAGTTTTCTGTATTTTTAACTTGTAATTTTTTAGCCTGTCAATACCATGCTGGTGCTCCTGTTTTCCACGAAGGTAATAAAGAAAAAGATTATGGCTACCAGTTGGCTGATATTTGATATTCTTAGGTTTAAAGGGCTGGTCTTGTTGTAAAAAGAGAGTTTCCGATTTTGATGAGTTCCTTTCTCTTCCTGGTTGTACTTTTGGTCGTCACTCTACAGAACCTGTTGAACAACCTGCTAATGCTGCTACTGACAAGGAAGCACCCAAGCAACAAGCTCAGGCTGCTCATGTCACTGAGGATGGTGTAGAAGTATACGGTAAGAAGTCCGAAGCAACAGCAGCTCCTGTTGCAGTGGAACCCAAGAAGGAAGCAGAGGAAAAAGTAGTGGAAGTTGAAGAAGAGGATGATGAGTCTGTTCCTGTGCCTGAAGGTACAACATGTAAGAGACGCGGCTGTGGACGTGTTTGGAAAGACAATGCTACTTCTCGCGGACCTGGTGCTGAAGCAGTTTGTCGCTACCATCCAGGCGCTCCTATTTTCCATGAAGGATCAAAGGGTTGGAGTTGTTGTCCACGCAAAGTGTTGGATTTCGATGAATTCCTTAAAATTCCTGGTTGTAAAGAAGGAAAACACTTGTTTATTGGCTCTAATAGCCAGGTATGAAACTATTTTGTACACACACACACAGAAATGTTTACATCTTTTTTTTTTTCTCTAGACTGAAGAACTAATTGATTGTCGTACTGACTGGTACCAAACACAATCCAATGTCATTTTAAGCATTTTCGCAAAGAATAAGGAAGATACCAAGGTTGATTTTACTGAACAATCTATTGAAGTTGATGTTAAAATGAAGGGTAACAAGCGCTACAAAAAGACTTTCCCTCTTTTTGCCGTAAGTAGCTCAATTGTTAATATAAGACGACTAATTTTTTAAATAGACAATTGATGCCTCCACTTCTAAATTTACAGTGCTTTCAACAAAGCTTGAAATTAATTTAAAAAAGACAAGCGGCATTTCTTGGGCATCTTTAGAGCCTAATGACGATGTCAAGACCTGGACTACTTTTGGTGTTACTGGAGGAGGAGGAACTGTTGGTGGTACTGAAATGTTTTATAATGCTGATTCTCCTTTGCATCACATTAACAAGAAATAAATCATACTGTAGAATCCATTTTTGTTTAACTTTTTTTATAGTAATAGATGAGTTTTCCTCCAACAATAGCAACAATACATATATATATATATATATATATATTTGTGACAAATGCATGTATTTTATTGCTTCGTCTATTGTGATTTTGGTTTTTGTTGGTATCTGAATATCTTAGAGAAAAGTAAAGAAAGAAAAGCTATAAAAAATAAGCGGGTGCATAACAAGTCAATCATCATTGTCCCTACATGTCACACATAGTCCAGATAATGTAGCTAATTCAGCATAATAAGCATGAGACCAACACGCATAATAAAGACGTTTTAAGAAGAGCTTATCATGAAAATAGAATGGCACATAGCTAATTAATTTTTTGGCCATTCTTCGAGACAGTGGACGGTTTTCTTGCAAGCAAACCAAACTGGCTGGACCTTTGTAGAGATGCACATCATTTGGATGGAAACCTACAGTGATATGGAAGTTCGTAAAACCAAGTCCCAATTTCCTGCGCAATTCCTGCCCAAAAGGCCAATGAATCACTCTGAAATAGCTAACAGCAGAACCATCCCGGCAAATGCCTAAACCGAGATCAACTGGTTTTTCCCAACAAGTAGTTAGTCCACACTGATCCAAGACTTGTTGGTGTTTTCTGTATAAAGTTTTTCGTTGTGTCTTTTTCTTGTTATTGCTACTAGCGTCTTTCTCTTGTTCTTGATCAAGAGAAAGTGTCGCGATCTCCAAGTGGTTTACCACTGTAATATGATAACCGTCTTTCTCACCGTCTCGTCTTAAACGGTTCTCTACATGTTTCTTTGTAACCAAGTTCTCAGGCTGAGAACCTAATTCATCTATATATGTTCCTTTTAACGATAGATAACGAGCAACAGGTAAAAAAGTGAGTTCAGGTTGTTCTGACATGATAAAAAGAAATATTTTTTTTTCTTTTGGCAAAATTTTTATTTATTCACGCCATGCAATATGTACTTCGTCTGTTCTAAAGCGCTGAGTAATAGTACTTTCCTCGAAAGGTGTTGTAAAACCAGTTCTATATGCGAGTAAACCAGCATGAGCAATCATAATACCATTATCAATACAGAAACGATCATCTGTCGCACAAACTGTGCCATTTCTCTGTGCAGCCATTTGGCCCATCATTTCCTGTAAGCGAATATTACAGCCTACACCACCAACAAGCAACACTTGGTTTGATTCTACATGTGCCATAGCACGCTCTGTAATTTCAACCAACATAGCAAACAGTGTTTCTTGCAACGAAAAGCATAAATCTTCTGGTGTGATTTCACCCTTGGGCAATTCTACTTTGGCGAGCTTTTCAATGTGAGACAAGATGCCAGAAAATGATACATCCATGCCCTTGACAGCGTAAGGCAATTGAATGAATTTTTTGCCTCTTTTTGCGTACTGCTCAATATTATAGCCTGGGCTTGGTGCATTGGACAAGTTGAGAATACGTGCAAATCGATCAAGACAGTTGCCAATAGCAATATCAAGTGTTTCTCCAAAAATACGGTAGCGTTGCTGGGAATAAGCAATCACTTGTGTGTTTCCTCCACTAACATATAACACAACTGGATTATCTGCCTTTGTTACCTCTCTACCCATTTCAATATGTCCAACGCAATGATTTACTCCAACAAGGGGCTTATTCCATAACAACGATAGGGTGCGCGCAACAAGTGCAACGGACACAAGTGGTGCTCCCATACCAGGACCTTTTAAATAATACATTATTGAATATACTGTTTTAACAGAGACGTACCTTTTGTGTAGCAAATCACATCAATATCATTGGGTGTTAGGTTGGCTTCTTTAAGCGCTTGTTTTGTTACGTCCAAAATACAGTCTCGGTGGTGTTGAGCTGTGTCTCGAGGCAAAAATCCTTGGCCTGGTGGTGTAATATATGTATCTCTATTATTTGCTAAAATGGTCACCTCGTCATTTTTATGGCGTATAATGCCTACACCAAGCTTATTTGCGGACCCTTCGAAACCAATAGCAACCACCATATTTACAGAACAAAAGAAAGAAAAGAGAGAAAAAAGATGAAAACACGATAGTAACTAGAAGTCACACTACACAATTTCGAAAATGAAAGATGTTTATTGAATCAAATAAAAGAAAATGTGTATATATTACAGTAAACAATTGCTTTATTGCAAGATCTTGGCAAGGATTTCAGAGTCACGGAACAAGAGGTATTCCTACATAATCATCAGACATCCCATCAATATCTTAAGTGTTACTTACTTCGCCTTGAACTTTGACAGGGCTACCACCGAAAGAAGGAAGGATAACCTTGTCACCAGTGTTGACTTGGAGAGGAATATGTTGACCTTCCTTGTTAAGTGCACCCTTGCCAACAGCAACAACAATACCTTCGTTCAAAGCTTCTTGGGCCTTTTCGGGGATGAAAATACCAGAGGCAGTTTTCTGTCATAAAATGTTTAATAAACGATCATTTCACTAGGCTACTTTACTTGTTGAGGCTTGATACGTTGAACCAAGACACGATCAAGAAGAGGAACAAAGTTCTTGAGGGCAGACTAATACATAGAGTTAGACAGTTGCCATTACATTGATGCTTTATTTTACCATTTGAGACAAAGAAGAAAGAAAGAATAAAATAATGACCCTAGCTTTCAAAAAATGCAAGAGCTTTCACAGGAGGATCAACCTTAACAGCAGTCACTAATAGAATCGAGTGGAAAATCTGAAATAGATTCTCAGACACTTTCTGATCTTCTTGACCCCTATACTAGTTATCAATTCTTTTGCCTGAAGCTTTTATCATAAGCGGCATGATTTTGACATGGTTCAATTAAGAATTACAAGAGTATGTTTATTATGACAATTGCATGATAATTTAGACAAACTATCTGTTGTTGTTTTTTTTTCTAAATGGACTCAAAATAAGAGAGGATAAAGAAAAGTGAATCTAATTAAAAAGAAAGAAAGAGAGAAAGAGAGAGGAAGGCTTTTGTAGAATTTTATTCATGCTTGTTTTAGCCTAAGAAGAAAATTGTGAAAAAATTACAGATAAAAGGTATTGTTTGTATTCATAATAGGTGGAATATGGATATCCTGCCCTTGCTGCTCCTTTTCTTGGTGTTGTTGCTGTTGATAGTGTATTCTATTTGGACTGTTTACTTCTTTTTCTGGATACAATGGTGCTTGCATTGGTGTAGACGAAGATGGGTATTGTCTAAATATCTGTTGTGGTAATGGCGTATTCGGCGTAGATTGAGTGGGCGTAGGTGGTAATGTGATATGATGCGGATAGATTTGTTGAACATCTAACGACATATGGTGATCATATATAGGTGACAGCATACTCTGGCTGACACTGCTGCTCTCGTTATTCTTGTTGCTGTACTGATTGTCTGGTTCAATCATAGGCGGTATCCTAAAATTTTGTCTTGATAATAGCTCAGGAGAAATCTCTAAATTAGCCAATTCGGGTACAACCGAGGGAGTGTGAAGCTGATATTGCAAAACATCATCAGGGTTATAATAAGAAATCAGATGAAGCGGTGATCCATAAACAACCAACGATATTGTTTTTTTAATCAGCCCATTCTCCTTGAAATGATATAATTCAGATAAGCTGCCCACAAGTTGACGCTCTCGTGTACGTTGGAAACTGGATTGATCAAAACTTGAACACGTTCTTGTAGGGCTAGTAGGATCAGATGTTGTGAAACGTTTCCGTATATTCTGCTTTGAACTGGATTTCTTGTTGAGCTCACGATAAATTAGAAAATTGCCCATAATACGCGAAGGGCTCCACACTAAACCATCTGTCCACCTCTTGATGCCTTTATGTTTTTTGTTTATTTGACTGTACGGCTATACTATTCACTTACCAGAATCTTTTTCATCAAATACAAAAACGGAGCCTGAACGAACAAGTTGTCTTTCTCTTTCCTGCAATCTTCTTGATATTTTAGGTAGAATATTTCGTCTGCATGCTTCAAAAATCAAAAGTGAGTCTTGTGTTGTTTCTATATAACCGTGAAATGTCTCTACAACAGACATAGTAAAGCCAGTGTGAGAGTAAAAAACAAAAGCAGAAGAAAAAGAAATGTTTACATGAAAACTTACAGCTATTTAAGACCAGTTATTCTGCTCTGACAAGATCCGTATTGCGTTGTGTAGCACACACATTGTTTACATGCATTTTTAACCCGACCCCTTGTTTTGTGTCACACTTAACCAGAGATTATCAGTAGTGCATGATATCTACGTTGGCTTAGGTTGGGAGACAGCGAATAAACAGTGCTAGCATTTTGCCACTTTCTCTAAATAGATTGTTATGTTCTTAGAATCGCTTGATAGGAAAATAGATACCGCCTTTGCATATTTCTTCTAACAGCTATCACTTTCTCTAAGCATAATATTAAAAAAAGACTCCAGTATAATAGTACTTTAAAAAAAATAGGATGAGAAAAGTAGACCTGTTATGCTCGCTTCCTTTTGTCGCTATTGACATTTGTTGAGTCTGTTGATTTTTCTTTCTATTTTTGGAATCTCGAATATTACCTTGTTTGACCTCAACTTCGAAAATAGCAAAGCATTTTTTTCTTCAAAAAAAGTAAGTTTTCGAACCAAAAGAAGTCAAGTAATCAAAATTTGCCTAAAGCTAGAGGTCTTTATATGAAGTTTCTACGATGGTACAACTAGCTTTTTGAACAGGAAGCCTAAAATACCTTGTTCGTGCATATTTTGTATTGAGGAGCATGTCATCCTATGACAGTTTATACCTCCTTTCCACCAATTAAAGTGAACAATGAGCTTTAAATGCAAATTTGAAAGCACTATTCAAATTGACTCGACATTTTCATCTTAAACATAGCCTTGCCTGATTTCGGCTGGATTAGACCGACATTGGGTCATTCGAGAAATTTTGAATGAACTATTTTCATGAAACTCTCATGGATCCCCCATGAGTCAAAAAAAAATAAATTTCACCCAATAGCCAAAACAATGGTACCATTCGATTCCTGGACTCAAAAGAACATCTTTTAAACAAAACAAAAAAAAGCCTTGTTGATAACGTAGTTGTCGAGCAATGAAACATCAAAGAATGACTTGACTTTACGCCTTTCAATGGGGTTTATCTTTATCTATTTTGGACTGAAATAAGCTATCGGTATTCAAGAAGTGTATAATCTACTTCTAAATATACCTTGAGAATGATGGAATAAAAACACTAGTACTTTGCACTGCTGTTATCGAATAAATAGACAAAAGACTTCGTGAGTAACGTATTACTCAATCTCTTTTTTTTGATTATTTTTCGCCATATCTACAAGAGTTTCATGATATGACCTGCGTGAGTCAATAGCTCTTTCGTTTCTGTATAGCTTGTAGTCGCAATACTGCTTATCTTCCTCTTAAATTCAAGCACTTGAAGCCCAAGGACGCACAGAGGAGTTGGAAATCAATGTTGCTGATTTTCTCTTGCCCACTTGAAAATCAACCACTTCTTCAAAAGAGTAAGCTATGGCAGTTATTTTGCTTAAATAGCCTAATGGAAGTCGTAGAGCTACCTTTCATAATTTCAGGAATGGAGAAATTACAAGACAACAACTAGTAAAAACTTGAGAAAAAGCTAGAACTGTTTCTAGAGTTTTCGGTCTATATCTCTCCATTCTTCTTATACACGTTTCAAATAAAAACGTTGTTAAGTAAACAGTATCTGCTACGCTACTTCTCCATATTGAAGCATGTTGATAGCTCTATTTTTGAGGTCGCAACATGAAAAAGAAGACCAAAGAGCGGAGTATGAAAAACAGGTCCTTAATGAACCCCTTTGACCAAATCAAGAAAAATGGTCATGTTGAACATTTTAATTTTTTGCCCTTAATAGCTTCAAAAATGTAGTATACATTAGTAAAAATTGTTTATATAGGTATTTGACATATATTATTGCAAAAAAATAATATCTTAATGTCAAAGACAAACAAAACAGAAGGCTTCTATACTTCAGATAGCTAGTGGCTATCTTAACTATTGAATTTGTGGGTATTACGCAAGATAAATCATGCAAGTAATACAAGAACTGGCTACTGTTTATCCTTTTGTTGATTTATTCAAGTAAAGTCATCAGATTGAAAAGAACTATCCACCAAAGCCATGACTACATCCTTCATTCTCTTCCTTTTGAGCGAGTGCTCTATTTGAGCAAAATGTCTGTCTCTTTGGTTTTCATTGATTGTGGAGTCATTTCCTAAAGCCTTGATACTAACGCTTGTAGGAAAAGTAGAGCTCTTGTCTCTGAATATTGTGCTGACAAATAAAGTGCCTATGTTTGGGGATGTGATCCTGAAATCAAATTGGTCTATTGAATCTGTCCGATAGATTGGCTTGACAGCGTATTGTGTGCTCATCTGGATGACTTCATTTGTTGCCTCTCTTCTTGAGACATAAGCTTGTACTTGATGATGAACAATACGAATAAACGTCTAATCTGACTTAAATATATAGGTAAACATAGAAAACTTACATTGAAGTTATGTGGAATAAATTGAGCTTGGAGATTATCCAGGTGAATGAAAGGTGGAATGGTATGATGTTGAATTGATTCTCCTTTGTGCTTATCATAAATCAAATAAAAAGGTTCTCTGTATGTATTTCCATAAAATGTCTCTAGACGAATACAGCTTCTTGATCCTTTGAATTGAAATATAGATCGGCCTGCTAAACGATGATAACTAACCACTTCTCGCCTACAGCAATCCTCTAATGTTATCATCAGTTTATCGAATATCTACAATAGCCATTAGACTCATTCTGTGCAGATAATCTTTCTTGTACCTGTTTTTGCATTTGATTCAACTCAAACTCTGCTACTCGAGTAGGGTCTGTTGTGAGAGTAGAAGCATAAGTACATGGTATAAAAGATGAATGCATATTTGCCTTGAATAAGCTGTGTCAATCGGGTGACAGTAAGGTATGCTAAGTCTTCTTCTAACAATTCACGTCTTAACTGTCTCTTTCTTGAAGTTGCACTGTCCACTAAACAAATTAGATCAAATGCTTGAATGACTGTTTTACTGTACATCGTTGTTTGATTTGTTTGATTTGCGCTTTAAGTCTATCTACCTCATTCGGCATACTACTGAATAAGTAAAGAAGTGTGCTTTTATCGACTTACAAGGTCTCTTCATCAGAAGCTTGATCAAATGACATGATGAGACGCGTAAAAGAGAAAACGTATGTGACTCAATTTTGAAAAAAGAAAAAGACGCGTTGTTATTCTTTTCTTTCACGTCATGGTCCAATTAACAGAAGCGTTTTTAGAGAGTGCAGAGTTTCAGAATAAGCTAAGAAAGTAAAGCATAACATTCGACTATAACATGATACTAATCCTTGTTTAGCATTATACAAACAAGCGACATGAGGTAAATAGTAAGCAATTCAATTGCATAAAAGGCTCTCGTTGACTCTTCTATTGTGTTTGGATAGCGTGTTGACTGCGAATGAGATTCGTCGTCAATTGGAGTCTCACTTTGTAAGTAAACAGGGCTATGGTCAATGAACTTATGGTTTTACAAAAGGGATTCGAAACAGATATTCTAAAAGAAAAGGCATATAAAAAGAAAATAAATGTCTTTATTGATCAAATCATAGCTGAAGAGCCCACTGAAGAGCCCACTGAAGAGCCCACTGAAGAGCCCACTGAAGAAGCAGCTGAAGAGTCTGCCGAAGAACACTCTGAAGACTATGTTGAAGAAGAAGAAGAGAACGTTACCACGAACAAACGTAAGGCTCTTGTTGATTCTGACAGTGAAGAAGTTACGCCCAAAAAATCAAGCAAAAAAAAGAAAGTCGTCGAATCAGACAGCGAAGAAGAAATGTCTTCACCTAAAAAGACAGCTAGCAAAAAGAAAATTGAACCCGAAAAGGATGATGATAGAGTCAAGCGATTAAAACAATTTGTTGTGAAGTGTGGTGTTCGTAAAGTATGGGCAAAAGAATTGGCTGATTGCAAGTCAACTGCAGCAGAAATTAGAAAACTAAAATCCATGCTTGAAGAACTTGGAGTGCATGGAAGACCCACGATTGAAAAATGCGAAGCAGTCAAAAAAGAAAGAGAGTTAAAGGCTGAATTAGACAGTCTGGATACAAGTCTGATTATTGAAGAAAATAGTGGTAGGCCAGCACGAGCAGCAAGGAAAAGAAATGCTTCTAGCTATGTTGTAGACAAAATTTCTAGTGAAGAAGAATCCGAATCAGAGGTATGATACTTATGGCTGCATTGTCTCTAATCCTGTTTATAGGATGAATTCAAAGATAGTTCAGATGAAGAATAATTTAATAAAAATCTCTGCTTATGATTCTAAGTGGATGTGCCTCTGTATTAAATACCCACTGCTCAAAAGGGAATCGAGGTTCTTTAGGGTCATCAAATATCAAGTACAAGTATTTGAGTGTTTCTGCAAAAAAGAAGCTAAAAATAATAAGTGGGTTGTAACACACATTATGTTTACCTTTCTTCACGATCATCCCATGTTCTTTCGGGCATATCTACTCTTCTTACACCTGTATAGCCTGATTCTGATTTACAATAGGTATACAAGGAATTGAAGATATCCCAAGCCATGTCTTGATAAATAGGATCTTGAGTAAATACATAGAAATAATAGAGTGACTCTAATGTTTCGGGACGCAATATGTAGGTTGGATGTACTGGGTATACTGCTGGTCTTTTTTTGCCATTGTATCTATCTGTTGAAATTTCCCAGGAGAATATCTCTGGTGCTAAACCAGTCGCTGTCAAATTCCAGGCACTGTAACAACCATACATCAATCTCTTGGCAATCTTTTCAAGACCTCCATATTCTTCTGGAAAAGTGCGAGCAGCCAAAAGCAAAGTGCCAGGTGCAAAACAAGCCTATATATATATATGAATGATTCATTCTTTATCTGTCTATCTATACCAATTCATCCATTTGCAATCCAAGTTTGTCACCTTCCAATACAGCAAGAAATGAGGCTTTGGTGTCTGAAGGTGAATGAACCAGCAACCCCTCTTTGAGACCAACAATGATTTGTGATACCATATCTCTTTTGATTTTATCTTTGCCTTGAGAAACAACCAGTTGTTTTATGAGATACTACAATCAGAGTAAGAAATAATCCCCTGCACCTCTTTTGCTCTTACTTCATAGAAACTATCACCCATACCACCCCAAGTAACATGGTCTATGATGGATCAGTAACCATAAGAAAGAAAGGAAGAAAAAAAAAAAGCAAATCTAGGTTTCTTTTACTTACCGCCTACAGATTTGCCTGTATTCACGTCAATCAAGTGAGGAAATAGTCCGAATTTTTCTTTATATGACTCTGTGAATACACCATAAACACGCTGCCCCTATTTTTTTTTGTGGGAAATTTCTCACTCATCACAAGTTCAGAAGTAGAGACTTACTAATTCATGATATGACCAATTGCCAGTTAATTCAGAGAGTCGGGTAAACTCAATTTGAATTGTGCCTATTTCTGCTAAACAAGCAACAGCATTTCTAACAGGCTCGCCTCTATGATGATAGAATATAAGAACATAAAACAAGGATAACGTCATAACATACGATGTAAAATTAACATATTGATAAGGAATACCAGTAGGTGTATCAAAAGCAGGCAACAGTCGATCCACTAGTTCAACAGCCTTCTCTAGAAACATTTTTTCATGCGATAAATCATATGCAGACAAAAGTCCGCCCACATAACGAATTACAGTTTCAAATAACTGCACAGGTTCATCATTATTTACCTTGCCCCAATCAATTAAAGATACATAGTCTTGAGCTTCTTTAAATTCTGCCTTTAGACCCATAATATAGAGTGTATCTAAAGCATCAACAATGGTTGCTCCCCAACCATTTCTGTGTTTGTGTACATATTTAGTATTTGGCTCCTTAGTTACAAGTCCTCACCTTGTATTTCTGGGACTATTGCTGACTGGCCTATTTTCATCATAACCCCAACTATAGTTACGATAACCATTCCATGAAAACACGAATGCGTCCTTGATATAGGCTTGTTTCTCTTTAGGAGACAAGAAATGTGCCTCAGGTAACCCACCCAATTGTTTCCGTATTTCCTGACGAGTAGGGTTTTTATTTGTGTCAGGTTGTTTATGACCTCCAAAGATAGGTAATTGATCAAAGAACAATATATCAGCTACTTTAACCAATACACATAAGCCAGTGAGAGAAGCAGCAAATGCTTTGATATTAAATTTCATGCTTCAGAAAACAGAATGAAAAAAAAAAAAGAATTCCCACCTGGAAAAAAAAGAAACAGCATGATGATCCAAAAATGGTTTATTTACTGAGAATGAAAAGCAAATAAACATATATCACTTTTTATCTGCAGATAATGAGTGATCAAGAAGAGGATGATTACATGTCTCTCAAGTTTCTAGAAGAAGCGCAGGAATTTGAGTCAAAGAGAAAAGAAACCTCTTACTCTGAACGACGTAAGAGACAATTACGCGAGCAAGAAAAAAAGGGCTACATTAAGCCTCGCGCTCAACTCGAAGCAGAAGAACGAGAAAAGGGTTTACAACGCTCCATGGACGAAAGCAATAAGGGCATGAAAATGCTCATGAAAATGGGTTTTAAGAAAGGCATGTCGCTTGGTAGCAATGGCATTGTGGAACCTATAAAAGTAGATCTCACAACCGGTCGACATGGTATTGGTATGAAAACTGAAATGAAAAAAAGAGCACGCGAGCTGGAAGAGCGTGAGGAACAAGAAAGGAAGAAAGTGGCTATGGATCCTGAAGAATTTAGATCGGTCATGGCACAGCGTGTCAAAGAAGGTCAGCTTGTTCGTTACTTAACTGCTGCTGTTTCTCTTTGCGAAAAAATAGATGAAGAAAACAATGTAAAATCAAATATTTTGTGGCTATTAAAGCCAATACAGAAGGAGGAAAAGGAGGAGGATGAGGTAGACAAAGAGCAAGAGAAACAAGAAGAACCAGTTCAGGAAAATCAATATCCTGAAGAACAAGTGCAAGAACTCAATTCATTAACATTAGACCAAAAATTACAAAAAGTCATTGACTACTTACGAGACAAATACTTTTATTGCTTCTGGTGCAGCGCTAAATATCAAGATAAAGGAGATTTGGATGTAAATTGTCCTGGAACAGAAGAAGAAGACCATTAGGCATGTATATAAAGACTTGATGTGGTTTGAAGAGCAAGCCAAGATATAGCTATCACCCAAAAAGTAATAAAGCGTTATCACATATATATTATAATAGATGCGGTTGATTTAGTATGAGGTCTTGTTTGTCAAGTACTGTACTTGGATAGCAAATCGTTACGTAAATGCATGTAAAATAAGTATAAAACCCACTTCTTTCTCTTGGACAAATCAAGGCAGTAAAAAGTCTGTTTCTACATGCCTAAATACTCCAAATGTCCACAGATCATGTCTACTAGAATCCATTGTACCTTTAGAGCTGATTTGGATCAAGATAAATGACATGTCCAAAATAACCAGAAATCTCTCAGAACCAAAGGGTACTTACTCATGAAAGAAAGCTCGATTTGACAACTCGTGGTTTTCTTTTCGACGCTACAAGACAAAAAATGAGGCTATCGACAAGATTAAATACTCAGAATGAGCGCAAGAAGCTCTGGTTCTTGCTCAATATATTTACTTGCCAATTGTACTATGAGAGTAGCATGATATGAGCGAGAAACCTCATAAACATTTTTGCCTATTTGCTTAATATTTTGGGTTCAAGGTTGCTGCGTTCCCATATATCAATAGACTCAGAAGGCAAATATCTACAGCTTTTGTCACTGAACCAAAGTCATAAAACTGCATCTTTATGTAGTCCTCAGCAAAAGTTCCATTTTAGATGTGACGGGAAGAAGAGCTGAATTGCTTCTATTTCAATCTTCGATACCAGTTATCATGTATATCTTTTGCCCATTTGCTCCACGTTGGCACTATAAAAAGCCTATATTTCTCTTTCTCTATGCTCTCTGGCACTCCAAATAGCATATCTTAATTCTTATAGCTCCATGGATAACAGGTTTTATATGTCATCTAGAGCAAAAATGCATAAAATACTGCTTAAAGAAGTCAATCTTTGATGCATCATTACTCGACAACCAGACTATTGAAATGGTCCGTTTTTTTTATTTAAAGTATGTTCTTTCAAACCCAAGAATCGAATGGTACCATTGGTTTGGCTGTCATGTGAATTTCATTTTTTGACCTACGAGGGGGGGGGATCCACGGGGGATCCACGAAGGTCCGTGAAGATGAAAAAAAATCTGATCCAACCGAAATCAGGCAAGACCATCTCTAGGCACTTTCAGCAAAAAGAAAGCGAGCTTACTAAGACGAAAAAGGCGACTTAACTTGGGCATTGTCTTCAAATCTGCATTCAAAGTTCGTCGTACACTATAAATGATACAAAAGAGGATCTTTTCAACAGATATGGAGCATTGAAAGCTTGCTTTTTTTAATTTATTTAACACGTAGTGTGCAAAAGAGTAAGTCATACTAAGTTGAAGTTTATTTTCATTTTTTTATATGAACAGTAGTGTTTTATTTATATGAAATATAATACTAGTTCTTAATGGCCATAGTAGGTTTCAAGAGATGGATATAATCATGATAAATGTAAGGTTCTAATATATCTGTTTCTTCTGGCATACTTGAAATTATGGAAGTCTGGTGATGATGTTTTTGAATAATTGCATGTTTTTTTTTAAAAAAAAAATGAGTACTTTACCTTAAAGCTTATAAGGTGTTCAATAGTTTCTTCAAAATGAACATATGTTTCAGGCGAGCTAGGGAGTGTCAGTTTTTCAGCTTCATAAAGTTGGTAAGGTGGGGTTTTTTCTGCTTCAAAGGTCATGGTGTAGAGTTCGATTTTGAACCCATCAAATAAAATGCCAAAGCTGACAAATTCTTTTGTTTTTTTGCTCTTCATCATTCTTACGTGAAGTTGTCTTTTCAGAGTCTCTGCCATTCTTGCCCTGTCTTCTTCTAATAAGTAAAATGATGTATTTGCAGTTTTAACTTCTCCACATCCAACTTCTAATCCATTAGCCATTATAACAAAGTCAGTGCGGATTTTCTTGCATTCATTGTTCTTATTTGAAGTTGACGCTTTCTCCCTGCAAAGACACAGAGTCTCATTAGTTTAGCTTTTTTTTTTTCTATATGTGAAGTTCAGTTGTTCAAAACGACATACTGACCATTTGCATAATAGGACATCATTTGCAGGGAAAAGATACTTGAATAAGGATGACACATTGTCTACTATAAATCCAATTTCACTTTTTTCTTCCTGTGTTCGTTTTTCATTCATTATAGTGTCTGCTAGGTTGCAAAGGTATGTATTCAACTGTAGTTGACTGGGTGTTGTTGCAATGGGTGGATAGTATAATTGATTCTTCTTCACTCTCTAAAAATACTTAACGTTAGCAAAGACAGAATATCAAAGGATTTCTGATTTTATTATACCATTCGCCAGTCTTTGATTTTATGGTATTCACCTTCATCTAACATCGTAGGTATAGCTTGATGAGCTTCAGAAGGACATGTATTGTAACTTATTGAAGAAACAGCCCTTTTATAAAATAAAATAATTTAATTTAATCAGTCAAAATGTAGATGACAACTTACAGTCTTTCAAATAATGAACTGGTATTATCATAGACATACTCTTTTTTGTTTTATGCCATGCCTAGTTCATTTAAAGTCAAGGTATACTTGCTGGTTTTGAGTGCTTCACCATAGTTGATTGACGATTCGCTTGGCTTATATGATGTAGTTTCATCTGTGGTAAATGAGGATTGAGTCCCGATACTTGTTGCAGTTTTTTCAGAAAGATTGGCATCGTCTACTATGTTTGCAACAGTAAATTTCAATAAGTCAACTTACCATGTTTTCTCTTTTTGTTTTTGCTATCAATATTTATGCTAATCTTGTCAGATTGACTGGAGCCTTGCTTTCCAACACTTCCATAGTTGATGTATTGATTGATTACTTGAGTTTCTTTTTTATCACTCTGCATAAAGAAGGGTACGTTAATACTTTGTGTGAGCTTACAATATCTATCTTATGTTACCTCTGGTTCTTCAGGTTTGATTAAAGATTCCAAGTAATCTTTTGTTTCGCTATTGACACACGAAAGCTTTCCAATATCCTTGATGGCTGTTACATACTTTGCTCTTATTTTCTTATTTCGAGGTGGACGTACTGCCCCAGCTATGACGTGTTCCTTGTAAGATAGGAAATCCCAAAAACGAGGGGTACTGTTGTTAAAGTATTCAAGATCTAGCATCTGCATGAAAAACTTAAGACCGTCTCATCTGATTGGGTGAAAAATATACGCCAACCATCTGCATGACGTATGTATTTAACTTGCGTATTCTCTTTTTTTTTTTTTTTCTTTTTTTCTCTTATCTATTTACACTTACTTCAATGGACGGACTAGGCTTTGGTTGCATAAACCAAATAGACAAAGCTGCTGTCAATACTGTGGGGCTTTGGAAGGTATTGACACCACGTCCGAACAAGTAGCCGTGCTTGATATTGTTCCCTACAATGTGACAAAAGTACCTTCTTTAGAGGGGAAGAGCTGGCGGATATTGGTATTGTCTTTTCATTCTGGTCAAGTGTACTTTTTTTGGAATTAGATATACTTTCACCTTCTCGTGGTTAATTCCGTTAGTACCAAGACACTGGAGTTTGCTCTGTGTTTTGCGAAGCTAAGAAAAGTATTGGCTTATAATTTCTTAATGACGTTTCAATTCATCAATAAACTGATTCTTTCATCCCTCCTTTTTTGTCTTCTCCCTTTTTTCGCTTATATTCCTTGTTTCCTTTTTAATTTTTGTACAATAAATCATTGTCAAGTACCTCTTTCTTGTACCCCTACGGTGCAATAACATATGTGTGACATCTTGAATTGTTGGTCGTTCCTAGGACAATCTCATGTAAATATAGTAATAAACTTTCAAACCCCGTTCTTCCTTATATCTTCCAAAGCCGCACATCATGGAATAAATTATGGGTGATATCAATAACAATGAGCCAGAAAGATTCTTCACAGCAGCAGCCGCACTCACGCTTCAAACAACTGCAAGTTGAAGAACGAATTAGGAAAGATAAAGAAAGACATGGCTTAGAATTACCATTGGAAATATTAGAGTATCTGGATAGCACGCCAACATATGACCTCAAGGAAGAGTTTAATAGATTTAAAAGACAGGTCGCCAAATACAAGAACGACAACTGGAATAAGCAACATCAAATCAACAAGGAACATATTCATGAATTTAAGAAGTGGAAGACAGATACCCGCCAAGTTATCACCTCGATCTATAAGTACTTGGCGAATACCAGAATACAAGCAATCTAGCACTCAACATTTGAATACTACTCAATCGTCTATTGCGTCCGTTTTCAAGCACATCCATCCCAACAAGGAGTCTATTGTTTACCAACTATCAACCCAAGATCTTCAGCAAAAGACAAATGTTCTATTATGCATTGCTACCAGGGCTAGGCCAAGATCAGACATAGGCAATATACAATATGATAATCAAGGTACTTTAATAGGCGCCAGAATACATTTCCAATTTCCCAAAGAATCTCAATTGAAATCATGTGCAATTGGTGTTGTTGAAGATACAAGTATTTGTTCTGTGGTAACACTACACATATTCCTGGAGAGAACGTTGTCTTTGAGAATCAACTTACCGTTGGAACACAAGATATTCTCAACCTGCATTGAAGATACTCACAAGATTTGTTCAGCCAAGGAAGCCGGAGAAGAGACAACTGAAATCGCTCTAGGAACGACCAATAATCAAAACGTTGCCGGAGCGAAGGCTAAAAATGTGGTAAATGCCTAAGTCTTGGTTTTACAATATTAGAAATTTGTTTTAGAAAGATAACCCACCAAAAGGAAAAAAAGGGTTTTGCTATATTTATATAAAAAATAAAGCGCGGCTCTGAGAGCATTTACCACATTTTTAGCCTTCGCTTCGGCAACGTTTTGATTTTTGAATTCATTTTTGGAGAAGAGTAGGGGGGGGGAGGGGAGGAGACAGAAAAATGTCATCAATGGCTTAAGCCATGCTAATCTAACGAAAATAGAGTTGTTCAAAGTGCGTCTCTTCTCTATGAAGCTGGCTTGAATGGAGTCACAAAAGTAATCTGATTTTTAAAGACTTGTTCAAATTTAACGACTGGGTCCCTTCTTTTTTTGGGTCTTTAGCACTCTGCTAAAAAAAGTGTTACTCTTTGCTCTAAAACAGCAGTTTTTGGAAATGATCAACCATGAATGTCTTGTTTCAATCATCGTTAGCTCTATCCAGGCTTTATTTTTGCTCTCTCTTGGAATAATTATTCATATTTAGCAAGTAAACTCTTTTGATTCACCATAACCTTCGAGAGTCTGTTTAATTATAAGAGAAGAGAAGCAGAGAAAGAGAGAAATAAACTACTCATGCAAGTGATTGTTTGTGTTTACAGTCGAACTAGAAGATAGTAATACAATCTGGACGCAACCGAATGTGTCACTAAATCATAGTACGGCTTTATATTCACACAGAATAATAAGCTATCAATTTTAATTGATGAACAAATAACTTCAAATAACTTTCATATCGCTCACTAACAGGTTATTCTGCTTAAATTATGAACCAGCCTGCTCAATACCAGTCAATAATTTCTATAGAGACAGAGTTAATGTGATCCTGAGAATTTATTTTGAATGCCGTAGTTTCAGAGGCTGTTTGAATACGTGCAAGGTTGGTTGAAGGCATTAGATAGGTTTAATGTTTGCATAATATTCATCAGTTTTTGACATTAAGTGTTTGGAATTTAACAGTTGTACTGTTCATATCACGCAGCCAGAAAAATTTGTTCCCCACAAATTACATCTGATAAATGACGTCTTGTTGTGTACTCGATTTTCAACAAATAGGAGAATATTATTATTTAACTGAAGATCTGTAAAAAAATACCATCTTTTAACCCCATTTTCCTGTTGTCTCTATCTCTTTGTTCTTAGATTTGACCGGTTCTATAGAGTACACTATGTTTGACCTTATATCATAATGAATCAAAAATAACGTACCCTTGTTCAATTACATGGTTTTATGATTTTTTTTTCATTCCGTTCAAAATAACCAAAATTGGAAATACTCTTGGAAAAATCTTTCTCCACAATTATCTATCAAAACGTTATAAATCAAAGCAGTTATTGTTCTTTACTGATACAAGACAAGAAGAACACTTCTTTGATGATTGATAAACGAAAACACACAAACTTCATTCAAGATGAAATAAAAACTAACTCTTTTTATTCTTTTCCTTAAGTATTTTCCTAGATCTCTCAACAAATGGATCTGTATCCAAGGAACGTAGAGTGTGAGAATAGATGCGAAACAAAAAGAAAAATTCACACCAGATTCAGGATGAAGTTTTGTTGGGTTAATAACTTCTCTAACAAAAAAAAAATATAGGCTTTTTAATTAAATGGTACTATGCATGCTTTGCTTTTATGCAAAACAATCACGCAATAAGTAGAATAAGGATGAGCAGGTACAAAAGTAAGAAAAAAGAACCTCTCATTTATATTGATATCGCTGGATCAGGTCAAGGGAAAATTTGTGATTGATTGTATTTGTCTCGGGACACATAAACTAAAAAAAGGGAAAAACCTGTACACAATAAGGTGTACAGGTTACACACACACACACACACACACATATATACATCTGATTTGGCTCTATATAAATATGCATAAACAACTTGAAGGTCAAGCATTATATCTCTTTTTTTCTTCTTTTTTCCTTTTTCTTCTTGTACAGTCTAAAATGTCTGCTGAAACTAATACCAAACATGAAATTGAACAGATAGAGAGTATTCAAGCTGAAGACAATGCTGATAGCTTTAGACAATATGTTGAACAGGAAGAAAAAAAGCGTAAAAACATTTTTGTCCGGTTCAAGGATTCTATCTATACAAAGCCAGAAAAGAAGGGTCCAAGTCCATGGTATTTGCTTACAAACCTGACAAGTACCCAGAGGATAACTTTTGTTGCAGGTTAGTCTAATACCCAATGAAAAGATTTACTGATGAATATACATAGCTTTTTTTGGCTGGACACTTGATGCTTTTGATTTCTTTTCTGTTTCGTTGTCTGCTACTCGTATCGGTGAGTTTGATAAGAATACCTTATACTTTGTTCTAACTTTTGGATAAACTTAGCTGAAACCTATGGTGTTCAACCTTCTGATGTCACTAGTAAGTCAAAATCCTTACAAGCTTGTGATTTAAGGTACTCATCATTTTACATATAGGTGCAATTACTACAACTTTGGTAATGTTTTGCCATTTTGGGATCTTTTTTTTTTTTTTTTTTTTTTTTTTTTTACTTATTATCTTTTTATGTAGATGTTGCGTCCTATTGGTGCCTTAATTTTTGGGTAGGTTCTTTCCAAACACACAAAAAGTTTATTTTTTTCAATTAGCGCTTTAGCTGACAAATTTGGTCGTCGTTGGCCGCTGCTCATTGATATTGTATTATTCTCTCTTATCAATATGGCCAGTGGTTTCGCTCCTAACCTCCAGACATTTATTGGTCTTCGAGCTGTTTTTGGTATTGCCATGGGCGGTGAATGGGTAAAATAAAATAAAAAGCTCGTTCTAAAAAGGTTATTAACATTTAGCCATTTAGGGACTTGGTGCAAGTTTAGCACTTGAAATGTTACCTGTTGAAGCGCGCGGTTTATTTTCCGGTATCTACCAACAAGGTTACGCTTGTGGCTATCTCTTAGCTACGCTTGTAAACTATGCTATCGTCCAAACTGGTTCTTCATGGCGTATATTGTTCTGGGTCGGGGCTGGTTTTGCTCTTCTTGCTGTTGTGATTCGTATTTGGGTGCCTGAATCCGAGACATTTGAAAAGCAAAAGGCCGTACGTAAAGTCTTAGGTCGATCTTTATTGACTGAAATCAAACTCGCTATTAGAAACCATTGGCTTCGTTTGATCTATATGATTATCCTTATGGCTTTCATGAACTTCTTTTCTCACGGATCACAAGGTATAAACTTTGATATGCTAGTAAAAAGTGTTCTTATTATCTTTTGATAGATTTGTATCCTACCTTCTTATTATCGCAATTGGGCTACAGTGCTACGCAGCAAACAGTAACTGGTGTCATTATGAACATAGGCGCTATCTGCGGTGGTACCATTTTTGGTCATCTTTCCAATGGTTTTGGTCGTCGTTTTATTCTGTGTGTTTGCGCCATTCTTGCCGGTGCTTTTATTCCTCTCTGGATCTATGCGCCTAACATCCATTCTCTCCAGTTTGGTGCTTTTGTCATGCAGTTTTTTGTTCAAGGTGCTTGGGGGTAAGACAGCAATAGATACAGACAAGTTTATTCAACCTGTTCTTTCTCTAGTGTCATTCCAGCTCATATCAATGAATTGGCTCCCCCTTCTTTTAGAGGTTTAATGCCCGGTTTAGCTTATCAGTTGGGTAACTTGGTAAGTGCACACTTAGATTTGTATGCTACAAATAAGCCTAATTGTATTTCAGATTAGTGCAGCCTCTAGTCAAATTGAAGCCACCATTGGTGAAAGATACCCCCTTCGTAATTCTGATGGAAGCTACAAATTAAACAATAAGGGTATTCCTATCGCAGACTATGGCCTTACACAGGCTATTTTTATGGGTTGTGTTAGCGCTGGTCTACTAATTACAGGTAAGATAAATGATAATACAACGCCCAATTGTTGATCACTTTACAAAGCTCTGGTTGGTAAAGAAGAACGCAATAGAGATTTCTCAAACGATCTTGCTGAAGATCAAAGTAGCCATGGTGCTGTTAGTCCTGGAGACATTAAGGCAGACGAAATGGAACAAGGTCTTGAAGAATCAAGATAAGTGCAGATGTTTATATATTTCTGCAACCATTTAATAATGTTTATGTGTATTATTTGTTATTACTGAATAAAAATCTATCAATCAAGATAAACTAAAGACATGGTGCAGGTATATTGGCGTGCCTATCAAATGAAGGGTCATAGTATTGCATGTCTATTTATTACAAAACAAGTAATAGTCGATTCTTAAAGCAAGAAAGCAGTTGCATACTCTCTGTTTCAATCAACAAGAAAAGCAATCTACCGACACGGTGTATATCTGTCAATATCTCAGCACACATATTGCAGATCGAGATTATGTTTTTGATTTTGATGTTATCTTTGAAATTTGCTTTTTTATTAGCAATCTTATATCTGTGCATTACCGGAAAATCATTTTTCTTGTTTTTTAATCTAATCAAGCAATTTAATAGTATTGAATCGATCGATTGTACTTGGAGACACTTGCGGAGGTTAGGCTTGATTTAACCGTAGTTTCGGAGAAAATTAGTATTTCTGTCAAAAAATACAGCAAGCATAGATTTAGGTAAAGCAAACAAAACTCTTTTATTCACAATTGTAAAGTCATGCGTCTTACTGTCATTTTTTGGGCTACACAATGCTTTTTATGGATTTGTAGACATTATTTGCCGTTATACCATCTTTGGGCATTTCCTTTATCTTCAGTCTCCGTTTTATTTTACAATTATTTGTACAGTTCTGTCATAATCAAACTACTTTTGTAACTTCCTTCTTATGATTATTCCTATGAAGCGCTCAGTACTAAAGTCAGATATAGAAGAATGATACGTGCTTTTTTTTCGCTATCGTCTCATTCTATTTTGATAAATTTCTTGCCTTTTTTGCAGAAGTTTTAATGTCCGGTCATGCTTACCAATTAAGTAACATGGTAAGTGCGCGCATGTACGCGCTTTTCTACTTTGATATGGCACTAATTAATCGAGTTCTAGATTAACGTAATTTTTGATAAGTACCAAGTTACAGGTCAAGCACTGTGAATAGGATAAAAAAGATTTTTTGTTGTAGGCGATTGTTGATGGTCTACTTTGGCCCTTGCAGGTAGAATTGCAACATCATGCGCTTATAAAGCCCTTGATCTCTCTCTTATCTTCAATATCAAGTTGCGCCTCTAATAAGTTTGATGAAATGCATATATTATTAATATCATGTATTTATGTTTCATTAAAAACTACTTTTGTATTGAAACACTTCCAACCAGATATCTTGATCCTACCTAGCATACTTTTCATACTCAGATAGAGTTTAATTGAACAAAAAAAAAACTGTCAAACTAAATTACAAAAGAATAATGAAAACAAACAAATTCCCAGGTAAACTTTTTGTTTGTATGTACTTCAATCCTTTTATGGCAGTTCACCGATGTCAGAATTGTACATTTTCTTCTTCCTTCTTTGTTCCTGAAGATTCAGGGGAGAAATAGGAAGGAGAAATGTTCTGATTCCAAGTTATGCTGTTTGGTCGTATAAAGTTATTATGTAAGCATTTTACACATAGAGACTCATAAAAGGAAACAGAGGAAAGGCATATATCCAGTTATGGAAACACAATGAGTTACTAAATACCATCTTACTGAGTAGCACACGTTTTAAAAATAAATATGATAGAACATTATGGCACCCACGATATTGTAATGAACCAGAGCAGATCTTGTCATACAATGCCTTGACACAATGAGTCAGAATATTATACGAAAAGCACGGTTATTTTGGGGGAAATAAAACTCTTATTTGTGCAACATCATTCATGGTCTATTAAAAAAATATCATAATAGCATGTATATTGTTTACGAGTATAGCAGCTGATAAACCAGTCTTTATTTTTTAAAACAAACAAATTCTGATTAGATATCTTTTCTTTGGGTTAAAAACATTAAAAAAAATAGCTTCAAGATGATCAAAATGGTCTATTTTTAATTTAAAAATTAAAGTTTTGACAATCCTATAACTTGGGGATTTATATAATTCATAATATTATAATATTATATGAAAGAAAACGTCCCCGTGATAATGTCAAGTAGTACCAGGAGTATGATCTATACTTGATAATAGACACGTTCATTCATAGTAGCACATAGTATGCATTGTCTTGAATATACAACCAGATTCTCATTATCAAGTTTTTATTATTCCGATTGAATTCTTAGGTTCTTGCTGTAGAAAAAAAACACTAGACGGTATTCACACATTACCTTGCAAATGCACTACAAGCTTAACTTTATAATCTTTGTTCAAACGCACGGAGCATAATTACCGGTAGTTCCAATTTAGCTGCCGACATATTACATTATTGCTCCCGAGACGACAATTTTTTTTGTTACTATAGGAAAAAAGGACTTATTTAATATCAACTATGTGTGTGCGTCTCCTAACATAGTATAACATTACTTATTATACTACATACTGATCTGCATTTCTTTCTTTCTTTATGTCCTTATTTATGGCTATTATTGAATAAGGGAACTGGGGGACAGTTTAGAAGCTCGCACGTAACACTAAACTGTAAAGTAAAAGCCATTTCAGCTCGTCCATTATAATTGGCCTTGTTTCATAGCTATGGTTCCCTCTCAATAAAAAGGCTAAATACATTTTTTTTTATATTCCAATGATAAGTGGATCGTTCAATGAGCACAAATATTATAAAAAAAATCTTACCCTTTAATTTTGGACCTCCTTTTTTTTCTTCTCTTTTTCTTTATTTCTCTCTTCCTCTTTTTCTTTCTTTTTTTCCTTTTTCTCATTTTTGTTTTTCTTTATATCCTAAAAGATAATCGTTTTCTTTTTTGATTTCATTAAAATCCGGTACCTGAATTCTTGCAAAAAATAAAGCAAAAAAGAAAAGCTAGAAAAGGGAATATACGCAAGCAAGCACTCACACACGCACACACTCACACTTACGCTTGTATCCGTTAAAAAAATTATTTGTTGATACACACGCATTTATAGAAATTACCATAAACAGTAGAACAACTAGGAGAAGAACTTTTTTGCAATCTCGTCTTCTTTGAAATGTCAAACCACAAGAATATTCGAACTTCTTCTGACCCAAGCAGTCCTATTCCCACACAAAACCATAGTCCTGATAAGCCTTATTATTCAGTAAAGTATAATTTTTATATAGAGCTTTTTATATTAACATGACTTTTATAGTTGGACGCATTTTATGCTACATTATTATCCAGAACTTTTAAATCCAACACGGAAGCCATTATTTTCTGTAGAGATTTATGCTCCAATCATGGATTTACAGTAAAGCAAGAACAAAGTACTCATAAGGTAACATAGTGGAGATCAAGAAATTAAAAAGAAAAAAAAACTTAATCTCATTAGAACATCTATGTTTATTGTTCCCGCGAAGGCTTACCTGACTCTCATCGAAACCCCAAAGTTAATCCACAAAGAAACAGACAGTCTCAAAGATGTGAGTGTCGCTGGCGTATTGTGTTGTTTGAGAACAATAAAGAAACTTGGGAGTTTAGAAAGTCGCAAAATGCAGATGCTTATATTCACAACCATCCACTACTTAAGCCAGAAGAGATCAAGAAGGAATGGCCTCGTGAAGTATCTGAAAAGATCTTTGAACTAGCAAGACAACGTCTACCTACAAACGAGATCAGACAACAAGTACGCGAACAATACCCCGATATCTCTTGGGATGACCGTAGATTCTATAATCGCTTGTCTGAGGAGCGCCAAAAGATGAAGCAACGCGATACTGCCATGAGAACAATTCGTCTTGTCAATCTAAGTGCGCAAATCTGCATGGTCAATGCTGGAAGCGAAGACCTCTCTCATTATGTTGAAAGTAAACTGGTAGCTTTATTAGAAGATACATGCAAATTTGCCAATGTCGACAGCAGCGCCTTTCCTATGCCTATCCCATTACCTTTTACAAACTCACCAACATCAGGTGGGGATCCAGTAACACCTTCCTCTATAAATTCAGCTTTCTCTGTTTCGCATGAAGACATTGATAACCATCTGAAAAAAGCATCCAATATGCTCAAGAATGAAAATCAAAAACGTGATCAAGACAGTAGCTCTGCAAACAGTCCAAGAGAAGATGTAAGGATAATTAGTGTTAGATCATATAGCTCATCTCTCTGTAGAATGATTCAAGAAAACCATCCTTTAGTCACAGAAAGTCATTTGAGACATTACCGAAGGGCTTTTTGGCTGTGCCAATACCAGAACATACTTTCCATGTCAAGATGTATAGCCAAAATTCGGTTGGGGATATTCGACGCGCTATTTTTGATATGCAAAGACCTACTATGAATGCAGCCACGGCTAATCCAAACAATCAATATGCTTTACAACCGCCTCGTAGAAGACGGTCAAGAGCTATGTTTTCTCATGATGAGGATCCTGAGACAATGGACCTTGATACACCAGCAAGAAAACTATCTCGTCAAGTTGCTTCTTCACTTATGGATGATGAATTGGATGATATATCAACAAACTCTTCGCCTTCAAACTCTCAAACGATGCTTTTTAGCACCACCACAACAAACACGCCAGGCACGCATGATATGAACCATCTTGACCACCACCATCATCAACAGCACCTGATGTCCAACCCTTATTCTCGAATCCCTACTTCCTCAGCCTCTGCAGCAGATAACTTATTCTATGGTAACTCGAACGAAAACAGCAACAGAAACCTAGCTACTGAAAATAACAATTATATACACCAATCTTCATTCTCAACTCAAGCAGACAACATATACCCTTCTGCGAATTTAGACACAAATGCCCAGGCTAGACAACAATTACCACAACATATGATGTATGATCCTACATCATTTGTCCAGCAGTCGCAGCAACAACAATCGCAACAACAACAATCGCAACAGCAACAACAACAACAACAACAACAACAACAACAACAACAACAACAACAACAACAACAACAACAACAACAAGATATGGGCTTGATGAGTTCGCCTTCTACTCCTCAACATGTTCAGCATGAAAGACCACATTCCATGACTTTTGGTGCTGCTCTTCCTATAAGAGGCCAACCTGTATCTATTTCAAGAATATCTAGCATAGAAAACCAACCCATGATGCGCCCATTAGGATATCCTCCAACATTCACTCAATTACACAATATCATAGATGATAATGAAGGTAAGGACCCATAGCACATTTATTTATTTTGCTTATTCTTTATTAGTAGGAAAGCAAAGGTATTATCCTTATAGAGATCCACTTCAACAGCCTGCAAGTCCCCTTCCTCCTAGACCTTCGTCAGCAGCAGCAGCTATCTCGACATCTTCCTCATCATCTTCACAAATCATGCAGCAATATTTACCACCTCATCAGCAGACAGGAGCTGAAGTATTTGCTTCTTACCAGCTTAATCCCTCTCAGCCCTCTCCTCCTCCTACACAGAACCTATTCTCAGGGACTTTTATGGCGACAAATGAGCAAGCATTGAAACAACAAAAGCCAAACCAACCATATAATTTAGGTTATGCTTCACAAACAAATCAAGAGCAACACATGTATCGTAGAGCTAGTGGTCCAAACTAAATCATCCTTTTTGTAGGATAACCAATAAAACAACAACCTTCCCTCCTCCTCCTCTTCCCCAACTTTTTTCTTTACTAATATTTCCATGTATCTAGTCACATTTTTAAACTTTCCTTTTGTACCTTGTGGATTTATTCTTTCTCCAAAAATTATTACTATACATTACTTTCTCCCCCCTTTTTTGAATATATACTTATGCTTGATATGCATACTTGGTATATTTATATCAACTTTTTTTTAATCCAAGGAAATTTTTTTCATAACCCCTAATAACCCCAGTATAAGCGCCGACTGATGAAGAAACTTGTAGATCAATTAATGCTTTTTTCTTAATTCATAAATCTAATAAAACATGAAACGAATCAATCATAAAAATAACTTTATGAAATTATTCTATAAATGAACTCTTCCGAGAAACTTTTTTTTTGTTAAGTGAAACAGAGTCTATTCAGTCAGTTTCCCACCTGTTTCTTCATGGGAGTCATTGTTTGATTTGCTGAATATGACCTGATGTATTTTCGTTAGTGATAAGCAGTTGGTCGGAAATTCAAGTACTTAAAATTTAGAAGGTGTTACATTTCTTTGAAACTACAATTTAGACGGCTTGCTTACCTTTTTTGATGAAATAAAAATGGAAATCAGATATTTGATAGATTGGATTTAGACAAAAGCGAGGAATATTAAATGGTAGGCTAGATTACCTGTAAGGACTTATGAAAGAGTCATATCAACTATATAATGTGATAATTATTATTCTATTTTGAGTCCGAATGTTGGAATTGAGGTAGGCGAGTGTTACTGTTTCTAGATGCGCATAAGAAAATGTCAAGAATGCTTTTTCACAACCATAATGTCATTACGCCAAACAACATCACAAGTGGTTTTTTGGCGCTACAATACTGATTGCGCTCTTCGCTTCAAAGCTTTTGTCATAGCCTTTGAAATATTTCTTTACACGAATTACGTACTTTATTACGAGATACTCGTTCAACATTCTAGGGAAAATGTTATTTCAAATGAATAATTGTGTAAAATCTTCAGAATATATTTCTCTTGTCAAACTTTCCTTCCTCGCACACTTGAATAAAAGCTGCCATTTTCATAAGCGATAACTTCTATTGAAGGCTTTGTGCTATGATCGATTGGTGGGGAGGATAGTAAGAGATTTAGTTTCTTCTTGGCTGCCTTAACATTGGTAGATGCATTTTTGTCATACTTTATGCTGTCACATGTAAAGCGTTTAATAATTTCATTTATCGCTTTCTATTTCTTGATATAACATTGGAATTTAAGTTTTGAAAGCCTGTCTCGGTTAGTGAGATCTAACAAAATCTAAATGGTATACACTTGTATCTAAAAAGAAATTTTGATAAATTGGCAGTCTTCAGCGATTCAAGCTTGGTGATGACCTTGTGTATTTTCTGGTTATTTATTTGATGAAGCTTATGAATATATGTAGCACTATTGAATCCATGCATAAGGTAGTATGTGTTTTGGTCTAAAGCTCTCTGGCGACTAGAAGAGTCGACAATAGGTATCCCAAGTTCCACAGCCCAATATTAGTTTTATTCAACAGTTTGGATGAATTTCTGCTCTGGTTACTGGAACAGTTATTCTTTGCTATTCTTTGCTATTCTTGAAAAAAAAAGATGTCAAGTAGCCATTAGTATATACACTTTATTGAAAAGAAAAATTGTGTGGAAAAAATAAAGTTCTAGAAATCAAGCAGAGCATGAGATACACGAATAATATTTCTATTATTACTTACATTGGATTACAAGGAAAAGCAGAGAATAGAAGGGAAATGAATTAGTAACAGATATGAACCAGTATATGCGAGGTACTTACACGGATACGAGGAGGTAGTTGAACACCACTCTATCTTCTCATTACATGCATACTACTACACAATATAACCAACCAATACCAAGCTGTGATTGATGCCAGAGGCTGTACCACTAGGTACTGATCTCTTTTTGTTTATATTATCTTAGAATAAATATCTCAACAAATCATCCACAAAGAAACTAAGCGCGTTTAAGTATATTAAAGGGTTCTTGAATAATGATACCTTTGTTGTTGAGTTTGAATGACAAAAAACTGGGTTAGTTTTTATTTCGAGTCAATATATATAACACTCCCCTTATAAGAAGCGTTTGATTTTGGAAAGATAGTCATAAAATGTGGTTGAAGCTATTCCCGCTTCTTTGATAATGTAAGAACTTAATCACTACTAGTAAATATCACCGCTTTTTCTTTGTTCAGCAGTGTCGCAAAAGGGAGCTCTTTGAGTTTTCTACATATGTATGATTTAAAAGCAAAGGTTCCCAGTACTTCTTCCTCAATGAAGGTCTTTTCTCCATTTGAGTTTGAAAGAAGTACAACTATCTGAAGAACGTAAGAAGCTGTGAGTATAGTATATCAAGACTAGCGTCAATTGTTTTATAGGAAGACTACAGCGTGTCAATTTTTGAGACAATCTCTTTGAGTTAATCCGTTTCTTCGATATATGACGGTCATCATGATTTCTCTTTTTGATTTTGTCCGTAAATATAACGGACACCTGATTTTCTTTGGAATGCAGTTAACTTACGATGATATGACTTGGAGGACTTGTCTGATTGAGTTTTCAAAAAAAAAAGTGAATGGTTCTCTTGTCGTTACGTTTACGCTTCATTGTTGATCAATATTTTTAATCTGAATTTCGAATAACCCATCAAAATTCAATTTTGTGTAAGTCGCATAAAGCTGATCTTTCTTGAACAAATCAAACAAAAAACTATGCAGAAAGAGGTGATAGTTAGATACAGAGACACTTGGAAAAAGCATCCTTCAAGGCTTTACCTAACCTCATCTAATCTTCCAAATGTCTGATTTCCATTTTTATTTATCCAAAAAGGGTAAGCAAGCCATCTGAACTGTAATTTCAATTCATTCAAAAAGAATGAAACATTTTCTAAATTTAAAGTTGTAATATTAATTTTTGTTACATGTTACTCTTGTGCAAAAAAGAGCGCAGATACTTTAACAATACGCTGGATCTATAATAAGAGAACACAGAAAAGTAAGAAACTGGCAACAGTAACAACAGTGCGTTTTAGATAACAACAGTACACCCCTGTTGCAAAAAAAAAAAAAAAAAAAAAAAAAAAATTTAGAGCTAAGGAATTTTTTCTCAAGAATTCAGATGAAGAGCATTCTATAGTATCTGGTAAAAGGTACTCATAAATTTTTCAAATAAAAAGCAGTACGAGGAAGCTAAAATTGGGCTTTTCACCTACTATAGAAAGCTCGCTCTTTTCTTTTGCGTACAACAAAAAAGGTAAATTTCTTCATGCGATCGGATTCCTTGTATGTCAGGAACCATTTTTAGCATTATGTTAATTTTTTATAAGCTGCTTTATTGGACAGGTAGCAGACACAAAGACTATGACTATCTGTCTGAATCTTTTCCACGTATTTGAGCTTGATCATTGGCTAGTCAATTTTGGGGAAGGGGGGGTCTTCGGTCAGACCCGCAATAAGACTTGACAAACAGTAAATCTGTATATAGAAAATGGTTACACTTAATAACATTCTAGAAGAAGTTGAAGAATCTTGTGTATTGAATACAAAATTAAGCGCATTTAAAGAGCCTAAAATCATATATTCTATCTTTTTATCAACAGCCTCACCATTCAAGAACCTTTCAGTGTGGATCAACGGACACTAGATATGATAATTATGTGAAAAAGTTTGCAATATATGTAGCAATCATGCGAAAACTAGTTTGACTGATCGTACCTCATTTTTCTTATCTCGGAACCAAGACTATATTTGTCAGGGTATTCCATTCTCATTTGAAGAACCACTACTAGTAGAACGTGTCTGAGTCTGACTCAAAACAGACACATATTGCCAATTTAATTTCAACTTTACACTTCGTATAATATGAACATTTTAGTCTTTATCTTACAGCCGACGAAACTAGGTTGGGCCAATCATTTTTTTTTTGGTCATTTCCAAATTAGATTGGGATAGAGTTGCAAAATTGGGACACCAATAGGAAAATGGGACAGAAATGTGAAAATGGGACGCACATCCGAAAACGGATCAAAGTGGAACAAATCCAGTTTTAAACAAAATGTTAGTTTCTTTGTAGACCTATAAAGAGTATATGCTTCGCTCACCTTTTGTAGACGATACCAAAATGGAAATCAGACAAAAGAGAAATGGTTTTAGACTAAATACAAATATAATTGTTTGTTTCCTACCTGTAGTATCTTTAAGTTAGTCACCAAAAGGGCAACAAACAACCACGTTCTATGTGGCGCTTTGCCTATTAGGCCGAGAAAAAACAACTGGTCGTCCACTTCCCGACCAGATCTGTGCTGAAATATATGCCATGTTCTTGCTTGCTAAAACATCCCTATTCAATATATATTACAATTGTTGCAAATTAATATACTATGGAATGATATGTCTTGATCACGGTGATTGCGAACGTTCATCTGGTAGCATGTGTCACAAACCTATGTATTTTATGCACAAGAATATTCAGAGTCAATGCAATTTAACAGTATGTTAAAAGACTTACAGATGACGTACAGAATTCGTCTATGTCTAACACTGATAGCTCACCTAACTTCTCTCGTCTTTTTAAATGTCTGTATATAATTTCAGAGACACCGACACGCTTTCCTCTGAATCTGACATGGCTTTTTCCTTTCATGCCGTTACCAAAGATTATTAAAAACATTTTTTCCCCATCCATTTCCGTAAAATTATTCTTGTTTAAGGGCCATCTAAGTTGAAAGAAGCTTAATATATAAACACTATAAGTAATAGAATGCAATTATGTTACGTTATATCAACTGGGAGGTGGGGAATTCCTGGATTTCGTCTGTTGAACATTTTCTTTCTTTTTCGCCAGTTGGACTTTGTTCTTTTCCTTTTTGCTGGATTGTGCTTTTTGCCACCACTTAACAAAATATTAACAGCTTCATCTAAGGCACATTGTCGGCCAAGGTAGTTTCTCCATCTGATTGAGGCCGTCCGGAAGCTGTAGAAACCAAAAAAATTGGGCAGGTGTGTCATCACGTAATTTACATGTATCTCATAGTTATTCACGCTTGATGTTTTTGGGATGGGGATTCTTGTCTCCAGCTTCTTTAGCCCTTGTATTGTCTTCAACTGATCTTTTTTTTCTGATCGGTTAGGTGATCCTGACATGGAATAGTACTCTTTGCTAGACAGTTTCCTGACTTGATTCTCACCATAATAAGCGACATAGGGACTGTTTCTATTGGGGTCCAAGAAACAAGGATTGAAGTGTTCATCGATTTCGCCCTGGTTAAAGTCACTAAGCTCTAACACAATTTTATCTTCGTTTGGAACTTGAGGTATATTTCTCGCGAAATTGACACGACAGTTATAGCCATCCGTATATAAACTATTGAGAAACATTTTCCCTTTCTGTCTTGGAAATTGTTGTAACTCTAGTAGGCTATTGTTATATATCATAAATGATATATTAGCTGCCTTTTTTGGTGCATTTAGAAGTGTAAGATTACCTGTGGATCTTCAATTTCGTAAAATCAAATAAATCAAAAAAGCGTCGTGCAGCAAGTGAAAATTGACTCTCATTATTCTCTTTTGGGATTTTGGCTTCATGAAAAAGAACATCAATATTTTCGCGGTCAATTTTAGTGAAGCGCAATTTGGAACTCGGGTTCGGGAAAAGCGAAAACAAGCGAGCTCGTTGCTCTTCTGACAGTGTCTCTTGTATTTGTTCATAGTATTGCAGTATATTTTTCACCACATTCAAAACTGACAACGGGTTAGTGGTCACTGCCTCCCTTAAACAGGGTAAGTAAGGTATTCTATTTTTAATGGGCTGGATTTCGGTGTTCAAGAACAGTTGAAGGTCTGGTGCGTTATCAAGCTCATTTTTAGTCAAAAAGTCTTCAGGCAAATCAGATCTGGTAGCGTTCGTCAGCACCTTGCTCAAGATATAACGGTAAGTGATCTTTTTTTATGACGGACATGTTCATATCCTAATAAAATTGGTTAGATTTTTAAACTTTTTTCATGTGAAGTAAGTACTTACAGGATATCTGATTTTCCAACATAAGTTTTATAATTTTTAACATAGAAATTACTGTAGGCAGTTACTAAACTTTCACATGCAGACGATACTATTTGGTCATAGCCCACCAATTCACCTTTTTGTACAAGCATATTAACATTTTCCAGATCTTGTAAACGGTTGGAAATTGCCTCGAGGTAGAGAAGTGATGGATAATAGTCTTGGAGTTGGTGAATATTGATGTTGCAAAAGAGTTGATTAAAGATATATTTGGAGATATGTTCCACACTGTTTGAGTGTACTAATAAATAGTAATTAACAAATATTTGCGCCTGATAGATGACAGCACGAAGGAAAGTAGACTGTCTAACGATTATGTTCTGGTAACGCTCTAGTCTATTGGGGTCTTCTTGTTTATGCCTCAGGAACAACTTGAGAGTTAAAGAAGGTGTGTACCTTTGATGGGAGTTAGGAAATGCTCTCTCTAAAAGCTCTTTTATGCTGAATTCGTGATTGGGACAATCTCGAGAGGTAGCACGTGTATGTCCTGACTGCCTGCAAGACGTACACACGGTATTAGCTCTTGATGAAGGCCCCGCCTCTGATTCCTTTCTTCGTTTTCTTGCGTCCGCTTTAGCTCTCTTTTCTTCGAATGTGTCTTTTCTTTTTTGACCTATAAAATGGCTTAGATAATGTATTACACGATTCTTTTAAGAAAGTTTCACCTCTTCTTCGTGCTGGATCACCCGTATTTCTTTGTTCTTGCACGCCTTCTTTGAGTTTCAATTGTTTTTTGTTTCGTATTAGCTCTTCGGCTACTGGGTAGAGTACTGGTCTCATGCTGTTTGTTTTTTTTTGATAAAAAGGAACAAAATAAAAAAAGGAAAAATATTGATTTATTATTTGGTCTAAAACCATTCTCTTCAGGGAGAGTCAAATACTTGAAGAGTTCAAGTTGTAGGGTTTTATCAGTAATATTGTATTAACCAATAAAATTACATTTTGTCGGTTACTTTTTGACTCTACCTGTAGACTTTCTACATCGCCAACAAGTCCTTTACCTTGCAACCCTGCTTTTTCCAGGTTTGTCTCGATCTTCTTAGTAGCTAGTTCTTTCAAAGATGCTTTTGGCGTAATGAAATTGTATTAAAAATATACACCGGGGGAAAACCAGTAACTTCAAAATATGATTTTAAAGTTCATCCCAAGTCAAGATATGATCATAAAAAACAAGTATTAACATCCTCTCATATATCATTTTATGATTGACTTTTTACTTAGAAACCGCTCATAAAATGATATATGAGAGGGTATTTTTAAGGATTGCTTAACTTTGTCTAATGTTGTTGAAGTTATTTAGATTATATAACTACCAATCGATCTGACGGGTTTCTTTGAGCAAAAAGTAAGAAGGTTAATAATATATGCCTTTTTTTCCTCTTCTCTTACACTTTATTTCATTTTCTTTTTTTTTTTACAAAACTCTTATTTCAGTAAAGCAATGATCGTAAATAATTATAGCAAGCCTTTTTTTTTGGCAATTTTAATTAACAGTATATTTATTATATTCCAAAAGATTTACTCTTATCGCAATAATTGTGAACCCAGTAACTAGTTTATAACATGTATTATCCAAAACAAGTACATAATATACTAACGAGCGTTAATTTAGCATTCGAAGGAGCTCGATAGAAATAAATAAGGATGGGTAATATTTTCAGTGTAAGCAAAGTTCAATGAATAACTTGTTTAGAACTCGTCTTTTCTCTTCATCCATTATAATTCTTTAAATATTCATACCGCCAAAGGTATGTATAAGCCTGTCTTCTGTGTCGGATGCACGTTTGAACTGTGAGTGTCATTTTTTCTTCGTTTCAAAAAAAAACATTTTCTGATACTTTTCTTTTTTTAGTCTGATCAAGAGCTTCCGGTTGCCCTGACCTTATCAATTGTATTATAAAGTTTCCGTTATATTGAAACTCACACATAACATTAGAATATACGTTGTTTATTATTGCATTGCATTCTATTCAGTCCATTTTAATTTTGGCTGTGACCAATATCTTTTTTTTTGTTTTTTTTTTTTTTGGTTTTAAGCGGATGTCTTATTCCATGAGCCAGTGGTAAAAGAGTGTACATGGATCAGGTTCAGGCGCAAATTCCGCATGCGGTTTGAGGCACATCTGATCGAGAATAAGTAAAACGTTAAGGAGGTTAGTTCATCGTGGCTTCCAATATTGGAGTAAGAGTTGCTTGTCAATTTTCCAAGTAATAGTAGCAGACAAATTGTATACAATTATGGTCTCATTATTATTTCAGCAAACATATAAATAGTCAATACAGTTTTTCTTCGCTATATAAACCGTCAAGTTAAAAAATCTAGAGTTTCAATCCATCGACAAAGATAATATATGTTGTAAAATTGTTGAATAAATTAACTCTTTAGCTTATTCATACAATACTAAAGCCTGCGAGCGTTACAATAAACTTGTCATATTCACTATTTTTACATCCGAACCTATTGCTGAGGTTGCGGCTAATCGTGGAAGTCTCTTGCATTTATTTATTATGATGTACTGTTATATTTGGGAAATATTCAAGCTTATTAAATATGCAGGGTTTTTGTTCATTGAGTATCAATTGAACAACACAAACTGCTATATTATTGTTGGAAGAAAATCATAGCTAGAATTCTTCATGTGCTTTTTAATGATCACACTTGAAAAAAAAAACCGCACTCTTTTTACAGTATAAGTATTTTGTTTTAGTAATTGGAGGTTATACTTCGCCATTTACTACACAACTTGCTTAAAACTCAATGTCCACAATAGGTAAGTAAAGGAGTTGATTTTGGTTCTTTCCATAAAAAGAGCTAACATTAGTCTCATTTTGTCCCATATTTGTACCCATGTCCCACTTTCCTATTAGCGTCCCAATTTTGCAACTCTGTCCCAATCTAATTTGGAAATGACCAAATTTTTTTATTGGCCCAACCTAGTTTCGTCATCTTAATCACTAATGCCAATTCGCTATAAGCCTTTGACTAGAAAACTCGAAGTAAAGTATCGAATCATAAGAAAAGAACACTCTGTCAACGCCAATGTTTATTTTATTTTATTCAAATGAAAAGAGAAACACCTTTTTTTGCTACAAACATACCATCATCCTGTCAAGGAAACACCCTCTCATTATGTCAAAAGCTAGAGAATAGGCTGGAAAACGCAAGGTTAGATCAGGCAAAGGCAATTTTTGCCAAAGAAAAAGCAACCAAATGCAGTGCCAAATATTAGCCTTTACTTATTATTAAGGCGCTTTTTGTAATAAAAATGGAACAGAAACAGATCAAAAGTTGCAGTGTATCTTGAGTAGAAAATAAAATGAGTTGGTACAAATTAGCAGCCACAAATATACAACACAATGGTATTGGTGTTTTTGTTACCAAACAAAATGTCTATACAAAGAGAAATAATGATTCACGTAACAATAGCTTTAAAGTTGAAAAAGAAGACACGCTGGACAATTCGACAATCAAGTATAATAAAACCCTGTCAACAAAGGAGATAAAAACTTTGAAGTATTGATGTGTTTTAATTGACCCTGGCAGACGCGATCTGCTACATCGTATATACGAAACCAGCACTTCTACTGATAAAACGAACTTGATATTCTGAAAAGCTAATAGATCAAAAACTTAAAGACAATTCGGAAATCTAGAAAAATAAGCAAAGTGAACAATGATAAAGACTCTCTTAAAAGATAAGTCATCCACTATAAGTCTATCGAAGCTCATTAAACATATCAAGACAAAAGCATATGTAAATGACGTACTTTCTTGTTAATATGGAAATGAAGCCAAGAGACTTGAAAGACAACTTTGCTTTCTGACTATTAATTTGATTTTCATGTAAATAAGAAAAGTGATCTGCACTTTGGTCATTTAGTCGTAGCAGAAACTAAAGACTACTCTGTTAAAGCAAACACTGACGTACAAGACAATTTGCTTAAGGATAAGCAGTACGTCTTGTATCTAAAGTTAATGCTGAAGCAAACTTAAATCTCACGAGTTAACAAGAAATAAAAGCCTGTTCTATACGTTGAAGAAGAGTATAGAAATATGTTTATCAAAGATATCAGTATCGCGTTTAAGGGAATAGATTTTGATGACAAAAGAAAGTCTTTAAATCCAAAGGCATTGTTGACTCATTCTTTACGATTTTAAAATACTCTTTGTTTTCAGCCTGGCCAATCTCGCCCTGATTGTTTTGACCTTGTGCAACTACAACAGCATTCGGTACTTAATTTTATCAAAACTCACACGCTAAGCATGATATTTTTCTTTCACTGCTTTACATATAATGTCTTCTGACGAAGAACAAAGGCCCTTAAACGGGCGATCACTTCATAACGGAGTGAGCCACTGGAACCACTTGAGAAAGAGCACTATGGTTAGTAAATGAGTTCAAGGCAGCTTGTCATTCAAACTAATTCAAACAAGATCTTTCGTGCCTTGATAGTCTTTTTTATTTTGATAGCATTGTCTGGAGGCACTTGGGTTATACAGCAATTTCTAAACAGGAATAAAGGAAATATAGATACACGTCCTTTAGAAGGCTATTGTTCCCATATTCAACCTATTCAGTCGAGCGAATATATCGGTCGACACGCACGCTTAGCCAATGTATTAAAGGACGAAAAAGCAGACGCGTTAATTATGGAAGGAGGCGCCTCCATGGTTTATTATACCAATATTGAATGGGGCTTAACAGAGAGAGCATTCATGGTCGTTCTTGAATTGGATGATGAACAACCTACTGGTATCTGCACCACTATTGTCACACCTGCCTTTGAAGCAACTCGTGCATTGGAGAGTTTAAAGCATGCCAATTTACCTGAAGAAATCCGACCTCGTATCGTTGAATGGCTTGAATATGATTCTCCATTTGACGCTGTTAAATCAGTATTTGATAGCAAAAAGCAATATGGAAAACTATTTGTTGAGCAGGATGCACGTCTATTTATCTATCAAGGCATTGCAGACTCTTTAAAAAATCACAATGTCGAGATGGCCTCAAGATCCATTCGCATGTTACGTATGATCAAATCAGTTGCTGAACTTGATATTATGCGTTGTGCGAGCACAGTGACCGAAATGGCAATTCGTACAGTACGTCCTCATATAAAGGTTGGCATGACAGAATTTGATATTCAAAATATTATGGAAGACGCACTTCATAAGGCTGGATTAAAGAATACTTGGGTGCTTGCGTTGGTTGACGAAAATGCTGCTTTACCTCACGGCTCTTCAAGCACAAAGAAGGTAACCGAACACAGTACTGTCTTAATTGACACTGGTGGTGAATTACTTGGTAAGGAAAACCATTCAGCTAAAACACGGTCATTCATATCTTCTTAGGCTATCAATCTGACACAACTAGAACATTTTTTATGGGAAAGAGAGGACATAATCAAACGATTGAAGACGCTTGGTATTTGGTTCGTCGTGCACAAGAAAATGTTTTAAATAGAGTAGGAGTTGGTATGACTTGTGCTGAAGTTGATCTGACTGCACGTCAGATCATTGACAAAGGAGGCTATGCGGAGTATTTCACACACCGTCTGGGACATGGTATAGGCTTGTTAATGCACGAAGATCCCTACATGAATCAAGGCAATATTGAGCAGTATTTGGCCCCAGGCATGACATTTAGTGTTGAACCAGGAATTTATATTACAAATGAATTCGGTATTCGCCTTGAAGACATTGTTGTAGTTAAAGAAGATGGTAGATTGGAGTTACTCACTAAAGGTCTGGCTCAAAACCCCTGGACTCTTTGATTTAGTACACTTTATTTGAAAAAATTTCATTGTGAAGAAAAATATCAAATGAGCAAAAATAAAGAATTTAAGAGATAATTGTTGTTGATGTTGATGGTATTGATGCTGGTAATAAATAGAAGCTGATCTCATCAAGGAATTTGAGTACTGGTCAGCTTAAAGTCCTCATCCAAACCCGATTAAGTACGTTTGTAACGCTCTTGAATACACAATTAAAGATTAGAGGTCCAAGAAAATGGATGCTGAGTTTTTCAAGTGTTTGTTCGACAGTATGACCGACTAAGGTCAAGCTGTGATTGACATAAAAGGTGGCCACATTATGTATTAATTCTTCCTCCTAATAGCCTAGCTTTTATTCTACGTGGTTTACGATGCTAATCTATTATGACTTGAAGAGCTTATTTGAGGATGAAATGCATGTTTTTTTGTTACAAAGAAAAGGCAAGACATTTTCAAATATATGCTGTATAACAGGGAGGAGAAAAAAGAACACGAAAACTTTTATTTTTGCATATACAAGGAGGTCTATCATTTATATACATTTGACATTAGGTGCTTTTACCGATCAAAAGAGGACTAACGCAGCTATTGGAAACCGGACTTAAGGACGTGCTGGATGCTCGACGCAATGATTCTGATGCAAAAGGCAAAAGTGCTTCTCTTGCGTGAAGAATCTAATATCCATTGGTCAATATTTTTCTGTATTTTTTTACAAAGCTTACCCTTTTAGCAAGCTGAGAGGCACGTTTGTCTGCAGATACAATTTCCCAAGCGAACTCTACATTGTAACCCAGCTTGATACAGCGCACCAAGTGCTTGGCTTCTACTTCGCCCATGCCTACATATTCTTCATCAACGGTATGTGGCATTATCTCACTATTGTTTCCCAATGTGTTTTGAATCCATTTTAAAACTGTTCGTTCTGTCGTGCTCTGGTCAATCGCTGGAGGTATTGAAGGCGGCTTGATCTCAAATGGGATTGAAACTGCCATCACATTGTGCTTGTTATCATGTTGGTATCTGAACTCATAGGTCCCCACTCTCCAAGGAAGTTTAGATCCACTAAAGATAACTATGCCTTCTGTACGTAATTCTGTTTCGGGAGGGAATATAATATCATCTAATTCTTTACTGACAGCAGCATTTGTCCAATGCCATAAGCCACGCGAGCTGATATTAGTTATGTGCTTGCTCTTGTTTGCTTTGACTTCAAAGACACCAATCCAGTCTTGAGGGCCATGATTCTCTGGAGCTTCCCAAGCTACCTGAATGGACTGACCCATCTCAAACACATAGTTATTGTTACTAGTAATGACCTTGAGTTTGTAACGAGATAAATCGTACATGTCTATATCACTGGCCGTTAATGGAATGACACGAGAGCGAGAGGATTCCAGCATTTGCTTTGTTTCACTCAACACTTCTTGCAAACGAGGACGAGCTGCTTCAACAATGTCCCCAACTGCATCTTTGGTTTCCCCTACTGCCTTCTCTACTTTTTCGACTGTCTCTTTCACAATACGTTCCATACTTTTGGTGCTGTCTTGTTTTTCGTGGATTATTTTGGCAATTTCTTGCTGGAGTTTCTCGGGAACCGTTTTGGGTAAAGCAATAGCAGCAGATTTCAATGCCTTTGTCAAGCCTGCTTCTGTACGAATTTGATCGCCATAGAGCTTCTGCATATGAGGGCTATAGTAAATTCGTGAGGAAACTGGATATCTTGCTTCGCTGGATTACCTTTCAACATAATGAAGAAACAAAAAGTTACAGATTTGAGAAAACAAGGCTAAACCAAAAATGAAGCCGTTGTTTGCAATTAAAGTCATACCCCAGAAGGCAGCATGGCCCATTATTTTCTCTGGGTTGTTTAGATATCTTGTTAGATTGTTAGAGAAATATTGAGGAAGGGACCTAAATACCTGTAAATGCCTGTATATAGTAATTCTGATTGATGGTCTTCCATAAAGAAATCGCCGTAGAACCTAATGAGACAATTAGACATATCAAATCATACTCGGCAGCCCAAATTACCATCCAAAGTTACCAAGCACTTCATAAATAGATACTGAGGTCCATATATGAAGTGAAATAAATATCAACCCCAATGTATGTCTAAGAAGAGTCGTTCCATAAGCCCAATTATCTGGCAAGGTATATGTCTTCCAGCAAGCGATAAAAAAGGTAGTATAGGACATACATAGTGTAAAGTTATAGATGCTGTTCCCACATCGTTAGCTCTTACGTAATATGCTGTTCTGTTATTACCTCTTCCAATTTCGAAAGGCTTCTTGAGCTCCTCCTCCCCATTTGATAAAGTGACGAGTGAAGAATTTGTTGTTGGACTGAGAGCGAAGAATAACACCATTACCAAAAGAGTATACTGAGCGCCAAAAGAAAGCCTGAAAAATCGCCACAACAACGCCTGTTCTACCAGGAAGCAAAAGAGGCATCACAGCCGCATAAATCATGACAATGACAGTAACAAAATCGGTGGCTCGAAAGGGATCAAAGTTCTTGAATGCAATTAGATCATGACGAAAGTAGTTTGTGTAAAATGGTTGCTGTTCAGCGATAGATTCCTGTTTGCTGGCTGCAGTAGAAGGACGTCTCTTGATGTCAGCTGGGGGATTATAGATCTTATCAATATCTAATTATGATCTATTAGAATCAAAATCACCTTTCTTTTTCTTTTCACTCTAAACGATACTTTACGAGGGGTTTCTACAAGAATCAAGAATGCAAATTGGAGAGCATGGGCAGCAATGCTAACAAACAAAACTGTGTAACTTGCGCACAAAAGTGAGACACCATAATAGCCAAAGTATCCAATCGAATACATTGGGTGAGGAGCCATTTCAAACACACCATCAAATGTAAGGGATTGTTCAATCAAGAAGAAAAAGTCTCCCCAATCTAGCCAAATTAGTATATTTCGTATGCCACATAAACAGATACTTACACCAAGCAAAATCCTTGACGACTCTTTGAGCATCTATTTTGACCCAAATATTAAAAACAATCAGGAACAGACCACCTCCCCATCTCAACGTATCACCCAGAAAAATAGATGATTGTGGTGATGTGTTGAACCAAGAAAGAGCAAAGCACATGTAAGAAATAAAATCATTCATTAAAATAAGATCCACTAGCTGTCTGTATAACATCCAGGTATTGTATTCAACAGGAGCCGTCTTGAAATAGTTTTAGTAAAAAAAAGGGGAGAGGCTGTTCAAAGTACTTACTTCAAAATCATAGTCATCGCCCATCTTGACACTAAGCTGATATTTGAGCCAATGGTACGCTTTGGGATTTGCTTGACGATCAAATACATTGTATTTCTTTGCCCAGCGGACTAGGCCTCGATTGTCGCTTTGGCACTTTAACAACAGGCCTAGACCAGCATTATAAGCCAAACGCCAAAAGAAGAAAACAAAAATAAACAAAATTTGTTTGAACCACACCGGCAAGGTAAAAAAAAGACCGATTTCAATTGCCATTGTACCCAAAGTAATCCAATCAAAAAAGCTTTTCTTTACATTAGGATTTAATAAGTTAGCAACCATTTCACGCGTCAAAGGAACTCGAAAGACTAGATATATTTGAAATGCATGAGTGCGCCTTCTTTGTCTATTTAATCTATTATACCTTTTCCATCAGGTGTTTTTCCGTAAGAGTATCGCATGTCCTTTTTTATATTGCCATCATATTCGCGATTTAGGTCGAATAAGGGTATTGTGCTATCTTCTGCATCGTCTTTGGCGACCGCACTTGTGTCTCTGTGGCGCAATCCTGTTCCCATTTAAATGATAGAGGAAAAAGAAAGAGAGAAAAGTCAAGTAAGAGATCATATATCAATCTTTACACACGCATGTGAAATTAACAGTCATTCTACAATAGAATGGGGTATTTCTTTTATGCATAAAAGCTGTTCTCCAATCATATAGCGCGCAAAGACTTCTTGTGATACTTACAGCGACCCTTTTTAGCGACTCCTACAGCCAATCAATCCCTAACAAGTTTTTAAAGTTTTGGCCGATATTGATACTAGTGTACACTAATGTCATTTTTCGGATAACAACTTTAGGAATGGCGGTAATGAATCGTCAGAGTTCTAGTGAGAAGAACTACTAAATCATGAATATTGTTAGATTTAGGAACAGGGTCATTGTGTACATTGTGCATTTCGCTGACCAAAATATCGATCGACAAGCAAATATATAACCTGCAGCTACAAGTATATATACTGAAAAGAAAGATCGACAAAGCACAAACAGCAGATCAATAATAATGGCACTCTCGTTTTTTCTTCTTTGATGTCTAATTAGGTTAAATATAGAGAGAATAAGTTGGCCGTCAAGTAGTTTCTTCTTCTATCATATGTTATGTAGAAGCAAGCAGTTCATCAAGCTTGGTAGTCAAAGCTTGGTTACTAGCTAATTTTACAGTGGTCTTTTTGAAGCTCTTGCTCGCCATCCTTATAGTAAATATACAGGGATAGTTATATTCCTTAATGTACATATAGCAATTGCACAGCTTTCTCTAGCATACTTACTTGCTATCTCCATGATATTGTGTATCTAGAGTGGCATAAAAGTAGTATGGCCATACACGCATGCAAATGTCCACTATTCGGAGGCTGAAATTCGAAGTAGTTAGAAGAACCCAAAATGGAGCACTTGCTTAAAAATGCATAAAGACGCAGTTGTTTCGTCTTGGAGTAACAACAAAAGCTTTAGGATTCTAGCTTAAAAGTCTAGTAGTATAAGAAAATAAAAAGATCTGATAGCAAAGTATTGGGAAAATGTGTGGGGGCGGTTATTTTATATGTTTCTCGCTCCTAGTAGACTATTTTTATAGTCTATTTTGCAAGCAAATACAACCATCAAGAAAACATGATTTTCTCGTTTATTCTGAGTATCTAACTGTATTGATAGCTGCATCCTTCGTCCTATGAACTCCAAAAGAAGTACAAAAGTCAGAGAACTAAAGCACATCCTTGAGTAATTGCCTTTCCACCAGAGAGATTTTTGGTCAGTTTGGACATATGGCATTTTTTTATCCAAATGAGCTCTAAAAGT